GAAGTCAAGGATCCGTCACTGTTGGAAGTAACAACAACAACACCAGAATCAGTAGCAACAAATCCATCGGATTCGGTGGTGGTGAATGTAGTGGTGTAGGAAGTAAATGGATCACTTTCGGTTGGGAACAACGAAGTTTCTGAAGTCAAGGATCCGTCACTGTTGGAGGTAACAACAACAACACCAGAATCAGTAGCAACAAATCCATCGGACTCGGTGGTGGTGAATGTAGTGGTGTACGAAGTAAATGGATCACTTTCGGTTGGGAACAAAGAGGTTTCTGAAGTCAAGGATCCGTCACTGTTGGAAGTAACAACAACAACACCAGAATCAGTAGCAACAAATCCATCGGATTCGGTGGTGGTGAATGTAGTGGTGTACGAAGTAAATGGATCACTTTCGGTTGGGAACAACGAGGTTTCTGAAGTCAAGGATCCGTCACTGTTGGAGGTAACAACAACAACACCAGAATCAGTAGCAACAAATCCATCGGATTCGGTGGTGGTGAATGTAGTGGTGTACGAAGTAAATGGATCACTTTCGGTTGGGAACAACGAGGTTTCTGAAGTCAAGGATCCGTCACTGTTGGAGGTAACAACAACAACACCAGAATCAGTAGCAACAAATCCATCGGATTCGGTGGTGGTGAATGTAGTGGTGTAGGAAGTAAATGGATCACTTTCGGTTGGGAACAACGAAGTGGTGGTAATAACACTACCTGCACTGTTGGAGGTAACAACAACAACACCAGAATCAGTAGCAACAAATCCATCGGATTCGGTGGTGGTGAATGTAGTGGTGTAGGAAGTAAATGGATCACTTTCGGTTGGGAACAACGAGGTTTCTGAAGTCAAGGATCCGTCACTGTTGGAAGTAACAACAACAACACCAGAATCAGTAGCAACAAATCCATCGGATTCGGTGGTGGTGAATGTAGTGGTGTACGAAGTAAATGGATCACTTTCGGTTGGGAACAACGAGGTTTCTGAAGTCAAGGATCCGTCACTGTTGGAGGTAACAACAACAACACCAGAATCAGTAGCAACAAATCCATCGGATTCGGTGGTGGTGAATGTAGTGGTGTAGGAAGTAAATGGATCACTTTCGGTTGGGAACAACGAGGTTTCTGAAGTCAAGGATCCGTCACTGTTGGAGGTAACAACAACAACACCAGAATCAGTAGCAACAAATCCATCGGATTCGGTGGTGGTGAATGTAGTGGTGTAGGAAGTAAATGGATCACTTTCGGTTGGGAACAACGAGGTTTCTGAAGTCAAGGATCCGTCACTGTTGGAGGTAACAACAACAACACCAGAATCAGTAGCAACAAATCCATCGGATTCGGTGGTGGTGAATGTAGTGGTGTAGGAAGTAAATGGATCACTTTCGGTTGGGAACAACGAAGTGGTGGTAATAACACTACCTGCACTGTTGGAGGTAACAACAACAACACCAGAATCAGTAGCAACAAATCCATCGGATTCGGTGGTGGTGAATGTAGTGGTGTAGGAAGTAAATGGATCACTTTCGGTTGGGAACAACGAAGTGGTGGTAATAACACTACCTGCACTGTTGGAGGTAACAACAACAACACCAGAATCAGTAGCAACAAATCCATCGGATTCGGTGGTGGTGAATGTAGTGGTGTAGGAAGTAAATGGATCACTTTCGGTTGGGAACAACGAGGTTTCTGAAGTCAAGGATCCGTCACTGTTGGAAGTAACAACAACAACACCAGAATCAGTAGCAACAAATCCATCGGATTCGGTGGTGGTGAATGTAGTGGTGTAGGAAGTAAATGGATCACTTTCGGTTGGGAACAACGAGGTTTCTGAAGTCAAGGATCCGTCACTGTTGGAAGTAACAACAACAACACCAGAATCAGTAGCAACAAATCCATCGGATTCGGTGGTGGTGAATGTAGTGGTGTAGGAAGTAAATGGATCACTTTCGGTTGGGAACAACGAGGTTTCTGAAGTCAAGGATCCGTCACTGTTGGAGGTAACAACAACAACACCAGAATCAGTAGCAACAAATCCATCGGATTCGGTGGTGGTGAATGTAGTGGTGTACGAAGTAAATGGATCACTTTCGGTTGGGAACAACGAGGTTTCTGAAGTCAAGGATCCGTCACTGTTGGAGGTAACAACAACAACACCAGAATCAGTAGCAACAAATCCATCGGATTCGGTGGTGGTGAATGTAGTGGTGTACGAAGTAAATGGATCACTTTCGGTTGGGAACAACGAGGTTTCTGAAGTCAAGGATCCGTCACTGTTGGAAGTAACAACAACAACACCAGAATCAGTAGCAACAAATCCATCGGATTCGGTGGTGGTGAATGTAGTGGTGTAGGAAGTAAATGGATCACTTTCGGTTGGGAACAACGAAGTGGTGGTAATAACACTACCTGCACTGTTGGAGGTAACAACAACAACACCAGAATCAGTAGCAACAAATCCATCGGATTCGGTGGTGGTGAATGTAGTGGTGTAGGAAGTAAATGGATCACTTTCGGTTGGGAACAACGAGGTTTCTGAAGTCAAGGATCCGTCACTGTTGGAAGTAACAACAACAACACCAGAATCAGTAGCAACAAATCCATCGGATTCGGTGGTGGTGAATGTAGTGGTGTACGAAGTAAATGGATCACTTTCGGTTGGGAACAACGAGGTTTCTGAAGTCAAGGATCCGTCACTGTTGGAGGTAACAACAACAACACCAGAATCAGTAGCAACAAATCCATCGGATTCGGTGGTGGTGAATGTAGTGGTGTAGGAAGTAAATGGATCACTTTCGGTTGGGAACAACGAGGTTTCTGAAGTCAAGGATCCGTCACTGTTGGAGGTAACAACAACAACACCAGAATCAGTAGCAACAAATCCATCGGATTCGGTGGTGGTGAATGTAGTGGTGTAGGAAGTAAATGGATCACTTTCGGTTGGGAACAACGAGGTTTCTGAAGTCAAGGATCCGTCACTGTTGGAAGTAACAACAACAACACCAGAATCAGTAGCAACAAATCCATCGGATTCGGTGGTGGTGAATGTAGTGGTGTAGGAAGTAAATGGATCACTTTCGGTTGGGAACAACGAGGTTTCTGAAGTCAAGGATCCGTCACTGTTGGAAGTAACAACAACAACACCAGAATCAGTAGCAACAAATCCATCGGATTCGGTGGTGGTGAATGTAGTGGTGTAGGAAGTAAATGGATCACTTTCGGTTGGGAACAACGAGGTTTCTGAAGTCAAGGATCCGTCACTGTTGGAGGTAACAACAACAACACCAGAATCAGTAGCAACAAATCCATCGGATTCGGTGGTGGTGAATGTAGTGGTGTACGAAGTAAATGGATCACTTTCGGTTGGGAACAACGAGGTTTCTGAAGTCAAGGATCCGTCACTGTTGGAAGTAACAACAACAACACCAGAATCAGTAGCAACAAATCCATCGGATTCGGTGGTGGTGAATGTAGTAGTGTAGCATTCGTACTGAGTTTGCTCTGGGAACAATGAAGTTGTTGTTATTATTTGATCATTAGAATTATATGTGACTATTACAATTCCAGATAAGGTATGGACATTTGGAGTGGTACAAGTTAATTCATTACTGTCGCCTGAAAGCAGAGAACCAGAATTAAAAATATCTGACCCACCAGATTCGGTACTAGTAAACGTAAAATGCGATATATACAGCTCGCTTTGCGTTGGGAATATCGATGTTTTTGTTGTCCATAAACCATCACTAGCTGAAGTGACAACAACAACACCAGAATCAGTAGCAACAAATCCATCGGATTCGGTGGTGGTGAATGTAGTGGTGTACGAAGTAAATGGATCACTTTCGGTTGGGAACAACGAGGTTTCTGAAGTCAAAGATCCGTCACTGTTGGAGGTCACAACAACAACACCAGAATCAGTAGCAACAAATCCATCGGATTCGGTGGTGGTGAATGTAGTGGTGTACGAAGTAAATGGATCACTTTCGGTTGGGAACAACGAAGTGGTGGTAATAACACTACCTGCACTGTTGGAGGTCACAACAACAACACCAGAATCAGTAGCAACAAATCCATCGGATTCGGTGGTGGTGAATGTAGTGGTGTACGAAGTAAATGGATCACTTTCGGTTGGGAACAACGAAGTGGTGGTAATAACACTACCTGCACTGTTGGAGGTCACAACAACAACACCAGAATCAGTAGCAACAAATCCATCGGATTCGGTGGTGGTGAATGTAGTGGTGTACGAAGTAAATGGATCACTTTCGGTTGGGAACAACGAGGTTTCTGAAGTCAAGGATCCGTCACTGTTGGAGGTAACAACAACAACACCAGAATCAGTAGCAACAAATCCATCGGATTCGGTGGTGGTGAATGTAGTGGTGTAGGAAGTAAATGGATCACTTTCGGTTGGGAACAACGAGGTTTCTGAAGTCAAGGATCCGTCACTGTTGGAGGTAACAACAACAACACCAGAATCAGTAGCAACAAATCCATCGGATTCGGTGGTGGTGAATGTAGTGGTGTAGGAAGTAAATGGATCACTTTCGGTTGGGAACAACGAGGTTTCTGAAGTCAAGGATCCGTCACTGTTGGAGGTAACAACAACAACACCAGAATCAGTAGCAACAAATCCATCGGATTCGGTGGTGGTGAATGTAGTGGTGTAGGAAGTAAATGGATCACTTTCGGTTGGGAACAACGAAGTGGTGGTAATAACACTACCTGCACTGTTGGAGGTAACAACAACAACACCAGAATCAGTAGCAACAAATCCATCGGATTCGGTGGTGGTGAATGTAGTGGTGTAGGAAGTAAATGGATCACTTTCGGTTGGGAACAACGAGGTTTCTGAAGTCAAGGATCCGTCACTGTTGGAAGTAACAACAACAACACCAGAATCAGTAGCAACAAATCCATCGGATTCGGTGGTGGTGAATGTAGTGGTGTAGGAAGTAAATGGATCACTTTCGGTTGGGAACAACGAGGTTTCTGAAGTCAAGGATCCGTCACTGTTGGAGGTCACAACAACAACACCAGAATCAGTAGCAACAAATCCATCGGATTCGGTGGTGGTGAATGTAGTAGAGAAAGTGGTATATGGTGGTGTTGAGCATTTCTCTGTTAATAGGATAGTTGAGTTGTAAAATTCACCGTTTACGTCAGTTGTGATAATGACTTCGTCTATATCGGTACAGACTGTTCCACTAGTAGTGAATACTGTTGTTGTGGTATATTCCGTTCCATTGACCCCAGGGATGCTTGGAATAATGTCACATAATGCACAGTTATATGGGACAGTAGCATTGGGGACGGGGCCAGTATATGTTACAGCATTAAGTGGAGCTATAACTCCTTCCAAGACCGCATCCCAGTCTGTTGTTATTTTGAAGTTGGCACTATTGTAATTTTTACCAATAACGAATTGTTGCAGTCCTAAGGTAATACTGTTAAGTGTTAAAATCCCTGTACTTGAACTGTATGAATATGGTGATAGAGGGTTTAATGTTGCAGTTAAAGCGACCATATTACCATTTCCAAAACCAGCTACAGTAACAGGATTACTTGCGAAGATAATATTTCCTGTTGGAGCTGATATAATACTGGAAGAGCTCCCTGCCAAGTAGAATGTTTGTCCTGTGAAAGATGAAAATGGATTTGCAAGATATGTAGTGGAGTTGGCTTGCATGGTGATACAACCAGTTCCCGCAATACCGGATTGTTGTTGATAAAGTTCATTATACAAACAAATTTGACCATTATTGGTCATACCGCTACCAATATTTGGTCCTCCAAGAACAACTTGACCACCGGCATTCTGAGTATCGTAGAAAATCATCAAACCGTTATTAGTTAAAGTTCCTGTATTAATTGTCATATAACCAAAACCAAGAGCTCCACTAGAAGCCATGACAAATTCACCATTGTTAACAAAGGTTCCCAAAGCTCCTGCGATACCCGTGGTTACAATATAATTACTTTGAAGAATTGAATCCACTGAATTAAATGAAATAATTCCATCATTCTGAACATTTCCATTTAAATTAACATCTAGACCAATTAAATTTGAAATACTGGTGATGTATAGACCACCACCACTGCCCACATTAAGATCACCGTTTATACTAGTAATCTGGTTGTTAATTATAGACCAATATACATTTGGATCTATGGTTGTGGTCCCAAGTGTAAATTGAATAAGACCATAATCAACTGTGTTTTGGGTTATTTCAGCTGAAAATACGAATGCTATATGTAGTAGCAAAATAACAGCTGATTTTAATCCATTCATTATTGGAAAGTTTAAATATGATTATTACAGCTATATAAACAATAGAATTTCCGAATTGGTCTTTGATTTCTAAACTTACTGCAAAATTTCTATAACTGGAATATTAGCTCAATTATATATTCATTTCAGTATACAGTTAATTTTATGAAGCTGTTAATTGTATTTTTTTAATATAATGTTAGGTTATACACATTCTGCAAGAGCCTACCCATGGTTATAGGACGAAACTTTGCAGGGATCGTTGAAAGAATTTATTTTGCTGCAAAGTTAGGACCCTATAGAAATTATTTTTTATTTTTTATGCGGCTTTTTCTACTTTTGAAATTCTGAAATTCAGCCATTTTTGAATGTGGAAAGGTTAAGATGTACCAAGTTGCCCTTAGGGCAATTATATTCTGGAATTGTTAAACGATCGATTAAGCAGGAAGTTAAGAGGTAAGGTTTATCTCAACTTGAATATAGGAATTAGGAGTTGGTTTAAAATAGAGTAGAAAGGATTTTTGTGGATGGGAGTTCGTAATCTTATTATTTGGTTTGAAATGAAATACTTAGACATAATAAAAAATATGTTTATTTATCGGAATAGAAATAAATTCGCTTGCTTAATATTGGGCAAGGGTTTACATCGTCTCTTTTTGATCAAAACCGGCAAGGGTTTACATCGTCTCTTTTTGATCAAAACCAAGAATTAAATGCTTAATAGTATAACAGGGCGCGAAAGCTTTTTTCATGTGGTATAATATGAACAATGGAACTTATATTTGCCTTATACGGGTCTAGATTGCATAGGTTACATCGTTATACGAACTATGATACCTCCTACTAATATTCATGTCTGTAAAGGCCTGCTACTGTAATACCTAAGACTTTGATTCAGGACTGTTTTCAAATGTTACATAATTAGAATTTATTGCAAGGGCAAAGTCAAAAGCAATAATGCATACTTTTACATTATATATTAAAGCTTATGCCAAATGGAAGCTTATGACAAATGGAAGCTTATGACAAATGGAAGCTTATGTGAAAAATATAAACAAGACTTTTCATATGACATAAGCGGAAAGCTGGCTGGATTCCATATTCCCTAAACAGCCTGTGTGTTAACTAATTTTGATGGAGGCAAACTTTACGTACTTTCTGACCCCAATTTCGGAATATATCCGAAAAAATTACGATTCTCTAATTGAACCTACCCTTAAAGACTTCAATCCAATTCTTGGCATTTCACGTGCAAGATACTTATTTCTCTAGATCTATCAAGAAACCTTAATTAATAACAGAACTTTTTACTATTTCATCTGTACTTCCAAGAATCACTTTGATATAATACTACGTGGAAAGATAAAGATGGATAAAATCTTGTATTGATTTTTTTTAACTTCTTCGAGTTCTCTTCATGGCAATTCGGAAGCATACTTTTTTTTGGTATTCTTCCTTGCCGTTTCTTGTTTACAATTTTATCACTGCCAAATTTTTGAGAACAAAAAATAGCTGAAAAATAAGGCATGCGTAAAGCTAGCGAATTTATCGGCTAATCTTTTGATAAGTCAGGTAATTGCGAATATTTTATTTTTAAGGACCACTATATGGAAATAAGTGTATTAACCGTGCCTCCCTCTCCTTAATTTATGAGTGGGGATTTTCGGAATTAAAATTATCTGGCACTCACCTGCAGATGTTTGCTGCACTGTAGTCCCTTAAACTTTTCCATTGTTTTTGTGTTTGAGTTGCTTTTCGTTCATCTGACAGTCAGATTTCTCTCAACTCAAATTTTTTAGACAATAAAATAAATAGAAAACTTTAAGTTCCAGATGTAATGAGGTTATTTACTAATACGCTAGTTATCCATATATACTGTACTAGAGCTTTATGATGTTCACGCTGATGTTATTATTAAGCTTCAGAATGTATAATGAATAGATTGGAAAGAAAGGGAAAGCCTCATTGCTAAAAGTCGCCTAATATTTAATACAAAAACCCTTTTATTGTTTACATCTAGTCGCCTAATTTTCTAAACAATACCTTTATTACTTAAGCGAGGCGAGAGAAAATGACAATTTGAAATCATACACGACTTCGTAATCTGCTTCAAAATTCGCATCTGCTGAACTCGTAAATAACTATATCCAAATATTTTAACTAAGGCGGTTACTTAAGAACGAAAAACGATCTGTGAAATTCTTTAAATTTATTTCATTTATTAAAAGGCTCTAATAGTAATTGCATTGATCGTTGCCACGTCATTGGTCTGTATATTTCAGTTAGGGTAGTCAAGTGTAACTATTAAGGGTGGAGATAAATACTATGTGGCTATCTTCAATTACTGTAACTTATTTTAAAAGCAGATAAACCTTTATATTTTTATGAATGTATGACTCTTTCAAATACACATTAGTAAAATCTTGTATTTATTATTTGAAGGTGTCTGTTAAAGGCTACCTGATTAACATTTTTCTTGGAAAAATGCTAATTAATCATTAGAAAGTGCTGTTAAATAAATTCCATTTAACAAGTTTGAAATCCAATATTTAAATCTTCGTATGTAATAGACATATCACTAAACGATTACTGTTAAATTCCACTTGAAGGAGAACCTAATTCTGTCTTCTTTTAAAAAGCCTGAAATGGTTTTAAGACAAGAATACCTGGGATACAAATATTATGTAAGAAAGAGCTGGAAAAAATTCGCAGCCGCTGAATCCTTAAGCTGGGGATACAACTTTTTTTTAATTTAAAACACTTTCTTTTACTTTATTTATTTATATTGATTAGAAACGTAATAATAATTTGAATACGTGTTTAGATTTATATCATAATTTGTTTGTTACATTTATTGTATTTACTAATTTAAAACAATTAAATAATTATGTTGATCACCAGTTTAATCATTTGGCTTTCAGTTTTAGCGCCAATGGGTGTTGAAGCATCTAATGCTCCAAAAGTTAAAAAAAATCCTAAGAATATAGTAGCCATCGCTGATTTTCCTTTTGGTATGGATAAGAATGTTAAGGGTAATATTGTATTTAGCGCCAAAGAAGGAAAGGCTGTTCAAGTCCATGTTGATATGACGGGCTTGCCCCTTGAAGGTGGTCCATTTTTTTACCATATTCATGAAAACTCAATTCCTGGGAACGGTAATTGTGAAGCTGCTGGTTTGCACTTTAATCCATATGGTGCTTCTCCTGATTGTTCAATACAAAAAGATGATTCAAGATGTCAAATTGGTGATTTATCTGGTAAGCATGGCTGGATTAATACTACTTGTTTTGAAGACAAGTTTGAAGATTCTTATTTATCTTTGAACAAAAAATCAAAAGCTTATATTATTGGAAAATCAATTGTCTTCCATTTTGCAAATTTGAGTAAGTTTGCATGTGCTGATATAGAGTATGCCTCAGACTTGAGAATTTCAAGCTTGATTGAGGAATATAAGGCTAATAATGATTTGATTGATGTTCAAGATTTTGAACAAGTAACTGAACTCGATTATCAATTCAATGAAGATGAAGGTTTAGAATATGAAATCTATGAATTATCTGCACAGGAACAACAAGAACAGCAGTTGCAACAGCAAAATCATAAGTCATTAGAGGTATTTCAGAAAGAATCTGAAGATTTGGAGAATGTTGTCTACCACAATATAGAATTTTATAAGAATAGTACTACCAATTTCACCAGCCCTTTACATAACTTCACAAATGGGACTAATCATACAAACTTAACATCAAACCAGTATTCAGGAGATTTCGAAAGTTCAGCTGCCTCCTTAATTAAGTTTGGAATCACTACCCTATTTGCTGCTTGTCTTGGTTTGTTGATTTGAAACCAATGTCAGCTGTATTATTTCGTATTAGCATCTTACACCGTTGAACGTTTCTTTCAACGGCGTCCTCTACTTTATTTACACATATTATTTCCTTCTGCTGAACGCTTCTTTCAGTATAGTCTTCTTTACTTGTTTTTATTTATTCTAAATAATTAATATTATGTTATACTCTATAATTCGTAAAACGTTTTGTAAGCATTTTAGTTTATATACAACCAATTTTTATATCCATAGTTAAAATATTCGATCCTATGCTTCTCTCTTACCATACTTAATTAAAGCGTTAACTCTCATCTTCTCACCAAAATAAATTAAAACTAATGCACACCCGAAACCTAGCCATAAAACAAATGCACCAATGGTACAAGTCCAACCTACACCAATGCTTTGAATACTTCGCAAGCATGATGCTGATGATACTGCTGCAGCAATATATCTTGTAAAGTAACTACTTCCAATAGCGTCACCACCCAATTCAGGCATACTATCAACACAGTAAGTATTTGAAGCCGGAAACACACATGTTTGTGCTATGCCACTGAAAAACATAAAAATAATTGGAACAGCCATTCCACCTTTTTCTTTTTCGATGGTCCAGCCATATATTAAAATACTGGCTGGGTATATAAGCCCAAGTGGAATTAAAGTTTGTCTTAACCTATCTTCTGGAACTCTTTTGCCTCTTCTTTTTATATATTGCTTAACCACATGATCTGCCCATCGACCTCCAAAAAAGCTACCAATCAAGTAACCTAAACCCGGTGCCAAATAGAACAAACCACTGAATATCGGTTGGGTAAGGTTGAAACGTGGATCGACAACATACCTGATAGGTGTTAACAAGTTGTACATATTGAATACTAATGCAATGGTGATGAAGCCATCTAATGATAAGTTAGGGTATTTTAATGCAGCGATTATCTTCAATAGATTAAAAGGTACAAATACAAATTTTTTGTTTGGGTCATCTTTCTGTATTTCCTTTAATATTACGGAATGCTTGGTCTCATAACAAGTCTCTGGAAGATAAAACAAAGCCAAAAAGAACATCGCACCACCGATACCACATAGTACCCAGAATATAATTCTCCAACTAGTAAAATTAACTATTATTCCACCTCCCACAGATCCTAATGAAGTACCAATTTGACCACCTGAAATGATCCAGGCCATATAGGTTGCTCTCTCGACTGGTACATACAAATCACCAATGATATGAGCCCCGATACTGAAAAACGAGGTTCCAAAAAGAGCAGTTAGCGATCTAAAAATGAAAAACATTGCTAAATTTTGAGATACAGCAACCAAAGCGGTACATATAACAAACATAAAAGTGCATACTAAGAAGGTATTCCTTCTTCCGTATATATCAGAACATGGCGAGAAGATAGTTGGTGATATTGACATAAAAATACAATAAACAGCACTTGATACATTAATTATTTCTCCCGTAGTATTAAATCTATCCGCAATTTCAGGGACCGCAGGCAAGAACGATAAACTAGATAATGGCGATAAAAATCCAGATAATGATGCGATAACCACACAAATTAGTTTGGTCTTGTCTGAGAACCGATTAAATTTGTCATCCTTCGAAATACTTTCAGTTTTAGATAATGATTTCTCTAAATCTTCGCCTTCAGTATGTGAATCTTCATGTTGCACTCCTAAACCTGTAATTTTTGCTCCAAGACTCGATCGTCTTGATTGAATTTTCGAAAGCTGACGCGTTGTGGCTAACTCGGATATTCCAGTCAATTCCAAAGGTACTTCATTATTATAATTTGGATGTGAATTACCTTGTAAAGCATCGGGATCATTTAAATGAGACTCTGAATCTAGAGAAGTATAACTCTGATTTTCATGATGAACTGCAAAATTATCTTGTATTTCTTTTCTAATTGATGAGCTAGGATTAGTCATAATATATCTTCGCAAAACTATGCACTTTTCCGATCCTATATTAAGACTTGACTTGATCCATTCTACAAAGACTTAAACAAAAAGAGAAACTACAAAACATTTTTAGCAAAAGAAAAACTATCTTAATTTTGCATATTAATCCACAAGATGTAGAATCTTAGGAAATTGCGATGCTTTATATAATGAATTGTGCATCATAAGGCGCTATTGTCGCTAGCACTTATCTGTCATATATTCGGTTCCGTTTCGGATCTCGGAGTATCCCCCACTTTGTTGATTTTCCTGTATATAAACGGTTGAAAAATAGAGGGGATCTTATCCGGAACCAAATTACCCTTTTCAGAAAAGTAATTAGATTTTCCAACCTCGTTATTGGCTTATATTGATTTTCTAAAGTACATAGTATATGAATGTATAAACTCTAGTACTCGCTACCCCTCAATTGATGGGTCCTGATCTAAAAGAATATAATGCTATTTTGAATAAAGTCAGGACCAAATAGTCGGACAAACTCAATGACCCTCAGCTTTTCAAACAGATTCAACTGTACAAATTTGCTTCTACGAGGAATTCCGACTGCATTGTCAAAGATTATTATGCTAAGTCGATTGTTTAACGTAGTGTCATCTAGTAAATCAATTATTTGCCATAAAGGCTTTAATCCAGGGAAAACTGCTGGTATGGAAGGCCTCTTCGATTCAGGCCCATATTTGCTTAGTCCGAAATCAATATGATATTTATTTTTTAGTAGCTTTAAATCATTAGCAGCACATGAATAGATTAGTTCATTACCGTAAATCTTTTCAGAAACATTACTTATTTTTCTATTATCCCAATTTTTAGGAGAGCCATTGTCCATCTTAAACTCTTTATCATTTTCAAATCCTTCTTCACCTAGTACAAATAATCTCCCATGTTTTATAAGAGGTTTAACTTTTTCTAGTGGTACATACAAATTGTTACTCAAATCTAATAATTCACCTCCAAATTTCAGTTTGTAACTCATTTTTGGACAATCATCAATATAAAAGCCAAGGTAATAGTATCCCAACAGCAATTGCTCACACATCTGAATCTCTCGAAGACCTGATAAAGTTCCTAATGAAAGATGTGCATAATCTGGATCCCAAACAAAGTATATAGAAGAGACACCAGTAGGTAAGAAATCTAAAACAGAAAATGCAACTAGAATTCCATCTATGTAATAGCAGACATGAGTTGGGCCAATCCTTCTATGTCTCATCTTTTTTGCAGTTGACTCTGACCAGTTGTTAATCCAATTGTTCAATTCATCCCACTCTTCATTTTGACCAAATACTACCAGATCTTCAAATGGGGTCTGACATAGGAATCTTGTAAATGATGTTTCTGTGACATCTTCAGGAGCATCATTATGAACATGAATTTGATACTTCTTATATAATTTAAATTTTTCCTTAGAAAATGCTGATGGTTCAAACACCGTTTTGAATCTAGATGACTTTTGCTCCGCTCGAATTAAATTATTTATATCAAATCTTTCTTGATTCTTAGACTGTTTTTTAATTAATTCCATCGGTTGATCATGGTCATCACCTATCTCTCTCATAAATCTATTTATAACTTTCCTATGATTCTTTTCTAACTTTAGATGTGACATTGTGGTTCGTATAGTATATAATCTACAACAAGATCTTAGTAAATCTGGTTTATATACATAACAACCTGACCTTCTACATCCTTTATTAATCATAAAATCATATTGCAGACAAGTCATTTGTTCGACCATAAACCCCATAGAATGAGAATTTGATTTATCATTTGTACTTCTATTGGTATATTGACTTTCTAATGCAAAATGATCATCTTTCTTACCATTACAGTAACCACAATGTGAGTCAATTGAATAAAACAGTCGAGACATGACCATAAGTCCCGACTCCATCTTGTCAATTCTTTTAATTACTTAATCAGTTATGTACTATGTATCAATTGATATTAGCACGCAATTTTTATATCGCCTCCTCGCGCATATGAGAAAAATCACTTAATACCCTCATGATTACCAAGAGATATAACTAACTTTCTTCTTCAAGGAATCAACTTGTTTTTTAAAGGTTGGCTCTATATACGTATAAGTTTGTGGTACGATATAACATGAGTGCTTCAATAAAATCAAGTCCTTCAAAATCTAATGGAATTAAGAATGAAGACAATGGTAATAATATATTGAGTGATAGATCCAAAGATATTAAGGAGAAGGTCAATAATGGCAACAACATTAACGATAATGAAAGTATAATTGGTAATAATACATCTACAGATGGAGTCGATGAAGCAGAGAATTCTATTTTGTCGGATCCAGAAGATTATTTAGAAGAGAATGAATCTTTAGATATGAATTTAACAAAAGGAAATCTGAATATTTGGTTAGTTAAATTACCTAAATATTTAGCAGAAAGGTGGGCTCAAGAAGGTAATTTAAATGGAGCAAGATTGGGGACAGTTAAGATAAAGAAGAATTCAGCCAATACAAATAACAAGTTACAAGTTAAATTAGTATTAAATGAAAATGTACCAAATGAACCAAAAATACCTCAAGAATATGATATCTCTATATTAAATACTCAAGTTCGAAATTCTTATGTGTTCACTGAAGAGAATTTAAAAAAGTTCAAACAGGAATTGACCGAAGTTGCTGAATTACCTGAACAACCTCAACCTAAAGTTGATGATAAACAAAATAAAAATGGAAAGTTTCAACCAAGACGTAAATTCAAATTCTTTAGAGTTCAAAAGAATGGTGAAAATGGTCCAATAAGGAAGTACATACCTTTTGTAAAGACAATTCCAAAGAAAACTGCATTGATAGGTAAAATTGTTCATGATTGTCAAATTATACCATCAAAAGCTGACTCTCAATATAATAAAGTATTGATGGATAGAAAGAATATAGTAAAGGGTCCTGAAAGACCGAAAGTCACTCTACTTAATGAAATACCTGGGGTGATCCAATCCAATGCTGGTCCTTCCATTAAGGGTAATAACACCTCAGTGTTCTTGAAATCCAATCCAAATGCTAGAAAGAATGCTGAAGGTAGAGCAATTAGAATGCCTAAGAAGGATTTATTAGATTTGCTTTTTAGATTATTTGAAGAATATGAATATTGGTCAATGAAGGGTTTAAAGGAAAGAACGAGGCAACCAGAATCATATTTAAAAGAGTCATTAGAATCAATTGCTAACTTAATAAAGAAGGGACCTTATACTTCTAAATATAATTTAAAGCCTGAATTTAGAAGATTAAGAGATGCCGAGCGTACTGTCAGATTAGGATTGGATGTAACGGGTGCCGATGATAATAAAGATAAAGAGGATGAAGATGAAGATTTAGAAATGGAAGATGTGGTTTAAACGACTACAGACTGTTTCAATCTTAATAGTTTTTTTGTTTTCTTATTATATATTAAATATACAAAGGGTTTTCTTAAGACTATCCCAATTCATATATGTGTAACGTAATGTAATCTTTCGAATTAAAACCAATACTATTTAACAATTTCATAGTATTATATGAATGTAAACCTGATTAATGAAATATTAAAACCTCATATGATTGATCTAGTAAGGTTTCATCAATATGACAATAACAATGACACTTATAAAGTGGTTAATTTTAAGGTTGGTGGTAAAGATTGTTGTAACTTCTTGGCTTTGGAAGCATCGTTAACAACTAAAGTATATTGATATCTAGAACCTCTAACCTTGAATTTGGTTTGCTTGAATTTCTTACCGTTGGAGTTAATCTTTTGGTTAACCTTGACAACAGCAGATTTGATATCAGCTCTTCTAGCTAATTCAACAAATTGTTTGATATCGACGATTTCTTTAGCCATTTTGTTATGTATGTGAGTATATATCTAACAAGAACCAGTTCAGTAGTATGTTTAAGTCTTCTATTCAATTTAATTTTTTTCACTAGGATGGTTTCGTTACCAGGCAAAAAAAGAAAATTTGCGAGGATATCATTATTAGGTATATAGCCCTAGAGATATCTTTTAGTCACGTGTATGTGCTCATACAATTTCTCTCTATTACTCTCTATTATTATCTATAAATATATATGCTAAATGCTAAATGCTAAATGCTAAATGCTAAATGCTTTTTGCTAATTATTAATGGCTATTCCTATATCTATTATTGTGTATAAATCAGTTCTTGAGATGTAATTAATCTCTTTATACTCGTTATCCATCTTTTTGTTTTATCATTAATCATTATATTGGCTGCTTGTTTGGTACCACTAATTCTTGTAGCAGAACTTCTAGCATGAATACCAATATGTTCCACTCCTATTGGCCATGCTACATTACCTATACTTAACTTTAAATAACTTTCATTAGCTCTTCTGTAGTCATGATTTTGAACATAGTATAATATTGTTAGTAGTGAAATAGTCATTTCAGTACTTAATGTAGAACTTCTCAATTTATATAGAAGAGGTACTAAATCTCGTTTAGTTTCATGAAGTAGTTCACTTTGAATATTATTAGGATTTTTCAAGACATGATTCTCCCAATCTTTAACTAATGACTTGATTATGACTCTAATCTTCATATGTACTTCCTTATTCTTACCATCTTCTTCAATGTCATTGACCTCGTTCAAATCAATGTGTACCAATTCGGAATTATTAACATATTTTGATTCACTTTCAAGAACTTCCTTATACTTCTCCTTTTGCTTATTAATTCGAATTAAAACTTGTAAATGTCGTATTTTATCAAGTTTGTCTTTACCCTCAACATTTGACAACTCATTGAATTCTTCCAAGTGTTTATGCAATTGTTCATCGGTTATAGAATTTAGTAATTCTGCATCCTCTTCATTAGAAGGAACAACCACAGAATTATTTTCTTCTTTATCAGTTATATTTAAAACTGAACCTTCAGTACCTGTAGCTCCATTAGTACATTCAGTACTATCTACATTTTTCTCGAAATCATTATCTATGGTATTAGTAGACACTTCTTCAACGTCACTTTTAGTCTTCTTATTACTCTTTAACTTGAACTTTAACTTATGTTTTTTATTTTGACTATCCTTTAATTTGGACTTCTTTGATTCGATTTCATTCGCTAGAATGCTTGACAAATCCATTACAATTAATACTTAATTATATAAGCATATATGATTAATTAATTAATTATTCTCATCATTTATACCCCATACCATTTCGGTTTAATTTGCGTGCTCATTTTGTGGCATTTGATCCAATTAGGAAAAAATCAGAGGATAAAGTCTAACTAACCAACATCTGGGCAGCAAACGATTAGAAACACACACAAATTGCACTACCACAATCACATAATTTGTTTTGATACTTTCCATCTAAGTTTCTGTGTGTGTTGTTCTATTGGATACAAGTAATACATTTTAAATTTTGTAATATTGTGAGAAGAAGTAGAAAGAAGACGTAGTAGAAGAAGCCGGTGACTATAATTTCCATTAAAATAAAATAAAGAAATCCCTTGGCTTAACTACTATAATGGTGGTAACTACATCTTCGAGTTCAAATTCTAATGAAATTCAGACTAGTCCAAATGTAAGTCTTGCAGAATATGATATTTCACATGAAATAATTAATGATGATAATGATGATGATAATAATAATACTAGTACTGGTGCTGGAACAAATGGAGTAGAAGTTAAAGCTCAATTCACAACTGATTTACCTGTAGATTATGGTATTTCTAAACCAAAGGCTCAAACATCCCCTTTATTATCATCAACTCCACCTACTGTTGCTAAATCATTAATTAGAGCTTATCCATATCTTTTAATTATTAATAAATTATTATCAATTGCAACTTGGACTAATGATGATTATTGGATAAATATTATTATTATAAGTATTTTTTCATTATTTATATTATATTTTGAAAATCTTGTCATTTGGTTAGGTCATATTATAATTGTTGGAATAATAACACTTTATACTATATTAAATAATAAAATATTAGAAGAAACTAAAGAACATCCAACATTAGATGATGTTGTACAATCATTAACAGCTACATGCATTAAGGCAGATATGTTATTAAATCCAATCACTTCATTAGCATTTACTTCTTATGATATTAAAAGATTATTGTTCACCACAATTTTTTTAACTCCATTATATTTAATAGTTTCATTTTTGGTTATTAAACCAAGAATTATTTTATTAATTACGGGTATATATATGTTAACATATCATTCTTCATATTCCAGAGTTATTAGAAGAATAGTTTGGAAAATTAAATTAGCCAGATTATTAGTATTTTATTTAACTGGATTAGATTTTCTGCAAGCTAAGAATTCTTCATTATTTGCTGCAGCATTTGCTAAAGTTCAAAAGAGTACAGGATTAACCACTCTTAATAATCAAAGCTCAACCAATAATAAACCAGTTAGATTTACATATGTTATTTATGAAAATCAAAGAAGATGGTTAGGTATTGGATGGACTTCTAACTTATTATCATATGAAAGAGCTCCTTGGACTGATGAATTCTTGAATGAAAGTTCTTCTGTAGATGCATTCAAATTACCAAATGCAAATGATGCACAATCTACAGGATCTGCTTCTGGTGATAATGGAGTCGATAGATTAGATGGAGCTACATGGAGGTGGGTTGATAAAACATGGAGATTAGATTTAACTAATGATGGTGCTATAACATTGCAAAATAATAAGAGATCAAAGACTAATGCAAATCCTGGAAGTGATGAAGGCTTTATTTATTATGATAATACATGGAAGAAGCCATCGACAGAAGATTCTTTCTCAAAGTATACTAGAAGAAGAAGATGGATAAGAACTGCGGAACTAGTGTTTGATAATGCTGCTGGTTCTAATGCAGTAGTTAGTGGAGCAGTAAGTTCTGGACAACAGACTGAAGCATCTTTAGATAATAGTCATTCTACTTCAAGTAAAAGAAAGAGTTTAAGATTCTCAGAAGTAGTAGTTGAGCATGATGAAAAGAAGCCTGCGTTAGAATCAATTCTTTCGGAAGAAGAGGAAGAGGAAGAGGAAGATGAAGAATCTCAGCATCATTTACATGAAGAAGAAGAAGAAGATCGTGAAGAGGAAGAAATAGAAGAGATTAAAATAAAAACTGGAATACCTGAAGCTGATGTACAAGGCTCTAGTAGTGAGCATAGGAGTAATGTGGTAGATCGGAAAAATGATTAATCCACCACCACTGATTTGTTTTCATTTCTTTATTTATTTACTATTTATTAATTAATTACTTATCTGCTTTTAAACCATATCCCAGCCATAGAAATTTAGTCGTAGTATGGTCTGAGTTGTAGACTAATCTGTTTAGTATTTTTGCGGCAATAGAATCGGAGAACCGGACTTGCCAGTAAAAATTCGCGCTCGGAATTGTCCGATTTCAATGAATAATGGCTGCAACATAAATTAAGTTTCCCTATCAATCAGGGTTTATACAAGACAGTAGAATGGACTATCAATAGAGTAAACATTACTATTGCTAGTGTAAATAGTATATTGGAAATTATTGATATTAAAGATATTAGATGTTATCCAATACTGAACAGTTTTCCTCAGTAAAATGCGTTGCAATTGTCTTTTTAGTTCTGATTTAGTTAACAGATTCAACCAATGTAAGAATCACCCTCTTTCTAATTACAAGTCTGGGGCTATGAATGTATTTACATAAATCGTAAGGTTTTTAATATCACACTTCGTATCTTTCCATATGGTGTTTATAATATAATTAAAAAAGGGGTGGAACCATTCCCCATACTATTACTATTTCTGTCGGGAAGTTCCGACGCGCACTTATTATGGCTGCACTAAATATGATTGCGATAAGAGATTAAGACTGGAGATGGTGGGAACTGATCTGGGATAGTATAAATTGACACTTGATTCCTTTCAATTAATTCTATTGTAAATTTATTTCTGTTAGTAATTCAGATTATTTACAACAATTAAACAATACATTCTTAGTAATATTAAACAAAATGGTTCAATTAATTTCTTCAACATACGGTAAGGCTAACGTTAAATTCTTAAAAGTTAAGAAAAATCCATCCAACCCAACTGAACAAGAAGTATTAGAAGCTAATGTTCAAGTATTATTAAGAGGTAAATTTGATGTTGCTTATACTAAAGCTGATAATGCTCCAATTGTTCCAACCGATACTGTTAAAAATACTATTTTAGTTGAAGCTAAAACTACTGATGTTTGGCCAATTGAAAGATTTGCTGGTCATTTAGCTAAACATTTTACTAATAAATATAATCAAATTGAAGGAATTGATATACAAATTGTTCAATCTAGATGGACTAAATATCCTTTATCAAATGGAAAAATTCATGCTCATTCATTTAGATATGATGGTGCTGAAACTAGAAGAACTCATTTAAATTATGATAAATTAACTAAAAAATTATTAATTACTTCTGCTATTAAAGATTTAACAGTATTAAAATCAACTGGATCTATGTTTTATGGTTATAATGTTTGTGATTATACTACTTTACCACCTACTAGAGATAGAATTTTATCTACTGATGTTTATGCATCATGGACTTATGATCCTAAATTTATACCTACATTAGATTCAATCTTTAAGAAAGCTGATGAAGGATTATTTGATTCAACTTATAATGCAGCTAGAATCACTACTTTAGAAAGATTTGCCTTAGAAAATTCTGCTTCTGTACAAGCTACTATGTATAACATGTCACAAGAAATTTTAGAAAAGGTTAAAGAAGTTGATACTGTAAGTTATGAATTACCAAATAAACATTATATCCTTTTCAATTTAGAATGGAAAGGTATTAAAGGTAATACAGAATTATTTTATCCATCACCTGATCCAAATGGTTTGATCAAGTCCACAGTAGGAAGAGGTAAGGCTAAGTTATAAGTTATAAGTTAGTTTTAAGTCATAAGATTAAGTAATTGCTTATCAATGTCAATAACAGTATAACTATATTTGTATGTGAATAACGGTATATATAAATAAAATATTGAAGTGCGAGTCGTAATTTCTTTTTTGTAGCCAATTTTTTTTTTGACCGGCCGAGATGTCACTAGGAAAATTTGCATTCTTTTCACTAAGTACATTTTCACAACCAAAGAACTAATACTGAAGTAGTGTCCAGAATGACAAGTTCACGTTCACATGACATATGGTTAACAGTACTTGCTACAGTGGCAGTAACAGTGGGTGTAGTGGAAGCATATCATAGATATACCAATAAAAATAATTTGACAAACACATCATCGTCGTCATCTCCACAAGTAAAAATTAAAAAATCAAGGCCCCATTCAGAAGAACTCATTAGAGAACAGTTGGCAAGAAACTATGCATTTTTATCAGATGAAGGTATGGATAAAGTTAGAAAGCAACGAGTTGTAGTGGTAGGAGCTGGAGGAGTTGGATCTTGGGTTGCAACCATGTTGATTAGATCGGGAGTTGAAAATATTAAAATTATTGATTTTGATCAAGTATCATTAAGTTCATTAAATAGACATGCAGTAGCTAATTTATCTGATGTTGGAACCCCTAAAGTAGAATGTTTAAGAAATCATTTATTAGAAATATGTCCATGGGCCAATATTGAAGTTAAGAATCAATTATGGAATAAAGATAATGCTCAATCATTAATTTATGGAGAAAGTGATCAAGAAGATTTTAAACCAACATATATTGTTGATTGTATTGATAATATTGATACTAAAGTTGATTTATTAACTTTTTGTTATGAAAATAAATTACCAGTCATATCATCTGGAGGAGCAGCATGTAAATCAGATCCTACTAGAATTAATATTAGTGATATTTCAAAGACTGAAGAAGATCCATTAGCCAGATCAGTTAGAATTAGATTAAAGAAAAGAGGAATTTTAACAAATATCCCAGTTGTATTTTCAGCCGAAAAACCTGATCCTAATAAAGCTCAATTATTACCATTATCTAATGATGAAATTGAAAAGGGATCAGTTGATCAATTAGCTGCATTACAAAACTTTAGAGTAAGAATTTTACCAGTTCTTGGAACAATGCCAGGTATGTTTGGATTAACTATTGCCACCTATATAATTACATCTGTAGCAGGATATCCAATTGAGCCTATTGAAGGTAAAAATAGATATAAGATTTATGATGGAATTTTACAGAGTTTGGCTGGCCAACAACTGAGAATAGGTCAATTAGATCAACGTATCCCCATTTCATTAAATGATGTTCCATATGTTTTAGAAGAAGTTTATCGTGGTAAATCACCCATTCTGAATTATTCTACTAGATTAACATTATCAAGATGGGATCCAAATCAAGAATTATCTATGCAAAATGTCGTGGTTATGACTAAGGATGAACAAAAATTCCATGAAGATAATGTATTAAATGGAGGTAAATTATTACTGGATGTTTATTCTCAAGATATATTAGACCGAGTAGCACAAAGATTTGCAGAAGAGAAATATTACTCTCAATTTAGATAAATAGTCATGTGTAAGTAATTAATTAATAGACAAAAATCATTTTACTCACTAGAGCTCAGTAATTTTTTTTTTCACAGCCATCCGTAGGCGTAGGCGTAGGCGCACTCAATGGCAAACTTGACATACTACCACGTAGTTCAAGGTCGCAAAGTTCAATACTTAGTATAAGTAAGCTCACTAAAGCTCAGTCAATAACTATCACTCATGTTCCGTTTGAGACCTATGCAGAGGATCATGACCTCTATGTCTCCTGTGAGGTTGATGACTATGAGACGATTTCCTTCTAGTATAATTAAGAGATTTCAATCGGGAACATCAATTCCATCATCATCATCATCAACTAAACCTAAGGGTAAAGGTATTAAAGCTTTAGTTCAAGAATATGGACTTTCAGCATTAGGAGTATATCTTGCTCTAAGTGCTATTGATTTACCAATCTGTTATGTAATAGTTCATTCCTCTGGAAAGGAAGTTATTGAGGAGTATGAAAATACAGTAAAGAATGTATTCGGATATGGAATTAGTAAAGAAGAATTAAAGAAGAATCAGGAATTAAGAAAACTTGAAGAAGCCAAGGCTAAAGAAGGAGAAATTGATATTGATACTAAAAAGAATACCAATATTGTTAGTTATCTTATATCTCATTTCTCGTGGACAGAATTCGCTATAGCTTATGGAATTCATAAATCTTTAATATTTATAAGATTACCAATTACAGCAGCTATCACTCCAGGAATAGTTAAGATATTAAGAGGATGGGGATTTAAGATTGGTAATAAAGCTATTACTACCACAAAAGCTGGAACTTCAGCAGCAACACCTCTAGTTAAGAATGCTAATGATGTTAGTGCCTATTCAAATCCTCAGTTCGGAACTAGACCCAATCGTAAAAAGAAGTGGTTTGCTTGGTTCTTTTAATATAATCAACACATACACTATCGCTTGTATATAGAAAAACACATTAAGAATTCTACTAAGATATCTACTAAGATATCTACTACTATTAATTTTAACGTAACATCATGGATTTTGTTTAGATGTAATTATCTCTTTGATAATTCAATAAATACTAGTATAAATAATAAATAAAATAAATAGCTAAAGCCCGAACTAAAGAAGGAATATGGTAGATACAAAGAAATCCGACTTATTATATATATACATGAAACATGACAAATGCAGTAATGCTAAGCACTAAATTCTAAATTCCTAATGAAATTTTAGCTCGTTCATAAACATAGAACGAACATGCAACCATAGGTACCACTTTAATATAACCAATACTTAATCCTACAAAGAATCCTCTGAATCCATTTTCTCTAAAGATTAAATTGGCAGTAGATCTAAATGAAAGAAATTGACCCTGATTAATGGCTCCTCCAACTTGCATTCTTCTTCTAATAACTTCAAATGGATATGCCGCAGTTTGAGAACATAAACCAGCTAATCCACCAGCAATTAATTGGGCATATGCTTTTAATGGAACTCTTGTATCACGAGAATTAACTTGTTTATTACCACCAGTGGATTTAACAACTATTGAAGATGGGTGTAATTTTGATTGATCATTTTGAAGAGTGAATGCTGATAAATATTTTGAACGAAATATATCATGAATTAAATCATGAGTATAAAATGATACACCAGCATATGGAATCATTCCAAGAATTGTTGGAGCAAAACCACGATAAAAATTAGATAATTTTAAAAAGTAAGGTGGGAAGAAATTTCTCAGGAATTTTAACCAATTAGGATCATTTACTTTATGAGGAGGTCTTTCACTAAAAATGCTTGCAATTGTTGAAGTTAATCTACCTTTATGATGAGTTATAAAATATTTATGTTGTGGATGAGTTAATTGATGATGTAAATTTCTTGTTTCAAATGCCATTCTAACTCTTACAAGATCTAATGGATATGTGAAAAATACAGATGCTAAACCAGATAATGAACCTGCCATAAATCTACGAATAGCAGTTTCATAATTATCATTAGGAATTAACATTGATCTAATTTGTTCATAAGCTACAAACTTAATAGCAGCATAGGGAAAGATTCTTAATAAAGTTACTGAATGACCTTGATATAAACCCCAAAATCCATCACTAGCCCATATCTTTCTGGATGCACTAAATAAACCAGAGAATTTACCTCTATATTTTAAAAATTCTGGATTTGAAGTTTGAAATAAAATTTTAATACGATCTAATGGAGCAATTAAAGTTTTGGCTGCACTACCAGCTATTCCACCAGCTGTTCCTGATTTTAATACATATTCAAGAGATTGTTTATCTATAACTTTCACATGTTCAAATGGAGTTGATTGATCATTTACATTGGAAGATTCTTCCGGAGTTACTGTGAGACGTTGAGGAACATAGAAAGGGGTAGAATTTGTATTGGTTGAAGTTGATGAGAAAGTGGACGGTATTAAAGCTGATGAATCATTTCGTATATTGGAAGATGAAGATGATGATGAAGGTGATGATGGGTGGCATGAAGAGTCAAATGCCAATCGTTTTTCGGGCATTTAATGAGTTAAATATGAGGTTGGTAGTTGGATAGGGTAATGACTAATGGTTTTCTATTGGTATTTGACGATTTAAGTAAAGTAATACTCTAATATAATAAAAATTAGACAAGTATAATGTAATACTGATGATATGAATTACTGTTTGTATAACGGTAAAGTACTGGATCCAGGGACAATATAATGGAAATATAATAATACAGGGACAGTATATGAAAGGGGATGGATATGTTAGAAAGATCTAGTACTGGGTAAATATGAGAATGTAATGGGAAAGTCAATAAATAATGATAAAGATCTGCTTAAACTAGTGCTGATTTGTGAACTACTGGCTCCGAGCTCACTCGCTAGGAAATTTGTTTTTCCTGATTCTTTCTTTTCGGCAATGGCGCACGCCTCCACAAACCCAGTTAGTGAATTAGTGTCAATTAGTGTTAGCCAATACATAAACAGAGATAGCAAAACTGATATTTAAAAATAATAAGGACAACTATTATACTCCAATGAGGTACTACTACAAAATCTGTGGTATATGATAATAATAATAATAATAATAATAATAATAATAAAATCGTACTTAGAGTATATAGTTACTACTGCAAATAAATCATAATAAGACCCCATACTCCGAAGGCCCCGGAATTGTTCCACTACAAGATAAGCATAAAGTAAAAAGATTAACTCGTATATAATAGAAGTAAATGAAATTGGCTCAGAATAATCCATAATCTCATGACATGTGCACACCCCACAAGTGTCAGTCGCAAGTCTGGTCCAATTTTAGTGAACCGAAGCTGAACGATTTTAGGTCGCTTTGTTCCGCTTTGTGGTGAAAAATTTTAGTGAGATTGCGGGGCAACAGCGAAGACGAGGGGCAACGTATAATCTGACTACACAAACCCACACCTGTTTGACAGGACTGTACAAAGAAAGTGTACTAATAGTACGTTAATATGATAAGAGTATAAAAATAATGATAATAATAATAGTAATAAAATTAATAATAATAATAATAATAATAATATAATAATAATAATAATATAATAATATAAATTATATAGTAATATAATAATAATAATATAATAATAGCAGTATCAAGCAAGCCTATAAACAGAAGTACGAAGGAGCTTTGAATGAATAAAAGTATAAAAATAGTAACTAAGCAATGAAGGTATAAAAATGATTATAGTAAAATTACAGGGGGAGTTTTATGATTCTTTTAGTCGTTCTCGTTGATGACTGACATTCGATACATTCGCATTAGCGATGGGTCTAATTGGTGTCTGTTTTGTCTGTATCTTTTCTTTTCTGTTCTTTTCTTTCTTTTGTTTTATTTTGATTTGGTCTGGTCTGGTCTGGTCTGGTTTTGGTTTATTTGTTTGTATCTTTTTGTATTAACGACAATAATAACCAGTTAAGTTTAGGTTTGAATATGGCCCCTATAACCAGAAGTTCTATCTTTATGATAATTGGAAGGAGATCTACCTCTAATAATTAAAGGAGGAGTTTCAATTGAGCTTAATAAAATAGGTTGAATTTGTAAATCTTCATCTTCAATTATACCTAATAATTCAACATGTAAAGTAAAATATCTTGAATTAGTTGAAGCAGATTTAATTCTAATTGATGAAGTAAATTGAATTCTTTCAAATCTTGCAATACGAGCAATTGAATCACTTGGATAATTCTTAAGAATTGAATCATCTTTATTAGAATTCAAATTCACATGATGATAATAATCATTTCTATCAAAATAAAATATTTTATTCATACTTTCAATTTTATTACCATTTCTTTTATTACATGAAGCACGAACAGTTTCATGGTCAGGTAAATCACCTGGAACAGCAGGATAAATTGGAGGAGGAAATTGAGGTCCTTTATCTCTTTTAGCAGTATGTTGAATTAAACTAATTGATACATCATCATCACTACATTTAGCAACCAATCTAATGGCAAAATAACTAATATCAACTTTACTTCCTAATTGAGAGTGATGAAGTTGAGGATGATGTGGATGATGTAAATGTCCATTTCCATTACCATTACCATTAACACTACCATTGGCTCCATTACCTCTAGCTTTATCAAATGTATAAAATTTATTATTAATAAATCTTTCAAAATTAAAATTTTCAAGAGTAAAAGCAGACACTAATGTGAAATAGTTTCTCTTGTAACCAATCCAATTACCATTTTCACCAATTTCAAATCCACGATCAATACGGGCTTCTAAAATAGGATTAACGACCATATCGTTACCTTTACAGTAAATTTCTTGATGGTGTCTAGTTTCACTGAATTGAGGTCCAACACGAAACAAATCAGTCGAACGTGGGGCAACTTTACGATTGGCTGGAGGTTCAGAATATTCTTGTTCATGAGATTGACTAACTCCTGCTCCAGTTCCAGCCAACATATCAAGATGATGATGGTGATGTTGTTGTTGTGGAACTTGAACTTGTTGTTGGTGAAGAACTTGTGATTGTTGAGGAATACCTACTTGATGATGGCTCAAATGTTGTTGTTGAAGTTGTTGGTGTTGATGATGAAGTTGTTGCTGCTGTTGTTGGTGAAGTTGCTGTTGTTGTTGTTGTAGCTGTCGTTGAAGCTGTTGTTGATGTTGTTGTTGTTGTTGGAAATGAGAATGATGTTGAGGAGTAAGTGAAGTTGGAAATGATGGCAATTGTTGAGTTAATTGTACATTTAAATGATCTTGTTGATCGTGATGATGATCAGGAGCTCCATATTGAACAAGATGATGTTGAAGTTGTTGTTGCTGTTGTTGTTGTTGGGCAGCTGCGGCAGCTGCGGCCGCAGCAGCAGCTACTGGATTATGACTGAGATGGTGTTGTTGGTGTAACTGATGTTGAGGAAGTTGCATTTGTTGTTGACGAGTCAACTGGGGATCATGGATTGAATGTTGTTGTTGAGGAGTTGTAGAATGGTATAATTGTGTATGGTGAGGATCATATTGATGATGTTGAGGTTGAGGTTGTTGAGGCTGTTGATGATGTTGAACGTGTTGGCCTGAGGCTTGAGCAGTTTGACTTTGGTGTTGTGGCTGTTGAGTGTTTACTTGTTGAGATGCTTGTTGATTTGGATAATGGTGAAGATGGTCTTCATCTTTAACTTGAGGTAAGCCACCAACGACTCCAGTGGTGTCATCTGGGTTTAAATTCGGATCGTCATTTGCTAAACTAGTCATCATCATACTGGTGACTTAAAGGAGGAGGTGATATAGTCCTAAACTCTTCTAATAACTCTAGTTCTTTACTGGGTCTGAATCTTTTCAGTATACCTTTGGCTTTGTCTCTCTTTTTTTCACTTTTTTCTGTTTTGTTACCTGTTTTTTATGTATGGCTAGGCGTACCTGTCTGGGAACTATCTGCTGTTTCCAAGTCAAAAAGAAAAAGTCTGAAGTTTTTTTGAATATTAATCAGTAAGCTGAACGACAAGTTGGTAACTGGTTATTACTACAGATTAGTTAAAACAACCACTAGTTAACGATACTAAATTATTATAAAAGTCGGGCTTCTTCGAATAGTAAAAAAAAATGTTGTTGATCTGATTATTGCTGTTTTGTTTTTTTTTGTCTGCCTTAACTATGTATATTAAAAAAAATTATAATGAAAATTTTCCTTTTGAGTAACCAATAAATTATAGGCATGTCCTGTATATGGCGTCGTTTCCGAAAAATGACACGAACTATTGGAATTATAAATAGACCGGTGAACTGAGGGTTTTGAATTTTTTTTTTTTATTACTATTACGTGATTCTACTACACAGATTACTATGGTCTGTCTGGTGTTGTTCTACATTGATTATTGAATATGGAACGGCTATTATATCGCCTACTACTTACTTCTAATTCTTACTACTATCCAATTATTCTTTTAGTCGAGCCGTAGGTTTGGCCCGGCGCACTACTACAGAAAAAGAAATTTTCAATTCTTTTTTTTTTGCCTTTTTTTTTTTCTTTTCCGCTATACGAAATTTCTAACCTAGACCGTTACTGTACCACTCTTTGGTCTACCTTCTCTTAGTACTACTTCGTACCACTTAGTACCACTTATTATATCTTAATGTCTGTCTTGACGTGTATCCATTAATTTATTCTCATCCCATATACTTGTTTATATATTTACTTGTTTACTTATTTGTTTATTTACTCATTAATTTAATTCTGGTTGGTTATATATCTTCTTCAATATACTATGTAACAATTCCTGTATTTCGCGCAGTATCTTTATTTTTTTTGTTTCAATCGCCGTACAACTTCAATATCTTAAACGGCCCAGCCCCAAACAATTGAAACGGTTAGTATTATTTGTTACCATCTTGTACTGCATTTGAAGTTAAATCCATACCGCGCCTTACTTTTTTCATTCTCTTTTTATTCTCGTTTAAATATTGATTGACCACAGTCCATAATCTTCGCTTTCGTCGTCGTCCTACTTTTCTAACTTACATTTCAGAGAATTAAATACCTTCATTCTTAATTTTCAAAAATCAAATTAGCAAAAAAGAATGCGATTTCTGTGGATCGAACACAGGACCTTCAGATCTTCAGTCTGACGCTCTCCCAACTGAGCTAAAGCCGCTTTCAGGGAAGAACCCACGCCGGGAGTCGAACCCGGAATCTTTTGATTAGAAGTCAAACGCGTTAACCATTACGCTACGCAGGCGCTTTTTGTTGATGATAAACTTGTTACGCTTGTGGCGGTTAGCATAAATCACGTGACATTCGCGTGATAATGGCGTGATTTTTATCACGTTTATGGTATTTTCACGTGAGAATGGTGTGAGTTTTATCACGTTTTAATAATTCTCTCTATAATTTTGGGCTACCAGTTTTAAAGCTCAAGATAGTTTTATTTAATAACATCATTTTCAAAACTTAATGAAGTTGAAAAGTGATTGATCTCATAGTATTACAAATCTTAGTTATTTAGAAGCTAATATTTTAAAAATAATTTATTAGTAAAATGGAAAGTTTTAATTCAATTTTGCGATAAAGTTTGCCATATCTTTTTTTATTCTTTCATTTAAAAGTTATTATACATCTTGTTATATTGATTATGAGTTTACAGCAATTCTTTTCACAAAATTTGTTCAAATATCATAATAAGGATACTTTTAGCTTCTGAAAATATGTGTATATACTGTGATTAAGTAATTGCAAAATAAAAGAATGCGAGAAAGAATTAACTCAAGAAATATAAAATGCAGAAGAGAAAATGAACAGGATTAGACAGATAAGGAAAATGTAATACCCAAAATTGTAATGCCCAACTTTTAATAATGGGACTTAATAGTACAGCGTATACTACTCTTAAAAATCATCTAATCTAATTATTATTTAACGTACATACTGTATAACGCATTTCCCTTCCTGTGCATTAATTGCCATCGATAATTAGTGTATTATGTGTAGGTGTCGATTTAGCAAGGGCATCGTTGCACTATTAATTGTGCTCAGTTGGAAATAAAATATGCTTGAAGGACTGTAGGGGAAAGCTCTTTGCGGATCATCTTCAGTGAATGGAAGTGATGGATCTTTCTATAGAAAATAGTGAGATACATAAACAAAGTATTTTGATCAAGAATAGTAGTGAAGTCATTAAGTTGCAAGGAAAAAAACTTCGGAACGGATGAAAAGTCCTTCAATTATCCTTATTAATAATAAAGACCCATTGTTATCCGTGTCACTGAGTTAAGGTCTAAATATCATACAAAAGTTCGGCCTTAGATTTTGCTTAATAAAGGGTTGACTTACATAATCGCATCAGATAAAGAGTACTAAATTCAAATATTTCATATCTAATCAGATCATACTCTCTATTATTTATCCCACAATATACATGACTATTACATTGTTTTTGCTAAACTTGGAAGAGATAGAGCAAACTTCGGCTGAGCGATGGTTCGCATCAGGATATTTCTGTGATACATCGAGCTTTGTCTCTCGGCCTTACCGCATTGGGACAATTTGGCTGATGTCAAAAGAAGCTGCTCGCTAAAAAAATATCCGAACTGTAATTGTTCGGTCCCGGAAATTGCCTGTTTCGGTGTTGTCCATCTCAGAAAAAGCGCAAAAAGTGCAAAAACTCTAGCAACTGGAAATTTTCAAGTCCGTTCAAAACATGTGGAATGCAATGGAATAGACATCAACGGCATTTAATTAAACATATTAGTAAGAAAGATGAAAAAATTGAAATTTGGGTCTAATGATTATAAATAAGATGGTTTGCACATCTTTAATCTTATCTTACTTTCTTTTTTACTGAATCATCAATAAATCAAATCAAATCAAATATACAAATAATAAAATGAGTGCAACTAAAGTTCCAGAACAATTTTCCGGTTTCGCAGCTGATAGTCCAGAAACTTGGGACCATCCAAAGCTTGTTAAATATGCTCCAAAGAAATTATTACCTGTCGATATAACCATTCAAATTCAAGCTTGTGGTGTTTGTGGTAGTGATTGTCACACAATTAAAGGTAATTGGGGTCCTTACAATAGACCAGATTTAGTTGTTGGACATGAAATTATTGGTAAAGTTATTGAAGTTGGTAGTCAAGTTACTAAGCATAAAGTTGGAGATATTGTCGGTGTTGGTGCTCAAGCCAATAGCTGTGGTGAATGTTCTAGATGTAAATCTAACAATGAACAATATTGTCAAAAGGGTGGTGTTTTCACTTATAATGCCCCAGATCCAAAAGCTGACAATTATATTACCCAAGGTGGTTATGCTTCTCATGTTAGACTTAATCAACATTTTGCTGCTGCAATTCCAAAGAATTTAGATATTCATGATGCTGCTCCATTACTTTGTGGTGGTTTAACCGTCTATTCTCCAATTGTTAGAAACGCAGGTCACGATTTAACTGGTAAGACCATTGGTATTGTTGGTATTGGTGGTTTAGGAGCTATGGCTTTACAAATCTCCAAGGCTTTAGGGGCTAAGAAGGTTTATGCTTTCTCAAGAACAAACTCTAAAGAAAAGGATGCTAAGGCTTTAGGAGCTGATGAATTAATCGCTACCAAAGATAATGCAAACTGGGTTGCTGAACACTTGGATGAATTTGATTTAATCCTTAACTGTGCTAACTCTGGAAAAGGTGCCAATTTAGATCCTTACTTACAAGTCTTAAAATTAACTGGTGTTTTCGCTAATGTTTCTGCTCCTCCAGCTGATGAAAAATTAGAAATCACTCCATTCCCAATGATCTTAAATGGATCCACCATTAAGTCTTCCGCCATTGGTTCTATGAAGGAAGCTGATGAAGTATTGAAATTATATGCTGACAAGGGATTAAAACCATGGATTGAAAAGGTCGCTGTTAGTGAAGATGGTGTTTCTGAAGTTCTTTCTAGAATTGATAAAGGTGATGTTAAGTACAGATTTGTGTTATCTGACTTTGAAAAGTTCTTTAACTAAATAAATAAAAATATTATCAAGTAAGTTATTATTAATAATTATAAATAGTCTTTAGCTTTTATTGATGTTTTATTAGTGAAATATATAAACAATATTAAAAATCCTATATCTGATTATATTTGTAGCTTTTAGTAGCCTCTTTTTTTTGCAGTTTAAAAAAAGTCGTGCGCATGTGTCCGATTTGATAAAATGTGGGACAGTGAGTAACTATGAAAGTATACAGTAAAGATGTACCTTAATTAGTAGTCTTTTATACATAAAGTACACTATGTCAAATACGCTAGCAGGCTGGATAAATAGAGCATTAAGAGGATCATCACCTTCGTACCAACAACTTGGTAATAGTACAAACGCTGCAAGTAATAGCAATAGTAATAGTAATAGCAATATTAATTTACCAGGTGCATTTCCGGAAGATGAAGAAGTTATAGACCCTAATAGACTTCGAAATCATTTCAATTCTCATAACATATCATTATATTTTAAGAAGTTATTGCAATGGATAAATTATCTAATTATTAAACCAATTATAATTGTATTGGTTGTAAGTTTCCGAGTATTGGCTAAGATCATTAATGTTATCTATTTCAAAGACAGTGGCGATGAAGTACTCCATGGTAGTATAGTATCAAATACTAATAATAATCATATTAATAATATCAATGATCCTATAGACAAAGTCAATAAATTCATTCGTGATTTGGAAGATAATTTAACTCCCGAACAATTATCACAATCTTCTGCTGACAACTACTTACCACCATTTTATCAAGGAAGTTATACTCAAGCCTTATATATGGCAACTAATAGAGCAAAGTTCTTATTTATCTACTTAACCAATCCATATAATGAGAATTCATCAGCTATATTTAAGAAAATCATTACTAATCCAACCTTTATATCATCATTCCAAACTAATCCTGAACTTTTGATTTGGGGTGGAGATTTAACTAATCCAGAAGCTTATCAATTAGCTAATAGTTTAAATGTAACTAAATTCCCATTCCTTGGACTTATGTGCTTAACAAGATCTACAACAATGACTCAATCAGGTCCAGTTAAAACATCACCAAAAGTTTCATTAGTTCTGAAATTACAAGGAGGTTTATTAACAAATAATAATGGAGAAGATCCAGATATTAATAATTTGATTAAATCTAAATTCCTTAAGAAAATTGAAAAATATTCGCCAGAATTAGCATTAATAAGAAATGAATTAAGAGATAAATTTATGAGTCAAGTCTTACTTAAACAACAAGAAATCAATTATAATAATTCCTTACGTAAAGATCAACAAAAGAAGAAAGAAAAAATAGAACGTGAATTAAAGAAACAATATTTACAATATATAGTACCTAAATTTAGACAATATCAAACCAGTCAACCTGATACAGCTAGAATTGCTATTAAACTTAATAGTGGTAAAAGAGTTACATATTATTTCCCAAAGGATAATACTGTTGAAGATATATTTATAATGGTGGAATTAATTAATGAAGGATATCTCGAAGATGGAGAAAGTCTTGTATTGACAGATGATGAAGCTAAGAAGAAATTTGAAGATTTTAAACTTAATTTCAAATTTAAATTAGTATCACCATTACCTCCTAGAGTAGTATTGAATAATGTTATAGATCAACCAATTAAAGATATCGATTCTATTTATCCAAGTGGATTATTGATAATTGAAGATTTATAATAATAAATAAATAATTTTTTATTATATACAAAGAAATTAATGAATTAAAAGAAATGTCTATTTATACATAAAGATCATAACAACATCAGAAAAGTTACAAATAATGCCCATAACTTATTTACTAACTTTCCCCTTTTTGCTCTTTTTCTTTTCCTTCTTCTTTAAACCAACAAATCCATTCTTGATGATTTGAATATATTCTTGCCAAAACTGATCTAAATCACCAGTATCAACAACAGTTGATAATTTAAGCTTATCTTTCTTAGTATCTTTCTTATCTTTACCATTCATAGTCACTCTTATTAAAATTGGATATTGATCTTGTGATGATTCTTCAAGGTCCAAAGAAGGCTTCAACCTCTTTTGTGTGAGGTATACTGAGCTTTTCCCATTATTGGTGGTTAGTACCTCGGTGAACTCCTTTAAGAACTTGTGATTATCTGCTCTCATATTGGATACTACTTAGGGTTTAATAAGTACTCTATTGTATAACTGTCGTAGTAGTAGTGATGATCCATATTGGGTGGCCGCACTGAAAAGTCGAGGAAGGAAAAGTCGTGCGAATGGGTCACATTATATATAAGGTGTAATGTACGACTCGCTACTATTTACTGATAGTATAGTACATCGAACTAGACCCTTATACCATTATACTTTATGTAACTTCTTGTGTACAGTATATACTATAAGATCACTACATAGCAGAATGTTATGACTCTCTCTACTGATACTATTCACTCTACTCTCTATCTCTCAGAGTCACTCTCTCACTCTCACTCTCTCACTCATCCCACCCCAGACCAATGGGGGCCCACATTACGTAAGCCTTATCTCAAAAAAATACATCTGAATTACGAGATTGAAATATTACGAGATTATGTCAAATCTACTTATGGTTATTAACTAATTAGGTTGCAAATACTTCTGGTGACGCGTGGATGTGATAGAATTGTTACTGTAGTTGATATTATTATTATTGTGAATTCGTTAATATTCTAAATTCAGTTGTATATTATTATTTAAAAGTCTTATTTCATTTTGTATACTTTTACCCCCATTTTTATTAAAAATATAAATAAATCATGCCAGAATTAGGTTCTTCATCTACAAATCCTTTAACCAATATAAATGGTTCACAACATACTACTCAAAGATTAATAGCTTTAGGAATATCAGTATTTGTTTGTATAGCGTCAGGTACTCCTTATCTTTATGGAGTTTATTCACCTCAATTAGTTAAACAAGTTGGATTAACAGCATCTGATTCAGCTACTATATCATTAGCAGAAAATATAGGTTCAGGATTTGGTGGATTACCTGGTGGATTAATTATAGATCATACTGGACCTCAAAAGAGTATATTAATGGGATCAATTTGTATTTTAATTGGATATTTTAGTATTTATAAAATGTATCAAGAAAAATGGGGGAATTTACTTTTATTATGTATATCAATGATAGCTATGGGATTTGGTTCAATTACTTGCTTTTTTGCTACATTAAAGGCAGCTCAAGCTAATTTTCCAAAACATAGAGGAACTGCTGGAGCATTTCCCGTAAGTTCTTATGGTTTATCTGCTACATTATTTTCAATTATTGCCGCAACATTTTTTAAAGATGATACTGGTGGATTATTAAAATTTTTATCATTATTTTGTGGTTCAGTAACATTCTTTGGATCATTTTTTGTTCATATTTATTTAGATCAACATGATGATCATGATCATGATCAAATAAATAATCAAATAAATGATGAAGAAAGTTCAATACCAATTAAAAGAAATATTTCAAAAGATCCTTCTGATGAAACAACGGTAATGCTTATGTCTGATTCAAATAATAATTTAGATGAATCAACTCCGGCAATACCTTTACCTCCTCCTCCAATTTCTGCTAAAATGGAAAGATCAGATTCTTTACCTGGTTCATTCAGATTTTGGGGTTTAGGTTCTAGAACTCCAAGATCTTCTGTAAGTTCACAAGCTGAAGAAGTAGCACCATTTCTTCAAAGTATTAGAGATCAATCAGCTGCTTTATCAGCCATAAATGATAATAGTCCATTCAGAAATGATGAAACTAATTCAAATAATTCTTCTCAACAATCTCAACCTCAACCTCAAGTTCAAAAACTTCAAACTCTTAAAAATAAACCATCAACTGCAGGATTATCTACTACTTCATCATCAACTAGTTTAAATGCAATTCCAACTAGAACTCCTATAAGTATTCCAAAACCTCCAAAAGCAAATTTATTTGAAGTTGTAAAAGATCGATTAACTGATAGAATCTTTTTAACTCATTACTTTATTGTATCAATTGTCAGTGGTATTGGTCAAGCATATATTTTTACAGTAGGATTTGTTGTTACTGCCCAATTTAATTATGATGGTAATAAAAGAGATGTAACAGGTTTAGCTTCATCAGCTGCTACATTACAAGCTTTACAAGTTTCAATTATATCTATTGCATCATTTTCTGGAAGATTATTTTCGGGATTTTTAAGTGATTTCTTATATAAAAAATATCATATTCAAAGACTTTGGATAGTTTTAGTTACTATTGCTATATTAAGTATTGGACAATTTGTTACAATTATAAATGTTCATAATCCTCATTTAGTTACTTTAGCTTCAGCTATAACTGGTGGATGTTATGGGCTTGCCTTTGGAACTTATCCTGCAATTATTGCTGATAGTTTTGGTACTAGAACTTTTTCAACTAGTTGGGGGTTAGTATGTACAGGACCTTTAATTACTTTATTTATATTAAATAAGTATTTTGGTTGGATTTATGATGCAAATACAAATCCTGATGATGGAATTTGTTATAAGGGAAATGGATGTTATAAAGGAGCCTTTGAAGTTAGTTTTGTCTTATGTTTCATAGTGTTTATTGTTGCATCTCTTTTAATTTATAAACAAAGAAAGAGATAATAATATACTTTTTATTGTTTAGATTAATAGAAAATATACAAAACATATCTGAAAGTTAATTATTTACAGCTTAACAAGACATATATATTATTATTATTATTTACACACACACACACACACATTTAATCAACCACATTAATACTCTCTAAATCAATAGATTCAAGTAATCCTCTTTGATAACCAATCTTCTTCTTTAATTCATCGAAATATTTAAAACTTATTTCGGCATCTCTAATTGAAGTTTCCAAAGTTTGTTTTTCCAGAATTCTTTTATCTATAGAAGTTTGAAAATTATTAGATACTTGTCTAGCTGGATAATTTAATACTTGTCTACATTCCTTTACCATTCTAGTAGAATTTTTATGAGAAAATTCAAGTTGTTCAATTTCTCGTTTTAATTTTTTAGCTTGTTTTCTTGGATAAGCATTTGGAATATCACTAATTAAATAATATACTGCAAATCCAGAAACTCCAAGAATTATTGGAATACCAACTTTCTTTAATAATTTAAAATTTAATAAATATCCAAAATCATATAATTTTCTTAAAAGTGCTCCAGTAGTTAAAATTTTACCTGAAGAATAAAGTAGTTGTAAAGATATTTGACTTGGAATATTTTCTTGTCTTAAACTTGTAACACTTTTTGATACACTAGTAATAACAGATACAGGATTAAAATAATTAATTTGAGTTTTGGTTTGTGATATATACTCTTTTGGTAATCCTAACCATAATAAACATGAATCAATTGATGGATCAATAAAATCAAATACATCAATTGGGAAATTTAATTGATTTTCAATTAAATCTCTCTTTCTTGTAAACATTAATTCTGATTTAAAAACTTTATCATGTAAAAATTCTGAACCTAAAGTATCTTGTCCAACTTTGGTAATTTCACTAACTTTTTCTTCAGTTATTTTAACTACATTAAATTCATTGGCTTCAACTGATTTTAATATTTGTTTAATCATTAATTGTTGAGTTGATCTAGCATATTCATAAATATTTTGTAATCCTTGATATTTAACAATTGGTTTATCACCTAATTCATTAACAACTTTATTAATATTTCTTTTAACATTCTCATAAATTTCTGATGCAGTACTTTCAATAATTGAATTAATAATTTCACTAACTTTACTACTTTTTGAAATCATTTCATTATATTTTGGTGCCACTCGATTATTTAATTCTTGAAGTTTTTCATTCATTTCTATTTTATAAACACTTTGATTAATATCTGATAAAGTTTGTAAATCATTTAATAGATTAGCAATATAATTCTTGGCTGGTAAAAGTTTAGAAATAGATCTCTTTTCTAATATAAACTTTCTTAACGAGGCTTCTAATTGATCAAAATCAGGATAATTATTATCATCATTATCTCCATTATCATCATTTCCATCTCCATCTCCATCTCCATCTCCATCTCCATCAGGAAGTTTATCTACAATTTCACTAGAACTAACAAAATGTATAAAATCTTTAGCACTCTTATAAGTATCAGGAGATAAATTTTTAACTTGATCTAAGATTCGATTCTTACACTTTTCTTTATCCTTTATATTATCAAATCGATTAACTACAATGAAAACATATCTCTTTTCTGCTGCAGCCGTTGAAATAAATTCTTTAGCTGATAATGTAAAATGATTTTCTGAATTTACCACAAATACAACCAAATCAATTTCTTCTTGTCTTGAAAATACTTGAGTAGTTTGATAACTATCCATATTTAAACCTGGGGCATCAATTAATTTAATATCAATGACTCCATTATGTAATAAACTTTCTTCTAATGAACGATGATCTAAAACATAAACTTTTAATAAACTATATCTATCACATTCATAAACTAAATCTTCAAGTTTTTTTAAAGAATATATTTCATAAGTTGATTCATCACGAATATTATAATCTTTTCCAATAGGTACTGCATGCACTTGTTCAATACCATTATTTTCTTTTGATGCATCAATTACTTCACAAAATACTGAAGTACATGGTTGTTGATCTTCAGGAAGTACTTTTCTTCTTAATAATGCATTACAAAATGTTGATTTACCAGCATTTAAATCTCCAGTAACAAATACTTTAGAAGTTGTATCATCGACTCTATCCTTTAAATTTAATAAATATTTAACTAATTGTCCAAATTTTTTTTCTAAAAGAGTTGCAATGGATTTTTTATCTAATGTCGAAACAATATTATCATTTTCATTACTATGACCATGACCAATTTTTAAATTTAATTTAAGAATTTTAAAATCAGGTAATTCCAGTTCCAGTTCTAATTCTAATTCTTGATCAATTTGAGATTTATTTGTAGATTTTTCAATTGCTTTTAATGCTGATGTATTATTTCTTACTAAAGCTAAATGAGCCTTTTTTGAATTTAAAAGTATATTATTATCATCTTCAATATCAGTAGGATAAAAAATTGGTCTTACTTTATTTTCATTACTTATTTCATATATTAATTCAATTGTTTGATTTATTGATCGATCTAAAGCAATTTTATTTTCATTATAATGAAGTTGTTTAAGTGAAGTATTTAATCCCATACTATTCTTTCGATTTGTTCGGAAATTTTCAACAACTGATGATGATCCTTCTCTTATACCACTTTGTCCATCTACTAATGTAGTTGCTTCATTAGAAAATCTACCTTCATGAGGTATATACATAATATTTGATGGATCATTAATAAGTGTTATTGTCTCATCATCACTATTATTGTCACTGTCATTATCTTCCGCCAATTCTCGAGGCTTTAAATTAACAAAGTCCTTATAGCTCATCCCGGACTATATCAACTTTCTAATTTTTAAACTTATTAAGTACTGACTTGTTATGTTATTACGGTCTGGGGTAAATGGCAAATTGGTGGCACAATTTATTTTTATTTTTATTTTTATTTCATAACATCATGAAAAAAATGAGAATCGGTTATTTCTCTTCTATTATGTGGATCACGTGCATAATGATCGATCGATCGATCGGCTAACCTGGTAACCTCATTGGCTGCAAAATCATATTCATCCATTAGTAGTGATTACCTTGTAATTGTAAAAGTTTAATAGGTTATTTATATGGTTGTGTGGGTTGGATATATATTTGATACTAAATACTTATATTAATGTGTGTGTGTCTGTTCTACAGCTCAGCCAAGTAACCATCAGTTACTAGTACCATCAAATAATTTTGTTAATTATGGGAAATATATGGGTATTTAAAATTGAATGTGATACACCTACAGTATATAGAAGAATAAAGTTTTAGAATATAAAGAATACAAGTCACTGAAGTAACTACTGGCCTATAAATTCAGGATTTTTCAGTATTTATACATTACTATAATCTTGCGCCGTCTAATACAGGACAGAATTATGCTTCTCCTCATTATCTGTTCGATGTGAAAGATTTTGCCCCCCCACTAAGGACAGATAAAGCAGTCACTTATCAGTAATCTTCTTCTGCCCTTCTCTTACATTTGTCACTATTCTGTACTATTCATGCTCATCCCTTTGTGGACTCCTTACAATTATTATTTAGCCAGTTTCATTGTATAAACATTTATATACTAGTGCTTATTCTCCCCACTTTTTTCCTTTATTAACTCTAAATAATAAATTTGCGCCTAATTTGGCTAGCTCTTTCGGTTTGTCAATTATGAGTATTTCAGGTTTTTCCAGAAAAAAATAGTCATCCAAATTCCAATACAGTATCTGGAAACACGTTAAGGAATTATTTTTTTCCTTCTTCAGAAGAATTAGCATATTTTGGCTTTTCTTTAATTGCTGGCTTGGCTCGTTAGTATGATTTTATTGTAGCTAATTATAATCATATGAAATATATTATCTGTGCAAATGAGGGATTCATTGATCACTACTTTGCTTATAGCATAGTACTATTTTTGATTGACAGCCAGAATATCTCCTAAGTTAGGAATAGTTAGAGAACAAATAATGCTCTATACTACTTATCATCTTCGTTTGAGTAATCTTCAATATTGCGTTGTGCGGCACACTGACCTTTTGGAGCCCGAGCTTAAGGTCCGTTTAAAGAACAATGGAAACTCCAGGTTTAGGTATATTTGTTAACTACTTGTATAATTCATTCGTGGGATTAATTTGATTTGATAGTTTATAGGAAGCTTGCTCTCTAGGATTATATATACCCTGATCTAACCTTTTCAGGTCAGTTTTACGATCTTTTACCGTATCATCTTCAATTTAAGTGAAATATCCTCCATGATTGATTATGGCACATGTTCTCAACATCACTGGTATTCAGAGGATATCATCTGTGAAGAATTCAAAGAGCGTTACCTGGTCAGGATCATGGTTCGCATCGGTAAATTAGTACGAAGGCTTGACAACCTACCGTAGTCTTCTAAGCCGCGATTTGAGGAACTAAGCACCTTCGTAAGGTACGCTTTGTAATACGAACAGAAAAAATTCAAATTGAACAACATACGATCAATAAAGAATGCGGTCCAGTTTTGTATTAATAATCCTAATATGACAATAAAAACTGAAGATTTTACGGACGATCCATACGTATCCTCCAATATGAAGCTAATATAGCGTCAATTTGATATAGTGAGCTCAAACACTCTTCCGAATGCCCCACTTTTCTATCACCTTCATTGTGATTATTGTTGCAAATTTTAGCTATTGGTCACCCATGGTATACCCGTTTTATGTAGAACAATTATAGAATGCAGATACGGTTAGGATTATAACTTTGTTAGGTAATTGCCCATGTTATCATGAACATCTTAAAACCGTACTGCTTATAAATTTTGTTGGCTTATCAACTACGAACCGATTCCACGATTTCAATATTCACATATAAATAAGTAGATTTTATCAAATTTCTACATACTGATTCTTAAGTAACATTTATCACTACCTTATATAAATAAATCTCTAAACAAAATATGACTAATTCTAATCATACTACCGTTCTTATTTCTGGAGCAACTGGTTTCATTGCCCAACATATTATTTCTCAGCTTCTTGCTAAGGGTTACAAGGTTGTTGGTTCAGTAAGATCAACTCAAAAGGGTGAAGGTTTAGTTAAGATCTTTGAAAATTCAAACTTCTCTTATGAAGTTGTTCCAATTCTTGAAAAGGAAGGTGCCTTTGATGAAGTCTTGAAGAAGCATCCTTCTGCTACTGTCTTCTTACATACTGCTTCTCCAGCTACATTTGAAGTTGAGGATAATGAAAAAGATATCATCATTCCAGCTCTTGAAGGTACTAAATTCGTTCTTAAATCAATAAAGGAACATGCCCCACAAATCACTAGAGTTGTTTACACCAGTTCAATGGCTGCTACTGGTACCGCCGCTGAAATCTTAGGTGGAGAATTCAAAGGTGGTGAAGATACCTGGAATAGCATCACTTATGAACAATCCAAAGAAAATGGGTTTAATGCTTACTGTGGCTCAAAGACATTTGCTGAAAAGGCTGCATGGGATTTTGTTGAAAAAGAGAAACCAAACTTCACTCTTAGTACCATCAACCCTGGTTACGCTTTTGGTCCTCAAAATGCTGCTCCTAAGACAAGAGAACTAAATTCTTCAGCACAAATGGTAGCAAGTGTGTTAAATGCCACAGATTCAGTCCCCCCAATTAGTGGTCCTTTCGTTGATGTGAGAGACGTTGCAAAAGCGCATATTTCAGCTTTTGAAACTGAGAAGGCTCAAGGTAAGAGATTTGTCCTTTCAAACAGTGTTTTCAATGGTCAAACCATCTTAGACATTATTGTTGCTAACTTCCCTCAATTGAAAGACAAACTTCCAACTGGCACACCTGGTGTTTCAGTCTCTGGCCCTACCGCATTTAATGACAAGAACGCAAAATCAATATTGTCGATTGATTATATTAGTCTTGAAAAGTCTGTTGTTGATTCAATCAAACAAATTATTGATCTTTAAGCTTAGTGACTATAGAACAATTAATATTTTTTTAAGCAGACTTTTTTATGTATTAACAAATTATATATCTTCTTGTATATGAATCTTCTAATAATTTGACAACGTAACTTATATAGATTACATAAATAAATCAACATTTCTATTCCCAATTTAGTTTGGTAAAGAAACTCTGAATTTTAATCAGCTGTCAAATATAATTACCTAACACTTTATATAACGACATAGTTATAATCAGAAATAGATATGTATGTTAATCAAATAATATATAATTTTATTAGAGAATTTAAAGCCCAGATATATCTAGGTAGATGAAGTTAGGTGAGGGAGACCATGCTTCCTATGAAGTATCAATTCCACAAATGAATTATACAAGCAGTTAACGAATATATCTAAACAAGCTGTAAAATCCAGTCACGTGAAGATAACGGCCAAAAACAATCGCAGATAGCCGAAGGTAAATCAAAGTTGATAAAGTCAATTTAATATCATACTGAAAATTGAAAATTGAACTTGTATACAAGTAAGAATGGTTCTAAAGACATTCGATGTTTCTGGTAGTACTCTGATAAAGGCAGAAATATTAACACCACATTCATTTGCACCATTTGGAGGAGTAATTAGTGCAGATCATCAAATTGCAAATGCTCCATCTTCCAGTGCAAATTATGGTACTGCCATAAAACTTCATAAAGTTGCACCAATTGTTAACAATTATTCAGATTCTTCAAGTGGTACACCTGCCACAGCCAATTGGAATATATTTAGATGTAAAGCTCCTACACATTTAATTAAAACTAACGGTAAAGAGAAAACCTATTTATCAAAAGTTCTTGAAAGACATCCATTTTCTACTCAAACTTTCCTACCATTAGGTCAAAAAGCTCAACAGGCTTCTTATCTTGTAATAGTCACTAAAAGTGATCCATCAACATCATTGCCAGATCCAACTGAGTTGAAGGCCTTTATATGCTATGGAAACCAGTCCATTACTTATGGAGTTGGTACTTGGCATGCTCCCATGGTGGTAATTGATGAAAATGTACCGCACATTGATTTCGCAGTATTGATCCATGAGAATGGAATTTCCGAAGAAGATTGTCAAGAATGTTATTTTGAGCCTGGGTTTAATATTGAATATTCTATAGATTATAAATAGTTAATGAATTGATCCAAAAAGTTATTCACATACTTTTCCTTTTCTGCTTCATCCAATTTTTGTACTTCATCCTTGGCTAATTTCAATTTAGCAAAGATTTCGTCGAGATCTAATTTTGAATTTACTTCTTCTTCTTCTTCTCTTTCTTCTCCTTCCGAACTTAGTAGTCCCCTAGTCATTTCATACATCTTTTTCTTTTTATTATTATCATAATTTACATTCTCTTTGGTTTCCATATGTGTCCATTCATTTGATTGAACTATTTCAACTATTCTATCCTTCCCCACTGTTTCATGATATTCATTACGACCCAGTTTATCAAAATCTATATACTCATAACCATTTAAAATGACCAAATCTTCTACATCTTCATTCAAATCATTCTTATCTTTAGTTGATGTTCCAACAATGGCAATAAATCCATTCCAATCTCGATCACCAACGATACCATTCCTAATTTCATTGATTATTTCGATCGAATCAGATATATCATTGATGGTATTGTCATCTAATGAAATACAATAGATAAATCCATCTAAAACATCTCTCAATTCAGAACATTCATCAGAAAGAAATTCATCTTTCCATTTCTTTAAACTACGCAATTTATGCTCAACTGAATATTCTTCTTCTTGTTCATTCCGAATTTCAGGATATTCATCCACTAAGATATTTAAGTTAACACTATAATATTTAGTAGATACTTTTGACTTTATAATGATCCCACTATGTGAACTTTGAATCTTATCATCATCCACTATTTGATCATATACATCATCACAAAGTGTCTTCGATATTCGAAGTTTCCCACTATGAGGAGCACCCAATATCAATATATGATTGGGAATCATTGCTACCTGTCTATAAACGGTTTGGTAAGACTATTATCCTAAAAAAATCAATTTTTGAGGAGGTTCGCGATAGTTTGAATAATTTCCATACTAAACAAAAATTATGAGTGTTCACTATTTAAAATAAGCATAGTACAAAGAAAATCATTAAGTAAATATGGTACCTTCAGTTTTGAATGGTACAAATGGTCATGGAAAATCTAAGAATGTAAAAGGTAAATCAAATGGATCAAATGGAAATGGTTTAGTGGATACAATTCCATTAGAGAATTTACTCTTAAGAGACGATGATATATTCGAAACTTCACTTAATTCAGAAGATTATTTGGATAGTTTAGCACCTATATTAAAGGAATCTATTAAAGCAAATGGATTATCTGATTTAATATCCAAATTAACTGTTATTGTAGATAAAAAAGATGAAGAATTGAATCAACTATCATTAGATTCAACTGATGAAATTAATGCATGTATTGATTCAATTGATAAAATTAATGAAATATCATTTACATTAAATTCCAATCTTAATGAAATAAGTAAACAATTAAATAAATCTGCTCATGATGTAATGTCAAAAAAGAAGTTTTTAATTAAATCAAAGGAAGTTTCAACTCAAATTACAGAAACTCTGAATGTATTAAGTGAATGTATACAAGTATTAGAAATTACTAATAAGATTCATGATTTAATTAAAGCAAAAAAATATTTTAATGCTTTAAAATTAATTGATGAACTTACAAATGTTCATTTAAATAAAGTAGAAAATTTCAGTTTTGGTATAAAGATTTATGAATCAATTCCCCTTTTAACTAAAATGATTAAAGATGAATCATTTGATAATCTTTGTAAATGGTTATCAATTAATTCTGAAAGAAGATTATCTACTATTAGTGATGGACTATATGAAAATTTATATAATTTACAAAAGAATTGGTTTAATTTAAAAAAGAATAAACCAACTTTTAAACCTTATAAATTAAATTCACCAGTTGAAATATCTTTAAGAGATCCTATATTAAATTATAATATTTTTGAAGATGAAACTTTACAAATAAGTTTGGATTCATTATATGATGTAATCTTAGTATATCAAACATTACATGAATCAGATAATTTAAATAATTTATATCATAAAGAATGGATAAAGAAATATAATAGAGTCATTTATCCTATAACACTGGCTGCAACTGTAAATTCTTCAAATATAGTAAAATTTGATGGTTTACCAGCTTTAGAAACTTATTTAAGAAAAATTGCTGCTTTCTTTGTTATGGATAAACAAATTAATTTAACTACAAAATATCAATTAAGATTAAATTTAAATGCCGATGATTTATGGAATTCATATGTATCTAAATTAAAACCAGTTTTATTAAATTTTCTAAGAACAAGTCATTTTAAAATAGAAACTTTATCTGATTTTAAAGATTTAATAGGTAACTTTATACAAATCTTAGAAAATTATAATTATCGAATTACTGAATTATATGAAGTTCTCATTGTTATATTTAAAGATTATTTTGCTCCAATGCAAATTCAAGATTTCTTAACTGATTTTAAAGAATCAATTCAATCTGATCATTATATGCCATTAACTATTGATGATAAAGCTGATTATGATGGAATAATGAGTTTAATATTTTATAAAGATAATGAATCATTTGCTCCATCAAATGTTCGAAAGATGCCTATAACATTCCCATTTAGTGAAGATTATGTTCATTTTTGTTTAGGTATACGTACATTACTTAAAGAAATTTTAGCATTTACCGATCAACATTATGGTTATGAATTAAATGAAATTAATAATATTATACTAAATGATATATTTGAAAGAGTATTAGGTAATGAAAAAGGTTATGGTATTGTAAGTTTTATGCATGATTTTATTGTTAAGAATTCATCAAATAAGGAGATTACATCTCAAAGTTATACTAATTTGGAATATTATTTATATGGTATTTATCAAATTGGTAGATTAGTTAATAGAAGATTAAGATTACATACTGGTTTAGGTATTCATAATATTGATGCTAATGATACATTTACATTAAAAGCAGTTGAACATTTCAATACATTAAGAAAATTCAGTGAAAATACTATATTTGAAATGGTTGATAGTAAAATTACAGAATTATTAGATATGGTTGAATATAATGATTGGTTACCAACTATAAAAAATACTGAAGCTAATTTCTCCATTAAAGATTTTGCATTATTCTTGGAAAATTTATTTACATCTATTTTTACTAATTTACCTCATACATTAAGAACATTAGGTTTATTTAGAACTTATGATTTTGTGGCTCAACATTTTCTTACTATATTAAAAGAGGCACCCTTCTATAATCGAACTGGGATAGAGAATTTTGATCTTGATATTACATATGTTGAAAATTCTATGAAAAAATTACATAGAAGTTATAAAGATAATGAAAAAAGTGAAACAGAAGGTAGTGTAAGTTTGGAATCTACATTTAGAGATTTAAGGCAATGTATAGATTTATTAAAATTAGATAATTATGAAGAATTTGTTAAGGTTCCAGCTTTTAGAATGAGACATTTTGATAGAGTTAAATTTGAAGATGGTATGAAATTAATTCAAAAAATGCATGGTTATGATTTTGATATTGGTTCAAGAGTTAATACTCCAATGGAAGATGTATTAAATGCATCCAATTTAAGTGTTGATCAACAATCGATTATGTCTAATAATACTACTTCAAAATTTGCTCAATTTACAAAATTTATGAAGAAAAATGATGATTACTAAATTTCATTAAATATATTATTTCTATATAGTTAACCCAGTCGTAAATATATACAAAATTATTTGTTGGTTATATACCAAATACCAAAATAATCTTTTACTTCCATAACCATAATTTATACCATTTACGTGAAGATTCACGATTTATAAGTTCAGCTTGTTTCTCATTAATTATATCCTGCACCAATTCTTCTAATCTTTTTGATTCTGCAATAAGCTCTTTTTCTTTATTCTCATATTCAAGACTAATCCACCATGAATGTAATAGTATATAAGCTGATGAAGCTATTAAGAATGTATGAAATAAAGGATTAGAGAATTGTTTAATTTGTGGTTTAGGAGGTTGAGCATTTTGTAATTGAGAAAGCTGTATAGTTGAATAGAATCGACTTTTAGAAATAGACCTAAACGCTCCAACTCTTGTGATAGATCTCATGATAATGAATGTGTTAGAGGTTAGTGGCAGTGGTAGTGGTTGTGATAATCAGTGTATCAGGAGAATTTTTGTGATGTTTTATCCAAAGGCCTGCTGGGAAGAAAAACTAAAATCAACCCATATTGAAATTATTCAAAGTCCGCGATTTTACTATTAAAGATTCTTAGTGACTAGTAATAGTAACATTACTAAATAATGATAGGTACAAGAGTAATGGTTAAGATGCCATTAAGGGTGTCTAGAATATCATTAATTAATCCAACTTATGGAGGATTTAGAAGATCTTTTACTTTATCCAAAAGAGTTTTCCAAAATCAACCTACAAGTACTGGACAATCTGATATACAGAGACAAAGAGATGCTATGGATAGAATAACAAAAGAAAGAGAAGATAGACAGAGGTATAGAAATAGAACTGCTGGTTATTATGCAGCCTCTGTAGGAGTATTGTTTTTAGGATTATCATTTTGTGCTGTACCAATTTACAGAGCCATTTGTCAAAGAACTGGTTGGGGTGGTATTCCAATTACTGATTCTAATAAATTCACACCTGATAAACTTATTCCAGTAGATACAAATAAGAGAATTAGAATTCAATTCACTTGTCAATCCTCAGGTATTTTACCTTGGAAATTCACTCCTTTACAAAGAGAAGTTTATATTGTCCCTGGTGAAACTGCATTAGCTTTTTATAGAGCTAAGAATATGTCTAAAGAAGATATCATTGGTATGGCTACTTACTCTGTTACTCCAGATCATGTTGCACCTTATTTTAATAAAATTCAATGTTTCTGTTTTGAAGAACAAAGATTAAGTGCTGGAGAAGAAGTTGATATGCCTGTATTTTTCTTTATAGATCCTGATTTTGCTAAGGATCCTTCTATGAGAAATATCGAGGATGTTGTGTTACATTATTCATTCTTCAAAGCTGCTTATACAGATGGTGAACTTGCTGCAGTACCTGCCGCAAGTATGGACTTCAAAGCCACTGTTGCGTAGTTAAGATCTTATAAATATAATTATATAAAACCTCAAACTTGTATATAAATTTGCTTGTGTATTTTATAATAGTAAACACACTATGGAATGCTTTGGTATGTGGCTATGTTTAAACCATAAAACCAATAACGATAACACTTCTTAATTATTATAATTGCCCCTTATCTTAGGACAAGAAATCGTTGATCTGCCAAGGTAGAAACTGGGCATGCCGCAGAGAAGTATTTATGGCTGTGATATGCAAAGAAAGTAGCCGCAGTGTTGATGTAGAACTACTGTTTGGATACTATAATCAAAAAATAAACCATAGATAACAAAGAAAGGAGCATAGTGATATGTTTATTTGGGGTTGGTTAGATTTGAGAAAAATATACCTCCCCCATTCCATAATGCATATTCCTTGAAGAATGGAACTGGCTCTATACAAAGGCGTACCTGTATGGTACAGCCATTTACAATCCGTAAATTAACGTACTTTTAATGTTGCATACCACGCAATTCTTCGAAGTAGCAAAAATAATCTATAATTGGCTAGAATGTAACAAATATTAATGATGGCCGATATTTTACACTTGTGAAAAACACACCCAATTAGGATACGCATATTGACATGCATGCATCAAATTACTATTTCAGGAGCGGCAATTTGATGAGATTTGAAGATCAACAATTCAAGGGAGAGCAGGCGTTGAGCACATGATTCAGATACTTTGTATTGGTATTTACACATGCGGTTAACAACACAACCAAACATGATGCTGGATGTGGAAAAAGTAGCTTATGTTGCAATAAAATCAAATAAAATATTATTATTTTCTTATTTGAATCCGTAAACTTGAACGGAATTGTTCATTTATGGTATGGTCGAGTACTATTAACGACGGCAATTCTATATATTTTCCTTAAACTATAAATTATAATTTGGTAGAAAAATTAAAGCAAGCTTTCCGGATGTAAAGGGATTTATTGTTGAATTTATCCCGCAATACTGAAAAAGTATATCTTTACTTATTTACATTGGAGTTACTGATCCCATCAGATAAAACTATAAAATTACAAAATTTAAAGTAGCATATTATTACAAGAAAACATCTAAACATCAGCCCAATCATATTTTTTAAAAGTATATATTTACCCAAACCGAGATGCTGTATTTTTACAGACAATAACATAATTGGTTACTAATTGTAATTATCAGATGTCCTGTAAGGTTACAAAGTCGAATATTTTTTTTGATCAAAATTATCAGATAAAAATTTTTCTCTACTGCATCTTTAACTCTACTATTTATTTTCATTATATTTTGGGCAATTGTTGAGATGCCGTTAGATTGTTATTTTTGTATGTAAGTTTTTAAGTATAATACCCAAGGCCGGTTTTCGGTAAGGACTGGCTCTTAACAATGGGTCTGATTCAAAGAGCAAATAGGAGGTACTCAAAACAATTGCCGGTCTTATTGTGCAATAGGTTAGAAGCCTAGTAGTCGTTTGCTATTTATTCCAAAATGGAAAGTTTAATTGTAACTCAGGTACTACATTGCCAAGACTCGAAGGCTAAAAATTTAAATGGTTCCTTAAACTGGTCCAGTCAATTTGGCTTAACTAAGAAGTGTAGATAACGGAATGACAGCCTCACAATTGGCTGTGTCAACCCCCCTTCTTGCTCGGCTACAATTACTGTCTCTTCTATATATGCGGTTTTTATCTATATTTTTCTTAGCTAAGTGTCATAAAGCGTAAAAGTAATTGAAAAAATAAACGGTCTTCAGCGAAAGTAATATCCCTTACAAATTCCTAAAAGGACTATTTGCAGTTGGCCCCTCATAATCATACAAAGATTAGTAATTTGTAGTGAATGCCTTAGAATTTTCGTGCTTTTCATTATTTTCTGTCCCACTTTCGGTGGTGCAATAAGTTGACTGAAACGTGAAAGCCTCAGGCTCATAGTTAAGCCATGTTTTTTATCAATTTCATCAGTTCCGCCCCTGTCGAAATTTACAGTTAAAAATTTTTTATTTTTAATTTGAGAATATCTAGTATACGGTATATTTTGCATCAAGTATTTGTGTATTAAACAGTAAGTTTTAGCTTGAATGAAATGCCCGCATTGATTTCACTCAAGTAATATGCTGTCCCAACATTAAATCCCCATTCAACTCCAGAACATTGCCCAAATGCACATAAGTTATTCTTGGCTGTAAAATTTGGGACATTAATAGCAAAGCAATGTTAGTATTCTAACCAATCTCATCGAGTCTAAATACCATTAATTGGAATGATCGTCCGAACTGTTTGAAAACCCATTGATGTAATTATTATTCCATTTTGACTCTAAATTAGCATTGTGCAGCTGAACAATTTGTGTAATTTATAACTAATTTAATGGAAATGGGTAACTTGCATATAGCCAAAGCTAAAAATAATAATTCAGAACAATGGTAAATGTTCCATCTGATAAAATTTAATGCGTTTTGTACTTCCCGAATGTTGTATCTAATTTTTTTGTCCAAAATTTTACGTTCAATTCCGTCTTCATTTCTGCAATAGTTTCATAAATCGGAATATGATTATTTAAATAGTACTACATACCCTTTATTTAAATATGACTTTCGATTTAAGTTTCAGGCTTTTCTAAGAGGCTTACTTTATTTCTTCAGTTCAACAGATTTACAACGGTAATTATTGTATTTTTTCTCAGCCGAATTATAATTGCGAAAACTTCTCAATATGGTATCCGTTAAGTTGACAGCAGCATTATTCGTTGCAACGTTACTTTCAGCAGTTCAAGCTGAAGATGCATTTGAAATATATCATGAAGCTGCATTCCCAAATATGGCTTGTACTGCTCTTATCGCTAAAACTGCAACTCTTATTTCAAAAAAGGGAAGTTACTGTGATATTAAGAATCAACCTGCTTTAGGTACTATGACACATTGTCTTTCAGTTATTCCGGATCCAAATGCAAAGGCTAACTTTATAAAATCTTGTGCAAAATTCAACTTGACTGAAGAACAATATACGGATGCCTTTAATAATGCCACTAATTACTTATTCAACACTTCATCTGTCGAAAAATTCAATACCACCAAACTTTTCCATCAACCTGTCATGTTATCCAAGAAAAAGATTCTTGGAGCTTGGAAATCAGAAAGAGGTAGATGGTATAATTATAATTATTCCTTCTACTATGGTGTAACATTGTTTGCTTATTGGTATCTTGTTTTATTCATGGCCGGTTTATGTAACTTGACTTACTTCCTTTTCCCAAATTTCGTTAAATCCTTAAATGGATCTTTTTCAAATACATACAGAAAGTATATTTCTTTACCAGCTTTTGGATCAAGAAGTCATGCCCATCATAAACTGATTTTTAAATACTTTATCTTTTTTGTTCCAACTAGATTGGAATCTATTTTGATTAGTATTTGGCTTATCTTAGCAATTATTTTCACTTGTGTTAACTTTACTCATGATTCTCCAAATATCATCTGGCCCATTAAATATGCCGAAATGGGTAGAAAGATTGCTGATAGAAGTGGACAAATGTGTTTATGGATTTTGCCAAATTTAGTGTTATTCGCTGGTAGAAATAATGTCATGCAATGGGTTTCTGGTTGGTCACACTCTAGATTCATTCTTCTTCATAAATGGAATTCGAGATACGCTACCCTTTTAGGAGTTCTTCATGGTATTGGTATGACATATAATGGAATTGGTATTGGTAAATATCATACCAGAAATAAACAACCTTATGTAAGATGGGGTTATGTTTCATTAATCTGTATGTGCCTTTCACTTTTCCATTCCATGTTGGTATTCAGAAAATCAAGATATGAATTATTTTTACTTATTCATATAATACTTGCAGTTTTCTTTATTGTTGGAGGTTGGATTCATACTTCTAATGATGGATTTGAACAATGGTATTATGGAGCAGCAGCCGTTTGGATTTTTGATCGTTTGATTAGAATTGTCAGATTATTTTCATTTGGTATTAAAACTGCTGAAGTTCAATTGGTTGCTAATGAAACTTTAAGAGTTAAAGTTCAGAGACCAGCTTATTGGAAACCATTTCCTGGTTGTCATGCTTTTATTCATTTCTTAAGACCATCATGCTTCTGGCAATCACATCCTTTTACAGTTGTTGATTCTGTTCTTGAAGAAAATACACTTACATTTTATTTGAAGGTTAAAGGTGGTGTAACTCATGGATTATATCAATATTTATCTAAACAACCAAATAGTAAAGCTCATATAAAAGTTTCTATTGAAGGTCCATATGGTCAAAGAGTTAGTATTAACAAATATGAAAATACTGTTTTCTTAGCTGGTGGTAATGGTATTCCAGGACTTTATTATGAAGCCACTGATATTGCTAAGAGATTAGGTGATAAAGCAAAGATTAAATTATATTGGGTTATTCGTCATTATAGATCAATTGAATGGTTTAGTCCAGAATTATTAAAATTGAAAGAAATGAATATTCAACCAATTATTTATATTACTCAACCACATGTTGGATTAGTTGAACCAATATTTTCTAATACTGTTGAATCATCAGAAGAAGAAGAAGCAGAACAAGAAAAGAAATCTGATACAATGGAAGAATCTAATGAATATATTGATCAATTAAAGAATAAATTGAAATATATTGAATTCAGAGAAGGTAGACCAGATTTCTATACAATTGTTGGAGAAGAAATACAACAAGCCGATGGACCAATTGCATTTGCATCATGTGCTCATGGATCTATGGTTGATGATGCTAGAAAAGGGGTAGTTGATAATCTTGATAAGACTCAATATAGAGTTGAATTATTCGAACAAATACAAACTTGGTGAGCTTTTATTTTACTTAGTTTTAGAGTTTAAGAGGTGATTTTACATAGTTATACATACATAGATAGTTATTTATTTAACGCATTAATAGGACATTTATTTAATATGAGTTGTGGTGTTTAACAATTAACAGTTAATGAAATTGAAATTGATGGCTTTCACTGTATTGATTTTGTGCAGTAGAGTCCGCCTTTAGTCGCCAAATGTTGCTGCGGTGCGTGCGACGATAGCTCATTAGCGACAATAGGAGGTGAAGAGTGAGAATGAGGATAATGGATCCATAGAAAGAATACGATTAGAATACGATTAATTACGAACAAAAGTAATAGTAATAGTAATAGTAAATAATTAGAAGAATTTAGATACTAGTGTATAGTAAATAGTTTATATTAATTGATTTATATACCAACTATCTTATAACTTTTCATTAACTTCCTTACAGTAGATGATGAGTTCGGGCATCGTCGCTACAGCCCAGTGGCTCGCGTCCCTAAGCAGTAGTCCACTGGCTGTTGTGAGGTATTGCTGACACAAAAGACGCGACTGTTTATTTTTTCCTCTTATTAATATTCTTTTATTATTATTTTAGAAATATTTTTTTATTTTTTTGTTAGATTTTTTGATTTGATTTTTTACTCGGTCGAAAATTTGACACTGGATCTCCAAAACACAATACCGAAGACGAACCCATCCCAACTTAACTCCAAACTCATTTACCTTTTACTATCGTTACTCACTCTAGCCGTTCGTTATATACTGTCATTGTCATTAGACATATCAATCGAACTGTTAACTTGCACACTCACTTATTCACAAACTCACTCACTCATTTTTGTTTATTAGTTTAATCTCCACCATATATGTTCCATTATAATTATAATTATTAGTACTATTCGTTCATTCATTCATTAATTCATTAACATATTAATTCTTTTTTAATTTTAATTTCATATACCAATGACTGAGATAATTCCAACTAGAGCGTCCCGATTTTATGACATGAATGTCATGGTGGAACTTGTCACTCGTTCCAGTTCTAGTTCCGATTCAGAATCTTCTGAATCAGATCAATGTAAACATAGTGATACAGGACTTTGTCAAAGACCAGTAACTAGTAATGTATTAACAATTACTGTGGCAGTTATTATTCCTTCAGTAGTAATTTTATCTATTTTAGGATATTTCTTATTCAGAAATTATCGTAAAGATAAAAAGGAAGCTATGGAACATGATCCAGATTTTGATGAAAATGGTGAAGCAACTGCATTACCTGATTTCCCAAGTAATCCAAACTTTCTTCAACAAAATATGTATCAAATTGAAGATCCATTTCATAATAGAAATTCAGTTAGATATCCTGTTATTCAACAAGGTAAGGGTATATATAATAAATCTTCAATTTCTTTAGCTCCAACTGCTGCCGATCCTTATTTAGATACTATTGTATTACCTTATCAACATCAAACTGGTTCTAAAGTTTCCCTTGATGAATATGCTAGACAACTTGGTGGTGATAATTCAAGTTATTATCATAATACTCCTTCTGGTTCATTAAGTAGAACAAGAAATTCAAGTTATAGTAATTTACCAATTCCTACACAAAATTTTAATGTTTCACCTCAAAAATCAGCTTTAAGACAACAAGTCTCATATATACAGAAAGACGATAATGAAAAGACTGATTATGATACTTCTAGTTCATCTGGTTCACGTTCAGGTTCTAAAGAGATTGAAGAAAAATTCACTACTGAACCTCAAACAAGTCTTAAACATGATCTGTATAATACTGCTACTAGTGAACCCACTCCAGTAGGTTCAAGTAATCATGATGAGTATGATAGATCTCATGAAGCAAAATCTCCATTTGAAGAAGATGCTGGTATAACTACTTCCAATACTACTGCACAAACTGTTGAAACTAAAAACAAAGATCTTCAACATAGTTTAGCCCCACCAGCTATAACTGTAACTGATTATGAAGATAATAATAATGATGATGATGATGGAGATTTTGATTTCACTAATAGTCATGAAAATTCGGCAGAAGATGATTCTCACATTAATAATTCTAATTCAGAATTATTAGGAAGTAAACCTGGAAAATTAACTAAATCTCCTAGATTTTCAGCATTTAATTTATTAAAAAATGATAGTGATGTAGAGGATGATGATCATGAAGAAGTTCTGGGTATTTCTCCTGAACAAGAGGAAGAAATAAAAAGAATGAAATCTGTTTATAAGGTATATTTTGAAGGTAAAGAAGCTAAACAACAGCAAGATAGATTTGCTGCTGATATTAATGAACCATTACCTGAATTAGATCAACATGATATCGTTAGAATTAATAAAGAATTGAAAATGGATACTGATTACAATAAGAGAATGACTGTTACTTCATCACTTTATGGTGATACACCAATTTTCACCGATGAACAAGAATTCCAACATCAATATCCTCATCAACAACAACCTTATGGATATCCTGTTGATGGTCATTATTATAACCAAGCATATATACCTAATCTTCAACCTGCAGCTCAAGCTTACTCTCAACAACAACAACAACCACCACCACAACAATATCAACATTATCAACAACAGCCTCCTCAACAATTACCTCCATTACAAAAACTAAAGAATGCTTCTGATTTCCGTAAATCTACTTTAGAAACATTCACTAATTTTGAACCTAGAATGAAGGGACTGAATGGACAAAATGTTTCACCAACAACTGGTAGACCATTTAATCCAATGGAAGCTGATGGAGTTTGGACTTCACCAGTTAACTCTCCTCATTTACAATCACAATCATCATTTTCTAATCCAAGTAATAATACTTATTATTCTACAAGTCCTCAACTACAACCACTGCAACAACAAGCTAGTACATCATCTAATCCTTCTGCATCTCAACTTGCTAGATCATCAGTCGTCATGTTGAATCCTGTCACGGAAATAACTAAACAAAGAAAATTCCGACCAGCTGGGTCTGTACCAGGTTCAGGACCTGGAGCAGGTCAAGGACAATTCCAGGGTCAAGGTCAAGGTCAAGGTCAATATGAAGAGGATTTCAATACTATTGAAAGTGATTTAATTCCAGGTAATAGAAAGAGTGATGTCAGAAGAATGATGAATACTAATTTTTAACATATATTTAACATATATATATATATTTATTTATTTACCATTTTATTCCAAATCTCTATATTTAACTTTAACTTTTTACATACAATACAACTGTGTACAATATCATATGTTCAAATTTATATTATATATTTGAAATCCGACCGGGTTATACTAGTGCGCACGTGACTTCGGAATTATACCTTTTACATTACATAGTACAATTGAGAAAATTCTTGACCAACCAAATTGGACGGTTTTTTTTTTTCAGCACTATCTGTACTAGATTGAACTATAGTTAAGTTAAGCTTATACGATATCACACATCACAAGTACGTAGATATACAATTGGTCACGCGTTTGTTAGTAGTGGGGGTTGTAATTTGAAAAATTTAAACGGCAGTTGACTTTAGTTGATATTATAAGCAAAAAACATATTATAATATAATAATATAATAATTAAACAAAACATAACATACTAACACAATAATAGCCATGTCAAGTGAAATTGTACCAACTAGTGCTAGTCAAAACTTATTGAATGAAAAGTGGGATGTTGTTTTATCCAACGGCTTGATTAAAACCGGTTTAGGATTTGGTGGAGGAGTTTTAGCTTCTATTTTATTTTTTAAAAGAAGAGCATTCCCAGTTTGGTTAGGTATTGGTTTCGGTTTAGGTAGAGGTTATTCTGAAGGTGATGCTATTTTTAGATCAAATTATGGTTTAAGAACTGTTAAAGCTTGAGATCAGGATCTTGCTTTATTATTATTTCTTTAAAAAAATCATTTTAATCCATTTCCGGACCCTTTATAATGAGTATTAATGCATTCTATGAAAAATCATCAAAAAAATTATTCTTGTTCTTATCCTGAATCAGTTTACTAATGATTGTGAAACATTGTATGTAACACAATGGAAAAGTTCAATTATTCATATCCAACTTTCAAACTATTCCCAGTCGTAACAAATTAGAATATATATAGACTATAAAATCTGTACTACCAGCATTTGTTTATCCTGCGTTTATTTGACTTTGTTGGAACCATTCAGCATAAAATCCTATGTATTAGAAGTTATACTTCTCTTGTACAATAATCATCCTCTTTTATATTATAACTATTACTATCACTATTATTATTATTATTATCATTAGTTTATATACATTTTTGTATCAAACCCGATTATGGTGTTTATCGCACTGTATAACTATGAATCTGTAGATAATTTTTTCTATATCATATATATCAGGATTTCTTTGGTGTACCAATGGTCAGTACAGATAGTGAGAATGGTAGTGTGAAAGCTATTATTGAGGGAGAAATAGATCTCTATGCATTCCTTGAAATCGATGTGTCTGCGACAGGGGATGAAATAAGAAGACAATACCGTAGAAAGGCTCTTCAGTATCATCCTGATAAGGTTGGAGGAGATTTAGATAAATTCAATACATTAAGTAAGATTTATGAAATACTATCGCATGAAGATTTAAGACGTCAGTATGATGCTCTAAGACAAGCGAGAGCAAACAGAGAGCAGAATAAAGAACAATTGAAAGAGTTTACCAGACGGTTTCAAGATGAATTGCAAAAGGCTGAAGCAAAAGTAAATAATAATGAATTGAGTCAAAAACGTCGATTCACAAATAACCTTGAATTATTACGAGAGGAAGGTATAAAGAGACGTCGAGTTCTTGAGGCTGAATTGATTACCAATAGAGAAAGTTCTAATACTACTGAAATACGACAAGAACCTGTAGAATCATATGTTTCGTATAAGGACCTACCAACACCATCGCATAAAGTCGAGCTTCTAGTGACGAAAAATGATGTATATCGAGTAATAGTCAAATGGAAATTTAAACCAGAACTTCGAGATTTGATCTCGGAAGATGTGATTAATCAAATAATGCAGACATTCGGATCAATTAAGCATGTTCAGAAGTTACCATATCAACAAGGTTCACGTTATGATCAAGCCATAATAGAGTATGAAAATATAGATGGTTATCAAAGTGCTTTAAATCATAATTACAGACAATCAGCTAGTTTATGGGATGGTACTAAAGTAAGAAAATTGGCTAGTTTATTGAGAGAATGTTTACCAGAGAATTCAAAATCCAATGTAGAAGATTTAATATATGATATAAAACATCATAAAAATCTTCCAAATGATTTCAAACTTCCAAGTCGAACTCATATTGATGAGGTGGATAGTGTACTATACTCAAAAATATTAAATCAGTTGGGATAATGATGTTGGAACCGTATCTGACCACACAATATAGTAAATTCTTTAGTGCAAGCACTGAACTACATATGGGTCTTTTAAAATTACTAGGTTAATGTACGACCATGGAGTAGATATATCTACTGGTTAATCAAAATGGTATAGAGTAGATTCATTTCTAAACCATTACGATTTTTAGTCGATAATATATAGTATATTCTACGATATTAGTAATGCAAAAAGGTTTATATTGACAATACTCTAATCATCTCTCCATTTTATAAACACTTCATCAGTTCTGAATCTTTGAGTACATACTGTATCTTTTATATCATTAGTTTGACCAGTTCTATAACTTAATAATCCAGCATGGGCAATCATTATACCATTATCAATACAGAATCTTTCATCAGTAGCATAAATCTGACCATTTTTACGATCTTGAATCATCAACTTCATCATCTCTTGTAATCTTTCATTTGATCCTACACCTCCAACAATTAAAACTTGATTACTATTGACATGAGCCAATGCACGTTCAGTGATTTCTACTAACATTGAAAATAAGATTTCTTGTAAAGAGAAACATAAATCTTCTGCTGTTATAGGTTCTCCAGTGGTTTCATCCACTACTTTTTTGGCTTGTTTACCAAACATTTCCTTAGCCAATTGATCTATATATCCTAATATACCTGACATTGATAAATCCATCCCCTTAACAGTATATGGTAAATTAATTAAATGCTTACCCTTTTTAGCCATTTGTTCGATATTATATCCTGGAGCTGGTTCATTAGGAATTTTTAAAGTTCTAGCAAATCTATCTAAACAGTTCCCTATAGCTATATCCAAAGTTTCACCAAAAATTCTATATCTTTGTTTAGAATATGCGATTACTTGAGTGTTTCCACCACTAACATATAATACTACTGGATTATCAGCACCTGTAATTTCTCTACCCATTTCAATATGTCCAATACAATGATTAACCCCTACTAATGGTATATCACCCCATAATTGTGCTAAAGTACGAGCAGCAATTACTACTGATTGTAATGGAGCTCCCATTCCAGGTCCTTGAGTAAAACAAATACAATCTATATCAGTTCCTTTTATTTTTGCATCAATTAATGCTCTTTTTATAATTCTTACTACCCAATTTCTATGATGTCTAGCAGTATCACGAGGTAAAAATCCTTCACCAGGTGGAGTAATATATGTATCTCTAACATTAGAAAGTACTTGAGCTCGATTATTAGATGATAATTGTCCTAAATTATGCCTTATAACTCCTACCCCCAATTTATTGGCAGAACCTTCTAGCCCCAACGCTATATAGTGATCCTTGCCTGGTTTGGCATACTTATCCAAATCCACAGTCATAATAATGATGTCGTCATATGAAAGATCTAACTATATATGAGAGATGATGGGGCCTCATATATTAGAAAGAAAATTGACCTATGGACAATATGCAGGATTTCAAAAACGACATAGGGACCGACATTTATTGCTACTATACAAATGTCGAATAGATGCAAATTACACTCTCCGTATTACAATACTACAAATAGAGACAATGCGCATGGGTTTAATTGGAGACTCTTCTGGATAGGATTACTCAAAAAGGTCCAATCTTACTCTGGCTATCTTACAATAGTTGGTTGCTTAGCTTATTTTGCAGATTTAATCAAACTTAAAAAGCTCCATAGGAGAGATGCTTTGGCAATGTATATTTTAGACGGAATGATATACTTACTTATCAGTTTTACTAGGAGCAAATTGACTGTTTTTGGCTATGGGAGGCAAGAAACTGATCCGACACATCGTTAGTGTTATGAATTATACTTGACTATAGGTGCTTTCACAAACAGGAAGTATACATATAACTCCACTATGGCAAACAAAGATTATTAGAATTTAAATATGCAGGATTTTTAAAAGTACAATATCGGAAAATGTAAACAAATAATGTACCAATATTTAAGATAATTAAAAAGCTCTAACATCTATACCAAAGCAAATATGGCATCATTAAACTACTTTCTTGATAGGACGGATCAATCAGTACGATCGATTCAAACCCTCAAATTTAAATCTCCAGGTATTTTCACTAATGCGATAGTTAAGAAACCTAATATAACAACCTTATTAAAAGATCCTACAATAGATGAGAGTTCACTATATAAGATTGTCAAGCCTAAATTTAAGAAACAAAGGATAGGAAAGAAGAGTGGTAATGATGGACAAGTTGATGATTATGATTATGTTGGTGTGAAACCTGAAAGAGTTGATGGAAAAAGTATATATATTGATAGGAGCTTTTCTGAGTTATCTAGACAAGATCAAGAAGTAGAAGGAGAGAATAGAGATTCAGAAAGTGGTGGTAGTAAACGGAGAATAATAGTTCAAATACCTGATTTAATTAATGTAGTCAATGAACCAATTAATGAAGTGATGTCTTCACCTACAAAGAGAGGTGGAGGTAATAATATTTATAATAACAATTCATATTTTGTTACTCCAAGTACTGATGATGTTCAGACATTAATTAATAGAACAGATAAATTAATCAAAAAGTATCCCACATTAATAAAAAATCAAGATTCAGTGATACGGCAATTAAATGAATATCAAGATAATTACGAATCATTAAAACAAAGTGTTAATAATTTGGAGTTAGAGATTAATGAACAAAAGAAACAATTAAATATATTGAATATTAATTATAGTGATATAGGTAGTCCTGTTAAAGAAGGAAGAAGTAGTGGAAATCGTTCATATAGCCATACGCAAGTGCAAGAAGAAGAAGAAGAATTTGATATTGATGAGATCATAAGGAAGGAAGAGGAAGAGATCAAGCGATTGGAACAACAATTGAACGAAAGACAGAAAATATAATATTACGACATGATATAATTTAATCAGATATAATACATTTATTTAGATTCAATATATATACATAAATTAATAATAAAGTAAATTATATTTGATATAATAAATTAAACAACCCATTCAATTTATATTAAATTTAAAGGGAAGTTAAGATATCGGAATCACCAGCATCTAAGATAGATAAGGTACCGACTCTGAATAATTTACCACAAGCAGTACCTAATTCATTGTTACCACCTTGGAAGTAGTGAACTGGGGTCTTAGATAACATAGCGTAGTATTCTAATTCAGATTTTCTTAAAACTGGGGTGTTACCAGCGATAATGACTAATTTAGCCTTACCGGTTCTTAAGGATTTAACAACGGATTTGTAACCTAAGGTATACTTACCAGATTTAATAACTAAGGCTAACTTAGAGTTAATAGTTTCTTGAGTCTTTGGGGCCTATATGAAATAATTAGTTAGTATGAATAATTCTTCTTCATATTTATTCCTATTACATATAATGTTTGACTCAACATATAATTCCACTAACCTTGTATGTGGGTAGTTTTATTACTACTAGTTTTGTTTTTACTGATATTTGATTCAACTCATAATTAAATGTTCAAACCAAATATCCAATATCATGGTGATACGAAGTCCTGCTTCGATATCGATATCGCTTTCTATGTTGACTCTATTAAATGCAATGCAAAAGAAAGATACTGACCATCTCTGCGTTCTAATATGTATATACACTCCGGTCTTGAAGGTGATATGATATAGTAAAATAAAAGACGTTTTAACTATTAAGTGTAGAGGTTGGTGATAATTTTTTTTCACTCTGTACTCAGTAGTTTGGAATGAGCAGCTTCATTGTGTACAGGAGCTAAAAACCATACCATGGAAGAAAAACACAGTCACAACATCATGTGACCGTACTAACTAGAACAGTTCGCATTTAGAACGACTTAACTAACTTATTAGCTACTGGGTTGTATACAGGCTCGCAATCCATATACACTCCCTCCCTCATACATAGTTAGTGCGACAAATGTATTGAAATTTCCCATAGTTAAGCACCTGCCCGTGCCAGTCTCACTCTCGTTTGGGTAGTCAGTAAAAAAAATTTGAAAAGAATCAAATTGTCATTATTACTATTACAGATTTTACTGTTAACCCTTTAATACCAGTAAAGAAAAGTATGTGAAATCGAAGTAATCAAGTGTACCACGACTAGTGAAGAGTAGAGATTGTTAGACGTTGAAAGCTATGGTGTTTCAAGAGCCAGTTCAATAGCTTCATAATGATTAATGAAAGAAAAGAAAGTATAGTGTAGCCTAGAAGAGTATTAATGAATCCTTTAACAAGTATCAAAACTCATAAGAAAAATCATCAAACTTATAACTTAATACTGATATGAAGTACAACGTACTATCAGTATATGAGTTGTTAAGTTTTAAGTCAAATGCAGAATCATATAACTCACAGTTTTTATTCAAAGATATATAGTATACAAGGAGAATCACCACTAGAAAAATATCTCATATACCAATATAATGCAACACATATTCGACAACAACCACTACTACTCCCATAACTACAACTCACAAGTTGAATCCAGCATTTACCATTATATCCAGCATTTACATTCTTTTAAAAAAACATCTCATAGTTTTCACTAGACGTAGCAAGCACCCTTAAATTTCAAAAAATAAATTAAATACTAACATAATCTTATAGTTCATAATGAAGGTTGAAATTGATTCCTTTTCAGGTTCTAAGATCTACCCAGGTAGAGGTACCTTATTCGTCAGAGGTGATTCTAAAATCTTCAGATTCCAATCATCAAAATCTGCTTCTTTATTCCACCAAAGAAAGAACCCAAGAAGAATCTCTTGGACCGTTTTATACAGAAGACAACACAAGAAAGGTATTTCCGAAGAAGCTTCTAAAAAGAGATCCAGAAAGACCATCAAGCACCAAAGAGCTATTGTTGGTGCTTCTTTAGAATTAATTAAAGAAAGAAGATCTCAAAAGCCAGCTGAAAGAAAGGCTGCTAGAGATGAAAAATTAGTTAAGGACAAAGAAGCTAAGAAATCTGCTAAGGCTTTAAGAAAGGCTGAAAAGGCTAAACAAGTTGCTGCTGGTAACATTGTTTCCAAGCAACAATCCAAGGGTGCTTTCCAAAAAGTCCATGCTACCTCCCGTTAAGTTATAATATAGATTAAAAAGCTCTGTAAATCATCATTTTATTCCTTTTTGTAAATCTATATATATAAAATAATACATAAAACATAACAATCTTAATTTTTATTATCATAATTTGTATTCTCCAGTTTTGTATACTTTTCCATACTTGTCTATATTATTTAATCTACTAAGTATTACTTCATATTCTCCTGTATTACTATTTGAATATCCAAAGTAGAATGATTGGGTTGAATGACAGTATACCAACATCTTATTACCAGTAGATTTATCATTTAATAAAAGTACTACTCCAACATATACTATAGATTCATCATTATCATTAGTTCCATTCAATGAGAATTTAGATGAATGAGTCTTTATCAAATTTATCAAATTAGTTCCATAGTCATTACTCTCATTCATGATATTATTTACTAAATAATTAGCAAGATTCATCAATATAATATCTTCACCATTCCCACTACACATACAACTTATTTCTATATTATCTATAATTGTAAAGTCTATAGCACATCCTACAATCCCTGCACATCCTATACGACCTGGTAATTTAAAGAAATTACCTCCTGAAGATGTGAATATTTGAGTGTTATTATTATTATTATCAATAATTATAGCTCCTACAGTATCTGAGATTTCCTGTAACAGTAACAGTAACAGTAAACTCCCACCTGAATTCTTAAATACTCGATCTTTATGACTATCGTAAATGGTTTGACATTCGGGACTGATAAGTGGATGAATATCTTTTTCCTTTTCCTTTTGCAGAAATAATTGATGACATGATCCATAGTATAAACTCAAAGGTCGACTTAAACCTGATTCATCATCTTTATAAAACTCATTAATTCTATCATATACTTTACTTGTAGTTAATATAGGATATAAACTATCATTAATTCCACCTAAAGCTCCTTGATTTCGTACTCCATCAAAGACTTTAATAAAACTTGAATCACATTCAACCTTTCCTATTAAATTTAAAGAACTTCCATATCCGGTATTGGTATATTTAGTTCCTTCTATAGTTTTTATTACTTCGACTATTGAATTATTGATATTTAAACTTCGTCGTATTAATTTCTTATATACTACTGTCTTATCTACAGAATGGTTACCTGCTCCTATATGTACTATAGTAATTCTACCTCCATTATTATTCATGTCTTATTAACTTAAGAGAGGGTAAGATAGACGTAGTGCAGACACAATATTTTTATTTACTTTAGTTAGGCAAAGAGATCGCTAACCGTTTAAACTACACAAATATACTCTACACCACTATCATAAACTTATGCCAAGAAATTTATATAGCACCCCTCAATAATACAGTAAACTGTCTAACTCGTGCCTCTCCCTTCCTTTCTTCTTTCTTTCTTTACTTCCTCACTCTTTTACCAATGCACGAAATAGCCTTTAGTAAATCTTATTCATGATTCACCACATGGCTTTCGTAAAATATGTCGTGCATAATGGCTCCAAATCCTGCATAGTAAACCACTATATTATACTAGAGCAAAAGAGATAGTAAATATGATAAGTACTATAGTAAAGTAAAATTGCTTCCTTATACTTGCCTTTATAGAAATCCTAATTAAACTGTTAGGTATGATAGATGTTAAATTAACTAAGCTATAGTCTGTATACTTTTGAAGAAATTTTTTTTACAGAAGAAATACTGTAAGTATAATTAAATATAACTAATCAAAGATGACCAAGCTTAGTTTTAAGACCTTCAACTATTGGGGGTATGGGATATATAATGATTTGAAAAGTAGGATACCTCACTATAAATCTGATTTTGTAGATGCTTTCAATTATAGAGTGATTCCATCGACTACATTTATATTTTTCACTAATTTATTACCAGCATTAGCATTTTCTCAAGATATGTTTGATAAAACAAAGAATTCTTATGGAGTTAATGAAGTTTTAATGAGTTCTGCCTTAGCTGGAGTAGTATTTGGATTATTTTCTGGTCAACCATTATGTATAGTGGGAGTAACAGGTCCTATTTCAATTTTTAGTTATACTGTCTTTGAATTAATTGAACCAAGAGGCACACCTTATTTCCCATTCATGTGTTGGATTTATTTATGGTCTATGGTATTTCATTTTGTTATTGCCTTAGGTAATTATATATCCTTTCTTAAGATCATTAGTTTATTCTCATGTGATGCATTTGGTTTCTTTATTTGTTTAGTATATATACAAAAGGGTATTCAAATCCTTGCTAGACAATTTGATGATGGTAATTTAGCAAGTGGTTACTGTTCAGTAATGATCTCATTATTAATGATAATTTGTGGAGTTGGAAGTTTCCTCTTTGGGAAATATTTACATTATTTTAATCATTGGATTAGGAAAATCTTTGTAGATTATGGTGTTTGTATTTCTGTTATATTCTTTACAGGTTTTATCCATTTTGGAGGTCATTTATCAGAAACAGACTTAGCTAGATTACCTACTGCTTCTTCATTTCAACCAACTTTTAATGGATTAGGTAGAGAACATGGATGGTTCATTCATTTTTGGCCAGGAGAGAACATTGCAGTTAGTGATGTATTCTTAGCTATACCATTTGCTATTTTATTAACATTTTTATTTTACTTTGATCATAATGTTTCATCGCTTATGTGTCAACTGAAAGAATATCCCCTTAAGAAACCTTCATCATTCCATTGGGATTTCTTCTTATTGGGTATAACTACAGGTATTGCTGGGATATTAGGATTACCAGCACCCAATGGATTAATTCCTCAAGCTCCTCTTCATACTGATTCATTGGTAGTTCATAATAAACAAGGTAAAGTTCTATCAGTGGTTGAACAAAGAGTTACCAATACAGTTCAAGGTTTATTAACATTTATAGTAATGACTAAACCTTTCTTAGTTGTATTAGGTTTAATACCTCAAGCTGTATTATCAGGTTTATTCTTTATTATGGCTATAACAGGTTTACATGGTAATATAGTTACTAATCGACTCCGATTTCTTTTTCTTGATGCTGAATATATCGAATATGATGATACATGTCCAGAAATGTTTAAACAGATGCAAAGGTATGAAAATAAAAAATGGTTCTATATATATTTATTATTAGAAGTAATTGCGGGTGTATCAGAATTTGCAATTACATTAACTAAAGGGGCAGTTGGATTTCCTGGTGTATTAATGCTTTTTGCAATTTGTGCTAAATGGATTTGGCCCCTAATAATTCCTAAAGAAGAATTAGCTAAATTGGACGGAGATGTTGCCGATCAGATAATTCTTGAAAACTTAAATATTATAGAGTATATTAAAGTTAAAGAAAATAATTCTCAGTCGTATAAAGATGAATTAGAGGAGAATATTTCAAACTTTGAAATTGTACATAGACACAGCACAAAGTAAGTATCTAATCTTTAATTGATAAATATAGTTTTGTATAATAATAATAATCTTGGCAATGCGCTTATCATTGTTAAGTTATTCGCTATGGATTATTTTTACTGTAAGACCCCTTTTTTTTTATGGAGATAGGAGACATAAGTTGTATGGACTTTATTAAACCCCTCCTTAGATTATAAACAGGTGGTCTACAATAAATACTTACAAGGTGGGGGTGTGACTATAAAATGCACATCGAATTGAGTATACCCATATTTGAAATGTGGAGTATCACACAAATACTGTTACCATAAATTCAGTAAGACCACATGCTTTATCATATCACAGTAACGTGATAAAAATAAACCAGATTCATCCGGAACAATTGCATGTACTTTGTAACCGAATACATGTAATTACATAGAAAATACGATCATGTCATATAAAACATTATAACCTCATAAGGATGCTTAGTCTAGACTGGAATTTATCGTAAGACTTTTTTGTACAGAGAACAATGTAGGGGGAAAAAAGGTGTCACAAATTTTCCAGGATTTACCCCAGAAAATCTCTAGGTAATTAGGAGGTAACAAGGAGTATTTTTGTTTACCTTTATAGTAAGATGTTTTTCATATCTTGAATGACGTTAGGAATTTTATATGTACTTGTAGTATAAATATGGGTTAATAGAAGGTTATGATTATGTTAAATGTTTATAGGCTATGTAGTATATATAATAAAACTAATTGATTGTAATTAAATTGTAATTAATAGTAATCAATAAATTTCACACATAAATCATGTCATATAACTTCCTTAACCAAGTCGCAGTTGTTACCGGAGGTCTTTCTGGTATTGGATTGGCCACCACCATTAAATTACTTCAAAATGGTGCTAGAGTAATTGTTGGTGATATTACGGCTGAAAATAAAGTCGGATCTATTTTAGAATCAATTAAACAAAAATCAGGAAATGAAAATGTTAAATTCCTCAGAACTGATGTAACCAACTATGAGGCCAATAAGAAATTAGTTAGTTATGCTGTTGAACAGTATAAGGATTTAAATTTAGTATTTGCTAATGCCGGAATTGTATTACCTCATGCTGGAGCTGAGATTCCCTATGAAGAATGGGAGAAAGTCATAAACACTAATTTGAATGGAGTTTTCTCTTTAAATAAGGAATCCATTAATTATTGGCTTAAAAATAATAAAAAGGGTAATATTGTTAATACAGGATCAATTTTATCATATGTTGGTAATCCAGGTTTAGCTCATTATTGTGCTTCTAAAGGAGGAGTTAAATTATTAACTCAAACATTGGCCATTGAATATGCTGCCAAGGGAATTAGAGTTAATTCTGTTAATCCTGCTTATATTGCAACACCATTATTAGATGTATTAGATAAACCAGTTTATGATGCTTTGGCTGCTAAACATCCTATTGGTAGATTAGGTACTCCTGAAGAAGTAGCTAATGTTGTTACCTTTTTATTATCTGATCAAGCCACTTATGTCAATGGAGCTTCTGTCTTGGTCGATGGTGCCTATACTGCTCAATAGTTTACTCTACCACAGTTTGATCTAATCTACTCTAGTCTAGTCTTAGTCTATTAACAATTATATACTTGTTCTGGTTAAACGCATTTGTAGTACAATAACTTTTTTCTTTTGATGAGCATCACCAACTTTGTTTGTATTGATGAGAATGGCATCTAACAACGATGGTATGAGTACAGGACAAGAATGGCTACTAACAAAGAGCGAAAGGAAGTACTAGAATTAGTGGAAGATAATTTCCGAGCGGATTTAGCTATACACTTATATTCTATAGTATTACTAAAATGTATAAATCCATACTACCCTAATTCAAGATGGAGTCATTGGCCATTACCAGCTGATGAAGTACCTATACCGAAGGGGGAATTTACATATTGTGATAATGTGGTGGACGAGTCCAGTTTTGGAACTACAATAGATGAGGATGAAGCAACACAACAGGAGGAAAAGAAAAGAGTTAGAGAAGAGTGTATTCGACAAAGGAAAGTTAACAAGACTAGTAACAAAGAGTCTGGAACAGGTAATGATAGAGAAGAAAGTGCGAACAAAGTTGAAGAGTATGTGATTGAGAATGATGTTGATCATCAAGTTGAGCGTCAAATAGAAGAGGAAGAGGAAGAGGATGAAGATTTGAGTACCAATTACTTTGCGAATTACGGATCAAATGATGAAGAGGAGTTTAGTGATTCTGATGATGAAATTGATTTCTCTATGCCTATCAGTAAAGTGACTTATATCGAGAAGGAGGTTGATGCTAAAGCAGAATTAGTCAATGAATTGAATGCTATGATAGCTCGAAAGATTCATCAAAGAATTCAGGATATGAAGAGTAGACGAGTGCTTGGAACTGATTTAGAGATTAGAGATGATATACAACAATCTGATCTTGTTAAACGACTAAGTGTTCAACTTGCTAATAAGGTTAATACGATGGTAGACAGACTTAATGATAAAATCGATAAAAAATCCGAATTGATTTTGGACTGGCATAATGTGTTAATGGAAGGTATAGAACTTGTTGATTTACCTCATAACAGTTCTGATATCCTTAGACATCAAGAAATATATGAGCATTGTGAAGATCTATTTAATAATATAGATTATCGATATGAACTTGATGATGAAGAGGATGATGGAATTGATAATGAAGACTTGACCACATCGTCAGGAGCATTGGTGGTTACCAAATACTTGGAGAAGATCAAGGAATCTTATGATAATGTAAGGCACCCATTGTTTCAGATATTCCCCCACCGATACTTGATCCATTTACGAGAAAAAGTTGCATTTAATGATAAGTTCCGAAGGTTATACTTTAATAAACTTCATACTATGGCTAAGTATCAACAAATCGAATGGAGTAAACGTCAACGGCCACTGAAGATAAAGGGTATTACACCATTAAAGAAAGATCTCTCAAATATTAAACAAGTTCAGCAAGAGGCATTAGTGCATTATTCGCATAATATTGATGAAGAAGAGTATATATTACGAAAGTATGCATAGACAAGTATAGATACAATAAATACAAAGTTCACACGGAATAGGATCATATTCTCTATACAAAGCTGACCAGAGGTATTAGGGTCAAACTATGTAACTATACTATAAACTATATACTAATTTTCTAAACTATCAACACTCTTTCTATTTTCAAACTATTAAAACCTCATTTAAACTTCAATAGTTTCTACTTTCTCTTTTCAAAAGTACTGGTGATCTCAGTATCAAAAATGACATCCCAGAATCTACTAGTAACACCAAAACCTAATTCATAATTCTTATAATGATGTTCTAAATGATAAGTTTTAGTTTCTTGTAAGAATTGAGGTAATTTAGTATGATGTAAAAAGTAATGAGTCATATCATACATAATATAACCTAAAGTTCCTCCAGCAAAACCAGAACAAGCAATATAGAAAGGTAATATGGAAAATACCAATCTATAGAAAGGATAAGCTAATATCACAAATAAAGCCGGAGGTAAAACTAATCTATAACCATCCATTGGTAAATAATGATGAACTCCATGTAAAAGGAAATGAAGAGTTAAAAATACTGGATGATCAGGTAAATAACCATCTAAATGGAAAATAAATCTATGTAAACAATATTCAACTAAAGTCCAAACAAATAATCCCATAATCCAAAAACTAATAGCAGTTAACTTATTTTGATTAGTAAATCCAACATAAAATATATAAAAATTAACTGGTAACCAAATTAATGGTACCATCCACCATGGAGTTAAAGAAAGTGGTTCTAAAAAATTTCCAAATAATGGAGCTGAACCTTTACCATAATGTCTTGGTCTATGAACTTGATCTAAATAAAATTCTTTTGAATAATTACTAAATAATAATTGAACTAATAATGGTTTATTTAAATCTAAAAATTTATGTTTTTTAACATCTTCAGAATAATCTGTCTTGATAGATAATTTCTCTAAAGCTGGTAAATTCTCATGAAATTCATACATATCAAAATCATTTGGTTTATCTTCAATAACTTCTACTGGTACTTTATTTTTATTATTTAATAATCCATGTTCTTCTTGTGGTGTAGCTAAATATCCAACTAACATATCTTCATCTAACATTTCATAAGCACTTTCTGAATGAATATGAGAATCTGAATCAGACATAATTTCAGTAATATCTTTACCAGCATAAGGAAGTATAATATCGGCTCCACCAGGATGTTCATTTAAGAATCCTGTAACATTATATACTTTCCTATTATATAAAGTAACCCAACAATCCTTTTCGGAGTTATGAGTTTGAACTTGTTTGGTTGATAATAACGGTAATGAAGTCATTCTGAAGTATACTGACTATTCTACAAGTTACGTACTTAATACTGAATTACTGAATTACTGATATGATAAACTACAAATCGCTCAACTAGAGAATATTTATCGAAAACAAATGTCTTCTCTTCTCGGGCCATAACAATAATCACGAGGTTTTCGGTACGTGCGCGGCTCTTATGATCGTTACTCGTTCCGGCACGCTACCACGCAAACCCCGTGTATGCTATTAGGTGATATGACTAGTAGAGACTAAAGAGTATATTTGAGCTATACGACTGGTCTATACTGCATAGGAGGGGTTAATAGAGTATTTAGTATAGTGTAGAAAGCATCCGACATGTATAGGATTCTACAGTGTAGATAATATAATAGAGCTATACTATAGTGTAGAGGATAGAATATACAATGTAGAAATAGATTAGATTATGCTACTATACTACACTTCTATACTATGTTATACTATACTACTATACTATATTACCATACTATAACCATACTACTCTACTATATACTATATAATAGTATAGAATTGCCAGTACTACGTGCCAAAGCACATGAAATACTCCTGATTTCCCCTAATAGAGTAATTGGCTGTTAAATTTATCAATCATATTATTAGCTACATTGATGTTTCACTCATCTTCATCTTTTTGTTCAGTGGCATGTCATACATTTTATCCATTAATGATGATTGCCTCAAATTCATTTTTGGGAACCAATAATCAAACTCTACCAAACAACGTTGCAAATCAATGTTATCGATTTTTTGGTCGTCATCTTCAACATATCTACGAGCAATATTAACATCAGCTCTCCTTTTTCTACCATCCCACTTAAGCCGTTTCTCACCATTCTTCAGGCGTCCAAAATCGACAAAATATGGAGTGTCATTTAATACTAAAATATTATGGGGATGTATGTCGCGATGATAAATTCCTAGCTCATGCATCTCTTGAAGAGTTGCACGAGCTTTCATACCAACGTTCACTTTATTTCCCCTAAACATATCTAGAGTAACAGCTCCATCTAGGTATTCTAAAAGAATATAGAATCCACAAACAGGAATCTTGCCATTCTCTACATCAAGAACTTCTTGATATGTCGTGATTTCTCTATTATTTAACATACCATACGAGAAGATTTTGCATATACCCAGTTTAATAGAACTGAGATTAATATAGCTACTAACTTCCCGATGAAAGTGTTTAAAAGAAGAATTATACGCACCTTCAACAACATTTCCCCTTTCAACAAATATTGCTGAGCGTATAGGGTCCAATACTTTTAAAAAGTATTTGGAACCCTTGCTGTCTTTTACAACAAATGTACAGCTGTATCTGGTACTAAATTCAGCTCCTGACACGGAAGATTGGAATGTGTAACAATTTTGGAATTCGGACATGGTATATGATTTCCATTTGGGCGTTTTATATAGTTGATGGAATTTATAAATATACTTCATGTCAAACAGATGATCTTCTTTTAAGTCCAGAGAGTAATTACTTATATTTGTTGATAATTCACTCACATCAGTTAAGGCTGAAGTATCAGCATCAGTGTCTGATACTCCCGTATCTTGCAAACTAAGTGACTTTACAAATCTGTCGTTGAAATTATTGACTCCATTATAGAAGAGAACTATAAGTGTCAGTCTTGTTGGCTGAGATATAATAGCTTCATCTTCAAATTTCTTCATTATCAAGTGATTTTGGGATTGTGTAGCTCTGAGTTTAATTAATAACATGAATAATATAGTATAGAATGAGTGCAGTTGATTATCACTGTCTTTAATAGATTGTATTGAACATTCAATACCTCTAAATAGACGGCAAAAATTATCGCCATGGAACTCCTTGTCAATGTTGTATTCCAGTAAATCAATCAAGTAGAATGAACTATGATCTGTCAAGATCGCATATGGAGACTCGGTTACTAAGGCTTCTCTAATACACTGTGAGAAAATTTGGACAAAAGGATAAGCAAAAGCATTAACGATTGATTTTGCTGAGAAGAAGTTATCAATATAGGATGATACTGATCCCTTTTTAACTTCAACTGGAATATTGAAGGCCCCTGCAGATATTTGGAGATCAGGTGTAACTGACACTGGTACAGTATCAATTGATTTCCTCACTGCCTTTGATTGATTAATGAGGGTTTTCTCAAAAACTGATGAAAAAATTTTAACTGGGATATTCAACAAATTCAACCAGACAGACATTTCAACTTGCTTCTCGCTATCATCCGATAAGTCAAATATCTGAGGGAAGCAAGTATCCAGAATAGAAAGTAATTGAGATTTTTTAATTTTGAAATGAAAAGTTTCACCTAATGAGAATTCTTTGATTTCATTCTTTGGAAAGAAAAGGGCAATGATCTTTGTCAATTCGTTAATTCTTATTTCTTTATTCATTTCAGTTTTGGTTAATGCTTTGGTTTGGTCATCTTCGCTATCAGATTCATATTCACTTGACTTCAATATATTTTCCACAGGTGGTTTTAAAGGTTTGTCTTTTGGATTAATTGGATTGACAACAGGAGGCTGCAAGCACAAACTCGAAGTGAAGTAAAAATAACTTTCTAAGACATGATTAGAATGATAACCTATTTTGTAGAATAGTAATTTCAATGAAGACTTAAAGTTGTTGATTATTTCTATAAGATCCTCAGTAGTATTGAATTCTATTTTGTTGAATAATTGAAAATTATGTAGGCGAAGTAATACTTTTAACGCCATCTCCTTCAGAATATTTCTCTGTTTAACAACCTCGTTAATTCCAAAATTTCTAAAGAGCTCTTCTATCTCTGATTCATCTGGATCTTGTAGATATTCATTTAACTTTACCTGCAAATGCTCATACGTTTGTATACTTTCCCTGCTAACCTTAAAGGGGTCAATCCCATCATTCGGGAAATCCTTTAATGCAGCAATGGCACCATTGAAATTAATAATTCTTGTCAATCTCATTAAAACAGTAGTCTTATTTAAGTAAATGCTTTACCAAATTGTATTAATAAATGACTTGAATGATTTATTGGAAGGATGAAGAGACAATTTCTAAAGCTGCGAAAGAATGCAAAATAAGCATCCACGCATCCTTATTTTGCGTCTTAAAAAGGAAAAGGAAAGTTTAGCCTATAATGCTTAATTACTACTAATGATGACTAACATATTTCGTATATAGCTAATTTACGACTATATTATAGTATAGAGTTATTAGTAGAATAGACTGTCCTACACAGTAAAGTAGTGTGTAATATCTGTACTACACTATAGAATACAGTGTAGAATACACTATAGAGTAGTGTAGAATTACTATAGAATAGTGAAGTGACAGACATAGCATATAGTGTGTAGTGTATAGACTGACTATTACTCTTGACTATTACTCTTGACTATTACTCTTGACTATTACTCTTGACTATTACTCTAGACACTATAGTCCATAACATTTACTACATCAGTGACTAACACAGTTACAGAGTACTCTAAATAACTATGCAATGTTCATTACTATATACTAGACTTCAATACTTGAAGTCTGAATGTTTTCTAATTTGGCTACATCAAGATCTATCTCAATAGCATGATCCTCATCAACATCATCTTCTCGAATTATACTCTCATCAAAGATAATTCTACCTGATTTATTTGCTGGACTAGTATCTTGATCAGAATCGGAATTTGAATTTCCTTCAAGATCTGCATCTACTGAATTATTCATTTGTTCTAAATGTAATGTATGATCTACCAAATTAAGGTAAGCATACATAAAATTAGATAAAAGAACTTGTTCACGTAATGAACGTTTAGGATTAGCCAATTTTAAATGTGATAATCGATAAATGGCTCGTTCAACATGAACTGGGAATCTATAATCTAACATTACTAAAGTAGATAAAGATGGAGGAGGCAAGGGGAATCCAAAGGCTGAATCAGTAAATACAATTGGTTGATTAGCTTTAGAAGTTCTCTTAATTGATTTACGAAGTTTTTCTTGAACTTCTAATGTAGACAGTGGAGGTTTATCATCATCTTCATCATCTTTCTTATCATCCGATGAATCACTATCAATTAAATCATCTTTATCTTTATCTTTATCTATATCTATATCTTCCTTTCCAATAAGTTGTTCTTCTCGTTTACTTTCTGATTGAGGCCCAAGACTTATTGATTCTAATTCCTTTTCTGATACTTTCTCTTTGTCTATACTAACAGCAATAGGTGAAGGGTCCCTTAATTTAATTTCAGGTTCTTCATCTTGTAAACTAGAACTATCAGAATCATTTTTGGTTGAGTTGTGACCCTTCTTAAAGTAAGTATCAGTATCAATAATCATATCTTCATATTCTTGTTTGGCTACTGGTTTCTTTGCTTTCTTCTTAAATAAAGTTCGTTGATTCTTTAATTTATTATCATTATCTGATTCATAATCAACAGTAACTCCTGAACTAGAATCCAGTAAATTATTATTGGTTGTAGGAGCAGGAGGGACTTTCTGATCAGGAATCTTCTTTCTTTTAAATAATTTAGAGATAACATTCTCTTTATCCTTCTTAGATTTACTCCATGAATTATTACTACTTATTGAATTGGTTGGAAGATTAATATCTTCATCTTCATCAAGATCAACTTCATCATCAGATACTTCGAAATCATCATCAGTATTAGCCGTTCTAGGAGAGATTTCTGGATTAGAAAATGATCGAGCTGGAACTTTAGATGATGATTCAAGTACAGTTGGAAGATTTCCATTATTCTTATTGGTAATAGATGATTCATAATTGGATAAACTATTAGATCTATCTCTTAACCAACCCCAAGATTTCTTCTTCTTGATCTTATTGGCCGATGCTTTATCTTCGGATGATCCAAGTAATCCAAATGATTTCTTCTTTTTAAGTTTCTTGGTAGGCGATGATTCGGCACTTGACTCATCTGAAACTTCTCCATGATTAACTACATGTGCTCTAATGGGTATTTCCTCTTTCTCTTTTTCTTTCTCCTTTTCCTTATCTCTCCTAAATACTACTTCATTATCAGTGATGTTAGGAGATGGATAAGCAGAATCCCGACTTTCTACAAATGGGTTATTAACTTCAGGAACTAATACGGCAAATTTCTTAGGACTCTGTCTTGGAGAACTACTGGAGATTGGAGCTATTGTTGGAGATGTGACTGGATCAGGAGTATCCAATTTAACTTCTTCATTAGGGGTGATTCTATCAATATCTCCTAATAGTTGTCGTTCGAATCCTAAAGAATCTTCATAACTAATGTCTTGAAGAGATGTATCAAATGAGAATTCAATGGCTTCAGAATCTTTCAGTTCTTCTTCTTTATCAATCAATGTTTGTGTAGAGCTTGAACCAGTAGATACAGTCGATTCAGATCGATTAAGACTCTCTTTGAATTCATTGATTTCTGATCGTAATAAATCTAAATTCTGATTCAATTGTCGAGACTTATCCTGAATACCTGGTGGCCCATTATATTTGGGTTGTTGAGGGTATGCTTGAGCATGCGGTTGATGAGCGAGAGGCGGTCTTTGGGAGGGATACGGCTTTTGGAGCTGTTGTGGTGGTTGTTGCTGCTGCTGTTGTTGCTGTTGTTGTTGTTGATGGTTGTAGTGGTATGCATCGCTCTGTCTCTGGTAGCTCCTTTGATGATGTCTGTGCTGTTGCGATTGGTGTGGAGGATGTGGTGGCGCCTGCTGTTGCTGGTATGCAGAATTCCGGTTAGGATACGGTTGCTGTTGCGATGGCATGCTGGGGTACGCATGTCTTTGGTGGTGAAGTTGATGTTGCTGCTGTTGCTGCTGCTGCTGCTGTTGCTGCTGCTGTTGCTGCTGCTGTTGCTGCTGCTGTTGCTGCTGCTGTTGCTGCTGCTGTTGCTGCTGCTGTTGCTGCTGCTGTTGCTGCTGCTGTTGCTGCTGCTGTTGCTGCTGCTGTTGCTGCTGCTGTTGCTGCTGTGGTGGTTGTTGGCGATGTTGATGGTAGTCCATATGCTCTTGGGAACTCTGTCTTGGTCCAGCTGTGGACTTGTAGTAGTTCCGATACCTGTTCTGTTGTTGATGTGGTTGTCTTCCCTCATACACTATTTGATTCTGAGGAGTTCTTGGTTCTTTCTGAGGATGACCAGAGCCACTGGTGGCTCGTAATTTGAGTTGGGAGAGTTTCTTGGCAGTTAAGTTATGTTGCTGATTGAACTTTTGGGTGATCTGACTCTCTAATGACTTTGAAGATGTGGATGTACTGGTTGGATAAGGAGATGAACCAGCTTTCTGTTTAGATTGAGATTGAGATGCTAAAGTAGTGGGATCTATATAACTAAACATTAATTGAGAGTCTCTATAATTCCTTCTAGTTGTAGTTGGAGTAGATGACTTCTCCGGAACTGGAGGTGGAGGTGAAGGACTTGATTTTGTAGGATGAGTTGGAGGTAATGAACCAGTAGTATACATGGCTCTAATATTATTTCTTAAAGCTTGAAGTCTCTCTGAACTGGGCACAACTGGAGATGTGGGAGTTGGAGGGATTGGAGGAGTCTTTTTATAATTATAGTCGGGTCTTCTACTTCGTTTCAAATCAAATGAATCATTGTTACGAGTGGGCGAAGACTTACTCTTATCTTTCCTTATAGGAGAAGTATCAGAATCTGAATGAGGATCATACATGACATTTTCAGGAGATTTGATATTGGTGGTTGTACTATTATTATTATTAGTAGTAGTAGTAGTAGTAGTATTATTAATGTTATTGGTAGTCCTTTGTTGGGGAGGAGAACTTAACTCATCAATGGCAAGGATTTCTACATCGGTATAACCTAAAGAAGTTGATGATAAAGTTCTAGCAAGAGTTACTGCATCTGTAGCATCCATTCCTGCAAGTTTTGATAATTTTGATAATTCATTAGTTAAGTCACGTAAAGAAGGATTACTATACCGATTACGAGAATTATTGGCAGGATTATTATACCAAGATTCTCGTTTAGGAGATGCTTGAGGTTCATCATCTTCTTCAGGTAATGAACTAGAACTAAGAGAAGATTTTCGAGATACAGATTGACTTCTTCTATTTTCCATAATCTCATCAACTTGAGATTTTATATGAGTTTTAAATGATTCAGGATTAATTTGTGGATGTAAATTGGCAGGTACCCATAAAAGTTGACTAATTTCTGATGAATCGGATGAGGCATCATAATATTCATCATAAGAATCTACACTGATTGTATCTTTAATTGATTTAGTAGATTCTTTACGTTTTAGTGAAGCTTGACGAGAGAGTGATTTATTTCGTCTTATATCTGCTGGTTGAGTAGAAGTCGTAGAATTTGGATTGGTACTAGTGGTAGTTGAAGTGATAGTACTACCTGTGGTTATAGTATTATTGGAAGTATTATTATTGCTAGTGGCTGGAGGAGGTGTAGGACTCGGAGATGACGAAATGGGTGATGGAGTTGAACTAGTGGGAGAAGTATTGATATTGACTGTTTCAAGTAATTCTTCCGTGTCTAAATTAGGTAAGTCCGGGTCATAGTTCATGAGATTCCCAATAGACAACCGTTTCAAGGCCGCTACTAATTTCTTCTCCTGCTCAATGTCTTGTACGGCCGACTGATATGACATGATGAATTAGTGAGTGAGTAGTGAGTGAGTGAGTCGGTAAAGAATTAGTGGAGCATGAGAATTTTAGCGAGGGACTGGAGGGGTATTTTAGTGAGAATTAGTGAGGTGGATGATCGAGGGTTTTAGTGAGGTGGTGGCTAAGGTTGGCGATTTGAGAATTAGTGAGGGAGGGAGTTACTGAGTTACTGAGTCGTTAGTGAAGGTTAATAGTAGTGGTTAGTGTCTGTGTTGGTCCTGATTCGGTTATGTTTTTTCGGGAATTTTTCCATTACACGTCTCCTCAAAACAGACAGAAAGTCGCAGACAGACAGACAGTCAAGGTCAGGCTGATTAGTGTAGTGTAGTGATTTAGAGAGTGGTGTTACTAATGGGTTAGTATTGTTAGTACTGTTAAGGGGGTTAGTGGTGCCATGGTGTTATTACTGTATTAGTGGTGTGCTATTACTATTACAATTACTAAGGTATTACTGTACTATCACTATTTAGTGGGCTAGTACTGCACTGTTTATGTACTGTATACTGACTGAGAATGTACTGTACTACTGAGAGTACTATTACCATTACTATTACTATTACTATTACTATTACTATTACTATTACTATTATTAATATTATACATTACCTCTACTTCACTCTATACACTACCTATTATTCTTACTATTAATGTTACCTCATTATTCCACTATACTACTGTCTATACACTACTACCTTTGACTTCTCTGTACTGTATACACTCATACATTGTTTGTAATTCACGCGAATATTTTTTGCATTTGTTGATTTTTCACTCGGCTTCTGGATCGTCTAATTTAATTCTCGGGGTATAAACTCAACATTCTGCTAGTGTGACATTAAGTTACTATGGAATTATTATGGAATTATTCTTGGGAATATTATGTAATTATTATCTATGTATTACGTATGTGCTATATGTGTTCTGTATGTGTCCTGTATGTGTTCTATGCTCTTTCTGTGTGTTCTTTAAATTTTAACTATGTCCTATGTAGTATCGCTACAACTACGTAGTATCTCTATAACTATGTAGTAATTATGTAGTATCTCTATAATTATGTAGTAATTATGTAGCATCTCTATAATTACTCTACATCCTCAACATCTTAACAAATCCTATAACTCCTACCACTAATAACCCATAATACCCCCATCGATACTTCTCCACTTCCATTTCAGGAAACCCAATAAGATTACACACTAAATGAATAATAATATTACTCCACACATTAAAATATTCATACCATATATGATTCATTAAATATCCAAATAATGAAGTATATAATAACTGAAATCCTACATTAGCTATAACCACTCTTAATTCATAATTTTGTCTATAATATAACTGATACCCATGATGAAAATGCGCAATTCCAAATAAAAATGGCGTATAATTAATCATAGTTGATGGAACAATATTAAGTATAATTGATCGATATATAAATTCTTCACTAATAGGTGCAAAAATATGATCTCGAAATCCATATATACTAAAGAATGAATATTTTAAATCTTCAATTTGATCAGTGAGTGTAGTACTTAAATAATACTTGACAATAGGTCCAATATATAATACTAAGATTAATACTAAGCTTTTTCCAATATTAACTAAATCTCTACCATCACTAGATCTAGTAAATCCAGGAATAATCCCTAAATCTTTAGTCCACTCCTTCATATCTCGTCCATATACAAAAGGAATTCCTATATACAATATCACACATAATATACTAACTCTAATCATTCGAAATCGTATAACTCCTATATCATTTCTATCTTTCCCTTGTAATTCATGAGGTACTCGATAGTATATGAATGCCACATACGACATAGATATTATGATACATAATAAAAACTGGTATGCTACAATCGATGACATACTCCCAACAATTATGCTCTTAACTAAGATTCATGCTTGTAGTAACAATAATATCTTTATAGTAACATGTCTTTCGTAAATGTTTCAGATTTAATTTTATAAAATAATATATTTATTAGTCATGTGACTATTCTCGTGACTCTTATCGCCTTCCTGCATACGTGTCTTATCAAATGGCATTTTGATTAAATTGTCTGACTCATGAAAAATCAGGCCCGGGAAATCGGGTTACGTAAGCACATATTAGAGATGTGGATTTTAACATAGTCATAATTGAAATTTTTCAGTCAACCCCATAGTCTGACTGAAGATAAAAATTTTCACATTAATTGTTAATTAGACTTGTTCTATTATTCCTTTTATATAATTCAGACAATTTGTCATATTTTATTTGATCATGACTACTGTCCTAATGAGATCAAAGGTAATAAACCTTAAAAGAGGTTTTTCAACTAGTTCATATGTTCAATATCAAAATCTTACTGAAAAGATTGTACAAAGGTATGCAGTAGGTACTTCAAAGGAAGTTCATAGTGGAGATTATGTCACTATTAAGCCTCAATATTGTATGTCTCATGATAATACTTGGCCTATTGCAACTAAATTCTTAAATTTAGGAGCAACTAAAGTTAAAGATAATAAACAAATTGTATTTACCTTAGATCATGATGTTCAAAATAAAACTGATAAAAATTTAACAAAATATAAAAATATTGAAGAATTTAGTAAGAAATTTGGAATCGATTTTTACCCTGCTGGTAGAGGTATTGGTCATCAAATTATGATTGAAGAAGGTTATGCATTTCCATTAAATTTAACTGTTGCATCTGATTCTCATTCAAATACTTATGGTGGAATTGGATCTTTAGGAACTCCTATTGTTAGAACTGATGCAGCATCAATATGGTCAACTGGTCAAACTTGGTGGCAAATTCCTCCGGTTGCTAGAGTAGAATTAGTAGGTCAATTACCTAAAGGTACAACTGGTAAAGATATTATTATTGCCCTTTGTGGTATATTTAATAAAGATGAAGTATTAAATCATGCAATTGAATTTACTGGTGAAAGTATTGAAAGTTTACCAATTGATTATAGATTAACTATTGCTAATATGACTACTGAATGGGGTGCACTTTCTGGTTTATTCCCAATCGATGATACTTTAATAAATTGGTATGAACAAAGATTAGCTAAAGTTGGACCAAATCATCCTAGAATTAATAATGAATCATTAGCTTATATTAAAAATAATAAAGTCGCTGCTGATGAACAATCTAAATATGCTAAAAAATTAACTATTGATTTATCTTCATTATCTACTGCTTATATTTCAGGTCCTAATTCCGTTAAAATTTCAACTCCATTATCTGAATTATCTGCTCAAGACATCAAGATCGATAAGGCTTATTTGGTGTCCTGTACAAACTCTCGTCTTAGTGATATTGAAGCTGCTGCTTCTGTATTAAAGGGTAAACAAGTGGCTCCTGGAGTTGAATTCTATGTTGCTGCTGCATCATCTCAAGTTCAAAAGGAAGCTGAAGCTTCAGGTGCTTGGAAGACTATCTTGGATGCTGGTGCTAAACCATTACCTTCAGGTTGTGGTCCATGTATTGGTTTAGGTACTGGATTATTAAAAGATGGAGAAGTTGGTATTTCTGCCACCAATAGAAACTTTAAAGGTAGAATGGGTTCAAAAGATGCTCTTGCATATTTAGCATCTCCTGAAGTTGTTGCTGCTTCTGCTGTTTTGGGAAAAATTGGTGGTGTTGAAGAATTAACTGGTGGTAAAGTTCCTGAAGCAGTTGATCCTGTAGTTGAAACTATAATTCCTGAAAATGAAAATGTTGATAGTGCTGATTCATCCTCTAAAGTTGAAATCATTGATGGATTCCCAAGTCAAATTCAAGGTGAATTACTTCTCTGTAATGCAGACAATATCAATACTGATGGTATATATCCAGGTAAATATACTTATCAAGATGATGTCCCACCAGAAAAGATGGCTGAAGTGTGTATGGAGAATTATGATCCTGAATTTAGACATATAGCTACTGGATCTGATATTATTGTTAGTGGATATAATTTTGGAACTGGGTCATCTCGTGAACAAGCTGCTACTGCAATTTTAGCTAAAGGTATGAAATTAGTTGTAGCTGGTTCATTTGGTAATATCTTTTTTAGAAACTCTACCAACAATGCCTTATTGACATTAGAAATTCCACCTTTAATTAATAAATTAAGAGAAATATATCAAGATTCAAAAGAATTAACTATAAGAACTGGTTGGTTACTCAATTGGGATATTCCTTCAGCTTTAGTTACTGTTAAAGATAAGGCAACTGGTGAACTTATCTTACAACATAAAGTTGGTGAACTCGGAACCAACCTTCAAGAAATTATAGTTCAAGGCGGATTAGAAGGTTGGGTCAAAAACGAAATCCAAAAAGAATAGATAATTCATAGTATTTATATTGTACGCATTTAATTGTATTTATTTAATAAACACGTCATTTAATTTTTCATTATCTTTATTGACATTGATTATGATAAAATTATTTACCATTCATTATTGAAAACCTCTTACTTCAATTTAAATGGTTATTACAATCAGATTTGTAATAATTTAGTTCACTACCCTCTATTAAGCAATATTCTGTGCGGCTTTCCACCATATCGTAGCGAGAAAATAAATAAAAGTAATGACTGTTGCTTCCTGCATAGCGGTGCAACATTCTATCAACTCCGAAACATGCATGGAAGAGGTGAAGCTTAACATCAGAGCTCCTGCACAACGACCAGTCTTTGCCCCCTCCCCCACTTTATATATTAATGTTATTCTCTAGTACAGTATTTAGTTAGATTTGTTTTCATTGGCTTTGACGCAGTATAATAGAATGATCAATTCCAGGTTCTCTTCCCCATGTATTTGCATGCATGTAAATCTCCATACTAGGCAATAATCTGTAATTGACATCAGTTATATAAGAAAAAAAATTAATTATTATTATTTTATTAATTTCATACAATTAAAACGTTTTGTGTGTATTGATTTTATTCTAGATTCAACAATAAAACTTTATATAAGTAGGTGAATTTGCAAAAATATTTTCACTGTTTAACTTAATTATACTTTAATCTTCAACTCAATCAAATCGAGCTGGTTGATTGTATTCACTGATAGATAATACTCCCGCTGCAATTATAACTGCATTTATATAACTATAATCATATCTTACAAGCCATGCAAGTAATCAAAAGTATAACGGATGCAATAGAGTCAACGATAGAGGGATGTTATTCCATTTTAGATACAATATTATACTATATACTAAATATGGTCATGATGGCACTTCTTTTTGCAGACTTGGTTGTTGACTTTGCTAATGATTGCCTATACAACTACAATATTATCAAGTGCTCACTAAAACATCAACTCTACAACAATATCAATTAGCTATTCTAATAATTTTATTGATGAATTAGCAACTATCAACCATATATTCCAGTTATATCTATTTCTTTATGCACCGTTCTAATTGTTTGTTTTAATCCATGTATTAAGCGTTTATCACATGAAAATAAAAAGTTTGTTTGTTGTTAACATTGAGATGAAGGTAGTATGGTTGTATTTTACCTTAGAAAATGGATACCCTACTGGTTCCTTAGTTAGATGAATTTAAGTATTAAGAAATTCCATGACGTGATGATTTATTGATTTTCTATGTTGTAATTAATTTAAGTGGTTAAAATTAAAGATCTTTATTCAACATGAGGTTCTCCACATTTTAGACAAAAGCATCTCTGCCACTCTCGTGATTCTTGCCCGGTGCTACCATGTAACTGCACCGAAGCTAAAGTTTCATTTTTTCTATCCCCTCTTTGTAAAGCGCAAACTATGCGGATTACTATCCGACTTACCCCACAGTTGATTTGTAGAACATTAAAGCTCATCGGACTACTACATCATCTAGATGATCATTTTCATTGTTGTTATTTTGTTTGTTTTGCCTAGGCAATATTCCGTTCGTCCCAAAATGTGTAGTAGCTCTTGATTTATTATTTTAATAAATGATATGGCTGTGGTGTGGTCATGAGAGACTTAAAGAACTGATAGCAGTATTAATAATTTAGTGCGTAACAACACCTGATCTAAAGTTTATATTAAATTGTCCTGTCTACTATACGAAGGATTTAAGAACTTATTACTTCAAGGAGTTATATTATTCTACATTTATAAAAATTCAGATCGTGGCATTTAACCGATTAGAACATAAATATATTGTATTATATAAAACTTATGTTTAAAGCATTATTACCCTATAGAATACATGAAAAAAATGAGATTTTGATGAATGAATTTGAATGAGACGAGTTAAATCGCTTATTCTTCATCAGCTTCTTCTTCGTCATCTTCAGCAACAGAGTAGAATTGTAATTGATATTGGTTTTGCTTGGTAGCAACAAATCTAATCCAGTCTCTGATTTGGTTTTTCTTTAAGTATCTCTTGGTCAAGTACTTTAAGTATTTACCGGAGAATTTGGTGTTAGAAACAACAACAACCTTGGTACCTTCAGAGGTGATAGAGATTTCGTCACCTAAGTTACCGACGATACCTTCAACTTTGATGTGTTCAACAAGGTACTTAACGTAACCTTCTTGGTCAAAGACACCGTTGTCAACTGGAGCAGAAACGTCAACGACGAATTTCTTAGCAGCCTTGGATTTTTTAGTGGTCTATAATTATAATTGTTAGTATATAAATTCCCCATCTATATTCATAATCTAGCCTACCGCACTTTATATCACATTACACACTTATGATTCAAAGAACAACTGGGTTTTGGTGTAGAAGATAAAAGACAGCAAAGCTTTAATTTACTATTCCACGATTTAAATTTCATGTATTCCTAAAAGGTCTTGTAATAATGCAAGTTAAACCATAATATATAATAATATAATTAACTCTATGTTCTAACAACTAGTCTCCTTACTTTTCATTGAAACCAAATTCAACTACTCTTCAGGATACTGGTTTATGAATCATTTCTTTCTTCTGATTATTAATTCTTTTGGTTTTCTTTTATTTCACCCATCCAGTTTTTCAATTCTTAAAAACTAAAAGTAATGATAAAAATGATATCTAATGATGATATGGTCAGATATATGAGAGCTTGAGATGGTAAGTCTCATCACTCTATCTTAGTCAATACTTACAATTGGAGCCATTATGTATATATGATGTTGTATAACTATATAAAACAAGTTAATAGATACAAGTGAAAAAGAAAATTCTAATTTTTTTCACCTAACATCGGTCGGTTAGGCTCAGTCTGAATAATTTTTTTTTTCCTGCAGTTTATACGACCAGTAGTTAGGGCTGAAAACCCTGTATTTGCCCTTTTGCGCGTGACCAATTGAGTCATCTGAGTCATCCCTAAAATACACGTGACACGATTTAATGGTAAAGATGACTATTTAATCATACTATGGGTGGGATGATTCATTGTTTGCTGAGTCGTCAACTTTTTTTGCACCCTACCCCTATCAAGCAATTCCCAACATTTAATAAATGCAGCCAATTAAATTCCTACAATAAATAATACAATCTCTCTATTTATCTTGTTTTCTTATTTCAATATTTTGGATATCTATAAAATTAGTCTGTATTGTTTGTAGCCTTATATTTATCTAATAATCATAACTAATAATGATATCCCGCATTCAGTTATCTAAAAGATTTATATCTTCCAGTATAATTAGATTAAACAGTCATAGTCAACCAGCCGTTGTGTTAGGTAAAACCAGTGAATTTGATTCTTCTAAATATCATTTTAATATTTCTACTTCATCTTCAATTAATAATAAAGATATTGAAGATCCAATTCAATTAGCATTAAATTCATCAGAACCAATTAATAATTGGACTAAAGATCAAATTAGACAAATATATAATACTTCACTTTATGATCTTATTCATCAAGCACAAATTCAACATAGAAAACATCATAATCCCCTGGAAATTCAATTATGTACATTATTAAATATTAAAGAGGGTGGATGTTCTGAAGATTGTAAATATTGTTCACAATCTTCAAAGAATGATACTGGACTAAAAGCTAGTAAATTACTTCAAGTTGATCAAGTAATGTTAAAGGCAAGACAAGCAGCTGCAAATGGTAGTACAAGATTTTGTATGGGAGCTGCTTGGAGAGATATGGTTGGTAGAAAATCAAATCTTAAACGAATTGCTGAAATGATTTCTACTATAAATAATGAACTTGGAATGGAAACTTGTGTTACATTAGGAATGCTTGATTCTCAACAAGCAAAAACTTTAAAAGATGCTGGTTTAACAGCTTATAATCATAATATCGATACATCTCGAGAATATTATCCAAATATTATTTCAACAAGAAAATTCGATGAAAGATTACAAACTATTCAAAATGTTAATGATGCCGGAATAAAAGTTTGTACTGGAGGTATATTAGGGATGGGAGAAACTTCAGAAGATCATGTTTCATTCTTATATACTTTATCAAATATGCCTAAACATCCTGAATCACTTCCAATTAATAAATTAGTTCTGATTAAAGGTACTAGATTAGATGAAGAATTATCTCAACTTCCAAAGGATTCTGAACGACATTTAAAATTCGATCAAGTTTTAAAAACTATAGCTACTGCAAGATTAATTATGCCAAAATCTATTATTAGATTAGCGGCTGGTAGATATACTATGAAAGAATATGAACAATTCATTTGTTTCTTAGCGGGAGCTAATGCTATTTTCACAGGAGAAAGAATGTTAACCACCATGTGTAATGGTTGGGATGAAGATATTGAAATGTTAAAAAAATGGGGATTAGTACCAATGAAAAGTTTCTCAAACTAAGTAATTTGTAATTTGCAATTTGTAAGTTTATAGATAAAACTACTCCTCTTCTCGTAAATCATCTAATATATTATCTACTTCAACTGGTTGATCTTCTTCTCTTTCCTCATTCTTAGATACCTTAATAGGACTGGTTTTACTCTTCAGCAGTCCAATTGTATTATTAACAATCGGTAAAGAAAATGATTCATCTTGACTATTATCATTTATCTTTGCAAGTAAATTTCCAGCACTAGTTGAACTTTTATATGTAGAAGAACTTGTGTGGGGAGGAGTCAGTGCACCAATTGATAATTTTGATAATACATTTTCAGTATTAGCTGTAGCTGATAATGGCAGATGTTTTATATGAGGAATTTCAGGATGAGTTTCTCCACTACCACTATTCAAACCCCGATTGATAAACTTGACTGTTTCTAGAGTATCATTACCTTCATCTTCATTATCTCCATATCCATCTCCCTCTCCCTCTCCATCTCCCTCTTCATCTCCATCTCCACTATGATCATTCACAGTATTATAATCATAATCATCATTATCATCAAGATCCTCATTAGCATGAACATTATTATCATCTTCATTATAATTGACTTCAAATAAATCTGGAGATATAGTTAATAAATCATCTAAACCTCCACCTGACCAACCTTTCCTAGCAATTCCCTCAGAGATCTCCAATTGAGCTCGAATTAATGAGCCTGTTTTAATTAAAAGATGATCTTGATTAAATTTAGTAATGATGGAATTGATCTCATGATAATAATCATACTTAAGACGATCGATTTCTTCTAATTGATTAGTCAAATTCAATAAATTATTCTTATATGTATTCAAATTTCTCGTCTTCTTTCTAGCCAACTTCATATTTTCCAATTCTTGATTTCTTAAAATTCTTGATTTCCGTTTAATTTCGGCTTGATAATATCCATGATTAACTTCATAATTATGTTTTAATTTGGCCATTTCTTCAATTAATGGAGTTTCATAACTTGTTTCTATTAATCTACTTAAAATCTGTTGATTACTACCAATCATATATTGTAAACCAGCAGCATTAATTAATCCATCATGAACTAATTTAGGATTATTAATTTTAGGATTCTTATTTATACAATCATCAAGGGCTTCACCAAACTCATTGGCTGCATCACTAACTGTTTGTAATACTCTTCTTAATTTACTGGCTTTCTCTATTACATTTTGATATGAAGTTATACAATTTTGAAAGTCTCGAGAGGTTACTATATCTGGTAAATCTAAAACTGATGGTGAAAATGATGTGAAAGTATTTAATGACGGTTGACGTTTAACTTGACTAGCCGTTGGTGGACCTCCTAGACTATTACCAATGGTGATTCCATTATTATTATTAGTAGTAGTAGTAGTATTCCCTATCTTAGAAGACAGACCATTGCTGAAAGATGGAGATAATGGAGCAGAAGACGTTGAATTCCGTTTATTGACAAGTGAATAGAATTCTGAAAGATGTTCGGGAGGATTAGATGAAAGCGGTGAGTTTAATATATCAGACAGTCCATTTCCATGATGTCTATGATAATCGGCTAGCGACTTGGCTGGAGGTGATTGTTGTAGGGGCATTTTCTTGGTAATTAGGGAGGAATTTAGCAAATCAGAAACTCATATAATTATAGCTGAAAATTGGGGTAAATGTCTAGTGAATCAAAATGGTCAATTGCTAAGTATTTTGGTATAAATATACTGTTATCTATGGGTTGCTTGTTTGTTTATTTGTTATTGTATGGGGGTCCATTGCTGGAGATATTCGCGAGGGGGAAAAATCGCGGTGCATCGTTAGGGAACTTTTTTTTAGCACAGGGTAGGCCACTAGCGAAATAGTGAGGAACATTTAGCTGGAGTAAGGAAGATAGCGAGGGAGTTCCTGAAAGTTAGTGAGTAACGTAGTTTGTAGTCAGTAGTCACCACTTACTAGTGACTAGTAAGCAACATAGTGATTAGAGAGAAGTTTAGTGAATAGTGGGTTAAGTATAGTGTAGTGAAGATTTACTGGATTAAGTGAGTATTCGATCAAAGGCATACGGTCTGTATCTATACTGCAAACTAACATAGTTATATCTACACACGAATGTTGTCGTACGCTAGCTATTTCTCCATATCAGGTGCACTGGGTTGTCAGTCCCACTGTACCACCACAAACAGCTTAAATAGTTAAAATAACTATTTCGCATGCACAAATTACCTGAATAGGCAATGTTTCGCCCAGAGATAATGACAGGAACGTCATAGTTTAGTCACCGCATAAACGAGCATATAACACTGTTAGTGGTGTAGGGGATGGAGGGGGGTAAGGTAACGAGTATTAAAAACTGTAGTGTTACTGTTGTTACTGTTATTACTGTATATATATTGTGACTGTTATTGTTATTAGCATCACTGTAACTAAATTGTAGTGTCATTAATGTGGCTCGTTTTCGGCTCATCGCATTAATAGGGGCCACTGGGCTCAGCTCGGTCTAAAACGTCAACTGGTCATGAGACAATAAGTGTCGGCACACCTGGCCATTCTAACTAAGTAAAAAAGAAATTAGCCAGTGAAATTACTACAAGTTAGTGAACTCTCACAAAAAAAATTCTGTAGCCATTATACTTTCCATGAAGTTTAAAAATTACTGAATTCTGTTCTGCTCACTATTTTACTGTGCCATTGATTTCAATTCATTACTCTATTCACTCTATTAACTGGATTCACCATTGTTATCACTCGGTTAAATATTCTATACTATCACTATTGAACTATCCACTACACTATTAACTTCCTCTGTGTACATCTACGGTTCAATTATATCTTATAGCCCCAATTGATCCTCTCACTAAAATCAGTCTCACTATTTTCTTATCGTTACCGAATAAATATTTTTCGGTTCGCCCCTTGAAATTTCATTCTTTCATCCATCTTCATTAGTTTTGTCTAATTCTTTTCATTCAATTGTTCAATAAATCTACCAATCAATCAACAGAATTATTATTATCAATGTCTACTGCTGCTCCTGTTAAAATCACCCCTTGCTACTTATTTGGTTGGCACGATCCAGTTTTAACTGGTAAAGTTCTTGCCAGTGTCGTTTCAGTATTGGTCATCTTTAAATATATTAATTTATTTAATGTATTTTTCCATATTGCATACATTGGATTATTAGTATCTGCTGCTGCTGAATATGTTGGAAAATTAGTTACTGGTCAAGGTTTTGTTACAAAATATAAACCAACTACTAAATCAGTTGCTAAAATTTTTAATGAATCAATTTTACCTCAAATTGGTGATCTTACTATTTATATTGAAGAAGAATTCAATAAAATTGCTTATTCTCATGATATTGAAACTACTTTAAAAGCTGCTGGTGCTTCTTATATCTTATATAAAGTTACTTCATGGTTTTCTTTATTCACTTTAGCTGTTGTTGCCGTTGTATTTTTCTTTTCTTTCCCTCCATTCTATCAAACTTATCAAATTGAAATTGATCAAGCTGTGGCTGAATATACTAAAATCATTAAAGAAAAAATTGCTGAAATCACTAAATTGGCTCATGAAAAGGCTGCTCCTCATATTGATACTTTAGTTAAAAAAACTGGTCCAGTTGGTTCATTTGTTCAATCTAAATTCCCAACTAGAACTGCCGGTTCAACTGTAGGTGAAAGTAAAACTACTTTTGGTACTGCTGCTGATGCTTCATCTGCTACTACTTCTGGTTCATCTCAATTCCCAAATGCTCCATCAACTACTTTAGGTGAATCCACTTTTGAAGATGCTGTTGATCAAGCTAAATCTGCTGCTCATGAAGCTGCTCCTCAACACTTTTAAGTATTGAAAGGAGTTTTTGCCATTGTTTTTATCCTTTGAAATTTAATATTAGCTTTTCACCCTTTTCCATGTTTAATTATTTGTTGTATACACTAGTAATTGACATTTGATGGTGCAATTGTCATTACCACTGCGATTATTATTTATTTTTAAGTGCTGGTCTACAGTATTAATTTGTCCCATGAGGATATATGTTTAAAGAATTTGTTATTTCAAACAAATTGAATTAGTTTTTTATATATTTACACTATTATAGCTTGAATTAATTTAATTAATATTAATTTGTATTTTGCTATATATCTCAAATCATTTCCTTGTACACATTATAAAGTAAAGATTATTCACAATCATCAGGAGTTGGTAATCTCTTATAACAAGCTATCCATTTACTACCATTATTTCTAGTAACCTTTTGACCTTCTTCTGTTGAATTATACATTATTTCAACACATTTATCTTGACTTTCCCAATCTTTACTTAATCTTTCAAATAATGGATGTTCATCAAGATGTTGAACCATCCAATTATGAAGATCTTCAACATCAGTAATAGTATAAATAACTCCTCCTTCTTTTAATACAAATGCATATTCTGATAATAAAGTATTGGTAACAATTCTTGCCTTATGCTTTCTTTGCTTAAAATGTGGATCAGGAAAGCAAAAGAATATCTTTGATAATTGACCTTTAGTAAAGAAATTAGGTAAGAATTTCATAGCATTTGATCTTAATACAGCTATATTTTGATATTGTTCAGCATGAGTTTTTCTTAAGGCAATAATTCTATCTTGAACATATTGAGTTACTTGAACTCTAATTTCCATACCTAGTATTAAAGATTGAGGAAATTCTGGACTTAATTTTATTAATAATCCACCATATCCACATCCTATATCAGCAATTTCTACTTTACTTTTATCAAATGTTTCAGGATATAATTTAGACCAGTCCATTTCTGATGGTGATCTAGGATAATCCAATCTATGATCAGAAAATGGATTAGAATGAGCTCTTTGTCTATAATATCTCTTTCGAGGTAAATCTAAATTTAATTCATTCTCATGTTTAACTTTCTTTTTAGCTTGAGCTACTTCACGAGTTTCAAACTTAACTTCTCGGTATGCTTTCCGTTTACTTTCAGCCTCTCTTTGTTCTTTTAGTTGTGTCTCTTTATCCTTATTAGAAGGAGGTTGGTATGGTTTAGGCATGGTTTATCTGGACTTTTATAGTGTTATAGTGAATCAGTTAGACTAATTCGATGAGATGCATACTGGAAATTTTTTTTTAATCTACTGGGAGATTTTTCAGAAGCTGCGAATTTTTCACATTAAATGGTAATTTGTATATATTGTATTTATAAATATATATATATATATATATATATATGAGATTTATATGATATATGGTAATAATATGGGTACTATTTACAGGTGAATAATGTCACACTAATTTATGCAGATGGTTCATCTTCCTTCTTTTCATTAGGGTCAATGTCTTTTCTTCTTTCTTCTAAAGTTAAATATAAATGAGTACTAGCAGCTTCTAAAGTTCTTACTAAACCTGCTCCACCTAATATGGTCAATAAACCAGCTAATTGACTTTGTAAAGTTAATTTATTAGGTAAACTCTTAAATTCATTAATTTCCTCAACATTATAAATGGATTTTTCAACTTTTGCACCTACTAAAATTAATTTATCTTGATATTTCTTAAGAAGTTTAATAACTTTTTCAACATGTTCTGGTTCACCCTTTGATATAGAAATTATAGCAGTTGGACCATGTATAATAGGTAATAATGGATGTTTTCTTCCACGATTCCTTTGACTAACTCCCTTTGCAGCAGGATCTTCTTCATGAGCATTTTTAAGATAAATTTCATATATCCCCAGTCTTAAAACATGCAATTTAGATTCATTAATTTTCTTTAATTCCGATCTAATGGTGGCATTATCGGCTTTATTGATATTATTATGATGTACATATAATACTATATCATTATTATCATTAATATGTTTATATAAATCAATTAAATAAGTCTTTCTATTAAATTCTCCCTTCTCAGTAATTCGTTGATTGGTTACTGATGGTTCAACAACTTTAGTACTATAAAATGCTACAGGACGAGTAAAAATTGATGAATGAACAGAAACAGAAATAGAATTTGTGGCAATCTTAGAAGCCAATATACTGCTTCTTATCCCACGTATTGAAATCATAAGGTTATCTCTTAAATTATCAATCCAGACTTGTCTTTGATAGTCGAGTACCGTTGAAATTTTTTTTTTCATTAAACTGTCTGTCTGCTTCTTTGTTTGTTCTGATTCGCACGACTGTTCCCGCCTACAGTCACATGAATTCCTATAAAATGGTTTATTATCTACATTAATTCCCCTGAAATTTAGGATATAAGATACGCTGTCTAAATCTATATCCAAAGTAACTATCCAGTCATAGTCTGAGTCATTTTCACTTCTTTATATTCACCATAATTCATCCCAAATGGATTGCAGACTGTACACGACCTCTTCCAAGCAACAAAAAATCTACTAGGAGCACATCTAGTTAAATTTTTATAGTAGTCCGATAGATCACTTTTAGTAAATTTAGAGGACTGAGTTCATTGCTAGCACTACTGCGTATAAAATTTATAAACCAGATGGATGTTATCGAAAAGAAGCTGACAGAATCCACTTCAGGTGGTGTTGAAAATTCTTCATCATCATCATCTCAACCACAAATTAATAGTAATAATGCTTTAAGTAATAAATGGGATCTTTCAATTAATAATATGAATTTATCTGATTCTTCAGGTTTAGAAAATACTCCACCTCCTTCAGTTAATTCACTTAAAAGAAAATTTGAAAATGATAATTCAAAAACTCCTTCAAATATAAAATCATCTAAATTTAATAAAAATCCAATATTTGATGTTGAATTAGGTTCATCAATTGGATTCATTGATTTACAAAAATTAGAATATGCAACTAAAACTCTTCAAAAAAATGTTAGATTAATTTTAAATGATTCACCTAATTTATATGAATTAAAGAAAATATTAACTTCTGATAAACTTGATACAAATACTAAAGTAGAATTAGAAGCAAATAAATATGTTCAATTATCTGCATCATTAAAGAGTAAATATGATGTGGGAAATTTAAAAATTTTTGATGAAATTTTAGCTGGACAAATTGATTTTACTGAAGAAGAATTTGATCAATTGTATGAAAAAAATAAAGAAATTAATGATAATACAATTGAAATTAATCTACCAATTGAAGTATCAGAAGATAAAGTATTGACACCTGAAATAACAGAAGAATTTGAAGTTCCACCTTTACCTACAATTGAAAATCCTCAATTACTTGCAAGAGTCTTTATTCATAAATCTCTAATCAATAGTAGATCTTATTTGGATCAAACTGAATTAATTGGGGGTCATAATGAAAGATTGGAATTTCTTGGAGATTCAATTTTAAATAATTTGGTAACTTTAATGATATATAACAGATTTCCCACTTCTTCTGAAGGTGAATTGACTATTCTTAGATCTCATTTAATTGATAATAGAACATTGGCTCAATTCGCCATTCAATATGGTTTTCATAAAAAGTTAAGAGCTAGTATTGATGAAGATTTTCTTAAGACTGGTGAAAAAAAGATTTTTGCCGATATTTTTGAAGCTTATATTGGTGCTTTAGGTATGGAAAGAACTAACCTTAGCGAAGTAAAAGAATGGCTTGCGAAATTATATGAAAATAAAATTAAAAAATATGAAGCAGAACAAATCAATTTAGATCCTGTTGATAAAGAAGCTAAATCTGAATTATATTCAGTGGTTGGTACTGCACAATTACATCCTCAATATATTGTGGTAGATGAAGGTAATGGAGTTCAAAAAGATTTTGAAGTTGAATGTAGAATGGGTATGGATTTATTAGGGACTGGAAGAGCAAGTTCTCAAAAGGAAGCAGGTTTGAGAGCTGCGATGTCAGCTTTAAAAAATAGACCCATGTTAGAAAAATATCATCGTATTCGTATGGCAACTGATAGAAAGGAGTCTGCTAAGCCCACTACAAAGAAGACGAATAAAAAATCCAATTCTAATGAATTAAATGATGAAAAGAAAACTCCAAGATCTCCTATACGAACAGGTATATTCCCTCTTAAAGCAAATGGAGTTGATCCTTTAGATAATGATGCAAAAAATACTTTATATGCAGAAATTGGAAAAAGAATTGGTGAGGTACCTCAATATATTATAACAAGAACTGCTAACGATTTAACTATTGTATCTTTATCAATAAGAGGTTTAGTAGTTGTTGTAGCTACAGATAAATCAAAGAAGAAAGCAATGACAAGAGCTGCTATGACTTTGTTAAATCATCCAAGTGCGTTAGATGAAATTTGCAAAGATTCCTTTACATAGAGTAGTAGTTAACCGTAAATAATGTATGATGATATTTATAGCTTTCGAATTCTGTTCCAGAATTTACTATTTGTACTTGACTTCATTGTCAATTCTTTTAATCAAGTCTATTAATGTATTACCCTTTTCAAGCAACCGTAGCATACAACTGTAGCTTGTGTTTCGGCACTACTAACTTAATATATTCATTATGCAAGTAACTTTGTTCATATTAAAGAAGCCAGTATGTATGCTTATATAATGAAATCGAATTCCCCACCTCACTATCTGTAGTCCACCTCTTTTTTCTTCGTATTATAGTTGTTTTACTCCTCTTTTATGATCCTTTTGCATTTCAATAAATTAAGAAATACGCACTGATAACTGCGCACATAAATCAACTCATAACTCCACCAAAAATTAAGGAAATAACTTGAAATTTAGTTTCAAACATGGCCAGAAGCTTATTGATTACAGATATTGCAAAAAAACAAAAAAATGGACGAGTCCGGAGTCGAACCGGAGACCTTTCGCATGCTAAGCGAACGCGCTACCAACTACGCCACACGCCCAATGAAATTGAGTGAGAAATGGTCCCTAGCAGGATCGAACTGCTGATCTTGGCGTTATTAGCACCACGCCTTAACCAACTGGGCCAAGGGACCATTTTACAAACGAAAAAAGTGCTCGCTCGATGCTAAGCTGCAGCACATTTATATGCAGGATTTTCCAGAATTCCGATCACGTGACCATTTTTATATTCTTAATTAATTCATTGATCATTATAGTATTAATGTATTAAATAAATCTAATGTCAATATGTGAATCTTAATTAACGGATCTACAATTAATTTACTTTATATATTTTGTGCGTGTCTGATAATATCAAGAATATATATTTTTTTGGATATATGGTAGCGATGATGAACTTTTGATAAAATTTACGTCCAAAATATGACAATTCATATATAATGCAAAATATATATATTTCTATAAATTATGTAAAACATTTAATTATTAGATACTTTATCTTTCATAGCAGATTTCATGGTTGACTCATATTGAAATTTATAAAAGTCAACAATATCTTGGTGTTTCCGATCACTTGAGCGATATGTACCAATTAACTTATTGTATTCACCCAAACTTCTAATCCCTATCATATCTTCATTCCATTTACAATAGGCTCGATTGAATTTAACTAAAGATATTTCAACCAACAGATCAAGTTGTAAAAGTAAGCCAGGTAAAAATTTCAGTAACTCAAAATCTAATTCAGTGAATGATGCATTTCTATGAGCTTTTCTCTTTCTATGCAAATTTAACTTCTCATCAACTTTTTTGCATACAGCTAATGCATGATCTAAGTTAACAACAATTTCTTTCTGAATAATTTTAACTATACTCTCATATGTATTATTTAGTTGGTTATTTAATTTTAAATGAAAGCTTGAATACATGGATGTAATATATCTTGAATCTGAGACAGTATCTTTGTCCTCAAGAAGATTTTGCCAATACTCACAGAATTTTAGTTGTGTTTGAATAAACTTAACTAAACTTAATGCATGATCGTTCATACTTTCTCTAAAGTACTTTAAATGATGGAATTTATACTTAAATTGAAGAGTCATGTGTGGTTTTAAAAGTTGCACTGAAGGTCCAACATCTGATTGATCTAAAGGTAAAGAAGGTAAAATCTTCTGAATAGATGGTAGTTTTGTATTTTTACTTTGTTTTTTGAAATCAAATTCTTTAGTTTTTCTACCAGCAACTTGGAAGTCTTCAGAAGATTTGGGAGGACCTTGATCATATTCTTCGTACATTCTTGGACGTGGTTTTTCATCATGAAAGGAATTATCAACAATTGTATCAATTTTATCAAAATCTGTATACAGTTTAATAGAACACTTGAGAGCCTCTTCCAGTAAAAGGAAACATTTATCCTTTAATGAATTGAATTTTGATAAAGAAGAAATAAGACTCTGATGAAAATATTGCTTATTAGTGAAGGAACTAGAATTTATCAAATCTTTGATTCTTGTAGGGTACAGAAATATATAGTCTATTGGAAGTTTCAAGATATGTGCTCCTTCTTCATTACAGAATTCTTCTCCTCTCAATAAAAATATTAATTTGCAATGATATCTTAATATGATTCTTTCGAAGGAAGAATCACTAAAGAAGCTACCTAAGATAATACTTCCAAAATCGAAATTTTCAATCTTGGCATTGTATGCTAATTGAAATATATTTAAGTCAAGCAAGTCTTTACCTTTAAATAGCGTCTTCAAATCAGAAAACCCAGAAAGACTAATTAATGATGTCAAAGTTACTTTAATAAAGTCTTCGAGTCTGTTATTAAAGCGATTAAATTCCTCAAATCCTTTGCGATCACTTGATTGTTTGATTGCAAACTCTTCTACTAATTTTAAAGAATCCTTCAATTTCTTAAGAATTTGGACTCCCTCCTCAACGAATGAAACAATTTCTCTGATATAGTTGAAAGTCTTATTATTAATATTATTAATATTATTATTATCACTAGTCTTAGTTTTCCAGAAATGGGTTTTAATGGGTGAATCTACTTTCTTATATGTTTGATTCACACCATCCTCACTTAAAAAGACATCGCATGTTCTTTTGGTATCATATTTTTGATTATTTGAAAGCATTGCTCATTACTATACAAACTAACAGATAAAAGACTTTTAAGATTCTAAAGTAAAAATTAACTTAGTTATATACTACTCTACAAAAGTTTTGTTACAGTTTCAGAAATTGCTGCGATGTTTCATCGATGCAAAAAAAATCAGATGACTGCGAAATGTTTTATAAGTCGCATCCAAACCTCTAATCTCAAACATTTATACATTTAACATTTATTAAGCCAATGTTTCAGTCATTAGTTAAAATAATTGATTCATTTTCCATTACACCTCTACCCAAATATTCACTAATAAATTTGAATTTATCATGAGTTTCCTTTAATGCACTGTCAAACACTTCGAAATTGTCTTTAGATTTAAATTGACTAGCTCTTACTGCTCTAACTTCTTCTAATTCATTACTACAAATAGGACATTGTCTACTATTAATATCTTCTTCAGGAAAATTTCTACTATCATTATTAACTGATACAATAATATTATCTGCCAAGCATTTCTGATGATACGAATGCTTACATTTAAAATGAATCACGGGGAAATCTAATTTTAATTGACAAGATGAGCATTTATTATTCTGAATAATAAATGGTTTTGTTAATAATTCTGTTAATTTATGACTATTTTTAGTAGACTCATTTTCATAGTATTCAATTAATTTAGAATTATTAGAAATTTCTCTATTCTGAGAATCAAAATAATCTATAAGAAAATCTTTAACCAAACCTAATGTTACATATTCATTTTGATTTTCAGTTAAAACTTGTATAACTTCTAAAGGATTCATCAATCTTTTATCCACAATTTTGGTTAGAACAAACTTAAAATCTGCATTAGATACTTTTTCAAATACATCTTGACTAGAAATAATGAATTTCAACCACATTTTATAAAGTTCAGGCTTAATATCTCCATATTTCTTTATGACTTGAATACAACCTTCTACATCATTAGAGATTTCATAACTTCTAAATAAACTTTCTTCCACTCCAGCTTGAACTTTTGCCATCACTTCTCCTTCTTTAAAATCATATATATGAGAAATTAATAATAATGAAGTAGAATCAAATAATGTTGAATTTACTTCAGTTAATTCTCTAGCTTTTTCAAGCCATTGCGTCTCACCCTGTTCACTTAATTTATTTAAGGAAAGATACATTTCCAATAAGGTAATTAATAAATCCTTTTTATCATTAACATTTCCTTGATACTTCTCAAAGGATTCAATACATGCTTCTAAAAAGATAACAAATTCATTTGGATGACTAATGAAACTTGGATATATCAAACTAGGTTTTGGTGGGAGATATGTTGGCTCACTAAACTCTTCAGTTTCTGTTTCTGTTTCTATATCTTTAACTTCTTCTTCACCTAATGATAATCCTGATAAATAATTCAAAAATGTTCGATAATCATTAATTGTAGAATTATTTTCCTTTTCTTCAATAATATCTTCATGTTCTTGTTTGTTTAGATTATCTTCTTTAAAGAGATCGAATTTTTCTTCACTAGCCCGATATTTACATGTAAATACTTTAATTAATAATTCTGTTGTTTCAAGGGGACAATAATCTAAGAACTTCTTAGAGTGATCAATTAAAATTAACAATAATTCATCTATTGGTAAAGATTTCACATATTTTAAACATTGTTTTACAATATGTTCTGGACTCTTTATATTGTGTAAGCGTAACTCTGTATCAGTATCATCATTGATGACTGATTTTTCTAAATGATCCTTTGGAAGTATCTTTTCACTAGAGAATTTCGATGAATTCAATTCATTCAATTGAATTTCCACTATTAAGTTAGGTTGATTTAATTTATATAACAACTTTATGACTTGTTTGAAATATCCACATTCTTTGAACAAATTAATTATTAATTGAAAGTTTAATTCTTGTAAATTATTATCTTCAAGATTTAATTCAGTAATGAATTCATCCAATTCATTAATTAACTTCAATTTACAATAACAACACAATAATAATGTAATATGATCATTATTAGCAAGTTTTAATTCATATAATGCGAATAAGAATTTTGCAAGATTAGGGATATTAGCTGAATCTTTGAATTTTGTAATAATATTCATAATAAAATCATCAACTTCTTCAGTCGTAACTTCCTTTTCAAATAAACTTAAACATTTTATGAAGATATCAATAGATAAATCAAAATCTTGATGATCATAGAGATATTCTGCATGTAATTTTTGAATTCTTAATAATACTTCATTAGATAATTTAAATTGTTGAGCTAAAGTATAAGCAACTGGGAAAAGATTTCTTTGTAATATCAATTCTATTTGTTGATTAATTGGCTTTTCATGAAGTTTATATAATACTCCATCATTGGATAATAAATAAATATCATCATGCATTATGAATATATGATTAATAAGACTGTTGGGGATTAATAAATTAAACGAAGAATGTTTATTCAATAAATCCAATATTACGACTCTAGATATTAATTTCTTTTTATTGGTAGATATAACCGAATCTTCTTGTTGATGAGATATTATTAGTAAATAATTATCAGAATAACGAAATATCCTGGACTTTGGCATTTCGAAATTAATAGTTTGAATTCGATTAATATGATTATAATAAAGAATAGAATCTGGTTTCCCTACAATCAAATTTTGTGATTTTATATCCACATCAGTACAATTTAAATCAACTCCAGATTTATTATTTAATATCCTTAATGGTTTACCTTGATTTCTTCCTGTTGTTATAACTGTAAGAATCTTTGATGTTGTTGTAACGTATAATAAATCTTCAAATTTATTAAATTGAATACTTGTGACTGGATCATTAGATTCATATATTAATCTTTGTTTAGACCCTCTATCTCTTAATAAATCTCCTCGTATAAGTATAACTTTACCATTAGTATAACCTACTGCTACACATGATAAATCAATAGTACATTGAAAACAACTAATTGGATATGAATTATCTCCATTAGATATTTGAGCTTGAGTTTGAAATTTAAATTTATAAGCATCTTCATCTATGTTATTAATATGAATAATTTTATTTAAATCCCATAATTTCATAATTGATGGTGAACCTTGCTTTTCTGCTAAAGTAACCAAAAGGTTTTCATTTGAATTTTGACTAGATAATGGAATTGGTCGAATAAAACTTATAGTATAATCAATATCATAAGCTAAAAATGTCTTTAAAGTTATAAAATTATTAGGATCTATTATTTTTAAATATGAATTAGATACTGCTATAACTAAGTATGATTTAGTGGCATTAATGGATGTTAAAGAAGAATCTGAATATAAAGCATCATTGGTTTGAAAGCTTGGATCACGTATGGGAGTGAAATCAAACAATTGAAACTGTCTCCACGTACTAGGGATTGTGGACATTGTTTCCAGTACGGTTTATAGTGAACACTGTAGGTACTATTACTATTCCTAATTCGGTTTTCCGGTATTTTATGATATCGCTCTCTCGTATTTTTTCGTCAGAGCGCACTACATACTGCTAAAAAAAAAGAATATGAGTTTTGCAGTCTATATTTTCTATAATAAGAGTAGAGCAATTATCATTAGGAAAGGAAGTAGTATTGTTTGAACAATCAAACCCGAAGTACCGGAAAGGAATTGATATGGTTGTGAAGTAAAATTCCTATTTGTAATAACTCCCCCAAAAGTTCTGGTAATTGGTAATGGCAGATTAAATTTCAATGGTTGTGTAGAAGTATTAAATGATGGAGCAGAAGAGAAAGAAAATCCCCTTTTAGTGCTATGCTTAGTTATTGATTTTATTACTTTAGAGCTTGCCCGAATCGAAGTTTCATCCCACATATCAAAATCTATGGTTTGTCTTTGATGACTAGAATTAAATTTCTCTCTTTTCAATGAAGGTATATATGGAGTGGGCTCTGCAGTACTCCCCTGAGATAATGTAGAGTTAAGTTCAATTTCAGCTCCTAATCCTGGTGATGTACTGGAAACAAGGAATTCTATAGTACCAGTTGATTCTAAACTCAGAGATAATGTACTTAAGGAAAACGAATAAGTTGAAATTTCTTCCATCAGCTTTGTTGCTTCTGAAATGACTATATAGCCAGTACTCTCTGATATTGAATCGATTAAATGAAAAGTTGTGGTCTTTGGAGAAATTTCAACCTCAGAGTTAGAATACATCAGAGAACATTCTTGACAGCCTGGAACGGAGATATCTATAATGGTCATACTATTTCCAATTTGTAGATGTCCGTCATTATCAAAATTTAGAAACTTTCTACCTGTTCTGGGCCTGTATGAGATAGTAGTTTGATGATGGTGTAAATTTGAAGTAATTGTTTCAGTTAACATAGTAGAAGTGGAACTGATGTTTAGTTCTGTAGTCTTATGGGGTTGAATACTTTGGGTACTAATTGGAATAATTACTGAAGGTGATGGGTAAGCTGATGATGGGCCCAATTCAAAACTAGTGTTCAAGTAAGTAGACATATTTGACTTTGACGTAAATGGGATATGTTGGGAATATTTTGAAGATATGATATGGGAAGTTGATGTAAAAGTTGAATCAGTGGAATTTATATAAGTTGTATATACATCAGTTGAATTACTACTTTTATATTCATCACAATCAGAATCGTCTTCTTGACTTTGTTCACCTTCATCATGATGGTGATCAGGAGATTCTTTTTCAGAACATTCTTCATCGCTGAATTCATCTTCCTCTAAATAATCACAATCCTCTTCCAAATTATCACTATTACTTGAATTAGAAGTTTCAGGAAATCCAATAACCACCGAGGGATCTGATGATGAATTAGATAATATTTTGGGTAACCTCTCAAGAAAGGACTGATTATTCTCAGTTTTATTATTTAGAATATTTTCAATAATTCTTGCAACATCATCAACGATATTTGTTTCATGAATTGGTACTTGAATCTTATCATCTATTTGTAGAGGTCTGAATTGACTTTGTTTCCTTATTTTTCTAAGAGGATGGATTCTATGAAATGAATTCAGGAGAGTCTTTTCCAGTGTAACTTTCAGCGATAAAGTAAGAGATATAGTAAAGGTAATGAATATCAATAATGAAGATTCCAAGAGCTTCATACTGAAATAATCCTCTTGTGTAATTAACTTAATAAAACTAATAATTTTGTAAGCTATGTTTTTTTTTGCAATGGCGGTTAAAACTAATTTGGTGCAATTTTACAAGAGCGAGGTCAGGCTTGTGGCTCATTTTTTTTGGGAGAGAACTCAGGCATTATTTTCCATTAATCAAACCACAAGAACATTTACTTTCCACCTTTTCACTGTTTCAAAGGGATATGGATCGTTTACAAGAAAGTATAATTGCAAGATTTGAGAACTTTCCAGATCCAGACTCAATAAATTGCTCCCATGTTTTCTTAGTAACAAATTGCAGCAAAGAAATTACGTAACTCAGTTTCACTTTGTTTCACATTGTGCATAGGCCGAGAGAAACGCCAAATTTAGACTAGCTTGAAATTAAATGATTTTTGATTTCAAAACTATTACTTTCTGCCATTGTTGGTCTCGAAATAATACGGGGCTAAATTAAGAACTTTAAGTACTAAATTGCTCTTTCCCATTTAGGTGTGCGCATTTTTTTTACTTTGTAACCCTATTAGTGCAGATAAGATAAAGGAATCATATGCGTCAAGAAGAACAGATTCCGAGCTCCGAGCAGAATGCAAAGAACATCCACAACGCCGATCCCGAATTCAACCTAGTGAAGTGTAGTGGAACTTGAATTTTCTCAGAATAGAATCTAGAAGAAGTTCAAAGAGCCAGTACCAGATTGGATCAGCATAATTGGACATGAACCTGCTTCCATTCATCTTATTCAAAAGAAAAAAAATAATAGAAATACATTGAACGTACCTAAGGATGACTATTGCCTGACATAACACCTAATTAAGGAACTGAAATTGATAACTATGGAGTGTTTTATGCAGCCTCACTTCAAGTTTCCTTGAGTGAATTTTCCGAAACGCAATCGTAAATACCGGAATTTATATTTAACAATAAGTGATTATTGAAAAATACTGCAGTGGTCGGCGAATGAAAATTGAGCAGATTAGTTTTGATAACTATTATGCCTTGCGTTCCTTGACATCGTGCAGTTATCCGTAGTTGGTTGCATACCCGCTAAAAGCATTCCTCTTTAGACTTCAATGCAACATACATGGACCTAGTTTGGCATATACAACTAATAATAGACAGCACTAAATAAACGCAAAAACTTTATTTGTAAAAGATCTGCATTCCTAATCGAACACCTTACAACCACCCAATTGCATGAGGCTATCAATTAAAATAGTTACCAAAATTACACAAATGAAATCAACAATAAGTTTAAACTATAAAGGATACGAAAGGCTTTTAAGAGAATTGAGAAACTTATGCAGAAAGAGAGTATAACAAAAGTCCCTTTAGAGCGAAGAACCCCCACACAATAATTTTTTTTTGCAAGTGAAATTGTTAGCTACCGATAATTATACGGATCATATTTATATTCTTGTGATTTCATCTCTCAAATTACTTAAATATCAGTTACATGAACTCCCTTTGACTTTTATATTAATTTTTTAAAGTGTTTGTTAAAGTGTGTCAATTGTAATTATACCAAAAATAAGAATGGCATCTAACGTCTTTGGAAGTCACACAAGCGGCGGGAGCCTCAAAAATAATTATAGCGACAAAAGCTCCGCTAGAGATTTTTCACTAGACAATCAGAAGCATAAAAATGATTATTTAGTACCAAGATCATGTGATGAACCTCCTATACCTTCACCACCTATATTGTCAAAGTCTGGATTATCTACCTATCACCCAGCAACAAGTTCAGATTACAATGATCACAATTACTTAACTTCTAGTTTGAGAAAAGCCAGTATTGATTCAAATGATTCACTTGAAAATTCAAGTCCTGCTGATTCATTTGAAGAGTGTGGAAAATCTTCGGCTGTTAATAACTGGATTAATAACTTCAATTCGAGATTGAGTAATGTGGAGGATTATGAAAATATTAAACTTATTTCCTCTGACGAAGATTTGGCAATGTTATTCCATTTCTATTATAAAACTAGGTATGAGCTTCAAGATATTTATAGCTCATTTGAGAAGAAATATCAAAATAAATTATTTCCTTATTTGCATGGTTTAAATAGTATTAATCAGAGAGAATTTTTCACCGATTCATGTATCACTAATGATGATATTATCAAAAATATCTTATCTGATAAATCAATTTTCAATATAATGTTTATTAATAGCTCCGAAAGTCCCAATATCACACCCAATTTAATAAATACGATACCATTGACGGACATACTAAGTACAAATAGAGTACAAAGAAAGATGAGCAAGCACTTGCAAAGTGATTGTGAGGTAAAGGAAATCGAAGATATTGAGGAACATATTGATGAAGAAGAATATGATGAAAGGTTCGAAAAGTTTAATCATATTTGGCAACTAGATGTTATCAATTGTTATAACAATTTAAATAACCGAAATTATAAAGATCAAATCAGACTAATGGCGCCCTTATCTAACTTTGTCATATACAATTATGATAAAAATGATCAAGAATCGACAAATGTTGCTAAATTGATAAATACCTTGAGAAATAAACATCGTGATCAGATTATTTATGTTGTCAGCAATGAAGTAGATTGGAATTTAATTGAAATGGAATATTTCGATAAGACCAATAATTTCGAATCATATATATTTGAAAACCAACTTATACCTTCTTCATCTTTTGATCTTACATCTACTAACAAGGTGAATTATTCTACTAAATTACTAAAATACGAACAACAAATGATATGGAGATTAAATTCAATGAAGAGAATATTGGGTGGGAAAATATGTCTAGGGAATATTGCTGATTTTGGAAATTTAACAATAAGCAAAGGGTGTGACTTTAAGCTAATAATAAACTGTCATGAAAAAGCGACGTTTCCAACTGCAAAAGTTTTGAATTCTATATATGAAGATTTCAATAATCCTGTACGAAAAGACAATATCTATTATTTGGAATTTCCTTCATCGGGCTGTACTAAATTCAAAGATTTATCATATAGAGATGTAATATCGTACTTGAATGTATTGAAATTGGTAGATCTTTGCTTAAGAAAGGCTGATGATATAAGTAATGTATTTATTTTTTCATATGATGGTTTCACAGGATTATCTTTGCTCACAATAAGTATTTTACACTTTCATAAATTTCATTCAACTGAAGAATCTATATTGTTTTTATTGAATAATCAAGAACGAGACATAAAGTTGCATTACTTCAGAGATGATATCTTTTTCTTGAAAGGATTTGAAAAATTCATTGATTTCTGTAAACGTATAGATGATTGCAATTTCCCGTTAGTATCGTTAGATTATAATAAAATTCCCAATAACAGTAAGCAAAAGTTACTTAACTCATTCAAATATGATTGGTTTAATATTACAAAAGACAACAACTTTCCTTCAAAAATATATAGTAATCTATATTTAGGTTCTGTGAACCATGCCAATTCAATTACGGTTTTGGATTGCAAGAAGATTGAAAAATTAATATCCATAGGTGAATGTCCAAGATGGTTCAAATTATTGAGAAATCATGTTATATTTGATTTTGAAGTACCCACAAGAAGAATATACCAAAACAGTGGAAGAATTTTAAAACCAATTTACCAATTCAATGAAAATGGAAAAGATGGTCCTACAGCTGTATACGAAGTAGATTTTAATTTATTAAATTCAGATATTCGTAAGAGTCCTAAGTTACCCAAGTATCTTAAATCAATGATATTTATTCACAATCTAAAGGATGATGGAAAAGATTCTATCTTACCATTGTTGATTAATTGTCCACCAGAAATCCAAGAAAAGATTCTTTTAAAACAGATAATTGAATCTCCTACATTAGTCCATTGTCGAATTGGAGTTTCCAGATCTGCTTCGTTAGTGATTGCATCATTGATGAAAAACTTTAAGTTCAATTTATTATTAAGTTACCTCTATGTTAGGGTGCAAAGGTTTAATATTATAATTCAACCTAATTTAAAGATCTTTTATGAGTTATATCTCTATGAACAATATTTAGGACTCAGATTAATGAAAAATGGTCAAATTCTAAATTGGGAGGTATTGTGCAATGAGATAAATAAATTAAATAGCCATTACTTAGAGTAAGATTTATATATTTATTAGACGAAAATATCAGAAAATATCAAAAAATAGGTTAGGGGGTATTTTTGTTAGGAAAGCCGCCTAAAAATTTTTCAAAAAAATTTTTTTTAGCGCATTTTAATTCCTCAAAGCGGCTACTCAAATAAAATTTTGAAAAAATTGCGCCCCTTTAGCTTAGTGGTAGAGCGTTGCACTTGTAATGCAAAGGTCGCTAGTTCAATTCTGGCAGGGGGCATTATTTTTTTATAGAAACTTCAAAACTTTTTTCAGAAGAAATGAAATGAATTGCTTCAATGACTTTATGAATTTGAAATTTATTTAGCCAATTGTAATTCATTAAAGCTTTATTTTTTAAAGAACAGCGTGTAAGATATGTCAAGAGTCGGCGTGAAAAGAGCTGTAACTGCCAGTAAGTATTCATTTGAATCATTTGAATCATTTGAATCATTTGAATCATTCTAATCGTTTTTAAAAAGTATTAATACTAACTCTATGAAAAAGTTCAAAAATTCTATCCAATAGCTTTAGCAGATAAAAGTTGGGATAATACAGGTTTATTGGTAGATGCATCATCTGATGAAATCAAAGATGAAAGGATTAAGTTATTGTTGACTATAGATTTAACTCAAGCTGTAGCTGATGAAGCAGTTAATAAGAAAGCAAATTTAATTATGGCCTATCATCCATTTATATTTAGAGGTTTGAAATCAATAACATCTAAAGATCCTCAACAAAGATCATTAATTAAATTAATTCAAAATAATATTAGTGTGTATACACCACATACAGCAGTTGATAGTGCTAAAGATGGAGTTAATGACTTTTTAGCTGATGGGATTATCAGTGGATATGAAGAAATATCAAGAGAAGCAATTGAAAAAGATCCAGTAGCTGAAGAGTGTGGTATGGGTAGATTAATTACTCTTAATAAACCTGTATCTTTAACTAAATTAGTTGAAAATATTAAAATTTCCTTAGGATTGAAAAATGTTCAAGTTGCCCAAGCTGCTGGTATAGATGATCATTTAATATCTACAATAGCTGTATGTGCTGGATCAGGAAGTGGAGTATTTAAAGGGGTTAAAGCTGACTTGTATTATACAGGAGAAATATCTCATCATGAAGCATTATTTTTCACTGAAAGTGGAAGTTCTGTAGTAGCATGTAATCATTCTAATACAGAAAGAGCCTTTTTAAAAGTTATGAAACAACAATTATTAACTCAAATTCCTGATGCTGAAATTTACATAAGTGAAACAGATAAGGATCCATTCCAAATTTGGTAATTAACTAGATAAAATAAAAAAGTATTACATATATATAGCCTGTATTTATTTTCTATTTAACATTAATTTACCCCATATTTTTAATGTACATAATTAACTTGATTTAGGTAAACAGTAAGATACAGACGCACCCATGCCGCCAAGACCCCAAAATATTTTTTAGTAGATCTTTACTATGACAAATATCAGAAAACAGTATATAATTAACTAGTCCATAGGATAAGTACCATAGGATTTATGTATTAAAGCAACAAGTATCAGAACCAAGATCTAAGTGTGAATAGACTCGTCCTATTTTATTTTTTAGAACAAGTTCTAAATTTGTAAAGATGATGAAATCAAAGTCACAGAGTTTGCACCTATACGAGATGCAAGGCTCATTACCTTCATATAATGTTAAAGCAACTATAGTACCTTGTGAAGGTACCGATATTGTATTTTTATATGGAGGGTTTGATGATCTGGATCAATTAGATGGTAATGTATATCTTTTAAATTTAAAGACAAAAATTTGGGAAGTTGATGATAAACATGAAGGAATTTATAGAGATGGTCATCTGGCAATTCATATAGGAAATGGGAATGTTTTAGTATTTGGTGGAGTACCATATGATGAAGAATTTGCTGATACAGTATCTATATCCAATAGAAGAAATCAAAATCAGAATCATATTCCAAATCAAAATCAAAATCATTCATTTAATAAAAATAGTATAATGTTAATTTATAATATTTATACTAAGAAATGGATTGGACCCCCAGATTTCGCATTAAGTAATGCACCAGCTCCAAGATCAAGACATGCTTCATGTTTATCTCGGGATGGATCTAAACTTTATATAAGTGGAGGTTTAACTAAATCTTCTAATGGAAATGTATGTCTGGAAGATTTATATTGTTATGATTTAACTTCAGGTAATTGGATGGGGCCTATAAGATTTGTTTCAAGATTTGATCATTTTATTAAAATTCATGATGATAAATTATATTCATTTGGTGGACTTGATAGAGATATGAATCATGTAGTTAATACAGTATCGTTTTATTCATTTAAAACAAAAGAAGTTGGAGAAATAACTTTATATTCTCCTTATGATTATCAATATACTCCACCATCTGATAAAAGATATTTCTTTGGTGAAGAAAGAATCTTTTTAGATTCAAAAATAAATTCTTCATTAACTTTAAAAATGTTTTTACCTCCATGGAATTCTAATATAGCTGGACTTCATATTGATTATTTTAATACTGAGAAATATGAAACTTTAAAAGTATGTGATGTAGGAAGTTTTGCACCTTATTTTAAACAAAATTATATTGATATTATGAGTTATTCTTGGAAAATGGGATTTATTCATACTGGTGATGATAGTTTATATTTATTAGGAAATAAATTCCGAAGAGATTTTGAAGAACAGCCACTTGGAAATGAAAATGAAAATGAAAATGGTGATGGTGATGGTGATGGTGATGGAGATAGTTTAGATCCTAAATTAACTTCACTTTTAAAGGTAAAACTATCTTCATTAGGTATACCACTGAGTAATTCAATTCAATCTTATTCACTGAATAAATCACAATTAACTGTTGATTTAAAGAAATTATTAACTGATGAAGAATTTACTGATTTTGAAATCCTTGCCTTTAAAGATGAAACTGATAAATGTGAATATTCAGAATATTCAGATTCTTTTGATATTGAAAATTTATCAAAACTGAATAAATTAATTAGTATTAAAGTTCATAAGGCAATTTTAATAGCTCGATGGCCTCATTTTCATAGATTAATATCTATTGGAATGAATGAAACTATTCATAATAAGATGCTTATACCAGAACCTCAAAATTGGGTTAAGGGACTTATTTTCTTTCTTTATAGTGGATCTATAGAATTTGAAGATTATATTTTCCCTGAGTTTACAATCCTTGATTATTTAGGATTATTAATTCTATCAAATTTATATAATTTACCCGATTTAAAAGAAGTGGTATTATTTCAATTATATCGAGAATTTGAAGAATTTCAAATTCAATTATTTAAAGATCCAGAAAATGAACAAATAATTCTGATACTTTTAAAATTATGGAAAGAATTATCGATTGGAAATATTGAATCGATATTTCTTATGAAAGTTATTGAATTAATAAAATCTATATGGAGTACAATCACCAGATCTAATGCATTTTTAAGTCTTAGTAAAGAACTTATAATTAAACTTTGTCAAGATTCAAGTGATGAAATGAAATCAGAAAGTAATTTAGCCACTCCTGAATCAAGTCATGGATCTTTTGATCAAAATAATTATAGTGATGATCTTGAAACTCCCGCCCGAGTTTCAAGTTCTCCATTTGTTATTGATTTAGTTCATCCTACTCATCGTCAAAGTAGTTCATTTTCTAGTCTTCAACATTTGACAGGAGTATTAAACGATAATTTACATACGTGACAATTCTACTTTTAACAATTATACATTTAATTAATACATAAATAAACGAAAACAAACGACTCTATTAAATTCTATCTTGTTATTTCTCTTCATCTTGTTTGTCCTCGTCATGGTGTCCTAAAATATGATCAAACCAATCTCCAACAGTATCAATAGAATCTCCAATTGTATCTTGGGCATCTTCAACAAAATCTTGTAGACCATCGATTATTGAATCTAAAAAGCCTCCCTTATTACCTTCGTGTGGTTCTTCTTCTTCGTCATTATCATCATCATTATCATCTCCTTCATCAACTTCATCTTCAAAATCAGTTGGTTTAGCAATTGGAGTATTAACTATTGATGAAATACTCGACTCTTCAGATATCATTGATTGAAGAGGTTTATTATTAGTACTTATAGAAATTGTAGTAGCTGATGAATCAGCAGGCTTTTTCTTCCATAATAAATCATAAGTTGCATTCACAACAATATGATCAATCTTAAATGGTAAATCAGGATATTCCAATGGATCTAACCAATCATTAGATAATCCATTATTTAAAATTATTGTAGATGAACCATTATTAGGAGCAGGTTTAATATTTAATGAATCACATAATATATTATAAACTTCAGTATTTTTAAATGGTTCAAATTTATTATGACCAAATTGTTTAAAATATGGTCCACTACCTAAAAATATAGCTCTCATTAAAACTTCAGTATTATTATATCCATGAACACCTTTTGGAGAATATTCATTATTATTTTCTTTCATTTGTTTATGAGTAGATACTGAATATCCTACTTTAGGTATAATCCAAATTGGTGCTAAACGATAATTAAATCTATGATCAGAAATATTACCACCAAATTCCCATTCTGATGGAATATCTTCAACTTTAAAAACATCAAATGTATCTTTATAATCTAATTTCTTATAATTTTCCATAATTTCATTATATATTTCTTCATTTGAATATTGTTCAAAAGGTCTTAAACCAAATAATGGCCAACCATCTAAATGTTGAATTTTATTTAAATCCACTAAATCATCTAAATAAATAATTCTTTCATTTGAAGTTGGAGCCATTCCATGATCACTAACAATTATTAAATTAACAATATTATCTAAATTTCTATCATGTAATTCCTTTTGAAGTAAATCTATAAAATTATCAACATAAGTTAATGCATCAGTTAAATTTGTACCTGATATACCATATTTATGACCAAAAGTATCAATGGTTGGTACATAAGTTAAAATTAATTCTGGTCTAGTTGAAATATCTTCTTTATCAATCCATCCTAAAACTCGATCAACTTTAGATGTTAATAATTCTGATCCATTATATTTATCAAAATTAATTTCTGGTCCAATGGTTGGAACTTCACTACCTGGCCACATATGAACTGCTGCATTAATTCCTTGATTTTTAGCAGTTGTCCAAACTGGTTCACCTCCTTGCCAAAATTCAGGATTAAGACCTCCAACTTTTGGATTTGTATTAATAAATTGTTTTTTTAATAAAGGATCATAAAATGTATTACCAACTATACCATGTTCAGATGGATATAATCCAGTAACTAATGACCAATGATTTGGAAATGTTGATGAAGGAAATGAAGGTATCATATAAGGAGAAGCATATTCATTAACTAAAAGATTATGCATAGTTGGTGTAAGTTTTGGAGTAATATAATGAGGATGAAATCCATCTAATGAAATTATAATGGTTGTAGGATGAAAATCATGAGTTGAATTAGATATTATTTGTTTATTAAATTTATTAACATATATTGTCGTTGAATGATTCTTATTATTTCTAACAATTAAGAATATAATTATTGAAATTAATAATCCCGTTATAATTGATCCAAATGCTACGGTTTTGCGGACTTTCTTATTAAGTAATTTAATTTGATAATCTCTAATATCAAATCGATTAGGATTTTCAATATCTTCATCATCAATTTCAAAACTGTCATCATCACGTTCACGTTCTCGTCCATTTGCGTTATTTAACATTTGATAACTTGAATCAGAACTATTACCTGGTGAAGATGATGATTTAAATAGTGAAGTGACTTTTCCTAATAATTTCCCCATATTATTGGATTTGCCATCATTTTCATAATCTAATACTTCTAGAAAGTCTTCATCATTACTGGTAGATCGATGAAGATTATTTTGTTCATTAAATAAGTAGTCATCATCGGGATCATCCATATCGGTTACAGGAACATCTACCGCGTGTGGTTGAGGATAATTCACCGACATCTTATTCGGTTTAGTTGTGGTAGTTGTGGTGCTTGTGGTGCTTGTGGTGGAGTATTTGGGTAATCTATTATTAGTATCCCTATTTGATAAGGACCCTATTGTTAATAAATAAATAAATTTATTGGTAGTGTACAGAATCTGCCGATGCTGGATTTCGCACTATAGTAGTTAACACTTAATACTTTATACTTAATACTTTATACTTAAAGCTTAATGATTAACGCATATATATATATAATATATAGTTAAAACATGTGTACTGCATTCATGTAGATATTATAGTGGAGTAAAAGTGATTCTTGAACTATGCAGATTTTGTTATTATGGTATATTATATCTACTCTCTATTTACTGATGTATATCATAGTTTAGACTACTTTTCTATAAATAACTAGTGATATACACAGATATCTAAATTGTGACATTTGTCTATATCTCTATTACTACCATCTCTTCCTTTACTATGAGATGGAATTAGGACTATTCTGCCATTTTTAGCTTCCAATGTCTCTTACCACTGTTATTTTCTTAGCAATATGACATATTTTATTGGATGTACATAACACAATCTGAGCGCGTATTTGGGTGCAAAATCATTTAATTATTCATTTTATTGAACATAATAAATTAAACATATACAATAATATCTATATAAAGTATAAACAGCAGAAAGAATTGAAATTTGACATTACGATTTAAATAATACTATTACTATGGTAAAGGTGAGATTATCTAGTAAACATCACCTTGGTCAAACATAGCATCAGCAACCTTAATGAAACCAGCAATGTTAGCACCCTTTAAAAGAGATGGTAAAGCATGAGCATCCTTAGAAGCAGCATACTTAACGGCAGTTTCATAACAAGCTTCGAAACATTCAGTCATGATAGTCTTTAATTTGGTGTCAACTTCTTCAGAAGTCCATTGAACTCTTTGAGAGTTTTGAGCCATTTCTAAACCGGAAACAGCAACACCACCACAGTTAGCAGCTTTACCTGGAGCATACCAAACACCAGTTGGTCTGGCAGCTTCAAAGACATCAATGGCATCTTTGGTTGAACCCATATTGGAACCTTCAGCAACAAATTTAACACCAGCTTCAACTAAAACTTTAGCTTCTTCACCACTGACTTCATTTTGAGTGGCTGATGGTAAAGCAACATCAACTTGACCAACCTTAGTCCATGGACGAACACCAGCTAAGTATTCAACACTGTTAGCACCAGAGAAAGCTTTGACAGATTGTTCAACAATTTGTTCTAATGACTTGTGCTTAATCTTAGCATCAGCAATTTCAGCAATTTGTTCAACAGTAATACCAGTTTGACTGATAATAGCACCCTTGGAGTCAGATAAGGAAACAACAGTACCACCTAATTCAATAACCTTTAAGGCAGCGAATTGAGCAACATTACCAGAACCGGAAATGGCAACTCTCTTACCTTTGAAGGATTCCTTACCGTTAGAAGCTTTTTCAATCATTTTTTCAACATAGTATACTAAACCGTAACCAGTAGCTTCTGGTCTAATTAAAGAACCACCCCAAGTTAAACCTTTACCAGTTAAGATACCAGAGAAATTGTTTTGCATTTGTTTGTAGGCACCGAATAAGAAACCGATTTCTCTACCACCAACACCAATATCACCAGCTGGGACATCAGTATCAGCACCAATATATCTGGCTAATTGTCTCATGAAAGCGACACAGAATCTTCTGATTTCAGCATCGGATCTACCCTTTGGATTGAAATCAGAACCACCTTTACCACCACCCATGGATAAACCAGTTAAGGCATTCTTAAAGATTTGTTCAAAACCTAAGAATTTTAAGATAGATAAGTTAACGGTTGGGTGGAATCTTAAACCACCTTTGTAAGGACCTAAGTTGGAGTTGAATTGAACTCTGAAACCATTGTTAACTTCGATTTCACCATTATCATTTTCCCAAGCAACTCTAAATTGAATAATTCTTTCAGGAATAGAGACAACTGGAATAACCTTCTTATATTGAGGATGTTGAGTAAATAAAGTAGAATCTTCTAAAGCATGAACTAATTCATTGTAAGCTTGTTGAAATTCTGGTTCGTGAGGTAAGACCATTTTAGATAGTTATTGATATGATAATAAGATAAGAAATAAGATGAGAAGGAAATAAAAATTAGAATAAAAGTGAAAAATTCAAAAATTGAAATTAAAAATGGGTTAGGGAGTAAATTCAAGTATTTAAATAATTTGCGATGAACAGATCAGTTACAAGTAAAAATTATCAACGTATACATCTACAGTTGTATAATATTGTGTTAAAATATAATATTAATTAAATTAATAATTTAAAGTATAATGTAACAATGAAACACTCGGTAAATAAAAAAAAAAACATCTATAGGAGAACTGAGTCAAATTCTCACTAAACTTAAGTAATTTACCCTTTAACTATAAGTAAACGGAACACAATTCAGCCTACTTTGACTAGTAATTTTTCAATATAACCTTTAAAATATTAAAAATAAGAGTCATCTGTACTTCAAATTTTATTCTAAACAATAATACCGATTACTATTTTGTGTTAAAAATCTAATCAACCCAATCATTCCCATGCATGAATGAGCGTGGTGGGCAAATTCTCACTGGCGATTGATAAAGACCTACTAAATTAGCATTGTGCCCCTTATAAACCTTAACGGACCGATTTCTTCTGTTAAATACTGCGGTATTGATGTGTTGTTCAAATTCCGGCACAGGACTTGGTTTATTCTCACTAATTTCTTTTTTTTTTTCTTTTTCCTTGTATGTTTCCGCAATCCTTTAACGGACTCAGAGTCAGTAAAATTTTCGATATTACTTTTTTCGCCCTGCGAAACAAAAATTGTTGCCGAGTTAACGGCCCATTTCTATTTTGCAATTAAAAGCCCAGAGGTGTGCAAAAAGAGACTCCACATTTATTTCTTATTTTGCGAGCCAAGGATGACTCAATTCATCATTAGACATGCTGCCTAACTTAATTTATTTTTGAAATTATGCGTAGTTTCGTATTACATTACTTGAATATTTTTCAATTATGTCGGCTTACTTAGCCGTCATTACGAAAATTTTTACATGTATATTTTCTCCTATATCATATAATTAATACAACAAATTGCTAGTAAACTGCACCTGTAACTGCCCACGCTCATTACTAATTATAACCTTTCATTCTGTTATCTGTTTCAGTTATTAAAACAATTTTCAATAAGTAGTTACATGAGAATTTGTATTCCCCCAAAAACAAAATTTATTCTGTACTATTGCGATTCTCGGAGCCTTGCAATTGACCACGAACCAAAAACTCATGAAGTAAAATCTGAAACATATTTTTGACTCTCGTAGCCCCAGAGTAGTAGCCTTATCCTTCCCTGAAATCTTATCGGACCAATCATATTCATTATTTCCAAACCATCTTACTTTTTGAGAGGGCCTCATTGTCAAAAAGCTTGTTGGACTTTTGTGTTTGTATACTGAATCATGCAGGAAATTTCTAGCTGGAAATTGCCGTAACTTACAAACCGGCTTACTCCACATACAAAACTAAGACAACTATTATACTAAAATTAATTGTTCGTTAAAGGCATTACTTAGACTATCGACCCATACTTTAGTGTTTTGAACCTTCTGATCTTGTTTGTATTCTTGAAGTTGTCGTTTACTTTTAAAGATACTTAATTTCTCGAATTTATTCTTAATACTAATATACTGGGTCGTTAATGATATTATATCCTGATTTGTTTTTACTTCATTATCGTAGATAATATCTAATAAAGTCAAAACTTCTTCTATTTCCTCAATAGTTAATCCTTTAAGTACCTCTGTTAAAGTTGCTGAATCATACATATGATAAGGGCCAAAAATAAAAGTAATTTCATTAGTCTCAATTAATGATTTACTAAGTGAATTACAAATTGTAGTATCTTCTTTGAATGACGTAAGTCTGTTATTTTGAGTATCATTACATTGAATTTTCGGAGTTTGTGATATCAAAGCCGTTGAAATTCTCGTACTATATTTCCTTGAATTTGGAAAAGCACCATCAGCCGAATCGTCACTTTTAAGTTGGATTAACTTTTTATTATCAGTTTTCTTGGTATTTGGATTCCCCACGTTTGCTTTCTACACAGGGTTCTTATCTACTACTGATGTAATTGATTCGGGCTCTGCTTCACTCTCTGATTCCGATTCTGATTCTATGACTCCTGAACATATTGAGTACTTATCTACAAATTCAATGAAACTTCTCAAAGCTTGTTTCCAATCTTTTCTATCTGTGTTTGTCTCTTGGACTTGATCAATTTCATCATTTGACTCTTGAATCTTCTTGCTGTTGCGCTTTCTTTGTTTTCTTGATTTCTTAGACTTCTTCTTAGCTTTCCCTTGACACATTAAGTTTCTCTTCTCTGCTACTGAATATGTTAATCTTACACTTAAACAGAAAACAAAGGTAGTTTATACAATTATTATTATATTTCTAATATACACTCATATTTATTAATAGTATGTTAAGCAGAACATTCTAAATTCTACATTACGATTTATATAAACTTCTATTCTGCGTAATGGCGCTACCATAACATCTGCATTGTAATTTTTCGCAGTCTATACAATTATACGAAATTATCTAAGACAGTTTCTTCTTATTATTGTTATTACCTGAAACTAAGTTGTAATTCAAATAGTAATCAATGAATTTCTTCTTTTCTTCGACGTTCAAATTATTACTGATTAAAGGAAGATTATTTAATTGGAATGATGCTCTAATTTTACCTTCATCAAAAGTATCAAATTTATATATCTTAACCTTAATATTTCCTGATCTTGATAAATTGGAGAGTAATTCAAAAAGATAATAAAATTTCGAGTAAATTCCTGGAATAGGTAATGTATATGAAGCTGGTTGAAGTTTTATAACTACTGATTTAACTTTTGATTTCTTTAATAATGATGAAACTTCCGGGATATTAATGAATGGTAAAAGGGCTTTATTATTTGAAGTTGCCCCTTCTAATAAGAAGAAATTTACCGAATTTGACAAGTCTAATGAAGAAAAATCTTTGACAATAGCTGATTCATTATGAATTGAAGTGAATGTAAATCCAATTAAAGTCCATACGGAATATTGATATACCTTTTTAGTATTGAAATCTGGAATAAAGATCTTAATACTCTTCCAACTATTAACATTTGAAATTAAATGATAAATTAATCCATCAATAGGAGTTAAATAATTAGTAATAATTATATCACCTACAATTGGTTTATAATTCTCAATTTCTTCAGTATTAGATCGTTTAACTCCATCTACAGATATATTAGTATCATTAAAACCAAATAATGATAATATTATTACTTCTAATGTAAATTTAATTGAAGTTAAATAATATAAAAGTCCAAGTATAACAAAGAATGGAAGTTTTATAATAAATGAAATAGATTTAAAGATAATAGATCCAACTTTTTGAATTATATTATGTTCTTGAGCAAGTGGGAATTGTACAGGTATGAATGGTGAAACTCCTGTTGCTTTATCTCTCCATGATGAAAACTTTTCCATTGTAATGGTGAGTGAATATGACTTAGTATTATAGTTAACTAGTCAAGAACTGTGTCGCTAAGTTTTGAATTTTCAATGACATTTTTCAATTCGCACTCGAAGGCGACAAGACGACAAAGACGACACCGCATATATAAGCAGGATCAACTTTGGCACACTCACACAGTATTTGAGGGGTTACATTACTATCAACTCAATTGAGTTAACTATGAGGTTAAACAACTTTAACTAATTGTATTACTACTCTACAAGATTAAATAATTCGTTCAAATATATTTATTTGATAAATATATCATTTATAACTAATGTACACAAAGAACTAATACTAATAATAATAGGAAATAGAAGAATCAAAAGAAAGCAATCATAAAATTAAAAGTCAAAGATTTAAACATATAGTAATGTTAATCTTAAACTTATAATTCTTGAGAAGCCTTACCTGGCTTAGCCTTCTTAGTTGGTAATAAGGATGCGTGAATGTTTGGTAAAACACCACCTTTAGCAATAGTAACATGACCTAATAATTTATTTAATTCTTCATCATTTCTGATAGCTAAAGATAAATGTCTTGGAATAATTCTTGATTTCTTATTATCTCTAGCAGCATTACCAGCTAATTCTAAAATTTCAGCAGCTAAATATTCTAAAACAGAAGTTAAATAAACTGGAGCACCAGAACCAACTCTTTGAGCATAGTTACCTTTTCTTAATAATCTATGAACTCTACCAACTGGGAAAGTTAAACCAGCTTTAGCAGATCTTGAAGTTGAAGCTTTTTCGGATGAACCGGCTTTACCTTTACCACCAGACATTTTATATTATATGATTAATTATATTAAGTATTTAAAGAGTTTTAAATATGAAGGGAAAGAAAAAACTTCAATAAAAGAATTAATAGTAAATTAGAATTTTTTGTTTAAGGGATGTTGTACAGTTTAAATAATTTGTGAGACAGGGGAGACAAACAAAAAGTCAAACTACTGAGAGGGAAACATTTAGTTAGGTGCGAGTCGCTATAGTGAGTGAGTGAATGTTTGTTTTGGTTAGATTAGCGCGTGACAGTTTCAAATTTACACAACAAATTTTAGAGATTACGCATGCCTGGAGATGTGGTCTGTGATTTACACACCCTGGGTGTGTAACTATGAGACTTGGGGAATCACTATTATTGACTGCAAATTAACTACGAATGACTACATGAGTACCGTTACTGTATCAATATATTGTATGAGTAATGGGTAGAGAGTATAGATAACTATAGAGAGTAGTGAAAAGTGTTATCAAACCATAGTAATAAGTAATAATTAATGAGAACAGAGTAGTGAGGGCTCTGTATAATGAGTTACTGTACTCTGTACACTGTAAACTGTACACTGTACTCTACTATAATGTAAACTGTACTGTAAACTGTACTGTTCATCAACAACAGGAGAAGAGAAGAACAGGAGATCAAGAGTGTTAGGGCGTGGCGAGGCGAGGCGAGGGGATGTTTGTGATTTATTTACTATTTGTTTTGATACTGCTACCGCTACACTTTACTGTGCGCGTTATTTTGCGTGGACTCTTCTATTTGTTTTGTTTGTTTCTTTGTTTGTTTTGATTTCCTCTGCTCCTCCCTCACCTCCCTAACTTTTTTATCTTGTCATTCTACGCACTACGCACTGGGGGAGACCCCCTAACCTCCCTACATTTTTTACTATTTAAGCAATGTCAATTCCCTTTGCTAATATCATTAAGGGATTTAGTTTAAAATTTTATTTATTTATAATCTTTTTTCCTTTCTTCTTTTATTCTTGTTTTTGTTATTCAATTACTAATCAACATTAATTTAATTTAAAATGGCCCCACCTAAAGCTGAAAAGAAACCTGCTTCAAAAGCTCCAGCTGAAAAGAAACCAGCTGCTAAAAAGACTGCTTCAACTGAAGGTAAGAAGAGAAGTAAAACTAGAAAGGAAACTTATTCTTCATATATTTATAAAGTTTTAAAACAAACTCATCCAGATACTGGTATTTCTCAACAAGCTATGTCTATTATGAATTCATTTGTTAATGATATTTTTGAAAGAATTGCTTCTGAAGCTTCTAAATTAGCTGCTTATAATAAGAAATCTACTATTTCTGCTAGAGAAATTCAAACTGCTGTTAGATTAATTTTACCAGGTGAATTAGCTAAACATGCTGTTTCTGAAGGTACAAGAGCTGTTACTAAGTATTCTTCATCTTCTGCTTAAATATAATAGTTTAATCAAATCTTAACTACCAACCCCTCCTACCTCCCTTTACTTCTATTTTACTATTATTATTAGTCTTTTTTATCTAAACAAACAGTTTGATTTGAAATAAAGAATAGTCATTGAGTTTACTCTATGTGTTCTTTTGTATATTAGTTAATTATAATGAATATATTATATTATTATTATTATTATCAGTAATTGAATAGTAAAATGCTCTATATACAAACTATTACTAATACTATAACTATAACTAATACTATAATTACTCTAATTACTCTAATTCGATTTACCTGTACTTTGATCTGATTTAGTAGTATATTCATCACTTTGACTTTCATCATCTTCATCAACTGATTGATTATCTCCATGTTTATCGTGATAAATTCCACTACTACTAATCACTAAAATACTTAACCAACAACTTAATATATTAAATAAATGATGAAGCCAAAATGTATGACAACTACCATAAATCAAACAATAACTTATAAAATATCCTATAAGTGATAAACCAATTCTTTTAAATATTGGATTAGATGTATAAGATGTAATTGATAATCTTTTCAATTGAGAATTTCTTTCAACTAATAATAATATAGGTAATATAGATAAAATATTATGATGAGATGAAAATGGAGTTTTCCAATTAATTGAAATATTATGAACAAATACAATTACAATGGGGATATTTATAGGTAATATCCATAACATAAGAATTAATAAAGATAATTGATATCTTTGTAGATTATTTGATGAAGTTTGACAACTCTTTAAATAATTAATTAATTGAACAACAACTCCAATTACATATACTAATTGATAAGGAATGTAGATGGGGATAAGTAAAAGTAAGACAATTGAAACAATTAAACGACGATTAAATGATTGATAACTATTACTATTAGTATTACTATTGATATTATGATTCTGAGTATGAGAATGATTCCGATTATGAGGAATCTTACCAATACTGGTGGTTATACCCTTTGATATAATTCGAATTAATTTCCCAATTTGAATCAATATAGTATAAGTTAAAATCACCAAACTATTACCAATTAAATAAAATAATATACTTAAATACCATAATGAATTCTCTTCAAGACCTAAGAAAAATGAATTAAGTTTAAATTCATTATCTAATGATATATTAATTTCATTAACATCTTGTATAACTACTGGATCAATTATATTTAAGAATTTCTTAATAAATTCAATTTTAACTAATGGATTTAATATAATTAATATTAAAATTATTCCCATAATTCTTTTACCAGTATTTATATAAGTTAAAACTGCTAAGAAATTTGGGAATTTATTTGTTGTTAAAAAGATATTAAATTGAATTAACATCACCATTAATATAATCAGAACACATATTGAAACAATGGCTAATCTATATCGTAATACTAATAATCTTAAACTTTTAATAAGATCAATTTTAATTTCAATATCCATTGGTGAATCATCATTATTAGTTGGTAAACTCCATATTTCAAGATTAAGTCCATAATTCTTATTAATTTTAAATGGTACATAAGGAGCAATTCCATGTAAATTAATTGATAATGGTTGATTATTTTTAATATTAATATGCCATTTACTTTCATATGGTGATTCAATCCATTGTCTTATAAATGTATTAAATTCTCCTCGTTGATTATTATTATTATTATTAATTTTATTTTTAATGAATAATTTATATTCTAATAAACTACTCCATGCACTAGGGATTTTAATATTACAAACTAATGGTTTAGTTAATGGTAAAGTAATATCAGCTCCACCTCGTTTAAATAATGTAGATAAATCTTTACCTAATTCAAATTGACTAGAATTTAAATCACTTAATTCTGCTAATAAAAAATCATCATCATTTTTAAATTTAGTTGAAGTAATTAATAATACAACATCATTTTCTGATAATATCAGAGGATTAATTTTAATTCCATGAAATGGTAATTTATTACCTCCAAATGATGAATCCATTAATGAATTAGTTGAATTATGTGATTGAGGAATTAATCCATCATAATAAGTTGATGCATCACGACATTTAAGTGCAACATATTCTGTTGTTTTATCAGTTGTATAATCTATAAGATCAGAATCATCATCATTTTCTTCAAGATTATTACATAATAACATACTCCAAAATCCTTCATCTTCATCAGAAATATCTTTCCATGATTGAGTTGGTGACATTGAACTAATTAATGAAAATTGTTCTTCTTCATTTTTATTTAAATGAAATGCATAATATTTTCGAGGTGGTGAATCTTTATTTATACGTATTTTCTTTTCTCGACTAATTAATGATGAATCAAGTTTAAGTTTGAGATTAAGATTTGATTCTTCATATTTATTATTATTATTAATATTTGATTCAAATCCTGTAAGTAAATATTGTTTAAAAATATTCATTCTATCTTCAAGATTCTTAGTTTTACTTGGTTTATTATAATCAACAATTTCTAATAATAATCGAGCTAATTTTTGTCTTAATTGAGCACACCAAACTATTGCTAAATGATCTATTGGTGTCCAAACTTGAGGTATACCTGTTGTAAATACTGTAAATCCATTAGTTGATGGAACTAAAAATCCTAAAGTTGTATAATCCGCTGGTAATGTAGCATCAAGATTACCTCCTGTTATTGAAATTAATGAAACATCATGTAATCTTTCTTTAGCAATATTAGAATAATGAGATATTGTAGAATTATGAAATCCAGCATACCAAAATCTATCAATTGCTGAATAAATTTTTAAAATATCTCCATCAAAAGTTAATGGAGCTGCAGCATGAGGTGATGATAAAGTTATAATTGTATTAATTGATTTATTAACATAATTAGGTAATGTTATCATTACTCTTGAAACAATTCCTCCCATTGAATGACCAATAATTATAACTGATGTTGGAGGATTTTCATTATTTGAATATAATTCAAGTATAAATTTAATAGCTTCATTAAGATATTCTGCTTGATCTAATATAGTTCGACCATGAAAAGCTGTAAAATCTTCATTAAAATCAGCAGTAAAGAAATCTAAATTCTTATAATTTGAATTATGTTGATGAATTAATTGTTGAAAATAAATATCAGAACTTTGAGATGCAATTGATCGAACTTGTCTATAACTACCAGCATTTCCTGGAATAAATAATACTGGTATACCATCAAGTTTCAGATATCCATTTTCCAGATCTGGTATAGGATCTTTACCTTGTTCACGATATAAATAAAGGGAATATTTTGAGGCAAACTTTGTATGAGATTCATCGAATGCTTTTATTCTAGCATATGAAGGATACATATAAACCACTCTACATCCTGAAGAATCCGCTCCAGTTTGTTTGGTTAAGTAAGTGGATGCAATTAATGTAATTAAAATTAATCCTAATCCTGTAAGAATTGAAAGTACTATACGATTCAGTCGTATCTTGGATCTTTCACCTATTGATATTGATACCATCTTTTTTAGTTCATGAGTTGAAGAAACAGATCCAATGATCTTCCTAATGTACTAATACTTCTGTATTGTATATATAATGTATATGTACTTTATATATATACTTTATATATATACTTTATATGTATCTGCTTGCCCAGGTATGAATCCAGGGTTAGCTAATATCACCAAAGTGGTGGGATACCTTAAACAAATTTCGGGCTCGCTTGTTTTGGTGCGCTTTGGGTGTAAAAATGTTTTATATTATTGTTGCAAACTACTTAGAGAGGGACTATTGAGTATACGTACTAACGAGAAGGATGTGTCTGTTTGTATATGTGTATATGTGTATATGTATATATTTCTGTTTCTGATTCTGATTCTGTGTCTGATCCTGTAGTTATGTTTACTACTCGTTCTTTTTATCATTGAGCTTGTCTTCTTCAGTCAGCTTCTCTTCTCCTTCTTCTTCTTCTTCTTCTTCTTCCTTTATTATTACTCTATCACCAAACTGAGGATCTTGCTCAACTACCTCCACCTCTACATCATCATTCAAAATCCCTACGTCTTTAGTCAATTCTATCAACTCTTTAATCTCTTGAGTCAGGAAATGACCATCAATTGGAATCTTACCAGGAGGAATCTCAAATCCATCAGAATCAATATCAACTCCTGAATCTCTCATATCTTTCTCTTCTCGTCTACTATACCCTTTGTTTCTATCTAATACTTGTTTGTATTGAGAACTGATGAATTGTTCTCCTTGTCTACTTTGATCTTCAGGCTCACTAGATGAAAATTCATCGACTAACTTCTTCAATTTCTTTAATGCCTGACTCTTGTCTCCATTAGACGGAGCATCTTTCTCAGGTTGACTAATTATCTCAATCTTGTTATCCATCTTATTATCCTAAACTAATAACTTACTATACAATATGAAGAATATACTCATTTTACTAAATTATTTAAAGTTAATCATTAACTTTCAATATAGTTGCTATTTGGGGCAAATGGTCTATTATCCTGTACACAGTTAATAATGACGGAGTTTAACTAAACCTTTACACTTTATATACTAATACTTATACGTAACCTATAACATATATTGAAATTTTGTTTTAGATAACTCTATAAAATATCGTTACTTATGCCTTTATATATTATTCTGTCATTGGAACATCATCATCTTCACCTTGATCTTTTTCATCATTCTCTATTTCTTCATTAGCCTTCTCTTTCGCACCCAATTGTCTAATACCTTGTAAGAAATTATCAACACCTTCTCCCTTATAATCATATTTAAGACTTTGAGCTAATAAATATCCTGCCCCATTTCCTTCTCTTAACAGATTTGTTAATCTTTTTTCACTTTGTTTAAAAAATCCACTTTTTATTACATTAATTAATTCTGATTTATTAGGATTAGAACTTAAAGATTCTGGTAAATAATCTCCATATAATTGTTTGATTTGTTCAGTATTTAATTCTTCAAGATGATTTTCAATAGTTTCAATAGTTAAAAAATCTGAAATTGATCCAATTGGGAGCTTAAAATCAGATGCTCTAGTTGGTGCTGTACTTTATCTGTTAGTTAATATTATTATGTAAAACAAATTATTTTTAAAAAAAAATTCTACTTACCTTTCTTCTGGCTTTGATTCTTCTTCTTCAGCTATTGGTTGTTTTTGTTCCTCTTCTTGTTCTTCTTCTTCCTCCTCTTCTTCTTCTTCATCAAATTTCAATGAGATTAATTCATTAACAGATTTAACTAAATTTATATCCTTTTCTGTTAATTTATCTACCTGATCTATATCACCTACATCTTGTAACCAATATAAATATTTAGCTCCTGAACTATAAAATGTTAATGCAAATACTCTTCCAGTAGTACATGATGAAATATGTTTAAAAGTGACATCTCCAGGCATTAATAATAACATTTCCTTTTCTGGTACATTTCCAGCAATAGTTACATCACCTTTTGGACTCCAAATAAAATCAAATAATTCGGCTTCTTCAGCATTAGCCTTTATACTAATAACTCCCTTATGAGCTAATGGTGTACAACGATGAGTAGTTTCATCATACTGTACTCTTCCCGCATTAAACTTTATGGCTCTAGGTGCTGACATGACTGAATATATACTACAATTCTTATACAATTGATAAAGTAGGAATCTATCTATGATTATTCTAGATCCATATCGCCACTGTGAACTTCGATCTTTTGCTCGTTTTTTCATTTGATCCAATGCGCACGACTTTAATCTTTATGAGATCATATTTTCAATGTCAATTACCAATTATCAATTGTATATAATTAGAATATCTATTAAATATATATATATATAACAAGTAATTGATATGACTAGTAATAGCTTCCCACCGGAAGATATCCAATTGATAGTTGGTAAAATTGCAGAAATATTACGAAAAAGAAATGAGACATTATCAATCTCAGAAGCAGCTTGTGGAGGATTAATTTCAGCTTATATAGTATCAATACCGGGAGCTTCTAATTTTTATATAGGAGGTAAATTAGTTTATTCATTAAAGCAAAGATTGAAATTGTCAGGATGGACTGAAGAAGAAATTAGAAATTATATGGGACCATCAACTCAAGTGGCATTAAAATTAGCTCGAACTACAAAATATGAATTAGGTTCAACATATGTTTTATCGGAAACAGGATTTGCTGGACCATCTCAAGATTTACATTTGAATGATAATGAATCTAAATCTGGAACTAATGAACAAGTTGGTACTGTTTATATAGGATTTTCTGGTCCTAAGGGAGAAGTATCAATTTCAAAGCAAACTGGAAGTCATGATAGATCATTAAATATGACTGAATTTGCCAGAATTGGATTGAAATTCCTCTTGGAACAACTTGAAAAGATTAATGATTAATGTTAATTAGGGTAAATAGAATTCGATAATAAAAATATTAGGATTATTGAATATATATGTAGAGATAGTAGATGAAAAGAGTGTAGAAAACTTGATAAACTTTGTAAATATCTATGTTTTTAAGTAAGTCACTGGTTCATTGTAATTCAATATGATATTAGATATTTAGCATATATGAAATAATTTTGTATTAATTTCAGTTATATAATTTATTAAAATTTTGCAATTTTTCTACAGTATTTCAATTAACTCAGTAAATTATAGATATTTATGCTTTCTGAATTTTGATAATATTAACAATATATATCTCTAAGATCTACTTACACTATCTATATTGACGATAACCACTGAAATGTTATCTTAAAGTGGCAATTTGTTTACAAAACTAGTATCAATTAATTATTTTGCATTCATTTGGTTAACTATGAGAACTTCGCCATCATTACAGACTGAAGTATCTCTTCACAAAAAAATATTGAAGACATAAAAACATATCAAATATAACTATGTATATGGTTTAAATATATATATACCATTGAATTCTTCTAGAAAAATTATTACATCCAACTATTAATAGATTAATTAAAATCCTTACTTATTATTATAAGCACGTGAAATAAGCACATGACCAAGCACATGACCGACACGTCTCCATAAAAATCTATCGCATTGTTTTTTCGTTTTTTTCCCCTTAAGTACACCGTTTGTTTGAAAGTTTTATGAGAGTATCCGCACTGGTTGAAAAAAGAAGGCACACACAAAACAAATCTCATACAAATCATAAATAAAATTTAATAGTCAACAAACTATCGCATACGGCGGCTAGTCAGTTATATTAACAAGTTAAAGTCCAAACAAGCCTAAGTTAAGTACAAGAAGGATCTCATTTGTTTATTGGTCCAATTATTTATAATTCTTTACAGTACTTGTTGTATAATCTTAAATCAATAAGTTTTGTTTGTTGTCCACTTTTAATTTACACGATATAGTATTGTTGATCACCCCATAGAAATGACAACTGGTATGTATTATAATATATTTTATATTTTAATTTATAAATCTATTCAAGATTGAATTACTAACTAATTTATGACTTTAGAAGTTCAAACTCCTGTTTCATCAGGTACTCATCCTGAAGTTAAGATTATTAGGAAGAAATTAAATGGTTATGTAGGATTTGCCAATTTCCCAAAACAATGGCATAGAAAATCTGTTAGAAGAGGTTTTGTATTAAATGTAATGGCAGTTGGAGAAAGTGGATTAGGTAAAACTACTTTAATTAATACTCTTTTTAATAAAGATATCTTAACAAAAAAAGATGAAGAATTTGAATCAATTGATGAATCATCTAAACCAAATGATGAAGAAATTAAAGTAAAGATTAATTCAATTGAACAAGAAATAGAAGAAGATGGAGTTAAATTAAAACTTAATGTAGTAACTACTCCAGGTTTTGGTGAATCCCTTGATAATACTGATTCTTGGAAACCAATTGTTGATGAAATCAATAGTAGATTTGATTCTTATTTAGAAGCTGAAAGTAGAATTAATAGATCTGTTATTAAAGATACTAGAATTCATGCTTTATTATATTTTATTGAACCAACTGGTCATTCATTAAAGTCTTTAGATATTGCTTTTATGAAACAAGTTCATGAAAAAGTTAATTTAATTCCAATTATTGCTAAATCTGATACTTTAACTGATGAAGAAATTCAAGGGTTTAAACAAAGAATTTTAGCTGATATTCAAGAACAAGGTATTAAAACTTTTACTCCAATTGATTATCAAAGTTCTAATATTTCTAATGATGGAATTACTGAAGATGAAGAAAGTATATTAAAGACAAAAGAAATTTTAAGTAAAGTTCCATTTGCAGTTATTGGATCAACTAAAGAAATTCAAAATCCAGAAGGTAAATTAGTAAGAGGTAGACAATACCCTTGGGGTATAATTGAAGTTGAAAATCAAAATCATAATGATTTTAGTTATTTACGTCAATTATTAGTTAGACAATTTTTGGAAGAATTAAAAGAACAAACTTCAAATATTTTATATGAAAATTACAGAACTGAAAAATTAAAGAGAATGGGAATTGAACAAGATAATTCAGTATTTAGAGAATTTGATCCATTAGCAAGACAAGAAGAAGAAAAGGCATTACATGAAGCTAAATTAGCTAAAATGGAAGCTGAAATGAAGGCTGTTTTCCAACAAAAAGTTTCTGAAAAGGAAAAGAAATTACAAAGATCTGAAGCTGATTTATTCTCAAGACATAAAGAAATGAAAGATAAATTATCTAAACAAATAAAATTATTAGAAGAAAAGAAAGTTCAATTAGAAAAGCAAAAAACTTTACCACAAGAACCTCCAGCTGCTCCAGCACCTCAAAAGAGTCGTAAAGGTTTCTTACGTTAAGTAAATTTAATTATTGTCTAAAGGGTATTCATTGATGATTAATCTAATTAATTATTTACAATTAGTCTAATCAAATTAGTATTTTTATTGTTTTGTTATGTTACTACTTAATATATATACTAGAAAGAATTATTTATTGTAGTTGTATATGTAGATCAAATTGAGTAAATGCTCATGTGAGCTTAGTTAGAAGTTGCTATATATTATGTCATGCATATGATTAAGCAATAAAGAAAAGTATTGTAGTTAGTAGTAATCCACTAATTTTCAACTCTGTTTAACTAAGTAACAATATACTACTGTATATACTACTGTATATACTACTGTACTTAGTTAAAATACTATGATACTGGCTAAGTAATCTACTTATAGCATTCAAGGTTAGTCCCTGCATGTAATAAACTCCGTAAGCAGTTAGACCAGCGCAGCTCCAAAAAAAAAAAAAAGAACTATAGAGCGAGGAGAGAAGACAGCAAATTTCAGATGCACTTGAGAATGTCATAATTTACTATGGCGAAGGATTAATTTCGAAATTAAAATTATTAAGTATCGAGTGATCTTTTACTTTATATATAAATTTAGATACAATTGCTAATAAACGTTTAAATTTAAGTAGTTATTATTATCAATATTATTGAAAAGAACGATAAAACCAAATATGTCAGAATCAACCCCTACTCCAGCCACTGGAGCAGTAAAGCCCAAATTTGATCAAGAAGAATTAATTAAACTTGTTAAAACTCCTGATTTTATCAGATTTATTGGACAATTCATTACTTTAATATCTGTTATATTATATTCTCTTACTTATATTAGAATTGGAACTTCATGGTATTGGATTTGGTATCAATTGTCATTACTTGGAGTTATTGGAAGTTTAAGTGTTGTATTATTAGAAGATATTAAAGTTAAAGGATTTAATTTTGTTTCCCTTATTAAGGATGATAATGTTCATTATGCCTTATTAGCAGGATTATTATTATTCATTAGAGCTTATGTTTTATTAACTTTAATTCCATTTGGTATATTTGCTTTATTTAATGTTTTAAGTTATACAAAGGGATATTTATTACCAGTATTTGGATTAAATAATTCATCTCCAATAACTAAAACTGTTGATAATATTGTTACTAATTATGGACCAAAATCAGCTCAATTAATTTCAATTACTGAAATTTATACTTATGGATGGTTAATTATTAGAATGATAACTTTTAGAAAGAGATCTTTAAGTCCTGTATTAGTATATACTGTATTTTTAAAGAAGAGATTTGAAACTTCTCATATTACAAGAAATTATTTTAAGACCCTTGAAGTTCAAGGTGATAAATTAATTAATCAAGTAAATCATCCAACTGTTAAACAAATTTGGGTTCAATTCAAGGATATACTTAGAAAAGTGGGAGGTATTTACTTAGTTAATGATTATACTAAGGAACCAGAAAAGACTCTTTAGGTGATGATTGTTTCCATTCCGTTGCTGTTTTTTTTATTTTGTAAATGTTCAGTACAGTATCATATAGTACATTACATTACAACCTATTCAGATATTCATTACCAGGCTTAGTTTCTTTAAATATTTAAATATATAACTGTAAGATTATTAATAAAGCCATAGTAGACATGGCGATGTGGTGAGTGCGTAGTTAATATCATTGCCTATTTGGGAAGACCCCACCATCATTGAAACAATGGTTCTATATGAAGTTCATACAGGAATTAACCCATCTGATGATCTAATTAGTATATACAGTATCAATTCATAATAAGCATAATACTACTACCATTAGCAGATCAAAACCGGTTTGAAATAGTGTATTACACTCTATTATACACTGTACACTATATACAGTATACACTATACTTTCCACTAAGACACGATTAATACTACTACTATTATTACTTACTATGACGTACATATATAATGTCCTGCACACAGACACCTATAAACGAGATAACATCTCTGTTTTATATTTTCCATCAGATTCCATAAGTTTCCATTTGGGTGCGAAGAATTTCGTCGAACGTCTTGGAACTTTAGCAGGGGAAAATTCTGCAAATTGTGGACGAGTTATATATATGAAAAATTTCCGAATTAATTGAATTTGTTAAATTATTACTTTCTTCTTCTTTTTATACCATTTACTAATTAGTTGATTATTGTAATAATTAAATATGTCTAAAGCTGTTGGTATTGATTTAGGTACTACCTATTCTTGTGTTGCTCATTTTTCAAATGATAGAGTTGAAATTATTGCTAATGATCAAGGTAATAGAACCACTCCATCTTTCGTTGCTTTTACTGATACTGAAAGATTAATTGGTGATGCTGCTAAGAATCAAGCTGCTATGAACCCAGCTAACACTGTTTTCGATGCTAAACGTTTAATTGGTAGAAAATTTGATGATGCTGAAGTTCAAGGTGATATTAAACATTTCCCATTTAAAGTTGTTGATAAAGCTGGTAAACCACAAATTCAAGTTGAATACAAGGGTGAAACTAAAGTCTTTACTCCAGAAGAAGTTTCTTCTATGATCTTAACTAAAATGAAGGAAACTGCTGAATCTTTCTTAGGTACTAAAGTTAACGATGCTGTTGTTACCGTTCCAGCTTATTTCAATGATTCTCAAAGACAAGCTACTAAAGATGCTGGTTTAATTGCTGGTTTAAACGTTTTACGTATTATTAATGAACCAACTGCTGCTGCCATTGCTTATGGTTTAGATAAGAAATCTGAAGAAGAAAGAAATGTCTTAATTTTCGATTTAGGTGGTGGTACTTTCGATGTTTCCTTATTATCTATTGAAGATGGTATTTTCGAAGTTAAAGCTACTGCTGGTGATACTCACTTAGGTGGTGAAGATTTCGATAACAGATTAGTTAACCATTTCATTGCTGAATTCAAGAGAAAGAATAAGAAGGATTTATCTTCTAACCAAAGAGCTTTAAGAAGATTAAGAACTGCTTGTGAAAGAGCTAAGAGAACTTTATCTTCTTCTGCTCAAACTTCTATTGAAATTGACTCTTTATACGAAGGTGACGATTTCTACACTTCTATTACCAGAGCTAGATTTGAAGAATTATGTCAAGATTTATTCAGATCTACTTTAGACCCAGTTGAAAAGGTTTTAAGAGATGCTAAGGTTGACAAATCTCAAGTTGATGAAATTGTCTTAGTTGGTGGTTCTACTAGAATTCCAAAGGTTCAAAAATTAGTTTCTGACTTCTTTAACGGTAAAGAACCAAACAGATCTATTAACCCAGATGAAGCTGTTGCTTATGGTGCCGCTGTTCAAGCTGCCATTTTAACTGGTGACACTTCTTCTAAAACTCAAGATTTATTGTTATTAGATGTTGCTCCATTATCATTAGGTATTGAAACTGCCGGTGGTATTATGACCAAATTAATTCCAAGAAACTCTACTATTCCAACCAAGAAGTCTGAAACTTTCTCTACTTTTGCTGATAATCAACCAGGTGTTTTAATTCAAGTTTTTGAAGGTGAAAGAGCTAAGACTAAAGATAACAACTTATTAGGTAAATTCGAATTATCTGGTATTCCACCAGCTCCAAGAGGTGTTCCACAAATTGAAGTTACCTTCGATATTGATGCTAATGGTATCTTAAATGTTTCTGCCTTAGAAAAGGGTACCGGTAAGACTCAAAAGATTACTATTACTAACGATAAAGGTAGATTATCTAAGGAAGAAATTGAAAAGATGGTTTCTGAAGCTGAAAAATTCAAGGAAGAAGATGAAAAGGAAGCTTCTAGAGTTCAAGCTAGAAATGCTTTAGAATCTTACGCTTATTCATTAAAGAATACTTTGAATGATGAACAATTCAAATCTAAATTAGAAGCTTCTGAAGTTGAAGAAGTTACCAAGGCTGCTCAAGAAACCATTGACTGGTTAGATGCTAATCAATCTGCTACTACTGAAGAATTTGCTGATCAACAAAAGGAATTAGAAGGTAAAGCTAACCCAATTATGACTAAGGCTTACCAAGCTGGTGCTGCTCCAGCTGGTGGTGCTGCCCCAGGTGGATTCCCAGGTGCCGGTGCTGCTCCAGGTGGATTCCCAGGTGCTGAAGCTTCTAATGATGGTCCAACTGTTGAAGAAGTTGATTAAATGGATTAATAAGCAAAAACTAACCACTAGACAAGATTATTACTCCTAATAATAATTTTTTCTTTGGGTATTTAAAAACTGGTTTTAAAGGAAGGGAGTAGTAGTTTGGTGGTTAAATGAAAATGACTTAATTCTTGATTATTATTCTTCGTATTATTATTTATGTTTTGTTACGATTCTTATTTATCTTTTAGATTTATAGATTAGAAGTGAGATCAGAATTTTCTTATATATATTATAAATTAAATTATACATATTATGTTAATGAAATAGTACTTGTAATTTGTAATCTTGTAGTATTACCGTAATAGGCCAACTTTTTTGCCAACAAAATTGGGTGCGAACAAGTTACTCAGTATAGTACGTATTAGTAAGAAATAGAAATACAAATACGGATACAAACACTCAACAACGGGGTTTAACCAAGCTTGGAATAGATTAGTAAACTGGCAGGTTAAAGAGAGAAATGTAGGGTAATAGTAGAGAATATATAAATTGATCAATATCCTGTAGACTTTCTTAAGCATTGTAAATGTTTGTAGTGCATAGTATACTAAAGGTATGAAGTAATTTAAATTTAGATAGTATGAATAACTTTGATAATGAGTACAACAATATATAACCATTAGACACACATAGATAAAACTATTAAATACTCAATTGTATCAAATACCAAAGACTATCAAACAATCAACCACACAATACTAAAGTCTTTAAGGCAACACATACACATACTTTAGAGTTTCTTACAATAAAACAAGAAAAAAGTTTGCATCCATTTTACAAAATTTAAAGTTAATAGCCAAACATTCTACAAACACTAACTGATAAGATAATTACTAAAGATCATATTAACAATAACAAACAATAACAATGATCATATAGTAATAATAATTATTTATAATAAATATCATCAATTAATGTTAATTTCATGCATTTGATTGGTAGTTGTGCCTCATATTAAATCCAACAAAATTTGGTTTAGGCCCAACACCTCCTGCACATAATCCCCTCTTTTTTTTTTCTTCGTCGTATAAACCACTACTATATCTGATATACCGGTCAACTTACATACACGCCAAATTTACAGTGGAAATTTTGGAATTCTCTGTCTGGATGAATGGAAAATTTAATTGGTAAATATAACATCTTCCTTTTAATTATTAGTTTCAATTTAAACAGTTTGAGTATCAATTGATATAGATTGGGTTAGAGATATACGAAGGGAAAGAATAGGATCATTATATTAAAGGTATGTATAAATTAATTGAACGAATAGAAATGAATGAATAGGATCAATTGAAATAAAGACTTGACTAGACCAGACAAGACAAGAAAAGAAAAGAAAAGAAACAAGACAAGACAAGAAAAGACGAGAAAGGAAAAAGATGAGATTGATAATATGCGACTGCTACATAACCATATCAAAGTATAAGAAACTAAGTTGTATTGCAATTGTAGATAACAAATTACTATAATACTAATACAAAACAGCTATAAACATATTATGAGTAGTTCCATCCAACCGTGTATCCACAAAATACTATCAAAGGACTCATATCAACCCATATAATTATTTTCGCCTGCGAAGTTAAACTTTTTGATACACACCAATAGTGGTACGGCCATTATATGTAGGATTCCCCCAACTTTTCAATGACTATGCAATACTATTACTATCCACACGAGTCAAAACTCCGAGAATTTCATATTATCATTGTCCTATATTTTTTAAGGAATTTAACTAATTCTATTCAAATATTTCCCCGGATATTACAAAACTGACATGTTCCTCTGATCCAGTCCAATCGTGTGGATTAATTATGACTGAGAAACTTTGATAACCGAAAATAATAATAATTATAGTTAATTCTAAAAGGGAAAGGAAAGAAAAGAAAAGAAATGACTTGATAGAAAATATCCTTTTGAACTGAGAATTATAATATCGTATCATAACTATATAACAATGAGAAAAAAAAAGATTCGAAACATGCACAAATACTCCCATCATTGCTATACTTTTACTTATCGGACTTAGATTGGTGACTCCTACTTCCTCCGGTAAATATAAATACTCCGATTGGTCTTGATACATTTAAACTTTTACAATTTACATTACAAATTTTCAATTTATAGTTTATAATTTATTCTCAACCCCAGAATTCATAATCACCCCCACAAATTAAGTTTTTGCAGAATTAATTTCAAAGTTTTTACGTTCCCTGGATTCATTCATATTTACAGTTGAATTTTACTAACTAGTTTATTATTTATTTTAGGCCATTTCTTTTTATTTTAATATTTTTCTATTTTATCTATACATAACTAATATTTATTCTTTCACATTCATACATTAACAAAATGACTACTTCTCCTGTTCATAACGTTGTTCATGAAGCTAATGGAGTTACTCCAAGACCAACTCCAAAAGATTTCTATGAAAAACAACCAAATGCTCCATTTGTTAAAGATTTAGATCATTATCATGAATTATATCAAAAATCTATTACTGATCCAGTAGGTTTCTTTGGTCCTTTAGCTAAAGAACTTTTATCATGGGATAGAGATTTTCATACTGTTAAATCAGGTTCTTTAGATCATGGTGATGCTGCTTGGTTTTTAGGTGGGGAATTAAATGCTTCTTTCAATTGTATTGATAGACATGCTATAACTAAACCAAATGAAAAGGCTATTATTTATGAAGCTGATGAAGAAAAAGATTCTTATATTTTAACTTGGGCTGAATTATTAAGAGAAGTTTCTCAAGTTGCTGGTGTTTTAAACAGTTGGGGTATTAAAAAAGGTGATACAGTGGCTGTTTATTTACCAATGACTCCTCAAGCTGTTATTGCTATGTTAGCTATTACAAGAATTGGTGCTATCCATTCTGTTATTTTTGCTGGTTTCTCATCTGGTTCTATTAAAGATAGAGTTAATGATGCTAAATGTAAAGCTCTTATTACTTGTGATGAAGGTAAACGTGGTGGTAAAGTTATTAACATTAAGAAATTATGTGATGAAGCTTTAGTCCATTGTCCATCTGTTGAAAAAGTTTTAGTTTATAAGAGAACTGGTAATGAAAATATTGAATTAGCTAAAGATAGAGATTTTTACTGGGATGAAGAAGCTGCCAAATTCGCTGGTTATTTCCCACCAGTTCCAGTTAACTCTGAAGATCCACTTTTCTTATTATATACTTCTGGTTCTACTGGTACTCCAAAGGGTGTTGTTCACACTACTGCTGGTTACCTTTTCGGTGCTGCTTTAACCACCAAATATATTTTTGATATTCATCCACAAGATATTTTATTTACTGCTGGTGATGTCGGTTGGATTACTGGTCATACTTATGCCTTATATGGTCCTTTATTATTAGGGGTTCCAACCATTGTTTTTGAAGGTACTCCAGCTTATCCAGATTATGGTAGATTCTGGCAAATTGTTGAAAAACATAAAGCTACTCATTTCTATGTAGCTCCAACTGCATTAAGATTATTAAGAAAATCTGGTGAACAAGAAATTCCAAAATATGATTTATCATCTTTAAGAACTTTAGGTTCTGTTGGTGAACCAATTTCTCCTGATATTTGGGAATGGTATAATGAAAAAGTTGGTCAAGGTAGATGTCACATTTCTGATACTTATTGGCAAACTGAATCTGGTTCTCATTTTATTGCTCCAATTGCTGGTGTTACTCCAAATAAACCAGGTTCTGCTTCTTTACCATTCTTTGGTATTAAAACTTGTCTTATAGATCCTGTTAGTGGAGTTGAACTTGAAGGTAATGATGTTGAAGGTGTTTTAGCTATTAAAGATACATGGCCATCAATGGCAAGATCTGTTTGGAACAATCATACCAAATATTTGGATACTTATTTAAAACCTTATCCAGGTTATTATTTCACTGGTGATGGAGCTGCCAGAGATCATGATGGTTATTATTGGATCAGAGGTAGAGTTGATGATGTTGTCAATGTTTCTGGTCATAGATTATCTACTGCCGAAATTGAAGCTGCTTTAATTGAACATAAAGGTGTTTCTGAAGCTGCTGTTGTTGGTATTCATGATGACTTGACCGGTCAAGCTGTCGTTGCCTTTGTTGCTCTTAAAGATGCTATAGCTGCTAAAATTTCAAACAATGAAACTTCAGAAGAAGCATTTAATTTAAGAAAAGAATTAGTTTTAACTGTTAGAAAAGAAATTGGACCATTTGCTGCTCCAAAATCAGTTATTATTGTTAATGATTTACCAAAAACTAGATCAGGTAAAATTATGAGAAGAATTTTAAGAAAGATTTCTTCAAATGAAGCTGATCAATTAGGTGATATTACTACTTTATCAAATCCTTCATCTGTAGCGGGTATTATTGATTCATTTGCTGCTCAATTCGGTAAGAAATAATTGTAAATTGTAAATTTTAAATTGTAATTAATTAATTAATTAATTAAAATTTTTTTTACCACTTTGATTTATTTATTAGATTGTTGTCTAATTATCAAATAGATATATAGATCTTTCTATCTTGTTTAATATTGCTATCCAAACTCATATTTTAATATAATACCAAATTTGTATATTTACTATTTTAAGTTACGCGACAAAAATAAATGCATAGTCAAAAAAAAAAATTATTACTATTTTCAATCATTGAGTATTGATTCGAAGCCTTTAGGTAAAGAATGTATACTCAACACAAATGAGTTACCAAATACCGATAGGGAGATTAAGTAAAACATTTCTTCTCATAAAGTTAATTCAATTGATAATTATTTATTTTACTCCGATCCAATTTGATACATCATCTCAAATAATTATTTCAAAATTATCATCTCCATCTATATATATACCAAATATATTTAAAGTAATAATTGATAAAGTACTTGTATGGGATTCTGTATATTTTAATGATTTATTTGTTAATGAATATAAATATGAACATCAATATGTATTTTGCCCATCATGGCTATCATTCATAAGGAATTTGCCTGGTCCTTCATTATATTATGATAAATTTATTATTTCACTCATATTTTCAAATATCTTTCATTATCTTAGTATAATTGTTTTATACTATCTCACCATCGAAGTATTTAATGGTCGTCGTCCTCATTCCGAGAAAGATCAATTAAGTCAATTATCATCTATTTATCTCATAATTTCAACGGCTGGAGTATTTCTAACTATTAATTATTCGGAAAATTTATGTAATTTCTTAAGCTACTTAGCTTTGCTTACATATTATAAAGGAGTGAATTATAATGATGTGACGAAATCTACTCAAAGAAGTAAAAAATCAATTAGAAATTATACATTTTACTTCCTAAGTGGGATTATAATAGCGATCAATTTTACAGTAAGAGCAAACACACTCCTTATGGGAGTAATTTATCTTATCGATGTATATGATTTTTACATTGTTAGTAATGATTTGAATTCTACTTGTTGGTCGATAATCACAGGACTCCCACTATTCTTCACATTTGTAATTACAAATATTAGAAATTATCTTCAGTTTTGTCCACAACGAGGTGAATGGTGTAATTCTAGACTTCCAATATTATTTCTGTTTGTTCAACAAGAATATTGGAATAATGGATTCTTAACTTATTGGACTATCAATAATATTCCAAACTTTCTTCTTATTATTCCAACATTACTAATTCAAATTCAATCTATTCATTATTTCTATATTGAATTACCAAGAATTAAAAAAGTATTCCCAGTATTGATTCTTACCATCTTAGTTAATATCGGAGCTGTTTTCTTTTGGAATGCCCAAATTTTGACAAGAGTAGTTACATTTTTACCTTTACTGTTTTGGTATTGTAGTATTCACTATATTGAAGAGAAAACTACCACAAAATTGGTAAGTCGAACAATTGCTTATTATAATTTAGGTTGGATATTTCTTCAAACTAGCTTATTAGCTGCTTTCCTTCCCCCTGCATAGATGCTTTCTAAATAGCATCTCCCATAAATAATATTAATTAAATAAGTACCTTGATAGTAATGTTGATTTTGTGGTAGTTATAAACACATGTTTTCATACATAAATGGAACTTTGATGAGTTCTTTGGCGATTACTGGATACTGGTGAGTAACCACTACTCGCTCATACTACTGCGCAAAAATTGGTGTAATAGTCAATAAAAATAATAATGACAGTAAAACAAACGAACAATCCAAATAGATTAAACAAATGTCAAATATCAGTGATATTAGATATACCCAATGTAGCAACCCATAACGCACCTTAGCGATGTTTTCCACGTAATGTCAACCGTATTCGTATTTTATTCTATTTGGTTAAGTTTTTTTCGCATTATTTCTTTGCTGCAAAGTTTTACTCGATTAGGAACTAGCATCCGGAAAAGTGTCGCAACCCATAGATAAAGATATTGCACTCTATAATTATATATATATATATATATGAGAATGATTATTAAGTAATATATGATGAAGATTAATATATGGTAGTTAATTATTAGTATATTCAATCACTAGTTATATCATCAACAGCCAAATAAAATTTAAAATGACAAAGGTTGATCTACTTATTAATGATACAACGAGGATCATTTCTAGTGAAGATAAAGGATTATTACTTAGTTTACTAGGATCTAATCCATATACTAATCCAGTTGGAAGTATCCTGCTTGTATTATTAATTGGATTGATATATTATACATTCATATATAAAAGGGAGAAAGGATCGAAGAAATCAAAATCACCTGCCGCAACTCATTACCATCTTCAAAAGAATAGAACATTTGGTGAATGGATTCCTGATTATAATTTCAAAACTCCAACTCCAACTGAATTCAAAAATTGGGATATCAAACTTACCAAGCCTATTCCATATCGTGCCTTTAAACATAAATATCACATTACTATGGGGATCAGAAGTATGGACTGGAATTCATGGGTCGAGTTAGATAACCAATGGGAAAAGTATCATAATGATAAATTGAACAGATTACAGGAAAGAGGCACTGAATGTTATAACACTAGTGAAAAAGCTTGGGAAGCTGGTTGGGAATTATTAGCAGAATTAAAAACATATTTATCAATCAGATATCCTACTTTATTTGTAGAAACTGATATTGGACTTAATAATCTTGTTACAGGTGAGAAATTTGATTTTAGAAGAAGAGAAAAGACTGGAGCTGAAGAAGATGATCCTTGTTTAATTGCTGGGAAATTATTACAAGATGATATTGCCATCATGATTGAACATGATGATGGTAATTATTCTTTAGAAGGTGGATCAATTTTATTGGCAGGATTCTGGAGATTAAAGGATAAGTTTCAAATGAAATTAAATGAAATCCATACCTCTGGAGATGTTCCTCATTACGAATCTAAATTACAAAATGGTATGACTAAATTTTTCCAAAGATTAACTTGTGATAAACCAGTTGTTCGTAATAACTATTTTATTCAAACTGATGATAATTTAGGATGGTCACATTCTATTGGGAATGAAGATGATGAAGTGGTTGGTTGGTATACTGCTAAAATTGCTAAAGACGTTCAAAATTTATATTTTAGAAGTGAGAGACAAAGTTTAAGAAGATTACCTATTAGTGGAGCTGTTATATTTACTATTAGAACTTATTTCATTCCTGTTGTTGAGTTATGTCAAGAACCTTATATTCCTCGTCGTCTACTTAATGGTATTGCCAGTTGGAATTCTGAGGTTGAAGAATATAAAGGATATCAAAAATATAAAGATGTATTAATGCCTTATTTAGAAGCCATGGCTCAACAACAAGAAGCCAATGGATTAGCAATTGAAGATGAACCACAAGTGTTTCCATTTTAAAAAAGTTCATATTTATATAAATTTCTCATAATAATATACATATAGTCATTTAAAATAATTCTGTAGATAATTTTATAAACAAATAACTTTTACAAATTAATAAATTATAAATATGAATAATACATTAAACTAATATACAAAATAACTAAAAAAGAATTGAAACATTTAAACCAAGATATAAGACATAAGTTAGATTATAATAACTTAAGATCTTTCACCTCTTAATCTTCTAGCTAATTGGATATCCTTCTTTTGGATGGTAACTCTCTTAGCATGGATAGCACATAAGTTAGTATCTTCGAATAAAGAGACTAAGTAAGCTTCAACAGATTCTTGTAAAGCACCAATAGCAGAAGATTGGAATCTTAAATCAGTCTTGAAATCTTGAGCAATTTCTCTAACTAATCTTTGGAATGGTAATTTTCTGATTAATAATTCAGTAGATTTTTGAAATCTTCTAATTTCTCTTAAGGCAACAGTACCTGGCTTATATCTGTGAGGTTTCTTAACACCACCAGTTGATGGGGCAGATTTTCTGGCAGCCTTAGAAGCTAATTGCTTTCTTGGAGCTTTACCACCAGTAGACTTTCTTGCTGTTTGTTTAGTTCTAGCCATTTTGGATTGATGAATAGATAATTAAAAAAGAATAGAATTAAAAAAAATTATACTACTAGGAAATTACCCTTGTGTATATATATAATATTTTGATGGGGGAAGAAATCAGAAGTTTACGTGCCATACTGATGTTTGTTTTGCAGCTGTCGCATTTTGTGATGAAATTTGATAGACGGATTTTTAATTTTTAGGACTTGAAACTACGCACTAGCTGCGTAAATATTATTTAAGAATTATATTTCTTAAGACTTGTATTTACACACAGGACTGAGTAAATTATAGCACCACAAATAATGAACTTTTGAGATTGTAAATGCACCCTAATTTTGCAATCCAGTACCTTTTTTCATTAAAGTTACTGACTATTTATTGTACTTCCCTAATTTTCTGAGTCTTTTCTTTACGTAAGAAGCAATTACCCTAGAAATTTAGTGACGTATTTACCGTGAATGTTATCTTTTCCATTACAATATCTTCTATCTTCTACACTCCTCTATTAACAAGAAGTCAACCGTTTACTGTAAAAAGTTTCTTTTTCTCTTCCCCCCAGCGCACTGAAATGAAAACAAACAATAATACTAGCGAATTATTTGCACTTTTCGCCCCTACAGAAGACAATTTTGTTATTACATGATCTTACATTTCTCTCTAGGCTCATTCTCATTCTTACACTTTAGCTTTGACATGCTCACTATTTTTACCTTACTTTTTAGTGTCCCCCATTTTTATTCTTTCATCCCCTAACAATTTATTTACCTCTGTAATATATAAATTATATTTCCCACATCCTCATTTTTTATCATACAATTTTTAAAAACTTTCTTTTCTAATTCAATAGTATCTATTACTAACAATTAATAAATACATATAATCAATCAATAATGTCTGGTAGAGGAAAAGGAGGAAAAGGTTTAGGAAAAGGTGGTGCTAAGAGACACAGAAAGATCTTGAGAGATAACATTCAAGGTATTACTAAACCAGCTATTAGAAGATTAGCAAGAAGAGGTGGTGTTAAACGTATTTCTGCTTTAATTTATGAAGAAGTTAGAGTTGTCTTAAAATCTTTCTTAGAAAATGTTATCAGAGATGCTGTTACTTATACTGAACATGCTAAGAGAAAGACTGTCACTTCTTTAGATGTTGTCTATGCCTTAAAGAGACAAGGTAGAACCTTGTATGGTTTTGGTGGTTAATTTCTTTGAGATTAAATTAACATTAATTTCAATTTCAATTAAATTTTCAGGTTTGTTATGTCGTTCGTCGTTTTTAATTCTTTATAACTATATGTATATTAGTACCTATTCTTTATAATATAAATTATTATTCCATTAGTTTTATTTAAATCGTATTGCAATCCACAATTGATTTGTAAGTCATGGTTGCCTTATTTTTAGGTTGAGGAAGAGGAGGAGGAGGAGGCAGAAAAAAGATAATTTCATGATACTATACTTTTACTACATAATAAAATTAACAATATTAATAATACATTTTACTCTATGAAATTTATATAATTTATATGATTTATGCTATATGACTAATATATTTTAGCCAGCTCTATTATGGGGTATAATGAAAACTATAAAAATAGTTATTTTTTGGTTTTGATTTTGTTTATTGAAACATAACTCCACTCTTTCCAATTAACAATTCATCTATCTTAGGCTTAAATTCTCCATCAATATCTTTAATTAAAATATGAATATGACTTACATCTTTAACACTTTGTAAGACCCCCCAATTCTTGAACCAAAGTAATTGATCTCTCGGCACTCCAATCAATTTAACAAATGTCTTCTCAACAAATGTTTCAATTATTCTTTTCATATCATCACTGATATCTCCTTCTTCACTATTAATATCAGCTGGAATCAGTTTCTTACTCCATACACATAAATGATGTACATCATCTTCAAAATAATATGGAAATTTATTATACATAATTTTTATTTCAGTTGGATCATTGAATATTATAGTGTCATTAACAGCGGTTTGTTTTAAATCTTTTTTATCCCACTTTAATTCATGATTCATCAAATATTCTAAAACTGTAGTTCCTCTTTCTTTCAAAATATGCTTGAATTCGAGATATCTTTTGGTTTCTGATCTAGATCTAGCCAAAATCTCTAAATGATTATTTTCAACTATATATTCAACTTCATCCCATGCGAAAGCTTGATTTTTTATCTTGGATGGATTAGGCATGAGAGGAGATTGAATAACACAAATTTGAGATGTAATGGCTTCAAATTTAGTCTTTAAATCAGGTGTAGCAGGTGGGCTATTTAAATAACTTCCTGTCTGACCAATTGCCTGTGTATCTACAGTCATACTTTTCTTTCTTTCTTTTGTCTGCCTGCTTTTTTTTTTTAAATAAATTTCTTCTTATTTTTTTGCGATAAGAAGTTGCTAATTATCTATGACTAATTCTATGACGAATGCAATTGAAGGAATGGAATTGCAATATTCAACAACCAAATGTGATAGGATATATACACTGAGATATATATAAACCCTATAAGAATCTATCGTAAAGTAAATTCTCTGTTCCTGGGGTGGATGCTATTAATTATATACTGAATTTCTCTATCTGTTAAGAAATGTACTAGAAAGCGAAAAAAAGAAATTTCTTTCCTAATTGGGAAGGGAAGCACTAGAAAAACGGTAACATTTTTTGAGTTGACGTTACATTTTCATGGATAGATGCTACACCTGTTTACTTTTAGTAGTTAAAATTAAAGTAATCGAGCCAAATGCCACAAATTGTATCAACACACATATATGGAGAATTTAAGCATGTTATACATGATAAACAAAGCAATTATGCATCAATTGCTTCCCCATAAATTCTCAATTGCTAGTGCTAGTATTGTGACTCAGTATATACAAGACAACGTTTTCTCTTTTGTTATGAATGACTCCTGCACACCGACCGATTTCGAAGGGAGTGAGTGAATCTCCGAAAATGCTCTCACCAGATGTGATGGATTTTTAATCTAGTGATTATGATAATTAATAATAATGAACTGATTAATATAAGCCGAATATATAATTGCTCTGAATGAATGAGAAACCTAAATATATTTTAGTATCAAAATAAATACCAACATATATAAATATTTCCCTATAATAAACAGTTGACATTTTAGAATTAATTATTTTAATAATAAACAAGAATATGACAAAATGCCTACACATAAATTAATAATACTTCGTCATGGAGAATCTCAATGGAATCATGAAAATAAATTTTGTGGATGGATAGATATTCCATTATCAACCAAAGGACAACAGGAAGCATTACATGCTGGAGAACTTATTTCAAAAAATGGACTTAAACCTGATATATTATACACATCTAAATTAACTAGATCAATTGAGACAGGATTAATAATTTTAAACCAATTAAATAGAATATGGGTTGATCATGTAAAGAGTTGGAGATTGAATGAACGTCATTATGGAGAATATCAAGGATGTGATAAACATGAAGTTTTCAAAAGTTTAGGTGAAGATAAGGAGAAATTCCAATATATTCGTCGTGATTATCACGGCACACCACCAATAATTCCAAATGATGTTACAGATCCATCAATTGATGAACGATATGCTGATGTTGATCAATCATTACTTCCAAGAGGTGAAAGTTTAGCCATGGTCATGAAAAGATTGATACCATTTTTTGATAAGGAGATATTACATAAACATTTAGTTGAAAGAAATCAAACAGTTTTAATTGTAACCCATGGATCTATTGTTAGATCTTTAATAAAATATTTAAATAATATAGATGATAATGAGATTTCAAATATAAATGTTCCAACTGGAGTTCCATTAATATTTGAATTAGATTCAGATTTAAAGTTAGTTAAAGATTACTATTACCTAGATACTGAATTGGCTAAGAAGGGTATAGAGAAAGTTAAAAATGAAGGTTTAAAACGACTGGATGCCGGTAAATTATAGATTAATCAATATTTACTTGCAGTAAATTATATATGCCTGTATAGTGAATGACAGTTTTTACCATTTTTGCGACACGCCAAAAGTAGACATTAGGCTGCGACAAATATTGCCAAACTGGGCTTAATTGAGTTTTGTTTGTTTTGGTTTTCTAGAAAATTCTGGAGATGGTCTAAAATACGACATTATGCACCTAGTTAGATGACACCTCCAGTTTGATGAGCTTAATATATCATTACGTAGATATTGGAGATAATCATAGTAGTTTAGTTAAACGTGTAGTCGTTACATAGATCAATTTGATACAGTTAGTTAGAGATTAGTTGGAGTTCAATTGAGTAGACAATGAGTAGTAGTAAATTGAGTGACTTATCTAGTTGATCACCGATCAGTAGTCAATTGAGAGTGGCAAATTTTGACGATAACAATAACCGTAACAATAACATTTACAACAAAACAATATGTTGATGACTCTTCGTCAACTTAAAGTTAGCAAGACCCAAGACTCAAGAGACAAGGACCCGTGTTCATACGGCTTTGCATGACAGGCTGAGAACATAAAGCTATATTTAATTTAGGATAAATTAGGAACTGATTGAATCATCTCAAGGAGTTAACGGGGAATTAAAAATTCGGTGAAATAGTAATGTATGCGAATAGTAACTTTTTTACTGTGAAAAGGAATACCGGACAAACACAAACAGTGTAGGATTTCCGTAAGTGCACATATTGAGTAATCTGATGACCGTAATTTTTATGTAGTGCGGATAGCGGGTCCAGAAACCGCATTTCAATCAAGCGAACAAATAGTGTCGTTTGTTCTTTACTCGGAGCTAGCAATCTCACACGACAGAGGGATCAAATGTCTCTGTTAACTACTATAAAAAATGTCTCCAATTTCATTACTCACAAAAATCCCCTCCCCTTTCGCGTACTAACAAAATTAATAAGCAAACACATATATAGCCACAAGATTACTCATCTTTGATTTTGATTTTAAGCAGTAACTCTCTTTCTTTAACTGTTATTTTAATTTTATCATTATAGTTACTGCTTATTTGCATTGCTATGACTTCTTTAGCTGTATTACCTCCTTTAAAGAGATCAATAACAGATATAATGGATGAGGAAATATATCATGACCCAAATATTCCTGTCCAATTTGCCACTGGATCAGGTTCACCAGTTGCAACGCCTTTAACTATTAATAACGCCACGTTATTTAATTCAAATGGTGGCAATCAATTCCACTCATCACAATACCACCTGAATCAACAAAATCAACAAAATCAACAAAATCAATTTTCTTCAGTAGCTTCCTCCCCTAATATGAATTATGCATCACTTTTCACTCAGAACAACTCGTCAAATCATTCATTTCCTGAATTTTTAGATAATTTAAAGCATAATTATACAAATTTAAATTCAAATAATACTGTTAATCCATCATTTATTGATTCTAATAGTTTTATTAATTATAATGAATTTAATAATAATGAAAATACCAATAATACTAGTGTTAATCCAAATGTTACTGTGGCTTCTTCTATAAATCCTTTTACTACTTATGGTAATCCTGATTCATTTGTCAAATCACGTCAAGCAACTCCTGCTCCTCAATATACTAATCTTAACTCTATGTCTTATGTACCAGTTTCTTTACCTTATAATGTGAATGATGATAGTATGAATGCTCTTCATCGTCCTCAAAAGAAGAAGAAGCAAAGTGAGGATTTCTTAAGCAATACTAATATTAGCCCATCTCACTTGATGTCACTTAATCCAAATGATGATGTGTTGTATATTTTTAATCCAAATGAAACAATGGAAATGGAACCTACATCTATCTATAATAGAGATTCTTCAATAATAAATAATTCAATAGTTCCTGGGTATGAAAATGATTATTTAGTTGAACCAGTAGAGGATGATGTATCTGATGATGAAGATAATGGTGATGATTACTATGTTGATGACGATATGATGATGGGATTTAGTAATTATGAAGGAGATAATTATAATGAAATATTTAATGGACAAGTTCCAGCCCCTATTCAAAAATTACAAAGACATATTAACGAACAAAATCAAAATCAAGAACAGCATATACAAGAAGATCAATTTCAACAATTTTCAGAGCAAAATCAGATGCAAGGAACTATAGAAATCCAACCTGAAGTATCTTCATATTCCCCTGATTCAATGCTTGTCCAACAATATAGTCTTGATAGTCTTGATACATTACCAAGCTTAACACCTGATGAAGAAGACAACGAAGAAGAAGAAGATAACGACTATAATATGGAAGATGATAATTCTCATCCTCCTGTTTTTTCAAGAAGTAAGAATCATGAACCTAATAATAATACTGCAGCAATGACAGCAGCTGAAATTTCTGCCAATAATCCAAATCATTTATGTGATTTAATAAATCCTTCGACTGGAAAGCCATGTAATAGGAATTTTTCTAGACCATATGATTTAATTCGTCATCAAGAAACTATTCATGCATCTAAAAAGAAGATTTTTAGATGTGTTATTTGTGAAGGTAGATATAATGGTGGTTTAGGTAATGGTAAAGATAAGACATTTTCAAGAGCTGATGCATTATCAAGGCATATTAAAGTCAAACATAGATTAGATGGTAAGGAAGCCTTAGATATTATTAATGAAGCTAAAGAAAATGTTGAATATATTCCTTCGGAATAGATTTCAGATTATACATTATGTTTGGGTTGGGAGTGGTTTTTATTATTCTTATTGGTGGTTTACTTTGATTTTTCTTCTTTCATGCAATTGCAATTATAATTTTAATTACAGCTATACTATACTAGACTAATTAAATTAAATTGGTTGCTATTTTTGTTTGGATTTTTATCATCTTATATATATCTTGTCTTAATTTTATCATCTTATACATAGTTTAATACATTTAATATCGTCATTAGAAGATGATCTATTAGTAGTTATTAGTAGTATAATCAAAATCTCTACTACGATGTACAAGATAATTTCAAAGTTAAGTAGTTCTATAATATATTTAACTATGTATATGAGATCTATGTATATTAGTTATGATATTGTATTATTTACTAAAGCATTACATAGATTATTGATATCTCTATCTATAACTCTAAAACCAATCAATAAATCTCTTTATGCTAAATCTTTCAATTCAATATTTTCATGATTAGAATCATTTACTAATTCATTAACAATATTATTAATATCTCTTGTTGAACTTGGAGATAATACAGGTAATTCATATTCTAATTTACCTTGTAATTGAGTTTCAATATCTTCATCATTATCAGTTTCTTTATATTTATAATGAATATATTGATAAGCAATAATTATATCAAGACCCATTTGAAATAATGCTGCTACAATAAAAATAATTGAAATATTTGAAGTTCCATAAATTAAATAACTTAATTTTGTTAAATCACCTCCTAACCAACTTAATAATAAAATAATTTTAAAATTCTTTATTGATTGAAGACGATTTAATAATAAAATTTGTGGTAATGGTAATAAACTTTCAATAAATAATCCTAATATACCTAATGTTTGACCCCATTTTAAACTATTATGAAATATAAGTGTTAAAATGCCAAATACTCCAGCAAACAGTAAAATAAATTTCCAATATCTATTTTCATCTTTCCATTGCCAAAATTGATATGGTCGAAGATAATATACATCAAAAAATTTTAATAATTGTCTGAAAAGTATATAAAAATATATTTTAAAATATTTCCATGTATCATCAGCAATTAATAAAATTGATTTCAGTAAGGAATTATCAACATAATAACTTTCATGTTCAACTGGTAAAGTACTAGCCGATAATCTTCTAGGTAAAATAGTATTTAATTCATGTTTAAATACTGGTAAAGGAGTTAAGAAATCAGGATCATAATTATATGGACGATATTTTAAACTTATCTTTAATAAAATACATTGAATTATAATCATTATACATGATTGACGGAAAAGGGTTATTTCATAAGGTGAAATAAAATAATAATATATTCTTAGAATTGATGCCATTAACATAGTAGCACAAATATCTATTGAAAATCCTGTTGATGTTCGTTTCTTATATATTCCATAACATGTTGTTCCATATGAAAATAATGGAGTAAATGTCATAAACAGATTAACTAATACTTGAAGAGTTATATCTGGTAGATAATCGAGATACGGTACAAGATCTTTCGGTATTAGGTTTGACATATTTTAATTTAACAATTTTTACATATAACTAGTCTTATACTAATCAATATTCTTTAAGCAACAGTAGTCCTTTGGCGGGCCTGCCTGGGTTTTTCAGGACGATTTCCGATGGTATCGGGGCTATGTGCAGGCCAGCCACAGTAAAGCAATAATTAATAATTTGTCATATATAAAGTAATTAATATTAATACAGTTATGAATAAGTAAAATTATCTAACTTAACCTAGTAGTTCAAAAAGTAGTGATTAAACACTAACTCCGATATTTTATGATTGTTGTAATTAGGGGGCTTGTCAAACGACTCTTATAATAATTTAATATGGCCACTTTTTTTTTGGCCAAACGGTTGCGAAATCTTTAATCTGTTAATAATTACAATTACTAAATGTCATATTGTACAAACCATATATTTTCTATGTACTTATAGCATTATATCTAAATCCCCTATATCTTTGATCTGTAATCAATGCTCCATTATCAAATAACATATTTCTATGAAGTAACCTTATAGATTGACGTCTCTGAACAATACTACTGGAACTACTATGACTACTACCACTAGAAGTACTGAAATTCATCTCAACAGCATCATAAAATATATCACTTGAAATACTGACTACATCAAATTCCAGATCTGGATCTGTGTTAAGTGTAGATGGGTAAACTACATCTAGTGATAAATTTTCTACTTGTATATCTTCAACTTCAATCTCTTCTCGCTCAGCTTCGAATTCTTCCAGTTGTTCACGACTAACACTTCCTGGTTCAATTTCTTGTTCTTGCTGATCAGCATTAGTTACTTCTAAAGACATTTGCATAGCCAATGCAACTTGATCTCTTTCAGCCATTTCAATACCTGTCATATCCCTATATAATCCATCATTCGGAGCATTTGCCAAATCTGGTAATAATCCTGGTAAGATCATTTCAAATTCATTATCATCAATTCTTATAATTTTCCAAAGATTAACATCACTTGGTATCATATTAAACTTTAAAAGTTTCTTTATTGATTTCTTCAAGTTCTTATCATTTCGGATGAGAGATTTATTTATTCGGAGAACAGGAACATTATATCTTGGATCAAAGGAAATTAAATCAAGATATTTATGAAGGTGTGCCCGATATGGTGGTGATTGTTCGTCCTCCCAAGTATCGTATTCATCAGTGGGTGGAGGGATCAGAGGAATACTTTGATTATCCAGATCAACTCTTCTTCTTCTGCGTCTTCTTCTGCTTCGTACTGATGTCTCAGTAGAATTTAAATTGTTATCGTTAATTGTAGGAGTATTAATTGTATCAGATTCGGGAATAGGGCTATTCCGCAATCTCTCAGTATCAATATTTCTGCTAGTAATAGGAGTATGGGAAACATGATTGTCCTCCACATTATCAGGTACTGGAGGTGGTGGTCTTCTTCTTAATGCTCTTGGAGTAGGTGTATTATTTGAGCTAGAAGTACTTAATCTGCTCATTCTCATATTATTGCTATTATCATTATCAGCTATAGGAGGCGACTCTCGTGGACTAACAAGTCCTGAAGGATTATATATTCTAGGAGCTGTATAGAACCTGCTTTCAATAAGTGATGATGAAGGATTTAACATATTTGTTGCTTGATTTGATAGATTATTTGGTGGAATAAATGCATGTGAAACTGTCGTATTCGTATTAGAGTTTCTATTTCTAAAACTACTATTAAAGAAAGCCATAGATTGTCAATACTATCTAACAAAGTTACTAGACAATAAATGAAGCTCTAAATCCTCGAATCTAGGTTTTACACCTTTCATATGCTTCTATAGAACTATCTATGCATACATATATATAGAATATATAAATCTCAAATATAGATTATTACCATCTGTAATCACATTTCCTAAAAGGGGAATTTCTCAAGGGTTCTTAACCCCATAAATTAAGCAAAAGAAATAATAGAATACAGGTGACAAGGCATCGCCTTATTTCGCTGAATAATTAAATTTACGATAGGATTCTTAATTGAACCAATCAGGCCATTCCAAGAAGAGGCAGATCTACTACATGTCCGAGGAAAATTACAGTTAAATAATATTATTTGCAGTTGTTAGATTTAAATTATTTAGAAATGTTACTGAGGCTTTTAAGATCTAGACAAGTTGCAAATATGATTGGATATATTATAAACTTCAATATAAATACTCTGAGTGTGATGAGCCATGACACTTACTTACCTTTTATAATGACTCTGATCAGAACCAAACCATTATTTACAATATACTACGAATTGAAGCGGAGACACTGATTGGGTTCAAAACTCCCAACATAAACCCAAACTTTTTTCTTTTGTGCCATCAATCTGAAGTCGGGGTAGTGATGTCCCAACGGACAGCATTGAGGCACAGCCACTCTACTCTAATACATAATGTTTTCTACAATTGTACTTAAAGCGTATACTTGTAATTATATTCTTAGCTGTTACGTATATTTTAAATTCACCATAAAAGAGTAAAACTAGATTGTTTTCAACAACATAAATAATAATAATAATAAAATAATGATAGTAATAAATGATATATATACGGATAATGGTACTTTCTAATCAAAAAAGTTTTCAATTGATGTCATTAAATTTACTGAGAAAAGGTATTAAATATATGAATGGTCTTCAATTCCTTATGCACAGAAAATCAAACACCATCAATCACACAAATCCGGACTTACTAACTCATTTATTTCTTAATACTTTTGATTTCTTGCTCTAATTTGTCAATGGTTTCCTTTTGTTGTTGCAATTTATCTTTAAGTGCCTTCAATTGTTCAGCTTCATGTTTCTTAACATAAGCGTTTTCTTGAGCCTTTTCCTTTTCTGAGAAAGCATTGTTAGCTTGATTGATGGCACCTTCAGTTAAAGCAATTCTGGAAGTTGAGAAAGCTCTGATAGAAACAGTACGTTTAGCGACTTGAGACAACATGATCAATTGAGTTTTTAGATGATTGAATAATTATAAATGTAGAATTGTTATTAATAATTAATGAATACTTTTTATTTAAGGAGAAGTAATGTTTTTATGGGGCGAGCGAACATTTTTGTTACTGAACCTTAACTATGAGAAAAAGAATCATCGAAGGTTAAGCGTACCTGTATATAGCTTACGAATTACGTGATTTAATTGGACAAGGTCATTACTATTGTAAGAACATGTCACTTATATAGAAAGTGAGATTTGAATTAACAAGTGGTTAGAGTTTTAATTTATCATTAATTAAGTTAATTCTTAATTTACAATAGTTGAAGCTAATATATTTACAAGGTGTTATTTATTTTGTATATAAATAATATATATATAGTTAAGATGCAAAAATTATGAAACAAAGATTCTCTCATTACAAAAATCTAGAAGGAAGAGTCACACTATGTTTATGAGTTGATGATAATAAACCAATAGATCTAGCAGTCTTTATGGCGTATGATAATTTTCTTTGATTTTTAGCATTACATCCAGTAATATTTCTTGGTAAAATTTGTCCAGTAGTTGTTAAGTATCTTGATAATATTTCTGGATAGATATATAAGGTAGATGGATCAATTCCTGCTTTTTCAAATGGATCACCATCAACATTACTAGTAGTTTTTCTATTTTGTTGTTGTGAACGTTTAGTCATTTCTTGTTTAACATGAGAAAAATCAAATGGATCATAACTTTGACCAAATTCAAATCTTGATTGAAACATTGGACTAATATTTAAAGGAGGTTGATTGTTTTCTTCAATATTTCTGGCTATACCAGCCACTTGTTTTGTGATATTCATATCATTATTCTTATTGTCTCTAGAACCTGACCAAAGCTCTTTACTTTTCATAGATTCATTTGAAGGTAATATATTCCTTTTTTCAACATTGTCAACGTCATTATACAATCTAGCACATTGAGAAAATGAGCGTATATTACTGGCCCTCACAGCTACTGACCTTATACTACTTATTCTTGAAATCATTTTTGCCTTTAATTAAACACTAGCTAATATCTACTAATGTTTCGTATCTATACTTCTGGTTCAGAAAATTTTCATGTTGGAGGAAAGGAAAAAAACAAAAAATAATAGAGTTGACAAATTCACATGACCCAGCACATGATCATTTCACACCAAATTTTTAGCCTTTCCTCCCTAATTAAAAATGAAAGGGCACAGTTCTGGTCAAAAATTAATAATCCATCAAATTTTTGTTCGAGCCTTCGAAGATTTGATTCAGTTAAATTATCCTAAATTGGACATATATTATACACAAACATATATAATACATATATATCGTCAGTATCGTATATAGATACTGCGATACGTCATTAGTACGTTTTAATTCCTTCCATTCTAGTCCAATCCATATAGCTATTTTATCATTTACTATCATTTTAACTTTTGTCCAATAAACTAGTAAGCAAGCAATAAATCATCAATAATCAATCAAATCAAATATCATAAAATTGCTTGATTAACAATTTAACATTAGAAATTCTTTGCATTTAATCATTTAATCATTTTATTAATTTAATAATTTAATCACTTAATTCACTTTATAATTATACTTGTAATTTATACCTTTCCAACCATTCATAGTAATTAATAAAGTGGGTGACCTTCAATTCTTAATAAATTTAAATAACGAATATTTTACGGAAATCTCAGCATAATATAATTTTTACTCATTTTTAATCATGGGAGAACGAGGACCAGATCAATGGCTAGAGCAAATTAAAAAATGCGTAGCTTTAACTGAATCAGATATGAAACAATTATGTGAATTAGTTAAAGAACTTCTTATGGAAGAATCTAATATTCAACCTGTTCAATCTCCAGTGACAGTTTGTGGTGATATTCATGGTCAATTCCATGATTTATTAGAATTATTCAGAATTAGTGGTGGTTTACCTAGTGATGATAATAATTCTAATTATATCTTTCTTGGTGATTATGTTGATCGTGGTTATTTTTCATTAGAAACTTTCACTTTATTAATGGTTTTAAAAGTAAAATATCCTCATCGTATTACTTTAGTTAGAGGTAATCATGAATCAAGACAAATTACTCAAGTTTATGGTTTTTATGAAGAATGTTTAACAAAATATGGTTCACCAACTGTATGGAAATATTGTTGTCAAGTTTTTGATTTTTTAACTTTGGCAGCTATAATTGATGGAAAAATTCTTTGTGTTCATGGTGGATTATCTCCTGAAATAAGAATGTTGGATCAAATAAGAGTATTAAGTCGTGCTCAAGAAGTTCCTCATGAAGGTGGATTTTGTGATTTAGTATGGTCAGATCCTGATAATGTTGATACTTGGGCTGTATCACCTAGAGGTGCTGGTTGGTTATTTGGTTCTAAAGTAAGTCGTGAATTTAATCATATAAATAATTTAAGTCTAATAGCAAGAGCTCATCAATTGGTTATGGAAGGTTTCCGTTATCATTTTAAAGAAAAAGATGTAGTAACAGTATGGTCTGCACCTAATTATTGTTATAGATGTGGTAATGTTGCTAGTGTTATGCAAGTTGATGAAGATTTAGAACCAAATTTTAAAATTTTCTCAGCCGTTCAAGAAGGTGATTCATATGTTAAAAATAATCCTAATAAGCAACAAAGAAGTGATTATTTCTTATAGTTAATTTTCAATTCAATCCCGTTATACTACCCATGCATTTCCATAATTTGATCCATTTTTAGACATTCCACATGCATGTATTATGTTTATTATTTATTAGTGTTTTGTTATATTTGGTTAAAGATGAATCTCTTGATTCATGATAATATAGAAAATCCAAATTAAACAAAAATCCACACACAACACACACACAACGCAATACAATTTTCTTTCTGACAATTTCTAATCTTAATGTTTTTTTATAACCCTTGATTCTGTCTAACTTTAATTTTAATTTGACAATAATGAGTTATGATGAATGAGTTTTCTTCAAAATAAAATATATAATAAGTTATCTCTTCTTTCCCTTTTGCCTTTTGTTTTCTAATGTTTTGTATAATATCTTTCAGTCTTATTTTATATATAATTTTATACAGTATCATCTTTACATATTCATTTTCATATTCATATTCATATTCATAAACAAATCGTATGTTCTATATTAATTATTTATTTATGCTAATTCATGGGCTATATTATTTATATTATATTATAAACATCTAATTCTTACCTTTTCTTCTTCTACGTTTAATACCAATAATCTTTTTAACATCATCACTTAATCCAGATTTATTCTTAACTTCCTTTGATTGATCAGATTTTGGTCCCTTATTCATATTTCCCTTTTTGGCAGATCCCTTTCTGGCTTTCTTATCAAATCCTTTAGATCTCTTATTTGAACTTTCATCATCATCATCACCATCTCTTGATCTTTTCTTAAAATTCTTCTTACCTTTATTATCTTCAGATTTATCATTTTTATTACGAGATTGGAAAACTTTTTCTCGTCTTCTTCTAACAACTTGAGCATTTTCTATAGCAAATTCAGCAATTAATCTTCTTTTATTAATTCCTTCTAATTGGGCTAATTTTTGTTCTTCTTCGGTTAAACCTTCTAATATTTCTGTAGGGATAACTTCATGAGCGTTTAACCATCTTAAACCCATAAGGGCAGCTTTATGATCTCTAAATTCTATAAACCCATAACCTCTACTTCTACCAATTTCTCCTGAACCTTTAACTTCATAAATAACTTTAGCTTGTTTAACAACTCCCATATGTTTTTGTTTCTTCTTATCTTTTTCTTTACCTTCTTCAACTAAATTAGATGGATCTAATTCTTGTAAATCATGTTTATATTTAATAGATCTATTAACTTCCTCTTTTGATAAAGGTTGTCTCTTTTCTTCTTTAACTTCAGTAGCAAATTGAACAACAGCTTTACGACCTAAAGCTTTTAAAGCTTTTGAATTCATAGCACGAGGTAAATTTCTAATAGCCAATCTAGTGAATGATAAATGCAAGGAAGGATTTTTATTTAATTGTTGAACTCTTAATTTATATGATTTTTCTCTCATTTCTAAATCAGCTTTAGAAATGAATTGTGCTAATTTAGAATTACTTGTAATTCTACCTTCATTCAATAAAAATAAATTACGTTTATCCTTTTCACTTGGTGCTTTACCTAATAATTCTTTTCTCTTTTCAGAATTTCTTTCTGCTAATCTTCCAGCTGATTGTCTATCAACTGATGATGTTACTGATAAAATTCTTCCTTGATAAACATAAGCTGGTGAGACATCATCAGCAATTAATAATGAAGTACTGGCAACACTTGGAGCATTATCCAAACAGTCAGTATATGCTTCTTGATTAGTAAATGCAACGAATGCAGAACCTTTAGCTAACCCAGTCTCTTTATCAATGACGGGTAATGCATATTTAACAGTACCAAATCTAGAAAAATGTTCTTGTAAAGATTCAGCATCAGCATCATACGGTATATTTCTGACAAATACTGAGAATGGTTCTTGTCTATTACTTTTCTTTCTAGGAGCTTCTTCTTCTTCTTCTTCTTCTTCTTCTTCATCTTCTGGTTCGTCATCAGAATTAATTTCATTTAATTTATGGAAATCTTCTTCTTCAGCCTTGTCTTCTGGTTCTTCTCCATCTTTATCTTCTTCTTTGGCTTCTTCATCGATTTCTTCAGAATCTTTGTCTTCTTCTTCTACATCTTCTTCCTCTTCTTCCTCTTCTACATCTTCTTCCTCTTCTTCCTCTTCTTCCTCTTCATCTTCTTTGATCTGTTCCCATTTAGACTTTTCAATAGCCAAATCAACAGCTACTTCTCTACCATCGATCTTTAATCCAACAGATTCTTTAACGGCCTTTTCAGCAGCTGCTTGTTTTTTCATTGTAACAAAGGCAAATCCACTCATTTGACCACCTTTCTTCTTAGGAATATATGCATCGAAAACAGCTCCATATTTCGAGAAGATCTTCTTTAATGCATCTGGTTTCTTACATGACCATGGTAAATTACGAATAATTAATCTGGCTCTTCTTTTCTCTACTGGAATTGCAGCTGGTTTTGAAATATGACTCAAATTTTTGGATTCATCATCTTTTACTTTACGATCTCTTCTTTTTGCAATATCAACTCTTAATAATCTTCCTTGAAATTTAGCTTTACGAGCTTCAACTAAAGCAGTTAAACCATCTTCTTCTTCAGTAAATGATACAAATCCAAAACCTCTTGATTTTTGTTCATTATCATTAACTATAACTGCATGTTTAACAGGGACAAATTGTGAAAAGAATTCTGATAATTGTTCAGAAGTAGCTTCAAATGGTATAGAACGAACAAATAATGTTTTTCTATCTAAACCATCATCATTGTCTATACTCTTAACTATGACTTCCGTACTTTCTTCTGACATTGTTTATATATATATATATTTATTACTCTATATAAACTATCAATTAATTAACCACTATCAGAATTTAATCAGTTAAACTATGTGAAAATTTATTTTGTATATGCAGGTATGCTCTTCCCCATCGCTTATAAGACTTGTGAAAAATCAAATCAATTACGTTACCCGCAGGACCATACAAAAGAAAAATGTAAACATTAAACATATAGTGCAAAAAATGGTGGGGGAAGTAGGATCTGATAAGACTAACTTATATAAAGTAGTGGGATAATTAGTGGGATAATGAATAGAATTGATATTAGTAGTAAGAAATCCAATGTATTACCTAATACATATATTCCAGTACTTTCTAAGAAAATTCTTATAAATATTTTACTACGATTACCTAAATTATCCCTCATAGAATTTATACAAATATGGCCTCGATTAATTAATACTCAACCATATCTTAATGAACAAGATAAATATCATAATCAAAAATCATTTAATTTAATGGTTATAAAAGAAGCCAAGGATTTAAAACTTAATATAACTAAAATTCCCAAGAGGAAAGTTATAGAAATAATTATAAATAAATATTGGACTCGAGGATTAAATCTTTTACAATTATCTCAATTAGATTGTCAAATGATTGTAGATAGACCAAATTCATTTTATTGGATAAAATCAACTATTCAAGATACTTTTGGTAAGGAAATCCCCATACTGTTTGATCCACAAAAATTTCTTGATCTGTTAGTAAAAGATCTTAATGCATTATATTTAACTTATATTTATATTTGTAAACATCCAAATTTACCTTCAACAATTATTAGAATTCAATTATTTGATTTACAAGGTATTAATATGAATGATACAAATTCTTTATCAAGACCTCATATATCTTCTCATAGAGCTCATTTTATTGCAATTCCTCAAAATTCTCCTCATATTCTTCATTCTGCAAGTTCAGATATAATTTCAAATTTAATTCTTCAATCAGTGGAAAGGAATTTACCGCAAAATCCTCATAATTTATTAAAACTTATAACCGATGATAAACAAATACCGGTAAGATCATTAGAATCAATGCATATATTACATGGTAATTCAAGATTTAGTAATAGTTTGGGTGTCTGGACACCTTATGCTGATGGAACTGCTGATACCTTACCATTAACTGCTCCTGATAAACATCCTATAGTAGTTGGTCAAAAACATGAAGAAGAACAAGAAGAACAAGAAGAACAAGAAAAACAAGAAAAACAAGAAGGAGATGGTGACTCATTAGAAATGATTCAATTGAAGAAAATAGCTAATTTAAGATTTAAAGGTTCAAGTACTGGAATTCTTAAATCTTCAAAACTTTATGATGATGTTAATAATAATAAGAGAAAGAGAAGAAGAATATTTCAAAATGATGAAGATAATATTGATGAATTTGATACTATAATAACTAATAAATTTAGTTCTATAGCTCCAGTTCAACATGCCGATTTTATAATTAAAGAAAAAATTACTGAAACTCATGAATCTAATATTATGATAAGATTTAATGGACTGGATGTATTTGGTGGATTACATGAACTTTCAGTATTAACAACTAATAAAGAAAAAATGATATTAGATCCATCAGAAGTTCCTGGTTGGCTTACAGGAGAAGAAGGAGCTAATAGTGGAATTATAAAAAATTCACAATTCATTAAATCTTCTTCATCTATTTAATTTAAATACTATAAATTTAAATTATTTATACTTAATAACCTAATTTGGAAATATAATCTCCAATAATATTTTTAATATTATTATTAATATTTGTTTGAGATAATTCTTGTAAAATTCGAATATCTTTTGCTTTAAATGCTTCTTGAGCTGCTAAATCTATATCATCATTTTTAATAAAATATTCAACTTTTTCAGTATAATCAATATTATTACAATTTTTAATATAATTACTTAAATGATCTTTTGGTCCATTATATTTAAAACATGCTTCAATAATTGGTTTAAATCCTATAGGAGATTTAACATTACTAATATCATTAGTATCAGTTATAAATCCATATAATTTATCAAATTCTTTACCCGATGCAAGAGTTTCAACTACTAAATTCCAATATTTTTCTAAAGAAATTTTAAATTCTTTAGCAATTTTTGATGCTGGTTTTAATTGATTCATTTCAATAAGTTTAATTAATACTTCAGTTACTGATTTTTCTCCATAAAAATTAGTAATATAAGTTTCTCCAAGTTTCTTTTGTAAATCTAAAAGTTCAAGTTCATGTTGATACATTTTATTAACTCTTTTAGGATTAGATCTATTAATTGCTCTTTGTAAATGAGATTTATAATTTTTATAATAATTTTCATTATTATAATCGGGATTTTTAATAAAATTCTTTAAATTATTATTAGTTAATTCAACTATTTTATCTTCTTGAGTATAATAAGCATTTAAAATATTTGGTTGTTCATGTCCAATATTATTAATCCAAAAATTTCCAATTAATTCATCACTTATAAATAATCTATCTGAAAGTATTTGACTTTGTTTAGTTTCATTTTGATTTAAAATTCTAAAGAATTGTGATATAGTTAAAGTATTTTGTAAATATAATAAAATTATATTTGCTAAATCATTTTCTCCACTTTGAATAGCTTCTGCTAATGCTAATTCAATTTCTTCATATTTTAAAAATTGAATCATCTTTTGTTTAATTGATGGTTCAAGTTTTATAAGTAATTTACAAAGTTCAATTCTTCCTTCTTCATAAGCTACTTGTGATATTTTATCCACAGAAATTGTATTAATCTTAGAATTACTTAAACTTGTTAATCGATTTTTAATAATATCATATAATTCTTTATCAGAAATATTAGCTTCCTTTCTAATTTTATTACAACACCAATGAATATATACAGTATTTTTTAATTGAATTAAATTTAATGATTCAATAATTTTAATTGCTAAAAGATGTTGATCACGTCTTAATAACATTAATATTATTTCTTCCCATCCACATACTTCAATTTCTTTATAAGTTAAAAAAATCCCAATTGATGAAGATCTTAATTGATTAAGTACTCTAACTTTATTTAAAGTTAATAAATATTCTTCACTATTATAATAATCATGATAATATGTTTTACCAAAAGATACAGCTCTTAATATTTTCTTTTGCCAATATTGATTAAATTCATCTAATACTACTTCTAAACAAGTTTTCATAGCAATAAGTAATGAACCATCTGATTCAAGTAATGAAATATTTGTATCAGCTTTTGAAGAATGAATTGATAATTTATCAATACAATCTAATAATATACTACTTGGATGTGATGAACCAATTTGATATAACAGAATAGTTGAATCAGGTACTCGAGAAAGGAATTGAACTTTATTAGAAGTTATAATTTTAAGTCCATCAGGTTCTGTTTTTAAAATTGGTATAATATAAGTTATATCTTGAGTTAAAGGTATATTAGTTCCCTTAAGTAATCGATCTATATCAAATTCATCATCTTCATCTTCTACTACAAGATCATAATAATGAGATATAGATTGTTGACCAGGACCAATAAGTTTTATTTCATCTTTTAAAGATAATACTATAACATCATTTCCACACCATTCAATTTGATATGGTATACTTGATTCTCCATCAGTATTATATTCTAATAAAATTCTATCAAATTTATTATGAATAACATAAATTGTAGATGATTTATTATTATATAAACATATTAAATTTCCATTAGGTGATGAATTTACTGATGTGAATGGTCCATCAGTTAATGCTTGATCAATTAATTCATAATTATTAAATTTTAATTCAAATCTACATATAATTATAGTATTTTTATAACTAATTAAAATTTCTGAATTTGATAAGAAATTTATATTATGAATTTGGGACAGATCTAATGACAGTAATGATAATTCATAATTTGTAAAATTATTTAAATCACTTATAATTAATCTTTGATTTTGTCGTATAATAAGATAATCTTTCCAAAGTTTTACTTCAAAGATTTTAAAGATTTCTTCAGTTAAATTATTTTCTAAATTTGTAATATAATGTCCATTAGAACCTCCAGTTTCGGAATTAAATGGTGAACTAGTATCTTCAAGTTTTATTAAATTTTCAGTAAAATCATATTCATTAAATACTGTTTTATAATCCAGATAATATCGATATCTATTATTATTAAATACTAATACAAAATCTTCATTTCGAAAATAAAAATCCACTATATGATCTTCTGGACGATTATTATAAGAAATTGACCATATTTTATTACCACTAATTGAATAAATATCAATAATATTTGGATAATTAACAAATTTAGATGCTAAGGCTAATAATGTACAATTAGTTGATATTACTACTTTATAATTAGAATGAAGATTTTGAATTGTCCAATTTAAACTATCATAACATGAATCAAGACTATAGTATACGTTCTGGAGATTTAACCAATTTAGACTAGGATTGGATGCCATAGTTTCTTGTCCTTATAGTTACTGGTATGGGTTATATTATGTACATAGTTAAAGTTAACGAAGTTAATCGGGACCCACACTGTGCAGGAATTCGAGTTAGTATGGAGTATTGGGGGTGTGTCTTAACACTATGAATTTATATATAGACATACAGTTAGTAGGAACTAAAAGATATATATAGTAGAAGTAGAAGTAGAAGTAGGTGAACTAATTGCTAATTCATAACTACTTCTACTATAACTCCATATAAATTTATTATATGTGGTAATTATGTTAAGAGAGTCGCTATCATTTGAAGCTACATCAACTAACTTAGTGGTTTATTAGAATACTACTTCTATAAATAACGTAAATAGATAAAGTACATAGGGAGTGTTTACAATTTATATCAATTGACATCATAATGTTTACCTGTGGTATAAATTCATTTGCTGTACTGAAGAACATCAGCACACGATTGGTAAAACCGAATCGCGGGTCACAAATTTGTCTGTATATTAAGCAAGTTCATATAACTAGAGTCTCTGACTTATACCTACAGTTACATCATACAAATCCCATCATATCTGTATAGCTACATATATATACATACTCACATATATACAACCATGAGTTCAGATACAGAATATGTCACATTGGTTTCGGCCGATAACCATAAGTTCATAGTAATGAAAGAAGTAGCTCAAATCTCATCAGTGATCAAAAGTAGTCAAGGATTTCAAGAAGGTGAAACGGGAAAAATATCATTGGATATGGATGGAGATATATTGGAATGTATAGTAGAATACCTATATTATCATTATAAATATAAAGATCAAGCTGAAACAGGAAATATTCCTGAATTTAATATACCGACTCACTTAGCCTTAGAATTACTTGTAAAGGCAGACTTTTTAGATATCTAACGAATAACCAATCTCCAATATATACCCATTATCTTAAAATGCTACATGAATGTACTATATACGTTAAGTTTAAATTTAACCTTTCTTTTAACACTAAACATGTTAACTCATTAATATAATATACATCACCCTTTAGTTAACTATGGGAACCCGGAAACTGCTTGATCCTGCACCTACCCCCCCATTTTGTAAGACCAGTAACGATAACCAATCTCTCCCCTTTAATAAGTGCCACCATCCCATCACCACCTATTAAGTTACTGTTACAAAGAATTGAACATTAGCTTTAGATTAACTGGTAGATATACCACATTTAAGTATGACGACTCTATTAGACAATCTTCAATCAGATATCTATTCGTTTAATAAAGTCGCAAATGATAATCTCCACAATTTGTGGGATGAATCAGAGACACTTTTAAAGGAGTTAAAGGATATTGAACAATCTTTAACAATAGATGAATCATTAGATATTTCAAGACTTGAGAAACAAAGTGAAAAATGGTATAAAAATTCAATTAATAATCTTAAAGCTTATAATACTGGAATTAATAAATTTCTGAAGAGTATCAATAATCCAAAGGATAATATTGATTTAGATGAAGCTTATACTTATCCATTAAATTTAAATAATTATCCAGTAACTAATAAAGAAAAATCTTCAGCTGAAAGAGAATATGATTTAAAAACTATTAAATTAGAAAATAGAGAAGAACTTATTAAAGCCATTATTCTTCATCTACTTAAAATTGGTCAATGTGATGTAGTTAAAGAAATAGTTAAAGAATTACCTCCAGATTCTCATGTAGAAATAGATGAATCATTACTTGAAAAATTTGAATTATTGAATAAAATTGTTGATGATATTGTTATTAGACATGATCTTCATAAAGTACTAGATTGGTTTAAAGCAAAATATGATTCTATAGTTAAATCATCACCTTCAGGAATTTTAAATAATCCAATTCCTAGTACTTCACAAATTGAATTTAAATTTCATATGTTACAATTCATTCTTTTATTAAATTCTAAGAATGCCTTAGATGCTTATTTATATTCTATGAATAATTTTTCAAAGTTTATTAAAGATTATCTTCATGGGATATCTCCAATAATGACTTTATTATTATACAATAATAGTTTGTCTAACTTATCTCCAAATCAAGGTAAGTTTTCTAAAATGCAAGATGATCGCAAGTTATTTGAATTCATTACAAAATTGAAACATAAATTTAATGCTGAAAAGGATACTAAGAAATCTAATCAAGCTGAATTTAAATTTGTAGCAGAATTATTAGATAGTTTTGATGATATTAATAAGAATCAATCATTATTTGTTAATATTGCCAATGAATTTATTTCGGAATATTGTAATGATTTAAAATTATCTAATGATTCATCATTATTTCAAAGTATTTTAGCTGGTTATATTTATTTACCCAGTTTTTATAAATATAATCAAATTCAATCTAAATTTAATAAGATGTTACCTTCGAATGCTAATGATAATGGAGATGGAAATGCTAATGAACAGTTAATAATTAATTTTGATGCAACTTATCATTTTGATTTACCCTTTCAATTACCTGATTCAAATAGATTTCTTTTTAATTATCATCCTATATTTATTTGTCCTATTTCAAGAGAACAATTAATACCAATAACTGATACTTCAGATAATCATTCTAATGAAGAACATAAAAATAAGAAAAAGAAAAGATCTCATTCTGAATCTCAAGGTAATTTAAATATTGCTGCAGTTAATCCTGTAGTTGTACTTAATTATTGTCAACATCTTGCTCTTAGAGAAAGTGTTTGGCATTTATCTAAGAAAGGTACAGAAATCTTTAAATGTCATTATTGTTATAAGAAGCATAAATTTTCTGATGTTACTGAGGCCTACTTTGTTGATTTATAAGTTACTTATAAATTCACATACAAAAGTTATAGTTTAGGTAAGGTTAAGTTAGATTAGATTTAGTAGGGTAGATTAGGTAGATTAGGTTAGGTTAGGTTAGGAATATATTGGTTATTAACTATGTAGTGCACACATAGCGCACCCAACGGCTCTGTAGAAAAAAGAAGGAAAAAAAAAATTTATATCCTAATCCGTACTGTTAGTAAAGCATTGCAAAATCATTGAAGTCATGAATAAAGGGAGTACCAATAAGGATATTGATATTCCTCTACTACATACCGAAGAGTCTATATTGGGTAAACCATGGTTATTGGTATATAAGAAAAATGTTGAATTTGAAGGTCAACATTTTGAGACTGCTATGTCAAATCTTATCAAACAACCCAATATTAATTCAACAGTTATAATGAGAGCAGATATATTAAAGGAAAATATATATGATCCAGAAAAGGGTGATACTATGTTTGTAAGTAAATTAATTAATCAAATTCCGGAATTCCCATCATCTGATGAATCAACAATTCTTAAACGAGATTTAACTGATGTAGAATTAAGATCAATTCCATTAGATAATAGTAAAATTCAATTACAACCAAAATTTGAAATTATACGAAGAATAATACCTCGTAATCCATTTAAAGATTATATTATAAATCAAACATGTTTAGTATTAACTGATGATAATACTACTAATAGTAGTAGTAATAATAATAATGATACTATATTAGTTGTATATATTCCTCATATATCATCAAAGGATGAAATACCCTTTTATTTACCAGAAGTTTATGGAGTAGGCATCTTATATCATAAGAAATCATTATCAATTCATTATTTACCATTTGGATATAAACAATCAGATATTGAATATAATTTAGTAAAAAATTGGGATCCAACCAATAGATCAATAAGAATCGCATTAAGATTATTAGAAACTTCAGCTAAACATTCTAATGGAGTTATGGCAGGTTACGAAAAAAGAGTTAATCATGATATGGTTGTACCTAAAATTGCATTTCAAAATAGATATATTAGTCTTAAGAAAAAATATTCATCAAATTTAGTTAATCTGTGGATTGAAAGTACTGATCCAAAGAAGCATGTATTTGAAGATTTAGCAATAGCTGCATTTTTAATAGAATTTTGGGCTTCACTATATAAAAGTAAAGAAGATTTTGAATTTAGAGATCTTGGTTGTGGTAATGGATTACTTGTATACATATTAAATAATGAAGGTTATAAAGGTATTGGTATAGATGCTAGAGCGAGAAAATCTTGGACAACTTATCCTGAAGAAGTTCAGAAAAATTTAAAAGAACAAGTAATTATTCCTAGTATATTATTAAAGCCTCATCCTGCTGTGGCTAAAATGGCCCCACATATTAAAGACAATGGTAGATATTTTCAAATACCTGATTCACCAAGTTATTATTCATCAGCTAATTTACTTGCATCAGAAAAAGTATGTACATTAGATGATTTTCCTAAAAATACCTTTATAATTGGAAATCATTCTGATGAATTAACTTGTTGGATTCCACTTTTAGGATTTCCATATATGGTTATACCATGTTGTTCACATTCAGTTTCAGGAGCTAAAGTTAGATATAATCCAAGAAAATCTGCTACTCAAAATTCTACATATTCATCATTAGTAGATCATGTAGAAGATTTATCAATAACAATGGGTTGGGATGCAAAGAAAGAAATGTTAAGAATTCCAAGTACAAGAAATGCTGCTATAATTGGTAGTAAAAGAAATATTAATGAATCTTTAGAAAGTTATCAAACAAGAATTTTAGATATTTTAGCTTTAGAAGGTGGAACTGAAGGTTGGGTAGAAAATTCTATTGCATTAATGAAAAGACCTCCTAGAAATCATTAATCTTTAGTTAATAATATAATAAATGATTGCAAAAATTTAATTTTTGGATTTCTTTTTTTGTCACAATAAATTAAAATTAATCCTAATCGGGAAAGAGTCCTGCACACAATCCACAGGAGAAAACTTCCACCAAAAGTTGGCATTATCAAAAGAAGGTGTGAGTAACTTAACTATTAACACATTAAATTTAAGGTATATATAACTTTGTTGAAGTTTTTTGTAGGGTATATAAATAATCTATAAAGTAATTTATATTTATTAGAAATGACTGGTTCATCTTCACAATTTCAACAACTTGAAAAACTTGGAGAAGGTACTTATGCTACTGTTTATAAAGGTAGAAATCGAGCTACTGGTACATTAGTTGCCTTAAAAGAAATTAATCTTGATTCTGAAGAAGGTACACCATCAACAGCTATAAGAGAAATATCATTAATGAAAGAATTAGATCATGAAAATATAGTACCATTATATGATGTTATTCATACAGAAAATAAACTTACATTAGTATTTGAATTTATGGATAAAGATTTAAAAAGATATATGGAAGTTTATGGTAATCAAGGTGCACTTGATTTAAAACTTGTTAAATCATTTATGTTTCAATTATTAAAAGGTATAATGTTTTGTCATGATAATAGAGTATTACATAGAGATTTAAAACCTCAAAATTTATTAATTAATATTAAAGGTGAATTAAAATTAGGAGATTTTGGTTTAGCAAGAGCTTTTGGAATACCTTTTAATACATTTTCAAATGAAGTTGTAACTTTATGGTATAGAGCTCCTGATGTTTTATTAGGTTCAAGAGCTTATACAACTTCTATTGATATTTGGTCTGCTGGTTGTATATTTGCTGAAATGTGTACTGGTAAACCATTATTTCCAGGTACTGCAAATGATGATCAATTAATAAAAATCTTTAGATTAATGGGAACTCCAAATGAAAGAACATGGCCAGGAATTTCTCAATATGCAAATTATAAAAGTAATTGGCAAATATTTGTACCTCAAGATTTAAGATTAATAGTACCAAATTTGGATTTAATGGGATTAAATTTATTACAAAGTTTATTACAAATGAGACCTGAAGCAAGAATAACAGCAAGACAAGCATTACAACATCCATGGTTTCATGAAATAACTCAACCAAATCCTTTAATACAACATCATTTAGCAGACCCTTATCAACAACAACAACAACAACAACAACAGCAACAGCAACAGCAACAACAAGCACAACATCAAACTACTTCTGACTATTAATTTAATTTACATTAGGTACATATACATAGAATTTGAATGAACGAAACTACTTTATAATATAATAACTCTAGCTATGAAGTGGAAAATTCGGTGGACCACAAACTGATATCAATAATCTAGCAAGTGTATTATTTTTAAGTTCAAATACACATTCCCAAGCATTCGATACATCATATCCTAATTCAGCATAACGATCTAACATTAATAATAAAGCATCTGTTAGATCTTGAGTAATAGATTTTTGAAAATAATTCTTACCGTAGACTGTACAATCTTGTTTTTCAAACTTATCATAAAGTCTAAGCATTTCATCAATTGGAGGTTTGCCTTCTACTTCTAATGTAGGGGACATTTGGAATAAGAAATGCACATAATGAGCTAAAGTTGCATCAGAACCTTTGAAGTCTTCACCATTAAAATTCTTAATAGTATTGTATAATATTTTATTGATATTTATGAAGAAAGATGTTTGTCTATCACATAAAACAAGTACCATATCAAATTTTTCCTTAGAATTAATTCCATTCTCATATAATATATCACTAAAATCATAGTAATCACATTCACGAAGTTCATCATAGATAGTATAACAATTTTCACTGAATTCAATTTCATCATCATAATCTGGAAGTTCTATATTCCCTGGTAGTATTTCTTCGAACATATCATATTGACGAAGATTCCACATTTTATTAGCTAATGAATCTGGTTCATAATTTTCATTTTGCCTTAATTGAAAGAACCAATATGAAATAGAAGCAAATATCCCTTTAACTTCTTTTAATCTAACCATAGTTTCTAATTTAATCTGTTCTTGAGTCATTACTGGTATATGATACATTCCATATCCTCTTCTGCTTTTACCATCTCGAGGTATAACAGCATCATCAAAAGCATAATATATAACTCCAGCACTTATAAATTTATTTAAAAGAATGCTATCAGCATAAGCATAAGCTTGTGTGGTATATTTCTCACATAACTCTTCAATATCATCAATATAATAATTTATACATTTATAAATAAACGGACTGGAAGTTTCTAGATCGGGATATTCAGTAAATATAGTAGACTTATAATATTCTATTTTTGAACGGATATCATTAAAAATTAGTCTAGTATTTAAATTAACCAAATACCATTTACGTATCATACGTTTAACTAAAGATAAATTATACCAATTAACATCATCTTCAAGATCTTCACAGTACTGACGATCACCTGGAATATAAATATCCCAAACACTATCATCATCTTCTTCTTCACAACAATATATATTAATACGTTTTTGAGTAAACTTTAAAGTCTTATTAATCTGTTTACAAACTAATGGTAAATTATTATGAGGTCCAGATTCAATAAATATTTGGAATAAGATATCTTCTGGGAATCTTTCTAAGATACTAAGCTTAGAACTTTTACTTGATGATGGGGTCTTCTCTAAAGCGATTATATCTGATGATGAATTCTTATTAGAAGTTTTCCTTCGCTTTAGGGACTTTCCATGTTTTATAAACCCCATCGCATACTAAATATATTGATTTATAGAATAGTATAGTTTCAGTACATTATAATCTGAAAATGTATATGCTTCAAAATGCTTTAGGAAAACTGCAATTTTTCTTTGCTCACAAATTTTGGGGCAACGGTGGATAAGAGAAACTATCCAGATAAACAGTTTATATAATTGTATGTAATAAGTAAGAAAAAGGCGAGGAATGAGAGAGAAGTGGAAAGTTCATATACTGTGGAATAAGTGTATTATAGATAACAGTAATACAACACATACTAGAATACAGACATGTATAAGGAGACATTAACTACTCTGATTCAATATCGAGTTATTGATTTAATTGACTTTATATAATTATAATAAATAGATAAATAGATAAATAAATAAATAATATAACGAAGCTTTTAGAAGAAATGAATTTGGATATTTAGTCTATGGACTAGAGCTTACCATGATCTTTGAATTGATCTTCAGTGACACCAGCACCCATAGCAGCAGTAGATGTAACACCACCAGAAACCATTCTTAATAAACCATCAATATATTCGGCACCAGACCATTTTTGATGCTTAACAACTTCAACACCTTTTTCAATTTCTGGTTGTTGAACTGTTTGACCATAAGCTCTCATACCAATCTTGGCATATTGAGCAGAGAAGTCATCAACAGCCAAAGCAGTAGTATGTAAACCAGCAAGAGTAATGAATTGCCAGACATAACCTAATTTACCTAATCTCTTGATATAAGTTTCTTGTTCATCAGCAGGCATGGCTCTATTCCAATTAAATGATGGAGATAAGTTGTAAGCTAACCATTGATCTGGATAAAGAGATTTAACACCATCAGCAAATTCTTTAGCTTGAGCATAATCTGGTAAAGCGGATTCCATCCAAATTAAATCAGCATATGGAGCAAAGGCTCTACCTCTCATAACAGCACATTGAGTTCCACCTCTGTATCTATAGTAACCTTCTCTGGCTCTGGAAACTTCCCAATTAAAGTAAATATCTTTACCAGTTAATTCTTTAGCTAATTTTCTAGCTTCTTTATTGGAAGTTAAAGATAATGGATTAACTTTATCAGTGAATTTTTTAATTAATGCAGCCTTGTTTGGGTAATTACCTGCATTAATGGTATCAATAACTGCTTCATGGAATAATTTTAAGCCAGCTTTTTTAGTCCATTCAGCTTCAATAGCAGCCAATCTTTCACCATAAATACCCTTAGATTCAGCTTCATGCATAAGAGTAGATAAATCTGGAGTATCTGGGTTAGTTGAACCAATAATAAAGTAATGGTCTCTGTGGTCAATAGTTGAAGTAATTAAAGTAGCAGCTTCGGAATCAGTTCTTGCAACAGCTAATAAATCAGAACCTAAAATATCAGCAGATGCTCTAATAGCAACTAATCTATTAATATGTTCTTGAACTGGAACTAAAACTTTACCAGCCATATGACCACACTTTTTGGTACCTGGAGCTTGATCTTCAATATGAATACCAGCAGCACCTCTTTCAACAAATAATTTAGTCAATTTAATAATGGCAGTAATACCACCATGACCAGTATCAGCATCAGCAATAATTGGTCTTAAAAAGTCAGTGTAAGGTAACTTAGCTCTTTGAGCCTTGGTTAAACCTAATCTTTCTTCTCTTTGTTTTCTGTCATGGAATAATTGAGCAAACCATAAATGTTCAACTTTATTTGGAACAGTATCCATAGGATAATCAGCTAAATCTGGTGATGGTTCATTTGAAGTTGAAGCAGTTGAAGAACATTGCCATCCAGAAACATAGATAGAATCTAAATATTTGGCCATTTGAGCAACATGAATTGGGTCTAAAGCACCAAAAGTGAAAGAAACAGTCTTTTCCTTATCATGTTCTTCTAATAATTTGAATAATTTCTTTGCTTGATTAGAAGATGGATAGTCAATTTTCAAAGTACCTCTCTTCTTAGCAATATCTTCTGGAGAATAAATTCTTTTAGTTTTTCTCCAACGAGGTTGAGACCACCATTGTTTGATTTCTCTCACTTGGTCTTGGAAGAATTTTTCTTCTTCATCTAAATTGATAGCTGAGTAAGGCATTTTTTGCTAATATTAATTAATATATTCTTACTATAATACTAGTATTACTTTTATATATACAGATATACAAGAACAAGTTAATAGAAGAAATAAGAAAAAAAGTATAAAGAAATCAAATTTAAAACTGCTGTGAAAAATCAACCGATATTTATATTATTTGTTCAGAAAAGTTGATTAAACCATATGGGTTGATGATGATGAAAATAATCTATCGCTCTTTATTGTACTACCCCAGATTTTGTCTTTGCTTTCTGTGCGTATTCCGTTAATCCAGGTTATATACAGGTTGGACTGAGCAGCACCTCGGATAAAAGGGTGCGAAACTGATTAGCACAAGAGTTCAAGGACTAATGGGAAGCTTAAGCTTCAAGCCTACATTATTAATCTTTAATTAAACAGTTCTATAGCAAGTATCAACCTTTCAATCTATTTGGTAAAAGACTCTAGTTTTCAAAGAGAATTATTTGTCTTCAGGTTATTCGTAAATTCAGAGGAAAGAAAAGTCAGCAGAGAAAAAATCATACTCACCCATTTCTTTTTTGCACTCTTTGCTGTAAGTGGTGTGTTGGCGATGATTCATGAATCATAAAACATAGAAAATAAAGCAAAATAAAACATATGAAAAATAAATGAAGCCAGTACGCTCCGTATCGGACCCGGTGGATATTCCTGCAAAATTCTGCTTGTAGTTAAATTACCGAGGGGGTGTTTGCTTACATTTTTTTTAAACTCCAGGATTTTGAACTCCGAGGCTAACTTAATTTCACAAACTTAACATGAGAGTAAATTTAAATTTAAATCTACGCTGTTAAGTCTCAAATTGGAAATATTTGTTTTGACAGTAGATTTATTGTTTGTATTATTTTGAGTATTACTCAGATTGAATGGATAAACGGAGTCGATTGTGTGTACTACAGTATATACATTAATATAAAAATAAAAGAAGTTATCCTTTAATCAGACTCTAGTCTATGGGTATTTCGGAGTATTTCTCTTTGTGACGCTCAACATCTCTCCATTACTCTTGTGTTCCAATTTAAACCATAACTATATTTCGAAATTAATTTTTTTGAGCCAATTTATAGTTTCGAAAGAACTTATTGGCTCACCCCAGAAAATTTCATTTCCTTGGAAAAGAATTTGAAAAAAAATAATTATATTATACACAAAATATGAACTCCGAGCCCGAATCTTAGTCATAATACCGTTCCCTGTCCTTCACTCCGTCTACAATTGTTTATCTTGACTCATATATGCAAAATACTTAATATGATGATTATAAAATATTTACTTTGAAAGTCGAATCCTACAAAGTCTAAATACTAAATCTAAATTATACATTAACTATTAGATATTGCAGCTTTGCTGTTGGAAGTTTCCTAGTCCTAACCCTCACCTTACTCCGAGTTTTTAAGTCCAGATAATCTATCTATTAATCGCTACGCCGCTATTGTTTGGACTTCTTGTTTATCCCGGCGGTCTTATCTGTAGGCTTTCTTTTCTTAGTTATGGATGTTAAATCATTAACTGGAACTGCAGATGCAGGCGTCTTCTTCTTTACTCCAGTTAAAGTATTTATAACCGCAGCAGATGAATTAGCAGAAGGGGTGGAACTAGATCCATTATCACTCGTAGCTTCTCCCAATATACCCTTTATTATATCAACTTGTTCAGCTTTAAATGCTTCTGTCTCATCTCTTTGTAATTCTTGATATCGTAACTTCAAATCATTCAATAATTCTTCATTATCTTTCCTCTTATCTTCATCAGTCTCATTCTCGTTCCTTCTTTTTACAGATTCAATAGCTAATTTCATTTGCTCAACGGCTTTACCCTTCAGTTTTGGATCTTCAACACAAAATTCCAATGCCAATGATAATTTATAATGAGATTCAGAAATCAAAGCAGAATTGATTGGATTGTAAAGTTTAAGTCGAAGATTTAAGCAATTTTCTAAATCAATAGCAGATTGTGGAAAATTCTCCGCTTCCAATGATACTTCTCCTAACAAATCGTAAGTTTCAGATAATTTCTTTGTAATAATTATAAATTCGTTGCTTGTTTCTTCCTTATCAGATTGAAGATATGGTGGTTTGAGTTTCTTATCACCCAATTCTTCAAGTTGTTCTTCAAATAATGAACGAGCTAAATCCAAGATTTCCCATGCGACTTCGAAATCACTTTGATCTTGTCCATCACCTTCTTCTTCTTGACCATTTCCATTTGTTGTTAAAGCTTCTTTTTCTTCTTCATCTTCTTCATCCTCATCATCATCTTCTTCTGCGGGAACTGGTCCTTCACCTTCAGCTTCGCCTTCAACTTCTTCTTCTGCTAATGGAGCTGCATCATAGAATTGAAACTTTCCATCTTCCTCTCCATCATCTTCCTCATCTTTTTTCCCATTGTCTTCTCCATTATCGCCTTCTTCATTAGTAGTCGCACCTGGATTACCACCAAATACTTCTGACTTAGATACCGCACTTTGAAAAAGAGCTTTACCATAAAGTAATAAAAGATTAGCATCTTCTTTACCATTTTGTTCACTATACTTCTCACATGCTTCCCCATATTTTTCACTGGCAGAATCATAATTCTTAGAAGAATACAATCTGGATCCTTCAGCTATAACCTTGGATATCTCTTCACTATACGACATTTCGATAATATTATTATTATATAGTCAACTTTCTCTATAAATTATTCAAATTAGCTCTTATATCTTCTCCACCTAATTTTCCAAAAAGACGTGTCTGTGATTTAAATTTTTCAAAGGTTTTGTTTTTGTTTACTTCCACAAAAAAATAGGAACCGAGAAATTTTGAGATCCTTACCGCAATACTTTAGATAGTCCCCGTATAGAGTTGATCATTAATTGTTCTACAATTACCATTACTAACCTTATTTATACCATTAACCATTGACTAGAGTATTAGTACTATCCACTATGAGTGAGTTAGGTGATAGTAACAGGACATCACCCAGCAATCCACGACTTCGAAGGCGTCCACCCCCTCCGGTTACAGAATCTATTGATCCATTGCCATTAACGACTAATTTGAATCAATCCCTTTCAACCCCAACAATTGAAGGATTAAATAATAATAATTATAGTAATAATACTATTGCAACTACTCCTACACATAATTCGTATATAGACTATGATACTTCAGGATATCAAATGTCATTATATAATGAAAGTCCAGGACTCAATGGTCCTCGAGAATTATCTGATTATGGTGGATTCGATGATTCATTTCTGAATGATGCACCTTTAAGAGCTACTACTTATAATAGTGAATATTTTCAGAATAAGAGACGACTGTATCAACAATTATCGAGATCAGTTTCAACAGCGACAGTTCCAAGTCCAAGTCCTATTCATCATCAACAGCCACAACCTGATGCTTACTATCAAGATCCAACCACATTAAGATTATCTCCTCAATTAAATAGAGCTTTGTCAACTCCGCTTCATCCAATTCAAACCAATAATATTACTACTCCTACAAGAATTTCGGTTATAGATGTCTTACCTAGTCGAACTTTAACAACAAATTCTTATATATCAAATGGACCTATGACTCCACCAACAGCATCATCCCCTACTCGAGATAGATCATCTTTTCTCTTCTCCGAGAATGAACATGAAGAAGGGTACTCTCCGATATCACGAGATTCAGATTTCAATAGATATGGAAAGTATAATCTTGAAGAAGATATTGAATTAATTAATCGACAAATCGAATCATTGGCTAAATATACCCAATATATTTATGGTAATGAAGGTCTTGAATTACCATCTTTACCACCAGTAAATTTTGATAAGAATCGAGATTCTATGTATCCTATTCCTACATCTGTTCCATCTCCACCATCACCAAGTGCTAAATTAGATCAAAAATTAAAGGATGGAAAATTACCATTAATACCAGTTAACTTACAACAAAAATCAAATTTTCAAGCCAATTTATTAAGAGAAAAGCATTTTGCTGAATGTAAAAATATAAGTTCATTATCATCAATTTATAAATGGTGTTTAAGTTTACGTAATTGGCTGCATGCAATAGATATACCGACTTTTGCATTTAAAATGACAATATTTAAATTAATTGTATCAAAATTATCATTTGAATTTTCATATTATGTGAAATGTACAACTGAAATTATAAATGAATTAATGAAATTTAAATGTATTATATATGTAACTTATGATAATCCTGATCTGCATATTCGTATACTTGATGGTGGTTATATACCTGAATTATATGATACTTATATATTTAAACTGATCGATTTGAATGATAATTCTAATTTATTAGGAGATATTGAATTGACTGAAAATATTGATATTCAAGATGTTATTAAAAATAATTGGAAAGTTACATTACCAATAACAGAAAAGAAAATCAATGTTATAGCAGAAATGGTTGGACTGGAAATCTTATTTCGAACTAATGTTAAGTTATATATAAAGGGGTTAGTACCAGATTTTGGTTTACTTGTAAGAAAAGAATTTCAAGATCAAAGCTTTGAAGATAATTTATCGAAATGGGCAGAAGAAATATTAAAAATCCATGAAACTTATATATTAAAACCTTTATTAAAACTTGAAGTTTCTGATGAACCAGAAAAGTTAAATTCAATTATTTTATTAATATTAAATATTTACTTTACTTGGTCTCAGAAAGTTCGTAATCCACTTAAAGAACATTTCTTTTATTTACCAGGTAGATTATACTATCTTCTGAAATATAAAGATATATTAGATAGTGTACCGAAAATTAAAGAACTGTCTCAGAATGCAGAAATGTTAGTAAATTCGGCTTTTGCAAGATATTCTAAAATTAATTTACAACTTGAAAAGTTTAAAAATTCAGGCCTTGAAGAATATGTGGAGATTTCAATGAGATCTATTACAGACTTAGGTCTTGAAGTTAATCAAAAGATTGATAGTGGTCATAACCGATTCCATTTGGGTAGAATTCAACGGTTATTAACATGGCCAAGTCTGCTTCCAAAACCAGATATTGATTGGAATAATAAGAATCGAAAATTTGTGACTGAGGGTCAAGCTTTAAGATCGAATTTATTAACTAAGAAAGTAATGTTAATAGTTCTCGATAATTTTGTATTTATAACTGATGAAATCGATAAGAGGAATGAAGCACAAGTAATAGATTATATTCCAGGGAATTTTCTATTAATTGAAAAGAAAAGTGTATCAGTTCCTACAAATACAGTACCAAATCAAGCAAATTCTACTCAAATAGATTCTGTACAATTTAGATTAACTCTTGCCGGTGCAAAGGGATTTTTATTCACTTCAAATAAAAATTTATTTGAGAGTCTTTTAATACCAAAGGAAGAATTCTTTCGAAAATCTAAAAAGAATTTACCATATTCAGTTAATTTAATCTCTAATAACTATTTCGTTCATGAATGGAATTATGAGCCATCATTTTTACAATTATATTCAGAATTGGATCCTACAGTTGAATGTTCAACTTTAAATATTCCAAAGGAGAAGATAGTCAAATATAAAGAAGGTAAAGAATTTCCTGGTGAATTCACTACTAGTCAATTAAGATGTTCTAGCTCGTTTGAATATCATCTGAAAAGATATGTGTTAGTAGGACTGGACTCTGGATTATTCTGTAGTGATCCAAATGGGAAATGGAAGAAAGTAATGGATGGCGAAAACATTAAGAAGATTAGAATCCTAGAGAGTAAGAATCTTGTGTTTTTCCTTTCTAAAAAGAAATTGAAATATTTCACTCTCGAAAAGTTATTGGAAATGTATGAGAGAGGATTGCAGATTGCTAGTTGTAATTTACTTTCTGAAGGTGAAGTTGAATTCTTTGAAGCTGGTCAATATGGTAAAGAACACTTAGTTATTTATGGTAAGAAAGATGGTATAAAAACTTCCTTACGTGCCAAGATTCCTACCACTGAACATGGAGGTATCTTTAATGGATTTACATCAAAAGATCCATTTTATGATCCTGGTGAATGTAATGGTATTAGTATTTTTAGAGACTTTGTTGCTGTTCATTCTAATCGAAATTTTTCAATAATGAATTTGGATCATTTAGATGCTCGATTAGTTAGTGATAAACTTAAAATTAATATCGATGAATTAAATAATAGTACTGGTAATGTTAATATTAAATCTGGCTTAGCTTCTATAAGAGCAGCACTTAATAGTTCTGATGCTAAACCTTTAGGAATGTTTAAAGTTAAGAATCTGCTGAAGAATGAATTCATACTAGCCTATAGAAAATTTGCAATTTTCGTTAATAAAGATATTAAATTAACTAGAAGTTCATTATTTGAATATAATTTTTGGGCTGATAGTGTTGCATGTAAAAATAATCATTTAATAATAGTTAAGGAGGATGTAATTGAAATATGGGCTATTCGTGAAGGAGATCATCTGACTCGTAAATTAGTTCAAGTCCTTGCAGGCAAGGATATAAAGATGCTTAATGGAAACCTGTTATTATTCTCTATGTCAAATCCAGTATTTCCAAAGTTTAAATTGGTATTTCAATTAAAACTCATTTCCAAATAGACTTAGATTTAGACGTATATAGTATAAATGTACACTTGCAAGAACTTTCGGAGTTTATTAATCGGAACAATTTTGCAGCCGATCGGATATATAGTTTTTGAATTTTTCATCAGATTTTGGCCGAGGAAAACCTGCGGGGAAAAATGTTCTCGGTCTACCCCAGACATTGGACATAATATAAAGACCATTGAAAGGTTGCTATTCTTTAAGATTTTTAGAAGATTAAGTGGTTTACTATAGGATAGATATAATAAACAATATACAATATAAAATGGTGGATTTAAATGTTAATGGGAAAGTTGCAGTAATTACTGGAGGAACTCGTGGTTTAGGATTATATTGTGCTGAAGCATTAGCATTAAATGGTGCATCAGTAGTTGTAATTACTTCAAGAAAAGCTAAAGCATGTGAAGAAGCAAAGAAATATTTAGAAAAGAAGAGTAAAGAAGCTGGTAAACAAGTTAAGATAATTAGTATACCTGCTGATATTGCTGTTGAAGCTGAATGTGTAAAATTCTTTCAAGAAGTATCTAAACAAGTTGATAAGGTTGATATTTTAATTGCTAATGCAGGAGCTTCTTGGGGTGCACCATTAGAAGAACATCCAATTTCAGCGGTTAAAAAGATCCTTGGTTTGAATGTAGTTGCAGTTTTCCATACTATTCAATTATTCACTCCACTATTAGAAAAGTCAGGTACTCCAGAAGATCCATCGAGAATTTTAATTATGTCATCAGTAGCCTCGCTTATTCCAAATGACCCAGTTGGTACTTATGGTTATTTGGCTTCCAAAGCGGGAGTTTCTCATTTAGGTAAGAATTTAGCTATTCAATTAGGCCCTAGAAATATTACTGTAAATTCTTTAGCTCCAGGATTTTTCCCTACAAAGATGTCTCAAGGTTTACTAGATGTTGCAGGTGAAGCTATGGTTGAAAGTAATCCAAGAGGTAGATTAGGTGTTAAAGAGGACATTGAATCTATCACATTATTTTTATGTTCTAAACTTTCATCCTATATAAATGGTACAGTGATCCCAATTGATGGTGGAGCCCATTTGAATCCTCCACACTCCAAATTTTAATTATGGTTCTTATATATGGCGATATTATATACAAACGAATTTATAGGAAATATCATTAAGTATGATGATGGCTTTAGCTTATGTAGAACTGTATAATATTGGTATTTTTACATTAAGTTATTACCAAATTGTTAAACTATTATAGTAAATTTATAGGAGCTACCAACACTGAATACTAACCTTAGTAAGATAAATACTGTTAAGTTTATGTAGTGAGTTTATTACGTAATTTATGAGAAGATAAACAACCGAATTGTATTTGTAAGCTTAAAGTATGCAATTTTAATACATGATCTATCATCTATAGCCGACGATACTTTGTCCCATTGTAATGACGAAAGACTTATCTATAAACTGACATAATAATTCTAATTGTTTCCGGAAGTGAAATATTAATATCTGTAAGTGTGACCAAATCCGGGTATAAATTTTAAAATAAAATATTTACACTAGAAAGCAAAGATTATGTTAATTACATACGCAATGTATATAAGAACGCTTAAATGGATAAAGTCAATTGAATAATCTCATTATGTATATAACCTTTTGTATCTTGTGGTTAGGGTACATAACCAAGTAACTATATTATCAGGATTAGGCTTTATTGTAGATATTTCACTTCAACGTAGTATCAATAACTAATGTTGAGAAAAAAATATATAGTAATACAGACTGCGAAGTTAAGTTTTGCAGCCATCAATATCGTATATGAAAATGAATATTCATGGAGTAACATCACTTATAATGAAACCTTACCAGGTACCGTTGCTTTAACGAATGCTGTTCAACAATACAAGGATGCTGATCGAGTTGTCATTTATACTGCTGGTATGATGACCATTGTTGCTCAAACTCTTTCACTTTAGATTTACCAAAAGATGCTGGTGGATTACACTGCTGGAACTGGTACTCCAATTGTTAACGATATGAACACTGATATCAATTTAATTCAAGACCCAGAAGCCGCTCAAATGGTCTTAACTGCCAATTGGTCCTCTATTGTCATTGGTTCTAATGTTACCAATTACTTAGTTCCATCTCAAGAATTATATGATCAAATCATTGATAGAGCTGGTGGATTAGATGTTATCCAAAACAACACTTACTTATCCCCATTATTAGATATTTTATATACCGGTAACTTTACCGAAAATAAAATTGAATCTGACGACCAAGACACTTTACCATATTGTGATCAAGTTGTTTCTGATTATCTTGCCTTCCCAGAATTAGTTACCAGTACTTCATATCCTTCCTTGCATTTAATTAATAGATCAGTTTATCTCAAGTATCAATAACTTTTTTGAATCGTTTCATTAATATGACAATCAATCTCATTTGGTATATTGATTTTATATTCGTTGGTTATAAGCTATATTGCTGTTTAATTGAATAAGAGGCATATATATATTAAATTATAAGAGTTTAAATGAAACAAATAACCAAATCATTTAAAAAGTTTACCTGGCCGATGATATGCTGGTAAAGGACCTTTTTCTAATTCCAGAGGTTTCCTGATCCTCTCCAAAACATCGGAGATAGTCATCATTGTCACATTTAATTGTGTCTGTGTATCTCTTACTTGTTTTAGGAGAAGTTATACTTATCCTTCCCTTTCTCTTATTAGCTTGGTCACTGTATCCAAAATCGATGACATAAGCTGTATAAGTTCCATCAGGATTTTGTTTAATTATGATATTACCCAGGTGAATATCATGATGCACTACTCCCAAGTAGTGCACCATATCTATAGTCTTTTTACAGCATGATTTAAAAGCCTGTCTCTCTTTAATAGTATAACAACTTAAAGGTTTACCATCAATATATTCTAAGATTAAAAAAAACCCAGCTAATTGATCAATATCAACGTCAAATTCATCTTTATAGCTATCAACTTTAGAGTTTAAAAAACCGGATGAATAAAATTTAGGGATACCATCTATACCTTTGAGAATTTGATAAGTAGAAACTTCTTTGCTAAAGCATTTCAATGCCTCTAAATAGCAATCCAGAATATATTGGTTGCTTTGAAATTCACAACTCCAAAATGAGTCATAAATTTTAATAACTTTGCGATCATGTGAGGTTAGATCTTCAACTAAAAATACTATTGAATTACGACTTTGTAGTTTATTACCAGATAATATTTCCAAGAACTTGTATTTTGTTCTTAATTCTTCCATGGTGGTTGACTTCAAATTTGATTTACGAAGGGTCTTAATTCTAGTTTGGGTTATTTTAAGTTCTGTGCTGCCTTGTAATTCGGAAATAATCAGACCGCTGCTGGAAGGTGGTGTTGGTGTATCACCCGGCAAATGATTTTCATCGATTGGACTAGTGGTGCAAAACTTTTCAATTTCAGTATTGTATTTAAGAATTTCTGAATTGATTCTTGGATATAAAGAACTAAGATTTTGTTGTTCAATTAGATATTGCAATTGACTTATACCTTTACACGTTTGGAAATAGGAAAGTAAATAAATAAATAATTGTGTACAAGTGGAAAATTCAGATTCATCAGAAAGATCATATATCCTGCAATCTAACTCTCGCATTATGTCTTTTTTATCTATAACTGTTTCCTCAGAAACACTAGGGTGTTGCATATCAATTAGATAAGTAGTTAAGTAATCTGAGATGACTGCTAAGTCACTATTTAATGATATAGCTTCCCTAACACTTTGGGAAAAGCAATGTATAAAGTCTCTTGACTTTGAGTCGGTCTTCTCATTATTTATGAAGTTAACATAACTTTCTTTCAAATCTTTGCGTTTTAACTCGATAGGAATACTTAATGGTTCATTTGTAATCATTAAATCTGGAATTACTCTGGTATATTTACCGGAATCAATGATTTCTTCCGAAACATGTTGAGGCTCACATCGTACATCAGTATAATTTAATGTCAATGCACGTATGATTCTAGTAGTAGCATTAAACACAAAAGCGTTTTGAATGGAGCTTTCCTTATTATTCAGCCTCACTAATTGAAAATCGAAGTTATATTTAAATTTTAGAATGTTGTTCATATCTACTTTTGCAGATAATTTATCAAAATTAACTTTAGTTGAATTTGAATTAAATTTGGGAATAAACAAACCAATTATAGAATTAAGTTGATGAGGTCGTCTAAAAACACTTGAAGAATTTTGGGATGATATTGTTTTCGGGAGATTTGGTTTTAGTCTCTTAACTAAGTCTGGAGCATATTCAGCATGTTTTAAAGTATTAAGTCTTAGATTGGGTATCTTGATACTCAAAATAATAGTTAATTGAAAATATCCACGCAATTTCTTATCTCTTAAATCGGCAATGATTAAATCTTGGAACAGATTATATAAATCGTCTTTTAAGACAGGATCAAAATTTATTGGAACTAAAAGGTGGAAGTAAAATAATCTCAATATAAGTGGTAAAATATACTTATACTTTGAAGTAGTTGATTCATCTAATTCTAATTCCTTCAAATCTTCCTTTAAAAACTTCTTTATTTCCTCTTCATTAGGAGTTTTAAGATAAAGCTCTAAGCGACGTTGAGCTTCACGATATTCATTAACGCTCTGACGATGGATCAAAAATATATCAATCAGTGGTCCATTTATTAGGGGCAACAAAGCACGTTTGACCGGATCAAAATTAATGATCGATTTTAAAGAGTTGTCCATGTTTGTTAAGGTTAATACTGAATTGCAAGGACAATCCAGTGATATTAAATTGTTCGTGGCTTTAAAAGGGTTTGAAAGGTAAGTGAGACGTGCGCTACATCAGACGGCATTAACTTACTTCCATATGCATCAGTTTGTAATACATATGAAAAATCTCTTAATGACTGTTGCCATTAACGGGAAAATAATGTTTGTGGAAGTGATTCCATTATCGATGAATACTATTTTAGCATTAGCAGCGAAGCTTAATAAAGCAATGGTCAAAGTAGATAATTTCAAACTGACCATTTCTAACACCTACAGTTTACTTCATAGACCTCTCATATATCGTACGTATAAGGTCTGACACAAATATTTCTTTCTATATCTTTTTATGTTGTCATTTTATCCAATATCCAAGTATAATATCTATTTATGTAGTAAAACACAGACAATTCCCATCATTTTACAATTTTATAATTTTTCAATTTTTCAATTGTTGGTTTAAAGCAACTAACAATAATTAGGTAGGTTCAATGTCGCGATAAAGATAGGGTTCACTACAACATTATTAGCATAATTATCGGTGCGACATACTCAGGCTAATGTCGCACAATGCCTAACATTTTAATGGCTCAATACCAGTCCAGACCATTTGAGGAACTTGCTTATTAGAGTAAAATGTCCCACGTAACTATTTTAACAGGAGCTTCAAGAGGTATGTGTTATATTAATGGGTGATAGATAAGAAATGTTATATACTAACAATTTTTTAAGGTATTGGTAAAGCAATTGCTGAAATCCTCTTAACTACTAATGATCAAACCAAATTAATTGCAGTAGCCAGATCCGGTGATAATTTGAAAGATCTCGAAGAAAAATATGGTAGTGATAGAGTCGGTATAGTCATTGGAGATGTAGCTGAACAATCCACTACCAAAGCTGCTATTGATTTGGCAATTAAGAAATTTGGTCAAATTAATAGTGTCATTGCTAATGCTGGTGTATTGGATCCAGTGGGACCAATTGAACAAACTGATTTAGCTAAATGGAAAAGATTATATGATATAAATTTATTTGCAGTAGTGGACATAATTCAACAATCATTACCTGAATTAAAAAAGACTAATGGTAATATAATTGCTGTATCTTCTGGTGCATCATTAAAACCATACAATGCATGGTATGCTTATGGTAGTTCCAAAGCAGCTTTAAATCATTTAATAGCATCCGTAGCAGAAGAAGAAACTGATATTCAATCCATATCTATAGCACCAGGTGTTGTAGATACAGCTATGCAACAAGATATTAGAAATGTGTTTGGTAAAAAAATGGCTCCTGATGCATTATCAAGATTTACTGATTTACATAAAAATAATCAATTACTTAAGCCTGAAACACCTGCTACAGTTTATGTCAATTTAGCTATTAGAGGTTGGTCTAAAGAAGTCAATGGAACATATTTAAGATTTGATGATAAAAGCTTAGTTAGCTACACTAAATAGATATAATAGAAGTAGTATACACTACAAATATTTGTGTTGATAATTATCGCGTCAATTTATCTCCATGGAAAATTTTAGTGAGCCGACTTAAATTTTACTCTACTTTGTTAATAAACGGTAAGAAAAATGCTTGTTAGATCCAGTAGAATTGTAGGTGGTAGACCTTTGAGAGTGAGTGCGGTTCAGTCTGCATTTAGAAGATTTAATTCTTCAAAATCTTCATCAACTCCTCCTCCACCACCACCTAAGGGTGCAAGAGGTAAGTTATTATTGACTATTGGTGCATTGGCTATTGGTACTACCATTGTATCATCTATATATACCAAGGGTGAACCAAAGTCAGCAATTGAACCTGAACCAGTTAAGGCTACTCCAGCATTTCCAGAAGGAAAAGTTAATGTCATTTTTGTATTGGGTGGTCCCGGATCAGGTAAGGGTACCCAAAGTGCATTATTAGTTAAAGATCATGGATTCGTTCATTTATCTGCTGGAGATTTATTAAGAGCTGAACAAGCAAGAGAAGGTTCTAAATATGGTGAATTAATTGCTCAATATATTAGAGATGGATTGATTGTACCTCAAGAAGTTACTGTTGCATTATTAGAACAAGCTATTAAGGAAGAATATTCCAAAGGTGCAACAAATTTCTTAATAGATGGATTTCCAAGAAAGATGGATCAAGCTCATACATTCGAAGATACTATTGCCAAATCTAAATTCACTTTATTTTTTGAATGTCCAGAAGCTGTTATGTTAGATAGATTATTAGAAAGAGGTAAGACTAGTGGAAGAGCTGATGATAATGTTGAAAGTATTAAGAAGAGATTTAGAACCTTTATTGACACTTCTATGCCTGTTGTTGACTATTTCGACAAACAAGGTAGAGTTGTCAAGGTTAACTGTAATCAACCAGTTGATGAAGTATATGACCAAGTAAAGGAAGCATTAAAGTCAAAGGGTATATGATAATGCTATTTTAAGTTAGTAGCAGAGAATCACACTATATACTTATCAAGGATTCACGAATACATAATAATAGATTAAATCTACATAATAATTGTAATTAATTTTGTACCTTATACTGCTACACACCTCTACTTGCTAGCTTAGATCATTACTCTTACTATTGGATACCGTAATTCGGTAACATTCATATGTAATTGCAATTATAGGTGAATGTCGTGCAAAAAAATGTCGATAAATATTTGCGACATTGTGAATAGAATCAATATAAAAAACAATTTGTAATCCACCTAAATAATACATAGTTTACATCAGTAAAAGCTATAGAGAATTAATCTATTTAGTTATATTAGTATTATCAACTGTAGTTAGAGAAAAATATGTCTGCGATTAGTACTGGATTACCACCTGGATGGACCATTAGACTCTCGCGCGGTCACAATAAAGAGTACTATTATAATCAACTGACCAATGAATCTTCATGGGAACCACCATTCGGTAGTGACAATGATAAGTTGAACGAATACTTAAGAAAGTTTAAAGCTAATGGAAATAAAGCAGTAATTGGGGATGACTCTAAAGTGCGTGCTTCGCATATCTTAGTTAAGAATGAAACATCTCGTAAACCTAAGTCATGGAAATCAGAAGAGATTAAATTAACTAGAGATGAAGCTATTCAAATTATAAAGAAACTTCAAGCTAAAATCTTGAAGGGAGAATCTACATTTGCTGAAATTGCAACTACTGAGAGTGATTGTAGTAGTCATTCTAGAGGAGGTGATTTAGGTTTTTTTAATAAAGAATCTATGCAACCTAGTTTCTCTAATGCCGCATTTAATTTACATGTCGGAGAAATAAGTGATATAGTCGAGAGTGATAGTGGACTTCATATTATACAAAGAACTGGTTAAAAGATATTGAACATTAACTAATATCAAACCAACTTGGTTGTAAGAAGTTATATAAATTTTTGATATGAATTAAGACAAGACAAAAATATTTAATGTACATGTTTAACTATTAGTTATTAATTATAAAGACTGTAGATATTATATAGATTATAGTGCAAAAACTAAGTAATTAACATTAATAGTTAATGATTTAGTTTCGGTATTCAATTCAGTTTCGGTTACATAATGAGGCTGCAAATAACGGTAATAGATGGATGGAGTTAATACTGAATTAGGTAAATACTACTCCGGCTTACGGCGCAATTAACTATTCTAAAACCTTCTAAGGAATCAAGAAATCCCGTACCATTCTGCGGCTCTCCTACATCACCAGAAAATCTGACAATGCGCCTAAAATTAGTGCTCGGTTCGCTAGTGATTGCTACTTCAATTTGTATCAATTGTAAAAATTTTAGATGAGCCTCGTTACTAAAAGAGTCAATTGGCATATAGTAAAGAATATACCATATTTAGAACCTGTATATTCTACTTGTTCTTCTAAATTAATTTGGCACCGAATAACTCACAATAATTATATTTGGTACCGACAATTTTCACTCACAGTTCGCAAACAAAAAGTAAATTTCAGCCATCATCACTGGGGAAATCCAACAATTGTTAGTGGTTCACAAAGATTATTTAAATACGATAAATTATCTTCAAAGGTCAATTGGTATTCAAAAAATTTATTAAATATTACTAAAAGATCATATTGTTCTCAAATGTGTCATCATCATAATTCTTCAGATAGTTCAAGTTTAATACCTCTGGATAGAGAAGTATTACCAAATAATGTTAAACCCCTTCATTATGATTTAACTATTGAACCAATTTTTGAAAATTTTACATTTAAAGGTGAAGTAACAATTGATTTACATGTTTTAGAAAGAACTGATTATATTAGTTTAAATTCTCTTCAAATTGAAATTCAAGAATCTAAATTAAATGATATTGAACTTAAAAATATTCAATTTGATGTTAATAAACAAATTGTTACTTTTAAATTAGATGATCATTTAGTTGAAGGAGCTGATGCTAAATTATATATTAAATTTACTGGTACTTTAAATGAAGATATGGCAGGTTTTTATAAATCTTCTTATCAAGAAAATGGTGAAACTAAATATTTAGCTACAACTCAAATGGAAGCAACTGATTGTCGTAAAGTTTTCCCATGTTATGATCAACCAGCTGCTAAAGCTAAATTTACAATTTCTATAATTACTCAAAAGGAATTAACTGCTTTATCAAATATGGATGTTAAAGAAACTACTTTAATTGGTGATGATAAGAAATTAGTTGCTTTTAATACAACTCCAATTATGTCAACTTATTTAGTTGCATTTGTAGTTGGTGAATTAAATTATGTTGAAAATAATGATTACAGAGTCCCAATTAGAGTTTATGCTACTTCTGGTACTGAAAATTTAGGAGTATATTCTGCTGATATTGCCGCAAAAACTTTGAAATTTTTTGATAAGAAATTTGATATTGAATATCCATTACCAAAATTAGATATGGTTGCTATTCCAGATTTTGCTGCTGGTGCTATGGAAAATTATGGTTTAGTTACTTATAGAATTGTTGATTTATTAATTGATCCTGCTAATACTAATGCTACTACTCAACAAAGAGTTACTGAAGTTGTTATGCATGAATTAGCTCATCAATGGTTCGGTAATTTAGTTACTATGGAATTTTGGGATGGTTTATGGCTTAATGAAGGTTTTGCTACTTGGATGTCATGGTATGCTGCTGATTCTTTATTCCCACATTGGAAAGTATGGGAATCTTATGTATCAGGAACTCTTCAACAAGCTTTAAGTTTAGATTCTTTAAGAGCTTCTCATCCTGTTGAAGTTCCTGTTAAAAAAGTTGATCAAATCACTCAAATTTTCGATGCTATTTCTTATTCAAAAGGTTCTTCATTGTTAAAAATGGTTTCTAAATGGTTAGGAGAAGAAGTATTTATTTCGGGTATTTCTCTTTATTTAAAGAGATTTAAATGGGGTAATACTTATACTTCAGATTTATGGCAAGCATTAAGTGAAGTTAGTGGTAAAGATGTTAATAATGTTATGAATATTTGGACTAAGAATGTTGGTTTCCCATTAGTTAAAGTTGAAGAAGTTGATGATAAACTTATTTTAACTCAAAATCGTTTCTTAGCTACTGGTGATGTTAAACCTGAAGAAGATCAAGTTTTATATCCTATTTTCTTAGGTATTAGAACTTCTGAAGGTATTGATGAAACTATTGTTTTACTGGAACGTTCTATAACAATTCCAAAACCAGCTAATTTTGTTAAGATAAATGCTGATCATTCAGGTGTTTATAGAGCTGCTTATGAACCAGCTCGTTGGGCTAAATTGGGCCAAGTTGGTGCTGAAGGTAAGCTTACTGTAGAAGATCGTGTTGGTTCAGTATCTGATGCCAGTGCTTTAGCTTCTGCAGGTTTAATTGAATCCACTAGTTTATTCAATTTAGTTAGAACTTGGACTGCTGAATCTAACTATGTTGTATGGGATTCTATTTTAAATAAGATTTCTTCTATTAAACTGGTTTTCATCTTTGATGATGAATCAATCAGAAAAGGTCTTGATGGATTTGTTCTTGATTTAATTGAAGATAAATTTAATGAAATTGGATGGGAATTTTCTGATGAAGATGATTTCTCTTCTCAAAACTTAAAGAGTACTTTCTTTGCTTCTGCTGTAAGTTCTGGTCATCAAGGTGCTATTGACTTTTCTGTTAAAGCATTTGATGATTTTGTTAAAGGTGATAAGAAAGCTATTAATCCAAATTTAAGAGCTGTTATTTTTAACTATGTTGCTAAGGTTGGTGATGAAACAACATTTGAACATTTATTAAATATTTATAAAACTTCTGAATCAGAAGTTAGAATTGCTGCTTTAAGATCCTTAGGTAGATTCACTAAACCTGAAATATTAGATAAAGTAATTGCCTTATTATTACAAACTGATGTTATTAAACAACAAGATATTTATATTCCAATGCAAGGATTAATCAATCATAAAGAAGGAAGTCTTAAATTATGGGAATGGTTAACTACTGAATGGGATAAAATTTATAAATTGATTCCACCAAGTAGTTCAATGTTAGGATCTATTATTACTATTGCCACTTCAGGTTTTACTAAACAAGAACATAAGGATGCTGTTGAAGAATTCTTTAAAGAAAAAGATACTAAAGGTTATGATCAAGGTTTAGCTAGAGCACTTGATAGACTTACTATTAAAATCAATTCTGCTAAGCGTGATTTAGGTCCAGTTACTCAATGGTTATCAGTTAATGGATATTCCAAATAACTATCTGCTAAGTTTTAGCTTTGAATAAAAAGTATTGGTAAAGCTTTTAAACTAGAGAATGCTTTTTTTTTATATGTATATAAGTGTAAAGTCGTTTATTTAATTCATAATCAAAAATCGTCTAGTGGTGAATTATTTTAATAAAATTTCTCTATGAATAAAGGATATATGAAAATTTTGAGTAGCATAGATACCACATTCAAGTGGTCCAGCCATGACCATATTATCATCAGCAATTTCTAATAAAATATCATCTTTAGGAGATGGTACAAAGGAACATGCTGATACATAATATTCCACTAATTTATGTTCCTTTATTACATCGGCATGAAGAATTAATTTCTTATAATGATTTAATGGAGGAAGAGTAGGGAATAATAAAGAAAAGTATTTTGAGTTAAGTATACATTTATCAAGCACAAGATTCAATATCTTAGGTCCAGCCTTTCTCATGAAAGATGTAAATGCTGTTAATTCTAATTCAATATCTTCATCTTTAAGCGTAGTATGCTTATAAGTTCTAAATCCGGCAGATCCTAAAGATCTACTAATAATATTAAGATCTAAATTAAAATCGTTATCAACTATGGTGATCTTCAAATCATCAATCTTACTTAAATCAAATAAGGTATAGTACTTCTCAGGTATATCACAATCATAACTCTGTTCGAGATTTGTTGCATCTTGTGAAAAATCTCGAATATATCCATCTTCATACAGTAATTTTTTAAATACTTCATTTGATCCAAGTAAGATAAACAAATTGAAATCATCAACATCCTGTAAGGCAAGATCTTCTGGGATTGTTTGTGAACTCTTGATTCTCTGAGTTTGAATTATTCCGAACTTGAATCGTGACTTATCGTAAGATTTATTCACAAGCTTCTTTATACCTTCGAACCTGTATTGGTCATCTCGATGATGGTAGAACCACTCTTTCTTTAATATCAATAACTCGAATGTCATACCAACATAGACAGAAGATTAAGCAAATAATTGTGTTCATAGTTCTAATTAATCTTAGTATCTTAAGTCGCGAAAGACATCTAGGAGCGCCTGAAAACGGGAGACATTACCTGCAAAGAAAACGCCGATAAAGATTTTAAGAATATGCATACTTTAATTACTGTTATCTGGCAAGATTTTTTTACATCCAAATCCCATGATTTGTTTATGTATATAGCTTATAATTATTGATGTTCTAGACTTGACCAAATAATACTGCAGAGAACTTATTTATTTAAGCTACATTGATGAACCGATTAATATATATTTATAACAATGATTTCCAACGAGACAACTTCTGTCGGAATGCTAGTTAGTAATGACCTATATGTATTAAAAATGTTAATATCAATACTGAAAAACACAAAGTAATTGTATATCAAATGAAAGAACTCCTTGAATCTTGTGGCATAAATGCATGGTTCTCGATTTGACCATCAATCTGAAGCATGTGGAATTCTCCCCAAAATAAAACAAATAGGATTCATCAGAAACACTACTGATAGATACAAAACCGAACTTCAAATCGTAGACGTAGACAACTGTTATTTATACTCTTTCCAATAAATCTGAAACAAACATAATTTTATTTAAAAATATGATGTGTCACCACCCCCTATTATCTCCGCCCGTAAAACATAATAATCGGATTTCCTATAAATACATACACTTGAATGAGAATATACCATTAGTCATTACGGATAATTATGTGAAGTAGTATCATTCTGAGCTTTACTGGTATAATCCTTTTTGACACCATCTAGACATAGAACTAATAATTAAATATTTACATAGTTGACTAAATATGTATCACTCTATGATATATAAATATATTAACTATATACTTATGTAGATTCTACAACATTCATATATCTTAATATTAACACAAATTTTTCTTCTTCAAATGGGAAGTTTTGTCTAAATTTGACAATATGTTTCCAACGTTTTGCATTCATACCTTTGGATTCTCGAATTAGTTTATCCCATAAATGAAATCCACCAAAGTTTTGTTTGATAATTGATGTTGATAATACATCATAATGTTTAATCAATAAACGTATATGGTGTTCATGTTGTATATGATTGGCCCATATCAAGATATTCCCCAAATATGACAATACTGAATAGTCCAAATTGTTTTGATGAACATTTCTATTGGATGGGGTAAGCTTTGTACGAGTAGTATCAAGATTAATTTCATCATAACCTCCAAATAATTCTAAAACATTGGGATATATTTGAGCTGTATTCTTGAATCCTACAGCTTCATATAATGCAACATTAATACATAATATAATAAAGATTCTCTTTTTATCTACATCATCAAACAAGTCTTGATTATGTTTCATACAGAATTTCAATGCAGTTGAAGCATACTTTGAACTGGCAGCTGAAGATATGATGGTTTTGATTTTAACATCAGATGGATCAATATTAAGAATCTGCCGATATGAGAGTCCTATAATGGTTCTTTGAGGTTGGATTTTAGGAAGATTCTCGGAATATCTACTATTTATATTTGATTTTGGAGTAGGACGAAGTCTAACATTGAATGGAGTTATAGAATCATCTGTTTCTTGTTCTTGTTCTTGCTCAACTACAGGTTCAGGAGTAGCTGAAGCAGAAGTTGATGTCACTATATTATCTGACTGTTCAGCTGACTCCTTAGCAAGCTGTCTTGATTTCTGTCTTCTATTCCACCTCTTTTTGTTCTTAACCTTCTTACGATCGATCTGAACTTGTTCCTGTTCATTTATGAAATCTTCAAAATCAATTGGTTCTGGTTCTGGTTCTGGTTCTGGATCCTCTCTTGACTCGTTCTTTGTATGCCCATTACTATTTGGAGACTCTGTTTCAGCTTCCTTTTTTGGCTTTTTGGACTTTTTAGATTTTTTGGGAGTTATCTCTTTCTCTTTCACTTTCACTTTCTCATCCTCACTATCACTTGAAAATTGTATATCTTCTATATCTTTTGTTATATCTGCTATTGATACCTTTAACAATTTACCCTTTCGAGATTTCTTTGTTTCTACTTCAACTTCTTCCTTAATAGGTTCTTGTATAATGGGTTGTGAAATTTGTACATTAGATATTGGATGACTATCTGAATTCAATAAATAATCTAAATCATTCTCAAATTGATCTTGAACAGAAATTTCATGAACATAATCATTAACATTAAATTTAGAACTCTCACTACCTATAGATCCTTCAGATACTTGATCTCCTGATAAATCTATACGTTCTACTAATTTGGCAGATTTCTTTTTACGTACTCGCCTAACTCGCTCGTTCTTATGAGCTAGAACTTCTGTCATTACTTTATTCTGGTATGGCTTATAAAGTTCTGTTATTCCACGTAGTCTTTGAAGCTTTTCTGAAGATGCTCACATAATAGCAGTATATAAAAAAAAGTAAAAAAACTGATTGTACCACATTAAAGTTACGCGATACTATGACTTAGTATAAATTCAATAGTTTTATAATAATCATAAGAGTAATAATAAATACAATAGTATTAATAATAAGAGTAATAATAATAATAATAATAATAATAATAATATATCGTATTTTTCATTTCTAAATAATATAAAAAGTTTTATGAAAGAATTAAATTTTTCTTTTCTTATCTGCTTTTTGAAAAATGTTTAAAAGATACTAAACATTCAAATATATACAATCTGATTGGTTTAAATAATATATCAATGTAAGACGAGATTTAATGCAAAATTATGGAATAAAAGGTTACCACGCCAATGAACAAAGACGATATTTTACTTAAATTTATACAGAAAATGAAAATATTTGTCGTAGTATCAAATATGATTGCTAATTTAGAAAGTAGCAACAAAAGATTCAGTGGTAGATCTTAATTTATCTAATAATTCTTTAGATAATTCACCCTTAGTCTTAATAGCATCTAAGATTTCAGTTTCATTAGATTTTAAGTGAGCTAAGAAAGATTCTTCAAATTCACCAATTCTTTCTAAAGCAACATTATCTAAGAAACCGTTAACACCAGCGAAAATTAATGGGACTTGTTCTTCAGCAGATAATGGAGAGTATTGCTTTTGTTTTAATAATTGAGTTAATCTTTCACCTCTAGATAAGGTTTGTTTAGTAGAAGCATCTAAATCAGAACCGAATTGAGCGAAAGCAGCGACTTCTCTATATTGGGCCAAGAATAATTTCAAGGAACCAGCAACTTGTTTCATGGCTTTAACTTGAGCAGCAGAACCAACTCTTGAGACAGATAAACCAACATTAATAGCTGGTCTAATACCCTTGTAGAATAATTCAGCTTCTAAGAAAATTTGACCATCAGTAATAGAAATAACATTGGTTGGAATATAAGCAGAGACATCACCACCTTGAGTTTCAATGACTGGTAAAGCAGTTAAAGAACCACCACCATTAACTTCAGACATCTTAGCAGCTCTTTCTAATAATCTAGAATGTAAGTAGAAAACATCACCTGGGTAAGCTTCTCTTCCTGGTGGTCTTCTTAATAATAAAGATAATTGACGGTAAGCAACAGCTTGTTTAGATAAATCATCATAGACAATTAAAGCATGTTTACCATTGTCTCTGAACCATTCACCAATAGCACAAGCAGTGAAAGGAGCAATATATTGTAATGGAGCAGCTTCTGAAGCAGTAGCAGCAACAATAATGGAGTATTTAAGAGCATCATTTTGTTCTAAAGTTTGAACTAATTGAGCAACAGTAGATCTCTTTTGACCAACGGCAACGTAAACACAGTATAACTTTTTAGATTCATCAGCACCATCATTCCATCTCTTTTGATTTAAAATGGTATCTAAAGCAACAGCGGTCTTACCAGTTTGACGATCACCAATAATTAATTCTCTTTGACCTCTACCAATTGGGACTAAAGCATCAACAGATTTTAAACCAGTTTGCATAGGTTCAAAGACAGAAGTTCTTGGTAAAATACCTGGGGCTTTAACTTGAGCTCTTGAAGAAGCAGAAGCATTTAATGGACCCTTACCATCGATTGGGTTACCTAAACCATCGACAACTCTACCTAATAATTCAGGACCAGTTGGGACATCAACAATCTTACCAGTTCTCTTAACGGTTTCACCTTCTTTAACTAAAGCATCAGAACCGAATAAGACTACACCGACTTGATCAGCTTCCAAGTTTAAAGCCATACCTTTAACACCGGAGGCGAATTCGACTAATTCTTCAGCTTGAATGTTGTTTAAACCGAAAACTCTGGCAATACCATCACCAACAGATAAAACTCTACCGGTTTCATTTAAGTTAGCTTCATCAGAAACACCTCTAATTCTTTCTTCTAAGATAGAGGAAACTTCAGTTGGAGCAGCTTTAGCAGAAGCAAATCTTCTAGCAGTTAATTGAGCTGGACGAGCCTAAAAATTATAGTTAGTATTTATGATAATTTAATGTTAAATGCATGTTGATCCTTAGCTTGAATTAAATAATTATTCAATTTTTACAAATTATGATTATGATTATGATTGTTACTGTTGAATCATTGGATCATTTGATCATTAAATCATTTATTGATTATTAGAATAAGAACCAACATGATAATTCACTGCCATATTCCTAATATGTCTCTTATATGCGTTGGTATTATTGATATTGATTGATTTGGTATATTTTTCAGTATCGGCACAGTTTTTTTTATGATCCCTCATTGGTCGCTCACCGAAAAAAGCTCAATGGCCAAAATTGGGTTGTGCTCTTTGTTGGAGTGGTTTCCCAACATCAAATCAATTGAATTGATTTAATGACTTGATTAGTCAATTGGGAATGAGATTAGAATCATACTACATATACAATGGATTGAATATTGGTTTACTGTGGAAACAATTGATGAAATATTGATTGATTTATTATGGTGAAAAATTCAAAAGCTTTTGGAGAATCGACAAAATGAATATTACTTAAATGGTTATACATACAACTCTTAAGGATCTGGCAGCAACAGAGGCTGAACGAGCAGCAGTTCTTAACACTGGACGAGCTGACAACATTCTATAAAAGATGATAGATGCTTGGGGATAAAGATTGAATCTCTTGATAAAGTAAAGGAAGTACCTCCAACCAAATTGTTAAGTATGAAAAAAAATTTTTGGTGGTCGCTCGTTCAATTTACCCGCACACTAACTGCACCAAAACTGACTTAAACAGTGTATTGCGGGTGCGTAAATTCGAATTCGCACCAAATTGAAAATCGATTTTTATTGGTTGAGACAATCGGGTCACGTGTGTTTGCTCACCATACAATCTACTATGTATGTATATATGTATGTATATTTGTATGTATAAATTTGTATATATATATATATATTATATATTCCCATATATGTTAATTAAGTCTTATATAGATTATTATTATTTAAAATGGGAATGATATCTGATTTTGTTCTGAAAATGCATACTGGTAATAAGTACCTATTAACTTTGAATTGTTTGGTATGATTAAACCAAAATGGATTACGGTTTATTCCGTCCTGCACATATCTCGGGTTTATTGTTGAAAAAAGTTTTTCAAACTGTTAACTACTACAACAGTTAACTTTTGTAGACCGACTGACCATGATCTCAAGGTGTGTACTTAGGAGAAGTGCATTGTCACAGATCAGATTCAATTCTACCAAGCCTTCTGGTTCTGATGGTAAAAATCCTATTTTCTTGAGTGAATTATTAAAAAGAATAGATAGTGTTACAGCAAATGTAAAGAAGCAGAATGACGCAGCAAAAAGTAGAGCTAATCGAAACCATTCCAGCAACCAACCCAGTAAACAATTCAGTGATAGATTTGAAAGTCAATCTCAAAGACCAGTTCATAAAAAGTTGGGTAAACAATTCGATAAAAAAAGCGAACCTTCATCCAAACCAATATTTTCAAAATCATCATCACCATTACAAGAAAGAGTACATCACCCTGACAATAATTTTATTAGATTCGCTAACCATCCATTAAGAGAATATAAGCCAAGAGGCGATTTCTCTTCAAGACCTCAAAGTAATTATACGAGAGCTGATTCTACTTCAAGACTTGATGAACCATCAAACCAGAGACCATCAAGATATACAAGACCTCAATTTGATAATGCAGCAAGATCTGCAAGACCAGAAAGACCTACAAGAGCCGCAAGACCAAAAAGTGATACTCCAAGAAAGCCTCGTGCAACAAAATCATCTGATCGTGAAGCCTTTAAAAAACCATCAGTCGCTGAACCAATCGTTCAAAAGGGATTACCAAAGCCTCAACCTCTAACTCCTTCTATTAACGGTGATACTTTCTTATATGGTAAAGTTCCAAGTGCAAATCATACATTAAATTCTAGATTAATCTCATTAACTAAAGAAACTTTAATTAAGTCAAAGTATCCTTATCTTGTATCTCCAACAATTTTATCATCGTTAGGTGATGACTCAAAAAATAAATTCATAGTTCAAAAAAATTGGGATTTAAATATTGATGAATCACGATTCCAAAAGAGATTTTCTGAGTTAGTTAAAGGTGATGTTCAAGCTTTAAAAGTAGTTCAAACTTCTAACCAAGAACTTAATGATTTTACAGCTTCTGAAATTATGAAGAATGCCAGCTTGTCTCACGAAAAGAAACAATTGGTTTATGATGTTATTAATGGTGCTAAGTCCATCAAAGATTTGGTTGGTAAGGATGCCGCTTGGTTAAAGCAATAATGTCACTATAAATAATATATATCATGTACATAATTCTAATAAAAAAAGGAAATGATAAATCTCCAATTTGATAGTATAAATATCATTTTTCTTGAGGAGTATAGGCAATTACCAACATAATGCATCCTTCAGTAGATTTGTATGGTCCATGGATCATTCCTGGATGTCTATAGGCATAACTTCCCTTAACAAATGTCTCATTTAAACTCTTATCATGAAGGGATCCTTCGATTAAATAAACTTCTTCAAAGTAACTATGGTTAGCTATATCATTTGTAAACGCTCCAGCATCATATCTTTGTAATAATGACACTCTTCCAATTTTCTTATCTTCATTCAAAATTTTGTTATAAACTCCTTTCAACCCTTCAACAGCTACCCAATGATCTTCAGGTATATGGAACTCAACTTGCTTCATACTCCAACCTGCAGACTCTTGGGTTAGTAATCCATAGACCTTTAATTTATATACAGGCAGTCCATTTATGAAAACCCGTAGTGAAAATGTAAGCTAAAGATTACATCTATTCTTTTGCAGCCATTATAATTTCTCTATTAAGAATCAGTTAATAAAATAGAATTCATCTAAAAGGTCACTAAATTGTACTTCGTGTAATTATAAAGAATAAGTAAGTTATACAAATACACAAATATACAAATATGAAACTCGATTTATGAGAGAGCCAAGTATTAATATGATTGGCTCGGCATAACTGAAGTTCCGTATTTGCAAATCCAGATAGATTCAGCTAACTGTCAAAGCACTTGACTTTCAAGGAATACGGTATCTAAATCAAAAACAAACTCGCCAACAAGGCTGCAGATTTTGCTGCAACCATTTGAGAAGCAGTACGAAGAACTACAAGAAAAAACATAAAATAAATATCTATCATTGGTATCATTAAAAATATGCAAACAATATAAAATCAAACGTAGCATTTAATAAGCGAAAGATTCTTGAGGAATCTAGCTTACTAAATTAATAACATTATAAACAAAGAAGAAATAAAACTTAAATACATCGGATATTCCATAGAACTTGCTTTATTGACAAATTCTTCAACTTCATGAGTAGAACCAATAACAAAATCTTCTACGGGAGGAGCTCTGTGTGATCCTTCATGATCATTGTGTGATTCAGGGTTGACTGTAGCAATGGTTGCAAAATAATCAATTGAAGTTGGTGCTACTGATTCGCCATTCATTGTGGTTAAAGAACCATCCAAATGTTCATTTTCAGGTACTATAACTACTTCATCTTCAATTCCTCCAGTAGAACTTTCACCATTGGCAACACCATTGGAACCTTCACCATTAGCTTCAACGTTACTCACAACGTTAGATTCGACGTCAGCTTCACCATTGGCAAGACCATTGGCACCTTCAACATTGGCACCTTCAACATTGGCACCTTCAACATTGGCACCTTCAACATTGGCACCTTCAACATTAGCTTCAAAATTAGCACCTTCAACATTGGCACCCTCAACATTGGCACCTTCAACATTGGCACCTTCAACATTAGCTTCTACATTGGCACCTTCACCATTTGCAATAACTTCATCAGCAACTACACCTTCGTTGCCGACAACATTATCAGGAGCAATACCAGTGGCATCACTATTTGATTCACCTTGATTGGTATTTCCTTGGTAAATTATCTCTTCATCAACTTCATCTTCTAAACCTTGGTTTAAGCTTCCTTGACCTTCAGCACCTTGGTTGGCAATGTTTCCATTAGAAATATCTTGATTAGCATTTACTTCATTGGCTACACCTAACTCAACAGGAGTCCCTTGGTTAAAGTTTCCTTCATCATTTGAACTTTGTTCAGTTGCTTGATTACCAGAACTTTCATTGGTGTTTCCTTGATTGGTATTTCCTTGATTGGTGTTTCCTTGATCTGTGTTTCCTTGATCTGTGTTTCCTTGATCTGTGTTTCCTTGAACTGTGTTTCCTTGATCTGTGTTTCCTTGATCTGTGTTTCCTTGATCTGTGTTTCCTTGATCTGTGTTTCCTTGATCTGTGTTTCCTTGATTGGAACCTTCATATTCAGGTGTGGCTCCATCAGTAGCTATAACATCGGCTACAGGTCTGGTGTTGGTTGAAGCAGTTCCTTGATTGTCCGATGAAATCACAACCTCATATACATCTGTGGTGGCTTGTTGACCTTCTAATGTGACAACAACAGTGGTTGTGTAAGTCGTAACAAATGGTAATACTGAAGAAGATGTGAACAACTGTCCTTCATCATTCAGTGATACAACAACGTTTGCACTTGCAGTTGTCATGGATCCATCACCTAATTCACTAATGTATGTGGTGATATATTCAGTGACGACGAAAGTTTCATTTGTGGTATTATCTTCATCTTCATTGCTTTGGTTGTCCTCTCCTACATTGCTTGGAATTGAAACAACAATGGTGTCAGTAAATTGACCTTTGATTGTAGAAGTTGTTGGCTCACTACCAGTCCAAGTTTGCGTAATAGTCACAGTATCAACAGGAGTAGCAATGATAACTGTGTCGATATCATCACCTGGGAATGTCATAGTAGTAACGAAAGTCCCTGACCAAGTGGTAGTAATAGTACTAGTAGGATGATCATACACTTCGGTAGCTCCAGTATTTGGTTCGGTTGTTGCTTCATTATCGTCTAAGAATGAAGTATAAGTGTACCAATCACCTTCTGAGTTTTGAGGATCAACAACTATAGCAGTCTTTGTCTCAACACTTCCATCTGGTTCGGTAATTACAATGGTAGTAGTGTAAGACCAGTCTGAGTGCAATTCAGAAGAAACAAGATCTGATTCCATGTGAATTGTTGATGGTTGTTGGACAAGTGTTGTTTCTGTAGATTCAGTGGTAGTTTCAGTATCGTCTAAGAATGAAGTATAAGTGTACCAATCACCTTCTGAGTTTTGAGGATCAACAACTATAGCAGTCTTTGTCTCAACGCTTCCATCTGGTTCGGTAATTACAATGGTAGTAGTATAAGACCAATCTGAGTGTAATTCGGAAGAACTGGTTTCTTCAGCATCTTCTAACCAAGATGTAATAGTATACCAATTACCATCTGAGTCGGTTGGGTCGATTATTACAGCCGTCTTGGTCTGCACAGTTCCATCAGGATTTGTAACGATAATGACCGTTGTGATAGTCCATTCAGAATAAACTTCTGTGGTAGTGGAAGTCGTTAAGTGTGGAGGGTGGGATGTAATAGTGGTTGTAGGGAAATTGACTGTAGAACTGCTGACAATTTGGGTGGATTGCAATGGTGTTCCTGTGGTTAATGGAACATCAGAATCTGATGGTTCCACCACAGTTGAATATGCTGGTGCAGATGAATTTTGCCACAAGTAACCAGAAGACAAAGAACTGAACGAAGATGCTTCTGGATAATCAGAAACCAACGAAGTTGTTCTCTCAGTTAAATGGCTGCTCGATGTTTCGGAATCATCTTCAACAGATGTTGCAGGATCATATTCAACAGATGTTTCAGGATCATATTCAATAGATGTCTCGACAGATGTTACAAAGGAACTATAAGTAGAACTACTGCTAACTTCTTCGGAAGAAATTTCTTGAATGACGTCAGTTGTAGAAACCACTTGTGATGTTAACATTGATGATGTTGAATCTTCAGGTGCTGCTTCCGAACTTGAAATTCCATCACCAAATGAACTCATATACGAACTTGTTGGTCTTTCGAACATGGAAGTGGTTGTGTAGAGATCTCTGTCTGAATTGGTGGTGACTAACACAACACCAGATTCAGTGACAACAGATCCATCGTCTTCGGTGGTGGTGAAAGTGGTTGTGTACTCGGTGTATGGTGGTGGGATAATCGAAGTGGTTGTGTAGAGATCTCTGTCGGAATTGGTGGTGACTAACACAACACCAGATTCAGTGACAACAGATCCATCGTCTTCGGTGGTGGTGAAAGTGGTTGTGTACTCGGTGTATGGTGGTGGGATAATCGAAGTGGTTGTGTAGAGATCTCTGTCGGAATTGGTGGTGACTAACACAACACCAGATTCAGTGACAACAGATCCATCGTCTTCGGTGGTGGTGAAAGTGGTTGTGTACTCGGTGTATGGTGGTGGGATAATCGAAGTGGTTGTGTAGAGATCTCTGTCGGAATTGGTGGTGACTAACACAACACCAGATTCAGTGACAACAGATCCATCGTCTTCGGTGGTGGTGAAAGTGGTTGTGTACTCGGTGTATGGTGGTGGGATAATCGAAGTGGTTGTGTAGAGATCTCTGTCGGAATTGGTGGTGACTAACACAACACCAGATTCAGTGACAACAGATCCATCGTCTTCGGTGGTGGTGAAAGTGGTTGTGTACTCGGTGTATGGTGGTGGGATAATCGAAGTGGTTGTGTAGAGATCTCTGTCGGAATTGGTGGTGACTAACACAACACCAGATTCAGTGACAACAGATCCATCGTCTTCGGTGGTGGTGAAAGTGGTTGTGTACTCGGTGTATGGTGGTGGGATAATCGAAGTGGTTGTGTAGAGATCTCTGTCGGAATTGGTGGTGACTAACACAACACCAGATTCAGTGACAACAGATCCATCGTCTTCGGTGGTGGTGAAAGTGGTTGTGTACTCGGTGTATGGTGGTGGGATAATCGAAGTGGTTGTGTAGAGATCTCTGTCTGAATTGGTGGTGACTAACACAACACCAGATTCAGTGACAACAGATCCATCGTCTTCGGTGGTGGTGAAAGTGGTTGTGTACTCGGTGTATGGTGGTGGGATAATCGAAGTGGTTGTGTAGAGATCTCTGTCGGAATTGGTGGTGACTAACACAACACCAGATTCAGTGACAACAGATCCATCGTCTTCGGTGGTGGTGAAAGTGGTTGTGTACTCGGTGTATGGTGGTGGGATAATCGAAGTGGTTGTGTAGAGATCTCTGTCGGAATTGGTGGTGACTAACACAACACCAGATTCAGTGACAACAGATCCATCGTCTTCGGTGGTGGTGAAAGTGGTTGTGTACTCGGTGTATGGTGGTGGGATAATCGAAGTGGTTGTGTAGAGATCTCTGTCGGAATTGGTGGTGACTAACACAACACCAGATTCAGTGACAACAGATCCATCGTCTTCGGTGGTGGTGAAAGTGGTTGTGTACTCGGTGTATGGTGGTGGGATAATCGAAGTGGTTGTGTAGAGATCTCTGTCGGAATTGGTGGTGACTAACACAACACCAGATTCAGTGACAACAGATCCATCGTCTTCGGTGGTGGTGAAAGTGGTTGTGTACTCGGTGTATGGTGGTGGGATAATCGAAGTGGTTGTGTAGAGATCTCTGTCGGAATTGGTGGTGACTAACACAACACCAGATTCAGTGACAACAGATCCATCGTCTTCGGTGGTGGTGAAAGTGGTTGTGTACTCGGTGTATGGTGGTGGGATAATCGATGTGGTTGTGTACTGTTCTCCGTTAGGGTCTGTTGAAATTAATACAACTCCAGATTCAGTGACAAACGATCCATCGTCTTCCGTAGTAGTGAAAGTAGTAGTGTATTCAGTGAAGTGAGGAAATGTAGAAGTACTGGTGGTGAGTTTACCCCCTTCATCGGCAGTAACATATACTATTCCACTTCTGGTAACCCATTGTCCGTTATCTTCTTCGTTCCATTCTTCATAATATTCATGGAACTCACGTTCTCTTTGATTTTTAAGCATAATATCGAAAAAGTTAGAATCAAATTCTCTTGGTTCTGGGCAAGGTTCACAAGCAGGAGGAGTTTCGTCATATAATGGCTCACGATTATATGTAACTGACAAAAGACAATCACTAGCAAGTCGCTTGGATATTGATCCCCCACCACCAGTAAGTTTAGGGCAGGTACTTCCAAGAAATGAAAATTCAAAACCTTCCTGTTCAAGATTCCCAACTTCAAAGATGACTTGGTAACCATTATTATCATAAAAATATAATCTATTAAGGTAATAATACCAGTTGAACTGGGAACCTACATAATTAAATGTCAATTCATTACCAGGCTTTAAGCCATAAACTGCTTGCTGGGTACCTTGTTCATTGTTGTTAAAATACAAGTAAGCACCAGATTCTAAATAGTATGTATGCGATGGGCCAACATTGTTGACAATATAATTCGTGTTCTTACCTATTCTTACACAGCCCTGACCTCCAAAACTTACTTCTTGACGAACGCTAATAATATTCTGGAAACAAATAGTTCCTTCATTATTATATTGAAATGCTGGATAATTTCCATATGGATTTTCGAAAGTAACAGCACCATTAAGATTCCTATCAAATCTATTGTAGAAGGCCATGGTTCCGCTATTCGCAAATTGCAAAGCCAGGAATTTCACGTTCATATTATTATGAGTTTGTGCACCCAATACTTGCATATGTCCATAATTATTGAAAGTATCTAGTTCAAAATTATGCTCTGCCTTAGTTCCTTGTTCAGTACTATCGTCTATAACAAGGAATGCTTCTTGATCAATTTGAAGATCCCCGTGAATCATTATGGAGAAGTCATTCCAATTATAATGCCAAGGAAACGAATTAGAGTTTCGGATGTGTACATAAGAGTTAGCTCTCAAATAGTTAAAACCCCAAAACGTCCACATATCCATCGAGATAAGAACTATATCATACATTTCGGCATGTATTACTGGAAGATCCCCCATATTTTCATAATTATAAGCCCATTCCATAGCTAGACATTTGGTTGCCCATAATGTAATTGTTAGTGTTATTAGATTTAAAAAGTTGAATGCTATCATTTTGATTGCTAGTTTTCTGAAGAATTACTACTGAAAATTATCTTCCAAGGGTGATAAATACCAATATATATAAACAAGGTTATGTCGTAAGATGACCACTCTGACGCTGTATTAAGAGTCATGTACACTTTTTGTCTAAATTCTCCACAATGAAAAAATATATCTGAAGGTTAAAGGGCTTGGAACCGAATCATCTTTACATTATGTATAGAAGTCTACATCATATATTGTGTAAGATTCAGCCTCATTTGGTTGTTGTTCATGAGTTTTGCAACTATGCAGAGAACTAAGTATTTTATAAATCTTCGCGAACAGCCACATGTACAGGAAAAAATAAATGTCATCGCATTGCATAACATGACATGACGCACAAATGAACAAAGAACTCTTATGACACTTCTCTTAATCATATACCACCATTCAATGAATCAATGATGACAGAGAGTCAAAAAGCATCTTGCTTAATCTATTTGTATTTTCCAAGTTTTTAGCGCTGGCGCAGGCAAAATTATGCAGTCTTGGTGTTTACAGCATTATATTATATTTTCCCGACCATGTAATGTGTTACAAAGTTGTTTTCTGGCTTTGACGAATGACTAGCCAGCTCTTTAAAACATTGACTATTGGTACTGGATTCTGATATATTAGTTATCGATATAAGCACAGTTATCTAGTTTGAAATTTATTATGCCAAGTCTGGATTAAATAAAAAGCCGTGATAAAAGAGTTCGAATGAAAAAAAGAAATTGTAAATTTTACTGAGATGCGCAATCCCGAAATCCAGATACATTTACGGTAAATTGTGTAATGACAGAAAATAAAAGTGATTCATTAAAAAGCAAAGTCAAAACTCCAAGGAATCTTTGCAAAAGACAAAAAAAGTATGAGATCACACCGGAATAAATTTTATTTTACCGAAGGGTCAAATGTCATTCGGAAAGTCCCGTAAGTGTCTTACATTAAGACGTTTCCCAACATTTTTGAAGGAGTTGTTTTAAAAGAAAGTGCAGTTGCAGATGGGATCGCATATTGAATCGATCGTCAGATATCACTCCTTCTTATTAGTAAACATCCTTAACGATAATTTCTTGTAGATCTAACTATGATAAGCAAATGGACACAATTTCATGAGCAAGCACAGGTGAACCTGATATAATGAAAGTTTAAATTTGATGTGATACGAATTTGATACATCCACACATCAGCAACTCTCTTCAATATCAAATGACTAACACTTTTACACAATACGTCGCTTCTTCATTCAAAACTCTGTTATAAACTCCTTTCAACCCTTCAACAGCTGCCCGATTATCTTCAGGTATACGGAATTCAACTTGCTTCATGCTCCAACTTATCCTGTAGACTATTAGGTTAGAAATCCATTGATCTTTAATTTATCTACACGCAGTAAATTTATGAAAATAGATTTAATATAATAGAATTCGTCTGAAAGATGACTAAATTATACTTCGTGTAATTATATAAGTTACGCAAATATACAAAATACAAATATCAAATTGATACGATTTATGACCAAATATCAATCTGGCTGGCTCAGCATAACTGAAGTTCTGTATCATTTCATAACGCAAATTGAATCAAAAACAAACTCAACAAGAAGGCTGCAGATTTTGCTGCAACCATTTGAGAAGCAGTACGAAGAACTACAAGAAAAAACATAAAATAAATATCTATCATTGGTATCATTAAAAATATGCAAACAATATAAAATCAAACGTAGCATTTAATAAGCGAAAGATTCTTGAGGAATCTAGCTTACTAAATTAATAACATTATAAACAAAGAAGAAATAAAACTTAAATACATCGGATATTCCATAGAACTTGCTTTATTGACAAATTCTTCAACTTCATGAGTAGAACCAATAACAAAATCTTCTACGGGAGGAGCTCTGTGTGATCCTTCATGATCATTGTGTGATTCAGGGTTGACTGTAGCAATGGTTGCAAAATAATCAATTGAAGTTGGTGCTACTGATTCGCCATTCATTGTGGTTAAAGAACCATCCAAATGTTCATTTTCAGGTACTATAACTACTTCATCTTCAATTCCTCCAGTAGAACTTTCACCATTGGCAACACCATTGGAACCTTCACCATTAGCTTCAACGTTACTCACAACGTTAGATTCGACGTCAGCTTCACCATTGGCAAGACCATTGGCACCTTCAACATTGGCACCTTCAACATTGGCACCTTCAACATTGGCACCTTCAACATTGGCACCTTCAACATTGGCACCTTCAACATTAGCACCTTCAACATTAGCTTCAAAATTAGCACCTTCAACATTGGCACCCTCAACATTGGCACCTTCAACATTGGCACCTTCAACATTAGCTTCTACATTGGCACCTTCACCATTTGCAATAACTTCATCAGCAACTACACCTTCGTTACCGACAACATTATCAGGAGCAATACCAGTGGCATCACCACTTGATTCACCTTGATTGGTATTTCCTTGGTAAATTATCTCTTCATCAACTTCATTTTCTAAACCTTGGTTTAAGCTTCCTTGACCTTCAGCACCTTGGTTGGCAATGTTTCCATTAGAAATATCTTGATTAGCATTTACTTCATTGGCTACACCTAACTCAACAGGAGTCCCTTGGTTAAAGTTTCCTTCATCATTTGAACTTTGTTCAGTTGCTTGATTACCAGAACTTTCATTGGTGTTTCCTTGATTGGTATTTCCTTGATCTGTGTTTCCTTGAACTGTGTTTCCTTGATCTGTGTTTCCTTGATCTGTGTTTCCTTGATCTGTGTTTCCTTGATCTGTGTTTCCTTGATCTGTGTTTCCTTGATTGGAACCTTCATATTCAGGTGTGGCTCCATCAGTAGCTATAACATCGGCTACAGGTCTGGTGTTGGTTGAAGCAGTTCCTTGATTGTCCGATGAAATCACAACCTCATATACATCTGTGGTGGCTTGTTGACCTTCTAATGTGACAACAACAGTGGTTGTGTAAGTCGTAACAAATGGTAATACTGAAGAAGATGTGAACAACTGTCCTTCATCATTCAGTGATACAACAACGTTTGCACTTGCAGTTGTCATGGATCCATCACCTAATTCACTAATGTATGTGGTGATATATTCAGTGACGACGAAAGTTTCATTTGTGGTATTATCTTCATCTTCATTGCTTTGGTTGTCCTCTCCTACATTGCTTGGAATTGAAACAACAATGGTGTCAGTAAATTGACCTTTGATTGTAGAAGTTGTTGGCTCACTACCAGTCCAAGTTTGCGTAATAGTCACAGTATCAACAGGAGTAGCAATGATAACTGTGTCGATATCATCACCTGGGAATGTCATAGTAGTAACGAAAGTCCCTGACCAAGTGGTAGTAATAGTACTAGTAGGATGATCATACACTTCGGTAGCTCCAGTATTTGGTTCGGTTGTTGCTTCATTATCGTCTAAGAATGAAGTATAAGTGTACCAATCACCTTCTGAGTTTTGAGGATCAACAACTATAGCAGTCTTTGTCTCAACACTTCCATCTGGTTCGGTAATTACAATGGTAGTAGTGTAAGACCAGTCTGAGTGCAATTCAGAAGAAACAAGATCTGATTCCATGTGAATTGTTGATGGTTGTTGGACAAGTGTTGTTTCTGTAGATTCAGTGGTAGTTTCAGTATCGTCTAAGAATGAAGTATAAGTGTACCAATCACCTTCTGAGTTTTGAGGATCAACAACTATAGCAGTCTTTGTCTCAACGCTTCCATCTGGTTCGGTAATTACAATGGTAGTAGTATAAGACCAATCTGAGTGTAATTCGGAAGAACTGGTTTCTTCAGCATCTTCTAACCAAGATGTAATAGTATACCAATTACCATCTGAGTCGGTTGGGTCGATTATTACAGCCGTCTTGGTCTGCACAGTTCCATCAGGATTTGTAACGATAATGACCGTTGTGATAGTCCATTCAGAATAAACTTCTGTGGTAGTGGAAGTCGTTAAGTGTGGAGGGTGGGATGTAATAGTGGTTGTAGGGAAATTGACTGTAGAACTGCTGACAATTTGGGTGGATTGCAATGGTGTTCCTGTGGTTAATGGAACATCAGAATCTGATGGTTCCACCACAGTTGAATATGCTGGTGCAGATGAATTTTGCCACAAGTAACCAGAAGACAAAGAACTGAACGAAGATGCTTCTGGATAATCAGAAACCAACGAAGTTGTTCTCTCAGTTAAATGGCTGCTCGATGTTTCGGAATCATCTTCAACAGATGTTGCAGGATCATATTCAACAGATGTTTCAGGATCATATTCAATAGATGTCTCGACAGATGTTACAAAGGAACTATAAGTAGAACTACTGCTAACTTCTTCGGAAGAAATTTCTTGAATGACGTCAGTTGTAGAAACCACTTGTGATGTTAACATTGATGATGTTGAATCTTCAGGTGCTGCTTCCGAACTTGAAATTCCATCACCAAATGAACTCATATACGAACTTGTTGGTCTTTCGAACATGGAAGTGGTTGTGTAGAGATCTCTGTCTGAATTGGTGGTGACTAACACAACACCAGATTCAGTGACAACAGATCCATCGTCTTCGGTGGTGGTGAAAGTGGTTGTGTACTCGGTGTATGGTGGTGGGATAATCGAAGTGGTTGTGTAGAGATCTCTGTCGGAATTGGTGGTGACTAACACAACACCAGATTCAGTGACAACAGATCCATCGTCTTCGGTGGTGGTGAAAGTGGTTGTGTACTCGGTGTATGGTGGTGGGATAATCGAAGTGGTTGTGTAGAGATCTCTGTCGGAATTGGTGGTGACTAACACAACACCAGATTCAGTGACAACAGATCCATCGTCTTCGGTGGTGGTGAAAGTGGTTGTGTACTCGGTGTATGGTGGTGGGATAATCGAAGTGGTTGTGTAGAGATCTCTGTCGGAATTGGTGGTGACTAACACAACACCAGATTCAGTGACAACAGATCCATCGTCTTCGGTGGTGGTGAAAGTGGTTGTGTACTCGGTGTATGGTGGTGGGATAATCGATGTGGTTGTGTACTGTTCTCCGTTAGGGTCTGTTGAAATTAATACAACTCCAGATTCAGTGACAAACGATCCATCGTCTTCCGTAGTAGTGAAAGTAGTAGTGTATTCAGTGAAGTGAGGAAATGTAGAAGTACTGGTGGTGAGTTTACCCCCTTCATCGTCAGTAACATATACTATTCCACTTCTGGTAACCCATTGTCCGTTATCTTCTTCGTTCCATTCTTCATAATATTCATGGAACTCACGTTCTCTTTGATTTTTAAGCACAATATCGTAAAAGTTAGCATCAAATTCTCTTGGTTCTGGGCAAGGTTTACAAGCAGGAGGAGTTTGATCGTATAATGGCTCACGAGTATATTTGACAGACACAACACAGTCATTGATATATCGCTTGGATATTGAGGGCTGTTCTTTATCCACAGTTACTCCGCCATTATTAGGATCAGGGCAGTTGTTTCCAGTAAGTGTAAATTCAAAACCTTCCTTTTCAAGTAACCCAACTTCAAAGATGGATTCGTAACCATTATTATCATAAAAATATAATGTATTACCATGATATCCCCAGTTGAACTTGGAACCTACATAATTAAATCTCAATTCATTATCAGGCTTTAAGCCATAAACTGCTTGCTGGATACCATGTTCATCGTTGTTGAAATACAAGTAAGCATCAGATTCTAAATAATAGGTATGCGTTCGGTAAATGCTGCTGGCAAAATAATTTGTGTTCTTACCTATTCTTACACAGCCCTGACCTCCAAATCTTACTTCTTGAAGAACTTTATTAATATTCTGGAAACAAATAGTTCCTGAATTATCATATTCAAGATCTGGATAATTACCATATGGATTTTCGAAAGTAACAGAACCATCATCATTATTCAAATCAAGTCTATTGTAGAAGGCCATGGTTCCCAAATTCGAAAATCTGAAAGGCATCAATTTCACGTTCATATTATTATGAGTTTGTGCACCCAATACTTGCATATGTCCATAATTATTGAAAGTATCTAGTTCAAAATTATGCTCTGCCTTAGTTCCTTGTTCAGTACTATCGTCTATAACAAAGAATGCTTCTTGATCAATTTGAAGATCCCCGTGAATCATTATATAGAAGTCATTCCCATAATAATTCCAAGGAAACGAATTAGAGTTTCGGATGTGTACATAAGAGTTAGCTCCCAAATAGTTAAAACCCCAAAACGTCCACATATCCATCGAGATAAGAACTGTATCATACATTTCGGCATGTATTTCTGGAAGTTCCCCCATATTTTCATGATTATAAGCCCATTCCATAGCTAGACATTTGGTTGCCCATAATGTAATTGTTAGTGTTATTAGATTTAAAAAATTGAATGCTATCATTTTGATTGCTAGTTTTCTGAAGAATTACTACTGAAAATTATCTTCCAAGGGTGATAAATACCAATATATATATAAACAAGGTTATGTCGTAAGATGACCACTCTGACGCTGTATTAAGAGTCATGTACACTTTTTGTCTAAATTCTCCACAATGAAAAAATATTTCGTATCTGAAGGTTAAAGGGCTTGGAACCGAATCATCTTTACATTATGTATAGAAGTCTACATCATATATTGTGTAAGATTCAGCCTCATTTGGTTGTTGTTCATGAGTTTTGCAACTATGCAGAGAACTAAGTATTTTATAAATCTTCGCGAACAGCCACATGTACAGGAAAAAATAAATGTCATCGCATTGCATAACATGACATGACGCACAAATGAACAAAGAACTCTTATGACACTTCTCTTAATCATATACCACCATTCAATGAATCAATGATGACAGAGAGTCAAAAAGCATCTTGCTTAATCTATTTGTATTTTCCAAGTTTTTAGCGCTGGCGCAGGCAAAATTATGCAGTCTTGGTGTTTACAGCATTATATTATATTTTCCCGACCATGTAATGTGTTACAAAGTTGTTTTCTGGCTTTGACGAATGACTAGCCAGCTCTTTAAAACATTGACTATTGGTACTGGATTCTGATATATTAGTTATCGATATAAGCACAGTTATCTAGTTTGAAATTTATTATGCCAAGTCTGGATTAAATAAAAAGTCGTAAAAAAAGAAATTTGTAAAATTCAGTGACATCCCAGATGGAAATATTTGAAAAAAAAGAAAATAAAAGTGAATCCAATTAATAGCATCGGAATACATTTCATTTTACCGAAGAATCAAATTCATTCGGATATTCCCGTAAGCATCTCAATTCAAGACAATATCTTTGTAGGAGGAATTTTAAAAGTAAGTGTAGTTGCAAATGGGATAGCATTTTGAATTAATCGTCAGATATCACACCTAAAAATTGAAATCATAGGACCCAATTATTATATGCTCTATTAGACTTATTCTCAAAATTTCCAGCTTCAAATTTTTCAAATAACAAGATTAAGAAAAATGTTTATAAAAATATTAGTCAGTTTATTTTTGGCTGTCTATATTGAGTATAAGTGATAAGATTTCCTAGTCAAAATTTTTCTTAGTCGAAATTTTTTAGTTAATGCAAATGGAATGCCAGACTATTAGGAATATAATTTTTACAGGAAAATCAGAAGACTTTGCTTGCAAAGAAATAATAATTAATAAAGTATAATACTCAGCAGGTTAATACAAGTATCATCTCATTAAAGCTTCTTTTTCATATAGTATGTTACCTGGGCCTTTTTTTGGTACTAGCGTTAAATAATTGGAGTCCAACATAGATTAACAATAAAGGTGACAGTAGCATTCCCAAACTGATTTCATTTCAAAAGAGTATCTAAACCAGAATGAAGCGTTAGGAGACCGCCAACTAGTAGGCTTACATTCTGTCATAGTTTTTATTTTTTTTTCTTGACGTAGATCACGTGGTTTAACTAAAGTAGTCGGTAAGTTCTTCATTTTTTATGAGGTAAATATTAAATCGTAGAGTACCTTAGTAGTTGCAGCCTTTGGAAGCAATTTCAAGAAATATAATTGATTTTGCGGTCACGGCCATTATTAGGAACTTGTATTTTAAAAGGTATAAAAATCTTTTACATCCAAATGGGAAAATTCCGTTACTGGTAATTTTTGTGGGGTTGAAGATACTCGAAATGTTTTGCGAAATTTTCGCAATTGATTATCATAATGATGAATTCCAATAAATGAATTCATAGTCAAATTAAATCTCCGAGGAAAACCACCCGTAAATACATAATTAAACCAATCATCAGAAGTGTAATGCTAATAGATATACTATTGTTTATTTCTGTAAAATAGAAGTTATACTTCTTTATATTTATTTAAAGGAGAAGAAAAACTGTGGTAACGGAAGAAACCTATCTTGTCTCGGAATAAACCGCAGCAGGAAATCAAGCAATTTTTTATACAGAAAAATAATTAAAAATAGCCAGTTTTATTGAAGATATATAGATAAATAGATATATAAGTTGGTTACAAATTTCTGTTTTATATGATGTGGAGAAACATTAACAGCAAAACCATTAGAAAGTGAAATAGTAATAGGAACAAGAAAACCAAAGAATAAAAACCCTTACCAGAAGTAGTATATTGTAGTACAAATTTATTTAGATTATTTTAGATTTTAAATAAGTAAAATTCCCAAAATTTACGATATGATATAATATGATGATATGACATGATTTGATGACATGAAAATAACATGTAGTACCTTATGCTGTTATTAATAATAACTCGATTTCGATTTAAATAAATAGACATAGCAAAGACATGAGGTACTGACATGTACAACAAAGAATTCTATATCTTTGCAAACAACGACCTTGGACTTATGGTTCCCTTCGTATTTGTATTATATTTGAAATCATTTGCTTCCTTATAGCTTAATATAAATGGTAAAGTGGCTGATATAGTTAAGTAACCAAATACTAATAAAGAAGCTGATTTATTATGATGATGATGTGACATAGGAATGTACATGGTTATTCTTATTTTGTAAGCGATATTGAAGATCAATACAAGATTAAAGAGTTGCAAAACTATAAGTATACAAACATATAAAAATTATGAAATTACAGATATTGAATTCCTTATATATAAGGTTACTATATATGATATGATTTGCTTATGTAAACAAAAAATTTGTTAATAAAGTATTATTAAATTGTAACCAAAAAATACAAACCAGAAATTGTTTAGCCACACTCCCGCACTAACTCAAAAAAAAAACATACGATTTAGGCATCATACTAAAATAATTGCTTCACTATACGACAACCCAACCAAAAATTTGCATCCTGTAGTGACATAATTAGCTAACAGTTATTATGAGTAGTTGTGTTTTTGTGAAGTACAAAGTAAATTGTGCTGCGCTTCGGTACCTAAATCGGTACCTAAAAAGTCGATCTTCCTTGTTCTTTGATACTCTTTGATAATCTGTAAATGATTAACCCCACTGGATACCACCATTCTCTTTACTAAAACATTTGAGTATGCTACCCCAACATAACCCTTAGAGTTGCAAAGGATGCTCACTCAAAAATATTTGATAAAATGCGGCAATTCGGTTCTTTTTTTCCGCTGAGGGGCTGGATTCAATCGGATTGAACCCCCGATGTTTACAAGATAAGTTCACTAACTTTCTTAACAATAGTAATCGAACAAAAGTTGCAAAGTACTTTTCCTATTGTGTATATCACATTTAAGAATTCTATGATAAACATACATTTTGACAAGACAACTCTTATTGTAACTGATAATCGTTGAGTCCTCCTGACCAGAGTCTATTGTATGATACGCAGCAATATATCCTGTACCGTTGTATCGCTCGTTTCCCATTCTCTTGGAGTCAGCCGCTTTGTAACAGAAGTTGTACACCAGGGCAACACGGAGACAATATGCGCACTGCAAAGTCAATAATTTTCTTATTGGCTGCAGTGAATGCTTCTCGCGAAGACCGTTTCAAGTCGGCTTTGCTAGTTATTGTAGCTGTCTTAACATCTGTTCTGTATATACGTGTAACGTCTCATTATGTTGAGCTCAGAAAATTCTTGTTACTTATCGTATAGATCATAATCTCATCATAATGTGGCAATGCTTTATTTTTGCTATTTTACTAATAGTATTTGACATTAATAAATAAGATAAAAGATATTATATATGTTATATACGAAGTTCATTAATTACTTTAGTATTTGGTATACTTCTCTGCTAGTGTTAATCTTGTTGCACTTTAGCATAACTAGGTGGTCTTAATTTACGATTTATAAATTGTGACAACCAAACGGGGAACAAACTCACACTTAATATGACTGCAGTTTGCCAGAAATAACTGATTGAACTAACGTACGCTAAATTAAAATAATCGGGTAAGAATGGAATCAGCCCAACAAATAGCAAGAAAGTGATAATGATCGTTGCTATCATAGTCTTATTCCATTTATAAATTGAAATAGAAACCATGATTAATTCGTTATAGATCAAACAACTGAATGATATTGCAACCATTGATAAAAATTTATCTTCTGCTAAAGATTGGAACTTTTGTGACAATAATTGAATGACAGAACCTTGGAATAATGAAATGAATACCCACATAAAAAATGTTTTATATGACAATGATGTCCCTAATGTCAATTCTCTATACAATTCGGGATATAATCTTGTCAAGTGTTCATCAATATCACAATCTAGTGTTAATGAAAACACTGGAGCCATTGTATAAACAGTTGAATAACCAACCATAAGCCATCCTTGATATAATGCCAATGGTTCAAATTTAGATGAAATAGAATAGACAGCCTGCGCAACACTAAGTAACAAACCACGATGAATAACAAATTGTCCCAATTTGGCAGACCTCTTATAGGAATTTCTACCATGCCATAATAATAACTTCAGTAAATAACAAAATTGATGAATACTAAAATCAGCTGCTAGTGATGCTTGTTTTCCTTCTTTACCAACAATACCTACTCCCACATCAGCACATTGAATCATACTAACATCATTACCACCATCTCCAATACAACAGACTCTTTTCCCCGTAATGGAACGAATATTTATGGCAACGTCTGCCTTTTGTTGAGGAGTACATCTACATGCAATAACAGCTGGCAATTTAATCACAATATCAAAGAATTCTCGATTGTAGTATTTCATGTATGTTGCTAAACTTTCACCATCAATTAATAAACATGCATTATGGTTTGTTTTCAAATATTCAAGTTGATTCATGGCGAAATCCGGACTGTGAACTTTTGTTATTTGATGAACATATTGACCACGACTAATTAATCTAGCACTGATAGAGACACATTTAGCAGTTTCAACTTTATCACCTGTAAGCATCCATATTTTAATACCTGCATTTCTAAGTAATTCAATTGAAGTCTTAACATCACGTTGTAACTTATCTTCAACACCAGTTAATCCTAATAATTCTAAATCCAGCTCTAAATATTGTCCAATAACCCTTTGCATAATTTGATCTCGATCATGCATTGAAATTGATGCCTTTTTATAATCATTTGAAAAATCTTGATAAAGATTCTTGGATAATCTCTTCTTTCCGATAACCAAGGTTCTTAAACCTTCACGAGCCATATTTCCAGTTTCTTCATCCAACCAATCATTGGCATTAACTATAGTAGACATGACTGTATCTGCACCCTTTTGCATAAACCAAATTTCATCTCTTTGAATATCTCGAACTACTATACCCATTCTCTTAGTTTCTGATGAGAATGGGAAATTATTAAGGATCTCGAAATTTAAGGTTTGATTGGTCGCTATATGTAATAATGAAATAGAATGACGATCACGCTTAAACAATTTTAATCCCACTAATTCAGTGAATTTTACTATAGCAATTTCATCAGGAGATGCTGCTTGATAAGTAACAAGTCCATTAACTTCATCATCATCATCTTCATATGTAGGAGTTACATTATGACATAATGCTAATGTTAAAACCAAATCACATACTCTTGAACTTAAATCTTTCTTCTTAATTAAACTACCACTAGGTTTTGAATCCAATAATGAGATAATTCCACGAACATAATCATTAACAATATCTAAGGATTCACCAGCATAACTAACAGTTCCAAGATGTAATTTCTTTAATTCCATATCATTTTGAGTTAATGTACCTGTTTTATCAGATAAAAGATATTCAATTCTACCTAAATCTTCAGGAATAGTTGAAGTACGAACAATAGTATCGGGGATTTCATTATCCTTTTGAATTTGTCCAGCATAAACTGATTTTGCTAAATCTAAATTAACTCTTAAAGAAACAGGAATTATAGAAGAAAATAATATAAGAAATCTCATTATATCAAGATACCAAGTATTACTTAATGGGAATCCATGAGCCAAAACCAATACAACTGATAAAATAAATACAGTAACACATAAGATTTTGGAAAGACTATTAATTTCTAATTCTAATAATCCCGTCTTAACTCCAGTCTTTGTGGTATTCATCAGTTGTCTAGTTTCAACACCAGTATATATAACTAACCCTAATGCAGTACCCGAAGCCAATACAGTATTAGCCCATAAAGTTTGATCAATGGTTAATGCAAATGTTTCATTATTAGTATTTGATGGAGTAGTAGATCCAGCTGATTGATGAGGATGGTATATTAATCTCCCTTGAAAATGATGAATAGATTTGGCTGGTTTACCAACAATTAATGATATAGTATTAACTAATTGATTTAAATCCTTTAATGATTGAGTACAATTATGAGCGACTCTTAATTTCCAATCAGTTTCTCCATCTAATTGATCAGTTTTGATAAATGCTTCTCCGGTACCATCTTTATCTGATGATTGTAATAGAATCATATCAGCTGGTATACGAGTATCTTTATGTAATCGTACTAAATCACCTACTTTCAAATTCTTTGATGCTACAAATTTACCTTCATGAGTTAAAGAAGTATTGGATCTATTTAATACTTCATAAACTTCATTATTTTGTTCTTTATCACGACGACGTCTAGCTATATCATCACCAGCTTCTTTCATCATTGTTACTGTAAGAACAAATCCCAAAGGTACAATATATGATGATAAATAACCTATTCTTAATTGAGGTATAATTTGTGATAAAGCTGTTAATAAGAAATATAAATTGAAAAAGAATTTAAATTGTTCATATAAAATAATCGGTATAAATGTTATAGGATTATATTTAGCATTAGATATAGCATTAGATGGATAATTATAATTTGAACTAGTATTTGAATTTTTTGGAGATATATAACGATCAGTTTCAAGATTACTAGATTGATTATTATTTGAATCTGTTGATCGATTAGAATCATTTTCATTATTGAGACGTAAACGTTCTTCGTTTAATTCGCGTTTTGCATTAACAAAAAAATTAACCACACTATTAAAAATTCTTTTCGATGATCCTAAAGCACTATTGGTAGCTATAACTAATGAAGATGTTGATGACGAAAATGATCGATTATTTGTAGTATATGCAGAATTAGCAATTAATGGAGAACTATCATCATGTTCATTACCATGAGAATTAAGTATTCCATTGGTTCCTATTGGAAACAGTTGCATGGTAGATAAAGGAATTGCACCTACTGAACCTTGTGAACTATGTCGTGAATTATTTAATGAATGAGTATAATTAAATACATTATTGGATGCACTATTTAAAGCTTTATCTAATGAATTATCCAAATCTTCAAACGAGTCATCATCGTTGCCAAACGAGTACCGTCTCGAACTTGAAGGCATGACGGATCGATGTTTCTCACTCACTATAATGATCTACTTAATAAGATTGTAATAGTTTATATATTCAATTAATAACAAGCAGTAACTTCGCCTTAACTATACAAGGTCACTAGTTTCGTCTCGATATGATCTTTTAAAGCATTTTTTCGTTTGCGCGTGGCTGTATGCAGTACCCGCCATAATGAAGGGGATGTCGATGGAAGTAAAGTATTAATATTAGCATTGATAACGAATTTAGTAAATTATATAAAGAAGAAGTAGAAGAAATGCTGTCGGATGAGAGTATACAAGAAGATTTGGGAGTGATAATTTCTGCTTCTTCATTAAAGCTCAACAAGTCATTCACCGAAAAGTTGGAGGATTTGGCAGTATCTCAAAGTAATAGCACAAATACAAAGTGGAAGAAACTATGGGAATTCTTTAAAATTCAAGTATTGGGATATCCTAATGAATTTGAGAGATTTGTATTAGAATCAGAGCCTAATGACTGTTCATTAATTGCCAAATATTCACAAGTTCAAACCATTAATTTATCTAATCAACTGACTTCTTCAGTAGATTCAATAACTTTAAATACTTTACATATTCCTCATCCATTAGAGAGTTTCTTAAGAAATGAAGCCAATAATATTCCAGAAGATGATTTAGATTTACTGAAAGAGCTTCAAGAATCTCCTATAATTATTTTCATTCATGGTCTAGGTGGTCAGATGTCTCAATTTGAACCATTAATGGCTTTATTGGCTCAATGTCTGGAAGTTTATTCTTTAGATTTACCAGGTTTCGGTAATTCCAAACTTGAATTTTTAAATGATAGAAAGATTATATCGGAATTCACTCCAGAAGAAAAATTAAGGATATCTTCTAGTATTAAAAAATTAACTTGGAATGATTTTAAAACTGAGAACATTGTAAATATAATTTATGAATTTATCATTCAAAATATTCCAAAGGGGAAGAAAGTAGTATTAGTTGGTCATTCAATGGGTACTCATCTAAGTGTTTTAGTGGGTAAGAAATTGCCTAAGTATACAGTTGAAGGATTAATATTATTATCTCCTCCACCATTTCAAGATGATATCACTGAAAATGCACCTGAAACTCCTAAACCTTCAACTATATCGATGTTACAAGTATTTACATATTTACCTTGGTTATTTAATTCATTCAGAGTTTGGGATAGACTTGAAGGATTGGAAAGCACTAGTGTTGTCCGTCAATTAGTTAGATTTGAATCTATTAAAACTAGTATTTATAATAAATTAAGACAGTTAAGATGGAATATGGATGTTAATTCATATATAGTCTTAAGATATATCAATGGATTTCTGAAAGCCAAGTATTCTGATATCATTACAACTATAAGTCAATTTAATGATAATGCAAAGGATACCAGAGTTTACGAGAAAACATTATTAGTGGGAGGGATTAATGATCAAGTAACTTCAATTAAAGTAATTGATAACACTGATACATTTTTGACAAAATTCTTTAAAAGAAGAATTTCAAAAACAATTGAAGTTAATGGGACTGGGCATTCAATTCTTTTAGGAAAACCTGAATTTATTAGTGGAATGATATTAAATCATATTGAGCAAAAGTTTCCTGAAAGACTTCATTTATCACCAGCTTGGGTTTTAAAAGTTAAGGCTAAGATATCAGGTGATAAATGGGGATTAAAGAATGAACGTAAATGGAAAGAAATAAAAGGGATTTCTAGTAATATTACCAGGAAATCTGGTTCAGATATTTCTCCATTACTTGGAATGAAGACATTACGTGAAGATGATGAAGTTCATTCACCAAAAATTATTGAAGATCTCTTCTATGGTAAGAATAAAGATTCACGATCTGAAGATTTTCCTAAAGGGAATTTAATTGCCATTGTTGATATTTCTCATGATATCCCTCCATATAGTCCTAAATCGTTTGAAATTATTAAGTATTATAAATGTGCTACAGTTTCTAAAGTAGTTCCTGATCAGGTTTCCATAAGAAGGTTTATTCAATTAATAGATGATATACTCAATAATAACGAAATAGACAATCCTCTAGTGGCTGTGCATTGTCATTATGGGTTTAATAGAACAGGATTTTTAATTTGCTGTTACTTAGTTGAAAGATTAGGATGGTCAGTGGCCGACGCAGTCGAAGGATTTAAACTGGCCAAAGCTCCAGGAATTAAGCATCCTCATTTCATTGATGCATTGTATGTAAGATATGAACGTTAGCCGGTCAGTATTTGCAGGTTCAAATATGTTATTTATTTTTATTTTATGTATCTATATTTATTGTTGTGTATAATATATAAACAAGCTTTAAGTGGAGAAGCGGCTGGGGTTTTGCAGCCTCCGGAGTTGCCTATTCGAGAAGCGAAAAAAAAACAATTTACCCTAATTTGCGCTATCTGTCAATTATACATACAATAATTGACTAATGACAGCAACTGTAATGATAAATTATATACTGGGAAAGAAGGTAGATCAACTACTGAATAGTGTAGACTTGGTAGGTATATGGATCAATTTCTTAGTAGATTTTTAGTAATGAACAATAAATTCTTCGCTATTTTATGTTCCGTAAAACCTTATCACATTTAGAACGATTAAGCTATTTTCTTTGCCAAATCTCACCAATATAATTCTTACATAGTTACAAACTAAATACTTTACAACAACAACCGAATCTTCTCTACCCTTAACATATTGAGCATCTATGGGAAATCCGGTAGTCAATCCAACTCCGAACCCCGACTGCCAACCTTAAAACACGTGCAGGTCTAAAGGCTGAGAATAATGCTTAATTTCTTAAGGTTTTCGATTTCGTGGGGAGACAAAAAATAACGACAGCAACAGGCCCGCTAAAAAAAAAATTAAGCAATGAGCACTAGCTTGAATTTTCAAATACCTCTCTACGACCAGTAACACTGTACATTATGAAGTTCGGAGAATCCTTGAGCGAGGGGTTGGTTCCCGAATGGAAGGAGCAATATGTGGACTATAAATCTGGGAAAAAGCTCATTAAAAAAATTGTACAATTGAAGCAAGAGTCGGAAGCCGAAGCGAGTGCAAAAGCCAGTAATGACAGAATGCCATTACTTAATTCACAGGATGGTGTAGGACCATCTATGCCATATACCAATGAAATAAATGAGATAACTGAATTGTCTAATGAACTCAATAAACCAAGAATGAGTAGAAGAACATCAATATTCAACTATAGTATAAGATCAAAAGATGTAGATAAGAAGGATGAATTTGAAAAGGAAAGAGTGAAGTTTACTCAATGGTTGGATAGTGAGCTTAATAAAGTAGACCAGTTCTATAGAGAAAAGGAACAAGAGGCATATGAAAGATTTTTATTAATTCAAGATCAATTATACCAATTAAGAGATCATAAAGCATCAGTTGTTCGAGAAAAAACCAAACATTCTGGAGCTATTCATGGTGATGATGCTATAAAAATCTATGCAAATGTCAATGACTTAGCATTTCATACAAAAAGTGCATTTTCTTGGTTAAATAGACTCGAACTTCCCTCGTTACCATCGACTACATTCCTTACAAAGTTAAAGAGAAGGCCGAGGGATAATGATATTACAATGACAGATCAAATGCAAGAGTATAATCCTAATGATGCTGAAAATAGAATTAGAAATGGAGAAATCGATTTTACTTCAGACGAGACAGATTTATCATCAATTGATTCGGAAGACTCAAGGCAAGTTGGAGATGTGCCGAATTTAGTTCAATATCCGAATCAAGACCAAGCACGTCAAACTAGAAGAAGAGACTATTCTGTTAAGAAGCAGCACTTTGGAGTACCTTATTTATACGCTAGGAAACAATTGAAAGAAGTTGTACTAGAACATTATAGAGCTTTATCATTGTTAAGATCATATAAAGCTTTAAATAGGACTGCTTTTAGAAAAATCACTAAAAAGTTTGATAAGGCATTAAAGGGTAACCTTTTAGATACATACATGAGCAAGATCGATAAGTCATACTTTCAAACAACTGATCTTGTCGATAAATTATCTAATCATGTCGAAGAATTGTTTATTGCATTCTTTGATCCAGAAACTACAGATAGAAAACATTCATTAGAAAAGTTAAAGAGTATAGCTTATGCTATGAATAATAATGATATAAGACAACCATCATATTACAAATCCTTTTTCAGTTCCGGTTTCTTAATGGGATTCAGTGTACCATTATTAACTCTTGCTATCTATTTAGCATTGAATAAAACTCTTAGTGGAACCTTGCCAGAAGGAGTTTATTTATTACAAATCTGGGGAGGATTTTTCTTACTTAATGTTATGTTGATCCTCTTCGGAATCAACTTAGCAGTATTTGATCATTACAAAATCAATTATAAGTTTATTTTCGAATTTGATATGTCTTCGGTTTTAAACTACAAACAATATTGGTTATTACCATCATTTGGGATTGCCCTTTTGGCCTTGGTTAGTTGGTTCAGTTTTCACGATTTTTGGCCAAATCAATTTGCTGGAAGGGATTGGCCATGGATATATTTTGGACTAATGCTTGCAATTTTCTTATGGCCTGGTGATCAATTCTATGGATCCAGCAGAAAATGGCTTCAAATTGCTATATGGAGATTACTATTATCAGGATTTTATCCAGTTGAATTCAGAGATTTCTTCTTAGGTGATATATTCTGTTCATTGACATATACAATGGGTAATCTTTCGTTTTTCTTTTGTTTATATGCTCATCATTGGAATGGAATAATAGGAGATACTGGAAAAGAAAACATGTGTGGATCCTCTAAATCAAGATTAATGGGATTTTTCAGTACCTTACCTAGTATTTGGAGATTTTTACAATGCGTTCGTCGTTATATGGATACAGGGGATTGGTTTCCTCATTTGGCGAATATGTTGAAATATGCTATCTCCACATTATATTATTGTCTTTTGAGTGTTTATCGTATTGACAGAATACAAAGGAATAGAGCGACATTCATTACATTTGCAGCTATAAACTCTATCTATTCCTCTTTATGGGATGTATTTATGGATTGGTCATTACTTCAAAGTGGATCAAAGTATCCATACTTGAGAGATAATTTATTCTACAAGAACCCCAACTTTTATTATTTTGCCATGGTAACTGATGTTATTCTTAGATTTCAATGGATATTCTATGCATTTTTTAGCAATCAAATCCAGCAGCTGGCTGTTACAAGTTTTTGTATTGCATTAGCAGAAATAATTAGAAGATTTATTTGGATATTTTTCAGAATGGAGAATGAACATTGTACAAATGTTGTCTTATTTAGAGCCTCAAAAGATTCTCCTTTACCTTACATTGTATCACCTAAAGTTGAGAAAGCCATTAAAAAATTAGCTAATGCAAGATATACAGCATTTGTTGGTGAGAATGAAAATGTTTTAGAAAGGTTAGGAACTAGCCAACGTTTACCAAGCGCTGACCGTATTTCTTCTTATAGTACCAGTCGTCAAGACGTTTCTGATAGATTTAGACCAGGCGAACATGAATCAGATCTAGGGTTGGCAAGGGTCTCTTCAGCTACATCATCTTTACCTCAATTATCACGTCGTAAATCTACCTTTGTTAATATCAGTGATACCCTTAATAAAGCACATATAAAGGATTTTCAAAGAAGGAAGACGAGAATTAATTTGGATGATGATAGTGATGATGACGATGATGACGCTGTATCAACCAGAAGATTTCCTAGTAAAAATACTACAGGAAGTCAATTACCTTCAGTTAATGAAAATGAAGAACTTTAATTCACTATCTTATTTATATAGTTATATATTTATTATTATTTATTTATTCACAGAATTATTTAGAAGACAGGTAATTGTTTTGGAACATAAGGTTGTTCTAAGTAGTCAATCTCTTCTTGAGTTAATTTAAAGTGAGCAGCTTCAACAATTTCTTCTACTCTTTCTTCAGAATTAAGACCAATAATTGGAGCAGCACCTTTACTTATGACCCATGCAGTTGAGACAATAACCATACTTACACCTCTCTTTTTGGCGATTTCTTCAACTCTCTTAATAATCTCAGCATCAGCTTCTGATAATTCTTCTAATTTCAATCTATCAAAAGATTTATCAGTCTTTGAAGATCTGTTATATTCAGATTCTGTTTTTAAAGGACGAGCTAAAACACCTCTGGCAAGTGGAGACCATGGAATTAAACCAACTTTACCAATAATGTTATCGTTACAGAATGGGATCATTTCACGTTCTTCTTCACGATAAATTAAGTTATAGTAGTTTTGCATACTGATAAATTTGGCCCAGCCATTTTTATCAGCAATGAATTGTAATTGAGCAAATTCAGTAGCCTTCATAGAAGATGCACCAATGTATCTAGTATGACCAGCTAAAACGACATCGTTTAAGGCCTTCATAATTTCATGCTTTGGAGTAGTTCTATCCAATCTATGAATTTGCAAAACATCAATGTAAGTACCCAATCTTTTGACAGAAGCTTCTACACCATCAAGGATATGTTTTCTGGATAAACCTCTTGAGTTAAGAAATTCATATTCTGGGAATTCACCACCTCTAGCAAAGAAATTAAATCCTGGAATACTTTCATCTACAACATTGAAAACTTTAGAGAGAATAACAACTCTGTCTCTTTTGATATTATATTTTTTAAGGAATTTACCAACCAAGATTTCAGATGTACCATTAGAGTAGACATCAGCAGTATCATAAGTTCTGATACCAACATCATAGGCTTTCTTTAAAATACCTAAGATTTTTTCCTCGTCATCAAGAACCCATTCGGCCCATTTTTTGTCACCGTAAGACATACATCCAACAATGATTGGTGAGATTGATAAACCAGAGTCACCTAACTTAATATATTGAAGATTCTTTGACATGTTAATCGATAATTACTTTAATGATAATAATAGAGCAATTGAGATGAGTTACGCTAATTCTAACTAACAAGGTGGTCAATTGAAAAAATGGTTAATTGGAATTTTCATCCCCTATTTATGTGTAAAAAAAATTTGTGCATTTTGTTAAACTTAACCCATATGGGCTAATTGATTTGTAATTGTTAATTGATAATATGTATGCCCGCCCCTCTAATCCCCCCAATTGGTGGGTGAAAAATTCCCTCCCCCATTTTTCGATAGTTCTCATTGATTATGTCATAAGTAACAAAAATTGTGATATCGGGATTGAGAATTAAATGTGCGAGTCGGGGCATTTCCTAATTGGGAGTTAAGTCCATTACAATTGATATAAAACGTATATTTCTATAAAACTAAAAATTTCCTAAAGAATTGAATTGATATATTTAATAAGTGAATCCGTTTTCAAAGAATTCTTCAACAGCTTCACCTAATCTTTTTCCTGCTTCAGTTAATTCTTCATCCTTATCTAAAGGTGCATAACTTAATCTTAAGAAATTAGCATTTGGTTCACTGAATTCTGGATTTACTGACATCTTATGTCCCAACACAACAGTAACTCCCTTTTCTAAGAATTTGTAATTTAAAAGATTTATTTTATCAACAATATCAGTAGTACCTTCTGGGAAATTAACGAGTAATGATGCAAACATCCCTGCATCACAACTGATGACTTTAATATATTCCTTTTCATAAGCTGACAGACTGACAATACTATCGATTAAAACATTTCTTCTATGAGCATAGGCTAATCTCATTCTGAGAATCCATTGTAACCATCCTTTAATTCCTCCAAATCTTTGTTGAATAACGTTCAAGAGGATGAGTTGTGAAGGACCGGAAGGAGCTCTAGTAACAATAGAAGAATACTTCTTAACCACTTCAACAATCTTCTTATTGGCCACAAGGAAACCCAATCTTAATCCAGGTGCAAAGACTTTAGAGAAAGTTTCAATTCTAATAACTCTACCCTCAGTATCAAACTGTAAGTATGATTTAGGCAAGTGGTTTTCGAGGTAATCATCAATTTGTAAGGAATTTTCACTAACCAAAGTTTCCTTATTGGGCTTTTGGAATGGAGGTAAAGTAAGGTAACCATAAGGATCATCTTCAAGAATGATAAAATCATGTTTCGAAGCTAAATCGTAAATTGCTTTTCTAGTGGCAGTACTTTGAGTTAATCCAGTAGGATTTTGGCATGTTGGAATAGTGTAAAAAGCTTTTGGTTTTCTATCTTTGTATTCAGGATAGATATCATTCCAATTATCTAATAAGTGAGATAAATATTTAATATCGATATCTGCACCTTCAGTGGCTTTAAAATTTAATTTAATTGGAACGGTAATTCCTCCTACATTTCTAACATTGTTACCAAATGGAGAAAAGGTGAATTCTTCAAATAATACGATATCTCCTGGATTGATTAAAGCATCAGCAACTTTGTTCAAACCTTCGCCTGATCCATTGGTTGCAGTAATAGCCCATTCAGAATTGGCAGGTTTATGGATAGTTTCTACAAATTCTCTTAAGAATTTTTGGAAATTTGGTAAACCACTAACATCACCATATTGTAATGCTTCACCAGCACCCAAATCATTTTTATCAGTTGGGAATTTATCAATTACTACCAAGTCTTGCTCTTCAATGACTTCATTCTCAAAAATAGTATCTTGGAAAGGGTAGTGATCCAATTCAACAGTAATCTTTTTGACAGGGAAGAATTGTGCATTTGGCCTTCCGAAACTTAATGCAAGTGGTTTAGGATGTGGTTTAAAGTTCTTAGGAGCATTTTCATCAGCATTAGCTGCAAAATGTTTAAAAGAACGATTTTTAGCTCTGTCGGAGATCAAATGTTCGATTGAATGAGTAGAACTGGTACTTTCAGTAGATGAAGAAGTATTCAAAGCAGTAGAAGTTGGAGCCATTATCAATACTTTATATTATGTTTAACTTAACCTGAATATATAAATTACAATAATATTATATTGAATATATATTTGAAATATTTCTAGTCAGCAATTGGAATTCCTTATATAATCTCCGGCCTATATAATTGAGTTAGCAGCCATAGTTCACTTTTTTATAGGGGGTAAATGCGGCTTTTTGAAAATATGCCATAGTACAAGCAACTAACATACCTTAATTGATTAGTAATTAGTAATTAACAATTAAAGTCTGAATTAGATCAAACTGGGGTAAAATGTTATATACGGTGGATTGACTCATATTTATAAGGTTTTTATTCATCTTTCATTTACGGCATTATTTTCGTAAGTCGGAGTATCTACCTGCCAATTACGGTGGTTTCCATAGATAAGATTTATGCTCGTTATCGCGGTGAAGGAACCAGGGCTCCGTACTTTTTTTTGTTATGCCTCAAACGGGATATAAAACCGATTTCTTGATAGAAGTATTATGATTGAGTGTGATTATATCACATTTGTAACAATGATCTGACAATGGAATTTGTAGTTATAATCTATCGTGAATCATAGATTGTCCTAAATAGGCATATTATACGACACCTATCTTGTGTTGCATAAGGCAATTTGAAAGCTAACCTAACTATTTCTTTAAGTCACCAAAATATATAAACAGAAGATACTACACACACGGTAATTGTTAGCTAGACCTCATTGTGACAAGACTATATCTTCTAAATACTCTTCCCTACTCTATAATCCTAAGTAATTGGTAATAGTTAATGATTCACTTGGAGTCACGTGCACAAAAATATCGGATCTTAGATAAATTGATGAGTAACGGGAAATTCAGCATTGGATACTTTCTGGAGTATAAGTTCTCTTAAGTTAGAAGTAGCTTTATCGCACTATACAATTAATTATAAGATGTCTATACCAGAGGGATTCCAAGAGATTACGAGCACAATGCCTCCATTGGCTCAGGTAAATCCTTATGGACCTAATCCATCTGATTATTTATCTAATGTGTCTAATTTTCAAATCATCGAAAGTACATTAAGAGAAGGTGAACAATTCGCCAATGCATTTTTCAGTACAGAAACAAAGATTGAGATTGCTAAGGCTTTAGATGATTTTGGAGTAGATTATATTGAATTAACATCACCTGTTTCGAGTGAACAGCTGAGAAAAGATTGTGAAGCCATTTGTAAATTAGGTTTAAAAGCTAAGATTTTGACTCATATTCGATGTCACATGGATGATGCAAGAGTTGCAGTTGAAACTGGAGTTGATGGAGTTGATGTTGTTATTGGAACAAGTCAATTTTTAAGACAGTATAGTCATGGAAAGGATATGAATTATATTGCTAAAAGTGCTGTTGAAGTTATTGAATATGTTAAATCAAAAGGTATAGAGATTAGATTCTCATCTGAAGATTCCTTTAGAAGTGACTTAGTTGATTTATTAAATATTTACAGAATTGTAGATAAGATTGGAGTCAATAGAGTCGGTATAGCAGATACAGTTGGATGCGCTAATCCTCGACAAGTATATGAACTAGTACGAACATTAAAATCAGTGGTTAAATGTGATATTGAATGTCATTTCCATAATGATACAGGATGTGCTATTGCCAATGCTTATACAGCATTAGAAGGTGGAGCAAAATTAATTGATGTTAGTGTATTAGGTATTGGAGAAAGAAATGGTATAACTCCATTAGGAGGTTTAATGGCAAGAATGGTTGCTGCAAATAGAGAATATGTTCTTCTGAAGTATAAATTACATAAATTAAGAGATTTAGAGAATTTAGTAGCAGAAAGTGTTCAAGTTAATATTCCCTTCAATAATCCAATTACTGGATTTTGTGCTTTTACACATAAGGCTGGTATTCATGCTAAAGCTATTCTTGCCAATCCATCAACCTATGAAATCTTGATTCCTCTGGATTTTGGTTTGACAAGATATATTCATTTTGCTAATAGATTAACTGGATGGAATGCTATTAAATCTCGTGTTGATCAATTAAATTTGAATTTAAGTGATGAACAATGTAAAGAAGTTACCAATAAGATTAAGAAGTTAGGAGATGTAAGACCATTAAATATTGATGATGTTGATTCAATAATTAAAGATTATCATGCAGATGTATCTACTCCAATGTTTAAGCCTAAGAGAAATGGGATATTAAAAATTCCTCATGATTTACCACCTTTAGATGATGAATTAGGGAAAAGACCAAGATATGGTTAGTTGAAATTTAATTGATATTATTATGTATTATAGTAAGACACACATATATATAAATATATATATATAGATAGTATATACAAAAGTTTGCCTTTATTTGATTTCATAAGTACGTTAATTATGCAATATTATTAGTATAATATTAGTTATTGCCATATTTTTTTATTTATTTAGTTATTAATGCATATATTACGGAGTTGTCAACCATTATTCAATAGTAGAATTTGCAATAAGTAAACAGAAACTAATTACACCGAAGATAATTGACATTGAGATGCAAATCTTAAATGCCTGGAAATTATTACCAGATTGAATTGATACTCCATTATTTTTTTCCTTCATAAAGATTACTATTGATGTGACTAAGTTTAATGCTGCTACGAGCGAACATATTAATTCTGTTGTAGTATACATATTTGAAATATTTGTTGTATGATAAATTTAATTTTTTAAGTTAATTATATGGGGAGATGAGGTGATGGAATGCTTACACTCATTTGTGTAACAGATGCGATATCGATATAAAAGATTTATTCGAGTTGATGATCTAAGAACAGTTTATCATATGCGTATGAACGGCTGTTATAAAGATATGATTATTAGCTATCAGTAGATACTCACATCTACGAATGGTTAATATTAATAAAGAAATAAAGTAATAAGTCTAACAAAAAAAAGTGTGCAGTTATATTTTTTCTGTACCCACGTTTAATTAGTTCTATATATAACTAAATGCAACCTTTGTTAAACATGCGGCATAGCCGAATGAAGTTATGAGCTCAACTTCTACAAGGGTAAACTGAACATATTGAGCACACTGGTACTGAATACAGATAAGAGTTAACTAATACTACTTTAATAGTATTATAGATGTATTTAACAGTTATTGGCAGATGTAGTGATGGTAACATTGACTGATTGACCACCCGAACAAGCCTTAGATTCGCTTATTTTGTGTATCTTCTCGTTTATACAAATTAGTAGGTATTGTTTAGATCAAAAAACTAACTGCCAAGAAAGGACACATCCAATGTATGTATCCATTCATCTCCTAATTACCCAATTGTGACTAATGTCTTGTGACTTCTTACTATTAGCTTACTCCACTTCTGAATTATACTTGGCATTTAAGGTTTAAAGGTTTTAACTAAAAGAGTTTTTATACGAAATCCAGCACGTGACCAATTTTCTCTTTCCAACTGAAAAAAATAAAAATTGTAGCTTTAGATGAGAAGAGATGGGGTTTAGAGACGTAACCATTGGATAAACTATAGAGACCATGGCACCTCCAGCAGCTCATAAGAAAGCTAACAGAAGAAGGAAGAAGAGAAGAACAGAAGATTTTTCTTCTGACTCCGATAGTGATAGCGATAGAGATTCAACCTCTATTACCAATGATAATAATCAAGACCATGATTCAATAACAATAGAGAATAATAATAATAATAATAATATTAATGACAATAATGACATAGATATAGATATAGACATAGACATAGATTCAGATTCGGAGACGAAAACAGGAAATGTCCCAGATCCATTAACCCCTCATATTCATAAACAATTAAATGCCATTAAATTAACGACTAATCAATTATCAACTAGTAATTCAGCCACTACATCTATACCAAAGGGTACTAACATTTCATCTATTAAACAACAAATTGATGAAGATAAAGCCCAATTAAATACTCAATATTTACGATTAATGACTCAAGAATTCTCTCAAGATTTAGATGAATTAAGAAAGAAGCCTGATTTTAGTGATAAATCATTAGTTATATTAGCCAAAACACTTCAACAAGGAGGAAATTTATTTGATAAAAGTGTTATAGACGAGTTGTTAAGTAAGTAATAGGTTTAACTAATCATAATGTACATTAATAAATAATAATAATATATAAATTAAAGTAATAACAGCTTTTAGTGTAGTTGACTAGTCAATTTAGCCGTATATCCCATTCTATGCACGTGACTGACCAAAGGACAAAAAAGACGACAGTTCACAAACTCGTGGGAAAAAAAAAAGCTTATGTACGTAATTTAGTGCAGAACTAAAAGGGGGGTTTATTATTATACCACTTAACTGACCATATAAAAGTTTAACGTGTCAGGCAGTTGAAGTTAAGCTCAAAATAGATGTATTAATATATATAAACCTTATTATAGAATTAGGAAATAAATTTTTATTATAATCTATATATCGTACAGTACTCCATAGAATAATTAATATCAACCCTTCCCCCCACATCATATACCTTTTAGTATTTAAATTGCCATACATTTACTTTTTAGCAATCGTCAAGTCACCACTCACACTCAGACTAATTCAAGCATTGTGCATACTATTAGCCAGCTTGGTTTGTCACACCACAGTTTGATTGCTATTCAACTAGACATCCTATGAGTGAAAATAATAATAATAACCAATTACCCCCAAGTTTGGGTCCAGACTTGGAAGTTGGTCCATCAACTCTTCCACCTGGACGAAATGATTATGACAACGAAAATGAAAATGAAAATGAAAATGCAAATGCAAATGCAAATGTAAATGCAAATGAAAATGAAAATGAAGATGAAAATGATAATGTTGAAGGTACGGAAATAGAAGAAATACCAACCGAAGTATCTCCATTATTAGTTTCTACCTCACATATTAGTAATAATGATCGTAGACATTATGATGATGATGAAAGTGATAGACAAAGTGTACTCATGAAAATGGCTAAACGACCATTTTGGTGGTTTGCCGTATTGGGAGTACTTGCTTTTATTGTATTTGAATTATCATTTCTCCCTCGAACTTCCTTAAGTAGAGATTATAGAAGATGGAATGGATTAAAATTAACAAAGTCAGATGTTAAAAGACATTTCTTATTATTTCTGGGAATTGGTAAAAGTCATAACTCACTCACAACTGAAGAATATATAAATAATTGGTTAACCAATTTCACAGCCATAAATGAAAAGCAACTGACTAATCTTATAAGTGCTGAAAATATCGAACTTGTATCATTTGTTCAGAAACATTTCAAGAATTTTGGTTTTAAAGTTCAAACATTGAATTACGAATTACCTAGTACTTATGAAAGATCAGTTGATTCATCACTTAAATTACTAGACAATAAGGGGAATCTCATTTATGAAGCAAATTTACAAGAATCAAAATCATTCACTACCCCTTCATATTATATTTGGGGGATTAATGGATCTGTACAAGCAGATTACGTATTTGTAAATGAGGGAACTCTTGCAGACTATAACTTGGTGAGATCTCACGGGATAGAAATTAAGAACAAAATTGTCATCACAAAGACAAATTGGTTGAATAAGAACTTGACGATTAACGAAAAGATTCAGATTGCTGAGAGATTCGAAGCAGCAGGATTCATCAATTATTATGATTTCAAATCCATCATCAATAATAATAAAGAAATCGAATTGAAAGAATTAAATCTGGTTATTTCTCGAGGTAATAGTGGTAATTTTGTAGATATAAGTCCTAATCAAATCATCTTTAATTGGGTCAAGCCACAAATCCCTGCTATTCCAATTAGTTTCAAATCCATTAAACCAATTTTAGATACATTTCAAAATGATAAAAAATCCGCTGGTATATTTAATGATTGGGATTATTATCCTTCTAGACTTGATAATTCTATTAAATTACAATTATTAACAAATTTCGAATCAAGTTTAAAATCTAGTCCAAGAAAGTTAACTAATATTATTGCATCAATTAAAGGAGTTTTAAATGATGGAGATATTGTAATTGGAGCTCGACGTGATTCTACTACTTCTTCAAACCCCTTATCAAATCATGCTATATTACTTGAGATAATGCGTAATTATCAACGATTAGTTAATATGGGTTGGAAACCTTTAAGAAATATAAAATTTGTTTCATGGGATGGATCTAATTCAGGTTCATTAGGTACTCATTTATTTACTAATGATACTGATCATTTTAATACAAAAAGATCTATTCTTGCCTATATAAATATCGATGGAGATGCTGTTACTGGTAGTAAATTTCATATTGATTCTAATCCATTTTTTAATCATATATTAAAAAAGACTTCAAAATATATCCCAATACCTAAGAGTAGTACTCCATTTAAAACTTTAACTGATGAAATTTATTATGATAAAAGTATTGAAGATGATGAAGATGATACTGATGAAGAAGGGGATGATAATGATGATAATGATCTTTATGATGATGATGGAGAGTCTTATACTACATTACATAGATATTGGTCAAAACAAGATAATAATAGTATAAATGATATACTTGGTAGAAATTTAATAGATTCAGATAGTCTTATCTTTCAAAATCATTTAAGTACTCCCATCATTAATTTAAGATTTGAAAATGATGTTAAACGTGATTCATCATTATATGTTCCAAATTCCAATTATTATTCATATGAATGGTTAATTAAACGTCAAATTGATGAAGATTTATTACTTCATGGACTGTTAATTCGTTATATTGGATTACTTGCCATAACCTTATCAGAACATGAAGTGGTTGATTATCGAACAAGGTATTATTCTCATACAATTAATAATTCATTTGAAAATTTCTTGAATGAAAATAGAGAAATTTTAAATTCTTGGGCCAATAAAAACGTTTCAACATATTTAATTAATAAATCCAATATCTTTAAGGACTTTAAAAATGAGTTTGATAAAGATATTGAAGTTTTAACATTAAGTAACTTAATTAGTCAATTCCAATCACATCTCACTGATTTATTTGAAATATCATTGGATTTTGATAAAAGAAATAAATTAGTTCAAGATGGGTTAACAAGGGATTATCCATGGTATAAGTTTTATAAAAAAGTTCAACATTTCGCCGAGTTTAAATTATCAAATTATATTTTATTACATTTAGAGAAAAATCGTCAATTAAACAATAATGATTATCAATATCTTAATTTATCTAATCAGTATTATTTTAATCATGCATTATATGGGATTCCTAAATTTAACGTGAATTCTACAACAGATATTTTAAATAATAGATTTAAACTTAGTACTTTTACTCATCTTCATGAGGCTGTATTAGATGATGATTTTGAAAATACTGTTAAGTGGTTAGTGATTATTTACGATAAACTTAAGTTTTAATGGCGACTTTATTATTATTATTATTATTATTATTATTCTTATTATTATTCTTATATTACTTTTTATAGGTTTCAGTTCTCTTCTTTATTCACTTCTTCTTATTCCATTTTCTGTCTAGATCTCTTTTCGACTACTACTATATAGTTAAGTATAAGTCACTTCGGGTTGTACTAGTCGTTTTAGTAAAACTGCAAAAAAATTGAACATCGCGTTCCCCCACCATTTTGCCTATTTGGGATTATGAGGTATAGAATATTTTACAGCCAACTTTGAACATATCACTACCACATATTCCACCAATTAACTATCAAATATGGATGGTACAACTGTCAAATCGGTACATACTAACCATCACCAACTGGTAGGTTTACAAACTGCCTGGCTTCTAGCCACTTTAGGTTCAAAAGTTGGATCTAGGAAAGTTCTTAAGTCTGATATTGTAAGTCTCTCTATTCCTCGACTTTGTCAAGAATTACTTGAAAGTCATAGTAATAATAATGGTAATGGTAATGGTAATGTTAATAATTCTACTCAAACTAATCGAATTCGTTATTCATCTAATATTTTATATGGAATCTCCATTGCCTATAAATCAAAAGTTAATTACTTCTTACAAGATATAGGATTTATGAAGAATCAATTAAGTAGAGAGTTTCTGATGTTTAAATTATCCAATTCTCATTCTCTTATGAATCCCTTAACTATTGAAGATTGGTCAAATAATAATAATAATAATACTAAGGGAAATCATGCTCTGGTATTCTTACCCAATGATCCTACTTTTAATATCAATTCAGATTTGGTCCCTTTAATAGATTTCATGTTTGAAGAAGAAGAAATAAATGCTAGTGTAAAGAGAAGGAAATTGGATATTAAGAGTTTAGATCAAGATTATTTCCCTGATTCGATATCTCTAAACCAAACCCATTATGATAATACATTGACTCAGAATTCCCTTTTCACTTCATTTAATAATCAGACTTCGATAACTCATGATGAAATGCTTGAAGGTTTCTTAGATAGAAGTCTTGACCTAAGTACTGCTAGTAACTCTGCAAATACCAGTATGAACTCAGATATTAATCTAGAATTTAATGAAGAGGGTCAGTTGATCGATATGAATGTAAATAAAGAAGGGAATGCTCAACCAGTAACAGAGCCAAACTATGGAGAATTAATTGATAATTTTGATCTTGAACCGATTCTAGAAAATGTCGATGATGATATTGATAACAGTAAATATCAAGAGAGTAGAAGTATTAGCAACGATGAAGATTTCGGTCTTTCAAACTCAACAGAAGGTATTGGAGCTCAATTACAAGGTTTGGAACTAAATATTTCTCAATCCAAAAGAGTAAAAATATCTAGAGGTAAGAAACATAAGCTAGTTATTGATCCGATTGATGATTTGACGATTTCTACTGACATAATTCTTCAATATGTCAATAATTATGAAATCAATATGGCAAATCAGATCAATAAACCAAATTTAGACCATAAATTACTTTTGGCTATCTGGACACAGATCAATGAAGAGCTTACATCTCGTTACATTAATGCTGCTAGTAGAATCACCCTTAGTAAGACTTTATTGTCTATTTTTAGGGCTGATGATTTTACAAATGATCCCAGATCAAATCTGTTTAATTCTATGATTAAAGAGATATCCAACTATAATAAAGTAGATAATTTGGTTTCACTTCATGATTTAGATGATGAAATTGGGAGAAATATCGCAGCAAGAAGAAGAGATGAGAATGATCCTGATTCACCATTAGAAGATCAAGATTTACTAGGTGATATAGAATTTACTTCAGGTGATTATGAAGAAGAGCAACGTGCTGATAATTCTACCGATGTGTTTGATCTATCATTCGGGAGTAAAGATACATACATTAGAAGCAGCAGTAGAGCTGGAAGTAATGAAGAATTAGAAGAATTAGATGATGAAAATGAGTTTATATTGAATATGAATCAATTGGTTAAGTTCTTAGATTTATTGAAATCTAGGTGTCAAAAATGGGGAGTCACATTTAATCTGAGTGACTACAATTTCAATAATTTAGGATCTCATAGTATAATTTCAAATCATGATTCTAACTCCGAAACACAAGAATTAACTAAAATTAAATTTAGTGATTTTATTCCAAATATTGAAACTGCTAGAGATTTAGAAGAGAGTTCAGTTACTAGAAAATTGGTGGCTAATTCATTTTCCATGATTCTTACACTAGCCACTAGAAATGTCATAGGTATATCTTTAAACGAGAGTAATGACGAAATAGATCATGAAAATAAAGTTACCTCCGGAAAGTCAATTGAATTGGTTGTAAACTGTAATTAGTTGCTGCCAACTGCTTCAAAATATTTTTGCTATTGCTCATATATTTTTTGCAAGTTATGTGATATGAAATTCGCAATTTTTTTAGTATTTAGATAAGGGAAGGAAGAATTTTAATACAGTATTTATTAAAACATTTTGGCTATCTAAACCAAAACTACAAATGCTAAGGTGATAGTAACTGTCAAATAAAATTGAAAGTAGGGGATTTAAACAGAAATTTTAGTTAGTTACTTTTCATCTGAAATAATATATACTAATACAATGTTATAAATAAAGGAAACAATTGGCAGGTGAATAAATTTAAGCAATAACAGTAAAGAATGAAATGGAAATTGAATACAATTAGTTTAAGCTTGTTCGTCATGCTTAGCAAATTCTTCTGCGGCAGCATCTTCCTCTTCAACAGGAACTTCATCATCTTCTTCGTATTCTTGATGTAAAGATAAAGTTGGCTTAACAGCAGCAGATTCTAAAGTCCAAGAACTTAAAGCATTTTCAGCGTCAATAATGATTTGCTTAGAGGCTTCATAACCATCATAAGCTGGTCTAGTTTCACCTGGAGTAACAGCAGAATCATCTAATAATTCTAATAATGCCTTACCGTAACCAGCAATTAAAGCGTATTTTTCAGCCAATTCTCTAGTAGCATCAAATTGATAATTGAAAGCAGCCTTTAATTGTTCTCTAGTAATATTAGATAATTGAGCTTCAGCAACTAAAGATTCAGCTTCAGCTCTAACCAATTCCTGTTCTAAAACTGGAATTTTTGGAGATTGAGGATCCTTATATTTCAAATGAGCAATTTCATCAGTAATCTTTTGTTTTCTATCTCTTGATGGTTGAACAGAAGCTTCAATATTTCTAATTGACTTTAAAGTGATTCTATATTGATCATATTTATCAATATATTGATCTTCTAATTCACCAATTTCATAAAGTAAAACCCCTAATTTATCAGTAACATCAGAAACATCATCATCATTTTCTTCACCCCAAGCACTTAATTGTTTAGCAACATCTCTTCTTTCTCTTGCAGTCAATTCAATAGCTCTCATAACATTCTTTTCAATTTTAACAAATTGAGCTAATTTTCTTGATAATTCAGGACCAGTTGAACCAGCAACAGTTTTTCTAATTGAAGAAGAAAGAGAACCAGAACCAAAGAATTTAGATTTAGTAGTGGATGGTGGAGGTGGGGGAGATTGCAATTGAGCTGCAGTTGGAGCCTTTTGAGATCTTAAAGAATAAGTTCTGTGCATTTTACTAATTTATAAATTTATAAGTTAATATCTATATAGTATTTAATAATTAACCTAATCTAATAATTCCAGGAATTATACTGAAATTTATATCGTCCAGATGGGCCCCGTCCCACCTTCGAATAATTCAAAAGGGGGATGGGTGATGAACGACATTTTGTGTCACTTTTTCATCACCACACTTAATGTTTCTGCTTGGGGCCTTTGCCTCTCTTTCCTAATTGGGCTTCGGTCGCTGTTTTTGTTCATTTCCGCTCATTCTTTTTTTTCTCTTTCTTTTTCTTATTTTATTTTCTATCTAAAGTTGCTAACTATTAATTTATCTAATTAGGAAATATAAAAGCAAGCCAGCTTAACTAGTACCGAGCTATCTTTTCTTCTGATTAAAGAGTCGGTTTACTATACCAGAACATATAGACTATATATAGAGTAATTCAATCACACTACTTACAACTTCTGCTCCTACCCCTGTAACTCAATTGTGTCTGTTTACTAATAAATGCATCAATTGATCAATCCCTATTTCATTTCAACCTTTTTAAGGTTTCAGTGCAGGTCAGTCATGACTTGACAGGGCGTGCGCCCACCAAAGAAACTTTATCATCATACTTAAAGCGCTTTTTCTCTTTTCTACCTACACAATATGACGTCATGATACTCTTATGACAACTAATACATATTATTATAATGCTTATAATTTGGATGCTAATTCCAATCATGATAACTTAGTTACCCTTAAATGATCGGAACGAGAATCGAATAGTTGGAATAAATAATAACATGATCTAATTACATTTCAAACATCATAATGCTTATTCGTATGTACGATTTAACTATAGCCACACTATTTGTACATTTTCGGTAATGTAAGAAAGTTACGGCGAATGCTTTTGCACCCTTCTTTGCATATTCTTTTTTTTTAACTAACTTGTTCACATCCTACTTATACATTAGTCAAATTGAGATCAAGCATCAAGAACCAAAAGTCAATATATTCTCTTACTGAATGAGCTATTCCTATAATACACGTTTATTCAAAATTTTATATACCGCTATAAAAGACACTATTAATCTTCATGCCCTCTTTTAGTTGCAAATTTAATATCTCCTAAGATTCTGTAATAATCTTGTTCTAACGATTCGTAAGCTGTTTGTAATTTATCCTTTCTATTATTCTCATCTAAGGCTTCTAACCCTTCTTTATTCTTGTCATATAATCTCTTCTTAATAAACAACCTCACATCTTTTTTGGTATCCGTTCCAAGCTTATACTTTAATTTGTATAATAAAACTAATTCTAATAATCTAGAAAATTGTCTCTTTTCTAATTTTAGTTTTCTCTGAGTCTCTCTAATCCACTTAGAATCAATTTTACTTGATACTTCATCAAATTTCAAATTTTCATGTAATCGTATAAAATCTGAACGATCTCTTAAATCATCAAAACTTTCATTAGGATCTTCTACTACTATTTCAATAACATTAGAATTATTATACCAATTATTAAATAATCTAGAATAGAATTCACCTCCTAATCTTTGACCTTGATAAGTTGGTAATATTATGAATTGAGAAATCTTTAATCTGGTTTCGATACCTCCTTTGTCAAACTTTTCAAATCCAGGATATTTCCAATAGTTATAAACAGTAGTGAATCCCACAATAGAAGGCTCATCATCGGTAGTATTATAAAGAACATAAACATCCCATAATTCATCCTTAGCATCAATATAAGACCCTGCTTCGATAAATAATAAGACTAGTATTTGTAATCTCTTATGTAACTCAAGTCCTGCTTCATCTTTTAAATTAATTTTGTAAATATCAAAAGTATTCAATTCACCTTCGACTTCTTTTTCGAATGTTTCAACATACTCTCCAGGAATCTTGTAATCTTTCTTTTCTTCATTTATAGAATCCACCCATTTAACTTCATCTTTGAATATAGTAGACTCAGGTAAAAATTTATCTATAGTTTTTTTTATATCAATAATTTCAGGATCATCTAATTTTTCCGCATACTTAATATTCAAAAATGGATAAAATGTATAATGATCAAAACATAAAAAGATTACTAAATCCTTATATCCATAGATTGTTTCCGAATCTCCAAAGATAGGATAGGTAAATTCTGGTTGGAAATTTACTGCACCTTCCGCGTTGGTTACAAATAATTTCAATGCTTCACTAGATGAACTAGTCCAAAGCTCGGGTTGTAAAGATGCTGCTGTCAATGCTGCACTACTCATACTATTGTTGTGAGGTACGTTACGATTCTATTGATCAAATACTATTAGCACCTGGGTTTTTCATCAAAATTACTTTTTGTCTGGTTTGAAAAATGACGCGTTCTACAAAATGTCGTGGCACTATACAGGACTGACAAATAAATTAAGCGAAACAGTTTAGATGCAAAAAAAAATGGTACTGCAAAGGCGGGGATTCATCTAGGTAGGGAGAATAACTACAAAGGTATTGAAATAAAACAAAATGTATAATCAACTTTTAGAATAATCTAATTGAACTTCAAGATGTAGTGGCTATAAAAATCACTGAAATAGTCTTTTTTTTTCCTTTTATTTTTTGTTGTTGAAGAATCACAGAAACATAATAAAATAGGTAACGAGAAAGAATTAAAAAAAGCTTTAATAAGAGCTATGATAGCAAGAAAGAATGCTGCCTAAGAACTTAGATTTGACAATTAATGTAGTCATCTGAGTAGAAGTTGGAAAGAACACAGAAGTTACCATTGTAACAAGCCTTAGAAACTTCAGTACCGTTCTTACAGTTAGGAGTACCTGGGGAGTATCTGTATTGAAGATCGGCATATAATTGGTTAAATTCAACATCGGATTGATTGGCAACCTTTTGTAAGACGTAATCATTCCAGAAAGTAGCATTCAATGGAGAACTGAGTGGCCAGGTACTGTTTGGATCATAAAGATCTCTGGCAGAATATTCAAAGTTCCAGTTTGGTTCGGCACCACTGTTAGTGAAAGTTTCATTCAATTTGGTGTAGTAGTTATAAGAGTTCATGATGTTGAATGATTCATTTTCAACTTCGTAGTATCTCCAGGATGGGTTTAAGTATTGGATAGAAGTAACAGATTGTAAAACCCAAGCCATGTTAACAATATCAGCAGCAGCAGTATCACCACTGGTAGTGTTAGAAGAGTGAAGAATGTGGAATTGATCTTGATGGGTGTGACCGTAGAAAATGTTGGCAATAGTATATGGAGAGAATCTTTCAACAATTTGACCGAAGATTCTAGATTGTAATGGTAAGGCATCAGAATCACCATTTGGAATATGGGCCATAATCCAGACTCTTTGTCCAATTTCTTCACTAGCAACTAATTCATCAATTAAAAATTGCCATTGTCCAAATAAATCACCATTAGTTGAAAGATCAATATAAGACCATAAGTTCTTTTGGTAATAAGCATTGGAGTTTAAGGAAATAACCTTTAAACCTCTTGGGGTAACATATGAAAAACCAGAGTAATGTTCGTTAAGAGTACTAACATTAGTACCAGCTAACCAACCAAGTTGGTTCCATAAGTTATTCATTAAGACTTCATTCCAATTATAAGAATTGTTAGCGTCAAAGTGTAATGGAGCAAGTTGACCATAAGGGAAGGTATCATGGTTACCTAAAGTTGGGAAAACTGGGATATCTTTTAAGTAATGCTTCATAATATTGAAAGAAATGATTTCTTCATCTTTAGTCATTTGTGGGTCACAGTTTAAAAGATCGTGAGAGACCAAGTCACCAGTGAAAACAACAAATTCAAAATCTTTATCAGCGTGAGCTTGACTGACATACTTCATGGTATTGTTGAACAATAATTCAGGAATATCACAAAGATAACCACCAAATGAAGTGGCAGGGAGACTTTCGAAATTCCAACCACGGTGAGCTGGGAAATCATAGTATTCACCAGTGTGGTAATTATCATTTTCATCATAGTAAGCATCAGGATAAAATGAAATACCATAGTTTTTGTTGTTTGGATCAAGAGAGGTGTAGTAATCGGTAAAGTTATAATTTTTACCTGGTAAAGTACCAGCAACAGAGGTCTTCAAACAACATGGAGTTGAGGTACAGTTACTTTCAGTACCAACTTGATAATATTGTTGAAGATGGAAATCAGTAATATGAAGAACATTAAATCTTTCTGTGTTGTTTGTATAAGCAGGTTCAACGCTATATTCTGGTTTCTTAGCAGGATACCAGGTATTAACACCATATAATTCATTAACATCGGGAGTTTCAGGTAAGTCACAAGTACTACCCTTAAAGTAACAGTAATAAGTTAAATCCAAATCACTTGAGACATTAAAGTTTTTCAATAAGTGTAAGAAATCATTATCGTAGAAATTAACACTACCAACAGATGTAACACCAGAAGTACTACTAGTATTGAAATTTTCATAATTATCAGAATTAGTAGTAACGAAGAAATCAGTATTATCACATTTAGATTCAGTATTGTTGTTAGAAACCAAACAGTATTTATAAAGTAATAAACTAACTAAATGAGATTGGTCTGGATATTCATTAAGTAAAGTTTGACCATACTTAATTTTATTCTTACAAGCATTACATTTTGTACCATTAAAGCTGGTTAAGTTAGTAATATGATCATTAATGAAATCAGTCTCAACATCAGATAAATCATTATAAATAGAATCAATTGGATTGGTAGTGGCTCTCTTATTTAATTTAGTAAGTTGATTTAAACCAGGAACAGTGTGACCAGCAGCAAGGGTCACAACTGATGAAAGGGCTAAAACAATAGTGGAAAATTTCATGGCTGTGAATTTTTCAGGTTGCGACTTAAGCCCAATTCTGTAAGGGGAAATACCAGGTAAAGAAGGATTAATGAGATAAACTAGTAAAACAAAAAAAATTTAGAAATTACAAGGATATATATTTTTCAATAGAGAGAGGAATTGAGTATCATTTATACAATTGTAGCAGATATTGATGGTTTGATAGTTGATGAAGAATGAAAAATTAGACTCCTTTAGACAAAATTTTTCAACCCTCCTCGGGGAGACAAATTAGGCAACCATACCCTATTTCCCGGTGATTGTTAACGAAACTACAATAGAGGGCTTACAAACCCAATTCTTTATTAGGAGAGATGTTGCGTTTTTCGGTTAGTATTGTAATTGTATTATAATTGTTACTATGTTATACACGTGTAGGTATTTTGATAAATGGTAGTGAAAAATGTTAAGTCAGTTTAGTGTCAGAATAATGAGCCGCTGCGGAATTAGTCTGTCGCACCAAATAATAATATATTTTTGAGGGGTGCCGGTGCCGTTGTTGCAGGAGGAATTAATGCTAAAATTTTTCAGTAATTAAGTTTAGGACAGTAGGGTGGGATCGTAAGTTTCAATTATACGGAACTAGTACCGGAGCTTACCAACTAGGATACCAACTTTCCTAACCGGTAAATTGTTTGATTAAGTGAAAAAATAAATAAATAAATCAATTAATCTCAATAATTGATCTGATTATCCATTGATTGTCAAAGTTGGTCGGTTTGAGTTTCAGGGAAAATTCTCTTCTTTTAGTCTTTGTGTTCTGTAGGAATCACTTCTATTGTATAGCATCGATTAAAGATGTCAAGTTGACCTGCCTCTGCTAAGCCGGGAGCTTATGATAAATTTCTTGTTATATTGTTATATAGATCAAGAAAATTTATAGGCTTTCAATCTTGCCTAATGGCTTATTGTTGTAGTAGAGAAGTAGTTAGATTTTAACTCCTTTCCAATTACGGTTAGTTCGTTGCGATGAAGGTTCAGTATCGCAACCCACGATTTCGCCCTAAAATTACCCTTTTTCTCAAAATAGGAGTATGATGTAAATTCCCGATTGGTTAACAACGTTGTGATTGTGCATAATTTGACCAGATGCATATCATTATTATGTAAAATACCACACACAAGAAAATATCAGTAACCTACAACTCCTGTAAGATTAGGTCAAGTTTGAAGTGAAATTTTACGAAAACTATTAATTGTTTGATTACCTGATAATAACTATAATTAGAATGAATAATTTTGTTTAGTTTAAACTGATATATCTATTGAATAAAGTACTGTTTATATATATGTTACATTTATATGATATAAATATAAATATATATATATAATTTAATTTATTGGGGAAAACACGTGAAGAAACAGGTGACCACATATCAGGTGACCACACACTTCCCAAAAGAGTCACCCAAATGATGAAATATAAGTCCATGTAAAGGTAGTACGGCTCAGCTGATATAAAAGTCTACTAACTACCAAACTTTTCTTATAAATGAGTCAGTAGTCATGTCGGCTAATACTAACTCGACAACGACTACCCCGCAGTTAGATGCTGGCAGGGATAGAGTGGCAGTACTTCAGCATGAGAATCCTTCATTATCATCTCAAGGTATGTCATTATCGCGAACTCCTACTAATGGTTCAACTCCAGGAGCTCCTATTAAGAAACAACATCTGAAAGTTAAAATACATAGTCGATCGAATTCTCATATGAAATTATCCACATCTACGGGTCCAAATAAAGGAGCTCGACCTCACTTGAATCGTTCTAAATCAACTGATGTTTTAATTAGAACTAAACTGGGTACTGTTTTAAAAAGAAATAATCGTTCATTTACTAAACTTGCAGGTTTACAACCTCTTACTAAAACTGTATCTAATCCAACCATTCGTTCTAATAAATCTACTGGATCTTTAAAGAATATGGGAGGAGCATTATTAACATCCAATAATCAACATTTAGTAGGATTAAAAACAAGTGGGAAGAAAGAAAAAGCTATATTACGATTGAATGATGATGAATTAAATAATGAAGAATATGAAGATGTAGCAGAAGATGAAGCCATAGATCCTGTACCTGAGAAATTCAATTTACATTCTAATTCAAGTACATCCATTAATGATAGTGATAGTAATGTCGATCATAATTCTACTCAAATTCATCCTCCATCTGAAAATTTAACTGATAATTCAACCAATGATATCAATCTTATAGATCATGATCATAATAACAACAACAACAATAACAACAATAATAATAACAATAATAATAATAATAATAAGAATATGAATAATCATAATAATCATAATAATCATAATAATCATAATAATCTTCATGTTGTATCATCCAATCGAAGTTCAACTGAGAATTTAGTAAATTCCAATAATCTATATAGTGGATCATTATTATTATCTCAATCAACAGGATTGATTAAGAAATTAGATCCTAAGGGTTCAAACATGTTATTAAATCAAAAATTAAAGTCTGGAGATACTGTTATTACTCATAGTAAAATTGATTCATCAGTAGATTCTGAATCAATTAGTGGAATATCATTTAATGCTCATGGTCATGAAGATCATAATTTGGCATTACCAGTTACAACTGCAAACAATGTAGTACCTAGTAATTCTTATCAACCAAATCAAACTATTTTTAATAATTTACAAAGAACTACGAATCAATATCTTAACTCTAAAAAAGTCCATTCAGAAGGTAATAGATCTACTAGTAATTCTATTAATAATAATAATAATTTTTCAAATTTCTTGGCTAATAATCAATTATCAACTTCATCAAATGATTCTAATGCTCAAAATATAGAAACTAGAACTCAACAAAGATTATGGTTACAACGAGAAAATTCATTAATGGATGTTTCAAATATTGATCCATCTAAATTATCTAATTTTTCTAATTTATCATTAAGTAATCTTATGTTTGCTAATTATCAAAATCAATCAGCACCTCCTTTAACTCCAGGTATTACTGGAGGTCCAACTTTAACTCAAACTACTAGTACAACTGCATTAACAACTCCACCAATAAATTCTAATGGAGATAGTACTACCAATATTAATGGATTATTAATGATGGTTCAAAATAGTACTTATCAAACATCTATTCAATCTAGAACTGAATTCGAAAGATTAAATAGAGAATATTTAAATGTTAGAAGACATTTGAATCCCGTCGGTGAATGTTTAAGTAGATTAGAGACATTATTGCAGAGTAAGAAAGATTTAAAAATAGTTAAAACAAGACAAAATAATTCTTCACCACTGACTATATCAGTGCATCAGAAATCTACTAATTCATTCAAGGAGTTTGCACCTTCCTATCAGGAAAAGGAAAATGAAACCAACGTTAAGTTGAATAAATTATGGCAAGAGGCTATATTAACTACTCTGTCGAATGGTAGTCATAGGCTGGGGTCAGGACAGGGTGTCAATCAGTTACAAAGACCGTCTAGTGGTAGAATGAATAGTTTGAATCAGACACAGAATCCACAACCGACAACCCGAGCTGTGAAATTGGCAGCTGCCCAGGCACAAGCTCAGGCCCATGCTCAAGCACAGGCACAAGCTCAGGCCCATGCTCAAGCACAGGCACAAGCACAAGCACAGGCACAAGCACAAGCACAGGCACAAGCACAAGCCCAAGCACAAGCACAGGCACAGGCACAAGCACAGGCACAGGCACAAGCACAAGCCCAAGCACAAACCACTACACGCACATAGCTACATAGCAGACGTATATAGACATAGTTCAGCAAACGTCATTGAACAAAACTCGTAATTAAAGATATCTATTGAATATTTACATGAAACGAATATATATTATACAGTATGGGACAAGACATTCATAGCATATTCAACCTTGTCTTTGCTTATGCTTACCGTTAGATTTACAGTACACATATACTCTTCCCTTTCTTCTGACCATATAACAATCTTTACAAAACTTTTTCACAGAAGTTCTAACTTTGAAACCTCTAGCTTGAGTTAACATACCTGGCATGGACATGATAGATACTGGTTTGAAGAGTGTAGCCATGGACATTCCCCATACGGGTCTGGCAAACACTTGTCTCTTTAATATGGATAAGCCTGGAAGCATGGTAATTCTATAGTAGTACAGTGACAGTGACAGTGACAGTGAATTTATAGTAACAGTAACAGAGTATTACAGTACAGTACAGAAATAGGTTCTAACAGTGACAGTAACTAACAGTGACAGTAACTAACAGTGACAGTAACTAACAGTAACAGTAAAGTGATAGTGCACTACAGTGGGCAGTGAAAAATTTAATGCTGACATAAGCAGCGCGCAGTCCTCGATTCGACAACTCACCCAAAACATTAAATCTACACGTACTCAGCACTAGTGCCAACTAATAGTACAGTAAAGTATAGTTAATATTATTAATTATTAAGTAATCCACTTACTTAATTGAGTAATCAATAAGTTAACAACTATCATGTCAACTCAGACATATAAAAAGCAAGATGCTTATGCCAGTACTTCGGGACTTCCCGATAAAATGGCCATTTTTCAAGAATGTCTTCAACAATTTAATGCATCACCAGTTAATGCAAAGAAGTGTCGACAATTATTAGCTAAATTATTAAGATTAATTTATTATGGAGAATCCTTCCCATCTCAAGAATCTACAACGCTTTTCTTTTCAATTTCTAAATTATTTCAACATAAAGATCTGTCATTAAGACAATTAGTTTATTTAACTATTAAAGAATTATCTTCAACTTCTGATGATATTTTAATGGTAACTTCATCAATTATGAGAGATATTCAAGGAGGTGATATTATTTATAAACCTAATGCTATTAGAACCTTATCTAAAGTATTAGATTCAACTACAGTTAATGCAGCTGAAAGATTATTTAAAAATGCTATTGTTGATAAAAATCCAGTAATCTCTTCTGCTGCATTAATTTCATCTTATAATTTATTACCAAATGCAAAAGATGTTGTAAAAAGATTTACTAATGAAACTTTAGAAAGTATTCAATCTCATAAACAATTTCCAAGTAATCAATTTCAATTACATGAATTTTATGGAAGTTCAACTTCAAAATTACCTACAACATCTTATATGTATCAATATCATGCATTAGGTTTATTATATCATTTAAGAAATCATGATAAAATGGCTCTTATGAAATTAATTACTACATTATCTGAAGGTTCAGCTTTAAAGAATTCTTTATCAATTATTCAATTAATTAGATATATTAATAAAATTTTATTAGATGATGAATCATTAATTATTCATTTATATCCAATTTTAGCTGGATTTTTAAAACATAAATCAGATATGGTTGAATTAGAAGCCAGTAAAACTTTAGTTAGTTTACAACATTTAATTAAAGATGATCAATTTATGTCAATTATTACAACTTTACAAAAATTATTAGGAGTTCCAAGAACGGCTACAAGATTTGCAGCTATTAGATTAATTAATAAAATTTCAACTAAACATCCAGAAAAAATTATTGTTGTAACTGCTGAATTAGAAGAATTAATTAATGATGCTAATAGATCTATTTCAACTTTAGCTATTACAACTTTATTAAAAACCATGGGAGCTGGTACCATTGATAGTGGATCTGTTGGTGGAGAAAGTGTTGATAGATTAATTTCTAAAATGACTTCATTAATGGATGAAATTACTGAAGATTTTAAAATTGTTATTATTGAAGCCATTGAAAATTTAGCCCTTAAATTCCCTGCTAAACATAAAAAATTAGTATCATTTTTAACTGATCTTCTTAGAGATGATGGAACTTTACCATTAAAAACAAGTATTGTTGATGCATTATTTGATTTAATTAAATTTTTACCTGATGCTGGTGCAAAACAATTAATTTTAATGAATTTATGTGAATTTATTGAAGATTGTGAATTTACTGAATTATCAGTTCGTATTTTACATTTATTAGGTGAAGAAGGTCCTCATACTTCTAATCCATCTTATTATATTAGACATATATATAATAGATTAGTATTAGAAAATTCCATTGTTAGATCATCAGCCGTGATTTCATTAGCAAAATTTGCTGCTATTTGTGGAGGAGAAATATCAAAAAATATTCAAATTTTATTAAGTAGATGTTTAAATGATATTGATGATGAAGTTAGAGATAGAGCAGCTTTATCATTAAAATTTATTGGAGGAAATCATAAAAATTTAATTGTTAATGAATCAAAATATGATTTAAGTGCTTTAGAAAATAAATTAACTCATTATTTAAATGATGAAAGTAATTTTATTAATAAATTTGATATTAGTGAAATTCCAATTATAAGTAATGAAGAATTAAAATCTATTGAATATAATAGAAAGATTAATAGATTAGATTCTTCAACCACTGATTCAGCCGATATAACTGAAACAATTGATAAGAGTAAAGATAATGATAAATCTATTGGAGATAGTGTTTCAAATGATTTATTAAAACAACAAGAATATGCTCAAGAATTATCAACAATTCCCGAATTTTCTAATTATGGTAAATTATCAAAATCAACTATTACTCCAATTTATTTAACTGAAAAGGAAAATGAATTTGTAGTTACTGTGGTTAAACATTTCTTTATTGAATCAAAAAAATTGGTATTACAATATAATATAACTAATACTTTACCTAGATCAGTATTACAAGATATTTCAGTTATTGCTCAACCTGATAATGAATTATATGAAGAAGATTTTATAATTCCAATTAATGAATTAAAACCTGATCAAAATGGTATAGTATATGTTTCATTTAGTACTCCAACTATTGAAGATGGAGATATTCTTGTGGCATTTGGTAATACCGTAGCTTATACTAATAAAGATATTATTGATGAAGATGGTAATGTTGATCCTCGTGATGATGGATGGTCTGATGAATATCAAATTGATGATTTAGAAGTTAGTGCCGGAGATTTTGTAACTCCATTATATAATTCTAATTTTACTGCATTATTTGATCAATTAGATAATTATGAAACTTCTGTTGTTACAATATCAGGAACTGATACTTTAGAAAATGCCGTAACAAAATTAAGAAATTCATTAAATTTATTACCATTAGATGGATCAGATTATGTTCCAAGTGATTCGACATCTCATATATTAAAATTACTTGGTAAAGATGTTTGGGGTGGTAAAGTTGTAGTACTGGCTCGTTTAGCAGTAACTGGTGGTAAAGTTGTTGCCAAACTTGAAGCAAAGTCTGAGACTGAAACTTTTAGTAGTATTATAACTGGAGGTGCCTACTAATTATTAAGTATTAAGTATTAACTATAAGTTGTTTATAAGTTGTTTATATGTTTTCTTTCTTTCTTTCTTTAATAAAAGCCATTTATATTTATATTAACTATGCATGCATTATATATATTATATATATTATTATTGTTATTATTATTATACAGAGAATTGAACGTCATACTTTAGTAACTTGTTTGCTTTTCATCTGTTTAAGAAGAAACCCCCCTGAAAAATAAAATACTAAAAATGCAGCAAATACTATAAACACAAATATCCATGCTGCCGCTAAATTATTAGCTTTTGAAACAGTTGGACAAGCATGATGAGATCGAATTTCAAAATAATAACTACAATCATTTGATGATCCAACATAAGATATTGAAGCTTTGGCCATCATTTCTCGATCACATGTAAATGTTAATATGGTAGATTTTCTTAATCGTTCACCAGTTTCAGTATCCATTAATTTATTACAATAAGCACCATTTTCATAAGTTAAAGTTAATTTCTTACCTCTAAATTTTGGAGTCGTTGAAAATTCTCCCATCGATACAAATTTATTAGTTTCATGATCTATATAATAAGCTCCAATTTTAGTTGCATTTACATTATCTTGAATTTCATTAGGATCATTTCTAGCTTTCTTAAATGGATTTGAACATACTCCAATAGTATAATTTTTCCCACTATCAAATCCTTTTGCATTCCAAGGTAATGCTTTACCTTCATTAGAAAATGCTGATAAACTTCTTAAATCTATGAATCCTTTATTAAGTGGATTAATTACTGTACAAGGATCTAAATCCAATTCTTCTTTAGATTTCTCCTTCTCCTTCTCCTTCTCTTTATCTTCATTGTTTTCTTCATGACTACCTTTAGATTTAAAATTATTTATATTTTTAACATCTGCAGGTTTTAGTACTTTATTATCTTTATTATTGTTATTATTGTTATTATTGTTAGTAGATCCTAATGATAAATGACTAAATGTATCTATAATATGACTCCCTGTTTGATACAACGCATCTTTTTCCTGCTTAGGTTCAATAAGTATGAGTAACACTATTACCACTAGTAAAACCAACGGTAATATCACTCTTCGATGTATTTTAATCATTATAAGTCTTCGTTAAAAGTGTAACTATTAACGGTAGTGAATTACTAACTGTCAATAATAAACTTTATCGGTTATCCCACTTTGTTCCTTATCCCATCACTGTCGGTTTAACTTTGGCATTTTGATTTTTTCTACTTCCGGGTGCGGGCTCAAATCGCGCGCGCTTGACATCCGTGCCGCTGCGCTTTATTCTAGGTCTTTTTTTTTTCTCTTCTTTTAATACCGACTACTAGTTGCTGAAAGAGGAAAGACCTACAGCAGTCATAGTTAAAGGTAGTAGCCCGGGAGTTGGAGTGGGTAAGTTTAATAATATCTTAAGAATATCATATTATATACATTATAAATATATAAATACAAACATACAATGGATAATTGGATAAGTTCCGGATTGACTACTCAGGCAGCGTTGCCGGGAGTCCTTGATGGATTACCTAAAATAGTCAGTTATTCTGATCCATTATTAAGTCAGATTATAGCTGCTAAGAAAGGTCTACAATTTACATTAGAATCAACATTACCGCATGATGAAGAGAATGAAGAAACTGTCTCTTCTAATTTTACTGATAAATCGTTAATTGAGTTGTTGATTGCGGCTTGTGATGGAGATCAAGTAACTCTTGAATCTATCTTAAGAACCAATCCACATTTGGTTAATCAATTATATCCTAATGAAACCAAGGGAATTAGTCCATTAATATATGCCATTTGTTTCAATAATTATGGAGTGGCAGATTCTTTATTATCTCATCATAATGCTGATCCTGATTTATATGATACCCTATTAAATTATACTCCATTAATGTGGGCTGTATATTTAAATCAATTAAATATGGTTAAATTATTATTAAATTATCAAGCTGATCCTTATTTAGATCCTAAAGGTACAGGAAAGGATGCAATTTCACTTGTTAATCCTGAAAATATTCAAATGTATGAATACTTTTCAATGCATAATTTATTAAATAAGGGCAAAGATGATAATGATAATGATAATAATGGACATAATTCATTTTATAATTCTACTTCATTTGGTGGTGAAGAAGAAAATGAAGTTGATGATTTAACTACCAAACTTAAAATGCAAAGAATTGGAGTTTATACTGAAGATAATATCGAAGAACAAAATACTAATGATGAAGATGATGAATATACTTTATCTAAAGATGCAATTATTCCATTATTAGATGAGTTTGATTATGAAAAATTATTACCTGAACAATTTTTAAAATTTACTGATAGTGATATTCCTTCATTACTTGATTATATATTTAATTTAAGAAGTTCTAAAATTCAATTTCAACATGATACAAAAATTCCTGCTGCTATATTATTTCAATTAATTCGATATTCTCATAATAAAGTTGATAGTATTGAATTAACTGAATTTTTATTTGAATGTTTTACTGCAAGATTAAGATCAGTAACTAATACAAAATCAGGAGCATTTAATATGGCACTTCAAGATTCAACCAATAATAATAATGGTAGTAGTAATTCATCTTCTTCAACTACTGCAACAGCAGTAGCAGGAGGTGCAGGAGATATTGTTTTATTAAGTTATTGGTTATCAGTTCTTCAATTTTTACATTTTTATTTTGCCAAGAGTGAAATATATAAAAGTTTCCCTAAATTTTTACAAGAAATTATAAATCTTGTACAATCTTTAATAGCTACTTTATCATTTTCAATTAATTCAAGATTAAATCTTTTAGTAGATGATTGTTTACTTAATTTTACAAATCTTGTTGATGTTTCAAATGTATTATATGCTAAAGATTGGAATTTATTTAAATCATCTAAGAAACATCCTAATACTTATGATGATATTTTTAATATGTTATATCCACCATCTCAAAATGAATTAATGAAACCTTCTCCAATTAGATATGTTCAAGTTCTTGGAGCTTTAGATTATGTATTAAAAGTACATAATGTAGCCAATTTATTTAAAGTTCAAGCCTTTTCTCAAGTATTTTATTATACTAATAGTACCATATTTAATCGAATAATAAGTCAATCTAAATATTGTACTAGATCCAAAGCTATTCAAATTCGTCTTAATATATCTGCAATTGAAGATTGGTTAAGATCTCATGATCTTCAAATCAAACGTCCTGAATTTTCAGGAAGTTTAAAGAAATTACTTAATGATTCATCAATTCAATTAGTTAATTTGGCTTTAGAAGATGAAGATGAAGATGAAGAGCAATCTAAAAAGAATCCTCATCATTTAGATTTCTTATATAATTCATTATATAATATTGGGAAGAAACAATTACAACCAACTATAGAATTATTACAATTCTTACAATGTTTATCACTGTTATCTGATGAAGAAAGTTTAATAACTACCATTAATCAATTTGATTCTTTAAATTATTATCAATTATATAAAATCATTCACAAATTATATAAATATGAAGTGGATGAACCTAAATTATCTAAGAAATTAGTTAATTTAATTAAGAGTTTAATGAATGAACAAGGAGAAAATCAAATATCTAGAAGTCATTTACATTATATGACTCAAAGTACTTTCCTTTCTAAAGAAGTCTATATATATTTAAACCCCAATTTTATATTTGGGGTTGCAATACCTTCTTTAACCGAATTAATTAATACTTTTGGAGCAGGAATTGGAGGGGTTAAAGTCTTGAGAGCTAAGAAATATCAACCAACCTTACCAGTTGCTATCTTGGATGATATTGAAGAAATCTTTCAGTCTAATAAAGATAGTAATTTCAATGATACTTATGATTACGATAAAGATGGTGATGGTGAAGATGGTAATGGTAATGGTAATGGTAATGGCGAAGAGGAGGATGACTATGATGAAGTTCATCATCATCATAAGTCTGACTTTAAAGGTGATGAATTGTTTAAACAAGTTCAACTCCCTAACTCTTTAATTCATAAAGAATGGAATTCGGGAGAGGATAATGCTGAGAATTTTGAAGAGAATCCCTGGTGATAACAGTCAAGTAAATAGTTAAGTACACAACCCACTAAAAGAATACTTTTATATTATTATATATATTAAATACAGATAGAAACTATATACATGATAGGGAATTTTGGGCATTGTACTAATGCTGTTCACAACTGAGTTATGAAATTATTATTCTTAATCTTGTCACGGTTAGATCTTCCCCATTCTCTTCTTTTCCAATTCAAAAGATCTGCTTGCTTTAACTTAGCATCAAGTTTTTCATTGTCCAACATTTCCCATAACCATTCAGGATATTCAGAATCTTCTAAAGCTACTGGTTCATCACCATTCTTTCTAACCTTTAAGTTTAGTACTGTTCCTGCTGCACAGGATGATTTGACTACTTGATTCTTCAAAATAGCCGATGACGTTATAGACCTGGCCCACGACCTGGTTATCTGCACACTTCTTAATTTGAACATATTTGTAGTTGTAGTTCTATGTACTTCCAATGTGCCCTTAACAATTTACTGACTAGTGAAAAATTGATGGTGTAAAAAAGTTGAGAGGAGAGGAGAATGTCGTGGATGTATAGTATGTATAGTATGTCGTGGAGGTTCCAAATCGAAGCTTTGGCGCGACATCCTCCCCGAAAAAAAATTTCAAGCTAATTGATGAAGCACTTCGAAGGAAAAGGAATCAGTCAAGCACTTACACTATAAGTAGTAAATTGTACTGAAAATGCCACCAAAGAAGAAGGGAGCTCAAGAAAAGCCTATTTTATTAGGTAGACCAGGTAATAACTTAAAATCTGGTATTGTTGGTTTAGCCAATGTTGGTAAATCAACATTTTTCCAAGCCATTACTAGATGTCCATTAGGTAATCCAGCTAATTATCCATTCGCAACCATTGAACCAGAAGAAGCAAGAGTTATTGTTCCATCTCCAAGATTTGATAAATTATGTGAATTATATAAACCTAAAAGTGAAGTTCCAGCTTATATGACTATTTATGATATTGCTGGTTTAACTAAAGGTGCTCATAAGGGTGAAGGTTTAGGTAATAATTTCTTAGCAAACATTAGAGCTGTTGATGCAATTTTTCAAGTTGTTCGTTCTTTTGATGATGCTGATATTATTCATATTAATGATGAAGTTAATCCAGTTGCTGATTTAGATATTATTCATGAAGAATTAAGATTAAAAGATATCGAATTCGCTGAAAAATATTTAGAAGGTATTGAAAAAATCACTAGAAGAGGTGGTCAATCTTTAGAAGTTAAACAAAAGAAGGAAGAAGCTGAATTAGTTAAAAAAATCATTCAATTATTAAAAGATGGTCATAGAATTGCCAATCAAACTTGGACTATGAAAGAAGTCGATGCTATTAATCAAATGTTCCTTTTAACTGCCAAGCCATGTATTTATTTAATTAACTTGAGTGAAAGAGATTACGTCAGAAAGAAGAATAAGCATTTATTAAAGATCAAAGAATGGGTTGATAAATATTCTCCAGGAGATTTAATCGTCCCAATCAGTGTTTCTTTAGAAGAAAAATTAGCTGGTATGGAAACTGATGAAGAAAGAGAAGCTTATTGTAAAGAAATTGGTGCTCAATCTGCTTTACCAAAGATTATTCTTGCCATGAGACAAAAATTAGATTTAATTTCTTTCTTTACTGGTGGTCCAGATGAAGTTAGAGAATGGACCATTAGAAGATGGTTTACTGCCCCACAAGCTGCTGGTACTATTCATACTGATTTGGAAAGAACTTTCATTTTAGCTCAAGTTATTAAGTATGAAGATTTAATTGAACTTGGTGATGAAAACAGTGTCAGATCTGCTGGTAAGTTATTGCAAAAGGGTAAAGATTATTTTGTTGAAGATGGTGATGTTATTTATGTTAAAGCTGCTGAAGGTAAGGCTCGTTAAGAATATTTATGTACATAATCACAATATAAGCAATTCCCATATATATATATACATATAGTAAATCTATGTAATTAGGTTTTGACCGTGAAATACCGAGTAGGTCGGGAAAAGTTCCCGCTGATGGGCCGAAATTCTGTCGCGTCCAGCCTCAGTAAATCATCTCTCCAGACTAGGCTCAATTATAGTACAGTCGTAAATGATGAGCTACATCTTCCTGCAATGTGGCCGATCTCTTAATTGCAGGTTCTATGTATGATATGAAATTTGAGTCTGCAGTCCAAATAGGTAAAACTGTACAGAGACTATTCTACAATATACATAGTTAAATTATAGCCAAGCTTATATAGCAATACTAGAGACTGTATGGTGTTGACATAGCTCTGCATACTGGAGCGTGGGCGCAAGCATAAGCATAAGCATAAGCGCAAGCACAAGACATAAGTCACGTTGCGAATACCATAACCACAATATGTATGGATGGGCTATGTGGAAAAGAAGATTGAAACAATAACCTGGTCAAATTAAGCCCTGTTTAACCCAAAACTTCTATTTACGGAAATTCGACGTACAGTAATATTTCCACTTCCATTCCATTTTCATTTCCATTTCCATTTCCATTTCAATTGCTGCCCATTTGCTTCCATTCATAATTTATATATTAACCTTCCCAACTTTTCTCTTGCTTGTTCAGTACTATTTCAAATTATCAGGTACACACAGTACTTAGTAGAGAATCACATCTAAACTATAATTCGCACGTTGAGTTCCGATCCGGTCAATCGGGGATCTAAAAAAAAAAAATTAGGAACACCGATAAAGCTTAAAAAGTATTTCACAGCTAAAGTTGTAGGGTGTAAAAGCAGAACAGATTAGGCCACACGCCAGGTAATAGTATAGAACAATCAGGAAGTGAATGTATGTACGCATGAGATTTACCTTGAAAAGATTGGTGACGTTAGGAGTTCTCCTTGTGGTGGGGAGTGGAATATTCTTTCTACTTAATGCCAGTTCCGGAAGTCTAACTCAACTCTATCAAGATATATTCATATTCGAACAATTTGATTACAATAGTTTTAAACAATCTGATTATATCATACGTCAACAGTTACATTACTCCAACTATTTATATTCCGGATATAATGAATTTGTTAAAAAGTATGGATCAACAAATAAGATTGCCAAGATTCCGTTGGAACACAAATGTCAAACGTTATTCGAACAATTCGATGCGCAATATCCCGAATGGATGTTTCCGAGATTTGAGAACCCCTTAGATCAATTTGATAAAAGTATTACTGATAAGTTACTGTTTTTTTCTAAAAGTAAGAGTGTCATACTTAAACAAGAAAGAGATCGAGAGATTCAAATCCGATATGAGGAACAAAAACGACAACTCGAACAAGAGATGGCCAATGCTAATGATAACGATAAGACTAATGACAATAATGACAAAAGTAACAATAAAGATAAGAACAATAAGGACATTAAACCCACTCCTAACCAGGAAGACAAGCCTCCTCGAGAATTTAGTTATCGAGAAAACATCACCATAAATAATCAATTCAAACAAAAAATACTAAGATCTAAAGAGATTGAACAGTCAATGGCCGATACAGTCACCCTCCTCAGATTATACAATAAATGTTACTTGGAAAATCGAGACACTAGAAGCAAGAATGCTAAGAATGAAGAATTGTTCAATAAATTCTCTCATAAATTCTTTAGTTACTTCACCAAGAATTTACCTACTTTTGAATTTCCAGCAGGTAAGGATCTTCCTACTAATGAATTTCCTATACTTAATCAAACCAATGGATTTCAACAACAAACCATAAAATTTGATAGTGAGAAGCAGAATATGATAGACTTTCTTCATGAAAATAGTAATGGTAGAGGAATTGTAATCTCAGCTGCCACTAGACATGCTAAGGATATTATACGATTAATCCGACTTTTAAGAGCCATGAACAATAGATTACCTATTCAGATTATATATAAGGGAGATATTAATAGAAAATCTAAAGAATTAATTGTTCAAGTGGCTCATGCCGATATTGAAACATTATTAGATAAATCTTCAACAAAAGAACATGAATTGTATATGCCTGAATTAGACCTCTTGGAACTGTATAAACAATATGGATCTGAATTCCCTAAGCAAGAGATATGGTTTGTTAACTTATCAAATACTTTTGAAAAGGGATTTAAATATGCATTTCCAGGATATTCCAATAAAATCCTTGCCTTATTGTTTAGTTCATTTAAAGAAATTATTATGTTTGATGCCGATACCATTCCTTTAGTACCATTAACGGAATTCTTTGATTCTCCAAAATATCAATCGTCTGGAACGTATTTCTTTAGAGATCGAAGTTTAAGAGATACTAATGATTATATTGAAACCAATTACTTTTCTAAATTATTTCATACCAATGAGAAATCCATAGATTCATTCTTTGATATTCCTCGAATTACCTCTAAAACTATGGAAAATGCTTATATGACAGGTTATAGACATCATCAAGAAGCTGGAGTAGTTGTCATTGATAAAGTTCGACATTTTGGAGGAGTATTAATGGGGTTACCATTATCATTATGGAAAGAACCAGTTAAATCATCAATTTGGGGTGAAAAGGAAATGTATTGGTTAGGTATGGCTATGGCAGGAGATGAGAATTATGAATTTAATGATTATGGAGCAGCCAGTATAGGAGAGTTAACACCAGAAAAGTTTAAATACTATCCCAATTCAAAAGCCAATGAGATTTGTTCTTCCCATCCTGGTCATGTAGATGGTGATGGCCGATTATTATGGTTAAATTCTGGATTTGGATATTGTAAAAAGAATGGTTATTATAGAGATCGAGTTAAACATCCATTTTCATTAATGAAAACTGAAGAATTGGATATATTATTTAGATCTCCGGTGAAAATTAGAGCCGCTATTGTACCACCGGAACTTCCATATTTTAGGCTTCCTGGTTCTCCACCAGATACTAGTAGAGAAAAAGAATTAGTTAATAAATGGGGCACTAGAAGAAGAGATACTGATGAAATAACTCTTCGAGCTGTTAAAGCGGGGGAATTTCCTGATATGACTATCCCTTGGGAACCTCAAAAGGGTTGGGTTAAAAGTTCTATTTGTAATGGATATCAATATTGTGCATATGATAGTATACAAAGTTATAATGATACTAGTAGTACAGAAGATTTAACATTTGATAGAGGTTATACATTTGAATTCCTGGATCTGGATATTAAGATGTATGATTATTTAGGAAAAGTCTGGATAACTTCATCTAAGAATGCTCTTGACCCTGACATCCTGTTGGCTCAGAAGCAAGAAACACCTCCTACTCCACAACAACAAAAGGATACAAAGGCCAAGATAGAACAGATTAGAAAAGATAATAATTTGCCATCTCCAAAGGATGCAGAGGTTAAGGTAAAGGAAGAGGTGGAGCAGCAAAAGGTTTTGGATGGAGGTGAACAAGTAGACTCGTCAAACACAAAGAATGGAGATAAGCTGTCGTGAATAGGACTACATAGAGCATAGTATATATCATATAGTATATATCATATAGTATATATTTGGATCTATTGATTAAAGCTTTATATACTCTATTTCTTAACTGGAACAACAACAGCATGAGTAGCCATTGGCTTCAATAATCTATCATCACCCTTATCAGTGAAAGGGGTACTTTCCTTAGTGATAGAATCCTTAATGATTTGATTAATTTGATCTTTGACATTCTTCTTTTCTGAATCACTCAATTCAGTAATATAAGATCTGGTTTCCCAATAAGGATATACATCCTCCTTTTTAATAAGTTTGTCATATAAAGCAAATAACTCTTGAGCAATTGGATGGAAATGTTTACTTTCAGATTCAGAAAGTGATTGTCTCCATTTACCATGACGGTATTGAGGAACTCCAAGATCATAATTATAAATTAATTCACATACTTTTTCAGACCATGGTTGTTTATCAAAATAATCTTTAAATGCTACTTCAGCAGAAGTTCCATGAGGATATTGTGAGAAATCAATAGAATTAAAATAATGACTTCCACCATTAAAGAATTTAGCCTTTTCAATGGGAGTATCTTGACTATTAGATTGATAATCAAAATTCCAAATTAATCCAAGAGTTCCATGAGGTTTAAGAACTCGACTAATTTCTTTTAAACTATCTTGATCACTAAACCAATGAAATCCTTGAGCAATAATAATTGAATCAGCAGTATTATCATCTAAGGGAATCTTATAAGATGATGCTTGATAAACATTTTTAGATTGAATTTGAGGAAAATTCTTTTTAAAACTAGTTAACATACCTTGACTTGGCTCAACAATAATTAAGTTATCGGGATTAATTTCATTTTGATTATCAAAACCATTATCAACCAAGTTACGAGTAAACTTCCCAGTACCTGCAGCAATTTCAACAATTGTTTTGGTAGTATCAAATTTATACTTATTAGTAACAGAGTCATATTGTCCAAGACCCAATTGAACTAAGAATGGATCGACTAATTCCTTTAAGAAAGATGGACGAAACGCGTCATAATCTTGATGATTCAAATTAAATGAATTAATAGCCGTAGAATGGGCTTGTTTTTCAACAACTGACATAGTAGGTCTTGTGTACTTGAATAATAAGTTTCTGGAAGAAAAGGTAGCTAATATAGAGCTAGGCTTCATAGTATTATATGAAGTATATTGGTTAATCTTATCGAAAAACGTTTCATTTAATAGTGAAATATTTCATATGGGGGAGGGACCCCCACTTTTTCTAGATCCGGTCGAAAATATGTCACTGGAGTTTTGAGATTCGACTCCGAATCCGGTGACATCATCAACAATTATAATTGACAGGTAGAGAATTAGCATTAGTTATTTGCTGAAGAAATGAAGTTAGGTATAGATGCAGATGAAATATGAGCTTAATGTCGTTTGTCGACTACTTACCGGTGTCACTGAATCAGTAAATGTGTACAGTGTCCACGATATAATATTCATTAAGAGGTTAATTTATAAATACTGACTAAAAAGCCACAACTACATTATACTAAACCTGTAGTAACGTAAACAAGACTCAAGAATCATTCGATTATTAATTATCAATTATCAATTATATTTCTCTAACTAAGTAAACTATACCGAACTGAGCTTATCATTAGGGCGGACAGGCGGTGATCTAACTATAATTATAATTATATAGCACATATGCTCTTGCCCCACAGGGTGCGAAATTTTGTGAGCCACCACATTTTCAGAGTTTGCTAGTGCAATTGTCCCTAACACTTTACAATTTACAATTTACAATTGAGTCGGGTTTAACACTGATTAGTCTCAGGGGGACCACATTTCTCCGGCCTATAATGTTAATAAGTTGCATACAGGCAGAATGCAATTACAATTTACTAGGTTCTGATTCGGAGATAAATATCTAAATAATCCCCAACTTTCCATATGTAACTCTAACTGTGGTGGCTATTGTCTTTATCTATTGATCTACTATATACTATAGTATTTAGGAGTAGTGTAGTGTAATTGTGTGTTCTCTCTCTCTCTCCTTACTAATTACTAATCAAGCAATTTGTATATATAGTAGATTCTCTCTTCGTAATACTATTTGATAATTCTTTTTAACTAATAGTTGTATCACTTAAACTATACAATACTATACTATACTATATTAGTAATTATTTCCAGTAACAATGGCTCCACCTACTGCTATCGAAACTGCTGCTCCAACCGAACAAGACATTGAACAAACGGTTAGAAAGTTGGCTAACTTGAAACCAATTAGTCATGGACTTTCTGAGTTTAGCTCTAATGATGAAAGTACTAATACTGGACCTCAAGAAAAGTACTTACAGTTATTACCAGAACCTGCCAGAAAGAGATTTGAAAAAGCTGGTATTGATTTATCTAAGGGTTACCCAGTTATCCCAGTAAGAGATGATATTCCAAAGTTTGTTGATGAAGCTTATGAAATTAGAAATAAGGATTATCCTTATATTGAAAGAGGTAAGAATGCTGATCCAGAAAAGAAGGCCTTATTTGGTGCTGCTAAAGAAGTTAAGAATTTAACTAAACATATTGGTACTGAAATTGTTGGTTTACAATTGGCTGATTTAAATGATAAACAAAAGGATGAATTGGCTTTATTGGTTGCTGAAAGAGTTGTTGTATTCTTTAGAGATCAAGATTTATCTCCTCAAAAGCAACTTGAATTGGGTGAATATTGGGGTCAAGTCGAAAGACATCCTCAAGCTCCTCATGTTCCATTACCAATTCCAGAAGGTGTTGATACAATTGCTAAAGGTAGTGGTATTTCTGTTATTTGGAGAAAATTCTTTAATGAATTCTATGGTATTCCAAAGAACTTCAAACAAAAGCAAGCTGCTGGTGGCTGGCACACTGATTTAGTTCATGAACATCAACCAGCCGGTATTACTCATTTACATAATGATACTATTCCAAAGACTGGTGGTGATACTGCTTGGGCATCTGGTTATGCTGCTTACGATAAATTATCTCCAGCTTTACAACAATTTCTTGATGGTAAGAATGCTGTTTACAGATCCGCTCATCAATATATTGATAGATCCAACCCATTAAAGGGTCCAAAGTATATTGAAAGAGAACATCCAATTATTAGAACTCATCCAACTACTGGTTGGAAATCTTTATTTGTTAACAGAGCTATGACTGTTAGAATTGTTGGTTTAGAACCAGATGAATCAAAAGTTATCTTAGAATATTTATACTCTGTATTTGAAAAGAATTTAGATATTCAAGTTAGATTTAGATGGCAACCAACTAAGGAAGGTTATGGAACTTCTGCTATCTGGGATAACAGAATTTCTCAACATTATGCTATTCCAGATTATGATGTTGATGAAGATGATCGTCATGGTACTAGAGTTACTTCTTTAGCTGAAGTTCCTTATTTCGATCCAGCTTCCAAGTCTCAAAGAGAAGCCTTAGGTTTACCTTTGAATTAGATGTATTGATTGTTTGATACAATCAATTCTATAAGTAAGTAATTTAGCTACAATTGAAAAATAATGCCTGTTCTTATTTTATCCTTAAATGTAATGTAAAATAATGTAAATATGGATATATATATGGTACATATGCTAGTAATACAGTAATAGATTTATTCGAATCCTCCCATAGGATCAAATGATGGTGCTGATTGTTCTGAAGGTATATACAGAGATCCTTCACCTCTAAATCCACCTCTGTGACCTCTGAATCCTCCTCTATGACCTCTGTAACCTCCTCTAAAGCCTCTACCTCTACCACCTCTTCCTCTAAATCCACCTCTAAATCCTCTACCTCTATAACCACCTCTACCACCATTTTCACCAGCAGCTGCAGCTTCTTGACTAGCTTGTCCACCAAATATCCCTCTACCAAATTGTCTTCCTTCAATAAATCCTGGATCTAAATCAATAGCTAGACTTTGACCATCTAGCACAGTTTTAGATAAAAATTTCATAGCATTTAATGATCCATCTTTAGTCTTATAAATAACAAAACAAAAGCCACAAGGTGTCAATTTGTTTCTATCCAATCCCATTATGATTCTATCTATAGATCCACATTTCAGAAACAATTCATGAATTTGTTCTTCTGTTGTGAAGTGTGATAAGTTACCTACATAAATAGTTTGAGATCCTAAAGACTTTTGTAAATCATTGAAATTCTGTCTTCTAACGGCTTTTTTGATTAAATATTCCGAGGGCTTGTCGAGTCTATCGGCCGAATGTTTAAAGTTCTCTTCTAAGAGTTCCATAGTTATGTTCTAATATTATTAATCCTCTAATAACTCTATACTTTACATATTGTTAACAATTTTCACATCCGGGATATTTCTCTCGATAATTTACAGGTTGGCTCAGTGAGGCCAAGTTTACAGGTTAACACCCAAAAATTTATGTGAGAGAAGCCTCCATACATTTAAGGCCAGAACAGCCTTTTACCATATCGTATTTATCGTGGTAGTAGAAGTACTGGAAATATATAAATAAATATTGTAAGACAGTCGGAAGTGGGTACCGGTAACTATCATGTTTAAATCGATATTTCAAACCGGAATAAGGGCTGCATATAATGTACTGGAGAATCCATCATTTGTTTCTGAACCATGGTATATATATCCAGCCAAGCATAAATCGACTGGTCGAATTGTATCAGTATTTATATTTGATAAATCTAAATTTGAAGCTACTGTAAATCGATTATGTTCGACTTCATCAGTTTCTAAGAATCCTAAAGTTATTATAGGAGAAGCATATGAATTGATTAAATTTGAAGTTAATCAATTAAGTAAATTAAAACATCCCCAGATATTACAAGTCTATGAAGTACTTGAAGAAACAAAACTGAAGTTTATATTTGTTAGTGAACCAGTTAGTGATAATTTACTTACTGCTAGTAATTTAAATAAAGATGAACTTAATATTCAAAAGGGTCTATTACAAGTATCTAAGGGACTTCAATTCTTACATAATTATTGTTCAATTATTCATTTCAATTTACAACCTTCATCAATATTTATTAATAATCAAGGTGATTGGAAACTTGGAGGATTTAAATTTCTTCAAAATTTAAATGAGATTAGTCCATCAGAACGGGATAATTTTTATATTATGAATAATACTTCTTTAATCCCATTTGTTAATCTTAATTTAAATTTTACAGCTCCTGAATTAATCCTTGATACTCAACTGAAATTAGATTTTGCTAATGATATTTGGTCTTTAGGTTGTATCATATATTATTTATATAATGATGGTGATATGTTAATAAATTGTTTTGATTCAAATAGTATAAATGATTTTAAAGGTGAGTTTCAAAAATTTCAACAAAAATTTTATAATCATAGACCTAATGAATTAAAATATATGTTAAAGAATATTCCAGAAAGTTTATATCCAATTTATCCTCAATTACTTGCTAGATATCCTCATGATAGATTAACTATTGATCAATTCATAGATTCAGATTATTTTAATGGTAGTTTAATAAAGGCTATGTGGTTTATTGATGAATTTTCTACAAAGACTTTAGATCAAAAATTAGTATTTATGAATGGACTTTTAGAACCAAAGGCTGATCAAGGTGGTAAAGATTTATTATCATTATTCCCGGCAGTTTTTAAATCACTGAAATTATTACCTTTACTTATTGATTTCTTAACTAATGAATTGAATGTATTGAATGGAGCAACTCCAATTGATCCAGAAACTGATAAATTAGTATCTATTTCTTTAGATATTGCCTTAAAGATTGGATCTTCTATTTCTAATCTCAGTTTCCAAGATAAAATTTATAATGTATTGTTTGTTAATGATAAAAAGAATAAAAAGGCTCCTGAAACATTTAAAAAATTAATTAATGCATCAGTTAAAACTAGATTAACATTGATAGAAAATTCAGCTGTTTTACAATCTAAATTACATGACAAACAAATGGTTGATTTCTATAAGAGTGTATTGGAATTAGTATTAACATCCAGTAATAATGAAGCCAATTCTCGTCAAGATCAAATTAAATTACAAGATACATATTTGCAATATTTTACTAATATAATTGATAAATTTGATTTCCCATATATTAAGAATACTTTATTTCCAATGTTATGTCAAGTATTCAAAACCACCACTGTATTATCTACGAAATTGACTACTATTGAAGTATTTGAAATGTTGGTTGATAAGAAAATCATTGATAAGATTATTGTTAATGATCAATTATTCCCAATATTGAAGAATTTAAAGAGTAGAGATAAACGAATTGTTAAGAGAATGTTAAGTTTCTTTATAAAGTTAGTTAAGAGTGAGCATGTCAATTTAGAATTTGAGTCAGCAGTAGAATCGATTTTGCCTCAATGTTTAAGTTTAGCATTCAGTTGTAATGACTGTACTCAATCTGAGTTCATACAATTCATGAAGATTTGTAATGATATACAGAAATACTTGATGGATAAGAAATTGTCCAATTTACCATTGCAAAGTGCCAATGGAAGAGCTAATGGTGATTCATTTGATGGTAATTTCGATTCTTTAATTAATTCTCAAGTCATTAATGAAGGCAGCAAGGATAAAATTTATAGGGGCCCTCTGACAAAAGTTATGACTCCAACAACTCTTACTCCTACAATTAAAAAGAGTAGTCCAATTACCAATAGAAAACCCCTACATACATCTGCTCCGAAAGTTTCCACCTTTCCATCATCAAATGAATCATCCAATTTAAAATTCGGGGCTTCGAGTGCCTCATCAAATGTCAATAATGATAGATTACTCAATACTTTAAAGAGTACATACGATCGTCCTTCCAAGATCTATCATGATGGAGATGATGATGACGATTTTGAAGATTTCCAACAAGCCCAGGTCGTAACACCAAAGACTAGACCTCCAGTTAATACTTCTAAGGAATTACCCCAAAAGCCTAGCATTAATACTCCTCCAGGATGGAGTCAACCTTTACAACCAACTAGTAGAAAACCCACACCCAATACTACACCCAATACAAATTATCCTCCTGGTTTCAACTCTAATATGGTATTAACACCTAATAGTTCTGGAACAAGAAGTGGCAATAATTCATTTAATGGAACTAATCTGTCACCCCAGACTCCGCAGAAAAATGATGTACTCGATTTTCTCTAATAGAAATAATCACTACATATCTAAATAAATGCAATTATTAGACAATTACGCCAAAGGCTGCAATTTTGCAACTGCCCATTGTTCTGTTTTCCAATTTGGGCAAACACACGACAACTGTTAGTTAGTTGCAACAGTTCGGATCAGTTATGAAGTTCGGGAAAGACAATATGCCGGCCGATACGATACATTGCTTACAGTTAATAGGAGTATATGCGCTAATATAGTAACTGAATTAGAGGTAGTAGTACTATATACAATAGTTTGAGTAGTTTGAAAACTATCAGATCATATCTGTGACATTATGGTGTGTAACTTAGGAGAGACTGTCATCAGCTAATAAATTGTGTAGTGGGTGCGGAATATAGGCTGATTCTCGCTAGCGACAAAGTATGTATGTTCTTCGTCGAATGATAATTCAGTTGTATGTCAACAACGACAAATATATGGTTGGGTCACTACGCGTACTGTCATACTGTATTCGGTCTCTACTCTGTTACTATTGTTTCTCTGTTGATAATCTATAACTAATCTAAATTCTATACTCCACCTCTTCACCTATCTGATCTGTCCAGGCTCATCCCCTGCTTAGATATTAGTCCCCCACGCCCTCGCTAAGTTCCGCCGTTACTAACCCGACTATCGCTTTTCTTACTCGTATCCGTCGTATAAACTGTGTGCAGGCGGAACGACAGAAGGATTTTTTTTGTTATTGTTAGCGGCACATGGAGGATCCTTTTTCGTATGGAAACGATGGATGCCAAACCGGACTATTAAGCAAACCAAATCATACCACGGGAGAGAATAAATAAGCATTCGTTGCCTTTATATAAATATATATATTTGTCCTGTTGGGTTTTGCTGAGGTTTCACTACTTTCGTTCTATACATCTGCTATCCATACCTTTCTTTTCTTATCCTATATATCTATAGCTGTCGTATAATTCTCATTAGTCTATACGAGCTGAAAAATCCTTATTATACCTTAAACAACAACAACAGCAACAACAATAACAACAATTATAATTCACCATGGATTTAGTATTGGAAGTTGCCGACTATTACTTGTTGGATAAAGCCTACGCTCAAGTCTTACCCAAAGGAGGAGCAGTCGATCAATTCATACAAAATAGTCAAGTATTACAAACATTAAATGCTAAACAATATAATTGGAGTGCCCTTAATACTAATTTAACTATAAGTGATTCCTTATTAAATAATCCTATCCTTTCTACCATATTTAATAAAGTTATTAACTATCAAAATAAGTCAGAAATATATGGTTTACCAAATTTATTAGGAACTACTGAATATATCAATGATTCGTTCTTGAGTAGATCCAATTTATTTAGAGAAGGTTTTTCCATTTTTATTATTACAGCTATCTTTGGTTGGCTCTTATACTTTTCAGTTGCTACTCTTTCTTATTTCCTTGTATTTGATAAGAAAATCTTCAATCATCCTAGATATTTAAAAAATCAAATCTTTTTAGAAATTGAAAGAGCTGCTACTGCTATTCCTGTTATGGTATTATTAACAGTTCCATTTTTCTTATTAGAATTAAATGGTTATTCTTTCTTATATATGGATATTAATGAATGCACTGGTGGTTGGAAAGCATTATGGTTACAAATTCCTAAATTCATTTTATTTACTGATTGTGGTATTTACTTTATTCACAGATGGTTACATTGGCCATCCATTTATAAGAATTTACATAAACCTCATCATAAATGGATTGTCTGTACTCCTTTTGCTTCCCATGCTTTCCATCCTGTTGATGGATGGGCTCAAAGTTTACCTTACCATCTTTATCCTTTATTATTCCCATTGCATAAGGTTCTTTATTTATTCTTGTTCACTTTTGTTAATTTCTGGACTGTAATGATTCACGATGGTCAATATTTATCTAATGATCCATTTGTCAACGGTACTGCTTGTCATACTGTTCACCACTTATACTTCAACTACAATTATGGACAATTCACTACTTTATGGGATAGAATTGGTGGATCATACAGAAGACCAGACGATTCCTTATTTGTTAAGGATGCTAAGAAGAGTGAAGATGAAAAAGTTTGGAGAGAACAAACTAGACAAATGGAAGAAATTAGAGGGGAATTAGAAGGTAAAGTTGATGATAGAGAATATATCAGAGCTTAGCTTAAATAAACTTATTCATGTAATGATTTACCTATCTTTCTTTCTTTCTTTCCTGTTTCATATTTTAAAACTTTAGATAATAAACACTCCAATGTTTCTGATCTTTATTTGTTTGTTTATATATTATTAATATTTGTTAGAATTTTTCGTGAGATATTCCCACTACTATAATTGTTTACTTGTGTTATTCATCCTACTCATATGAGTTGATGTGTTGTGTGTTACCTACTGAATTATTCTGTCAAAAATCCCTAATGAACTCTAATATCCCAAGTTTATAGATGAATTAATAAAAAGTCGAATCAATTATTATTACTGTAGCTTCTACATGATGTGCCGGTTCAGGACCGTAAGCTATTCTAATCTATATCACACAGCTCAATATATTGATGATTATAGATAAGATAAATTGGTTAAAGAGTCTTCTATGAGTAAATGGTTACGTTAATGATTCTTAAACTGTAATTATTATAATGGTTCCAGAAATCTATTAAAGAATGCCCCAGAATATGGCCCGAAATATATCCTGGAGTACCGAAAAGGAGTACCGAAAGGAGCCATGTAAAAATAAATTTATAGATAAGATATTGCGTTTTATACAGTACAGATTGTAAGACGTTAAATGAAGACTAACTACTGTTATTATGCGAAGCCCATGTAGATGCATGGAAAGTTTCATCTAGGCTTATATAATACATTTCCTGATGGCCCGTAAGCCTACGTTATTGCACCATACAAGTGAATATGTTTATTGGTGTAATATGCTACTGATTTCCTTTATCTTAACATTTATGCGTACGGCAGTTTGGCATTTATTTTGCGGGCCATTTTATTTGCGATTTACTCAGCGCAATAAAAAAATATTTGTTCTATTTTTCAAACCCCTAATTTAGAATTTGGACTGGGCTACTAGTAACAGTGCAGACGTCAAAATGGAGGGGAGGAGGATCATAAAGAGGACGATAGCGATAAATTGGATATTATCCATAGATTCAATTTATTCCCACAAAATAGATACAAGGACGAATCAGATCAACTGAGTAGCTTAATCAAAAACTTTGACTCTAAACTAAGCATTCCGTCTGAAAATAAATTAGCCGTGTTACATAAAATGCAAAATAATATTTTCTTTTTATCAGTCACATGATTTAGAGCCTTCGAAATTATCTGCAATAGGAATAATTGGACAGAATTGGTCTTATCAAATAAAACAATGTTTCACAAAACTCTGTAAGGCATATTGAATTAACTAATCTTATTGATTTACTAATGAAGTCAAGGCTCTAAACTACTATGAGCCTTAATGTATTACCCAATTAAGAGATTTAGAGCAACGCTTGGGTTTTCCTAGTTTGTGTTTCATCAGCTTTTATCTGAAATATATCTCACATTCTACTGCAGATTAATTCTTACAGCTTATTTATAACCGGGCCATTTTAAACGTTTCGGCCCCGTATATATTTTGCGTTACATGATTATAAGGTTAAAATACTTAGAAAATTGATAATTTATGACATTTTACTTATCGTATCAGTTATCAAGATGTCGTTAGATAGATAGCCTACAAAATATTCCTACTCAATCAAGGTTGATTAACGAACACGATAATAATAAAAGATGTGTTTCCTAGGCATAAAGCCGATAGCCCTTTGTAATGATTAAAGATGTAAAACGGCGTTGCATCCTAAGCTTAAGAAAATTACCTGTAATGTGTAAAATGTAAGAGAAAAAATAATAACATAAGACGCAAATTACCCCCTAGAATAACCTTCAAAATAATTCAGTTAACCTGTAAAATGACTCAAGATATCAAAGGTGTCACTTCGTTATCTGAGTCCAAGGAATAAAATAATTTTAACTCATGCATACAATAGCCATTCTTTTATTTCACAGCTAATATCTGTATCTGAAAAATTTCACAGAACTATTATGATTAGAAATAAATATTATTGAATCATCATGACTTATAATAAATAAATAAAACGGTTGCTGTACATTGTTATTATTCTGGGGAATATAAATATAATTGAAAAATTCTCAATTGCAAAACTTTTTAAATATTTATTTTAGTTTTTAAATTCATCAATAATATTACCAACTTAATAATAAACAATCAACATGTCTGATGATCGTTTTATTCCATTACCACAAGGTGCTGGTTACGCCGTGGTTGTTGGTTTAGGTGCTGTATTTGCTTTTGGTATGATGCTTATAACTTATGTCTTAAGAAGATATAATCGTGAAATTATGACTGCTGAAGAATTTGCTACTGCAGGTAGATCTGTTAAAACAGGTTTAATTTCTGCTGCTGTTGTTTCTTCTTGGACTTGGGCCGCTACATTATTAACTTCAACTACTCAAGTTTATAATAACGGTATATCTGGTGGTTTCTTCTATGCTGCTGGTGCTACTTGTCAAATTACCTTATTTGCATGTTTAGCTATTAAGGGTAAGGAAAAGGCTCCTGGTGCTCATACTTATTTGGAAATTGTTAAGGCCAGATATGGTACTACTACCCATTTAGTTTATGTTTTTTGGGGATTTGCAACTAATGTATTAGTTACTGCTATGTTATTAACTGGTGGTTCTGCCGTGGTTAATGATTTAACTGGTATGAATACGGTGGCTGCTTGTTTATTATTACCTTTAGGTGTTGTGTTATATACATTATTTGGTGGTATTAAAGCTACTTTCTTAACTGATTATGCTCATACTGTCGTCTTGGTAGTTATTATTTTAGTTTTTGCCTTTTCTGCATTTGCAACCAATAGTCAATTAGGTTCTCCAGGTAAAGTTTGGGAAATTATAACTGCTTTAGCTGAAACAAGACCAAGAGAAGGTAATGCTGGAGGTTCATATTTAACTTTAAGATCAAGAGGTGGAGGTATCTTCTTTGTTATTAACATTGTGGGTAACTTCGGTACTGTCTTTTTAGATAATGGTTATTTCAATAAGGCTTTCGCCGCTAATCCAAGAGCTGCTTTACCAGGATATGTATTAGGTTCACTTGCTTGGTTTGCAATTCCATGTTTAATTTCATTAACTATGGGTTTAACTGGTTTAGCTTTAGAAAATACTCCATCATGGCCAACTGCTCAACCATTAACTGCTGCTCAAGTTTCTGCTGGTTTAGTTTTACCAAATGCTGCAGTTGCACTTTTAGGTACTGGAGGTGCAGTTGCATCTTTATTATTAGTTTTCATGGCTGTTACCTCTGCCATGTCTGCTGAATTAATTGCTGTTTCAACTATTTTCACTTATGATATTTACAGATCTTACATTAATCCAAATGCTACTGGTAAGAAATTAATTTGGGTTTCTCATCTTACAGTTATTGGATATGCTTATATAATGGCAGGATTTGCTATTGGTTTATACTATGCTGGTATTTCTATGGGATACCTTTATGAATTAATGGGAGTTATTATTGGAGGTGCTGTATTATCATCTGCTTTAACCTTACTTTCAAAACGTCAAAATCATGTTGCTGCCACCTGGACTCCACCAATTGCCACTGCTTTAGCTATTATGTCTTGGTTAGTATGTACTAAAGTACAATTTGGATCTATTAATGTCAACAATACATTTGAAGATAATGCCATGTTAACCGGTAATGTGGTTGCATTATTATCACCATTAGTTATAGTACCAATCTTAACATTTGCTTTCAAACCACAAAACTTTGATTGGGAAATTTTGAAGTCAATTCAAAGAGTTGATGAAAATGAAGAAATATTAGAAGCTGTCGGTAGTAAAGAAACTGATGTTGAAGTTGGGGTTCATCCAGTTAAATCACAAATTAGTGTAATCGCTAGTGAAATTGCTGAGCATAACTATACTCAATTAGAAGAAGAAGAGCAATTATTGGCTAAATCATTTAAAATAGCTGCAATTATTTGTGTGGCATTAACTGTATGTCTTTTAGTTCTTTGGCCAATGCCAATGTATGGTACTTCATACATTTTCTCCAAAGGATTCTTTACTGGATGGGTTGTTGTTCTTTTCATTTGGATCTTCTTTACTGTATTTATGGTTATTATATATCCAGTATGGGAAGGTAGAGATGGATTATTTACTACATTCAGAGGAATTTATTGGGATTTGACTGGTCAAACCTATAAGTTGAGAGCATGGCAAGAAGCTAATCCTGAGAAGTTACATGCAGTAAAGTCACAAGTGGCAGCTCACTTATTGGCTACAAGTCAATCTAGAAATCGTATTGTTTATGAAGGTAAGACTATTACTGATGGTTCATTAACACCTACTGGTATTGATGAGAAGTTAGATATTAAGTCATAATTGGGATTATACTGTTGATTTTTTGTTATTGTTAGTCTATGTAGGCGTATTTATTTCTTGTTTAGTGTTTCCAATATATTATAATATTATTATGCATGGTAATTGCGCTTTTGAGCAGGGTCCACACTTACTATTTCAGTAATAGTTGCTGTTATTATTCCATTCTACAGTATATTTTATTACACTTCACATAGTAGTATTTGAAAACCTTAGTACTATCATAATATTACAATACTATACTACTAAAATACCTCTATAATACTACTACTGTTCTACATGTTAGTTTCTTTTAGTTTCTAATAGTATCTAGTTGTATCTATTACTATCTGACATTTATCTGATCCAATAGATAGTAATTAATCTATCATTCTCTATTATTTGCTACTATCTATTACTTTCGATTGCTATTTATCAAACTTTATTCTATTACCATTATCAAACTTTACCATTATCAAACTTTATTACTGGGCATTTTGTATTAATCTTTATTATTATTGTATTCAACTCAATTTGTGGAGTTTATCAATTTGCTCAATTTGCAGTCGCCGTTGTAGGTGCCAAGATTTAAATTGCGATTAAGTTTTAAGTTTCTTTTGTTTAGATTTGATTTTTCTGTTATCAAAATTATTTCCCCAACCGGAATCCCGAACACACAGGTTTGGTGTTTGCACCCCTGTCGTATCGGGGATCAGTATATCTGGAGCCAATCAGATACGTACGATGTTTCCTGATAGAAAGGGTGTACGACACATAATTAACAATTGATAACTACTTTTAACTGCTACGAGTTTAGGCTGGACATACCGAAAGTAGAGTTATAGTGAGACAGTATTAGCGAGTAACTACTAAGAGGTTAGAGACAGATTACTGAGTTGTTAAGGAGATTAGAGAGATCTTGGAATGAGATCGACATTGACATTGACATGTCATTGACAGCTACATGACATTGACAGTGACAGTAAGTCTCTCTAATCAGTAGGCTCACTAACACCAGTCGCTGGAGTTGAATGCCCTTCAGGTTTAGTAAACCAAATGGAGCGCGCGGCGGGCCGTCGGTGAAAATAGACTTCGCGGAATGATTCCATTAGCGGAATATTCCACTAGAAGTTAGCGGGCCATCGGCCAGTAGCGACACTATGATTTAGTGAGGTTGGTTTAGTGACAGTAGTGATAGAGTAGAGTGTGTAGAGACAATAACAAACCTAAATGAACTGTAGTAATTCGGATATCTCCATAGGAGTATATAAGCAGCGAGTTCCCCCACTATATTAAGTGGTAATAGTGTCATTAATTATCTAAGTGATCCTTAGTAACGTAACGTAAACTATCAGTCACTATTCGTAGTGACATCTTTCACTAATTTTTCACTCCACTAACACTCCGCGGAGTTCCTGATCCACTATATATATTACTGAGTCCCCACTAATTACACTAATTACTGATTCACTACTTCACTAATAATTATTATTACTACCCACCAATCACTACTCACTACTCACTACTCACTACTCACTACTCACTACTCACTACTCACTAACTAGTCATGTCCTACATAGGCTGGACCATTCATGACTGGAAACAGTTTCATTATAGTGCAACCCCTAACGAATCGTATGCCTTACTCGCTAATTTATTAGCTACCCAATCACCAGCACCTAAAGACCCTGCCTGGATCTCGCTAGCTTCTACTGACAATTTAAAACATCAATGGAATGTCTTACAATCTCGAGCCAATAAGTTGGATTTACCTCTTTATGGTGTCCCAGTAGCCATTAAAGATAATATCGATGTTAAGGGATTTGAAACAACTGCCGCTTGTTCGGCCTATGCTTACACACCTAATGAAGATGCTACTACTGTTAAATACTTACGAGACGCTGGTGCAATAATCATTGGTAAAACCAATTTAGATCAGTTCGCTACAGGACTTGTTGGAACAAGATCTCCCTATGGAATTACTCCTAATACTTTTAATTCAGACTATGTAGTTGGAGGTTCATCAGCTGGTTCTGCTTCTGTAGTGGCTAGAGGTATTGTTCCTATTTCTTTAGGTACTGATACAGCGGGTTCCGGAAGAGTTCCAGCAGCTCTCAATAATATCATTGGATTAAAACCAACAAAGGGGGTCTTCTCGACTGCAGGTGTTGTCCCTGCCTGTAAATCACTCGACTGTGTATCGATCTTCTCCCTAAACTTACAGGATGCTCAAGTAACATTTGAAGTTATGGCTCATGAAGATGGACTCAATGATGAATATTCGAGACCTTTACCACTGAATCCACTATTAAAGTTTCCTAAAGTCCCCACTATCGGAATTCCTACCAATTTGGAATGGTATGGAGAAACTGAAAATCCTCAATTGTATACTAAAGCAGTGGGAGTATTTGAACAATTGGGTGTTAAATTTGTTCCTGTAGATATCAGTCTTTTATTGGAATTAGCTAAATGTCTTTATGAAGGTCCTTGGGTTAGTGAACGGTATACTGCCCTTAAGGATTTCTTAGCAACAAATCCTCCTGAAGATACTCTAGATCCAACTGTCGCTGCTATAGTTCGAGGAGGAGAGAAACATTCAGCTGCTACTGCCTTTGATTATGAGTATAAACGTCAAGGAATCATTCAAAAAGTTAAACAACAACTCAAAGATATTGATGTTCTCATAGTTCCTACTGCTCCGTTAACTCCTACCATTAAACAGATCCAACAAGAACCAGTGCTCATTAATTCTTATCAGGGAACTTATACTAATTTTGTTAATTTGGCTGATTTATCGGCGCTCTCGATTCCAGCAGGTTTCCGTAATGATGGTCAACCATTTGGTATCACATTGTTATCAGAAAAGTTTAATGATTATGCCCTTTTGGAATTGGCTTGTCGGTATATGAAGCCATACTCGTCACAAGTACAATCACCAAAAGGTCATTTCTATGGTTGTTTAAGAGATAAGCCAGTCAGTGGATTGGGTAATGAATTATTACCAAACGTTCCTAAACTCAATCCAAATACTCATATCAAATTGGCCGTAGTGGGTGCTCATTTAAAGGGTTATCAACTCCATTGGCAATTAGAGAAGGTTCATGCTTCATTCATTGAATCAACTACAACATCTCCTCACTATAAGCTCTATGCTTTACCCAAGACTGGACCTATAGCCAAGCCAGGATTAAGAAGAGTTGGTGATACTGATAATGGAACTTCTATAACTGTAGAAGTATACTATATCCCTAAGGAGACATTTGGAGACTTTATAGCGATGGTACCTGAACCCCTTGGAATTGGATCAGTCGAATTAAGATCTGGTGAATGGATTAAATCCTTCATTTGTGAAGAACATGGATATAAAGCTCCAGGCACTAGCGATATCTCCAGCTATGGAGGATGGCATAATTATCAAACTCATTTAATTGCCAGTCAAAATAAGAAACCTTTCAATTCAGTATTGGTAGCCAATAGAGGAGAAATTGCAGTTCGTATAATTAAGACATTAAAGAAATTAGATATTAAGGCCATTGCCGTATATTCTGATCCTGATAAGTATGCAAAACATGTATTACTTGCTGATGTAGCTATTCCATTACATGGAACTTCAGCTGCTGAAACTTATATATCATTAGAAAAGATTATTGATGCAGCTAAACAATCAGGAGCTGAAGCCATTATACCTGGTTATGGATTTTTATCTGAAAATGCTGATTTTTCTGATAGATGTAATAAAGAAGGAATTGTATTTGTAGGACCATCTGGTGATGCAATTAGAAAATTAGGTTTAAAACATTCAGCTCGTGAAATTGCTGAACAAGCAGGTGTACCACTTGTTCCTGGTTCAGGATTAGTTAAAGATGCTAAAGAGGCTAAAGAAATTGCTGCTAAATTAGAATATCCAGTAATGGTAAAGTCTACTGCTGGAGGAGGAGGGATTGGACTTCAAAAAGTTGATTCTGAAGCAGATATAGAACGAGTGTTTGAAACTGTTCAACATCAGGGGAAATCTTACTTTGGCGATTCAGGAGTATTTCTTGAACGATTTGTTGAAAATGCTCGTCATGTAGAAATTCAAATGTTTGGAGATGGTTATGGTAAAGCCATTGCATTAGGAGAACGAGATTGTTCTTTACAACGTAGAAATCAAAAGATTATTGAAGAAACCCCAGCTCCTAATTTACCAGAACTGACGCGAATTAAAATGAGACAAGCAGCGGAATCACTTGGAAGTCTTATGAAATATAAATGTGCTGGAACTGTGGAATTCATTTATGATGAAAGACGCGATGAATTTTACTTTCTTGAAGTTAATGCTCGACTTCAAGTTGAACATCCCATAACTGAAATGGTTACGGGACTTGATTTAGTGGAATGGATGTTATATATTGCTGCTGATGATCCACCTGATTTTAATCAACCAATAACCATTACTGGAGCTTCAATGGAAGCTCGACTTTATGCTGAAAACCCCGTAAAGGATTTCATGCCATCACCCGGTCAATTAACTGAAATTAAATTCCCTCTGTGGGCTAGAATTGATGGATGGGCAGAAAAGGGGACAGTCATATCAGCCGAATATGATCCTACTCTTGCCAAGATTATTGTTCATGGAAAAGATCGTAATGATGCTCTTGGTAAATTACGTCAAGCCCTTGATGAAACCGTTGTATTTGGATGTGTTACTAATATTGATTATTTACGTTCAATTGCTAATTCCTCCATGTTTGAACAAGCTAAAGTTGCCACTAAAGTCTTGGATACTTATGATTATCGTCCAACCGCCATTGAAATCATTAATCCGGGTGCTTATACTACAGTTCAAGATTATCCTGGTCGTAAAGGATATTGGCATATTGGAGTTCCACCATCTGGATGTATGGATGAATATTCATTTCAAGTAGCTAATCGAATAGTTGGAAATGATAAACTGGCTCCTGGTTTAGAAATTACTTTAAATGGACCTAAATTACTCTTTCATCATAATGCGGTAATTACCGTCACGGGTGGACAAGCCGAAGTTGATGTTAATGGAATTTCTGTAAATCAATGGGAACCCATAAACATTCATCGAGGTGATAAATTAACTATTGGAAAATTATCTACTGGTTGTCGAGCATATTTAGCCATTCGGGGTGGAATTGATGTTACGGAATATTTAGGATCTCGTTCAACATTTGCCTTGGGGAATTTAGGTGGTCATAATGGTCGAGTACTTAAATTAGGAGATGTACTTTTCTTAGGTCAACCAGAATTAGCCAGTTGTACACTTGCTGCTCCTGTGTCTGAACCAATGACAATTTCTCCATCATTAATTCCTGATTATTCTTCAAAAATTTGGAATGTGGCTGTCACTTGTGGTCCTCATGGATCACCTGATTTCTTTACTACTGAAGCAGTAACTGATTTCTTTTCTAATACTTGGAAAGTTCATTATAATTCTAATCGATTTGGTATTAGACTTATTGGTCCTAAACCAACTTGGGCTCGTCCTGATGGTGGAGAAGCTGGTTTACATCCATCCAATACTCATGATTATGTTTATTCTTTAGGTGCCATCAATTTCACGGGTGATGAACCCGTCATTTTAACTTGTGATGGTCCATCACTTGGAGGATTTGTATGTGAAGCTGTAGTTGCTGAAGCAGAAATGTGGAAAATTGGACAAGTTAAACCGGGAGATCAAATTCAATTTATTCCAATTAGTTATGATACTGCTAAATCATTAAAGAAACAACAAGATACGATAATTAAACAACTTTGTGGAGATTTACCATCGATTGAAGGTAAACAATTAAAGTCACCCGAAGATCCTGTATTATATCGATTCCAAGTTAGTGAGAATGCTCCTAAAGTCACATATCGTCAAGCCGGTGATCGATATATTCTTGTAGAATATGGAGATAATGCTCTTGATTTAAATTTATCCTATAGAATTCATAAACTTATAGAAATGGTTGATGAATATCATACCACTGGTATTGTTGAAATGTCTCAAGGAGTTCGATCAGTCCTTATTGAATATAATGATGAAGTAAGTCAATCACAATTATTACAAACACTCATATCTTATGAACGAGAAATTCGATTCATTAATAAATGGAAAGTTAAATCAAGAATCATTAAATTACCTATGGCATTTGAAGATTCGAAAACTTTAGCAGCTGTAACCAGATATCAAGAAACCATTAGAAGTCTGGCTCCATGGTTACCAAATAATGTTGATTTTATTGCTAATATTAATGGACTTAAACGTGAAGATGTTCGAGATTTAGTTTATACGGCAAGATTTCTTGTTCTTGGATTAGGTGATGTATTCTTAGGAGCTCCATGTGCGGTACCATTAGATCCTCGTCAACGATTATTAGGAACTAAATATAATCCTTCAAGAACTTATACTCCTAATGGAACAGTAGGAATTGGAGGTAATTATATGTGTATATATACTATGGAATCACCAGGAGGGTATCAATTAGTTGGTAGAACCGTTCCAATTTGGGATAAACTCACTTTGGCATCACATTCCGGTGATAAACCATGGCTTTTACGACCATTTGATCAAGTTGAATTTTATCCGGTTGATGAAGAAACGGTTGATAAGTATTCGGAAGAGATGAATGCAGGAAAGTTTACCGTAGACATTAGTGAAACCGTATTTGATCATGGACAATATTTAGAATGGATTCAACAACATTCACAATCCATTGATCAATTTCAACGATCTCAAGGAGGTGATAAACTTGCGGAATTTAATCGACTTATCCAAATCTCCAATAGTGAACTTGAACAACAAGTTGATAAACCTCAAGATACAGAAACATTTAGTGAGAATGCCGAATTAGTTTATTCTGAATATTCAGGAAGATTCTGGAAATCTCTTGTTAATGTAGGAGATACCGTTAGTGTCAATCAAGGATTAGTGGTGGTAGAAGCTATGAAAACAGAGATGGTGGTTAGTGCACCTCGAGCAGGGATAGTAGTTAAGATTTATCATACTAATGGAGATATGGTAGATGCTGGAGATTTAGTGGTTGTACTAGAGTAGTTTAATTAGTTTGTTCTACAGTTAGTAATGTTTAAATAAATAAATAATCGTTAGTATTAAGTTACTTAAGTTACTTAAGTTAAGTTACTTAAGTTAACTGATGCTGAAACTTTGTTTCATTAAATTCAGTTAACTTTATACACTTTTCCTTACAGAATTGTCCAATAGCTTCAATTACAACTGGATCGTTTAAATAATAAAATGATCCATTCATCCAATTTAATAATTTCATTTGTTGACTCGATTCCACTAAATCAACTTCCATAAAGTAGAAATTAATGAGGGACAGTAATTGATTATTATTATGATTAATAAATCTCTTAATTAAGAAATTTAATATATCATTAGCTCCCATGTTGCTAAGTAATTTAATGGCCACTAATAAGTTATCGAAAGATAAATGTCTGAATTTATTCATTTGTAAAAATTTCATCATAGTGTTAAATTTATTTCTTATAACTTTATTATCAATTCCAAGATTTTTAGCTTTATTTAATTGATCAAATAATTGGCGAACTAATTCACTTTTAGCTCCATGATCAGGTAAAAGTTCAGAATTATCATTATATAATTTATTCATTCCTCCAAGATCTTGAGCAAGGATTCTTGTAGATAATTCTTTAATGGATTTAGCCGGTTTATATGAATATATATCATCAAACTTATTATTGTTTAAATTATCACGTAATTTAAGTAAACTTAATCCTTGTCTAATGGTTGGAGATAAATCACAATACTTAATATACATTTGTAGGAAAAGTCGACCATCATAACTATCATTAATACATTTAATTAAATTATATTCAATTAATAATTCAATGATTTCTTTACGATAAACCTCAAGATGATTAGTATTAGTAGATAAAATTAGTTCAAGTACTTGACTGAATTGTCTCATATCTCCAGTTTTTAATAAAGCATTTAAATAAGAATTATAAATGGGAAATGTCGAAGCACTAAGTTCAAGTTGATTCAAATTATATTGATTAATTAATTCAATAATAATATCATATCGTTCAAATTTACTTAATGTACTGAAATATTCATCAATCCAATTCAAATCCTGATTAATTGAATAAATTAATTTAAAGAATTCTGGTTTAATCAAAAGATTCTTAAATTGAATATTTTCACTCGATTGACAAGCTGCAAATAAATTCCCAAGTAATTTATTATCAATAGGACTTCCATTTATCATACTTATTAACCATTCACTTTCCATTAACATTTCTATCAATTTAATATTAACTTTATCACTTCTTAATGCCATTAATCGAGACATTAATTCTACTTTCAAATCATGATCAATATTCAGGGTCCATATTCTTTTAATAAATTCTCGTCTGGTAATATGAGAATTTCGATCTAAATATTCATTAATAAAATTATAATTAATTATAATTTCCCATGTCATACAACTAAAATTATATCCTTTAAAGAATAAATCAATAAATTTATTAATTCCCAATTTATAATTAACATTTAATAAATAACTTAAATTCACATTATAATTTGATTTATTTAATGAACCTTTCTTATTCTTATTCTTATCTTCTATGGAAATTCCAAGTAATTTACATGCTTCAATCATACTCGTAGTTAATTCCAATTTATATTGATCATGAGTAATCATTAAAGTTGAAAAATGATTAATTAATTCATCTCTAAACGTTTCAACTTCTTCACCTAATTGTAAATAATGATTATCACAATCTTCAAATTGATTAATTAATTTGGCTTGAAATTCAATAATCTTTGTCATGGTCGTTGAATAATTATGGTTTTCATTATCATTTTCAATTCCATCACCTCCCGAATTATATGACATTAAGAATTTAGAAATGGTAATTAATCCAAACATATTATCTCTTTGAATATCGATTTCATCAATTAATTTATTAATAAATAATGAATTCATAATTAATTGAATATTATAATTCGTGATTTGTTGTTGCCTATTTATATCCACTTCAATTCCATTAACTGTACCAGAATAAGGAGGAATTATAACATATTGAAGATATTCGGCAAGATAATCAGCAAGATCTCGAGGATTTGATTCATAATGTACAGCTTGATTTTCAATTAAATTCCATACTAATCCATAATAATAATGATTAAATGGTTCATCATCAGGTCTATTATAAAGAACTCCATTAAATAAATAATTAAGAACATTCTTAAATATCATTATATCATAAATTAAATGATTTTTTAATAAAATTTCCTTTAAAATTTGAAAGATTCTTTCATGATCTCCTAATTCAATGGCTTTATTTAATAATAATTCTCGACAAATATATCCATCTTCTTTCATAAATTGAATGGTTTTAGTATCTTGATAATCCTTTCTTATAGCTACAAAGTCATATAATTCATAAACTATTTTATAATGTTTATCATTAATATCATTAATGGGAATTTCACAAAGATATTTGGATATTAATGTATTATAAACATGAACTGATAAATCCGGTAAATAACTAATATTATTAAATTGTTTAATTAATTCATGAGCTTTAAATAATTTATCCAGTTCAACATTTATAATGGACTTTAAATATGATGAAAGTAAATTAGATAATTGAAGTTTAGATGGGGTATTATCTAAAGATAATGATTTCTTATAATCTATTAAAATATCATCAAGAAATTGACTAGCTAATGATAATTGTTTATTATGAATTAATGATTCAACTAATAAAGAATAAATAATAAATTCATCAGCATCTTTATTTTGATATTCACAATAAATTTCATAAAGATTCTTAATATAATCATGAATAAGTAATTGGGATGAATCTCCTTCAAATACATTAAATTGAGTAAAATTTGAACTAAGTTTAATAAATGATTTTAAATCTTCAAATGTAAGAATTTCAAGTTGTTTAATTTGTTTAGCAATAGTTTCAATAACTTCTGTATTTAATAAATCAGGATTAATATTTAATACATTAACCAATTTAGGAATTATTAATGATAAATCAACTTTATCTAATGACATTATTGAAGAATATAAATCAATAGCAATTTTACTAAATTCTTGTCGTTTAGTTATAATTTCAGCGTAATGAAGTTGATTATTTGATGTTAAATTATGACAATCTATGGCACCTTCTAATAAAGTATTTAAAATTAAATTATAAGTATCATGATTTGGTTTTAAACCACTAGTTAATATATCTTGATAAATAGTTAATAAAGTAGTTAATTTATTTTCAATAGCTTCCAAACTAAATTCCGAATCTAATGATCGTTTAATGATGGAATTTAATACTATATTATATAATTCAATATTTGGTAAAGTTAATTGATTTCTCTTTAATGATTGATATAATGGATAAATCATATTTAAATCTTCAGGTTGAGTATAAGTTGAATAAATCTGGGTTATACCAGCTATTTGGGTATCTAATAGCGATTGTTCAAAAGTTTTAGTTGGTTTTGGAGCTGATGATTCATCGATTAATTCTATTATTTTAGCATCTTCGGTTACTGCATCCTTTTTGGTGGTGGTAGTAGTGAAATGACGGACTTGATTAAATTGATATTGAGATTGATAAGGTTTAGTGAATTTAATATGACTATGATTCGAACTTAACGAAGTGTATAAGAATCTCTTTAATGTATCAAAACTATGATTAATATCTAAATTAAATTGTTGAATAAATATGACGGTTGATTTCTTTAATTGTGATACATTTTCACACCATAACGTACATTGAAATCGTTTACTCTCACGAAGTAAATATTCTAAAATGTATCGTTCATCTTCAAATTGTTGTTGTTTCCTTTCAGCATCATGATTATACATTGAATAGTATAATCCATAATGACCATTATCAATACTTAAGAAATGACTTTCTCCAGGATTTGATGGATGAGGTCCTTCATTATCCCATCGTCTATTGTAGAAGAAATTATATCGTACAAGGGATGTGGTATAATGATTTAAGTATGAGTTTTGAAAGAATTGGATCTTGTCTCTATAGTTAGTAGGATACTTTGAGTGTCTAATGAGATTCATAAACACCATGATGACTATGAGTTAGTGTACTGTGTATGACTCCTTCTATAATGAATATCTATTTTGGCTGCCATTAGCTGCCCTCTGTAATGTATGTAAATGTAAATGTCAAGGTGGCCGTAAAAATTTTATGGTCTGACTTACTGTTAGTGAAATTTGTGTCTAAACTTACTTACTAAGCTAGTCGCTAATTACTGAGGAAAAACTAAGGAGCCTTAACCTGTTCAGCTTAACGTCTTCACTAATGAGTTACTATGTAAATTGATGGTTTGACCTTCAATTTATGAGGGCAAATTGGTAGGGGACAAGACACGGAGACAGGGACGGGCTATTACGGCGTCTGCTAAAAAATCGTACGGAGAAAAAAATGAGTTACTGGTTCGATGGCGTTAGTTAAACTGTAAAAAATCAGTGCGGAAAATTTCGGATCGGACGTTAATGTCCTGTCTGATTGGCTGACTCATAGTCATTAACTATAATGTTAGTGGTTCAATAAAGTGGGTAGAGTTTAGAGCACTGTTTAGTATTATTGTATGTAACTGTGGGGAATCTTCATTTGGTCATGTAACATAATATATAATGTATAGTACTGTATAGATCAAACAAGTCTACTGTACTGTACTGTACTGTATAGATCTAATAGATCTAGGAATCTAGGAATGAATTCTAGATTTACTGTGTTATACTGTTCTGAGTAGTGTATGAACATTTAGTTCATATTATTCTTAGTAATACATTCATTGTATCATAATACATCCACTATTGTATACCTCGTATGATGCTATGGTTATTAGTATCTCGATGTCGTATGAATTCTGCGCGCAATGTATTTCCCGTTTTGATTAGCGAGATTTAACGCAAATTTGTCTTGTGACTGGTCCAAATACCGAACTTGTTCTTAAACCACAAAGTGGACACACTATATAATGATGATAATCATATAAAATGATGATCGAGAGCCTCAACAGTGCCTTGAATTTAGATTTGTTGTACTTGGCTAATTTATAAGTATCGTTCTACTCTAAAGGTTATTTGTATAATAATAAAACAGGGAAATTACCTGTACATTTAGAAACACGGTGGTAACGTGTTACATGGGGAAAATAAGGTTAACAACCCACTTATGATCTGTGTAGACTATTATAGTATATTGCTCTTAGCACATGAGTGCATGCATGTAACAGGATTATACTCAAACTATTGTTGACAACTTCCTCAAATAGTGTCACATTCATTATCAACGCTGCCGGTCGTAGTTCTTCAACTATCTCCGATTCAATTCTGGGACCATGGTCATGGCTTGCGGTAATGGATTGTGGCTAAGCACCCCTTTGGTGCAATCGAATAACACAATTGTTGTTCCTGTTGTGGTAAATATCTTTTTGACACTAGTCTTCCAACTCCTCAACATCATTAATGAACGTAATCTAAAACATCATCGAAAGGCTCAACGATTAAGGAAAAATGAATGCTACGATCCATGCTTCTACTTTCCACGATCCTTGAGCTTCAGTAAAACAAATAAAACAAACAAAGATACTACTACAAAAATAACATGTCCATAAACCATGTACTTCATACACCTTTGATTTCTTTTGATTTACTGACTGTCATCATCTTCTTTTTGATTAGATATCAGTGTCTTGAATGAATCGGATAAACCTAACATGCTAGTGGTAATACTTTTCCACTTGAAGAATTAGTCTATTGATATTTTCAAGATTTAAATAGAATATTCTAATAATTAAGATATATATCACTGAAATTTAATGAAAATTGAAGAATAGTTACTGGTTTAACACAAACTCGATCTTTCATTAACTCTCCTATTACCTTTTCAACATTTGAAATAGAAATCGGGCAATATTAGCTAGCATATTTCTGCATATATTCATTGAGACATTAACAGAATTAAAAATCACCGTACCATTCAATTCTAAGCCCTGACCAGTCATTGTATCAGCCTTATTGGCGTCAAACAAGGGGCATTGTCGCATGGATACTCAAATGGGAAAACTTAAAAGCTTATCAACAGATTAAGCCTTGGAAATGGAAATAGCAAGTGTTCATTCATTGTTATTCAGATGAGATTTATTCTTGCTTCTAGCGTTTGGACTTGTCCACTACATCTGTCTATCTTTACTATACTTCAAGGCCTATACTATAGTCATATACTCTATATTTAACTCAATAGATTTAAATTTTCAAAACGCAAATTTCCTAATCCAGAAGGTGTCCCCCACTATTGTCGCCGTGGATAAATAATATCTTATCGAAAAGTGTCAAATTCCGTTATCTGCAAAATTCCGTTTCCGAGCGCAAAGATAACGACAAGTGATTCTCTTTATCATTGCTGGATTTACTAAATAGTAAAAATCTATTTTCTGAACAATATAGATCTAGGCTTTAGCTAAGGATCGCTATTTTCCTTTATGGTTTTAGTAATACATTAATAGATGTAGAGTTCTCCTTAAACCATATACTATAAATCTAAGTAAATATGTCAGAAACGTAGAGTTGCAAAATATATTTCTACAATGAATCGGTGTTAAAACGTTCATTAATAAAATGTCAGATAATCGTTATATCCCTCTACCACAAAGTGCTGGTTATGCTGTGGTCGTTGGTTTAGGAGGTGTGTTTGCTTTTGGTATGATGCTTATAACATATGTCTTAAGAAGATACAATCGAGAAATTATGACTGCTGAAGAATTCGCTACTGCTGGTAGGTCTGTTAAAACAGGTTTAATTTCGGCAGCTGTTGTTTCTTCTTGGACTTGGGCAGCCACATTATTAACTTCAACCACCATTGTATATGACTACGGTATTTCAGGTGGATTTTTCTATGCTGCAGGTGCAACTGTTCAAATAACATTGTTTGCATGTTTGGCTATCAAAGGTAAAGAAAGAGCTCCTGGAGCTCATACATATTTGGAAATTGTTAAAGCAAGATATGGTACATTAACTCATTGTATCTACATTTTCTGGTGTTTAGCTACCAATATTTTAGTCACCACTATGTTATTAACTGGTGGTTCTGCTGTAGTAAATGATTTAACTGGTATGAATACGGTGGCCGCTTGTTTATTATTACCTTTAGGTGTTCTTTTATATACATTATTTGGTGGTATTAAGGCTACTTTCTTAACTGATTATGCTCATACTGTTGTTTTGGTAGTTATTATATTTGTATTTGCCTTTTCAACTTTTGCAACCAATAGTCAATTAGGTTCTCCAGGTAAAGTTTGGGAAATTATAACTGCTTTAGGAGAGACTAATCCAGTTGAAGGTAATGCTGGAGGTTCATATTTGACCTTGAGATCTAAAGGTGGAGGAATTTTCTTTGTTATTAATATAACAAGTGGATTTGGTACTGTCTTTTTAGATAATGGTTATTTTAATAAAGCAATTGCTGCAAATCCAAGAGCTGCTTTACCAGGATATGTTTGTGGTTCATTAGCTTGGTTTGCTATACCATGTTTAATATCAGTAACAATGGGTTTAGCTGGTTTAGCCTTACAAGATACTCCATCTTGGCCAACGGCCCAACGTTTAACTCCAGCTCAAGTATCAGCAGGATTGGTATTACCTAATGCTGCAGTTGCGCTTTTAGGTACTGGGGGTGCAGTTGCATCTTTATTATTGGTATTCATGGCATGTACTTCTGCCTTTTCAGCGGAATTGATTTCCGTTTCTACTATTTTCACTTATGATATCTATAGAGGTTATATTGATCCTAATGCAGCTGGTCAAAGATTAATTTGGGTTTCTCATATTACTGTTATTATTTACACATATGTAATTGCAGGATTTGCTATTGGATTATACTATGCTGGAATTTCAATGGGTTACTTATTTGAATTGATGGGTACTATTGTTTGTGGAGGAGTTTTATCAGCTTCTTTAACATTATTATCTAAGCATCAGAATCATGCTGCAGCAACTTGGACTCCACCAATAGCTACTGCCTTGGCTGTTATGTCATGGTTAGTGGTAACTAAGGTTAAATTTGGAGCAATTAACGTTAATACTACCTATGAAGATATAGCTATGATGACCGGAAATGTTGTTGGTTTATTATCTCCTATAGTTATTATTCCAGTATTAACTATTATATTTAAACCTCAGAATTTTGATTGGGAGATATTGAAATCCATTAGAAGAGTTGAAGAAGATGAAGAAATACTGAAAGCTATACGAAATGTAGATAGTAAGAAAGGTGACATTGAAGTCAATATTCATCCGGTTAAATCTCAAATCAGTATTATTGCTAGTGAAATAGCGGAAAGAAACTACACGCAATTAGAAGAAGAAGAGCAATTATTGGCTAAATCTTATAAGAAGGCTGTTGTGATCTGCAGTGCTTTAACTCTATGTCTTTTAATTCTCTGGCCCATGCCAATGTATGGCTCTTCTTATATCTTTTCCAAGCAATTCTTTACTGGCTGGATAGCTGTCCTTTTTATCTGGATGTTTTATACTGCTTTCATGGTAGTAGTATATCCAATTTGGGAGGGAAGGGAAGCGCTATATACAACTTTCAGAGGAATTTATTGGGATTTGACGGGTCAAACCTATAAGTTGAGAGCATGGCAAGAGGCTAATCCTGAGAAGTTACATGTTGTTCAATCACAGATAGCGGCTCATATGTTAGCTAGTAGTCAATCAAGAGGTCAAATCGTTTATGAAGGTACAACTCCTTCGGGAGGAACACTAACTCCCACGGGTATTGATGAGAAGTTAGCTAAAGAGTATTAGATAGATTTATTCATACAAGGCAGCTTTATTTAGTTCGTTTCTATTAAATATATCAGATTAATGTCTTTAACTTGTATTCCAAAACATTGGATATTCTGAAATTGTAGAGTGAGTTTATATGAGTATATATACTATTACAATCCTTTTGTGTATCTCAGTTAATCAAATACTTGACTATTATTTTGACTCTCTTCGTGCATTATTCGAGACAACTCAAGGGCTAATTGCAAATCCTCGTCTTCTTGATTTTGACTATTGGCTCGTGAATTAACCTTGCTATCATGATAGCTTTCACTCAAAGCTATGGCTAAGGATATATCGTCATCATTTTCTACCTCTGCGTTATATTCTTCTCCATTGAATTTCTCAAATAACTTTCTAGACTCATTCTGAGAATGTATGTCACTATAATATTCCTCTTCTTGTTCTCGTATCTTATTTTTTGTATCGAGACTTTTACTATTAACTTGACTACGTTTTGATTTCTTGGGGTTCTGATTCAATGACGTGAGTGATGCTTCACCAAATTGGAAGTATTGCATAGAATCTCCACTAACTACAATCCCATTGGCTTGATCTATATCTTCATTCAATATTATTTGACTAACTGGTATAACTTGTTCATACATATGTCTGAATGTCTTGGGGAATTTTACTGTTAAATCTCGAACAAATAGTCCAGTATACACATCATAAAGTCGACAAACTCCACTGTAACCACCCACGGCAATGAATAATCCATTTAATGAGATCGAAGTGATTTGAGGTAAATTTAAAACATTCAATGTATGTTGAAGTGAATGATAACTTTTGCCATGATTTAATTCTGGATAAATAGTAGTCATGGGTACGATATCAGACCCTTCATTATTTCCACTTCTTATATTCCAGATTATTATACTATCATCAGATAATAGATTAGCAAACAATAAACCATCCAGTCCAACTATATTATTGTTTCTACTACTACCTGATCTATTAGGTAGAACCCCTTGCATGGTAGATCGACGAATAGTTTTAGAATTATCAAGTTGAAGAGATCTTTGTAATATATTATTCAAATCTCGGAAATTATATGTTTTAATTGTATTTACATGACATACCACAATATTGAAATCTCCAAAGTCAACGTCAAGACTATTTTTAGATTCATTGATAGTTTGATAATATGAAAAGCTAGTAGTATCACCTAATTCTATAGTAATACCTAATTCAAATGATTTGACTATGGTTAAATTTATTAAATCAATTATATGAATATGAGTATTTGTATTAATAATTACCCATTTTTTAAAATCTGAAGCAATATTTAGAATGATTTCATTAGTCAAAGTAAATGATTTGAAAAGGTGACCCTGTAAACTACGAATTTCCAAACTTCCTCTATATGAACCAGATATTATATCCATATGTTTATATTTGGCAGAAGCTCCTGGATTACTAATAATACACATGATAGGACTTGAATCTTCATTTATTTCTGGACGAATTAATTTTGTAGATGAACTAGTAGAATAAGGATTGGCTGTAGATAAATTTTTATATACAACTTGACCATTCATTTTACCTAATAATAAATAATCTGGATTTAAACAATGAGATACTATTTCAAAAGCTGTAGTTATACCTCCAGGTATAAAAGATTGAGCTTTACCATTCTTTAAAGTACATGATGTAATATTACCAAATCTCTTGGAGAATACCATTAATCTTCCCAATCTATTATTAACTTGGAAATTAGTTAAATATGAATCATCAGATCGATATTCACTATCATATAATTGATAAGAATTATGTAAAGCTATACCTTTCTTCCATTTCTTTAAGTAATGTAATCTAGTAAAATATTCGGTAATCCAATTACTGGAATTTGATAATGATGGGAAGATTCTCGGAGTATGAAACTTTAAACTAAATGAATTTGTCCATGTCTGTTTATCATTCATAACAAAATCCCATCTCTTACATACAAGTCTAACTTTATTAAGTTGAATAGGATCAAGATTAGAGAATATAGTCACGAGAACTTCATTGGGTAAATCATTCACATGGACTAAATTTCGTAAAATTACCGGTTTTTTCAATCCAGAAACGACAGTGTTTCCAAGTTGATCGACAACTTGGTATACACCATCGCCTGTTGCATTTGCAATCATCATAGTTACCGTTAGAGATGACAATACATCATATATACAAACAGGATCTACAATATTTATTTATGTGTCAGAAGATATTCCTGCACACGCGCCTCCACACCTGCTAGAGTTATTGCCGAACTATAAGCCGAAGACAAACTATGGTTGTGTCTTGTGGTCAGACAACCAGGGGTTGCTGATACTCCTCCGGCTGGATGCGGAATTGATTACTGTTCATTTGGTTGTTATTGTTGCCAGTGATTCTAATGTATGGTTGTTAATCTGCTCAGACCACTGATTGAAGACAGAGTCTTATTTGTTTATTTAGTTGATTATTTCTTTGCTTTTGCTTTTAGCTTTTTGCTTTTTGCTTGTTTGTTTATTATTTACGTAATTACAACTCTCTTTGTTTACTTGGTACTGCTTATCGGTATTCGTGTCTGTCTGGTGGACCACGTTGTCGCACGCATGTCAACACCGGGCTGCAAAATACCCTTTCGGGACTAGCGATGATTATGGGCTATTTCAGACACTGTTTCCAGACACTCTCTTCAGACACTTTATAGTGACGCACTTTTGTCGTATCTACACTCTTTATCCGTTAATGGTGTTGTCGGTACAGCCGTTCCATCACATCGGTAAGTAAATACTGCAGATGAAGAGTGCATGTAAGATATCTAACACTAAACATTTGACCCTTCATATTACTAGACCATAACTGACCCTCTATCCAGTTCATTCCAACAATTTCTTCTGCTGTTGCCGCTGTATCCGTTCTGTCCTATCTATCTCACCGCTCTTCGCTGACTGCAAAAAAATATGTCGGGGAACCTCCCAGAGAAGCTTCGTCCACCGGCCGGAAAAAAAGTGAAAAATTTGAAAAATTATGGTTATTACCATTCCAACTGCAAAATACGTATTACTTATTGCTGGTAACGATGTCGGACGATACTAATTCCGGAGTGGAAGAACAGCAAGTAGGTAAGGAAATCAATCTTCTGGTGGAATTACCAAAGTTGTTGAATGCTGGAGACAATTTACTCATTCCATCCAACTCAGAAGAAACCTTGAATGATTTAAAACAATCATTATTGATTATTCCTATCACTAAAAATCTTACTAATTATAACTTATTCTTTCAAAATATTAATTTAACTGAAACCTTTGATTCACTCACTACTTTTGGTCAAATTATTGAAGAATTAAATGTACAAGTGGATACTGAATTAAAATTAATTGTAAAGGAAAAGCCATATACTTTAGCTGCAGTTTATGAACAAATCTCGAGATTTAGAGAAGTTATTGGTTTACATTATATTGATAGAACTGCAGAAGACACTGCTGCTTCTAGAGGTGTAAGTGTTTTCAATAATTTAGAATTATCACCAATTTCTGAACCTGTATCAGAAGATAACTCAGAAGAAACCGATAAAGATAAAGATAAAATTCAAATCTCTGAAGATAATTTGAAAATTCTTTCAACTGTTAGTGATGAAATTTCCAACATTTCTATCAAGGCCAATTTCCATCCTAAATTTGACAGTATTAGTGATAAATTGAAAATTCCAATTAAATCATTAACTATTTCTCAATGGTCTCCTGTACCTTCATTTCAACAAAATAAAGGTGACTTATTGTATTTAACTTTACAATCATTAGAAGGAGAAATATTTAATATCACCTGTCATTATTCTGGATTCTTTGTTAACAGATCCTCATCTGCCAATTTTAATCCTGAATTAAAAGTTCTTGAAAAGGGTAAGTTCTTTAAACATTTTATTTTGTATAATTTAGTTGAACAAATCTCTTCATTATTTGGTAAGACCATTGAAGAAAATGAAGTTAGATTATCAACATCTTCTGAACATCCAGAAACTTATTTATTACCTCAAAATTCTACTTTAGCTAGACCCTGGATTGTTGATACCAAAACTCTTACTCATAATCCAGATGGTTCAAGATCTCAATTACCATTGATTTCTAATGGTGTAGATGGTTCTGATTATGTTAAAGATTGGAATGAAGATATTCAATCTATTCGTGATTTACCAACTTCAACTATTCAAGAAAGAGTTCTTAGAGATAAATTAATTCAAAAATCATTTCATGATTTTACTAAAGTTGCTACTGAAACTGCCATTAATATCATTAAAGGTAACTTAACTCCAATGAATCCTAATGAAGAATCTGAAAGACATATATATTTAAAGAATGGTATATTCTATTCTTCTAGTGCTACTACTGCCGATGTATATGAAGAATCGGGAGCTGATGAAGCTGCTAGATATGTTGCTATTAAGGATTTGGCTGGAGTTAAAGCTATGAATAGAGCTGATATAAGTGGAATTCATAATTTAGTTACTGCTGTAGTTGATTATATGGGTAAAAGAATCATTTGTCAAGCTCCAGTTCCTGGTATTTTCACTTCTAATGTTGAAGGTGAAGAAGATGAAAAAGTTGTTTATGGTTTATCTACTGATGGATCTAAGATATTAGAGGATGAATCCTTTGAAGGACCATTAAAATCCATTGCTGAAGTCTTTCATTTAAAGGCTCACAAGGTTGAAGTCAATGAAGATATAAAATCAAAGGGTGAATTAGTTGTTTCTAAGGATACTAAAGGTATTAGAGGTTCTGATGGACGTAAATATGTTATTGATTTATTCAGAACTACTCCTCGTGATATTACATTCACAGAAGCTAACTTTGATTTATCAAGGGAAGATTCTTATCCTCATGGTGAATCACTTATTAGACATGAAGCTATAGCTGAATGGTGGAAACGTAAAGCTTCAGCATTATTCAAAGCTGAAACTGAAAGATTAGAAAAGGAAGGTAAGACTCTTGAAGGTAAGGATGGAGAAAAACCACAAATTGTATTACCAACTGATCAAATAGTTTTCAATCCAGATGCATTTAATGTTGCTGGAGAATCAAAGGAAGATCAAGCAGAAGTTCGAGATATTTCTGATTTTATTAAAGAACATTTAATTAAGGAATTCTTGGATAGTTTTGCTGAACAACTTGCACCATTTGATGGAACTCAATTGACTGATTTATTACATAGAATTGGTATTAACTTGAGATACTTGGGTTATATTGCTGAACAAGCATTAGTTAAGAAGAATGAAGCTATTGAAAAGAATGAAAAAGTCATTGCAGAAAATGAAAAGGAGATTGAAAAGAGAAAGGCTGAATTAGAAGCTGAAAAGGCCAAGCAAGAAGATAAGAAGGCTGAAGCTGAAGCTGACAAGGAAGAAAAAGAAAAGGAAGAACAGGAAGAAGAATCTAAGGCTTCTATTGAACAAGCTGTTGCCAGTTTTGATGTTCTTTACAAACTTTCCGTCCAAGAAATGATTGCTAGAGCTTCTAAACATATCTTACGTAAATTGGCCAGCTCATCATCTCCATTGTTATTGACTCATTTAGTCTCACATTTCCACAACTGTTTATTGGGTAAGGCAGTCAACTCTAAGCCAGTTGCTCAAATTGATGAAACCCTCAAATCTTTCTTAACTGAAGAACAATACGGATTCGTTAATCTCACCAGTGAATCTGTTCATGAACTTGTTTCTAAGGAAGTTTTCTCTCGTTTCAGATACCAATTACCAACTGGTTGGGAAACTTCTTTGATTAGCTCTGCTCAATTATTAAGAGAAATCGCCATCAAATTCGGTATTCAATGGAAATCTCAAGATTATGTATTTACTGCGGAAGAATTTGAAGCTACTAAGGATCAACTTGCTGTTAAGTCTAAACAAATTGAAGTTGGTAACAATAAGAAGAAAGGTAAGAAATCAGCCTCTAAGACTAACGTAATTGAAAGTATTATTGTTGAAAGAGATTCTATTTTTGTTGCTGAAGATATCGTTACATTCGTACCAAACGTTAAGGACTCTTCTTATAGACCATCACTTCTTGATGAAATTTTCCAAGGAGTTAGATCTAATCTCTCTGAAGAGCAAAAGGAATTAGGATTCTCACTTTTGAATGAATTACTTTCCATTAATGAACAAATTTATGGAAGAGTTCATGTTGAAACTTCTAAGCTTTATCCAAGAGTTGCCCAAATTTATTCTGATCTTGGTGATGATAGAGAAGCTGCTCTTCTTGCTCGTAAGGCTATTATTTTAGCTGAAAGAGCTAGTGGGTTTGATTCCTTTGAAGCTATTAATGCCTATATGAATGCAGGTTATTATGAATCTGCTACTTTAAACTTGACTAATTCTTTCAAATTATATCAACATGCTATTAATACTTGGACTTCTGTCTTTGGTAGAGATCATCCTGCTTTAATTAATACTTTAACTAACTTAGCTGATAATTTATTCAAAGTCAATTTAATTAATGAAGCTGCCAAATTATTTGAACAAGCTCTTGAATTATCTATCAAACTCAATGGAGAATTCTCTCAAGTTAATGGTATTATTTACTACCGTTTAGCAAGTTTATTATTGAATGGTGGTAAGTTTAAAGAGGCATTAGAGAAATATGGAAAGGCCGAAGAAATTCTTAACAAGACCCTTGGTCCTTATGATTCTTTATCTAAGCAAGCTTCTAAATACGTTTCCTCCCTTACTACTTATCAAGAATACGTTAAAGTACAAGAACAACAAAAGAAGAAACAAATTGCTGAACAAGCTGCTGCTACTGGTAACAATAAAGTCAGAGTTAAATCTGCTGCTGAAATCTCTTCTGCTGCCGCTGCTTCCAATGGTAAGAAATCGGGTAAGAAATCATCTCCATTACCAGATCCAGAAATTGCTAACAAATCAATTGATGATATCTTAAAATTCATTGAAGGAAACCAACCTTCCAAATCCAAAAAGAATAAGAAATCTAAGAAATAAGAAAAGAAATACACCTGTTTATATAAAAGAACGTTTAAATAATCTGTACATAGTTGGCACACATATACGTTAGTAAATATAGTTCATTTTTATTGTCATTACGTAAATCTAAATAAAGTCTATTCCTGAGGGTGAGAATGAGAATGAGAATGAGTATGAGTATCACTATGACTATCAGTATCATATATGTTTTCATTCTTTTGAGATCCTTGAGGCACAAATCTAACAAATATGTTCTTTCTGAATTTATCAATTAAACGAATACTGGTTTTAATTTTATTTTCAATATCATTCAATGTCTGAAGATCAAGATGTTCATCGGTACTTAAAACCTTTACAAATATATTTGTATTTGCTCCTGTATTTAATACCGATAACAGTGATAATTTAAGCTTATCGTGTAATTCTAATTCAATATTCACTAATTCTTTGATACGATCATACTCTTCAGTTCCCGGTTTTTCACCTCTATCTATCAATTCAAACCATGCAGTCTTGAAACTTCCCCATCCTGCTCTAATAATTAACATTGATACACAAATTCCTCCGATGGAATCCAACCAAGCAATATTAAATAATACTCCACCAGAAACAGTAAGTAACGCTACAAATGCTGTTAATGAGTCTACTCTATGATGCCAAGCATTGGCTACTAAAACTTTAGAATTAGTAGCAGTGGCTATTTTCATAGTCTTTCTAAAAAGTAATTCCTTGACAATGATTGAAGCACCTGCTAACCATGCAGCATTGATATTCGGAACTTCTCTTGTTATTGTAATTTCTTCTGTAATAGATGGTTCATGACTACTATGACTATGACTATGACCATGTGATTGACTATCATCATCTCCAAATGATAAGTTTGTATGAGAATGAGAATGACCAATCTGGATCAAGGAAACATACTCATAGATATAGTTGGGTAAAAATATTTCAAACACTTGAAGTAATGAAGACCAACCTACAGATATACCTGCTAAAAGTAATACTCCACTTACAAGTAATGAACCTACTGTTTCAATTTTACCATAACCTAGTGGGAACTTTGTTTCAGTTCCAACTTTTGATGATACAGATACAGTTGCCAATGTTAAGAAATCAGCAAACATATCTGATACTGAATGTATAGCATCGGCAATAAGGGATTGAGAATGGAAATAAATACCCCCTATACCCTTTGAACCGGCCATAACTACATTAACTAGTAATCCAATCCAGGTGATCCTTACAGCTGGGTTCTTCAAAGATCCCTTACCAATGGACAACAATTCATTGGGCTGATGATGGGCATGAGAATGGCTATGTCCAAACAAGCCATGAGATTCATCATGACTGTGTGTATGTGATTCATCGTGACTGTGAGAATGCGATTCTTCGTGACTGTGAGTATGAGACTCTTCATGACTCTGACTATGTACATCAGTATGACTATTGACCTCATTGGCCTTACCATCCTTACTCCGTGTTGATAGCACACGACGCGAAGACATTATTATAAACAGGTTTGATACAATATGTACAGGAGGAAGTGATACTTTATTATGCAAAAGATGAAATCTCCGAGATACTACAGGAGCATTCACTTGCACTATTGTTCTGCTAATGGATGCAATTACCGACATCATATTTTTTTCCTTAGCTAGATTTTGTGATGAACACAATTGAACAGTCTGGCAACTAGCGAACAACGTCAATTATTATCACCACTTCGCAAAACCTTTGGCTTATGTACGGCAGTAATTGTTTCCAATAGAAAAATTTCACCGCAACTAATTGTTAGACAATGTTGATAGTGGTGATCTGACTTTTTTTTGCCTCTATTGCACTACGAGTAATTCGTTACCGATCACGGAGCTACTCCTATATTATTTAGATTACTATATACTATACAACACATAATTAAGCAAATAAACTACTGATATCTTCAATAGTACTCTTTTCTCTTCCAGTAGGTGGAGCAACAGGAGCAACTGGTGCAGCAGGAGCTCCAAACGTCGTAGGAGCTCCAAATGTTGAAGCACTAGCAGTCGCAGTTGTTGCAGTCGCAGTCGCAGTCGCAGTCGCAGTTGTTGCAGTCGCAGTCGCAGTCGCAGTCGCAGCGGATGTACTACTACCACTACCAGTCACTGGCTTACTACTTACTTTTGCTAGCTTTCTAAGAATGATAGATTTCTTCTGAGAATTATGTAAGCTTTCTTCTAATTGATGAGTAGGATGCCTTAAATGCATAAAGTTACAAATATCTCCTCTAGCACAGTTTGATTCTTCGTAAGCACGACATGTAGCATCATCAATCTTATCAACTGGTGATAAATCACAATACACTGGTTTTCCATTATACCATTCTTGGTTTAATATGGCAGCAGCACGAGCAGCTTCCTCTTTACTATGATATGTAACATAAACATTCCCATTTAAATGATTATTCTCATTTTCACATACTGCAAGTTCCACTACTTGACCAAGAGAGGCAAACTTTATAAATACATCCTCATAAAAGTGATCAAAAGTTTTCTGAATCTGACCATCATCTACATGAGTGTCATTCTTGTTCAACTTTGGATTCTGATATAAGTTTGGTAGTATTATAACATTAGATGATGTTGGCTTGACATGATTTCTAGAACATTTCTCTCCGTGTCTACAAGCCCCTATTCTACTGTAAAATTGACAGTTCAACCTGGAACCATCCAGGGCTGTGATATTCTTATGGACTACCTCTCCTGAACTTCCACGTTGTGTTAAGGTATAACTCATTTTGCTTTTGGTATAGATCTGCACTATGAAACAAATGTGTAATTAGACTTGTAACATCTTTTTTTTAAGACTGAGAATATTAAAAAAATAAAATAAAGACTGTATTGAGGCTATATACTATATATAGAGAATTATATAGAGAATTATGGTAACGAGTCGATACTGGCAAACACACTTTCGACATATGAAATAGGTGTCCAATTAAAGGCCTTGACTGCCTTAGCATTAGTAGTATGAGTTCTTTTATCTAATAATGGAACTACAAGCTTTAAAAGAGGTACGAAAAGAGCCAAAGTCCGTAAGAGCCATGATGGCAATACTCTTGTAGGTAAGTTTGAAATTTTAACCTTATTGTTGATATTATTTGCTGGAATTGCATAGTGTTTTCTGATAGCTGTAGCAAGATTAATAAAAGGATAATCTTCTTCATCATTAGAGTCTACTATGTATCTTTGATTCTTAGCAAATGGTTCAATCATACTTCTGTATGTAATATAAGCAACATCTCTTACATCGACTCCACTGAAATAAATTCTAGGTACTCCAAATTTCATCTTTCCATCAACCAAGCTCTTAATAATAGCTTGGGCAGTAAGGGAAACCTTACCAGGAATATTGGGACCATAAATTGCAGGAGGGTTAATAACAGAAACTTCTACTGGATGACTGGAATTGACATTCTTTTCAGATTTTACCCAATCCCAGACGGCAAACTCTTGCATAAGTTTTGATTTAGAGTAAGCATTTGGAACATCCTTTGGTGTGGAGAAACATTTCTCATTTGCTAATGGTGGAACTCCAGTTACAGGATCAGGTTTACGTCCATCGTATTTAACAGCTGCACAAGATGACATAACAACAACACGCTTAACATGATATTTCAAAGAAAGGTTCAAGATTCTCAATGTCCCTTCGACGGCAGGCTTGACCATTTCATCTTCTGTTGAATCATGTTCACCAATAGGAGAAGCAATATGTAAAATGAAATCAACACCATTAATTGCTTCATCCCATCCACTGTCTTTACTTAAATCTGCAGAATAGTAAACTAAATTTGATTCCAATAATTCTGGAGTCACCAATTGGAAAGTTTTCCCAGTATCTTCTTTCCCCTTAACATGATCGTATTTATTCAAGGCGACCAAATCTTTATTCAATTCTTTAGATCTATCTAAATTTCTAACAGTGGTACGTACACTATACCCTCTTTGTAATAATTGGAATATTGTAAATGTAGCAACAAAACCAGTACCACCGGTAACCAATACTAAATGGTTTGCAGCCATATTAATTAATTAATTAATTAATCTTACTCTCCAATCTTTCACTATTATGTTAAAAGGAGGAATTACTCACATTTTTATATTGCGTCTGTATTCTGTGGTTCTACTATTCTTTTATGTTAAGATATATACATTAGGTCTATCGACTGGGTTATTCTATAGAGATTGTATATGGCGCCCTTAACTCCGTTTTGAATTGTTTACAAAAGTCGAATTTTTAAAGTTATTGCGGAACATAATTAACTTCCATCTTGAAATGTCAACAGAGATGCATAGATATTGTGGTATGCAAATGTGTCGCAGCATGTATAGGTTGCGAAAATGGCCGGTTAACTCCGTGTAAAAGCTCTTTAAATCATTTCCTTACACCAGCGAAATGTGCAAGATCACAACATTTCAGGAATACTTCAGAAATAATACAAGTGAACTGTTTTGATTGATTATTTGTAATCGAAGTAGTATGACCAGTTCTTTGATTTGTTCAAATTTGGATAAACTTTCGGACAAAGTTTAGAAAACCGACATTATTTTAAATCCGAATGAACATCCAACATCAGAACATTTTCCGAGGGTTTAAATACTGAACAGGTAAGTACCGAAGTAAATCCAATACAATAATTCTGTTTCTTCGGTTATATCTATTGGAAATCAATTTACTCTACCGAGCCTCTCTAATGTATGAACATTTGCAAGACTCTTCTTATTAATATGATCGCAGAGTGCAACTGGCTCGAAAAATACTACAATTATGACTTACATGTTTTATAAGATAATTGTTCAAGTGAATTATACCGAATATATGTCGTTTTATTGTATCTGCTATTTATTTAAAAATTTAATAACAATGAGAGGTAGAAAACAGACTGCTATAAATCAAGCCTGATACATACTTACTCAAAAATAATAAGAAGAAGTAATTACATCGTATCTATTGTTGCAACCACACATTCTTGGATTGTAATTGGTTTCCAATTAAATGCTTTAACTGCCTTGGCATTTGTGGTATGTTTGGTAATATCTAAATATGGTACAATGGCACTTAAGGGTGTAATAATATAAGACACTACACGAACAAACCACGATGGTAATTCTCTTGTTGGTAGCTTTGTAATATCCACTTTCCCATCTTTGTTATTCTCTGGGATTGAATAATATGAACGGATCATTTCAGCAAATTGAAGGATTGATAAATCTGGCTTATCAGTAGCATCTATAATATATCTTTGATTTTTAGCAATCGGTTCAGACATTCCTCTGTATGATAAATAAGCAACGTCTCTTACGTCCACAGCACCAAAGTAAAGCTTGGGAGCTCCAATTTTCATTTTCCCATCAATTAAATTTTTGACAACAGCAGTGGCAGATTGAGAAAGCTTCCCAGGTACGTTTGGTCCATAAATTCCAGGAGGTGCCAATACGGTTACCTCTACCGGTTTGGATGATTTAGTATTTTTATCCGATTTGATCCATTCCCAGACAGCCTTCTCTTGGTAGAGTTTCGATCTACTATAGGAGTTTGGAAGCACTTTTTCTGAAGAAAATACTGATTCATCCAACAAAGAACCGGATGGTAATTCATTATAAGTAACAGCAGCACAAGAAGATAAAACGACAACTCTTTTGACGTTGTATTCTAAGGCTAAATCTAGAATTCTCTTGGTACCTTCGACTGCTGGAGTGACCATTTCTTCATCGGTACTTGGTCCTGTACTAATGGGAGAGGCAATATGCAAAATATATTCTACACCTTCGATAGCTTCTTTCCATCCAGCAGATTTATTCAAATCTGCTGCAAAGTATGTTAATTTTTTATTCAACATTTCAGAGGTGAGTTTTTCAAAAGTCTTATTTTCATCACCATAACCTTTGACATGTTCATAAGAATTTAATCCAAGTAAGTCCTTGTTCAATTCTTCAGATCTGCCAATATTTCTGACTGAAGTACGGACATTATATCCTCGTTGTAATAACTGATACAAGGTGAAGGTCGCAACATAGCCGGTTCCACCAGTAACTAATACCAAATTTTTCACAGCCATTCTTATAAAGAGGAATACAAAAACAGGTAATTCTAGAAATATCGAGTGTCTCTTATAGTACTCAAAAGAATATTTGCAATAATATGTCAATGACTTGTAATTATTTGTAATATAAGTTTGCCGTATAGGTGAGCAGTAGACTTGGACATAAAGAAAACTATCAAGTAGTTTGCAATCCCCACTGATTAATTTTTGTCTATATGCTTGTAAAATGTCGTGCAGGGATACAATGTTTATGTTTCGGAGCTAGGTTGACTTGATTTTTTTCCGTTGTAAATAGTGACACAAACCTAAAGAGGACATTTTGCGACTGCAAAAATGATATTCATAGTGGTTACTGTAATAGGCATTATATTTAACTATGAAACGCAAATTAATATGTATTAGAAAATTTCACTATATAGATAATATCAAGAATTAAAATAAAAATAAATACCACAACCTACTTCTTCTCATCAGAATATTCTAAAGACTCATCCTTCTCTCTACCGTCAATGACATCAGGAGTATCTCCGTATGTAATGTCAGACTCATCAATGTTACTCTTAGGACCAACATACCACTTATGAGCATCAACAACGAACCAAATAGAAGCCATAAGTAATGGACCAAAGAAAACAACAGCTGTCCAGTTCATTGATTGTGCATTCAAATCTGATCCTGTTGTGTATGGGAAACATAAAATTGGAATCATGACCAACACGAATGCACATGATACGGCACCAATAGGAGTAGAAAGTCTTCCAAGATTCCAAGGACCAGGTTGGAAAGTATTTCTAGCATAAGTGATCTTTAATAATGTAGGCATAGTAAAGGAAACAAAACCAGCAATACCACCCACTGAGAAAATAGCTCCAATAGCAGTATCACCTGCAAACATTAATAACAAGAATAATTGACCAAGAACTACATTAACCCAAACAGCAATAATAGGAGTCTTGGTTAATGGACTGACTATTTTCCACCATTTAGAACCTGGAAATAAACCATCTCTTGAGTAAGCCCATGTCACTCTTGAAGCAGCTAATAAACAAGATTCACCCATAAAATAAGAAGAAACAATAGTAAAAGCAGTCGCAGCAATAACCATATCTTTTTTCATAATCTGCGTTAGATACAGGACAAATGGCTGACCTAAGCCTTCTGGATCTGCAGCGATCAAATCTATGTCAACTAATGTGTAGGAAATCGCGATCATAAAAATAAATCCGATTACACCACCTACAGTAGAGGTTAAAACGATTGCTTTAGGGGCTGCAATATTAGCATGTGTGGTCTCTTCGGCAAGATGAAAGGGCGAGTCATAACCGGACATAGCCCAAATGACTCCCAAGAACGACATCAACATGGCGATCCCTTGAGGAAAGTCGGTCTGATTTTCCAAAGACCATGCAATTGAGTTTGGATTGAATTTTGGGATTGATCCGTCGTACATAGCGACGCGGTCGTTACCAGCAAGGATCATGATGAAGACTATAACAAGGAAGAGGATATTGACAATGGTACCTAAGGAATTAATTCTGGCAGCCCATAAAGTTGGTAAAGATGCAATAAATCCATGAGTGACGTTAATTGCGGTAGTTAAACCATAAATTTGACCATTTGTTGGTACATAGTCAGGTTGACAGTAAGTTCTTAAAGCCAACATCATACAAGCACCCGAATAGTTTACTGAAGGCATACCAGTAATTTGACATAACCAATTAGCCCAACAAGTTAACCATGTTAAATATGCTTTATATTTTGGTGGGGCTAATTGTGATACTGCATATGGAGTACCAGTAGAAACCGGGAAGGCAGAAGCAATTTCAGCCAAACTGTAGGCAACGGAAGTGACGAAAAACACTGCTAAAAGCCAAGGAATTGGCGACATACCAATAACCAATTGTTGGTAGTCGAAACAAGCGGCAATAGAAGGTAACAAACCAAGAACAGAGAATGATACGGCAAAGATAGACCATAAAGAGAATTCTCTATCGAATTCTTGTTTATAACCCATAGCCAAAACCATGGCTTCATCATTATCTACCATATGATCGACATTGATAGTGATATCTTTATGGGACAAAATAGAAGTGACATGGACGTTATCAACATGGACTTGAGAAGTAATTGGACCCAATTCTGGGTCAGCCTTAGAGTAAGACACTATGGGATTAATACTTTCCGAACTCATTATATAAAATTATTGATAGTAATTATTTAAGATTGCAAGATAGTATCAAATGATCTATGATAGTTGTTTGCATGAAATTGAAGGGTAGGTAGTTCAAACTGAAGTAAGATCTATATGTATGTTCAAGACTAAATTAGATCCGCAGATGAGATGAGTTAAATTAAGTGTAATGCAATTAAACCAAGTTAAATGAAATGAATTATAAAATTGAAGTAGAATTGAATATGAGGAATTGAAGTGCTTGATAGGAGGTATTTAATTCTTGGTTGGTTAATAATTAAATCACTATAAAAAAAGGAATAAATGTAAAGAAAGTGGGACAGAGCCTCTACTTATATATAAAAAATGCAAAAGAGGTTTGGTAAACTGTTTTAGTATGATAACGGTATTAATTGATATGATTAATTATTTGATGGATTTCGGGGTAAAATTTTATAGAGATTAATTATTACTTTAAAAAAAAAAAAAACCTTATCAAAAACAAAAAAAAATTAATAAAATAAATAAAATAAAATAAAAAAAGAAATTTCCGCTTGTAAAAACTTGACTTTAAATGCGTTACCGCGGTCAAGAATTTCCTAAACAGTACAACTAAAAGATGATTGACATTTAAACATGGGAAACCGATATGCTCTGAATATAACGATTATAATATGAAGGAATAGGTTGAGAAATAATTTAGATGATACGTAAGACAGATAGATAGATAGATAGTTGGATAGATAGATGGATATTATTGCGATGCCTTAGATTGCAAGAAATGTTTGAAACAAAATTTTGTTGACTTCTTTGATTTCTTTTGCTACAGTGATTTACCATTTTTTTTGTGAACCTTCTACTTATTGTTATGCTACAAGACGAAATTATCTTTCATTACCTTTACCAACTAAACTAAGCACAGCGGCTCAGATGGCGCTGGTATGTTGATGAACCCCTCTAGGGCGCAATTATTATAGTAGTTTACTTCCCTAATTGAACAAAAGACGCTAAAAAGTATAATTTCATGAAACTTGAGAGCCCCTCTTGCACATTGTTGCTGACTATTTTTCAGATTTTTTTTTGTATACTTGTAAGGCAATTTAGCAGGGTGCAAGTTATATTTTTAAAAACTGGATAATGCTTTCCTTACTTACTTAAGGAAGTAGTCACACGCTAATTATCCACTCTTATCATCACTATGTAAAGTTATGTCTCTAATTATTCGTAGTAATGTGATGTACGGATCCTCACGATTGGACGGTAATAGAACCTTGTGGCGAAAGACAGACAGATAGGGAAGCATCATATAATAAATGTAATTATCGAAATGAAAATAACAGTAGTAATATGTACTCTAAATTAATTATTATACTATGTATTTCTGGTTAGCCAATAAGACAGCTCAATATTTGTGAGATAAAGTCGCAATTTAAGCGGCACTACGAGAAATAAAATTAAATAATAAATTTTAATTTCATTTATTTTTTTCTTTTTTTTTTTATCACAAAATTTTTTTAATCTGGTTTACCTCTGTTTTGATCCTCAAGGACGCATTGAAACCTTCCAAATACAGTAGGGAATATCTTGTTCATCACATTATCTTCAGCTAAATTGCAAATCTTTTCTTGGACCCCCCTTTTTATTCCATATGTTTGCTTATACTTGCTGTTTGTATCGATTTCTCCCCCAGATCATAAGTCATATTCATTCTGTCGTGTCTCTTTTATCAGTTACAATGTGATGCTGAATCTAAGCGGTAGAAGCCCATTATGTACAGTACTCCGAATTATCGATTAGATAACAGTTACAAGTTTAAGTTAGCTGTTTATTTAATCGTTTATTGTTATAATTACAGTAATTAAAAGCATTAATTACAAATGATCACTGTTGTACATGAGTGGCAGAAATTTCAAAACCTTAACGGTTAAATAAGCTCCGTACCATTGGTGGCCCCCTTCCACACGCACTTTCAAGGGCCGTTTAGTTCATTAATGGTATTTAATTTGAAGAGGGACAGCATTGTCTTAGTCGGAAAATGATTTCTCTATTGCTGATCTACTTCAATATTCTATTCCTCCTTTGATCATTATTCGATAACTGTCTCTACCTAATTAGGGCTTAACCTCGATGCAGTATTGAATGCGCACTTATCCATCCAATTGCCCTTTTAGGAGTATGCCGCGAAAGCTCTCCTCTTAGGTGCAAAAGTGGAGATTCAGTAGAGAATACTACAAGCAGTATTAAAAGTTGCGTCCTATATGTAAGTGTTCTCCGTATTTATTACTAGATTTAGAAATACTTATTTCGCTTCCAATACAAATAAGAACTATTTTCTTTGTTTACTAGTTGCTTCTGAATGCATCATACTGTAATACTGCATTCAATAATACTTCAAGTCCAGTATGTATTTCTTCTGGTGAACTATACTCTTCAGGATTATGACTAACTCCATTTTTGGATGGAATAAAAATCATTGAAGTAGGAACTCTACTGTTAGTAGCACAAGAATCATGACCTGCTCCACTGATCATTTCTCTCACTTTATCCTTTCCTACAATGCTTATAGCACTGTCACGGACACAGTTAATACAATCAGAATGGAAATTGACAGCATTTGAAGTGTAAATTAATTCAAATTCAACTGAAAGATTTCTCCCAGATTCCTTTGAAATCTTGGGGAATTCATCTTTGATCTCTTCAAGAATTGCTGATAAACCGTCATCCTTTACATTTCTAACATCAATTATAAATTCTACGAATTCTGGAATGACGTTCACAACTGCTGGTTTAAGTGTAAATACCCCTACACTGAAAAGACAATTATGTTTCTTAGCTAATTCATTACCCTTGATTATCATTTTAGAGGCTGCTAAAATAGCATCTGATCTGGCAGCTAAAGGTGTCGTTCCAGTATGTTGAGCTTTACCGTAGACTCTAACTTTAAACCAAGAATAAGCTTGAACACCGATAACAATTCCAATCTTCTCATTAGCATCCTCTAATACTGGTCCTTGTTCAATATGAATTTCAAAATGAGCTGCAATTGGGTTGGTTTTATACAGAGCCTTAACTGGACCCAAATATCCAATTCTTTTCAATTCGTGTTCGACAGTTACTGGATCAATATCAGTCACCGATTGAAGTTTATAAGCTTGTTCTAAAGGAATTTGTTCAGACCAAACACTTGAGGCCATAATCGATAATGGAAATCTTGCACCTTCTTCATTAGTCCAGTTGATTAAAGCAATAGGATAATTTGGAACGAATCCATTTTCTTTAATAGTTCTCAATACTTCTAATCCTGATAGTACTCCCAACACTCCGTCATATCTTCCACCTGTAGGTTGAGTATCCAAATGAGATCCAATAGCTGTAGGTTTGGCATCATTATTCTTACCCGGGTATATGGCAAAAATATTTCCAATCTCATCAATTTTGACTTCACATCCTAAAGATTTAGTTTGTTCAACAAACCAATCACGAACACCCTTATCATAATCACTTAAGGATAATCGGCAAACTCCAGTTTGAGTTGATTCTGGACCCCAAACACCTTTTGCTCCGAATCTTTGAGCTGTCTCATGGATGGTATTCAATAATCTACCGGGTTTAATAGTTAAGGATCTGAAAGACATTATAATTATAGCACTAATTATATTAAGTTATATTAAGTTATATTAAGTTATACAGATTTTCGGAATTTTTCAGTTTTTTTCGGCGGACTTGAGCTTATCTATACTTTTTCTTTAGTGGGACTGGGTGTTTATTATCCTAATTAGTTTCGCTAAACGGTGCGGAACTCCAGTTCCTGAAAAAGATTAGCTGGCTTAATATGGTAATTTGCGTCTTTATACCCTGTACTAGCCGTTCCGTATAGATCCTATTATTCTTGGAAGCGCTTCAACAGTTTTACATTTAGTATAACAATCCAGTTTTAATTGATAATGTGAAATAGTAACTCTATATGTAACTCTATATGTATCTTTCTAATCCCTCTACATAATCATCACTTACCTCTACTTTATGGTGACTCTTTCCGTCTACCAGTGTGCCAATTACGGGGTAATTAAAAAACTTTATGCTGTGTGCAGGGCCGTCGTAATTTTTCAGTCGATATACGCGTGGAGTATGGAGATGAAGTAGACCCATATGGCCCTATACTCCACCTAAGACTAAGCCTTATAAGTGAAAAATATGTTTGGTTCGATTACGTTCAAGTGGGTAACACAATTGGTGGTGCTTGTGTCTCATATAGTTGGACTTTTCATCTTTTTAAGAGGATTTTTCCCCTCCAAAGTGGTTTTGCCGGGCTTTAATGGATTTTATGAATCAAGATCTCCCTTTGGTATCAATGACAAACCTCAATTTGATAAAGTAATATTTATGGTGGTTGATGCTATGAGATCAGACTTTTGTTTTTCCAATACTTATTCCCATATGACATTTCTTCATCAATTAATTAATGATGGTTCGGCTATACCGTATACTGCCTTTTCCAATCCTCCTACAGTGACATTACCTAGATTAAAGGGAATTACTACAGGAGGAACTCCTAATTTCTTGGATGCTATATTGAATGTAGCAGATGATAAAGATACTTCACAAGGTTTAAACAGCCAAGACTCATGGGTATTCCAATTTAAAAATTTGAATAAAACCGTCAACTTCTTTGGAGATGATACTTGGTTAAAATTATTCCCTGGTCTGTTCAATGAGTTTGAAGGTACTAATTCATTCTTTGTTAGTGATTTCACTGAAGTTGACAATAATGTAACTAGACATTTAGATACTCAATTAGATCCTAATAGTGCTCAATGGGATGCATTAATTTTACATTACTTAGGGTTAGATCATATAGGCCACAAAGGTGGACCAGACTCTGTATTCATGAAACCTAAACTTGAAGAAATGGATTCAATCTTAGCCCGAATCTATGATTATACATTGATTCGTAAAAGCGAATTCAAAGAGGATATCTTAATTGTATTCATGGGAGATCACGGTATGAATGATATTGGTAATCATGGAGCTTCATCTCCTGGAGAAACTAGTGCTGCTTTGACGTTCATCTCTCCGAAATTCTCCACAAATTTAAACTTGAACTTGTCATCTCCATTAGATCATGATCTGGACTATACTTACTACCACCGAATTAATCAGATAGATTTGGTACCTACGTTAGCAGGACTTTTGAACTTCCCTATTCCCAAAAATAACTTGGGTATAATGGTTCCTGAATTGTTAAAATTATGGTCCAATGAGAAGCAACAGAAGGCCATCTTATGGGAAAATTGTCAACAATTAATGGAATTATTTAAGGCAAAGTATGGTGACAATGATAGCGACTATGCATCGGTATGGAATAGTTGGAATTCATTACAAACTACTGTATCATCACTTGATTCATACTATGACTTGTTATATGAAGTCCAACAGATATTGGCATCTTCAGCCACTAATTATGACTATAATGATATATTTATGGGCTTTGGAATCATCCTTGTATCCACATCAGCAGCTCTTGTTACTTTCAACCAGTATTTTTTGAGTAATAAGAATATCCCCAAATCTTTGGTGGTCTATTTTGAAATATTTGCAGCAATCTATGCCTTACACTTTCATGGATCTTCATTGATTGAAGAAGAACATCAAATCTGGTTCTTCTTTACTATCGTATCATCCGTATTTATGCTTGGAGTGTCATTTAAATCATTCAACAAATTATCTCTCTTGTATTGGGGGATTATATTCTTAGGTATCAGACTTCTTAAGGCTTGGAATAATAGTGGACAAAAGTATTCTTATAAGAATACTATTGGAGCATACTTATTAAATCAGGATACAGATATATTATGGTTATTAATAATTGCTACATACATTATTTATTCTGTATGTCTATTCATTCAAGGAGGATTTTCAAGAAGTTTTGAATTCCTTAATCCTAACCCTAATCAAACTTCTTCTATGGATGTTAGACAGGCGGGAAGTCTTATTTCATTCATTGCTATTTTTGTTACCAGTTCAGTGGGTCTTCTGTTTAAATTATGTCAATTCTATAACGATGGATATGGACTTCCTAAATGGTTAAAGTGGGTATTCTTCTGGATCCTTGAAAATTATAATGTATCCCATAAATCAATTGATAGTGCTGATTTCAAATTTGCTCTTCAATCTATTAATACTCAATTATCTAGATTAAGTGGTTATTGTATTTTGGGATTATTGGCTATTAGAGTTTCTTTGGGTAAAGTGAAAAAGTTTAACATTGGAATTATTACTGATATACTGAATATTGTTACGTTATATCTAATTCAACAAACTAAATTTGAAAATATCCCTATATTCATTGTATTACTTGGTATTAAGTATGGGTTTGGACAATTAATTATTCAGAGTCAATCTAAGGGTACCAATATTGATCAACATATCTTATTAACTACAATTTTCACTATATGTATTCAAAATTTAACCTTCTTTTCTATGGGTAATACCAATCTGTTGGCAACAGTCGATTTATCAAATGCTTATAATGGTATACTTGAATATGATGTTATCCCTGTTGGAGTATTAACATTCATATCGAATTTTGTAGGACCCATTTACTGGTCATTGGCATCTTTACAATTAATCTTTGAAACTTCCAAGGTAAGATTCGAACAATATGGTGATAGTAAAGATCTTATCAACTTTAAGTTCTTAAAAACTTCGATTTTATTAATTAAAACTACTATAAGTACGTTGTTTTATGCATTGGCTGCAACCAATTTATTGGGATCTTGTATAAATTTACGATTTCACTTATTCATATGGACGGTATTTTCTCCTAAATTATTATACTTTGCCAGTTGGTCGGTGTTAGTCAACTTTCTAGTTGATCTAATCTCCGCTCTGGTTATTCTATTTGTATTCTACTAAAAAGTTCCTTTAATAAAAATGCTTCACTTCATTAATGCTAGATAATGCCTCATTATAAATATAAATTATAATATGTACATAATTAATTAATACTAATATACATACCCACCCAATTATTGTAATAATTGATCTCTGTAATGTTCTTGTTGATTAATGAACTTAGCAGCTCTTCTGTCGTTGACATCTTCTCTCTTCTTTTGTCTTCCCCATGCTCTCTTCTTTGTGGCTAATTCTTGTCTATCTCTTATGGCTAACATATGTCTGGTTTCAGCAGCAATTACAGTTCCTTGACCTTCTGATAATACTCGTTCAGGAGTTAAGTTTTGTCTGTAATATCTGGCTAATGAACGATGTCCAAGTACGGTACCTGATGGTAGTATTAGATCTAATCCATTTTGGTATATGGCATCTTGTTCTGATGGAGGTAAATCATCTTCTGAGTCTCCTTCATTTTCTAAATCTCCTTCTCCTTCTCCTTCATCCAGTACATCTTCCCATTCATCTCCATTATCATCTCCTTCTACTGACTTAGAGGTATCTTCGTATGTCGAACTGAAATCATAGAATTGAGAGATTTCAAGCTTCTCATCTTCTGACTCATAGGGAATTCTCATATGTCTCTTTTGCTTCATATGTTCTCTAGCAGCTTCAGCATTTCTTCCTTGATAATTACAAGCAATACAGAACCCATAACTGATCTTTTCACCAAGGTATCCGATTAATCCTTCTTTATCCACTAAATAAGTCTTCTCCGGTATATAAAGTCCAAAGTTCTTAAACATATGGTCAATATTCTCATCAACAGTATCAAATACTTTGTTATACTTTGGATGAGAAAATAAACAAGTAGTAGGAGTGATTTCAATCCTATTGGATTCCTTCTCTTCAATAATCTTTTGCTCTTGTTGTTCCTCAGTAAGTTCTTCTGGCTCAATCTTCTCTGTTTCTGTTTGTTCTGGTGTCTCTGTTTGTTCTACTTGTTCTGTTACTACTTGTTTAACTGGTAATTCCTGTCCTTGCTCTTTCATCTTAGCTATCATAGCCTGTTTTGCAACTCCCAAAATTTGACGCTTCTTCTCTTGGATGGCCTCTTTTTCTCTACGTCTTTGTTCCTTCTTAGTCATCTGTTTCTCTCCCTTAACTGGAGTTTCCTTTTCATCTTCCACACTCAAATTAGCCACTTTAGTATTAAACAAATGCTCATCTATTGGTGGTAATTGTGCTACTCTTCTCTTTAAATTATAACGATGCCATTCAGACTTCATATGACTTCTTTGGTCTTCTGCTCCTGGGAAGTTCAACCCACAGGTGTTGCACGTGAACATATTCATCTTAACTATGACTACTTTACTAACAACTTTTATAACTTTTACTGTTAATAAACTTTATGGTCTTCTCTTACTAATAGTTAGTGATGAGCTGAAAAAAATTATTAGGGTTGAAAAATTTATTTTTCCGCACGTGACTGAAGCACCCTCCCGCGATGGAGATGGCCCATTTTGGAAAATACCGAACTACTACTATTAGAGAAAGGGTATAGTTATAGATATAGACATAGACATAGATCTTACACTACAGTACTGACCAACAGTATGTCACAAAAGCCCGAGTCACAAGACCTCTTTAAGGACGTGTTTCCCAAGATCGTTCAAACCATCCGGTCAGCATCATCATTGGCAGCACAAGATGTTAGTTTCTATAAGTCGATTGATTCAGGATTATCAAAGGATATTGAAGATAGTTCTAAAAGTCTTCTTGAAGTTGCTAATCGTTTATTAAGTACTATGGGAGATGGAGTTAGTCCCATTCAATATGGAGAAGAAGAAATCGTAGGAGAAGTTAGTTGGAAGTCCATATCTCTGACATTGGATATATTATATGAGAATATTGAACAAGCATTTGATGCTCAACAACGAAATAAATCTGCATCATCAGATGACAAACATATGACTCATCTTGAACTGTCGGGTGATGGTTCATCATCTCACAATGTAAATACAAAATATGATGGTAAACGTATTCAGAAACCTCAACTCCAATTCAAAGTTAAGATTGATAATTCTGAAAGTCACCCATTTAAACCTAAGATCACGACCAAACCACATGCATTAAGGTCATTTGAAGAATCTACTACCTTAATAAACCCTGAACCTACTTATGAAGATACCATAGAAGTAGTAGATCCACCATTCTATCCTCAACCATATGATTATGAAATTGATAATCAACCATATCCTGAATCTATCTTGATAAATTCAGAACCTATTCCATCTAATGATTGGTCTACTACCAGTGCTATATGGGTTGAAACTATAGAAGATTTAAATAAGATGATAGAAGATTTAAGAGACAGTACAGAAATAGCTGTTGATTTAGAACATCATGATTATAGAACTTATTTCGGAATTGTATGTCTTATGCAAATATCTAATCGAGATCAAGATTGGATAGTAGATACTTTAAAGTTAAGAGATGATCTAGAACCATTAAATGAAATCTTTACTAATCCAAATATAGTTAAAGTCTTTCATGGTGCATTCATGGATATAATATGGTTACAAAGAGATTTGGGATTATATATAGTTTCATTATTTGATACTTATCATGCTTCAAAGGCATTAGGATTCCCTAAATTCTCTTTGGCATACTTATTGGAAAATTATGCAAACTTTAAAACTTCAAAGAAATATCAATTGGCTGATTGGAGAATAAGGCCATTACTGCCTCCAATGTTAGCCTATGCCAGATCAGATACTCATTTCTTATTAAATATATATGATCAATTAAGAAATAAATTAATTGATTCAGGAGATGAAAAACTCCGTCGAGTCTTAAATGATTCACGACAAGTTGCCAAGAGACGATTCGAATATACAAAATTCAGACCTTTATCAAATAATGGTAATGGGAAAGTTTCTTGTCCTATAATGTCCAATAATCCAGCTGAACCATTTTCTTCAATTATGGTACTGTATAATGTTCCAGTTCATAAAAAGCCTATTGTGGAAGTATTGTATAATTGGAGAGATTCTATTGCCAAAGAAGAAGATGAATCTGTAAGATATGTTATGCCTAATCAATTATTAGTCGATTTAACTAGTCTTGATGAAAATGTTAATGTCGATAGAATCTTAAACGCTTCACGTTTCATATCGGAACATGTAAGACTTAATGCCAAGGAATTAGCCAGTCTTATTGAAAGTACCATTAAGAGAACTGCTCAGAATGATTGGGATTTAGTAGATAAATGGCATGAAGATACTTCCAGTGGAAATATTGGAAGTATTACTGATGAGTCATCATTTAAAGAGTTATTCAATCACTGTAAAGGATTATTGAAATCCACAGGAGCATTATTGAGTACACATTCCAAGTTATTCCCCAAGATTTATGAAGGTGCTAAAAAGTTAATTACTGTCGAGTGCAACCCGGAAGACATGACGGTGGTTAAGCATGATTTTGCTAATGAATATAAGGATCGTCTCGAACATGCTTGGAAGGGTATTACTTCTATTCAAGATGAAGTTGCAGTCAATATAGGGTCGATAGAAGATGAAAATGATGAACCAGTAGAACAAGAAGAACCTGTGGAAATTCCAGTAGAAGCTCCAGTAGAAGTTAAGACTGGAGCTGCTACACTCTTTGCTGATAAGGGTGATTTCGATCCTAATGAATTAATTACTCTCCGTAAGAAGAACTCCAATCAGCACGTATTCAGCCAGTCTAAAAAACGTACTCAACAAGGTGATAACTTTGACTTAGCCAATGCTGACAAAGTATTACTTAATCCAAGCAAGCCTAAGGACAATAAGAAGAGAAAACCTCGATTCGATCCTTATTCACGTGAAAGTCAAGGACCACAACCTTCCAAGAAAGCCAAGCCCATGACCCAAGGGAAGAGTTCGACATTCCGAAACAAGAGGAAGTAAGCCTATTGTTTATATAATTTATAGTTGTATAGTTAATACTACACTCATACTAAGCATATCAGTATCTACAAACAAATAACACTTTCTCTAATAGTTAATAACCCACACTAACACATTTAATAATACTCTCTAATAGTGTAGGCCGCTTATATAAACACTTTTTTGCAATCATTATGAGACGCCGCAGACGCGTTCTCGGTAAAAAAAAATTCAGCCCGGTGCTGACTGAAGAATTACTACTCTACTCCATTAATGAACTACACCTCTCGCTGAATTGAGAATTGTTGAGAGATACTCGTTAGTGATTACTGGTTAGTTGTACAAAGATGGTGCTACCTAAGCAGCTACAAGGCAATCTCATGCCATCGGAAGTTAATTTCCTTGGTGAGAATGAGCTAGTCACTATTCTTCCAAGATACTCCATGAAGAAAATGCAACTTATCGGAGTAAGTAGATGGCTACATACCTAGAATAGGATTAATATTTAATGTTGACAATACTAACTAAACCATTTTTAGACTAAAATTCCAGCCTTAAGAGCTATGCGGAGAGAGCAAGTACCCCTCTGGGTAGCTCTCATCCTTAAGTCGCAAGACAAATGTAGTATCGTGCCTCCTAAATGGTTAAATGTGGTATATTTAAAGGACAAATATGATGAAGAAGTGAGAAATCCCAATCAATTCAGTTCCTTACCATGGCATTGGCTTGAAATTTCCAAGATTTTATTAGCCAGAGCAGCTGATGATCTTACCGATCCATCGCATCAACTCCGATCTATTCTACAAGATTTACGAGAAATTAGATTAGTTAAATCACGAAAGGGGTTAAAAGAACTTAATGAATCCAATATAGTATTGAATGGACTCTCATTATTAGAAATCAACGAATTACGACCTTTCGTATTAACAGTCATGAACAAACTACGTCAACTACACGATACTAATAATGAACAAACAGCAGCAGATACCAACGGAAATGATTCTGATGGTATGGCTGATGATGATGATTATGACGATGAAGGTGCCTATGTTTAAAAGTGACTCTCGCTCGCACCCACTTCCACAAAATCATATTACAAACCACCACAAACCACCAATAAGGTGTAACCCTCTAAACGTGCCTGGTGAGTGATAGATGCCGCCTTTGTTTGTGTGCAGGCAGCTCCACAACTATGACTGAAAAAAAAATTATAAGCAAACAGTAAACCCAGTAGACTAATACTATACAGAAGATCAGGTGGAGAAACAGGTGGTGCACCATAGATGAGCAAATTGAGGAATTTGAATCGAGAGTTCATATCTAATTTGAAGACTCATAAGCTAGTTACTGACGCTAAACGAAACCTCATTCTTTCTATATTGAAGTCTACAACCACTAAGAGAGAAGCCAGAAATTATCTTAATAAATATCAGAATCAGTTTGATTTTGATGGGTTATTGTTTAAAAATGATGATAATTCTTTAAGAAAACGAGATAACCAACGAGAATTATTTATACAGAGGTATTTGAATTATCAAAATCCATTTATAAATATCTATGATGATGAGATTAAAATTAAAAAGATCCCTTTACGATTAGCTTTATTTCGAATAAAGTTTCCAACTATTACTGTAGATGAATGGAAAGGTATTTCAGAAACATTTAAACGTTTGGTCCATCTAGGTATTTCACCTGTCATATTATTGGACTATGATCATTTGGTCGATCAGACTTTCAAATATAATGAATTATATATGATTAATCAAGTTCATAAAGTTACAAATTATCTCGGCGGTCCAGAAGATATTGATGATGATAATGGTTTGAAAACTACCATATTAAGATCCTTATTCTCACGAGGAGATAGTAATTCTACTCCCACTATAAATAGTTTGGAACTGTTATTGATCCCATTATATCAAGGAATTATTCCAATCATACAACCAATAGTATATAATAGCCAAAACTCTCATCAGGAATTTATTAGTACAAACCAACTTCTTTATGCCTTAACTTCATCATTGCTTAAAGACACTTCAAATTTATTATCCATTGAGAAAATTGTCAATATCGATCCCATTGGTGGTATACCATCTATCGAAAGAAACCAAACAAGTCATGTATTCATTAATCTCTCTCAAGAGTATTCAGATATTGTATCGGAATTATACATTGGATATATTGAACCACAATTAAGAGATTTACATGTAGCCAATTTATCAAGTATGAATGATATTTTACAGTTAGCATATTCCAAAACTGGAAATGATGAAACTACCGGTATAATAACAACTCCAAGGGTTATGTCGATTAATGATGATCAATTGAATCCAATAATATATAATGTATTGACTGATCGACCCATAATTTCATCATCATTACCTAGTTCTAATGGTAGAACTCCTCAATTATCTACATCCATAGTTAAAAAAGGTATTGAAGTAAAAATATTTGAAGAGTCGGAATATTTAGGAGATCAATTCACTTTGAATAATCTTATAAATGATGGACTAATTGATAAGGAGAAATTAGTATGGTTAATCAATGATTCCTTTGGTAAATCTTTAGCTGTTGATCAGTATATTAAAAGAATAGATAAAAATTTGGCAACTTTGGTTATAGTGGGTGATTATGATGGAGCAGCTATAATAACTTGGGAGTATGATGATAATAATGAAAAAGTTGCATACTTAGATAAATTTGCCATTGCCAAGAGAAATCAAGGTTTACCAGGAATGGCAGATATTATATTTAAGATAATCTTACAATCACATCCATTTGAATTAATATGGAGATCAAGAAAGAATAATCCAGTTAATAAATGGTACTTTGAAAGATGTATAGGTTCAATGAGCTCACCTGAATCTCAGTGGAAGATTTTTTATACTGGTGAATTGTTTAATAAGAAGATTGATAAGACTAAAAAGAAGATCATTCCTGAAGGTACAGTGGGGATTAAAAGAAAGCTTCAACAATATTCGAAGATTTGTGAGAACATACCTCCATCATTCCCGTAAATTTCTCTACTTTTATATAGGGTATACAGTTTAATATATATAATTAGAGCATACTATAAATAATAACTAGACTGCAGACTACTGGTTTACATGTGCTATACCACCAGAACTTGTTAACAACCACAACTCACTGTTCTAAGTAAATGTACTCGTGGTTATTTCAGCTATCAAATGAACCAATTTCTGTATCCAAACCGTCTGGTTCAAATTTTACGTCCCTGTTCAGACCCAATATGTCTCTGAGGAACGGACAAGAACCATTACCGCATTAGGCTTAACCTTTTTTTTGCAGACCCAATGATCCAACAATTTAAAGATCCAACAATTGAGAAACCCTTTTGTCCAGCACTATATATATTTACTAATTTGGCAATTAACATTCATTCAAAATCGTTAGTTCAAAATGTCTTCCTCAGAGTCATCGACCATGCGACAAAGAAGATCTGACGAACAGTCGCAGCAACAACTGGTACCTCCCGACAATAAGACAAGATTATACTTTTATCATGAACTTGATATCTGGCAACAGGATAATCACTTTATACGTTCCGGATATGTTAAAGAAACAAGTTCGTATTGGGAGTGTCTACAATCGCTTTTATATTTCCATAATGAGACTATAAATATATACTCCCATTTAATTCCGTCTTCTATAAGTTTCTGGGCTATCTTATACTACATCAATTTCCATTTAAAGATTTATGATAATTATCTAGGAATATGGGAAAAGATTAATTTCTTACAATTTGGAGTGGCTTGTACGTTCTGTCTTTTCATGTCTTCGACTTTCCACTGTATTAAAAGTCATTCTCATAAGGTAAGTAAATTTGGTAATCAACTTGATTATTTTGGGATTGTGATTCTTATTACCTGTTCATTAATATCCATAATTCAATTTGCATTCTATGATCATACTTACTATAGAGAATTCTTTACTACAGTATTCCTTATTTTAGGTACTATCTGTACAGTATTAACACTTGCCCCACAATTCTCTTCCAATAAGTATCGGCCCTTACGATCTCTAATGTTTATAACTTTCGGATTATCAGGGGTACTTCCTATAATATCGGCTGTTGGTTTATTTGGCTTTGAAGAATCTGCCAAAAGATGTAATATCATATGGTTAGCTCTTGAAGGTATTTTTTATATCGCAGGAGCTGTTTTATATGCCATGAGAGTTCCTGAAAGGTTTACGCACGTAGATGAAGATGCAACGAGTCTATTAAATGGACCTCAAGCAGGTCGATTTGATTTGATAGGTCATTCCCATCAGATTTTCCATGTTTTCGTAGTCATTGCTGCCTTCTGTCATTGGTTGGGCTTATTAGGCTGCTACCACTATCTACATGAACATATACTTCCCGCCATGCAAGTTATTTAGCATGCTACTACAAGTACAGTTGATACTCTTTTTATATGCGCGCAATTAATTATCAACAATACAAATCTGGTTATTATATATATATATATATTTAATCTTCCGTAGATCATATGTACACGACTCTCGTAATTTTACCTTGCCATTCTATATGGAAGGGAGGAAATAGCTTAGGTGAATCACGAGATGAGTGGCACCTTGTAAATTTCCAAATAGAAGGATACGATCATTTAGCATTCAAAGATCATATTATACAAAGTATCGAATACATTAAATCAGATCCCCATAGTTTTCTAATACTTTCTGGAGGCCAAACTAAGGCCGAGAGTGGTCCTATCTCCGAATCATTATCATATTATCAGTTAGCTACACAATTAGTGGAAGATGAACATAAACTGTCAATACTATCACGTATATCTACTGAAGAATATGCCCGAGATTCATTTGAGAATGTCATCTTTTCAATATGCCGCTTTTATGAATTATTCAATAAGTATCCTGACAAAATTACCATAATAGGATTTGAATTTAAACGGGATAGATTCTTGAAATATCATTTGTATGAAGCATTGAATTTCCCCTTACATAGAGTAAAATACATTGGTAATTCACCGACTCCTAAGGACTTATCGGACATAGAAAAACAGATATATTTTAAGGACTTAGATGATAGTGAGTATAAATTTGCTGTTAAGTTCTTTCAAGAAGATTGGTATGGTATTAGAAAACCTCTAGCTTCAAAGAAGGCTTCAAGAAATCCATTCAAGCGTTGGCATGGTTATGCTCACAGTAATCCATCCTTAAGTAAATTCTTACTACTTCTACAACAAGAGGTTGAATTAGATAATGAAGATATTAGAAAGTTATTAATAGACGCTCCTTGGATAAGTACCACTTTATAGATTACTTATACTTATACTTGGATATAGTATATATAATAAATTAACTTATATTTTGTGTTATAATTACAAGAAATTAATAATTTAGTTTGTTTTACATACTTTTGTAGAATCTAATCCTTTTTGTTTAATACTCTTCTGGCTTTAACAGCTTTACTTAATTTGGTTAACATTTCAACAGTACTTTCCCAAGAAACACATCCATCAGTGATAGAAACACCATATTTCAAAGCTTCTTTACCTGAACCAGCTGGTGGCATACCTTGTTTACCTTCGTTAATGTTGGATTCAATCATTACACCGATAATAGTATTCTCACCTTTTTCTATTTGTTCAACGACGGAGTCAAGAACTATAGGTTGGTTTCTGTAATCTTTTCTAGAATTATCATGAGAACAATCAATCATTAATTTTATATTTGGATTGGTTGATTTTGAAATGGCTTCCTTAGCAGCAGCAACGGATTCTGCATCATAATTGGTTAATTTCTTACCTCCTCTTAAGATAATGAAACCATGATCATTACCCTTAGTAGTAGTAATAGCAGCCATACCATTCTTAGTAACACCCATGAAATGGTGACCTTTAGATGAAGCTTGGACGGCATCTAAGGCAACCCCTAAACCACCATCAGTACCATTTTTAAAACCAATAGGGAAAGATAAACCAGAAGCTAATTCTCTATGTAATTGAGATTCAGTAGTTCTAGCTCCAATAGCTCCGAAACTTAAAAAGTCAGAGAAATATTGAGGAGAAATAGTATCTAACATTTCTGAACCGATTGGTAATCCAGTAATAGATGTTAAATCAGAATATAATTGACGAGAAATTCTTAACCCTCTATTAATATCAAATGAATTATCAACATCTGGATCATTAATTAAACCTTTCCAACCTACAGTAGTTCTTGGCTTTTCTAAGTAAGCTCTCATAATAATTACTAAATCATCTTCTAATTCATCAGCTAAAACTCTTAAACGTTTAGCATAATCAAGAGCTAAAGATGGATCATGAATAGAACATGGACCAACAATAACTAAACAACGATCATCTTTACCATTTATAATTTGAGAAGATTCATAACGACCTTTAATAACAACTTCTAATGATTTTGCAGAAGCCTTGATGTCATGTTGCAATAATGCAGGAGGAATTAATGGATCATAACCTAAAATTCTGGTATCATCGTATTCAGCTGGAACAGGAGTTTGACTCATAGTAACTGTGATATAATGTATATGTGTATATGTGTATATATGTTACAGTTACCCCAATAGATCTCTTTAATGGCAGTTTCTACTGAAAAGTTACACTTTTTAAAAAAAATTTCAGGCCGTTACCAGACAACGTTTCGGAGCGGAAATTGAAGAGAACGGGCAGGTTCTGTGTGCAGGTCCTGACTCATCGGTGTAATACATACAGTGCTGAACGTCATTATGCTGTGCAAGGGCATCCTAACGAAATTATTACTATGTTATTGGTTACTAGAGTTTATTATTGACTTTGAAGTAGAAATATATACTTATAACATTTATTATTACTGTAAGTGTACTTACCATAGTCTTGTTCCTAGTTGAAAATTATAGGGACATTGCAGCTGTTCCTTTAAACAAAATAGTAATAATTAGTGCCACCACGTATGCAGGAACAAGCTGTATGAAAATTTTTGCAACCAACCTAGTGATGTGTACGTTAGTACTATTAAATGTTGCCAATATTAGCAAATACTTCTTATAAATGCTAACTGTTGACATTTTAAGTTAGTTGAAACTACATTCTTGTAAGTTGTGTATAAAAAAAATTTTATATTAACATCTAAAAGATGAATAAGCAGGACAATAACGATGTCCATTTGAGCAATTGTAACGAAGAAATAAAAGGTTTTTAGTAGAAAACTAACATCTTAACTTTTAAGGGTAAAACATCTAAGGTATAAAGGACAAATTTTGGAGTTAGTTGTGATTAACTTCCAAGTGGTTGATCGTTCCAAGTGGTGGCACCTAATTGGTATGGAATTGGACCTTTTTGGAAGTTGAGGGCATTGGTTTGATTGAAATCCCAGAAGAAGGATAAATATTGAGGATAATCTTCTGGAACTTGACAAGCAGTACGGAAATCTGGAAGAGTTTCGTTAAGAGTTTGGGTATAGTTGGCTAATGGACAAGAGAAACCTGGACCATCTTGACAATCTTCACGAGGAATAACAACTTCGTTAACAACAGTTCTAACATAAGTACCAGCTTCATGTTCAGAAGTAGCATTACAAGATAATCTTTCAAGAACAAGGTGACCACCCATTGGAACAAAGTTTGTGGACTTGTAAATGGAGTCATGTTTAATGTAGTTAACTGGCATTGGCTTGTCTGGAACGAATAAACCTAAAGCAGTTAAAATTGGAGTAATGTTGGTATCGTGACAGAAGTTGAAGAATAATTTACCAACAGAAGGACCTTGGTTTAATAAGGTAAGAGTGGCATTAGCATAGACAGCACCAATAGCAGCAGAAGTGTTAATACCTGGACCACCACCACCGTAGTAGTATCCTAAATCATTGTAGTAACCAAATGCAACCCATTCGTCAAGAGTGAAGACATCAGTCCATGGAGAGAATGGACGACCATTCAATTCAAAAGGAGCGAGAAGCATAAGATTGTAAACATCACTAGCGTTTAAGTTTAATCCTTTGTTTTCAGCATTCAATCTGCTTGCAGCAGAAGCAAATTGAGTGAAGTTACTTAATCCATAAGTGGTAGTGGAGGATTCTGTGTAACAAACTGGAGTAAGGGAGTTGGCACCTTGATCTGCAGTTTCTGGAATAATGTTAAGGTAAGCACTGTCAGTGTAGTTGTAACCAAAGAAACCAAGACCAAATCTTCTGGCAGTTTCAATAATACGCTCGTAACCAGATGAGAAAATTGGGATACTTTCACCATTCCATAAATGACCATATCTAGCACGGTAATCGACACCTCTTCTGAAACCATTTAATAAACCAGCATATGGTCCAGAATAAGTTTCTTCAGCCCAAAGACTTGGGGTATCTAAGAATGATTCCCAGGAGTTAAGAAAACCAAGAGAACCAGTTAAGGTTAAGTTGGTGTTAAGAATCTTTTTATAAGCAGCAATCATACCTTCGGCGACACTTGGATCTGGCCATCTTTCACCATGACGATGGATAAGAATAACTTGATCGACTTCACATTGTGCAGGAGGATTACGGTCAATACCATGTCCTACCCCATCAGTGTAAGGACCATTACCACCAAAATGTTTTAAAAGATTGTAACCATCATAGACTTGTTGAGAGAATTGACCTTGTTGGAAAATTGGGTTACCTAAGTTAGCAGCATTAACTGCAGTTGCAGCAATTGCGATAACAGAAAGAACGCTACCAGCTAACATTTTTGGTTATTGATACTATCTTTTCTCTTGTAGTTTTTGACATATTAGGTAATTGAGGGCCCTTACTGGCATATATATATATATATATATATATATATTTAATTAATGACTATATACACGTGGAGATTAGTTTAATCTATATTGAAAGATTTTTCACTCTACTATTCGGGTTTGAGTCCATTAACGTATAGTTAGACAATGAGGGGGGGGCCCTGTTTCACACGTGGAACAATGCAAAATCTAACAGTAAGGATTTATCTCTAAACGCATTATTGTACATTATTGGGTGGTTCTCCACTGCATTTGTCAACTCCTTTAACCAAATTAGTGAACCTTGTTACTTCATTAAGACATACTATCCCTTTCGCACGTGTAGAATGTATGAAGCATATGCTAATATCCTTCAACTTTAATTAAGTGCATGTAGCCGAAGCATTTCCATTTAGGGGAACTTTGACTTCTCCTATAATATATATAGTGGCTTAGCATTCTTTAACCTTTACCATTTCTGAAAAATTTCGAAACTTAACCTCATCTCTCTTTGACTTAAGCTAACAGTGGTCAATTGATATAATGTAACATAGACAATTTGATGAGATGGTTTAACTTCCCTGGATTGATATTGCATGTACCATTGCATTACTGAAGAATACAAAAGCTCTTAATACATTCCCCGCGTAAATTGTCCCTTAAATTGAAAAAAATACTCTGCAATATGCGAACAATAAAAGTCGCTTTTGTGAATTAGGCTGTAGTTTGGCGTAGCTAAATTCCGGGCCGCTCATTGTATTGGTCAGTTGGGGCTTTCGGTTCCCCTATTTGTTAGGGTTTTCAATGAAATTAATCCCAATTGTTGGTTTGTTTGGGGGTGCATTTCTTTACATTATTGCCTGATTTGTTAACTACGAAAATCTAACTCCGTGATACGATACGGCTTCGGTTCAACGTCCCGTAATCTGAAAAGCCGGCATCTAAGCTCCAAAATTTTTCATGTTGCAAAACTGAAAGCTAAGGTTCAAAAGCAAGCGCACGTTGTTATAATAATAAAATTAGGAACTCTAAACTATCTCTACAGCCTAAATAATGAACACTGTCAAATGCCTTGTCAAATAGTCGAGAGAAGTTAAAGCTCATTGATCTATTGCCATTATTTGCAACTATCTATTGTTATAAAATATGTCTTCTCCAGTTGTTCAAAATTGCTTGGCAATCGGAGATCTAGCAAGTAGGTCCATTTCTAAGTACATGGAAAAAATCAATGCGTCCAAGAAATTACATCCCCACAATTGAACTTTCATGCTAGAATTGTCAAAACTATAAGTTTGAAATTAGCTTCACTAAAGAATCTTGAACGTTGTTGACATACATGTTGTTATGACAAATAGTGACAAATAATTTTTAGATTAACTGCATTTTAGTTTAGAGCCGAGTATGTTTTTAACAGTTATTTAACTGAATTAGTAGAATTCATTGTTGAACTTGGAAATTATTTCAAATACAAATGTTTCTATTATTAAATAAAGTACTCATTTTGTTGTCATGTGGTTTACTTGATATTATCTCATCAGTATAGGACTCCAGTACTAATAGCTGCTGTGCTAACTTTCTATTCTATATTATTAATTGATTAGTATGAAAAGCATTTCTATCATTCTGATTGGACTGGAGTTTGATAACTCAAAAGTTCATTAAATATTTGATTTGAATGAATCCGGTTGCAAATAATACAAATTGAGATCCACTACTATCACAGTAAGGTCAATATGCAAAAGCAAGTGTTAACAAAAAATAGAACTCTGGACTGCAGGTAAGTTGGCTATTGGTAATTTGGTTAACATGTAATATGGGTTTTACAGGTTTGAATAATATAGATAACTAGCCCCACGTTACATACCTACAAATAAATAGGATAATTAATATTATCTATATTGCTACCAATAATCATTCCTAGTTTGCTTGTTCCAATTGCTTAAAAAGGTATTCATTTTATAGATCAGTTCACTTACGAATTAGCATTTTATTGTTCTTTAGGGAATCTAATATGTTTTTGTCATTACGGGAATAATGCTTACAGAGAATCAAAGAGTTTTCATTTCATTTTCTTTCTTCGGATTGTTAAATAACATTCTTTATGTTGTGATCTTGTCTGCAGCAGTGGATCTTGTGGGAGCTTCGACTCCTAAGGCTGTAGTGTTGTTGGCAGATGTTATTCCTTCATTTCTGTTCAAACTTGTAGCCCCATTTTTCATTCATAAATTTCCTTATATAGTAAGGTTATGGTCAATCTTAGTTTTATCAACATCAGGCATGTTTTTAATTAGTTTGACTCCAACCGAATCAATTGCAACTAAGATTTTTGGGATTGCTGTAGCTGCCTTTTCATCGGGTATTGGAGAGGTGACCTTTTTACAATTAACACATTATTATCATGAAGAGTCAGCTATTGGAGGATTTTCAACGGGCACTGGAGCTGCAGGATTATTGGGCAGTTTTCTATTCTTATTCATGACTAATATATTAGGCATGAAAGTCTGGATTGCTTTATTACTGTTTTCAATTGTACCTTCAGGGTTCTTGTTAATATTTTATTTCATTTTACCACCTATTAAATATGTTGTTGATCAATATGAACCGATACAAACAGACGAAGAAGAGCATATTGATATACTGAATTCAAATAGTCTTCAACATACTGAAAAAGATATTTGGTATTATAGAATCATTAGACACATCTACCATACATTTAAGGATATCAAACCGTTGATATTTCCCTATATGTTACCTTTACTTTCTGTTTATATTTCAGAATATGCCATTAATCAAGGGGTGGCTCCAACGCTTCTATTTCCTCTTGAAGATTTACCACATTGGTTATTTGCAAGTTATCGAGACATATATGTTGTATATGGATTTTTATATCAATTGGGAGTATTTATATCTAGAACATCCATTAATTTTGGTATTAGATTCCGAAAATTGTATTGGATGGCATTTTTACAATTTATTAATGTGATTATTACTGTATATCAATCGATCTATATGGATTTCCCATTCCCATCTATTTGGTTTATTTTAATACTTACATTCTACGAAGGTTTACTTGGAGGATTACTGTATGCAAATACATTTATGTCAGTTAGTGAGAATGTCCCTAAATCCAAACGAGAATTCAGTATGGGTTGTGTAAGCATTAGTGATGGAGCTGGGGTAGTTTTCGCTGGCTTAATTAATCTCTGGTTAGAAACGACCCTATGTAGCATACAAGTATCAAAAGGTCGTGATTGGTGTTTAACAGGAGGAGAGTAGTAACCCTTATAGTAGAATAGATTATAATAGAATTCCATAGTAAAAATACTTCCATAGTAAAAATACTATAATTAAGATATTTTAGTCTTATCAGTGAAAAAATATCTCGTTAGGTGCGAAACTCGGGGCTACTATTTTTTGACAGCTATGCAGTCGGGCCTCGTGGTGAATCGTCCGTTAGAACTTGGTACAAAAAAGAGTCTCCGGGGGACAAAGGGCATCACAGGCCAAAGTAACGAAGAAGGCAAATTCAGAGATAGTGAAAATAATTGAATTTATTGTTTATATCAATTAGTCTAACTATTACAAGTTATATATATATCAATCACCGTAATTAATAATCAGATCAATTGACTATTCAATACCATACTAGAGTTATAGTTTCCATTGCCAATGAGTGTAATTACTAGACAATTGATCAGATCAGCTATTCGATCTGGTCCAAGTCATTATAGCAGTTCATCAACATATGCGTCAATTAAACAATTACGTCAATTCAGCTATAATCCTAAACTAAGTAGTAGCAATTTGGCCTTCATGTTTGATATTGATGGTGTATTATTGAGAGGTGAACAAGCCATTGCCAATGCCAAACCTGCATTAGAATTATTGAATCATCACAAAATTCCTTTTATATTATTAACTAATGGAGGAGGAGTTCGTGAAGCTGATAGAGTGGAATTCATTAGTTCTGTCCTTGACTTACAGATTAGTCCGTTACAAATTGTTCAAAGTCACACTCCTATGAAAGCATTAGCTCATAAACATGCTTATGATCGTGTTTTAGTTGTCGGAGGTCCTGGTGATAGCGCTAGAACTTGTGCTTTAGAATATGGATTCCATGATGTTGTTATGCCAATTGATTTGGTAAGAGCAAACCCATCTATTTCTCCTCATCATAGATATACTGAAGAAGATTTCCAAAAATTTGCGTTGGAGCCAGTCGAAAGTCACTTGGATAAACCAATTGAAGCCATTTTGGTTTTTAATGATCCACGTGATATGACTACTGATATACAAGTTGTAAGTGATTTATTAAATTCAAACCATGGTATAGTTGGTACTAAAAGAAAGATTGAAAATTTAAAGCATAGAGAAGAACCCTCAATCCCAATTATCTTTAGTAATAATGATTATTTATGGGCTAACGATTATAATTTGCCAAGATTTGGCCAGGGTGCTTTCAGGATCATTGTAGAAGCATTATATAAACACACCAACCAATTGAAGGCTTCGGAACATTTGCATTCTATCGTTATGGGAAAGCCATTTAAAATTCAGTATGATTATGCCCATCACGTATTAATTGATTGGAGAACGAAATTAGTTGCGGATGATACTGCAAATACTGAACAAATATTACCTAATCTTGGAGAAACTCCTACAAACTCTCCATTTGAAAAGATTTATATGATTGGAGACAATCCAGAATCAGATATCAAGGGTGGTAATGACAATGGCTTAGAGACAGCACTAGTCAGAACTGGAGTTTTCAGAGATGAAGATTTTAATTCAATTGTTGCTAAACCTACGGTTGGAGTATTTGATGATGTGTATGAATCTGTTACAGCCATTTTAGAGAAACACAAAGTCATCTAATTTCGTGTGACCTTTAGACAAGGTTTCATTTCGTCAAAACCATTATTTTTGTGGAGAAATTTATTCTATTTTATTTTTTGTCGTACATATAATTCTTTCAATATATATTGCTTAATTTCTATTACTGTTTACAGTTGGTGTTTGATTGGAATATTTTTTTTAGGTATCATATTGAATCTCTTGTTTTTTTCTGTATATTCAAGAAAGCTTAAATTTAGTTCTATAAAAGAGTCTATATTAAGTTATCGTACTACGCGAGAATAATTGTGTGGAGAATCAAATCTAAACGTAAAGCATGCAGTAATACTTGATAAACACAATGAAATTTCTTTAATTCCGCTCAAAACTATGAACTATTAAATAAATAACCGAGCGATTCCAATAACCAACAAGCAATTCAAAACTTAATAAGCAACAATCGGGACTTGCGTTTGCAAAGGAATTGTTACATCTAAGAAAGATCGTACTTCGAAAACTGAGAAAACATAGGCGATCATAAAAGCTCATAACACAAGCTTAAAGGAGCAATTATAGCCTATGCTGTATAACCACAAAACGATAAAACAAGTGAAAAAATGTCTGGAATAGTCCCTGAAGTTGGATCATTAAAATCTGAACTGACAAAAAATTTGACCATATAACAGCAAGTTAGTTTATCCTTAATGGTACCATGACGGCTGCATTACATATCGGTAAACTTTATGTATTCATCAACGATCAATAAATACGGGCCAACAATGATATTTTTTAGATCGGTTTATATTTGAGGTATTTATTTATAATTGAGCAATGCAGAGAACATAAATATATGTATATTTCTCTCATGGAACTCCATTCCAAATCATGTAAATTCCTCTTACTAAACATTAGTCATATGTGAATCGCGGAACTCCTTTCTGAAAACTCTTATAATTAACCATTAGTCATATATGACTATATTGGTTTTGCTGTACAATTTTCGAATCGCCTAATGAAGAAGACCACTCTTGGAATTTGGGTTTAGATTAACTTGAAGCTTAATGGATTTTGTCTTCTAGATCATTGTTTTCGCCAACAGTTAAATCAGGCAAGCGCGGCTATACACTTGAGTTTTGTATCATACCGTCTGTATGAAAGACAGACTAAAGAATTTAGAGAACATTTTGCATTAGAGCAGGTAAGGCGGGAAGCTAATAAAGACAAATATACCATATTGCAATAATTTTACGCTATCGGCTGAATATTTCCGAAAGTATTCCAGAAGTAAGGGGGCAACAGAGAGCATAAAAATGATCTGATCAAAAAGTAACGTATTCCATATTCACTTAAAAAAAATCAAAAGCCTCGAAATACGATGTACATAATGAGATTCTTCGAAATCCTTCAAACTCAGGCGTACAACTTTTAAAAACTCAATTTATAGTTATTCAAAAATAGCGCAATTGAGTTTATTTCATAGTGTTCTAAACTTCATTGGAACATTTTCATTAATTGTTGCATAATTAGCTTTTAGCCTTAAAGAGCTCAATTTTAGTTATATTTAAAGAAAGATTATGCATTATCGCCTTCGAAATAATTGTCTTAAAATAAATCAAACCATTATTCTATTTTCTTCTTCTCTTTTCTTTGAGTTCGATTTCTGGACTGATGATCTGAATACATTGGAACGCATTTATTTACAGCTTCTTATTCAAAAATTAAAAAAACTTAAATCGATTTATAACCGACCTACGCTAGTCGGCTCAATGATTTTCTAGCCAAAGGCGTGTTCCAGAAACACATTCAGATGCATAATATCCCGCTTTAGTTTGCTGTTCATATATACTTCATTCCACAATGTCGTATCAGCCAAGAACATTCGTGCATGGAAACGCACATGCGTCGTAGGTACCAAGAACCTATATCAGAAAAAAAATCACTTTTTGGTCGCTTAGATGCATAGAGATTCTTTGTTGAAAATGAAAAGTGAGACCCACGCAATAGTTCTCGGTAGAATCTAGCTCTGTGTATTGGCCAAGTTTTAAACTTCCAGTCTACAAGAATGCATAAGTACGCCTGAAATTTATACATGTTACAAGACAAGGCACGCCTGATTCACTTCCCCCTCTTCAGTTTTAGTTTATGTTAATGGTCGAGGCTTCTATATACCATTCCGCTTATTTAACATAAGTTCTCAAATGCTAACTTTTATCTTCTAAATTGCAGCAGTGTAAAGTCCCTCTCTGTCCGCATATAACTTCTAACGCTTATCTTTATTTTTTGAAGATAACAGAAATTGACTAAAAGTGACAATGTTAAAAGCTTTCCGCCTTGGAACATTTACGCCACTTTTGTTTCTAACTTAAGATTAACTTTATCATCAGTTGTTTAATGTGCTATCTATAGTGAATCAGACAAATTTATTGAAACCTGGCTGAAACAAAAAAAAACTTAGAAGCCAAAAACCGAGTAAAACACAAAAGATGAATAATTAAATCATGAGATTCTTTTAAAGTGAGATGTAAATCTTTCAGATCAACTTATAGTGAGATACTTTATTTTAAGAAGTATAACTTGCATACGTAAGCTTTTTTACAATAACGTTTATTACATATGAAACAACTATACTCTCCTTTGTTTGCCGGCTCATAACCTTATAATATCGCTTGTTGGATACTTTTAGGGATTGACTAGTTGCTTGGTGGTCCGTAATTGAATTGCTATCCATTACCTGGTGCAAGAATACTCAGTTAAAAATAGAATTCACCAGGGGTCGTTAAACAATTAAGATAAGCGAGTGCAAATTCAATTTTGTTTTTATTCTTTTCTCCAGAAGTTTGCTAGTCTTTTTCACTTTCTTAAAGAGTAGCATTTTTGACTATCACCAGAGTATATAAATTTGAATCTCGCTTACAGTTGTCCGAATAGGAAATACCTATATATATATAAATGTTTTTGTATGCAACACAGTTGTCCCATCACATATTGATTCTAAGCAAACAATGAACAATAAGAAGTACATTTACGACCAATTTCGCTTTAAATAGAAGTTTTGAGAAGGGGTTTGCGTTGTGAACTTCTTTTATTTCATTCATAATACTCTATTCCCTCCTCTCATTCTTCCTCTTGCCTCATTAGATTATTTTATTATTTTAATACACTATGTTCTACCTGATTCGTCACACGTCATCGTCAATATTTCTGAGATTCACTAGAAATAAAAGGTTAAAATCAGTCAAAAAATATTGAATGTCGTCGTCTTTTTTTCTGATTTATTTTTTAATTTTCCCTTTATTTTTTGCATTTTTTATTTTTTAAACTTTCATATCTGAAAGGATTCTATGCATATATTTTTGAGGAAAAGCAAAAAATGTAGTTTCGTCTCAGTTACAACCTCTAGGCTTTTGGGGAGATTTGATCATCCCTTTTCACTATCTTAAATGTCTTGGTCTAGATTTTTATTAATAATAAGATCATCAGAACATATCTTGTTTTATTGCTTCGCTGTTATTATCTCGTAAATTTGACGCCTTGTACTCTGTGTCACCAAGGAAAGCATTCCTGCCCCTTTTGTAAAGCCGGTTTTATGTCTGAGATTATTTCCGAATTCTGGTATTTTTTTGTATTTTTTTCTGGAGTTGGAATCCGTACTTTTCACCTCGGTCTTCTTCTGCCGTCAGAACCATGGATATCTAAAAAAGCTTACACATATAGCCCCAATACGCTTTAGGCTTTGACTTTGTCTATGATGATTGTATAATCATTGAATGTTGTCATTGCCTGATAAACTTGAAGACAGTTCACAATATCATTTCAAGTTTCAACCAATGAGCATAACCCTTTATAGCTTAGCCTTCTATCCTTCCTCGCCTTCCCCAATTTCTGGTTCGTGTGTTCCTAAAATAGAACCATCTGGCAAAATAAATCTTACATACAAAATTCGAGCTACAAGATACCTCTTGACTGATAGCGATTTGCAAGCAATATCGATCTGAACTTACTAATTCTCTGATCTATGTATTAATTTTTAATATCTCTTTATTTCACATTAGCTGAGTCAAGGCCAAAGCGCATTTCATGTTCAGGTAGTAATACAAGAATTATAGGCAAGCAAAAAAAGAATTACGGTACTCTTCTTTCAAATATTTTGCGCTTTGTGAAGACTAGATTTTTTTACTGTCTAAAATTGTCACACTAAGAAAAATCCATCTATTTCAAAATATTTTTAACACCATTTCGATGACAGGCGACCTCAACACTGGCATATGAAAATGAAGGAAACATCATAATTACTTGAACATTCGATTATCTTTTAAACACCCTTCTAACTTGAATATATATTCTAATGTGAATAACTGCTACAAATATTATACAATGAAAGAATAATAGCATTAAATTAACGAGAAATATGAATAAATAAGTAAACGTAAAATTTTAAGTAGACCAGTGGTAACTATAGCAATCTTATGCGATAAGTATTTATGATTAGTAAAATAAGCAAACACTAGCTATAATTAGGATAATATAAGAACAATAAAATAGTTATAAAAACAATCAAACAAATATAGGAACACCAAAAACAATAATAACGATATGTCGATGAATTGAAAACAAAATGCATGCAAAGCAATATATGACAATGAAAAGGATTAAAGAATTAAATTGTTGTAGTTTTTAATGACGAATTAAAGGCATTGATAAATGAGTAGGATAGTGATTTGAAGATGCAATATGAGCCAAAGGTGTAGCAGTATAATGAGGTCCAGCAGCAAGATAATGACTTGAAATTGGAGGTGGCAAAGGCAATGAGCTCACTGGTACCAAAGCAGTAATTCCATGAGCTGGTGGTGCAGACAATGGTGCTCCTGTCTGGCCATGAGAGATAGTTGAGCCTGCTGGTATTACTCCAGGATGATATTCGCTACTCTTTAAAGCTCCAGAATTTTTTAAACTTTCATTTAACATGTGTTTCTTTATACTAATTCTTCTTCCATTCTTTCCTTTGCAAACCTTATTGTTCAAAACTTCTTCAGCTGCCAAAGCTGCGCCCTTTCTCTTTACCAACTTAGCATGGAACAACCCACAGGCATTACAGAGGGTCCTTACCCCTTTGGGTCCTCTTCTCCATTCTGGTGTCTCTGTAGTTCCACATCTATGGCATTTATTTGTAGGCTTGTTGATGATCTCTGGAACTGCATACTGATGATTCATTGGCACTGGACCATTTGCTTGGTGATAATAGACTTGTTGTGGATAATATGTTGGAGCTGGTTGTCCTTGATGTTGTGGTGGCTGTGGTGCTGGAGGAGAAACATTTGGCTTTTGGTGAGCAGCTACTCCTTGATGTGATTGATAAGAATAATATTGATAATGGTTGTTAGGACTAGAACCTGCAGAAGAGTGTTGATGAGGCTTGGGTGGTTGTGCTTGGGCCATTAATTGTGATTGAGGTGTGATTGGGGGTGGTAAAGTAGGAGATGGTAGCTTTTGGATAGATGAACCTGGTCCATTTCCTAATATATAATTCGATGGCGCACCACCCTTTAATGGATATCTGAAAGAAGAAGTTGAAAAAGTTGGTAATATTCTCGAGTCAGCTCTTAATCTTGGAGATAATTGTGAAGGTATATCATTTATTGGAGAATGAGCTGTTAACTCGCTTATTGATGGTAATCTTACTTGAGTAGTTGGAATTGAGGGCGACATTGCAGCAGTTATTTGAAGCTGAATGGGAGTTTTGGTCTTTTATTTTATTGCTTAAATTCTCTATTGAGAGTAAAATATCAACTCTTCTGTCAAACTGAACCACTAAATATATATACTTAAGCTAGCAGATTTAGTGATCCGTGCTTATAATTCGACTGAATATTCAATTGGACTAACAAGATTTATGATAATAAGAATCTAAATTTTACAGATGTCATTGAGACAAGCTGGATGTCAGGGTATTTGTTAGGTTATATATAATTTTTTGTAAAAGGTGCTACTACGGTTTAAATCAGGTCAAAAGTATATATGGAATTACAAAAAAAAATTCCTAAGAAAAAAAATAATTTTTTAAGGTATGTAGGTTCTGCACCACGGTTAAAATGTGCATCAAATTCTTATTTTAATTTTTCTACTGAAAATATTTTTCAACCCTCTGAAAATAAAAAATATTCTGCTGCTATTTTATTTTTTAACTTTCATGAAATATCAGACAGACAAAAGTTTATATTTTATTATCTTGTATTTAGATGAATATGTTTGCTTTTATAATTTTGGGTTTAGTTCTGATACAATCGGCTTTTAGAGCTTATTGTTAAGTATTGTTCATTTTTTATTGTGATTTTAACGCTATTGATACAAGTAAAGACCCCTAAGCCCCGGAGATTCCATACATTATATGCAAGAAACGCAAAATTTGCCTCAGTAGCGCCCTGACAAAATTATAATGTTACTATGGTTTTTACGCTCGTTTTTTTATGTAGCCTTGAGCTTTCAAAATCGTGTGGTTGTCCAAGGCAACTTCTCGTACTATAATTGTTCTTTGCTTAACAGAAATTCAAAAAAATGGTATGGATAGGAAATTATGCTCATAAAACCAATTTAAAAAAAGTTAAATCTTGGCTATCGTAGCAACGTCGGTACGTACCATCGCAAAGTAATCTTCAGATGGTCAAATACCAGAGAGATAATAGAGAAAATTGCATAAACGACTAAATTAGGTTTGTTTAGAACACGAAGTTGTTGAATGGAAGGATTTTTTTCTCTTTGGTTTATTATTAATTTGAATGCCGTGAAAGCCTAAATATTGGCTGGGTATTAAGCTTACGCCCTTACCGTTTAATTTAGGAACGTAATTTCAAACCTTAACTTTAAACTTTAGTAGGGAAAATTTAAGTCATAATTACCTAGCAATCATCCTATTTCTATTGCCAAGACCAAAAAGTAGGCGCACAAAAGATCCAGGCAATTACGGAAAGATCCGTTGAAGAATTTATTCATAGTGCAACGAGTGAGAGAAGCCAACGTAGGCGGAACTTAAGTAAAGACTGGGCAACTGAAAGAGTCAAAAGCTTTACTCCAATTGCACATAAGATACTTAATGTAACATTACAATTTCTGCCATTTTAAGTTCACTAAGAAAAAATGCATAAACGAATAAGCTGTTTCCGAATAAGTCTCTGTAGAATAGCAAAGATGGCATCTGTTCAAGATGCTAGATTCATAAAGCCCTGACAACTACGATGTTATTGCGCTTTCAATGATTTTTTTTTATTCTGTTTGCGCCCTGCAGATCGTTTTAAGAAGCCTCCAGAAGCCCAACAGATTATACACACTAAAGAACAATTGTGCGCTGCAATTTCAGAAGACAATATAAGCTAATGCCAGAGAAATTTTTCTAGAGATAGATAGATAGTCTCATTACTATGGCAATGATTTAACAAAAGAGCCCTAGTCTGATATTTACAATAATAATTCTTCCTTGTATTGGTATCAACGTTTTTCTATAGTTCGAAATCTCTCTTGCTTCTTAACTATGGCGGTTAAAAGTTTATCCATCAAAATTCTCCTTCTGGGCACAAAACAAGTTTCCAAACTTAGATTTGACATAATTGAAAAGAACACTATTTGTTTTATGGATAGATGTTATTTACTATTCTAACTTTTTCCTGACTGAGGATGATATCTTTGAAATTCAATTACTGCTGTAAATCATTTTCTGTCTCTTCATGTACCAGATATAAAATTTTCGCCTCTGCTCGGCTTATAAAATCCAGTTTTATCAATCTTATAGCCTCATGGGCCTTGTTCTTCTAGAAAAATAGCTTTGATATATAATTCTTGATTAATATATGTCCAAAGCGGGGCACTGTAATTTCTGAAATTTTTGTCTGATATTATTTTTTTGAATTTATTATTAATGGCTTCTCTGATTCAAATTGATATGCGCAACCCTCTTGTTTTGTTCTGGTGCTGCCTTCCATGCATGTTTGACGCCTCATTTGAATTAGTCTCATTTCTTTATGTCATCAATTCAACAGAGAGGATTTCTCCTTCTATCTCCTGTAACTTCGGACCTAACAGCGAGATCAACTAAGCATTACGGATTGAATGAATGATATCCTTTCATTATCAGGATTTGGGTAGCAGGGAATCAACTTCAAATCCTATTTCCATTGTCTTGTAGACGAACTTAACTCAAATGGATGGTACGAGGCTGAATGTAGTGATGACTTCCATCTTACTTAAACGGCAACTACTTCGGCCTTTACTAAGGGAATCTAAAAATTTGGGGGATAAATAAAAATACTCAATTTTCGTGATATTCTATTGTGCTTTACGAATAATAGAATCTTAAAACAACCTGCATCTTTAGAGTCAAATTACCCATTAATTGTAATTGGGGCTTGAGGTGTAGTAATTGAAATCAGAAAACAATCTCTCATGTTATGTGCGACTAAGTCAGGCAAGCTGCTTTGGAAATTGATTGGCAGCATATATGAAATTAGTGATGTAATTAAGAAAAATTATGGTTCATGTATACATGAAGGTCTATGTTTGATATAGCCGGATCGTTTTAGGAGCCGGTGTATCTATACAAAAAATAAAAGTACTAGTTGAAGCAAAACTACTTCTCTTGGAAAAGAGGATTTAGAAGGATTTAGATCTAAACCATATAGTGTCTTAAACTATGTAGGTATAATATTTTTGCAGGCGGCAAAGTACTCCTTCCATGTATACACATATTAGCATAAATGTGTGATTTGTATTAAAGATTCCAGCTTGCGGATCTATGCGCCTAGAAGTAATCACAAAACAAAATATAAACACAAGGCTACAATTACATCATTGGTTTATGTTGTGCAGTGCTGTGCGCAGTCTCTAATTCGGCATATGACAAACTAAGTCAATTCATCTAATTTCTTTGCTGACGCAGTATCCGATTAAAGCCGGAGTGAATCCAAATAAGCGTAACAATAGTCATCTAATACAGGTTGTGTATTGTTCTTCAGATAGTAGAGAATCACTTCCTCAACTTGCAATACAACAATATCAACAAGAGAGAACAGTTACTGCAAGTTGCCTGCATGTATTCTAGAACCATATTTTCTTTGAAACTCCCTTCCCCTCGCCTTTTCAGTACCTTTCTGAAGGAGATGCGTCTGCTTCAGTCGCTGTCAAGTGTTTCTCCTTTGTTTGATTCTTCATTCGCCCACTTACTTAACTTAATAAAAAATATTTTTTAAGAACAAAAATGCTTGCACGGTATCTCAAGTTGAAGTCACATTTCCATCTATTACATCATAGGTAACCATAGATAAAATTGATATTATTAAGATTATAATGGAGAGTCTTTCAATAAGATTTTGTTGGGAAGATCTCAAATCTACGACAGCATAAAACCAGATTAACTGTACTTCTTGCTTCTATCTTCTAGTATTACATCTGATCCCTAAATGCTATAGCAGATACTCGAACAAAGGCATAGTACCTATTTTAGTTTGGAGCGAGAATTATCCCTTTGTCTCTGGCTCAGTTAGTACTGAACAAATTTTGCCAAGATTTCTTTAATTGTACAGTACAATGCAGCAAAGTGATTATAACGATCGTATCTCATACCGTTTTTAGATTTATTTAGAATAACTGGCGCTGAATCATCTACATTTCCATCATAACGAATTGTGTATCGCGCACGATTCAACTGCATGCAACGGGCAAAATTCCAGAAATCCTTGGAATACAACGATAGCCTATTTCTGCATAAAAACATGCGTCTCCGCGGTCAAAAAATATTTCTTTGATTTTCTTATTTTTTGATTATAATTTTTGTCAGATTCTATTTTTGGTAGTGTGAGAGATTAGTCGAAATTACATGAAGTGGTGGACTAGGATATAAACTTGAAAGAAAAAGATCAACGCAACATCGTTCAAGCAAATTATGCATTTGTTGCATACAATAGCAAAATGAAGATATAAAATTTCATTAGTTTGTTATTTGGGTCCAACACTAGTTTTTTGAGAACATTATCATATTGGATGGGGAAGGATCTGCATCAGTAAAACTCGGTCAATTTAAGCTAGAAATTGTGTACTGTAAACAATCAGTCAAGGAATTGAGAAGAAAAAAACGCTTTAGTCAAAAATCCGCAGGTGAACGAATACGACTACACATGTGAACTATAACGCTTGCTTAGACTGATGCAAAAATTTTCCCGAAGTTGATTCTAAGACCACTCCCCGCTGTGCTTATTCGAGCCAAAGATTTGCATAATTAATAATTGTCTGCCTTGAAGAAAATACTGAAAAGATCAAGTTAGAAGTATCGCTTTCAAACACTATTTCAAATGAATGAAATTCCACAAACACGGCAAGACGACAAAGACGGCAAAAAAACCGTTCTTTAGCCGTGCTCTTTTTTGTGTGCATTTCCATATTATGGCATACTCAACCGAACTTTATTTTTTGTATTGAACCCAGACTCTGTAAAATCTCAATAATTGCAACATGACATTTTTCTTTATATTAGGAGAAATTTGTTTTGACAAGTGAAATAAGGTTTCGGAATGTAATTAACTAGGAACCAAGAATTATTGATTGCTTTCGTGAAGAGCTATGATCATAATCGTATATGCTTATGCTTGATTAAATCTAACAAGCAAGAATAAAATATTGTAAGAAACGCATAGACTGACAATCTTATCTGTAGTTCATAACTTTGTTTTGCCTCGTTGTCTCTCGTAATGAATGTTTACTTGAAGTATTAAGTCCTCATTATTTAAAACTTTACCTACCTTTTAAAATTATGCCAAGGCACATATGCAACTTTATTTTTTTAAAAATTCTAACCCTTATTGTATTAATTAAAATTACAATGAATCTGCGGTAACCTTTCATTTTAGACACCAACGAGCCGAACTTGTAATTGAAAAATTATGACAGAACAGACAATAATGAATTAATTTAATAAGCTCTTGAATGTCGGCATTAAGAGTATTATTGTCATATCTGCATCTATAACTTTTTCAACTCAAAAAAATTGTTTTAGCAATTGCTCTAAACATTTCCTAAATTCATCTAAATTTGGGGGATGCCAAAGATAGTTTCACTCCAATAATTTTCATCTGAAATTATTTGAATGCCAGCTAGTTCATTTACATTGTATATGAATTAAGATTACACTGAAATATAGTAGTAATTTTAACTTATTGGTTAATTATTAAGTGATAAAAATAATGTGATCCAACCAAGACAACTTTTAGTATTTTAAAATAGTAATTGAATATAACAGAATTATTCTTATATAAGACTTTGAAATAAAGATCATACTAAGCCATACAAATAGCAGAAGGTGTTGCTTCATCATAACACCTCTGCCTCTCACAAATCAAAAATCCTGAGGATCTTGACTCTTTATCAAATTCTTAATCTTGAGAGATTTATTTAGTTGTTTGGGTTTCTATAACATATATCCCCAAAAGTTAGCTTCTTATGAAGATCATCAACGATTTAATTTATTTCTTCCTTATGGGTTTCACAGTTTTGGTTCTCCCATAAATGCTGTTTCTACGAGTGCTATAGAGATGTACTGATTGTGGTTTTTTTTTATCAATATTTGAAATTTTAACATAAGGCCTTACATTCAAAAAAGAGGTCATTTGAATCTAATACCAGAACATATCTTATAATAGCAAAGAGTTAAATGTGTAGCCTTTTAGGACATACTGCAAAAAAGTTGCAAACAATGAAAGGGTAAATCCAACTCAAAGATCTGTATTGTTAAGTTACTATATAATCTAAAAGGAATCAAAAAATATGAATATTTGACTAATAGAGCTTTATGTATAACAATTGTTAGCTCGGTTACTAGTGAGTGTGGGCTAAAAGGAATGCAGCACAGGCTCGTACCTCATACACATAAAAATTAATACAGGATATATATGTATCATAATATAATTTATCAGCAACAAACTTACTTGGTCAATATTAGTCTAATCTGAGCAAGATCATGATCCTTAAGAAAGGTTGGTAAAACTTTATTTTTCAGTTGACAACATTTTTGCAGTGGATCATTATCCATGGTATAAATAGCAAACCAAATTTGAATCATTATATCTGCCAAGCATGAGATAACAGATTCAAAAAAGAATTTAAGAATGGATGAGACACACTATGGGTTGCAATAGATGATATTGGATAAGGAAAGATAAAGTTCCTTTGCGAAGATCATAACTTCCACCAAATAAATGACTTACCATTCGCCAACAAAAGAGATATTTTTAAAGCTTTTAGTCATTATGGAGAAACTTCCTTCTTAGAATGGAACAACCAAATAGAAGCTAAAGTAAATGAATTTTTGGATTCAAGTATCACCAGTTGAGATTTCCAGTAGGTAAATTTTTTCCAGTATCAATTGCCCTGCTCAATGATGAAGTCTTCATCGAGTCTAATTCTACATAGTTTGCAGATTCTGATTTCCACTTAACTACTAGTCAGAATAAAATGACTATGATCTGGGTCAAGATATTAAACGAACCTTTGTATCTAATTTGATGGAACCTTTATGACAAATCTAAGAAGAAGTTCATTTTTATTGGTTTTATTATTGAATTTGGCGCACATTTTACTTAAAAAATGATTTATGTCAAGTAAGTTCTACAAATAGAGAAATTTTTAAACTATACACAAATTTATCGTAAATTATATCAATATATAAGAAGTTGTTGAAAGTTACATAAATCTATAACTGAAATAAAGATAACAAGAAATTTAGTAGAGTAAGAGACACCTTTATATTGGAGTTGAGAAGCTGCAAAATCGAAATTCCAAAAAGTTTTTCGCACTTTTCTTTAGCGTGGCAAATTATGTATTGTTTCCATAATTATAGTGAATACATAATTGCAAAAAACATTGGAGAGAAACTTGAGAAAAGTGAAAACAGTCGATTCATAAACTATAGTAATCAATATATATATATCCTTAAATAAACAGATTTATAGAAAAGAAGTCAAATTATCTATTAATTTAAAATGTTTTATTAAGCACGTGATTTTCACGTGATAACATATAGTTCGCACAGACCCAAAATATTTTTCGTCATATAAGGTTCTTAATGTGCCTTTTAGTAAGAAGAGAGAGGAGGAAAGGAGCTACAACAACAACAATGGGCCCGAAGGCTTGTTAATTAAAGTAACTAAGACTAATTAATTAACCAATCATACAAATAAGATAACCTCTTATATACAATGTATGATAACGTTCAAGAACAGACCATACTAGATACTCTAACCAAGTACTAGCCATTACCAGGACTGTGAGAACAGAACAGACACATCAAGAATCTCTTCTCGAGGATAAGATATGTTATAGAAATAACATACTATACTTCATACTAGAAGTTAATCCTACTTCTTTCTTTATCATTTATCCTAGGGGAAAACCACGACTATTTATATTGTTTCTCTGAATATGAGAGGATATTTCCTGCATATAGGACATACCATGTAAATCCTGCATATATGTCGCTGTTAACTAAGGGTAAATTATGAACCTTACACGTCAACAAATCAGCCGGTCTAGTATAGTGGTTAGTACACATCGTTGTGGCCGATGTAACCCAGGTTCGATTCCTGGGACCGGCATTTATTTTTTTCTAAAAATTTACAAGATTTGACAATATGAAGAACAAGAAAAAATGAACATAACTTCAATTCTTTTTTTATTACTTAACAATATACTTCCATAACTAACAACATTCCAAAGTATCATGACTGAACATAGTGCTGAACATAACACTGCTAAATATGAATATCCTGCTATTCGTATGTATAGATTTTTAAATTGAGATTAGTTGGAAGAACAGTCTTTGTAGACTGATTAATGAAACTTTTTCAATAATGACTTGTACCAAGCAAAGTATATACTAACCAATTTAATTAGCATCGCAAAAGGAATTAGATGATCATGATGTTCCATTCTACTATAGAGACAGATGTGCTGCTCATTTAATTAATTATTATAAATGTCTCGATAAAGGTAATTCATTCTGTAGGCAAACAAAGGATACCTTTTATGAATGCCAATATATTGCTTTAAAGGAAAGACTTGATAACCATACCAAACAAACTCATTAGATTAATTAGTGAATTATTGCTCTTTTATAAGTGGCAGCATTTGATTCGTCATGTTTAACATCGACTTAATGATTCACAAATGTATTCAAATATCATTAATTAACTAAGTCCTACCATATAACAACCTTCAAACATGAACATGTCTCTTATTCATGTTTGAACTCATATACATCCATTTCATCATTCTTGTGACTATCAAAATCATTTATTACTTACAATATCACAACAAAACAGCATTTTTCCCAATCCTTTTAAAGAATCTCCAGATTCGATTCTACGATTCAAACTTTTCTATATAGTGATTATTAAACTATTCCTATTCTTATTATTTCACATATATTATTATTATTTAGCATATAGATTGGAATTCGTTCCATTCACAAATAGATCAATATCTACGTTTTAGTTTATTTACAATAATGTAGCTGCAATAGTAAGTGTAACAGTATGTGTTACTGTAAGTGTTACTGCAATAGTGTTACTGCAACTGTAAGTGTTACTGTAAGTGTAATTACTACAAAAAAATTTATAGGTGCACTCAACTGAGATGCCTCCAAAGGTTTCCACTTCCACTATCTAACTATCTCTTACTATGAACTTTATTACAGTAAGATAGTTAGTTAATGGTAATGGTACTGGTATTGGTACTGGTATTGGTATATAAGGTCCTGTATACAGCCCCATGATTTGTTTGAACGAAATTTTATTGGTTATCAACAGTGAGAAAATGGAAAAAAGTTTTGAACTCCACTAAGAGACCCATACCTATTAACTAGCTTAAACAATAGACTCATAGTAATAACCATAGTAGTTATATAGATCATCATGTCAGTTACTGAGTTCCCACCACTTCGTAAGTATTTTTGTTTTTGTTTTTATTTTTGTTGGTCATTGAGTATTTATATGTTAAGTGATATACTAACCCATTTCCATTATCTAGTCTCCGATGAAGATTTACAAAAATATAAAGTTCCATTAAGATGGAGAGATAGATGTGCAGCTTATTTTGCACTTTATCATACATGTCTTATTAGACAATCAGCCAATTCATCTGTTAATTGTAAACTCGATAAACATGCATGGGAAGAATGTGAAAACTTGGACTATATAAGAAGACAAAAGGAATTGAGTGAAGTTAAGGAAGCCAGAAGAGCTGAATTGGCTGCAGCCAGTGAATCTGATTAATTCTTCAATTGTTATCTTTCTCCATTATGACAGTTCATGTCCTCCATTTGCATTTTCACATCTGTTTCTATAGAAATAAGAAACGGATTTGAATATTGAAACTTTGCATTCCTACTCCATGGGAACCATCAGTTTGTATACTATACTATAACAAAAAAATACAGTTGATATATATATATATATATATATATATATATATATATGTATATGTATTACGATATCACACTCATGCATTCATATTCTTCGAACTATCGCCAACTACAGGATCTCAGTTACTGATTCATTACTCATTACTCATTACTAGATCCATTAGCATAGTCTTTATTGCTTTTTAGTTACATTTTAATAAACTTATATTTACAGTTACATGTACACTCACGCTTAAATCTACAACCCCTCTAATTACATTTGTAGAACCTAATTATTAATTTCCAAACAAGTGAAACTCATAAGTTTTTAGTAATAAAAAACCACTAGAAGATTTCATGAAATATCAATTAAAGTTCTGTAACATTTAATTTGTCTCCGCTGTCCACACTCTAAATCAATTTACAAACTGATATAGAGCTCTATCTATTGTCGGAGGTTTTTAAAAAATACTATCTGAAGAAGAAAGAAAGGAATAGTTAGCAAACTTGAGTAGTTTTGAAAAATTTTATATAGTGGATGGCTGGGGATGAGAGTTACCGAGAGTGTCGGTAATTTTCAGAATGGCGAGCATCATGGACAGGCACAGTAGAAGTTACCGTAAAATGTGGAGGGAGAGTATAACTTGTGGCAAGATAGTAGTAATTAACCAATTATCAAGACTAGTATATACTAAGTTCTCATATATACCATGTCTAAGAAATCAGAACAGTTGACTGTAGTGGCAGCTGAGCCAATTGAACAAATCGATGAGTCCACTAAGACTACCAGTGCCACTACCACCAACACCAATACCAGTAATACCACCACTACCAAAACTCTTGATGAAGTACCAATTAATGATGATGATACCGAGAAGAAATCATCAATTGAAGCAGAACCCCAAGCAGAAGCAGGAGCAGGAGCAGAACAGGAAACAGAAGCACCTCCTCCAGCCAGACCTCCAAGACCAGTTGATCCTATTACTCAAGTAACTAATGAATTAAAAGAAGCATTTCCTAATATTGAAGAGAAATTAATTACTGCAGTATTAATTGCTAGTCAAGGACAAGTTGATCCAGCCTTTAATGCGTTATTATACATTTCAGATCCAAGTTTTAAACCAGAAATCCCTGTACCTCAAACAGAAGCTCTTGAACCAAAGACATCAATCACTAGTACAAAGCCTTCAATATTAAGTGAAGATGAAATTTTAGCTAGAAGATTACAAAAGGAATTTGAAAATGAAGAAGCCAGAAGAAGAAGACGTCATGAAAGGAAGAAGAAATTAGGAAATCAAAATCCTAATCAACAATCTCAACAATATCGTGAAGATTTTGATGATAGTCCTGATGAATTTGATCAAATTAAGGAAACTTTCTCTCAAGGTTTAGAAGATGCTAGATCCACCTTAAATGGATGGGTTAGTAATCTTGCTAAACGATTTGATGGCAATGATAAACAAGGAAATCAACAATCTCAACAATATCAACAACAAGTTGGTGGACAACCTAAATTATTTGGAGCTTTAGGAGGTTCTCAATTTAATAGAAGAGGTCATAATAAATTTGATGAAGATCCAGAAATTTTATCTAGTGATTTCCATCGTCGTATTAGTTTAAATGATAATGAAAAGGATACTCCATTACCAGGATTACCTACAAGACCAACTGATAAACCTTTACCTCAACATCCACCACAATCTGACTCTGAAGTAATTAGTAGTGCTACGCCATTAACTACTGGTGATACTACTAAATCAGGAAAGAAATGGCAACCTTTAGAAGCTGATGTTCCAGCCAATTCTGATGCCTTTTTAGTAACTGATAGTGAGGATGAAGATACCACTACTGCTGCTACAACTGCTGCTGCTGCTGCTACTGATGTTAAGAAGTAGAAGTACTTTTGTTACTGTTACCCCTTTCTCTATAACTATTACTATAACTACAACTATAACTACAACTACAACTATAACTATACCTGTTTCTAATAATGTTTACTTTGATTATTCACCTGTAAAGTATATATTAACCTAGCCAATGTAACCATTGACCAACCCTATAAACGAGACGAAGACGAGTCTATATGCTTTAAAATGAAGAAAAGAAAAAGAATCCAAAAAAAAAAAATCAAAAAGAGCTATACCGAATCACCAGCTACGGGAGATTGATAACTATTAAGCTGAGAGTATATATAGGAGAAGGGAGAAGTGAGAAATGAACTGAACTAACAAGCAAGAAAGGAGAAGAAAGGAAAAGAAAGGAAAAGAAAAGAAAAGAAAAGCAAGCGAAATCAATCATTCATAAGCTAAACCTGTGTCGAGCAGTATGGCTGTCGACAGTAATGAAATACATAAAGAACACCAGGAAAAACATAAAGATATTATGGACCATAAGGAAATAAAACAAACTGTAGAAACTTAAAATCAGACGGTAGATGAATGAATCACTTATTATTATATTTATTATTATTACTATTATTATTACTATTATCAAACATCTGTAATGCCTTATAGAGTGATTCATCCTTCTTACCAGACACTTTTAATAAAGTTTCAAACTCATTATTGGCTCGAGCCAAGGATGGATGATATGATGCCCAATCAATAGTAGGTGCCTTTAAGATACTATGAGGTTTGGGTAATTGGACTTGGTGGGACATTAATTTCATAAAAAATTCAATGATTTCATCTTTATTATCACTCTCACTAAATTTATTATAAAGAGATGATAATTGGATAATATCTTGTTTAATTTGTTGTTTGGTATTACTAACTAGTCTTAAGGATGAACTTAAGGCTATGTAATCAGGATTGGTATTTAAATCAGTCACATCTGGTGTGCTTGTGTTGTCATTGGTTTTCTTATCTGTAAATGAAGCAGGACTAGATGATCTTGAACTTTCTAAATCACAAGGTGATGTCGAAGTTGATGAGGTATAGGATGAAGCAGACGAGCACGATGAGTTTGTGTTTGTATTTGTATTTGTATTTGTATTTGTATTTGTGCTTGTATTTACAAGGTCTACTTCATTACTTGTAGTGGAAGAAATAAGTTCATCATCATCATCTTCTTCTTCTTTAGGAGTTAAAAGAGGTGAACTTTCATAAAATGTCCGATCTTCTGGTAACTCAAATGTGACTGATTTTTGTTTGGTAGTGGCAATTGATTCTGTTACAGTAGTTTCTTCTGAACTGATAGGAGATGGAGATCTTTGTTGTTCAGGAGGTGAAGGAGGAGTCTGATGAATTATATGTTGGTGCTGGTGTTGGTGCTGGTGTTGATGATGTTGCTGTTGCTGTTGCTGTTGCAGCTGTTTCTTAGGATGATGTTTCTGATGATTCAGCGGCTGCTTCTTCTGATGATACGTATGCAGACGAGTAGTCATTGTGGTTGTAGTTGTATTTCCACCAAAGGTAACCTTTAGTTTTCTCGTCTTCTTCGGTGAAGAGTTATTGGTGATGTCTTCCAATTCATTTGATTTTCTTTTATGATTATTACTATTTCTGGTGATCATAGTGTGAGTGGTTGTGTTTGTGTTTGTACTGGAATTGGAATTGGAATTAGAATTGGAATTATAATTATTACAAGACTTCAAGACTCGTAAGTTGACTACCATATTTAGATTTATGCACAACCAGGTATAAAGTAAAGATGCAAACGATAACAGAATGGATATGGAACCACAAATAGAAATCGAGGATATTAATTTATCCTGTACGTATATACTTGAGTGACTATAAATTAAACCCCAAGTCAAATTAAAGATGGTGGCAATATCACCAGTTTGAAAAATTTCACTAATAAATTTGGAAATTGCCGAAATATCAGACAGTAAATGATCGACTTTATATGAAGGAATAAATCTTAGAAATTATGTCAATACTATACAAGTCTTTGTATACATTTAGATTAGCATTAATTGCGTAATCTTAACCTATACTAACTAAACTAAACTTGGTGGTAATTAAAGACGTTTGATGAAGGCCTGTACAAAGAAACTGATGAGGAATTTGGAAACACCTCTGGTGTAACAAGTCAGCACCGCACTGGGAAGAAAAAAAGGGAGTGCGACACTCAAATGAATTGTCTGTCTGTCCACCCCGCCCCTTTTTCATATTCAATTTACATTTTGCATTTTGCATTTTGCATTTTGCATTTTTTCCTTTTTTTTGTCTGGGTCGTCAGTAGATTTATCTCAAAGTATATCGTATATTTTACAGTTTATCATTATATATTTATTTATAGATGGTAGCTCTCAATCTACCAAATGTTTACAATACTGAGCTTATTTCTTAACATTGGTAAGGTGTATACTAATATACTCTATATTGAATTTATAATTAAATTTAATTTAATTTTTATTTTTATTTTTATTTTTATTTCATAATAGTATGCGTGTTTAGATCTATAGCTAGCTTTCTGTAGCAATTATAAATGTGAAGTAATTAAATATTCGTCAATATAAACTGTAAATGTTTCTTGTCTGTCTCTTTTTCTACATTATCTAATGTGTAATTTTTTTGACTTTGTTGCTGTTTATGCTTATTCATTTTACAGGTTGTGGCGACCCATTTCATCTCTTCTAGCCAAGATTACGCCAGTATCATAGTGCAGTGCAGTACCGTACAGTACTGAACTTAACAGTGATTTACACCATCAAACCTACATGTGTTATACGTCATACCACAAACTGATTACTGTCATCTCACGGTAATTTCGGAAGCACTTGTTAGAGAATATTGGATTAATTAGATAGGCTTTAGATTTTTATTTTTAACTATCTACATACACTTAATGCTTATCTTCCATCTATCCATTGCCCGATTCCGCAACATGATTGGCTGAAAATACTTCGTAACAGCTTCGTTGACTTTTTATTTCGTGACGCGCATTTTAAGCTTTTCTATTCATCTTCGTCTGGCCAACGATCCTCACCCCCCCTCCTTTAACCTGTAAACGACATTGTTTTGGGGGTTAATACTTGACAATTGATTTTGCCACGTACAATAATCCTGATTTTAAATCAACTCTAACTACAAAAGTTTGTTAACAACAACCTATAGTCACCCTAACAAATTATACTGCCGAAAGTCTTAGCTTCAAGAAAATATCAATAAAGTATATACCAGTAATGAATTAAAAATTAAGATCGAATAATAAATCAAAAATCAAGTTTGCCCAAATTGATGTTTGCTATAGTGCAGAAAGTCCCAAATGAGACATTTCTTTAACTGTTTTGCAAGGTATGTGGTGCTTGCTAATAAAAGCCTAAATGAATATTTACATGAATTATATAGTATGTACAGAATTGGACTATATATGACTCTAACTACTTACTTTTTACTCTTGTTCTTGCTCTTGTTCTTGCTCTTGCTCTTATTTTTGTTGTTGTTAATGTTAATGTCAATGTTATTCTCTTGTCCCTTTGGTAATTCTTTCTTGTTATTACCTTGTTTCAAACTTTTAACATAATTGGTGGCTTTACTAACATCTTCCTTCAAGTCTTGAGCTCCTATCTTAAATTGATAGAACCGACCATGTTTTTCTCTCAATTGTTTCTTCTTCTTTTTCACTTCTCTGTTAATTATACCTATTTGTTCATCATAAGGAATACCAGCTTCGGCTTCTTCAACAGATTCTTTCCCGAATAAATAATCAAATACTCTACCATCACTCCAGAAGAATCCTTTTCTATCCACCATCCAATTTTTGCTTCTTCCATTAGCTAATTTCTCTCTTAATATAAAGAAAAACATAGAATTATCAGCAGTTCCATAGAATCCTTTCCCAGTCCATACACGAGCTGTCTTTCTACGAGTTAAATTTTCTAAAGGTGTAGTCACAACTGGAGTAGGGCGACCTGGAATTAAAGGATAACTAGTGAATTGAATATGTTCTTTTCTACCTGGTAAATACCAAATTCTTCTAATTAATTTAGTTGGTAATCTAAAAACTCCATAAGCAGCTGTCAACATAACAATACTGAATATCGAATTCTTTAATAATGAAAATACCCATTCACGTTTCCTTAATACTTCATTCTTTTCTTCAACATTCTCTTCATAATCCAAACCAGCTTGAAACCAAGCATATTCTCCAAGTACAAGTCCATAAATAGCGAATACTATACCACAACAAAAACATGTTAAAAAGTATAATCGATGGGGTTCACTTTCATAGATAAGTTCTGGTTCTGTTTTAGTCTTTAATATCTGAAGAACTTGTCTAAAACTATATTTAGGTCCAACTTGTGGTACACCAGGTTTAGGTAATAAAGTCGGTACAATTTCTTTAGCCAATGGGAACTTTGGCACTCTTTCTTTCACTTCATTAGTTTGAATTGATTCACCAGGGATATGTTGTTTCAAATGTTTCCATTCTCCTTGACTTGGTAAAGTCTTTTTAGGATTGAAATCTTGGGGAAGATTTGACTTTTGTCTAATGGCTCCGATTAATCCTCCATTAATTATTACAGATTTGGGAATTATTCTTCCTAAAGAGGTTGCAGGTGATATCACTACCCGCCTGCTTAACACTCCATAACCTATCCTACTAAGAAACATGGCTACTTCTGTTACTTACTATGTTCAAGTTCATTAGCACAGTGAAAAATTATTGATGGGCGTATATAATTTTAATTTGGAGAAAATCACGTGACGAATTCGTCCTCTTCTAACTACGTCTATATATATAGTATACATTCAATTATAATTACATATAGTACAGAAAGTCTAATACAATCACTTCCAATTGGAAGTCTTAGATCTGGACTTATTCTTGACCTTTGATTGTGTCAACGGAGTCTCAGCACGTTTAAGCTGAACAGGATGTTGACCTATATATTTACCATTCATATCTTTGAAAGCATGAAAGTAATCGTTGGCATCTGCAAAGGCTACAAATCCAAATCCTTTATTTTTGCCTGATTTCTTATCTAGAGGGACCCGTACTTTACTCATAGTAGCATATTTCTTAAATGTATCATGTAATAGTTGTTCTGTAACGTCTTCTCCGAGATTCCCCACAAATAATCTAAAGTGTTTGGGATCCCAGTCCACTAAGGTTGAGTCTTCCCAGGTTTGAGTGCCTACTTGTCGTTTGACTGTTTTGTTGTTATTGCTATTATTATTATTATTATCATTATTTGAGGTTGTAGGAGTATATGTAGATGTAGATGGTGGATGTATTGGTGGTGTATGAGCAGATTCAGATGTCTTCGGTGGTAATGGAGCTCCGATGACTCTCGTAACTGCACTACTATTCTTAACTGATGAATGTAAATAACTAGCAGCTTGCCGACTACCTGCCAATCTCCGATCCGAAGACTTCCCACCTGATTTGAATGCTTTCTTAGACACTCCTCCACTCATTGTCCCTTAGAAACTCTCCAGTAGCCAGTACGTACTTTAAGTCTCACTAGAAAAATCTCATCTCAGTACTGAAAAAATCAAAACTTTTCGATATCGGTGAGACACCTTCACTACCGAACAGTATCGTTATAGCCACCCGACGGATTTGGCTGGGTCACTAGAGGATCACATAAGCACCAGGGGAGTTGTAGCTATAGCTGAATAGCGTTCAACAACCATAACAATAATAATTTGCATTTAGCATGTTCATATTGTCAGAGTTAAGCGACTTAGTTCGTATACCACCCCATACATTTAATATACCGATTCAACATTCTATAACAGATGAATTGAATAAGAAATTCTCAAACAAAGTCATATCCAATCTTGGACTTGTAGTAACCATATGGGATTTATTGGATATAAAAGATGGATTATTAAAGCCAGGAGATGGAGGATCATATGTTGAAGTACAATTTAGATGTATTGTTTGGAAACCATTTATTGGAGAAATTTTAGTAGGTTGGGTATCTGATTGTTCACCAGAAGGTATTAAAGTTAGACTTGACTTTTTCGATGAAATATTTATTCCAAGATCATATATATTTGAAAATTGTGAATTTAAACCAGTTGAAAAAGCTTGGGTATGGAAACCTGATGATGATAATGAATTCTTTATTGATATTAATGAAAAGATTCGATTTAGAATTGAAGAAGAAATATTTGTTAATATAAAACCAAAATCCAGTAATGAAGCTCTGGGATTAGAAGAACCATCAAATAAAGCTCCACCTTATGCTTTACTTGCATCATGTCAAACTGATGGGATGGGATGTTTATCATGGTGGGAATAAATAAATATATATATATATATATGAAGCTTTTACAATGAAAAAATCTGTATTATAATATTAATTATATATAAACCTAATTATATTGCATATATTGACTAGTAGAACTAAATTTCAAATTACCCTTAATGACCTTATCAACGGCTTGTAAGAAATCCTTTTCATTAGCAACTTTTCTTCTAGCTCTAATTGCAAACATACCAGCTTCAGTACAAACAGATCTTAATTCAGCACCAGTTGCATTAGGACATAATCTAGAAATTAATTCCCATCTTATATCCTTTTCACAACTCATAGTTTTAGAATGAATTCTAAAAATATTGGCACGACCTTCTAAATCTGGTAAAGAAAATTCTACTTTACGATCAATTCTTCCCGGTCTTAATAATGCAGGATCTAATGTATTGGGTCTATTGGTTGCAAACATTACTTTAATATTACCTCTTGGATCAAACCCATCTAATTGAGTAATTAATTCCAACATAGTTCTTTGAACTTCATTATCTCCACCAGCTCCATCATCAAATCTTGCACCACCAATGGCATCAACTTCATCAAAGAAAATAATACATGCTTTCTTAGTTCTAGCCATTTCAAATAATTCACGAACCATTCTTGCACCTTCTCCAACATATTTTTGAACTAATTCTGATCCTATAACTCTTATAAATGTTGCATCAGTTCTATTAGCAACAGCTCTTGCACATAATGTTTTACCAGTACCTGGAGGTCCATATAATAATATACCCTTTGGAGGATCAATACCTAATTTAACAAATCTTTCTGGTGATAATAATGGTAATTCTACAACTTCTCTTAATTTTTCAATTTGTTCTTTACATCCACCAACATCACTATAAGTTACATCTGGTTTTTCTTCTACTGTCATCATAGTTACTGAAGGATCAATTCTTGGAGGTAATGGTAATTGTATTTCATATTTTTGTCGATCTACTCCAACTCTCATACCTTCTTCAATATCGGTTGGAGATACTCTTTCACCTAATCCAACGACAAATTTCGCTATTTGTTTAATATTAATAACATATTTAGATTTATTATCAGCATTTTGAAGAGCTCCTGCTACAGCTGGTGTAGTAGCTTCAATAATTTTAGTACATCTTGCCACTTGTAATGGTTGTTCTTCACTCATTCTTTGTTTATCTCCTAAAACATCCCATAAATGAGGTGGAGCTAATCCTGTATCACTTTCTTTAACTCCTATATTTTCTTTTATTCTATCTTCAATATCTTTTAAATCCTTTTCAATTTGTTTTAATTGACTTGCATAAGGTGCTGCTCCATAAGTCTTTAATACTTGAATATCTCCCTCACTTAATGGAGTTATCTTTTCTTGATTCTTTTCATCGTCATCGAGTGGGGCAACATACTTGTCCCAATCGGCTTTTGGAGGCATTCTATAGTTAATTGGCTTATTACTTCTTAATTCTATACAGATCTCTTGTCTTAGTACTGTGAGTTAGTTCGAGGTTTGTCAATTTTCGGATTTGCCATCCTCACTAATTTGGGCGTGCTCACACGACCTTCCCCTACGAGACGAATGCGAATGCGAATGCGAATGCAAATGATTTGCAGTCATTATAAATATTGAGTATATTTATTACTACTGTACTCTTCTTTACTATAGTATACTCTAATATACTTAATAGTATAGTATAATATAGTACACTACATTCTGTTTACATAATTAATATTATCCTTATATTAAATGTTACAGCGATTGTTTAATATATAATACATATACACCACAATTATCTCCCTATCTCCCTATATAGTTCGTATCTGTTCAACCACAGTTCCAATTTCTTGAGCAAGCTCTAATCGGTTAGTTAAATTACTGGTCATCACATTAAATGTAATTAATTTCTTATGTATACTTTGAAGATGTTCAGTATTAATATCAATCTTCTTTTGTTGTTCATCATTGGAACTAGTAGGAGCTTCTTGATTTACATTGTTAAATTCTTGAAGATAATTAAGTAAGTTTATAATGACTTGTAAATTACTGTTTACTTCACTTAATTTTACACTTATTTGAATAGTTGATATTTGATTATCTTTAAAGATATCCAATAAGGAATTTAAATTATACTGAATAACTTTACTAAGTTGAATATGCCACATTAAATATGCATTCAAACTTAATTCAGAACTTTGTTTCTTATCATTATGTTTAGCTTCTGACACAAATAAATGGAATGAATTAGAAATAAATTGTAATGTAAATTGAAATGATTCACATAATGAAAGTTGATCAAGTTCTACTAATAAATAATAATAATTCAAATTAGTAATTGAAATAAATTCTGGCATATTTGGTGCTTGAGAATATCCTTGATGTATAGCAGAACTTGTATCAATTCTCCATTGCTCAAGTTCACTAGAAATACTTTTTAAATCATGATTTTTCTTACCTGATAATTTTAAATATAATAAAGTATCTCTTATATGAGAAAGTTTAATCTCCTGATTTATTAGTTGTAAATTTTCATCTTCATAAAGGGTTTTAGTTAATGGGAATTCAACCTGTATAAAATCATTTATAGGAATTTGACTAGGTTTTCCTGCTAATAAACTTAATTCTTTATCCAAATTATATATGGACCAGAAAATTCTTTGATCTGAAACGTTATCTGATTTCTTATATAAATCGAGATGAACAATTAATCTGTCAAGTATACCTATTAAAGACCAAGAAAAGGCATAATTTAACGAAGTTAAACTATAGACAGTTAATAATAATAATAATTTCAAACTTTCAACTATTTCATCTCTATCATTATATGATATGTTCAAATTTAAAACATCAATGATTGATGCTATATTCTTTTCATTAAAATAATCTTGAAAATGTCGTTTATCTTTATTGGTAGAATCAGCAATTAGACATCCACTTGCCATTAATAAATAAGTATCTAAATTAATTATTGATTCCTTTGTAAAGTCAATATTATTAAATGTAGATAAAAATGTCATTTTATCAATAAAAGGATATTTATGAGAAAAGTTATCGAAATAGTTACGAACAAATTTCAATGGAAGTTCTGGATCAGATATAGATTTCATGGTAATAAATTCTTCTTTCAAATTAGTATTACTTGTAGTCCATAATCTTCGAATTAATTTTTCATGCTCAGGAATATCATCAGCTTCCTTTGCTCTACGAGCAGATGATGATAAAGCTGCAGAAGGTACTTTCTTGGGTCGTGGTTCTCTAGTGGAAGTGATTGTATTTGAAGAAATTGAAGAAGATGGAGTAATTGCGGTGGTGGTACTGGAAGGACTAACCGATACTTCTTCTTCTTCTGTAGATAATAATGATGATACTGAAACTAATTTATGAACTTGTTTAGATATTTCATTACTTTCTTTCAATACTATTGGTTTCTGTTCAGAAATTTTCTCAGAAATTACTTCATCAGAAGATTTACCATCTGATACTACATCAATATCAGTTTTCGATACAACATTAGCATCTGTATTTTCACCTAAATATTTGATGTTCTTAGATCCAGGTATTCTCTTTCTCCTTTTATTACTTCTATGGATATATTCACATTCATTACCTGTTCTACTACAATTTGAACATTTAGGATATTCTCTAGAACACTTCTTTTTCAATCTATAGCATCGATTACAATTATTAGGATGATGAGTATCAGGAAATTCTACCGGTTGATTTTTTTGATCATCATTTTCTGTTGATTTTATAAAACTTCTCTTATTAGTCATTAAGGCTCCAGTTATTATCAGTTGTTCTTTCTCATCAAGAGTATGGTATGAACCTGTGGTATGACCATTATTAGTTGGAATAGAAGAATCTATTGAATTTGATATTGAAGTTGATCCTGAAGTTGATCCTGAAGTTGAAGTTGGTGTCGATGTTGATGTTAAAGTGGATGCTGAAGATTGTGGAGCAACTGTGGAGATATAACCCGATCCTATTGGTAAAGTAGTAGTAGAAGTAATATGTGAATGAATTGGATTTCTTAAATTGGACTGATTCAGTTGAATTATAGGCGGTTGTATATTATTTTCCAACCTAAACTTACTGGCTATGGTCCCATTGCCCATCAGTTTCCTATAGTAGAAATTCATGTTTAAAATATAAATTTTATAAGTAATATTAAATTTTATTTCAACTAGTAATACAAAATTATCAGACTGCTCACAACAAATAGTCCGCTGGGGAATAAGTGTTGAATAAATAAAATCCGACGTTGGAGTTATCTGAATAAGCAAATACTGTGGATCTCTTCCGTCTGGATTTTTATCACACAGTTTTCGGTTTCGGGTTTTGATTTTTTTTTTTTTGACTCCATCATCGGCCAATTCAACAGACAGGCGGGCGGGCGTTAAGCAGGAGAGAAGTGAGGGAGAGAAAAGCGGATGATTGACTAATTAGGTTATATCACGTGACAACTATGGCCCTTACCCAATTAGGAAATGACCTAATTTCTTCATTATCTTATTACATGATAACTACGGCTGTGGTATTGTATTGTTGTTTCAGTTATACTGATAACTAAACTGATAACTGATAACTGATAACTCAAACTGAAATTTATAACTAATAATTGATAAGATCTATATTACAAATTGTTATATATATGGATATATAAATGAAGAAATTAATGAATGGGTTATACGAGAGATGCTTCTATATACAGTGTTCGCAATTTACTCCCAATCGGCTAAGCTTTTTATAGTGGATTTAGATCCAAAAAATATTTATGTACCATATAAGTAACCAGTTTATGCTATTACAGGTTGTTCAGACTGTTGAATCTGTTCAGTATTTTTAGATTCTTCTTGTTCTCTTAATTTACCAAATTCTTCAAGTGCTTTAATTCTTAATTCATCTAACATAGCAGTTTGAAGTTTAGCATTAAATGGTGGAAGAGTATCATGTTCAATTAGATCATTTCTCCAGAATTTATCTTCACCTCTTCTCCATTCATTTTCCCATGTCAATTTAGTATTTTCTAATTCAAATTCATCAATAACATGAGCCAAATCAGCCACAGCTTCTTGAGTATATGTTGGTCTATATTGTCCTTGAAACCAAATGTTACCATCGTCATTTTTTCTTCTTAAAGATTGTGCTACATCCTTTTGTACAACATCTCTGGTCTTTCTTAAATCAACTAATCCCTTATAAGCTGCTACGGCATATTCGTAATTATCAAATGTTGCAACACACATTATTCTCCAATAATCATTTCTTCTACTTGGCTTTCTGTTTTGCCAATTTGGTCTTAAAAATTGTTCATCAATTTGTTGTTGATGATATGCTGGAACTTGGGAATATAATACTTGTCCACTAAATAAGTTCTTGAATAAGAATACTTGGGGTGCCATATTTAATCTGGCTAATTCTTTAACAGTCTTTTCTCCTTCGGCGATTCTAGCACCAAAGATTCTACGAGTCTTAAGGTGCTCGATGAGGAACTTCCTCATCCTCTTTTCCGAACTCAACTTAGGAGGCATTTTGGTATTATTGTTATTGTCTTGTGGGTATGAACTCTCTTTCCTCTAAGTTATGTTCTTGACTATGTTGAAAAATTTGTTATATATTGAAGAGTTTTTCTGGTCGTGTAAAAAAGTCAATACGAGTCCCGTGACATTTACTTCTACAGTTACATCCACACCACAATACATAACTATTACCTTTGATATTAATGGACAACAGCCCTGATCATAAAATCCTTGAAATCATACACATCTCAAATGCCAGTATAATCCTTTTCTTAATATTGGGAATCACACTCTACTAGTTGAGAGAATTTATTTACTTATAAATTGAGTGGTACAACTGTCCCTCATCCAAAATCCTTCTCTGTCCCTCCACAACATGCTGCAAATTGGTGATCCTGCATATATCCCAGATATACCAAATCCCATACAAAATTTCAGCGAGTTTATAACAACACAGTGTCTATATATGGATTGTTATAACAAATAATATTAGTCATATTCATACCATAACACTCAGACATGAGTGAAAACTAGAAGCTCAATTTAGAAAGTTACTTTTTTCCATAATGTCTGCTAGTTCCCTCCTTTTCGTGGTGTTTCTAATATCCCTGTTTGTATGGATATATAGATATATCTTTAAACATGACTTAATACAGAATTATACAAACAAATTGCATCTACCCAAGTCGAGAATCAATGAGTACATAGTGTCCAACTTAAATTACAGATTTAAAACGCGAATTATTCCCTTGGATGTAGACATTGACGATGATGATGATAATGATCTTGGCGATAAAATAAGAAGCCAACAACAAGAAATTAATCATATTAAAGAACTATTGGTGGGATTTAGTTTTGCTATAACTATAACATTAAGTATAGGTCTTATTGTATTAATGTTATGTGAATTGATAGATGTCATGAATGTAGACATCAGACTAGGACTTTTCCATTTTACCATAGATTCATTAATTATTCTACTTACAGTAGTACAACCATTTTTAATAATAAATTTACTAGTAAATCATGATATAATACCGTCAACTAAGAAGAATTATTACTCAAGTGGATTCACTATAGCATTATTTTTATTATGGTTTTTTGTATTACATAAATGTGGAGATTTGTCTCGATCTTTCGTCCCACCAAGATTATCAAATGATGAATCTTCTAAATATATTGATAGATCAATTCTTGAAAGAAAAATTAATGAAATATCAATTGCTGGTATAACTATTTTAGCAATTTTATCTGGAATTGGTTCTACGTCTACTCCATATAAATTATTTTCAATGGATATAATTCTTGATAGACTTTTAAGTGGTTCAAAATTTAATAAAGTTACAAAAGAAGGTGTAACTGAATCCGATATCAATTCAGCGATAGGATATTTCAATAATACAACTACTTTACTAAGAAATAGAAAACAAGATTTAAATAAGTATTTAGTAGCTAGTGGTGGTAGAACTTATAATGAAATTGACAATACCATTCATGAAAATGGTATACTATCTCATGAAGGAAAACCTAGAAGATTAGGAAATATTGTTCATAAAGTTCAATCATTTGCTAGTTTACCATTTTCTTCAGGAAATCTGGAAGAAAATGAGTTGAAACGAGAAATAGACTCTATAACTTCTTTACGGAATTCTTTATATAATGATATCACCAAGTTAATATCAAAATATCTTGAACAAAATGGTAAAAAGGAGACTTTTGAAAATGAGATTCTAAATACCTTATACAAATGGGGATACCTTGCACTTGGAATATATTGTGTTTATAGAATTATAAATGTTTTATTGATCAGGTTACCAAGACAATTATTTTATAGTACAGATACTAAGTTATATCAATTACATTCAGAAACAAATGTTATACAAGATGATGAACAGAAACTTGATCAAACTATTCAAACTCCCAGTAAAGATGCTTTAGCTACCACCTTAGCCAAAATAATTCTTTTATTTTTCAGAGATGCTTCAGTTTCAGAAACACAACTAGTTAATCAATTAAGTTTTGTGTTATCAGGTGGTTTATTCATATGTTCATTCTCCAATGTATTTAATACATTCCGTTCATTTACAAGATTTTTCCCACTGGGGTCATCCTCGCTGATGGCAAAGAGTTGGTTAAAACATATAATTATCGCGCAATTATTAGGAATTTACGTAATTGCCACTGCATTGTTAATTAGAACAAATTTACCGTCAAACCTTTCGAATCAAATTTCTAAAATTCTTTCATTATCAGGAAGTTCCATTAAAAGTGCAAGTGATTCAATTCAAGAAGTGGAGTTTATAGATAAATGGTTCGATAAAGTTTTTGGATTCACCGTCGTCATAACGTCTTGTCTGCTTGTGATTCGAAAATATTTCGATGAATCAAATCTTGACCCATATAGTCAAGAAGAATACGACGAAGAGAATCTATTAGAGGGATCAAGATAAGTTACACAAAGCCATGAAATATTACCGTATAGAGATAATTATAATTAACCGCAGAAATTTTTCCACATGCGATTAGCAACTGCTTTGAAAAAAAAAAGATTCTGTGGGGTAACCCTATCGTAAAGTATATATATATATATAATTAAGTATTAGGTAATTTTGATAATGAAAAGAAACTGGGTCTAACAGAACCTTGAGGTCGTAAATAATAATGTCAGTAGTAACTTTAACACAAGAATCTCATAAGAATCCAGATCCATTTAGAGTTAAGTATGAGGATGCAAATTTGGTTCTCGGACCTAAACCTAAAATTCCGATCAATGATGAATTACCCGTGATTGAGACAAGTTCAAAAGTAGCAATTATAGGGGCTGGATTTGGTGGTATGACTGTAGCTCATTCATGTTTGACGAAATTGAATATAGATGATTTTGTAATGTTTGATAAGCATGATAACTTTGGTGGTACTTGGTATGTTAATACCTATCCAGGATGTGCTTGTGATATTCCTGCCTTATGGTATTCATTTTCATTTGAATTGAACAATAATTGGAGTCGTATTCAACCTCCTCAATTTGAGATGGAGGAATACATTCTTAAAGTTGCTGAAAAGTATAATTTACAAAAGTATGCCAAGTTCAAAACAGCAGTTACTCGTTTAGAATATAACGATGAAGCAGCAAATTGGACTATGTACATACGTGATTTGACTAATGGACAATTGATTAAACATACAGCAGAGATTGTTACTTCTTGTCAAGGTAGTTTGGTTAATCCAATTCATTATAATGCTAAAGGTTTAGAAGACTTTCAAGGAGTATATATGCATTCTGCTGTTTATAATCATGATGTATCTTTGGAAGGTAAGAATATTGCAGTAATTGGTAATGGTTGTTCAGCTAATCAACTAGTTCCAAATATATTAAGCAATTATAAGCCAAAGTCTGTCACTCAAATTTTCAAATCAAAGCATTATATTATGCCACCAGTTCCTAGAGCACTTCAATGGTTGTACAGGTTTTTGTCCTTCTCGTTCTTGGGATTGACTCTTGTTAGACTATTAACCATTGCAATTGCTGAAGCCAGGTTTCCTCTTTATAAGGGAAATGGAATCTTTTCAAACATTGTTCGCCGGATTAACACAAGATCTTCCAGAAATTATATTCAAAAGCAAGCTCCTAAAAAGTACCACGATTTACTTACTCCTGATTTTAAGATTGGTTGCAAAAGAATGATTTACGATTACCAATATGTTCCCTCATTACATGATGAAAGAGTTACAATTACTGATGATGCTGTAGACCATATTACGAAAGATTCTATAGTATTCAAAAATGGAAAGGAAAAGAAAGTTGATATCATTATCGCTTGTACAGGTTATGATGTGAATAAGAGTTACCAAAACTACGAAATCATTGGTCGTAAAGAGAAAGATGTAGGTAAAATCTGGGCAAATGATGGAGGTAGTGCTTATCAAACTGTTTTATTAAGAGATGCACCAAATCTTTTCTTTATTGCTGGACCAAATTCTGCTACTGGACATTCTTCCGTTGTTATGGCAATTGAAAACGGTTGTACATACTTTGAAAAGTTAATCAAGCCAGTATTAGCTGGTAAATATAAATCAGTATGTGTAAAGACAGAGAAATACAAACAATGGTATGTTGATACACAAAATGAATTACACAATTCAGTTTTTGGTACTGCCTTTGGTGGATGTGTTTCTTGGTATGGAGATGGTCATGTCAACTCGTCAACTTATCCATACTCTCAGATAAGATTCTGGTGGGAAATGACCCATCCTCGTTATAAGGATATAGACTACGAACCTTTAGATAACAAATAGAGTTATAAAGCATCAGTAAATCCACAAATTTGATGGGTAATAAATATTACGTAATGTAAATATATATTATAACAATCTAAAGTACTATAAATGGTCCCAAAATAGATGCGCACACCTGGGTGGTAGCAAAACTTTGCTCCCATTCAAAACGTGCAACCTAACAATACATTACCTCTCGTTACGACAAGTAATGATTACAAAAACATAATAATTGGATCTCAGTAATATGACTCTGCAACGAGGCCATAATTCGAAAATCGTGCAATTTGCGCTTTGTTCAGTAAAAATGATTTTCTGAAATTAGCTCCCTATCAGACAACACCATGTGGGGGGGCATTTTAAAAGTTATTTATACGCACCACGTATAATTATGCCTATTTTACTTAGTACTTGTTTTCATTTTGTATACGAAAACACAACTTGTAGTTTATATATACGATTTATTCTTTTCTTAATGGCAGATTATATAGTCTTAACCGTAAGCAAGAAATGTCAACTATTACATTACCACTTGAGTCTCATAGCAATCCTAGACCTTTTCGCATCAAACATGAGGATGCGAATGCAGTTTTAGGTGCAAAATCCACTACACCTGTAAATGATGTATTACCAACAATAGAAACAAGTTCTAAAGTTGCTATCATAGGAGCAGGTTTTGCAGGAATTACAACCTCTATTACTTGTTTAGAAAAGTTGATGGAAGATGATATAGTTATCTTTGAAAAACATGATAATTTCGGAGGAACATGGTATGCTAATACTTATCCTGGGTGCGCATCAGATATCCCTGCGTTATGGTACTCATTATCATATGCCTTAAATACAAACTGGAGTCGTATTCAACCACCACAATATGAATTAGAAGAGTATATCCTTGAGGTGGTTAAGAAATATAATTTAAGAAAGTATGCACAATTTAAGCGAGTAGTAACTAAATTGGTGTATAATGAAAAGGCTGCAAACTGGACCATGTTCATTCGAGATCTTACAAATGGACAATTAATTAAACACACTGCTAAAATAGTTGCATCTTGTCAAGGTGGTCTAGTGAACCCAAGACACTTTGAAGCAAAGGGTTTAGAAGATTTCCAGGGCCATTATATGCACTCAGCCATTTGGGATCATGATGTATCCTTAGAAGGTAAGAATGTGACAGTTATAGGTAATGGATGTTCAGCAAACCAAGTAGTTCCTAGAATACTAAAAGATTATAATCCTAAATCAGTAACTCAAATTGTTAGATCAAAGCATTATATATATCCACCCCTTCCATACTTTATTTATCAGATTTATCAATTCCTTTCGTTTTCCTTTTTTGGTTTGTTTTTAATTCGTTGGGTTGTATGTATACTTTCTGAAATAAAATACCCACTCTCTAAGAGAGGAGCTTTCGGAAGTTTCCTTCGATGGATTATTAGAAAACAGTCGTTAGAATATATGACATCTGCTGCACCTGAGAAATATCATGAAAAGCTAATTCCTAATTATAAAATTGGGTGCAAAAGATTAATATTTGATTATGATTATTTACCATGCCTCCATGATGAAAAAATGTTACTTACCGACAAGCCCATTGATCATATCACAAAGGATTCTATTGTTTTCACTGACTCAGAAGAGGTGAAAGCTGATATAATTATAGCTTGTACTGGTTATGACTTTAGAAAAAGTTTCCATTCATATGAAATAATTGGCCGCAAAGGAACTGATATTGGTGCTATATGGACCAAAGAAGGGCCCAGTGCTTACAAAACTGTCTTAGTTAGAGATTGTCCTAATTTCTTTTTCATTGGTGGTCCCAATGCATCTCCAGGTCATTCATCTGTAATCATGTCCCTTGAAAGTAGTTGTATATTCTTTGAAAAGCTCTCATATCAGATATTAAGAGGTAGAATTATTTCTATTTGTGTCAAAACCGAGAAATATAATGAATGGTATAAAACTACACAAGAAGAATTACAAAAAGCTGTATTTGGTACTCCATATGGTGGATGTACAGCCTGGTTCAATGATGGTAAATATAATACTGCTACTTATCCTTATTCACAAATACATTTCTGGTGGGTAATGAGTCATCCTATTTGGAAAGATTTGGATCTTGAGGAACCTGACCTCAAAAGAAGAAGAATTATAAGAAAATTAAGATTCAAAAGAGATTAGTCATCTCTCTGCTTTACCTTCACTTCTATACATATCCTATATAGTCTAACCCCACTCTACTATTGTATTTCATACCTTATTTTAAATATTTTAATAATTTAATAGTAACTAATATTGTGAATCATCTGGTAGTGCACGGACCAACAATGATTATAGCTGAAAAAAAATTTGGCGATTACTCTTTTGGGCCACCAAGCTTGATGAACTACAATTCTGTAGAAGGATAAAATTAGTCATTCTTCACTTATATTAAGTGTTCTTAAAGGTGACAATTCGACGCTTACTAAATCGCAACAGGACCCTATTACGTGTAATAACTGCTAAGATGTCAAGTAGTGCAGTGACTGCTCCTTTTAATAGGGATGCCTTAGAACAAGTGTTAAAGAGAAGATTCTTCTTTGCTCCAGCTTTTGAATTATATGGTGGTGTATCTGGTTTATTTGATTATGGTCCACCAGGTTGTGCTTTCCAAGCCAATATTGTTGATACTTGGAGAAAACATTTTATTTTAGAAGAAGATATGTTAGAAGTTGATTGTACCATGCTTACACCTCATGAAGTTTTAAAAACTTCTGGTCATGTTGATAAATTCGCTGATTGGATGTGTAAAGATTTAAAAACTGGTGAAATCTTTAGAGCTGATCATTTAGTTGAAGAAGTTTTAGAATCCAGATTAAAGGGTGATAAAGCTGCCAGAGGTATTAAAGTTGAAGAAGAAGAAGATGAAGATAAAAAGAAAAGAAAGAAGAAAGTTAAGGAAATTAAGAATGTTAAATTAGATGATGAAGTTGTTAAAGAATATGAAAATATTTTAGCCCAAATTGATGGATTCTCTGGTCCTCAATTAGGTGAATTAATTGTTAAATATGATATCACTAACCCATCCACTGGTGGTAAGTTAGAACCACCAATTGAATTTAATTTAATGTTTGAAACTGCTATTGGTCCATCTGGTAACTTGAAAGGTTATTTAAGACCAGAAACTGCTCAAGGTCAATTCTTAAATTTCAATAAATTATTAGAATTTAACAATGAAAAGATGCCTTTTGCTTCTGCATCTATTGGTAAATCTTTTAGAAATGAAATTGCTCCAAGAGCTGGTTTATTAAGAGTTCGTGAATTTTTAATGGCAGAAATTGAACATTTTGTTGATCCAGAAGATAAATCTCATCCTAAATTTAATCAAGTTAAGGATATAAAATTACGTTTCTTACCAAGTGGTGTTCAAGAATCTGGTTCTACTGAATTAATTGAAAAGACTATTGGTGAAGCTGTTTCTACTGGTTTAGTTGATAATGAAACTCTTGGTTATTTTATTGCTAGAATTTATTTATTCTTACTTAAAATTGGGGTTGATACTAATAGAATAAGATTTAGACAACATATGAGTAATGAAATGGCTCATTATGCTTCTGATTGTTGGGATGCTGAATTACAAACTTCTTATGGTTGGATAGAATGTGTAGGATGTGCCGATAGATCTGCTTATGATTTAAGTGTTCATGCTGCTAAAACTGGAGAAAAATTAGTTGTTAGACAACCATTACCTGAACCAATAACTGTTGAAAAGTTTGAAATTGAAATTTCCAAGAAGAAATTTGGTCCTAAATTTAGAAAGGATGCTGGTAGTATTGAAAAATGGTTATTAGAAAGAAATCAAACTGATTTAGAATCTTTAGGTAATGAATTAACTGCTAATGGTAAAATTGTTATTAAAGTTCCTGGTGTTGAAGGTGAAACTGAATTAGATACTGAATTAATTAAAATTGAAAAAGTTAAGAGAACTGAACATATTCGTGAATTTACTCCAAATGTTATTGAACCATCATTTGGTATTGGACGTATCATTTATTCTATTTTTGAACATCAATTCTGGTCTAGACCAGAAGATGTTGATAGATCTGTTTTATCTTTACCACCATTAGTTGCTCCAACTAAAGTTTTATTAGTTCCATTATCTAATAGTGCTGAATTAAAACCAATTGTTGAAAAAGTTTCTAATGTTTTAAGAAAGAATCAAATTCCATTTAAAGTAGATGATTCTTCTGCTTCTATTGGTAAAAGATATGCTAGAAATGATGAATTAGGTACTCCATTTGGTATTACTATTGATTTTGAATCTCTTAAAGATGAATCTGTTACTTTAAGAGAAAGAGATTCTACTAAACAAGTTAGAGGTTCTTATGAAGATATTATTGATGCTATTAAACAAGTTACTTATTTTGGTAGTTCATGGGCTGAAGGTACTGCAAAACTTACTCCATTTGAATCTCAATCTACTGATGCTTAGATCTACATAGATTTTCTTGTATAAATTGATATATATATATGTTATTTTACGATTCCATACTTAATTATTATGTAAATTAATCACCAAGCACTAAGCACTAAGTACTAAGCACTACCAAAGATCTCTTCTAAGAAAGCTTCAGAATTAGGTTTTCTACCTAATAATTCAATAAGATTATCCATAATCTCTCTTGAACCTCCTCTCTTTAAAATGATATCTCTGTATCTAATACCACTCTCAGTATTCATTAAATCTTTCTTAAATAAAGTATAGAAAATATCAGCTGAAAATACTGATGAATATAAATATCCATAATAACCACTTTCATAACCTCCAGCAATATGTCCAAATGATGCATAACCTTTAGTTGGAATTCCTCCACTTGAAACCATAGCAATTTCTTCTCTCATTTCATTCCAATATTTAGTTAAATCTAATTTATCTAATTCTTCTTTAGTTGATATAGTATGTAATTTCATATCAAAAAGTCCAAAATGTAATTGACGTAAATTAAATAATCCATTATTAACATTTTTACTTTTAACCAATTGATCAACTAAATCATCACTAATAACTTCACCAGTTTCATAATGAGATGATAAAAATTTAAGTTGTTCTTTATCCCAAGTCCAATATTCTAACATTTGTGAAGGAGTTTCAACAAAATCTCTTTCAACATGAGTACCATGGAATCTAGCATAAATAGTTTTAGATAATATATTATGAATTCCATGACCTAATTCATGGAAAAAAGTAGTAACTTCAGAATGTTTTAATAATGAAGGCTTTTCTGGTGATGGTTTAGTAAAATTACATACTAATGCAGTAACTGGTGTATGTCTTGTTTTACCATCAGCTTCTAAATAACCTGGACCTAATCCAAAATTAGCTGCATGAGTATATTTACCTTCTCTTGGATGCATATCAAAATAAATCCAACCCATAAATTCAGGTTTAGGTTCACCATACTTTATATTTTGATAAACTCCAAACATCTTTACATCTGGATGCCAAGTTGAACCCTTAGGAGGATTATCAATTTTAACAAATTTAATATCAAGTAATTGTTCATAAATTTCAAGCATTTTAGCAATAGTTTGATCCATTGGATAATATTCTGCAATTTTAATATTATCAACTTTATACTCTTTTTCCAATAATAATTCATTGTAAAAACTATAATCCCAAGCATAATATTCATCTTGAGCTTCTAAACCATTAATTTTTAAATCTTCATTTTTGAATTCTCTCATTTTAGCTATTTCCTTATTTCCTAAAGGTTTTAATTTAGCCTTTAAATCATCTAAAAAGTCGACGACAGTCTTTTGAGTCTTAGCCATTCTATCTTCTAAAACATAATCAGCATAGGTTTCATAACCTAATGCCTTAGCAAGATCATATCTGATCTTAATAATTTTTTCTAAAATTTCGGCATTTTGAGGACATTTATTTTGAGCTCCTACATAAGTTAACTTTCTTGTATTTTGATTCTTAGCATATTGTAAGACAGGGACATATTCTGGATATTTATATCTCATCTTGAATTTTTCAACTCCATCTTCAGTGATTTTTTCTAATTGTTTAAATGTATCTGGTGGAATTCCATCAAGTTCTTCAGCTGTAAAAATGAGATAATCATTTTCTTCATTTAAATTTCTTCCAAAAGAAAGTGATAAATTGCTTAATTCAACCTTTAATTTCTTAACTAAATTTCTTTCATCTTCAGGTAATGCTAACCCATTTCTCTTATAATAAGAGACAATTTTTTCAAGATATCTCTTTTGTTCTGGTTCAATATCTTTATCCTTAACAGATTCATATAATTCATTAAAAACTTTAAAGACATCTGGTCTTAAATTTTGTTCAATTGCTGCTTCTTCCATCTCCTTTTCAGCTTTAGTAGAAGCTTCTCTTAATTCTTTATCAGCTGAAACATGAAGGTAAAAAGTAATTTGACTGGTAAGAAATGAAGTTTCATTAGCATGTTGAGCAAATGGTTCAAGTACATTCTCTAAAGTTGGGGTAGAAATACTAGCAATTTTATCATTAAATTGTTTCTCCTTTTCTATTAATTCTGCTCCAATCTTTTCTACTTCTTCAGGAGTATGTTCCCAAAGTGGGTAACTTTGCTTAGAAATTAATTCTTGAAAATCAATTGACATTGTATTAGTTCAATTCTTTATTGTCTTGTATCAATTGCCTTAGTAAGTGATGGCGATCTCCAGGTTTTTATAATTTTGCGAGGAGTGAAAAATTCCGTGCCAATCTCACGTACGGCTAATTATAGCCTATAGTATACTTGCGCCTAAACTTGGCGGAGTCACTTACACAAATATGTATAAGTCATATATCCAAACTATTCTTTTAAATTCTATGTGTCAATTGAGCCTCTTTTCTTTCGGCTTGTACATTCTGATCTTTATGGATATAACTAAATCACCTTTAATTATTACAAGTGAACGCCATGTAGGAAGTATATGTCCCAATAACACAATTAATACAATAACCCATTTGGAATGAACTTTGGATTTGAGAAGGATGTAGGCGACAGTATTGGGGAATATATTGAAGACGATATTGATTGGTGATAGAGTACTTAATGACAATTTAGATTGACCATTCTGACTTTGGACTCGAATACTTGAACACACGCCGTGGAAATAGATAGGTAACAATAGGCAAACCATATAAATGGTTAATCCCAATGCATCTTGCCACATATGCATAGACCTTATATATTAATATTTTATTACTAAAGAAGTGAATCTGTAACAAGACAAAATATATAACAGTAGGCAAAATATTTACTTTTGGTTGCAAAATGATACCACCAATATAGAAGCAACAACTTTTTTATAGTACATATTATTTTTCCATATACAAGCATTCATTAAAGCATAGTGAAATAAATATATATAGATCTTCTACTGCATATATTCTTTACTTATATATAAAACAATTAGTTCATATCTATAGTAGTTATTCTTTTTTGATTAGTCTTGGTTATACTATACTGAGCAAAACATAATTATAAGCAGCCTTACTGTAGATTTTGTGATGTACTAAGATCAATTCGACACTCTATTACCTATTATAGTTCTTATTTTTCAGATACTTTTTTATTTTGTGTAGACAATGACATTATCAAGTACAACACACATTCTAATACTGTCTGAAATATTACTATTATGACATGTATCATAATCATTTTGCAAAAATGTCGATAGTTCAAAGAGGCTACTTTAGTCGCCTGCGCGATGTGCGGCTTAAGCTTCTCGAAACTTGAATGATACTGCAGGTAATACACACAAACAAAAATTAGAATGCTCACTTTAAAACTGCAAAAAAAGAAATCAACCTTTTTTCCCACAACCCATACGCTGCAGCACTCTGTACTTCACTACGAGGTGTACACTACGCCGCTCTATCGAATAAATAATTTTTAGTAACAGATCTCCACACCTAAACCTTTAATGAAAAAACAATTAAAACATGAATAAGGGAGTGTGGTCTAGTGGTATGATTCTCGCTTTGGGTTACCAAGCATGCGAGAGGCCCAGGGTTCAATTCCCTGCTCTCCCCTTTTTTTTTGATTAATTTTGGTTGAGTTATACCTAAATTAAGAATCCCCCTATTTTTTTTTTTGCAACTCTACCCTTGTTGGCTAAGTTTCAGATCTAACTTTTTCATTCGTCTTATAATCCTAATGAAATACATGAATTGGGAATTATGATGTCTTGTAATATTTAGAAGAACATTTTAAAAGCCAATAGGGTTCCTAATACATTTTTTTTGCAGCATTACTTCTGAGCTAATTACTTATATTCAAGAAATATGCTAATTTATTGTAAAATACAATTTATACGTCTAAACTACAAATACTTCTACTAATTTACCAAAATCAAGACCATCACCACTATTCATATCAAAAATCTTAACACCATCAAGATTGAAAATCCCCTTAGAAATACCAATAAATTGTATATCAGTTTCAAATACTGTATTTGGATCTAATGGACCAATTCTAACATCATTATTAAGTATAATTACTCCACTAGTATTGATTCTTAAACTATTATATAATGAATAAAGTTGAATTTTATTATAAACTATGACTTCATTATTTTTATTAACAGTATTATTTGCATTGTTAATATTATTAATTAAATTGGAAGAAGAAATATTATTACTTGTAGTATTTGAACTGTATACTGGATTAAAATGTATAGGATCTTGAACAAGTAAAGATAAATTTAATCTATTTGAAGAATTATTTATTGCTTGAATTTTCCAATTAATTATTTCTCCTAATTTAATACTAAGTTTACCTTCAAATGTAAGTTTTAATCCTGATAATGATGAATTACTATTTGTTGTTAAATTTACTGTCACTGATGATGCAGCTGATCCCATAAGATTCTTTTTCTTGGAACTATTTATACTTGATAAAGATGCATTGGAATTTGATAATTGCATATTTGAATTATATAAATTATTACCACTAGGACTTTTTAATTTATATAAACTATTCATTATAGCTGATTTCCTTGTACTTGAATTTTTTGTAATAGGAATAGTTTGAACTGGTTGAGGTTGAGGTTGTGATTGTATTTGTGAGTAATATGTATTTGTCTTCAATAAATTATTGATTGGAGGAGCAATTATATTGAAATCCAAATATGGAGACCAACTTGTAGTTATAATATTACTTACTACTTCCATTGTATTAATCTCAGGAACATATTTTTGAACTTGTAAAGTTAATTTGATACCTACAGGTTTAGTAAATTGATAATTATTATTGACATCTATACTTTTTGTCTCAGTATCCAAATACTCATTATTAATTAACTTATAAGTTAAATTAACCCCATCTATAACTTTAAATTCAATTGGAAAACTAAGATTTTGAGATTTAATTTCTTCTACTTTCCCAAATTTAAAATCCATTGATACATTCAATATTTTAAAATAATAATGTTCTAATTCATTTTGAGTAAAGGTTTTACTTAATTCATCAGAAGCTTCTATATTTAATGTTGCCAATAAAAGATTATTTCTACCGGCTGGCTTAGTTGATTTTAATTTAATCACTAATGAAGGTGATACAGGTATACTTATTGTGGCTTTATGAGTTTCCCTAATTCCATTATTAATTATTATCAGATCTGACGTACGCTCCATTGACAAATCAGGATTAGCAGTAGATGATAATTCGTCACTTTGTTGAATACTGATAGGCTCTATAATTTTCTTTGATAAGGAGAATTTAGTATCAGACAATGAATTGATTAATATTTGATTATTTAATTCTGATAATATGTTTTTATCTTCATCAGGAGTATAATTTTGTAATGTTTCATTACTCTTTAAAGGAGTTATTATTCCATCAGATAATTCAAGATCTTGTTCATTAAGGAAGCATGATAATACAAGATTTGGATTAGAGAATTTCTTCTTTGGATATGTTATGGGTACTTCAAATTTCCATATTATATAGTGATCTTCATTGGAAATACCCGAGAAGACAATATCTTTGTCTTGTAGAGTTTTACTTAGTACACCATAATTATTGAATAATTTATTGTGATTACCATCACCATTACCATTACTACTATTGTCATCTGTTGGGATTTGAACAGTACTTTTATAAGTCAGATCATAAGGATTATCTGCTGCATCTGCAGGAAGAATCGTTACATCGAGATACACTGGAGTTAAACGAGGTTTATCCTTAGTCTTATAAATAATATATCCAGTAATTGATTCTTCATAAAACACAAGAAGTCGATTTTTCACCGAACTTATATGAAATAGGAACTTATCAATTGAGCTCAATGAACTCAACCTATCCACCCTATGAGGTATTACTATTGATAGACTCATAAGTATGGTGTATTATCCAGATATGTAGTTCGTACGACTAGTTGATTCACTATATATTTTTTTAGTAGTACGCATTTTTCATATACGTCTATGATTTTGTTACTGTTCTTTAGTGCTCATATACAAATACATAAGGAGACATCAATGGATAAAGGGTATCATATATTATATTATATTATATGAAGTTTGTTTTGTTTTTACTATATTACAACTAAGGGGACTATGCTAAATGTATTTAATAACCGATATATAACCCACCTTGACGTTCGTCCAATTCGTCAACAATGTAGGTTACAGCATCAGATTTTGGATCCCAACCAAGTTTAGCTGTACATGAAATATTTTTAAGTAAAGGTAATCTACCTTCATTTAAAGCTAAAGCTAAATCAATTGGATCAAGTTTTGTAGATGTTCCTAACATACCACTACTATTAATATATAAATTTTTTAAAGGTCGAGGATATTCTAAATATCTTAAAAATCCCTGATCAAAAAATGCACTAGATACATAATCTACGGCAATTTCTAATGTTATAAGATTAGGACAATATTGGAATACATAATCAAGTGTACTCTTTCTTAATCCTGGCATAGGATATTGAACTCTTAATGTTTTTAAATGCATTCCATACCTATACATAATTTGTCTTAACCCTATATCTGAAATATATGGACAATGAGCAAATTCAAGTCCAGTAATTGTAGGAGGGAAATTAGAATGATAAAGAAAATCATCAGATATACCTCCAGAAACTCTTAAAAATGAAAGTTTACTAGGCCATGTTATACTTTCAAAATCATTTATTTCAATTGATGAACGAGGAAATGATAAATGAGTTAAATTTGGTAAATTCTTGATTGATTTAAATAATTCTTCAAGGTTTAAAGTTTCTGATACTAAGCTTAGATCTAAGATTCTTAAAGCTTCACAATTTTTAAGGGCAATTAAAGGTCCTAATCCAAAACTTGTTTGAGGAGCTACAAAGGCTTCTAAATTTAATCGAGAACGTTTTAATAATTTAGCCACATATGCATTTTTACCAGATTGAATAATATATGATAAATCTAATATATGAATATTATTACCAATAGTTTTATTATTTGATATGGTTTCCACAAATGAAAAAAAATTAGTAGCTTTCAATTTAGGACATCTATAAAGTAATGGTCTAATAATATAATAAAATAATTTGCATACTCTCATAAATTTAGGTTTTAATTTACCTTTATATAATAAGATTTCAAAGATAGTAACAAATATTTCTATTGGTAATTTCATTAAATGATCTTCATTCATTTGATGTTCTATCGCTTGTTCAATCTTCTCTTCATAATCTTCATTTCCTTGATTCAAACAACATTTTAGTACATCAATCTTTTCAAATTGTGATCGAGGCCATATCTTACTCTTATAATTAGTTTGATTAGTAAGAACATAGATGGATCGTATATTTAAATTTGATTTCCGATTAAAGTCTTTATAATTCCCCTGTTGATCTTTAGATGCTAAGGCAAATGAACCATTCTCTTCAATATTCTCTTCATTATCATTATCTTCATCACTACTATTCCCAGTTTCTGTAAAACTAGATTTATAGACGTACCTCCTATAAGGAGGACGAATCTTCTTAGGACGTCGCTTGTTGGCTATTTTGAAAACTGATTAATTGTGTCCGAGTTGAAAAGACTTTATTATATACACTAAAGATCTATTCAAGCTTGTACACCTATATAAAGTATGAAGTAATACTGAGAGTTACCTCTTCCCCATCTCCATCTCGGCTTCTTTGACGGATTTGGTGATATCGCACTTTTTCTCCGGAGTACATAGATTTTTTTCTGCCACGGTTTTTGGCTGCGGAGATGCGAAAAAACAATCTTTAATATTAATGGGTTGCTAATTACGTATTGCACACTATATAAGACATTAAATTAATGCTGGAGATTATTAAAGAACAGTAACGATATTCTTCTCAATCATTCAGCATAAAGATTTACTGGAGTATTTTTGGGAAACCCATAAGCATCGAATTTAGTATTGGATTCTAAATTAGAGTTATCCAATATCTTTTGTAATAAGATATCTCTCATTCTCATTTGACGTTTTTCATAAATAATATTATCTTCATCCATTTGAGTTCGTCCATTATCACTTCTCAGTAAGTGTAATTGTTTCATACCTTTGAAATTATTATTATTATTATTATTATTATTATCATTATTACTCTTACTATGTTTTTTATTACTAGTAGATCTCCTTAAAGGAATTTGTTCCAGAGACGATACATCACTATAATCTTCATTTCCTGAAAAGTAGTTCTGAGCAATATGGATAGGATTAATAACAAGAAACTTGAGCCAGATTTTAGGTAAAAAGATCATAATCTCGAAATATATCTCTAATAAATTCAATGGAATCTTTGTAAAAATAAGAATTAAGAAATTTTTCAATTGCCTCACTGGCTGCAAACCTTCATCAAATTTTTGTAACGAACTAAGGATAAAATCAAAATTCAGAAATATATAAGTATTACATAATTCCCAACTTTTAACCTTGATGAGGCAAAGCTTTTCATAGTGATGGTGAATTTCACTTTGGATACTTTGGAGTAATTTTGGCAAAATCTTATTTTGAACCATTTTTCTTATAACAAATGGATCCTTAATTATATCAATCAAGGAGATTTCATTTCGAATATCATGAATGTAAGTTATAGTTCTTCTTAATGTTGAAAAAGAACCTCTTTTCCTTTTTTTATTAAGTATTTCATTTTCTTCATTATTTGCTTCATCAATCTCAACCGGAAGTGGTCCAAATAAAGGGGAACCAACTGAAATTGGTTGATTGGCAGCCCCATAGCCAATATCTTCAATAATCTGATTACTATTTTTCCCTCGTAATATTTCAACATTAGATGCTAAAGGTACTCCATGCAATGAACAACAGTCTATCTCAAATGAATGACTTTTCAGTAAGGGTGATTGAGGTTTGTCTATTTCATTGACATTTTCATTTTGGTAACTAGATGTTCTACTCATGTCTTCTTCAAATATAGTTTTCATCTTGTTGGCCTTCAAAGTTGAACTAATAGGTTCCCCTTCTTCTAGATTCAAATTTAAAGGGAATGGCTTGACATACATGTTGGATGCATTCTTAAGTGTTTGGGATGATGAAGCGAGGGAAGAACGAGACTTTTTAGTCTTCTTGATTTCACTAACCGCAGATTCTAACTTTGTAATATTTGAATTTATATTGGAAAATTCATTACTCTGAGTATTCAATAATTTTTCAATTAATTCCATTTGCAATTGTGAATGCTCTTGTAAATTATCAAACTTAGAATCATTCTGTTGTCTTTCCTTTTGTAATATAGTATCAACCAATTCCTGATGTAAGATCTTTTGTTCTTGCTTTGAAGTATCCATACTAATATGTATTAATTGAAATAATTGCTCAAAGCCAACCTTAAGGAATTGAATTAATGATAATTCATTTTGAACAACAGATTGATGAGGTAAGAACAAATTCAAATTATGTTCAGTCAATAACCCATACTCATTATTTTCACTTTCAAATTCATCCATATGTTCAGTTGAATCTCTTTGTAATTTCTCAGCAAACGCAACTATAACTCTGAACAATTGCCAGAACTGGAATAAACCAATATTAAAATTATTAAAAACAATCTTCTTTCTTGATTCTTCAATTATAATATTATTTCTAGACCATACCATTAATACTGAACCAAACACAGATAATAATACAGCCAATAATATAGATAATTTTTCATAATAAAGAATCTTTTTAACTAATCCAATTCTATTACATAAGATTTCATCATTTAATAATTTATTCTCTGAAGTTAAAAGTTGTTGTTCATTCAACAGCTTTTGATTAATAAGTTTAGAATTAATATGATTAATTAATTTTAATTTTGTTTCTCTTAATTGTTTAGACCAATTCCAAGGCCATTCAATAGTAAATTTTATTGCACAACTAACTAATATAATCATAAAACAATCAGTAATAAGATTTGCTAAATCTTCAGATGTATTTGTAGTTGAATTATTTGAAGGAATAGTTATGGCTATAATTGAAGGTAATAAAATTATAGCTAAAGTGAAATATTTAATTATGAATTGTTTAACCTTAGATTCTGATTTATAAGATTTAGAACCTATTGGATGAATAGCTGAATCTACATCAAAATTTAATTCATCTAAATCATCATAAGGATCACTTGAAATTCTTGAAACTCTTGAATATACACTACCATTATAACTATTTGATTTCTTCTTACTAAGATTTAAATTATTGTTTATAGTACTATCAGTAGAATGACGACGTTGAAGTATAGTAATATCTGAGAAATGGCGCAGATTTCTACGAGATGATTTATTATGATCTTGTTGATAATTATTAATATTAATATTATTTTTAGAATCCATATTATTACCATAATAATAATGATGGTGATTATTACTTTCTTTTGAATTAGGTGAATCTGATTGTGGAGATGTTGGTACACTAATGTAACCGCCACCCTTAAGCTTTCTTGCATCCATTATGATAAGTTAGAGATTTTGTTAATTAAATGACTAGAACTATGAGAAATAACAACGATTTAAATATTACAATTACTTTTAGAAAATCACCTTTTATCTAATTATATATTCTTAACTAATCTTTATTTACATATTTACGGTTCTGGGCCCCCATCAATTTGGCTGCTACTTTATCAATTCCTTCGCGTGCAGTTTGTGTTGGTTTGATTTTGTGGATCAAATGCGGAGTGCGCAACTTACGGTAGCGACTAAACCTTATAAAATATTAGGGAACAACAATAACAACAACACGATGGGTTCGCCGATGCCAGGAGATTTTTCGCGATTGTACCCTGTATTAAAAACTGAAGTATAAGGGACTACTGACTTTATTTTACTTCAATTAAGAGTAAACTACAAGATATGTATATATATATTTATATGGAGGAAAACACTGAACTAGAACATAGCTAGAAGTGTACAGCTTTGTTTTGATTCTCGAACCAAAAATTTTTTTAATCCCCGAAGATCACTGTAGATTGTGCAGAACTCTGCATTGTCAGTGTGTTATTAATATTAGTTGTCCACCGTGTTTTACGAACAATGGCCAAGATTAAATAGTGTTAGTGTTATTTGTTTAAAGATTATTTCTATGGTTATGTAAAGCAATCTGTAGTTGTTATGGACTGGCTCAATAAAATAGATGTAGTGTCAATCATAACATTTAAAGATTTGAGTATTTATCACCACACTTTTTTATAGAATTGTACATAACAATAGTAAGCGTCTATCTGCATAGAGTAAGACAAATTGATCATTGGTAACCAGTTGACCAGTGACATGTGATAATAGTACGCAAGATTGTTTAACCTTTTTTAAGGGTAAACTTAATTTAGTGGAAATATCTTTTTTCTATAATTAGGCTAGTAAACCTAGTAGTTTTTCTAGTGCATTTTCACTCTACCAGATTTCAGAGTTCAGAAATGAGATGATCACGAGTCTGAGCGCACGCGACAGATGGCCCAAAGTAAAATGAAAAATTGTGAAAATTTGATCCACTAGAAATTTGTGAGGAGAAGAAAGAAAAAAATTTTCCGTAAGGGATAACTCTTTCTTCCTATTCTAGTTAATTACATTACATCACCATGGTTTTAGTTCAAGATTTATTACACCCAACTGCTGAATCAGAAGCTCATAGACATAAGTTAAAAACTTTAGTACAAGGTCCAAGATCTTATTTTATGGATGTTAAATGTCAAGGATGTCTCACCATTACTACTGTCTTTTCTCATGCTCAAACTGCTGTCACCTGTGATAACTGTTCAACTGTTTTATGTACCCCAACTGGTGGTAAGGCCAAGTTATCTGAAGGATGTTCTTTCAGAAGAAAGTAAATGGCTTGATAGATCGATTGATTGATGATTGATTAATTGATGATTGATTGATTAATTCATTGATGTTAATCCTTAAATAGGCATGGCTGGTGCCACTGTAATTTTGAAAGGCGCACGCCCTGTCCATTTTCCTTCACTTGACTTTATAAGTGTGCATCATCATCATCATCATCATCATCATCAACAACATCATTACAGTTTAACGCATATAATTTAATTCATCACCAATTCCTTCAAGAATTGTAATCTAATGACACAGTAAATACTCAGCATGGTTCTTTTCAATTTTGTCTAGTTTTATAGTACACTATTTCTTCTTACTATTATTTTTTCACTTTTTATCAGGTTCTAATGTATTATAGAAGTCTTTTGGTTATACATTTTTAATTATTGTAAATGATATCAATTCTTGATACATTACTAATTTAATTTGATAAATTATCAATAATTTCTTATTGATAATATTTCTATTAAATAGGTTCAATATAATGATTTTTATATTCAATCCCCATATTAATAATATTTCTATTTACATATATACAAGTAAAACTATTCACATAAGATTGTTAATTATTTCCCATCAAAACTCTTAGGATCAACATCAAATTTAGCTTTTCTACCTTGTTGTTGATATTGTATGGAATTTTCAATTTGATCAGCCAATGATCCATATATATTATCTTCAAAATCGTCTTCTGATTTACCAAATTTCTTCTTCCATTTTTGTTTTCTTTGTTCTTTAAGGAATGTCTTCTTTTGAGTCTTTAATAAAGTATCTAATTTCTCCTTAATTTTATCAGAAACTTGATTCTTTACTAAAACTTTCTTCTTATTTAATGCCCATAAATCTCCTCTATCTACTTTTCTAGCATCATGATATTCTTGTTTACCAATACTTTTAGGTACTTGCCAAATTTCAATATTCCCACTAGGTGCACAAACTGTAATTTGTACATTCCTTTTAACTTTATTAGGACTTTGGATAATACGAGGCCAGTTATTATAATCTAATTTGTTTTGAATATCATAATTATTAAATTTTCTATTATTTTCAATATTCTTAATTGATTCAATATCATTAAGACTTCTTTCAGCAATTAAATAAGAATATGATCCATTTTCTGTATTTCTTCCACCAGGTCTACCACTACCTTCTAAATTTTTCAAACTATTTTTATTCATCTTATCAAATCCAAATCCATCTTCGGCAGATTTATTCCATGGCATAGCTAATCTTTTACCTTTCTTTAATTCCATAGTAAATTTAGGTCTTTCAACAACTTTATTAAATGAACAGAAATTTAAACGATGCTTATGAGATGGGATTTTATAATATTTAGGATCTCCTAATTGTAATGGACATTTCTTATGATGAGAACATGGCGCAAGGATCTTAATATGATAATCCATACTTTCAGTACTAAGCTGTTGTTCAGGTGATTCAACAGATGATTCAACAGGTAAAACTTCAAAATCTCCTTCATCTTCACCTTCAAATTTCAAATCATCTTCGGTTGGTTCACCAAACTTTTCATTCAATTCTGATTCAAATTCTTTACCTTGAGCTTCCAACATTTCTTTCAATTCTTCTTCATTTAATTTCTCAAGTAATTCAGTCTCATATTTGATATCTTCTTCACTAACAATTTGATCTTCTTTCTTTAATTTTTGAGGTTTTAAACTTGAACCTCTAAGGTATGGACGTGGGATCTTACCAATTTCAGTAAGATATGATTCAGGACGTATCATAATTTGACGTGCTCTAGCTATAGTTTCAAATCCTACTGCATTACCTCTTTGAAGAAGAATTAAATGTCCACCAGGCTTTAATAATCTCAACACCATATTCATGTTGTCGTCAACATCTCGAGGGAAATTGAATTCTCTGGCTAACAAAGAATTATTAATCATAATTAAATCGTATTGTTTGGTAGTTGGTAACGCATCACGTAATCTTGTACGAATATTGATTGCTGAAACTTTTACTCGACCTACAAACTCCTGTTGAATCTCCTCTTCAGCTTCTTCAGCTTCTTCAGTGTGTTCAGCTTCTTCAGTGTGTTCAGTTTGTTCAGTTTGTTCAATGGCTGATTCTACTACTTCCTCTTGCTCGATTTCTTTTGCCAACTTCTCAGGTTCCTCACTTCCATTCTTCTTATCCACTTCCTCTTCAGAAAAATTCTCATTCAACTGTCTTGACAAAAGGAGCTTAGCTCTTTTCTTCATCTCGTTGTTTCTTCTACCCACAATATAAGCTTCTTTTTCGGCAGGTACCCATTCATCACCCATAATTTCATTAAGAGCAATCATCCCAGTAGCTGGACCATAACCAATATCCAATATCTTTTGAGGATTAAACTTATCAGCTCCAACTCTCTTTTGTAATTCTAATATTGTTTGTCTAAGATGACTATATTCTTGTAAAAATAAACCAGAGATATGAGCATCACAATCTAATGAAGTTTCTGGAGCCTTTTGAATTTGATCTTTATTTAATGATTGATAAATTGTTGCTACTCTCTCTCTTAACTTATCTGGAATAGTTAATCTAAGAAGATTATTATTAATAGTTTTAGCTATTTCTTCTGGCAATACAGTCACAGACTGATCAACTCTTCCCTCTAATGTTAAATCATGTAATCTTGCTTCTTCTGAATTTTCTCCTTTAATAAAACTTCCATCACTATTTCTGAATGGAGATATGTTATCATCTACGGAGTCATAAGAAACAACTTCACCAAAGAGTTCATTCTGAGAATTATTAACTTGATTATTTTCACTATTATTTATACTTTTATGAATAGATTTAAATTTATTATCAGAATCAGTTAAGAATTCATATGTTTCACTATTAAAGTCTCCTTTCTTAATAATTTTTGAACTATTATATCGTATACCACCACTACATAATGACCCATACAAATATGATCTCGATACTCGAGAACTGTATGTAGCCAATCTAAGCATGACTAATTATAATAAATTAATTACAGTTTGCAACTATCACATCACTTCCTAATCATTGAAATTTTTCACTTACAGATAGATAAATGTCGCTCGCACCGTTGCAAATGTCTACTGCGACAATTTCTCACACTATCAAATGAAAATTGAACTAAGTGAACAGTTCCGATTCAATATTCTAATCCAAAATATATACTATAGTTAAACATGTTTGTGAAGGGATTAATTAAAGTAGGTATACCAGTATTTACTGTGTCATCTATAATAAGCATGTCTAATGGACAAATAAAAAATGAACCAAAACGTAAATTCTATGAAGATGAAGTCGATGTTGTTCCTCGTCCTGGAACTGTAGTTCCTGCATCAGGTACTGAATTAGAAGCACTTGGTCCAAATAAGATTGTTGATGGTATATCTGTTCGTTCTCCAACTGCTATAGAATCATTTTTCAAATCAGGAAGAGGAATCACTACTGATATTTATTTTAAAATTCAAAATTATATTAATCAAGGTTATGTAAAATATAATGAAACTGAACGTAAAGTTACTAATTCAGTAAGTGAATTACATAATAAATCTGAAGATTTATTACCTAACTCAATTTATATTGTCATTGCTACATTATCAGGAAATATAGCTGCCCGTCAAAGAGGAATTTTTGCTAAAATAACTTTCCCAGTTGTTTTAGGTCTTGCATCATTTAAATACTTTTTACCTGAAACTTTTAATAATACAAGAATCTTTGCATGGAAATTAGAGAAACAGAATTTACCACAAATTGCTGAACAACAAGAATTTGTATATAATAAGGCTGGTGAATTAGTAGACACCATAGAAAAGACTTCTGATTCAAGTATTAAATCCGTTGAAAGTTCATATCAAAGTATAAGAAAGTCAATTGCTGATGTCACCGGTTTAAATATAGATGAAGAAGTATCTAAAAAGTAACATATCTTTGTATAACTATATATATTCATAAGTCAACTTACAACTTCATTTGCTAGTGAGATTTACAGGTTTTTAATGTAATAAAATTTACAGGTTGAGTACCTAAACTTTTTCGATCTCAGCTGCAAAATTTTGTTATTAGCACCAATCTTTAACCGCCATAACTAAAACCTCTATATTCTTCGAACTGAATCCTTAGGAAATGAGAGAAAGTCTAAAGTAAGTATTAATAACCAATATAAGTTGCTAAATATAACGTATTACTAACTCCAATCTAGTGAACAGTTTATAGGTCCAAATTACGAGATATTTGACAAACCTACAACATCAACCAAATTAGCCTCACCTGATCCTACTGTCAAATATACCACTGCCATAACTGATTTTCCTATGGTACATACTCCAGATCCTATGAGTGAAACAATTTTGTCTAGACCAACTACAGCAATTCTTAAAGTTATAGATAAATTTTCTACATTAGGTAGTAGAGGTCATTCCTCTAAATCAGAAACATCTAGTGTTTTAAGTATTAAAGAACCATTAGAAGATAAACCAAATTATGGTAGTTATCTGGCCAATAAACTTCAAAGCAAATTGAATAAAATATTGAAGATTGAAAATAAATTAAGAAGTCATGAAAAAGATCTTGTTGTTGATTTGTTGAATTGGGCTAAAACCGTTCCAAGTGAATCTTGTGAATCAGTAATAAAGAATTTTGCTAATTTATATTCAGTAAAAGGTTTTGCAGCTGCATCAACAATGGATAATTTATTCAAGATTAAATCTAGTCTTGCAAGTGTTGAACAAAGAGAAAAGAAAACCAGAGAATCTTGTGAAACTAATATTAAATTATTAAAAGAATTAAAGGATTATGAATCAAAGTTTGGATCTGGTTCAAATAGATCTCAAATGATTAGGGAAAAGATTGAATCAAATTCTATCAATTTAGAAACTGCAGAAATGCAATTTGTTAGATCAATCTCAACTGAATTAAAAGAAGCATTATTTGAATATGTTCTTAGTTTACAAGATCTTTCTAAAAGAATAGATAATGCCACTACCGATTATTCAATGAATATTGTTAATACTGAAATTGATAATAGTTCTGGACCAAAATCCAAACTTTTACATATGGCACGAAAAGAACTTGGAATTCCATCAACTATACCAAAACCAATTTCTGAAGGTAATAGAATGTATGTTATGAGAAATTGTAATTTCAAAGGTCATAATAAAGAAACCCACCTCATTGATGAATTTGGCTATTCCCTATGTGTAGAATGTCAAAAAAATAGAGCTAGTAATACTAATAGTGCAAACACTCAGAATTCTAATATACCTTATGAATCAAGTGTGGAATCTGGACAAAAGGTTAATGAAATTAATAATCCATCCAGAATTCCAGCTGATGATATTAAACAAACATATCATTATCGTGATGGATCATTTAATAATAATAATGATCAATGGAACTAATTAATGGGTGATATCATTTATTTGTAAACTATGTACATGATTCATCTATAAAGTATATAAATATATATACCTCCAATTAATATAACGAGATAATTAATCCCCTTTCTCTATACAAGATCTCTGTTATTACCGTTTTTGAATATTTTCTTACCAACTTCATATGAAGAAATCATAATGGCACAAGCAGGAGCAATTTTCATTACTCTTGGAACGAACCCAGCATATAAAGCCCCAATTCCTTCTTTCTTATATATTTGAATTAAAAAGGAAAACATAGAAGGATATTTATATTTGTTTCCCCTTTTAATTTTATGTTGACTCGTAATCTGTAATCTAGTCTTACCCACATCAAATGGGTTTGTAAAAAATGCAGCGATAGTACCTGAAATAGATCCAGATAAGAAACTAGTAGTGAATACTTTCCAATCATCTTGACCACCAGATGGACGATCAAAATCTGCCTTTAAAGCTTTACCTATTGAAGATTTTAATAATTCGTAACATGACCAATAAATACCTGAAAATGGAGCATCCCTCCATAAAGTAATTTGTAAACCAGTGAAGAGTGTTCCAACTCCCTTTTGTCTTACAAGATTGAACAGATCTTTTAATAAATTAGATAATATTTTAGGAGATCTTGTCAGATCTGAAGGTATTGATTGTAGTCTTGTCTTTATTAATTCAAAAGGTGCTACACATGTAGTAGATAAAATTCTGGCTAATGATCCACATAATAAAGGATTTAAAGGATGTTTAGATGTAGGTAAATTATCACGTAAATATTCATATCCTGTAAAATAGACAATATTCGATGGAACAGTCATAAGTAATGTTATAGAAAGTCCTCTCCATAAAGTAGCCAAACCTTCATTTCTTGCAACAGAACTAAATCCTTGAAATGTGGAGGTGATCTTAGAACAGTTTTCAGCTGATCTACAGTAGTTTTGATTTAACCAGAATAATTCCGGAGCTGAGCTATCTATAGTTGCTGTTGCAGTTGCATTTGTTAATGGATGAGATTTTAATGATGATGATGGAGATGTTTTAGACACTGGAGATACACTTCCGGAGTCCACAGGATCACAACATGGTCTTGCAACCGCAAGAATCTCTTGCTGCTGTATACGAATCCTTATGACATCAAATGGAGTAACTACTAATGACGTAATAAATGAACCCAGGCATGCACTTAACATTCTTTGACTAATTGAAATATCTTCAATAACTCCAGAATTAGATTGAGGAGAAGGTCTCGGAAGTTTTAAGTCATTTTCTTCTATGGCTGCTGCCAATTCAGATGATAACGACATTTCAGATCCAATCTAAGATCAACCGATACTTTTTGGCTATTCTATTTATATTTATATTTATATATGTAATGATATCATATGCCATTAGGCTTCAATGGCCTTCAGTCTGTACGGAGTTACAAAAGAAAAAAAAAATTGCCCTGCATGCACGCCCGGTCGGTAGATGGAAAATTTCTTTGCCTCTTTTGCGTAGTCGGCGACTGCAAAATTATAATTAGAGTAATAGGAAGCGAGGGTTATATACAATATAAAGTAACGTATAATTATTTTATATACTTTTAAAAGTAATGCATGTATTACTATAATTAATATATGGGCTTTTAGTATATTAACTTTAGTAATCAATAGTTGTATCACTACAACTATAAATATTAATATGTCCGTCTTGATTATAATTGGTTGCAACTATCATTCTATGAGGATGAAAGGCAAGACTAGAAAGGTAACTTGAAGTTCTATTAGTTAAATAAGTTTCATGAGGATTTTTTAAAGTAGATATTAAATCTCCTGAAGTTGTCCAAATATTAACTGATTTTGATCCAGTAGTAATAATTGGTGCATGCTCATGAGTATCAATACATCGAGTTGATTTATCAGCCGTGGTAAATGTTACAACTGGTTCATCTGCTCGAATATCCCAAAGTTTTACATATCCATCAGCTGATCCACTTACAAGTTCTCTAAATCCACCTCTTTGCATATGAACATTCCGAATTGAACCTCCAGTGGTTGATCTTGTACCATTACTATTACCATTACTATTACCATTACCATTATTACTAGATCTAGTATTCCGCCAAAGTTTAACCATAGATTCACGAGAATCTAATCTTCTATCATATACTCTTAAAGTACCATCATCAAATCCTGCTACAAATATATTACCAGCTACTTGATCTGATGTTAAAGACGTAATTGATGAAGATGATCTAGCAGGAATATCAACCAAACATAATTCTCTTGGAGCATCCCAAATTCGAATTATTTTAACATCTCCACTAACTAATAATGAACCTCTTGATTGTTGCCATTCTGATATTAATCCTGAACTTTTGGATGTTAATAATAAATCAGTAAGAGCTCTCCAAGATGCTACTAATTCAATTTTATTACTAGTAAAATCTTTAGGATCATCTAATTCTGGATCTTCATAATTATGGAAATTCTTATAAATTTTAATTACACCATCAGATGAACCAGTCAATAATAATGGTAAATCATCTTCATTAAGAAATTTAATATCAGTAATTTTAGTTCCAAATGGATTACCATTAGAAAACTTCTTAACAATTTTATTTTCTTCCCAATCCCAAATAGAAACATTATCCTTTTCATCACTTGCTACTAATACTTTTTCAAATTGAGTAAATTTTATACATCTAGGTTGTGATTTATTACTTAAAGAAATTACATTTTTATTCCAATCTCCTCTAATGGCTAATTCCTTTTGAGGTTGAGTTTCTTGAATAATAGATTCATTTCTATTTCTTCTCCATAATCTTTTAACATATTCTTCTGAACCTGGTTCATCAATTTCATTCTTAGACATTTGAGGTTCTTGAAAGTATTCACAACTATATTCAAAGAATCCTGATTCTGAAGGTAATTCAGGAGGTTCAGTAAGATCACGTTCTACAAAAAATGGAGTTTTGGGTTTATATTCTGCTCCATAATTAGTTTGAATTGGTGCAGTATTAAGAATCCGAGTAAAGTTTTTAATTTCATTATCTTCATCAATATTAAATGATTTGAATAATTTAGAAAATGACATATTCTTAATATATGAAGATATTGATTCTGTATCTGAACTATTACCATTACCATTACCATTTTGGTTGTGGTTGTGATTATGATAATTATGATAAGAAGATGAAGGATTCTCAGAAACAGATCGAGTGGTTATTGATGAACCATTAATAGTTAACATATTACTTTTACGATTAACCACCGAACCACTCGATGCTTGTCTCTTTTGTCCAAGTTGTCTTGTAGCAATTGGATTATTTGGTTTAAAACTTTCACTAATATTAACAGTTGATTTACTAATTAAATAATCTTGCATTTCTTGAACCAATGGACCTAATTCACTTTCATTTAATTTAACCATTACTGAATCTATAAGACATTCAGCTAATTGTTTAACTTCTAAATGAGGATCTTCCGATAAAATCAATAAAGATTTCCAAATTGAACTGAAAACTGATCCATAAGCTGGTGAACGTTTTCTAAATTCATTTAAATAATTAGAATTATCAATCAATATAATTTCTTCTTCTAATTGATTAAATGCCACCACTAAAAAGAATTTAGAATAAATAGATATAAATCTTTTAATGAAGAATACAATTTCTTTTCGAACTATAGATGATCCATCACCTAATAAACTTAAAATTGTATTACCTAATTTTAAATCATTCTGTCTAATTTCTTCTCGTCTAACATCAGATAAACCAATATGCAGTTGCAGTTGTTGTTGCAGTTGTTGTTGCAGTTGTTGTTGCAGTTGTTGTTGATTAGGATTTTGATTAGGAATTAAATCATCACTTAAAAAATTGGTTATTGCAACAATTATTGAAGTTCTAACTTCCGGAATTGGATCATTAAGTAATACTAATAATTTACTTAAATGTCCATCTTTATAAACTATCCATTTCCCATCAGGATATTTATTCCAAAGTTCAGATAATAATAATGCACACCATTGTCTTAATAAAGGATTTTCACTAATTTGAATAAATTTAAGACAATTATTAATAATTTCAATTGAAAAACATAATCGTTGACCATTTCGAAAATCTTTTATAAATAATGTTAAAATAAATGCACTCATAGCTTTATGATCATCATTAATTAATATACTTGCATTAGTTGATCCATTACTATTATAACTTCCTGGAGCTCCAGGAGCTCCAATTTGATTAGTTTGATTAGAATTAAGAATTAAATAAAAATAATTATAACCTTTATCTTTACATAATTCTTGTTGAGTACTTTTATAATCAATAGCTACAATTCTTGCCCAAATAAATATTAAAACCGGTTTTAATTCTTGTGCTGGACTTTGTAATAATTTTAATACATAAGGAAATATTCCAATTGATAATGAAAGATACACTGCCCATGGACCTAAATCTAAAAATTTAGATAATAAAATTAATGCTCTTAATCTATGAACTTGTGATAATAATACTTGAAGAACTATTGGTAATTGTTCTGGAGCTTCTTTAGTTGATGGTCCAGCATATTTTAACCAAATTTCAAATGCAGTTAATTGTTGTTCAAAGAATGTAGAATGTTGATAATTAGCTAAATTTTGATTGGAAATTGATGCCGAGGTAGGTATAGGAGCCACTGTAACCAGGGAACCATTTTGTTTTGATTTTGAAGCAGATCCGTTTGTTGCTTGACTTTGATTTTGAGTTTGTGTAGTTGATTGGGATTGAGCTGTTGATTGAGTTTGTTGTTGTTGTGGTGGTGGTTGCTGTTGAATATCTTGAGGAGTAGAGGTTGAAATGGATGGACTCTTAATATCGGGCTTTGATTGTTTTATTAATTGAGAAAACACTTGATCAATGGCTAAATCCCAAGAATCCCACATTGGATGAAATCTTACTGAATCAGGTAATGGAGGATCACTAATTGGATTACAATTTAAATGAGGCATAATTCTTTTAGCTAATAAAAAATTTCTGAATAAAGCTGCCACCATTAAATCTTGTCTAAATAATCTTTTAAATATTGGTCGAGATAATGAAGTCCATGCAATTGTATCTGTAATTGCTGTAAATATCCAATTTAATTCTCCAAGTGGAGTTCTTCTATCAGTTAATTTCCCCGGTATAATTACATTTCCAACTGAATTTTTTGGTAATAAAGAATAATAATTCTTTTTAAGAGGACTTTGCATTATAAACCATTTTATACTTATATCAATTGGACAAGTTAAACAACAAGTAAATAAATCAGCAGGTAATTGAGGACTCATTGGTAAAAGTTCATTACTTTTACATGCAGCAAGTTGAATACAATCAAGATAAGCTGAAGTTGGAGATGGAGCACTTGTATCATGATTACCTTCATTATCATCATCAATTCTTTTTTGAACAAATTTTTTAAAATTATGAACAATATTTCCAGCACTATTACAATCATAAACAAATATTACTGGAGCTCCTAACCAAGTTTGTAAATCATATAAAGATATTGGAATATATTGAGTATAACCTCGATTAAATACCCAAATTTCTCCACTTGAAGTTGGTTGAGGTACTCCATGACCATTATAATGAAATAAAATTCTTTCATCTTTTGCATTTCTTCTTAAAGTATTACAAAATCTTTTAACATCTTCAACACAAGGATCTAAAGATTGTTTATATCTTGTTCTTAATGATAAAGTTTCATATTGAGATTGTAAACATTTCCCAATATTTTCAATAGCTTTTTTTGTATCAGGAAATGATGAAGGATCACACCAAGCTTCTAATTTTGCACAAGGATAAGTTTTCATTACATCAGGTGGATCAACTCCTAAATTTAAACATAATACTAATACTGCACTAATAGTCTTTTGACGTTCTTTCATAACTTTCCAATCAGCAATTGGTTGATAATTCTTAAATAATTTTGCAGATTGTTTCATTTCTAAAGTTATTGGATTCCCATTAGTATTTTGACGTTTATCATCAAAATATATATAAAAAGTATTGGCTAATAAATTTAAAAAGTTTTCTGAATTATAATCTTGTTCAAATCCATGTCTCATTTTACTATTCAATTGTAAAGGTCGAGGACCATAATATGCAATTTGTTGAGATGTCATAGTTAATTATTATTATTATAGTAATATTTCAGTACTCATATGAGTAATAACCAATTAAGTCTAATTTAGTTTTTAGTTAATTTGTAATAACTTGACTGAAAAATTAATTTTAGTGTATTAACACACTTCCGATCTGTCCTCCTGTAGTATACTGAGCCTTTTTTTAGAAGTTTTGTTACGGTGAGTTTGTGCAATCGATCGTATTATGGATTCCAAGACAAAAGAAAGGGCAGGGCATTGGATGTGACTTTAATGTTCGTTGTATTGTGGGTCATGTGACGTGAGGATCGTGATCTGGGCATTGCCTAATTTGGATTAACAGAAAAGGCAAAAAAAAGGGAGTAGCTTCTCCTGCATACCGATAAGATAAGAGGAGACACACAGGGGAGTGTATAGGGAAAGAATAAAACGGAGCATAGTGAGGATAAGGGATGTGGAGGGAGGCAAAAATCAAAACCACTAATAGTTAATAACTAAACATAATACATAGATAACTAATAATATACAAATATTGAGATTTATTATTTAATTGTCTCAAACTAGTAATAAATCAATATCAATACCAATACCAATTCATTCAGTAGTTTTAGTATTAATTTTAGTTTAGTTTAGTTGCGTACGGTTTAGATCACATTATAGTCGGATCAATTAAGTTGTATCATTGATAGTATTAATTTTAATTTTAATTTTAATTTTAAGTGTAATTGATATTATCAGTGATTGAGAAAGAAAAGTGAAAACAACATACAAAATGTCTCGCACTATGAGTAGTTCAGGTTCAGTTACTCAAGAATTGAGTTCAGGGACTAGTAATGAAAGAGTTATTAAGCTTAGTAATGGAGAAGAATCTTTAGTGAGAAGATCATCAACAAAGGATGTAACTAGAAATGCTGGTTTAACTAATTTATTCTTTGAGAATAGTCATTTATCAAAATCTCATGCTGCTATTAAGTATATGGATGGAGAATTTTATTTAAAGGATTTACAATCTACTTTTGGAACTATTTTAAATGGTGATTATATTTTTAGTAATAAGTACTTTAAATTAAAATCAAATGATGTGGTTGGTTTTATTATTTCAAAACCATCATCTTCAATAGCAAAAATTTATGAGAAATTTGCTAATGAAGATGTTAGTATTATTCCATTATCAGAATTTAATTGTCCTCAAATTGCTCTTGAATTTACTATTGTGATTGAAAATGATATTATTAAATTCTTACCTTTGAGTGAAAAGCCTGTATCACGTAAATTCACTTTATCGGAAGTAGATGAAACTGCCGTAGAAAGTCCTGAAGTTGAAGATGTTGAAGATATTGATGGTTCCAATGATAAAGAAGAAGTGGTTGAAGATAAAGTCATTGAAGTTAATGAAGAAGAGGATAACGATTATGATGAGGAAGAAGAAGAAGAAGATGATGATACCTTAAATGAAGATGCCTATTATTGTCGTGGAATGGCTGGTACTGTTCCTTTATATGTTCCTCTGTGTTGTGTTTCTAGTCATGATGAAGTTGAAAATGACGAATCCAATGAGTCTAAAACATTAATCATTGATATTGTCGACAGAGAAGATGAACAAGAGGATGACGACGACGACGAAGAAGAAGACGAAGAAGAAGAAGTTGACGACGAAGAAGATGATGAAGAGGATGAGGATGAAGATGAAGATGACGAATCAGAAGAAGTTGAAGATGACGAATCAGAAGATGAAGAACAGGAAGAAGATGAACTGAGTGATGACACTGAAGTAGAAGAATTAGTCAAATGTGATACTTCTAATCTCTTTAATAATCCAGATTGTGAAGGAGCATATTATAATGAAAACGATGGCAAGTTCACTTGTTATATTAGAAGATCAAAATTAGTTAACTGTTTTGATGATAGTGATGATAATAGCGATTCTAATAGTGACTCTCAAGTCTACTCAGAAAGTGAACTAGAAGGCGACCTTTTAACTCTTTCATCATCAGAATCTGAAGAAGAAGGAGAAGACGATGAAGGGGATGAGGATTCTGTATCATTTTCAAGTTCTGAAGAAGAAAGTATTCTGCTTCCACCATTCAGACTTGATTCATTATCTGACTGTGAACTGTCTTCCAACAGGAAGAGATCATATGATGAGATGGAAGAGAAATTTGAAATACCATGGCATGTATTACAATCAATTGATAATAAACTTAGATCATCGAAGGTATCACAATCCATTGATGATAAACTTGAATCATCAGATGTGGTTGAACCATTAAGGAAGAAAGAGAAAAAATCTCCTAATTCAAGTATAGTTAAAACTATAGCCAAGGAAGCTGCTAAGGGTCTTGGTTATGCAGTAGCCACTGTAATAGCTTTAGGAGTTTATGGAAGTACTATTGCTCCTTCTCAAAAGTAACTATAGAGTTTTCTTTGATACCATTTCTCTTATCGCCATCTATTCTATCTCTATCTTTTTGTTTATTATAATGCTTTTTTTTATTATCTCTTTATCTCTTTTTGTTCTATTTATTCAAGTTTCATGGGTCTTGTTCATTTCATGGATTGGTTGTATTTTGGCTTGATTGCGGTTTGAAGAATATGTTAATCTGTTTTTGTTTATTGGTCTTAATTTGTTATTACTGAAATGCCAGTAGCTTTTTATATAGTTTGTTACCATATATTAATACAAATAGTAAATCTAAATCTAAATCTAAATTTACACAGATGAGTTATATAATTAAAAAGAGAAGAAATAGGCAAACTTTGTTATAATACAGTTAGTTAATTTAATTCTCATTAAGTCAAGTAGCAGTAGTAGTATTCTTCTTCTTATAAGTACGCTTCTTCTTTTCAGCAGACTTTGGTGGCTCAGCAATATTAGAATTACCTGGTATAGTTTTCCCAGCAATATTAATATGTTGTTGAGAGAATTGTTGTTGAGGTAATTGAGTCATTTGTTGTTGTTGTTGTTGTTGTTGAAGTGGAAGTTGTTGAGATTTCAGAGCAGCTGCTTGCATTTGCTTTTGTTCTAATTGTTTTTGCTTTTGTTGTCTTTGTTGTTGAATCAATTGGAATTCACGTAATCTTTCAAAATATACCGGGAATTTTTGTAACATTTGTTGATGGATAAGTTTTGTTTGTTGAATGGCTTGTTGTCTTTGTTGAGGAGTTAATTGTTGTCCATTTGGTGCTACACCAGTATTACCCATAACTGCCAAAGATTGCATTCTACTTTGCATTTGTCTAAAGGCTTGTTGTTCTTCTGGAGATAATGAATTTTGAAAGATTTGTTGTTGTTGCTGTTGTTGTAGACTCGTGGGTCTTTGTGATGGTGGTTGAGATGTTTGTGATTGTTGAGAAGTTGGTTGTGATCCTCCATTTTGTGATGAACCAGATGATATATTACTACTGGCTGATGCATATGATCCATTCCGTACAACTCCAGAATTTTGAAATCCTCCTCCTGGGGTATTATTATTATTATTATTATTTAATTGATTAGATTGAGGTGGTAAATTAGATTTAATTGGTTCTTTCTTGACTCTCTTGGGTACAGGTCCATTATCTAAAGGTTTAGCAGGTTCAGGAACTTGACCATTTGATTGCCAACCTTCTCCTTGTTGAGGTGGTTGTTGTAAATTAGTTTGTGCTTGAGCTTGTAATTTTGCTTCTTGCTTTTCAGTTTCTCTCTTTTTCCGAATTTCTTCAATTAATCTTAATCTCATAAATTGTCCAGTTGGTCTAGATGATGAAGATGTAGTTGTAACTTGAGCAGGTGCAGTAGTTGGTTTATCAGGTTTTTTACCTTTAGAATCTGGACCAGAAGTATTTTCTTTACTTATAGGTTTAGATGGAATTGGAGCAGGAGCTGTAGAAGATAATGAAGATCCAACAATAACCAATTTTCTATCTTGAGTTTCATCTGATTTTTTATATTTATTTGAAAGTAATAACATAATTTCTTCATATTCAGAAGATTTATGAAGTACAATTTCATCTTGATGAATTTTTCTTGGTGGTATTTCTTGACCTTGACGATGCAGAAATTCTAATTTATAGTCATTTATTGATTCATCCCAAATTTTCTTTGGATATTCTGAATCTGGTTTAAGATAATCATTATTCAAATATGGATTTAATGGGACTGATAAATCTAATTTTCTCTTAGTTAAAGTTAATATTTCTGATTCCATTTGTAAAGATAATGCATCGGTAAATTTAGTTAATGCATGATCAGTATGAAATAATAAATCATAATAAAGTGATAATTGTGTAGGTCTTAATAGAGTCCTATAAGTCTTTGGAGTTGATACAAGATTTGATTGGGATTGATTAGTCAGAGAAGTACCTTCTTGTTTTGTATTTGTATTTGTATTTGTATTTGTATTTGTAGTTGAATTATTATTATTATTATTATTATTATTATTATTTTTATCAGTAGTACTATTTTTGGTAGTAGTTATCATATTTCTATGATCATACACTTGAAGAATTAAACATCCATCATATGATTTAATTGAGAAATCTTTTAATAATTCACTCATTTCTACAGGGATCTCTTCTCGAAGGACATGACGTAAAAAATCTTTAATCATTGGTGAAGTATTAGGTATTATATTTGAATCATTTAAATTATTAAATCGATAATGAGTCTCAAATATATGTAAACTCATAGAGGCTGGGTATTTAGAATATTTTCTCAAGATTTCCTGACTTGTACTGGCAAAATGATAATTCTTTAAATCAGGTCGCCTGTGAATTTGTTGCTGTTGCTGTTGTGGTGGTGGTGGTGGTGGTGCTTGTTGGTTAGACTGAGGTACTCGATGTTGTACCTGCTGTTGGGCTACTCGTTGAGGTGCACCCGAAATGGTCTGGGCATTTTGCCATGATTGACCAGAAAATGCACTATCACTGTTTCCGTTCATTTTCTGACTTTTGTCTTTAATTGTGAACGTGTTCAGGATAATAAGGTAAAGGTGATAATGTACTCCAGACACTTTCTTCAACTCGGGTTTACAAAAGTGTAAATGTAAATTTTATCCGTCGGGGTCACGTGAACGCGACTATAACAAAAATTTATAATTTCCTTAATTATAGATTTATATTACTTTATATTACAAATTACATAGAATACATAAGGTTATTCATATTATAACATAACCACCAGCAATTACTGATTATTACTATACTAAAATATTATTAATAATACTAAAATATTATTATTATTACTATTATTATTGAACTACTGTATTGTTAATATTCAATGAATACTCTAATAGCTTGTATAATTTAGCTCTATCCTCTTCATTATAAACCCATAACCCATAAATTTCATCAAGAAGATTTTTAATAATGATTAAATTATCATTCAATTCAATGGCCATTTCTTTAACTTGAGAATTATTTAATCCATTAGGATAGAAATGTTGAGATACTTTATTAGGTACTAAACCTAAAGAAAAGCATTCAGGATTATTTCTATTCAATAGTATTAATCCATAGCAGAATAAATTTTGTAAATCTTGATAATCAGGAATATGATCTTTAGTTGGAAGTTTATAATCTCGCAAGTATAATGCAAGTGTACCTTGATAATCACTCTTTACCCAATCTTGTGATTCATCATTAAAATTATATACTACACAATGAGATGTTGTCCATAATAATTGCTTTATAGCTGGATCATACCTACTTATAACATTAAAATTGAGGGTATTCTTGAATAAGTTAAGTGCTTCATGGGTAGTTATCTGTTCTTGAGTTACCAAATCCTTTGGTTTATTTCCATTTTTATTAGCCATATCTCGCTATCTCTCTCTCTGATATACTATGAACTATTTAACTATGAAACTATTTGAATTAATATATATTATTACTCCTAATCAATAATGATGAATATGCTGAATATTCTCATGTAACTAAAGTTTCCAGTTCTAAATTTATATAGTGGCCGATGTCGTTTTTTTCTGCCTGTACATAGTCCACACTCCCACTCATATGAAAAATGGTAAAAATCTATATCCCTTAATAAAAACCCATGTGCTTATAGTGTAGAACAGTTTTAAACCATTCAATTGATAGATAGATTATAATGACCATGTTTACTAGAGCTTCAATGAATCTTACTAGAGTCAAAGTTCCAATTACTACTAGATTTTCATTTAGATCAATTAGTATAGGTAGCACGATCCCAGCCGCAACTTTATTTGAGAATTCTCCAGGTAATCCGGTAGATATTGCACAAGAAGTTTCTGAAGGTAAATCAGTTATAATTGGAGTTCCTGGAGCATTTTCTCCAGCTTGTTCAGCTTCTCATATTCCAGGTTATTTAAAGAATTTAAGAGGATTTAATGATAAAGGTTATGATAAATTCTTTATAGTTGCTGTTAATGATGCATTTGTAACAAAAGCTTGGGGTGATAGTTTATTAACTAGTGTTGCTGGTGCTCAAGTTAAATTTTTAGCTGATCCAGCTGGTGAATTCACTAAAGAATTAGATTTAAGTTTTGATGCTACTAAATTCTTTGGTAATGAAAGATCAAAGAGATATGCTTTATTAGTTGAAGATGGTAAGGTTACAAAGACATTTGTTGAACCTGATAATACTTCGGTTGATGTTTCTGAAGCTGCTAAAGTATTAGAAGAAGCCTAAATAAATTCAGTTCAAGAGATGTAGCTAATATGTAATTCCTGCCTTTAGTAGTTCATTAGTTTATGTAGTATTATATATACTTTGACTGTAGTCTTTATGTTTCCCACTATAAATATAAATTTAGTGCTTAGTTATATACATTTTGTTTTAGCACCCATTTGAAATGAAAAATAAAAAATTTAAAAATTTAGATGCGATACCGTAATGATCTATTTACGGGTATATGTTGTCCCACCAATGCTCGGTAGGCTTAAATCAGGATATGGAACTAATATAAGTTCTAGAATCTATAGTATTGGAGCTATTAATATTATAAGAATACGACATTATTCAAGTAGTATACAGGAGGAGTTTAATAAACAAGATATAGAAAAGGCAAGAAAATGGTTAGATAGTGCTACTATAGATTCTATTCCTACAAAAATCTTTGAAATATCATATAGTCGATCATCAGGTCCAGGAGGTCAAAAAGTTAATAAAACTTCATCTAAGGCAACTATATCTCTTGAACCTCATCAATGGCTTAATTCCCAATTTTGTTATTGGATTCCTAAACCTATATTAGCTCAAATAACTAGTAAACCAATACGTTATGAAACAAAAACTGGAGGAATTTTAATTCAAAGTGATACTTCTAGAAATAGAGAAATTAATACAGAAGAATGTTTTAAGAAATTATTAACTGCTATAAAGGAAAGAGCAGAATTTGCTGGAGAAGTTAGTGAAGAAGATATTGAAAAATGGGAACAAATTAAAGAAGAAGTTAATGAGAAGAGATTATACAGTAAGAAGAAATCCAGTGATAAGAAAAAGAACAGATCCAAGAAATTTGATTGGTGAATTAACCTTTACATAATTATAAATAGATATAGGTATAGATATGGATATATAAGTATATATGTGTATATATATTCATCTTGTAAATATAATGTCATATACATAGTTGCAACAATAACGTGCGCAGCCCAATTTCCTCGAGGCACTCCAACACACACTTTGAAAAATAGCTACTGAACCCCATTAACTATATATGGTTAAGGTATTTGTACCTACCTAACAATATAGACTAGTATAGAATGACATCTCACAGTACTCCTATTTCGGAGTCAATGGCACCAATCATTGAATTGATTGACGACATTGTTAGTTCTATACTGTTGTATAATGAAAATTTCATTGATGAAGAAGTTGAATCGAAACACTTTAGTGATTATGATAAAGTTATTAAAAAGACAATAGAAGCAGTGAAAATAGATTATCATATTGATAGTAAAGATCTTAAAGATTTAAAGGAAGAAGAAATCCAATTGGTTGATAAATTCAATGGACTGATTAATGATAATGTAAGATCAAGTTTATTAAGTTCATCATTCTATAATTACTTAGAATCATTATTTGAAAATCAGTTGGATATATTTCAACCTGTACAAGGTGGATCTGATCAGCATGACGTTCATGGTCATAAAATTAGTAGTTTAAATTATAATTTTCTATTAAAATTGGCAGTATTCTTGGATTTACAAATTTATTTAAAGGTAAATTTTTATCCTGAAATCAAACAAATATTTTATAATTGTGTATTAAGAATTCTGCAACTGTTATTTAATATATCCACTGCACAAGTCGATATGTTTTGGTATTATATGGAAAGTAGAATGAAATCTATACTGGAACATATGTTTATTAAAACTTCAGGACCTGATAGAATTGCATTCTTATATATTTGTAATGGATTAACCGATAAATTTATTCAAACCGATTCAAAGGTAAAGAAAAATTCTTTATTAAAAGATACATTTAATGATAAATTTCAATATAGACCTCGAGTATTCATATCTAATTTATTCCTGTTTGAAGATAATACTGGTATGAATAAATTATTTCATCTTGCTGAAAGAAGACCAATTGATATAAAATTTAAACATGCATTTTTAGATGATCTTGTATATTTACATCGTTTATTTAATGATCCATATTATTACCTTAAAAAAACCAATCAAAAGGAATTATTATTTTTAACAGAAAGATTACTTGATGTTTATCATCATCTTATACGAGATATTGATAAATTAAAATCGTCTGATCAATTTGAGATTCATCCACCTAAACTGGAAGAGACTAAGAAATATCTCCGTAATAAATTTAAAAATTTACAATATTATCCAGAAATATATTTAAAGTCTAATTTTGTTAATGAAAGGTATGGTGATGCAGTAAAGCAAGATAAAGAATTTTTTTTAAAATATAGTGAAACACCTAAATTTATTTTAGAATATTTACTAATGATATATTCACTTGCAAGTTTTTATTTTGAACTTACACCTGCAAATAAGAAGGATTTCTTAAATCTGTTGGGGGCACCAACTCCTATCAAACATGTTACAGAAGATGTATGTCCCGATTCAATTAGAGGTAAACTTTATAAGATTAAAAAGGAGGTAGTGAATGAAATTCGTACAGTAGATTTACAATTGGCATTTTTAGTTCAACATCTTGCAATTGGTGATAAAGGATGGATGGGATGGATTCTTTATTCTAAAGATCCAATTACTAAAAAGCCATTTTATGAGGATAGAATGGTAACTCAAGAAGAATTACAATCAACTAAAGAGAAACTTGATAATTATTTACCATTCAAAGAAAAGAAATATTTCAATACATATGTAACTCCACAATTATCAAGAAAAATGAAGACATCTAGAGGTTTAGACAAACTTGAAATTCGTCAAGTTGCTGATCAAATCGATAATGAAACTGATACTGAAACTAAAACTGATACTGAAACTAAAGCTAATGAAGATGAACTGTCTAATCTTTATGCTTGGAAACGGTTCCGCCAGGCTAGATCTTCGCAATGGTTATCGTTTGGAGATTTGGTTACTGTGGAAGTGCTTGGAGGTTCCAATACAAAAACGACTTCTAAGAAGAGGCCCTATTCAGATGATAACGATAACAATGACGATGACGATGACAATACCACCATAGAAAATAGTAATGGTACTTCTGTAAAGAAACAGAAAGTGTAATTGTAAATAGCTGCAAATAAATCGGCTTGCCCTAGAATTTTTTTTTCCCTTGTGTAACAAAACGCGTCTTTTACATTTTTCACAACTAAATTTTTTTTGCAGGTTAATACTGACTCTCATCAAAGCCCTAACCAAATGCTCGTATTCTTTATACTAAGTACTGAGTACCATATAATAATACAGGTTATATATATGGAATTGCACTTATAGATCTAGTATACGATCCCGTTTGTATACTATATAGAAAAAAAAGTAATTATTCATTTCATACTGTAATTGCATGATAAGTTCAAGTTATAACTCCGATCATAATGGCCCGTACTAAGAACGTAGGACTTTCAAGGCCGAGAACTCGTTCAATTAATAAAGCTAATGGAGCTGTATCAGGAAAACGTGACAAGGAGAAGGAGAAAGAGAAAGAGAAAGAGAAAGATAGAGATCGTAATCATAGTCATAATCATAGTCATAACCATAATGGTACACCACCACTTCGAAAATCTAATAGTACTAATAAAGAATTTATAACTCCAACTAAAAGTTTAAAAAGAGTTAATAATAGTGCATCACAAATTAATTCCTCACCTATTAAAAAGATTCGATTATCTCCATTACATAATAACCAATTACAATTATCTTCACCAATACCGTTAAAAAAATCAGTAGCATTTTCTGATGATTTAATATCTGATTTACCAAGTTCTCCAGATAAGTCCACTCCACGAAAATCTATATTAAAATCAGTTAATTATCCAAATGATAATTCAACTATAACTGATCCAAATAATACTCAATTATGGGATAAAATAGATTTAAATCTGAAAAATGGAAGTGGTTATGGACCGTCAAATAGTGAATTTTGGATTCAAGGTACAATAATTCAACTTCCATCAAATTCCCCTCGATTATCTGAACTCATTGATGGATGTATAATAAATTTAAGTGATACTTCATTTAATAAAAGATTTGAAGTATATGCAACATTAAATAATATATTTAAAACCAATCCAATAGATCAATTAAAAAGATTACTAACAAATTCAAACAAAGATACTCATCATATAATTGAATTAAGTTCTATAATAAAAAATGATGTTATAAAATTAGAATCAAAATTATTTGAAAATGAGTCAGATAAAGAGAATACAAATTCTAATACAACTAATAAAAATGATCCATTTAGAATAAGAATTCTTAATCAAGCTCTTAAACTCATATCAAGTATTATGCTAGAACAAGAATTAAATAACTTTATGCCAATTGAAGATGCTAAATGGTATTATTTACATGCCAGTGAAATCCTATTAAAATCAAATGTATCAAAGGCAATTGTTACTCCATATTTGGTCCTTATTAAAGATTGCCGATTTAATTCCAAACGTAAGAAATTATTATTGGATTCAAAAGTATTTGAATCTGTATTATTAAGTCTTATTAATATGAAAAGTTATCCAAGTTCTTCATTAATAACTGAAAGATTTCTTTGTTTTAAAAATTTCGTAATAAATTTCCCCCTAATTATGGCTCAATATGTTCATCATTGGCTTGGAACTCTTATACTTAATGTTTGTAATTTACCTTCAGCATTTTTTACAAAATGTATAGCTGTTGGTACAAATACTTTATTAGAAGTTGCAAAAGCTTATTTACTGAATAGTTCAATTCTGATAGTAGTTGATAAATTATTATCTTCAAGTATTTCTTCAGAAATTAAATCTTTAACTTGTGATGGAAATTTACAAGTTGATAGTCCTAATTTTAATTCCCAAAAATCAACAGCTTTAGAATATATTTTTATTCAATTAGAACAACTTATGAAAGATGGTGAATATAAAGTATCAATGGATATTTGGGTAGCTATAACTATAATGTTAAGTAATAATAAAATTCCATTTTGTAATTGGGAACATTTAACAAAATGGTTAAGAATTCCCAAGATTTGTTTTAATTCAAGAAATATTACTGCACAAATAATTTCATTAAATAGTTGGAAAGCAGTGGTATATAATTTATCTTATAGAGATCTTGAATATGTTAAAGGGGTTATTGAACCAATATTAAGAAATTCAACAACAATTGATGAAAGAAATCAAGCTATAACAAATGTATTAAAATCAAAAACAAGATTAACTACTCATTTATTTAATAGTATTAATGCATGTGATGCACCAGAAGATGTAATTAATGCTTTACATAATTTATTTTTATCAATCCTTTATTCATTTATAAATCCAATGACAAATAATAATAATCAAGGAACAAAATATTTATATATTTATTGGGATAAAATTATTCAACCAATAATTTTAAATTTTTATTTTAAAAAGGATGCTTCAACTCCTTACATGCATGATTTAGGTTTAATGGTATTAAATCGTCTTATGAGATTTAGTAATAATCAATCAAATGAAAGAAAATTTAATGAAGTTAGATGTTTAGCTAATGATCCAGTTACTTTAGCAGAGGTTAATCCTTTACCAAATAGATGGATTTATGCAAGATTTGATAAAGTAGTTCATAGTCTTGCTCTTGTATTTCAACTGAATCATTTAACTATTGAAAAGAAATTTAATTTTCTTCAAAGTTTTTTAAATTATATAAAACCAATTACTAAAAAGGAAATTAGACCTACAAAATCAACTATTACTATGATGGAAAATATTTCTGTTATGTTTTATCAATTATTAAATCCGGATTTATCATTTGAATTAATTAATAAAACTTTAACAGCATTTTTAGATACTTTTGAACCAAGTTTATTATTTAGTAAAGAATCTCGAAATATTACTAGAGATACTTATCTTAAAGTAATTGAAATTTCATTAAATAAATTTACTGATAATCAAATTACTTGTTTATTAAAATTAATGTTTCCAGTAACTCTGGATGGAGCTGATCTAATAATGATATTAGATCTTTCTATAATTCAAGATAAAGAAAAGAATAAAGCTTTAGAAGAATTTCTTGAAGAATTCTTTAATTCAAGAATTGTATCACTGAAACTTTCAGAAGTTGAATCATGTGGAGAAATTTGTACAGTATTACCTATTGGATTTGAAACATTTATTAAAAAAGTTGTACAAGCTGTTGTAACTATAACAAATACTGAAGATTTAAGTAAGGGACTTGAATATTTAAAAGTAAATTCATGGAAATCAGAAAATTATAAATTCTTTCTTAGATTGATGAAGAATGCTCCAAATCCTTTAATTCAAGAATTTGTAGTTGATAGTATTAAATTTAAAATTTCTGATAATAATTCATTTGTTGATTTATTTAAATTCTTAGTGGAAGATAAATTTTATAGTCAATTATCTTGTATTCATCAAGAAATTATTACTAGTGGTTCTAAATTAGAAGGATTTTTATTATTTAATTTCCGAGATATTTTCCTGCAATATTTAACTGATGTTCTGCTTAATCCAACTTTAATTGAAGATTTGGATAATTTATTAGTAGATAATCATAAGAATTTACAAATTAATATTGATATTTTTATTAAAAAGAATATTGGTATTTTACCAAAAGTCAGGAAAAGTTTAGGCTTGGAATTAGGACTTTCTAATGCAGAGGAGATGTCGGCAGAGATGTCGGCAGAGATATCTGAAACTTCTAATGATTCTAAACCTGAAGAAACTCAAGTTGATGAAACTCAAGTTGATACAACTCCTGCTGTGAATATTGAAGAAAGTACTGAAAATGAAGTATCGGAAATCCCATCGGAAAAAGTATTGGAATTAGTTAATCTTGATGAGATTGATGTTTCATCAAGTTCTGAAGCAGTAGTCAGTGGAGAATCAATTGAACTGCATGATTCAAATTCTCATGAAAATCCTGTAACTAATGGATCATTTGATATTCATTCGTTTACCGCAATGTTAAATTCCAAACTTCAAACTGCATCTCCATCAAAGGCTAAAGGAAGGAAACGTAAACAAAAGAAATCGTCTGATGAATCACAATCTCCTAAAGTTTCCAAAAGAGGTAAATCTAAAGTGGAAGTATCTTCTTCAGTTGAGTCTATTGATGAGATTAGTGAATCAGAGAATGATTCCTTATCTCAAACAACTATGGGAAACGATTCTGAAATGGTAGATGATGAGTCGATTTCTAATAATTCTGAAATAGAAACTCACAATACTGACAAACAGACTCAAATTGAGATCCCATTAGAGCAATCAGATAATTCTGAAATTATCGATGATTTTGTGAAACATGAAGATGATATGATTATTGAATCTCAATCTGGAGAAACTGATTCAGGAAGTAGTAGTAATTCTCAATTAGTTACATTTGAATCTCAAAATTTCAAGGGTCATTCTACTTCTAATGAAGGTAATGTCACTGATATTTCCAAAGAGTCAATTTCCGAGTCAATAAGTAGCTCTTCATTATCTTCTTCTGATGGATCCTTAGTTCTTGTGACTAAAGAAATGGTATTATCTACAATTGTAGAGCATGAACCTGCTGATATGCAAGAACCACCAGAAGTTCCTGATATAGTTCCAGAAACTACTGAAGTAATTCCAGAAGTTACTGAAGCAATTGAAGAAACTACCAAAACAATTTCAGAAACTACTGAAGCTATTCCAGAAACCAATGAAGCTATTCCAAATACCATTGAAGCAATTCCAGAAACCAACGACACCCAAGTCAATGAAACACAATCCAATTCATTGCTTAAATCATTAGAAACCGTGTTAAACATTTCGGATGAAGATATCCGAAACTTGGATGCTCAAGACAAATATGACTTAGAAACCAAACTATTACAGCTTATGTTAAGAGTTCGTAATGTAGGCATGAGAAACTAATCCTTTGCTATAATTAAAATAACGCTTTATGTAAAAACTAAACTTTTATAGAAATAACGAAACGAAATTTTCAAAAATTAAAAATCTTTTTTTTGCAACTTGCCGCCCTCACCCCCACAAATTCCAATTGGGAAAATAACATGATTGCTCGAGAAATAATTCAATTACCGTTTTTAACCGATGACTAGCAGGAATTGTACCCACTTATAAAAAGTTATAAGTATAAAGTAAATGTCTATAGTACCTTATAATACCAATAATCAAGTTCTTTATCATGATCCAAATCATGGATTACTTGTGTTACATAATAATCAACAAAATACTATTCAATTATTATCTACGGTAGATTTTAATACACCTGAAACTAATTCATCAAATGGTAATGATAATGAAGAAACTTATTCTCAAGGAGGATTTTCAAATTCCAATAATATTAAATGTCCAAATTGTGGATTTTATTGGGATTATACTACCCAAAATAATCGAGGATCTAATGATAGTAATGATAAATCCAACGCGTTAACTAAAAAATTACCAGCAAGATTTATGCATCATGATTATTTTAAACTCCTTAGTCAACTTCCATATAATAGTGAACAAAATAGGAAACCTCCAAGTTATTCTTTACCAGAAAATATATTTAATCCAGGATATTTTAAAAGATTCTTTAAAAAAGTTCCTCCATATACATTAGGATCAGGAGCTCATGCTCAAGTATTTAAAGTTATTCATATATTAAATGATATAAAATTAGGAACTTATGCAGTAAAAAGAATTACTATAGGGAATAGATTTGAACATTTAGAACAAGTTTTAAATGAAGTACTAATACTTTATGAATTATCAGTTCAAGGAGCTAATGAAAATAATTTAATACGATATAATCATGTTTGGCTTGAATTAGGTGATATTTCTGATCTGTCAACATTTTTCTTTAAGGATGAAATATCTAGTCCTGATATAAATTCAAAAGTTCCTTATGTTTATATATTACAACAATTTTGTGGTGGAGGACAATTAGAAAATTTAATAGTTAAGAATTTTCAACAGGATTTATTTGCAAGTCTTAAAGATAAAGTTCAACAAGAAAGAATGAAACGTCGAGCTTCAAGAGGTAAATTTACTGGAAATCATGAATCATTAAGACCATGGCTTAATAATTTAGAGATTTGGAAGTTTTTCCGAGATGTAGCTAATGGAGTTAATTATCTTCATAATCATGGTATTTTACATCGAGATCTTAAACCTTCTAATTGTTTACTTGATGTTCCTTATACAACTGATTTAATTCAAAAATTAAAATTTTCAAGTGATACAGAACTTGAACATGAATTACATAAATTACCTAAAATTTTAGTTTCAGATTTTGGAGAAGGGAAATTTATTGATAAACAAAGATTAAGAGAAAGAGATTTAAATCTTCCATCTCTTGATAAATCTAATGAAAGACAAGGTAATACAGGTACACTTGAATTTACTGCTCCTGAATTATGGTTCTCGAACTATGATCCAAATACTGAAGATAGTATTAAAACATTTATAAATAATTTTAGTTTTGAAAGTGATATATATTCTTTAGGAATAATTTTATGTTATCTTTGTGTTGGAACATTACCATTCAGTAATTCAATTAAAGATGAAATTGATCCTCAAATAATTAGAGAAAAGATAATGAAATGGTATTTCTCATTAGAGCCAGAACTGTTTCATATTTGGTTTGTTGATGCTTCTAAAACAGCTAGAAATGTACTGGAATTTGATAAATCACTTATAGAATATGAACAACTTATATATTTAATGATTAAAGGTCAAAAATCAGGAGATAATGAAGAATTTAGAAGAATCTCATCTTCTCAAGTTTTAGAAGCATTAGAAGAAATTAAATGGACACAATTCATTAGTGAAGAAATATCAGAGACAACGGCTTTAGATGATTATTCATTACTTACAAAATCTAATAATCCCAATGAAATATATGAGGAAAATAAAGTTAATGATAGTCAAGATCCAAATGATAGTGATGAACTGGAATTGATAGATGATAATGATGTATTAAATTTAATGAAGCAGACTTCTACTAAAACTATACTTAATAAAGAAATAGATTTAAAAAATAGTCATATTGTTTCAAAAGTGGGTTCAACCAGACTTTATATTATTTATTTATTAATAGTTGAGCTTGTATCATATTATTATTGGTCCCTTCATTTATTTTCTTTAAAATTGGTCATTCTTTCATCTCTCCTATTAGACACTTATTGGATACAAGAAAGTATATACAGAAGGAATGTTCTCATTGCTACTTCGGTAGTGACATTATTTCTCATCATATATCTGTTATTCTCCAATCCTATAACTATAAATGATTGAGTTATATAGTAATAATATAAGAATAGTATAGTGGATGACATTTTCCGGCATATAGCTCTCCAACCCATAATGCGACATAAAACCCATCTGCTCTTTGCGACATCTCTACAAGTTTTGCAAGACTCTACTACAGATATAATATATAAGTACAGACCAACCAACTATGGCGTCGAAAAGAAGTAGGCTGGTAACTCCAGCACTTCCAAAGAATAAGAAAAGAAAAGTCGGTTCCAAAAATAAAGAAAAGGAACAAATATTAGTGGCTGAAAATAAATTTGGAGTTCTTCAACATAGAGATGAAGAAGAAGAATCAGCGTCAGATTCAGATTTAATATTTGATTATGATGGGAAGGATGATGAAGAAGGAAATGGTATGGTATTAATTGATTCTGATGATGATGATAATGAACCTGAAGTTATTGCTATATCTAGTGATGACGATAATGAACAAGAACAAACTGAAGATCAAAATCAAAGTAAAGAAGAAGAGACTAATGAGAATAATGATTTAGCTAAAAATGTTGATTTTATAGGATTTGGTTTCAGTTCATCAGAAGATGAAGGTGGCAAAGAAGATAATGAAGAAGAAGATTTTTCAGATGATGGAATTATTAGTGCCGATGAAGGTGTAGATAAATATGCTAGAGCTAAATCTCCTTCATTATATCCATGGATTAAACAACATGATCATTCTAAACAAAGAGAAATAGTAGATTGGTTAACTTTAGAAATGAAAGATTTCGTTAATTATATATCACCATCAAGTGAAGAAATTACTGCCCGTAATAATGTGGTAGGTATGTTAAAATCTCAAATTAGTAATTTTTGGCCTGATACAGAAACTCATGTTTTTGGATCATTTGCAACTGATTTATATTTACCAGGTTCAGATATTGATATGGTTGTTGTTTCAAGAAAAGGAAATGTAGAAAATAGATCAAGTCTTTATCAATTATCATCATTTTTAAGAAATAAAGGTTTAGCAAAGAATATAGAAGTTATAGCAAAGGCTAAAGTACCGATTATTAAATTTGTTGATCCATTAACAAATATTCATATTGATATATCATTTGAAAGAACAAATGGTATAGATGCAGCTAGAAGAATAAGGAAATGGTTAGCAGATACACCTGGTTTAAGAGAAATGGTATTAATTGTAAAACAATTTTTAAGATCAAGAAAATTAAATAATGTTCATGTTGGAGGATTAGGAGGTTATGCAACAATTATTTTATGTTATCATTTCTTAAATTTACATCCAAAAGTTTCAACAAAATCAATATCAATTATGGATAATCTTGGAGCTTTATTAATTGAATTTTTTGAACTTTATGGTAGAAATTTTTCATTTGATAATTTAATAATATCTTTAGATCCAGAAACTGATTTACCAAGATATTTAAAAAAATCAGATTATCCTTATCTAGATACAAGTAAAAATCCATTTTCAATTGTAATTCAAGATCCAGCTGATGAAAATAATAATATTACTAGATCATCATTTAATTTAAGAGATTTAAAGAAAGCTTTTGGAGGTGCATATCAATTATTAGTAGATAAATGTTATAGAATGCATTCTTCAACTTATAAAGAAAGATTAGGACAACTGATATTAGGTGATATAATTAAGTATAAAGGTAAAGAAAGAGATTTTAATGATGATAGACATAAAGTAGCCAATCATGCACTTCTTGATAGTCATCAAAAGGATGATGCTGAAGAATCAGATGGAGCTAATGGAAATGATAAATATTATTTCTCTGATATGACGGTTGAGAGTGAAGATGAAATAAAAATTGAAAAAGTTGAAAAAGTTGCAAAAGTTGAAAAAGTTCAACATACTAAAGAAAGTGCAACTGAAAGTACTGCCAAAGTTGCTAATTATTTAGGAATAGAAGAAACTGTAGAAGATGATGAAGATACTAAAGAGGAAATAGTTGAAGTAACTTCATCAAAGGATGAAAATGAAAATACTCCCTCGGCCGAAGAAATGAAGAAGACAAAATCAAATCTTGATAAAGATGTTCGTCGAGCTTATTGGATGCAAAAAGGTTTGGAATTATAATTATATTAGAATTATAATTATTATTTAAATTGTAACGTAATCACTAATGTACTATATATATATATTATTATACGTGTACATATATACATATATATATATGTAAATATTAATTAACAACATGTATATGAAGAAGTAGATTGGCCATTCATACGAGCATCAAGAATAGATCCAATTTGATTTTCAGTAGTAGTTTTTGACTTTTGTTCATAGTACTCGATAAAAATTTTATCATCAATTCCATCTACAATTTCATCGAATAATTCTGTTAATCCAGTTCCATCAAATGCACTTGTTTGATTATATATAATACCTGTTGAATCAGTAAATTGATTTATTTTAAAAGTAATATCTGATTTTTCTTCATCACTCAACTTCGCAAAAAGATCCAGTTTATTTCCTACTAATCGCACAATTAATTTATCATTTGAATCATTATCACTATTATTACCACTATTATTAATTTCTAATTGTTCTATCCAAAATTTAGCAGTTTTAAAACTATCTTCAAAATTACTTAAATCAACACATACTAATGCAACTTTAGCATTTCTATAATACATTGGCGTTAATGATCTATATCTTTCCTGACCTGCAGTATCCCATATTTCAAACTTTATTCGCCTTTCTGGTTTTAATTGTGAATGATATAATTTAGTAATAAACGCAGCTCCAATAGTATTGGTAGTATTACTATCAAATTTATTAGTAGTAAATCGATGAACTAATGCTGTCTTTCCTACTGATGATTCTCCTAGTAGAACTAACTTCAATGTCGGTACATCTTCATGAGCATTCATGATTATCTTAGTACTTATCTAAAATATGTTAATATTATAGTACTCCCTCCTTAAGCTATTACTATACCACATAATTAAAATGATTAAATAATCAGAAAAAAGTCCATCCAATATTATCGGCACGTGACTTTTTTTTACTCATTGATAAGGTAATATACTTAAACAGTTAAGGCTATTGACTACTTAGTTTGATAAAACCAAAAGGTGTTTCAGCCTTTATCGATTTGTTTGCCGTAATTAATATAAGATAAGGTTTGCTATAAATAAAATAAGACACCGACAATGTTCGAAAATCTGTGCATTACCTACTTCATAATATTTGGTGTATTTCCGTAAAAAGGGGTTTTGCATCCTTTTGCAGAAATGTGTCAAAAAAACTCCTTGAACAAACTTTTCTTACTCTTTTGGGTGTTCGTATAATATAAATCATCATTAAGAAACAAATTAGTCTTATTTATTGATATTAGTCTATTTTGTAAACAAAATACTAAAATAATTGTTTACCGCTGGGTTTTGCATCCTTTTGAAGAAATTTTTCAATATCTATTATAAATCCTCAAGTATATTTTATTGATACTGGTCTATTTTAGACAAAATACTAAATAATTATTTACTGCTGTTAGCCATGTCGTTGAGATTGTCCAGCATTATTAATTTCAAACATGCTAAAGCTGCTTTGAAGAAAATAAAAGGAGATGAAATTTACCCTTTTGAAATTAACAGCGAAGGTATAGAAGATTATAATAATTTGGAGATTCAATTACAAGAATATCTCAAAAATCCAAAAGACAAAGAGATAAAACAACTTTTCACAAGCTTTGGTATAGAAATCTTCGTTAAAGAGGGTAATATTCTGCAAGAGACGGCCTTGTTTATTCTACTTCGACTTCATAACTTCCATTTACTTCAAAAATTCAATTTTCAAACTAATCCTGCAATGTTATACATAGTCGGAAGGTTTGCAGAAGATTTAAAAGGGCATTTTAAAACGCAAGATAGACCTTTGAGGCATTTCTTTTATGGGTACTTTAGTTTCACTCGGAATTTGAGCATGCAGCCTCCAGTTTTAGATACCAATGTGACAACCAGACCCACAGCAAATGTTGCGACTGCGGCCACTTCAATGCCTGCTCCAAGTTCAACAGTCAGAACCTTGCCTCCGATCGTGGAAACAGTGGGACCAGAAACATCATCCGAATTCTTTAGCGAAGACTCTGAATCCACCAGAATAACCCAATCTGATAGAAACAAAGAAAAGAGAAGAAATGAATTGACAAAGATTATAACTTTATTCTATCCGAAAGAAAAGGTTGAGAAATTCATCATACATGATCCTGATAAAATCAAGATTTCAAAATCACAATTGGAAGCTATCCCAGATACACATTTACCCCTGGAATTTGATGTGGACAACAAGTTCGAGATGGATATAGAAGAGGCTGTAGTGAATAATTTATTGAAACCTGTTGTTTCAGTATTTTCATCTCTTTTTCAAGGACTCCAAATTAAACGTCGCAATCCAGTTCTGAAATTAATTTCCAATGTGAATGTTACACTCTTTCCTGACATCCAAATAGAATCAAATGATTTCCGTTTACCTATTGAGATAAAGAAAAGTTCAATATCTACATATATCGATGACTTCTACTCAACATCTTTTAGAGTGGATCATCCTTTAGTACAGCTATTTTCTCAGTGTCTAAAAGATGCCACTGTCACAGGTTCTCCATATGTGATCTTATCCGACTATAACACTTTTATATTGATTGATTTGATGAATCATAAAATTGATGAAGAATTCAAAGGTGATGCTTTCTGTTTTTTGAACAAGGGGGTAAGGTGTTCAATGCAATCTTTCACCGATAATGAGAATGATTCCTTTTCCTTTTATACTAAATTATTTTTGTTCTTTATGAAAGTCAGAGAAACAAAATCTCGACATGACGAGATAATGGAAAGATTTCAAACTCAAGCATTACTTACACCAGCAAGAAATCGCATTATTGCGCGATTCAATCAAGCAATAATTAATCTTAATAACGATTTGATTAGTAGGTATCTGGCATCTCACTACAAAACTACTAAATCTGACTCCGATCTTGTTAATTCAACCGCAAGTGATATAACTGGTGTTAAGAAACTAATGTGAATTGGGGTCCCATACAGCAGATTATTTATAGTGAAGCACGTGACCGATAAGTTCTAGAAAAATTTTGCATCCAAAATTCTGCTATTTTTTAGTTACTTATTTAAAATACGAATTTATATAATAAAAAACTTCTCAAGGTATTTGAGACAATTTGAGAGTCAACCAAAAACCTACATTTGATAAGAAACCGAAAATAAGCGAAATATGCCTTGATTACAGTAATAATTGTGCTGCTTATTTAGTTAGATACGGCATATACTAAACCATTTATCGAGAACAGTATGTGCTAGGTAGAGTCAAGGATATTTGTGAGTTTATATACATTAGAGGAAAGGGTGGGAAAGATTGCAGTCAGATAGGACAGTGATCACTACAAAGGTATACAAAATGGTGATTTACAGAGCCTTATCTTTTGAGATATCCTGTACACAGGGAAACGGCTGTATATTAGATAAGTGGGGTAGAATTTTAAGTTGGAAAAACTGAAGAGCCATCTGATCAAGTGGTTGAGCATCCGTTTTGTACTTGTGATTGAATGATGTATTAAATTAAGAAGCCCTGAACTAAACTGGTATCCCTCGAATTATGCATATTCTCCTAAAAAAAACTCTTGGCAATTGTATCACCTATATACCGTAAAATGAGAACAATGACTACGTGGCCGTAAATCATAGCAGAGGCGTTAGCCATTCTTAATTATTTATCTCCCTTTTACTAACGATAATGCTCTGGACTATTCTGGAATGCGTTTTAGTTAAAAAAAAAGCGTTTTAGTAAAGCAGAGCCACAAAAATAGCGCGGGAATATTTACCTGCTTCAATCAATATGTATATATGTATATCTACCAAAGTATTTTTCTAAAAATGTTGGTTTGGGAAGTATTGCATATCAGTAATGTTATCTGTACCAAACGTATGTAAAAAACCTCTCTAACATCTATGTCGAACTATTACTGACTATTTAGTTTTTCAATTTTTCAAATTTAAACTGGAAATCATCTGCAACTGGTTTCAGATTGGGAAAATTCATTTTCGAATCTTACTTGTACGCGAGACAGTACAGAGTATTGAAGGGACTCACTAACTGGGGGTCATATCAAGATCTCGATCACGAGTATTTTGGGAATAGCCAGAAGTATTCTCAAGCAAAATTGAAATATAATTACGTTAAAGACATATTTGATTTGATAAAAGACCTATTTGTCATTAAATTCAACGTGTATGCTTTTATTTGGAAAATAAGTGGAAGAGTTTTAAAAGCTTCAAGTTTCCTACCACAGAGTGAGTTGTTTCAAACCTTGATATTTTCAGCTATAGCTAGATTATTATTGTTTGTTTATAATTTACCATTAGGATATTATTTCAATTTTGTCCTTGAAGAGAAATTTAATTTTAATAGGAGTACTATTAAGAGTTGGCTATTTTCTGATTTAGCAGGATGTCTCGTTCAGTTGATAATTGATTCAACCACAATTTCGTTATTCTTAAAAACGGTCAATTATTTTGGTAAAATTCCTATTTTGCAACTGACAATGCTTACTGCAGCAATATTTTTTACAATTTTTACAATTTATCCAACGTTTATTTTACCACTCTTTTTCAAGGCCAGCCCATTACCAGATGGTGAACTAAGAACTAGAATTGAAAAGCTTGCAGTTGAAAAAGCATTCCAAATCAAAAGAATCTCCGTGCTTGATGCTTCAACATACTCATCTCATTCGAATGCTATGGTAAGTGGTTTTCCTTGGCGAGGTGAAATTGCTTTATCTGACACATTGCTTGAGGACCTCTCAACTGATGAAGTAGTATCTGTTGTTGCCCACGAATTGGGACATTTAAAATTGTTTCACATTTTAAAGCAGATCACTTTTATAAGTAGTCTGGTGGGATTGAATTTATTTCTTTTGTCAAAGGCAATTCAAAATAAGAGTTTATATGAACAATTTGGCTTTTCTGAAAAGTTCGTAGTTATTGGATTTTTATTATTTCAAAATATTGCAATTCCACTTAATTTAATTGTCCATCTTTTCGATCACTACTACAAGCAAAAACTCGAATATGAAGCTGATTATTATTCTGCGATTGATTGTGGATTGAAAGAAGCGACATTGACAGGCTTATCCAAAATATTTAAAAATAACTTAAATTCTCTTGATTCCGACTGGTTGTTTAATCTTTATCATCGAACACACCCGAGCTCCACAGATAGATTAGAAGCAGTCAGAAAGGCTATAAGCAAATATACTTTAGATTCAACAAGATGAAGATTTATACGTTGTATACAAGAAAAAAATCCATTTCAACTTGAAATATCGTAGAAAACAATTTAGTAAAAGCCATTGGAATAATTCTTCTTATAAACTTTGCTGCGAAAATGTTTTATTGACTTATTATGAAATTAATATAAGGATGGTGCCAAAATAGAGGAATTGGAGAAAACCCTTAGCGTTAGGTAAGTGGGTAGTATGACATAGATGCCGTAATAGAGAATATACATCCAATTGGGCCTTATTAATAGGACCACATTCACTTAAGTGGGCAAATTGAAAGAGTGAAAGAGTGGAGCTCGCGTTTCCGTTGCAGTTTTCCGTTGATTGAGTATCTCTTTGTGTCACCAATTAATCTTCTGAAGTACCATTTACATGCCTAGATATATTTAATATCTTCATCCAGAGATAAGAGATGTTAAATATGATTTAATTAAACTGGCAACGTATAACCTAATCATTAGCTTCTCTATTTAATTCTTGTACTGTAGTTTTGTGTGAAACTAGTCTAAACAATTCTAGAGTTTTAATTAACTAAAAATATAGAGAATTACGTCACATATCTGAATGCTATTTCATAGATTTATGCATGTAATTTAGAATTTATTTGCTTAATAATACTTATCTATACTTTTTGGCGTGATTTAGTATGAATTTTAAACAATGATATACAAATCAAAATTAATCTAAAAAAATCGATGACGGGGTTTGACTCTTAATTCTGCACGTGATCTTTCCAAACCCCGCGGAAGATGTGGTCTTGTATAAATCCTTAATATTCGATACCCCCACCATCAACAGTTTATTTCTACTATACTGATGGGGTTAGTTTCACAACAAGTGTATTGATTACTTAATAATTCATTCCGATTAAATAGTTAAAAATCCTATTTTTTTTTAGTTGTGCCTCGGGTTTTATTAGGAGTAATGTCTATTATTATTGATACTCTGAAACTGAGTAGAAAGCATGCCAGTAGAGCATGTTTGGAATGTCGTAGAAGACATTTTAAATGTGATAGTGCAGAACCTGTTTGTGGAAGATGTAATAAAGCAGGACGAGAATGTATATATGTTGAAAGTCATAGAGGTGGTTCAAGGAAAAAGGGAGTTTCAAAGAAAGGACAAGTAACAGTATCAGAAGGTCCTGCAATTAATACAGCTGATATTGAAGAATTCCCATTCATGAAAAATGTCAAAGATCTTCATTTAATTAGGAAAAAAGAGAGTCATATACGTGATAATGGAGAAATGTTACAAGAAATATATAATTTACCTTGTGCTAAAGATAATAGTAGATGTGATGGATCCAGTTGTCCTGGAAAGAAAGCTGTTGAATATTTTAGAAAGAGAACTGAGGGTCCATTAAGTACAAAAGAACAAGAAATGATAACTAATTTAAGAAAGAAAGTAAAATTAGATAATAATATTGGTGAATTAGATTGTATATTTGCTAATAGAGAAAATGGTCATGAACCAGAATCAATAGAAGAACTTGAAAGTGTACTTAAAGTTCATTCATTAAATAATTTTATTGATACATCAACTCTTGATACAGAAGATATTCTTAAAAAATATTATGAAAAATTTCATTGGTCACATCCTTTATTACCTCCTAAGGATGAAATTAATCAATTTTTCAGTCAACTGTCAATTATTGCAGAAATACTACCTGTAATGAAAATAGTTACTGATGGATATACCAAGACTATATTTTCAAAAAAGATTGATTTAGTATCAGATAGAATAACTCAATGTATTCGAATAATTAAAGATAATGATTATAATGATATAGTATCAATTCAATGTCTAATTTTATTATCTATCATTGCTCATATATCATCAATTCATAAATTAAGTAAAACCATTCGACATTTATGCATATATTTATTAAAGAAGTTACAAATTGATTGTTTAGATAAACCAGAAAAATCTAAAGTACAAGTTCTATCACCAGCATCAGATAAAACACAATTAGCTGTATTAAATTCTACAAGATTAGAGCATTTATCAGAAATAAATATTGTTGATAATGCTCGTAGATGTTTTTGGGAATTATATTTTTTTGATGTAATAATTGGTTCAGCAGATGGTAGAACTGTTACAAAGATGGATTTATTATCTAAGAATATTTTTTATCCAACTGTTCCAAGTAGAGATACTTTTGATTATAAAACTAGAGCGGAAGCAGCAAAATTGGTAACTGAAGCAGTTAAATTAAATATAGAAGTTCTTGATAAATTACCTGTGGAGGCCACTCTAACTAGACTAAAAGCTTCAGTTTCCAATTTCTCAATGAGACTTGAAAATCCAAAGATGTTTAATTCACCTTCATTAATTCATCTGAATGGTAAAATTAATGAAGGAGTACATCAAGCCATTTTATTATTTAATTATGCAAAAATATTTGTTCATAGACCATTTTCATTTCTTTGGAAGATAAATTCACCTCAAAATCCACGATGCGGAGGAGAATCTTCTGATGAAGAAAATGGAGAACCTCCATCTCAAACTGAACTTGATTCAAGGGCGGTAATTGAGACTAGAAAAACTATTGAAGCAGCCATATCTATTGTTCAAGCACTTATTGATACAGATGCAACTAAAGTTCTAGAAAGAACTCCTCTATTCGCATGTGCATTAGCCTTAGCATCATTAATGTTTATTAGTGCCTATATTTGGGTAGAAAATACTTTAAATGGTGATGATGAAACTGTAAAACAACATTTAAGTTCAAAGGATCTTGATACTTATGCAGAGTATATTACCTTATCATTATCTGCAATTTATCCAATTTCAAATCATTGGATACTATCAGGGAAATTAGCTAGACATATAAGAGAATCCTTAGTGACTATAAGGCCACAACTATATTCCAAATTAAAGGAAAATTTACCTCATATTGATATAAAGATCGAACAACCACCACCTCCACAACCATTACAATCACAATCACGACCATTAAAGACAGTAGTTGAAGGAAAGGAATCAGCTTCTGAACCTCCGACAGTTAGTTCAGTACTGATTCAATCGTATTCTCCTGCCAGTGGACCAGTTTCAGATACATCACTTACTAATACAAGTGAATCTATTACTGAGACAATTCCATTTGATAATAAGAGAAATAATAGTATATTTGAATATAGTAGTTTATTCCAAAATAGTTTTGAAAATCAATTTGATCCCATGACATATTCCGGTCAATTATCTCCAGTATCTGATACAGGTTGTGATTGGATTGATAAAGCACTACAAGATTACTTTGAAGTGGATAGCTTTAACTAATGTAAATAGATCACGATTAACAATACAAGTATTATTATTTATTTATTTATTTATTAAAACATAATACATATAATTATATATGTAGTTGTACATTATACATATAATTATATAATTATTTTTAAATATTCGGTTAACTTCACATATAATTCTGCATAATCCGATTTGGTCCGTTGTACCGAAATTTGCGTGTTTACTATTCTTTCATAACCTCGTAATGCGCTTTTTTGTGTAGAGATCTTACTGCGACTTTGAAATAAATAAAAATAAATGGTTTTAGCAAAAATATTTTAGTATAAGCCTTAGAAAATAAATACAACCTCGAACAGCGCATTATAGTCTGTTACTAGGATTGTTACTAGGTTTTTAAGTTTTTAGATCATTTACTATTTGAAAAGAAATAAAGTAAAGTAAATAAATGTTTTACTAATTTACTAATTTACTTTATTGGTTCATAGTAGTTAATTATGGCTGTTGCAACTTCTTCAGTTGGTGGGGTTGTTGCTGGAAGCAACCCTTTAGTATATTCTGCTGGTGCTCCATATACTATCTTTTTATTTCAAGTTATATTTGTTATTTTACTTTGTCATATTGTTCATGTTCCATTGAAGAGATTACAACAACCTCGAGTAATTGCTGAAGTAATTACTGGAGTTTTATTAGGTCCATCAGTTATGGGTCATATCCCAAATTTTACAAAGAATTGTTTCCCACCTGATTCACTTCCTGGAATTGTTTTATTTGCAAATATTGGAATTATTCTTTTCTTATTTATAATTGGTTTAGAAGTTGATATTACATTTATTAGAAAAAATCTTAAAGTAGCATTAACTGTTGGATTAATTAATATGGCAGTACCTTTTGCTTTAGGTTGTGGAATTGCTAAGGGAATTTATGATACTTATGTTGAACATACTGATCAAGAACGCCCAATTAAATTTACTACTTATATGGTTTTCATTGCTGTTGCTATGTGTATTACGGCTCTTCCTGTATTAGCTCGTATTTTAACTGAACTTAATTTAATTGGTGATAGAGTTGGTACTATTGTTTTAGCTGCTGGTATTACTAATGATTTAACTGGTTGGATCTTATTAGCTTTAGTAGTTATTTTAGCAAATGCTTCTAATGGGGTAAATGCTGTCTATATTTTATTATTAACTTTAGCTTGGTTCTTATTATTATGTTATCCAATTAGATTGACTTTAAAATTCATCTTAAGAAAATTCACAAATGATTTATCTACTGGTGAACCATCTCAATTCCTGATGATGCTTATTTTAGTATTGGTATTTATTTCTGCTTTTTATACTGATGTTATTGGGGTACATCCAATTTTTGGGGCATTTATGGCAGGTGTAATTATTCCAAGAGATAATGGATATGTTATTCGTATAACTGAAAAATTAGAAGATTTAGTCCATATTGTTTTAATTCCTCTTTATTTTGCTAATGCAGGTTTAAATGTTAATTTAGGTTTATTAAATCGTGGTATTGATTGGGCTTATACTATTGGAATTATTTTACTTGCCATGGTAGGAAAAATATTTGGAGGTTTTGTTGCTGCAAAGTTTAATAAATTATTATGGAGAGAATCATTAGCTGTTGGTGCTTTAATGTCTTGTAAAGGTATTGTTGAAATTGTTGTTTTAACAACTGGTTTAAATGCTGGTATTATTTCTCAAAAAGTATTCTCAATGTTTATTGTTATGGCTCTTGTTACAACTTTTGCAACAACTCCAATGACATTATGGATTTATCCAATTTCTTATCGTGAAAAGAGAGATAGATTTATTAAGGGAGAAATCAATTGGGATGGTACACCTGTTGATAATAAAACTGATCAATCTAGTTTACTTAATGATCAACAAGCAAATTCTTTATCTCAATATACTATTAAAGGATTAGCTGATTATAAGATTAATCAATTTGTTTTATTATTAAAAAGAATTGATACTTTATCATATCTTATGACTTTTACTAAGAATTTTAATGATTCTGATATTAAAGCTATTCATTTAAGAGAATTTACTTCAAGAACATCACATTTATTAGAAGCATCAACTGGACAATATGATGAAAATAGTGAAAAAGTTATTAATGATAATGAATATACTAACTCATTTTCTATCTTATCTATTATTAAAGCATTTAGTGAAATGTCAGGAATTAATTGTTCTGCTAGATCTATATTATCAACATTTAAAAATCATGTTTTAACAATTAATGAACAAATTTCTGAAAAGTCTGATTTCTTAATTACTAGTATTAAATTAAATCAATTAACAAGAGAAAGTATTGATTATTCCTTATACAAGAAATTATTTCAAGAATGTAAATCACACTTTGGTTTATTATTAATTAATGATCTTTCTGTTGGACATGTCAATAATAATTTGAATTATTATGATGATGAAACTAAAGCAAGTATTATTGATACTGGAGATCAATTAACAGGAAAATTTAGTAGTTTAAAAGTTATTAATTTAATTTTAAGACATGATAATTTATTGAGTTCAAGTGATTTATTATCATTACATTTAATTTTTAAATTATTAAGTAATGATTCAAACCTTTCAATTATTAATGTTTATATCCAACAAGCTTCAGGTTCAAAATCAAAGGCTAATCAATTTGAACAAGAAATTACTAATTTATTTAAATCTAAAAAGGATGATATTATTGTTAATATTTCTTATATTAAAGAAATTCGTAATATTAAGGAAGATATTAAGAGATTCCATGGAGGAAGTTCATCTAATGAATTATTTGTTATCTCAAATAATGGTTCAAATTCTACTTATAATGAAATTGCAGTTGGTTCATCATCTACATCAATTGTTACTGAAGCAATGTTTGATTATGATGTCGATCAACTCTTTAATTTAAGTACAGCTGAAGGGTTTCATGTTTTGGTTGTCCAAGCTGCTATTAATTAATCTATATAGTTAAGTTATTATTGTTTTAAATAAATGAAGAACAGGTTGAAATTTGTAAACCTTTTATAAAAATCCTCTGAATAGGATGCAAAAAGATTTTTAAATTTGAATTTCCTGCATATAACGTGAATCTCCTGCATATAACGTGTTTATTATCAAATATTGACCGATATTACGTGGTCTAATTGAGTATAATTGGCTCTGTGGCCGAGTGGTTAAGGCGGCAGACTCAAGTTCTGTTATCGTTAAGATGCACGTGTTCGAACCACGTCGGAGTCATTATTTTTTTGAATTATCACTATAATGTTATTAGGAATCACATATTTGATAGGATTTAATGTTTTACATTCCATATACAAGTTATGGGAGTGCTCCTAAGCTTTGCGATCAAGGAATTTTTTTGCAATTTCTGTGGAGCGAACACTAGAAAAAGCATCTACAAACACTTACTATGTTTTGGTGACATAGGTTGTGTTTTTTTTTCCTTTGGCATAATTCTTACTCTAAGAGTTTCTCTCCCTATCGAACCACTAACGTATTGTCTATAGCTAGATTCTTTATTTAGACACTACTTACAGCATAATATATATGCAACCTGGAGAAAAAGAAAGTTTAAGGTTCATGTTTATTCTTCCCCGTATTTTTGTGTTGTGTGCAGGAAATGCGACAGAATTGTCTCCCGACTCGCATGATCAAAATATATATAAACCTCCCACTTCTCAGGTTCAGCATTCTCGGAAATTATCTTAACTACTGTGAAAGGTCCATAGAATATTGGTCGTAATTTGTGATATTTGAGAGGTTCCATATATGCACAACTGTGGACAAGTACAAGATCTTTTAAAGTTATTTGGTTGAGTTTTCGAAAGTCTATGCACAGTCTTTTGGTTCCATTAGGCTTAGGGACTAAAAACATAGGACTACTAGTACACTTAATATATATATATATTTAGGATTTTTACTAACATGTAGAGATTGTTAGTGCTTTAACAAGTGCTTCAATATTTATCTTTATATTTATAAATATACAATATTTATATTACAACTTTTATATATATGTGCGAATTACTATGTGTATTAATTTAATAATGAAAAAGTTTGACTAAAACAGAGTAAATTAGAATGAGTTGCAAATTGATATAAAACAAAAATCAATTTAATAGTTATATATATTATTAAAATGATCGAATTTAGAAAATACAAACATAATACGGACTCCAAAACCACTTTCAAATGGAAATCGAGAATTAAATTGTGGTATGAAGATAACAGTGAAATAAAATAGGGAATATAGTCTGCTTCGAACAGTCAATCTTATGGTAAAATGTTAATGATATATGTACGTGAGGTGAAGTTGGTATAACATTACTAATAATAATTTAAATTAAATTAAATTAAATTAAATTAAATTAAATTAAATTAAATTAAATTATAATTATAATCCTCCAAAGGCACCAGAGAATTGAGAGTTACCACCAGTTTGTTGATATTCAATCATGAATTCTTCTAAGATACCAAAAGCTGAACAAACACCAACAATGATTGAAACACCTTTACCTAAACCTCCAAGGATTTCTCCAGCAACTGCTAAGACACTTAATGAAAAGGCCCCAGAAACTGCTGCAACTGGAATAACTCTTGATAATTCTTTAGTTATTGAAACATCTCTCTTACCAGCAATCGAAATTCCTTGTTCTTTGAATTGCTTAGATGTATCCTTTGGAGAAGCACCTGAAATGTAACTCCATTGTTGAGCAAACCAAGTAGAAATGATGACAACAAAAGCAACGTAAATAACAGATCTAATTGGACTTAAAATTGAAGAAATGAAAGTTGAAGAATTTGAAAGATAAAATAAAACACCTGATTTTAATTGTAAATCATTTGAAAATGCTTCAATTTGATATTTTCCTAATAAAGCCACTAATTCAGAAGAAATGTTAAATTTAGTTAAGATATTAACTAAGAAATATCCAAAGATTTGAATGTTGGTAATAATTGTATATGTGAATAATAAAGGTAAGGCACCACAATATAATAATCTAATTGGATAAACATTATTCATAGCTCTAACTTTAGTAGATCTAATTGGGATTTCAATTCTAAAATTTTGTAAACCAATAACCACAAAAATACTAAGAAGGGAAATGTAAAATTGTGTTAAATTTGGGAATTGACTTCTGGTAAATGCATTAAGAATATTTTGTTTTAATACAGTTAAATCAAAAGAGAAACTTCTAATTAAATTGAATAAAGCTCCATAACTTTCTGATTTATTTGAATTAATGATTGGGAAAATTTCAAGACCAACTAAATCTCTAACAAAATTAGTGGCAGTTTGTAAAGTTAAGAAACATAAAATACCAGAACCAAAGGAATAACCTTTATCAAAGATTTCAATTAATAAAGTTGTAAAGAATGACCAACCAACAATTTGGAAAAAGATAAAAACGTACCATCCAATTGGTAATCCATCAGTTAAAGGATCATAACCTTGAATAACACTATCATAATAACCAGAATAAATTAAACCAGCAGCATAACCAATGGCTAATAAGAAACTAGTTAATTTTTGACCTGATTGAAATAATTCACGATCTTGAACTAAACCTAAATTAACATTAATTAATTTTAATCCAACAGCTAATTGCCAAATAAAAGCAGCAGTAATAGCAGGTAATAAACCTAATTCTAAAAGACTACCCTTTTCCATGGCAAAAACATTTCTATAATTAAAGAATGGATCTTCTATTTTGAATTGAGCATTTGATACTAAACCATAAATTGGTAATTGACCAAAAAGGAAAATAATACCTGAACCAACAGTAAAGACTATTCTTTCATCAAAACTGATTCTTTCATAAGGAAATTCAACTTCAGGAAGAATAGGTAAAAAGAATTTAATTAAATCAAGAAGACGAACTAAAAAAATATTATAACTAGTTAATATAAGTTCTCTTTAAATAGATCTTACCATTTTAAAATAGATCTTTCGCAGATTAAAGTTACTTTGATCAATTAAATGGTAACAAGTAATGATTTAAATCATTATTTAATTTTTAATATTATACATACAGCCACTCATATTTAATGTTAATTCTTTCTTTTCAAAACGACAATGTCAACCAGATATGACAGACAAACAGAAAGACAGACAGACAGATTATGACTAAAGCTTCTAATCAATATATCAACGGATTTCGCCAAAATGGTTCCAATTTTTCAAGGAAGATTTTTTTCGACCTCACACACTTTTTTGCCTTAGCTATCGTCGTCCAAATTAAGCATTAATCTGTTAGAGGTTTAATTTTTGCCAGCAAGTCACGTGCAAAATCTTATATCACTAACATTAATTTTAGTGGTAGTACTTTTACTATTATTATAATAGATATGTATTGAAAATTACAAAACTTATAATGACAAACAGTCAATAAACAATCAATAATGTATAAAAATAAAACAGTAACTATATAATGTATAATTAATAAAAAAGTGAATGAACAAAAGCCAAGCCCAAGAAAATTGTGCCCTATAAACCAAACCAAAATTATAAACCCTTTAACTAATACGAACACAAGCAAAAGTGCAGTATAAGTAAAAGTACATGACAAAAAAGTGTAACAGTGTGAATTCTAGATACACTAGCAATAGTAACATAATTGTAACCTATTTCATATTAGAATAAATGTCATTAAATGTCATTAAATGTCATTCCAGGAAGATCCCGATCCAAACCCAACTCCACCACATAAAACCAAAGAAGAATTCGTCGTTTCTGAATAAGTTTTTGGACGAACATACAAGTCATTATTAATGGAGATTGAGTTTCTATTCCTCATTTCCTGAAGATATTGTGTCAATTTAGTTTCATCTAATGTTTCAGATCCATTTTGATTATTACTCTTATTGGTTATTATCGTATGATTCTTCAATAATAATAAATTCAAAATTTGAGTTATAATAGATGTTCCCAGATTAGAATCCTTCTCTAATAAGAATTTCTTTATATCAATTAATTTGTTAAAATTTCTGAATTTTTCTAATTCTTGAGGACTTAAATATTTCAATAATTCATCGCCATAAAATGGTTTAAGATTACTAAGTTGTCTTTGACTCGAATCGCTTGATGAAGATGTAAATGTTAATGTATGATTCGACGATAAAGTATCCTGAATTAAATTCTCATCAAGATTCCAACTAGCAATATTGTCATCAATTACTTGATTATGCTGATCTGTCACACTTGAATTATACCAGTTGTTGATTTTATTGGATAATATTTTACTCATGGGTTGATCTAACTCTTCTTGCTCGGCAAGATCAGAATAGTTTTCATGCGGTACTTTAGATTGACCCTCAATAGTACGCTCAAGTTGCTTAACACTGGCATCAACGTCATCATCATCATCTAGTTCTGCGTCAGTATCATCTTCATCATAATCTTCTTCTTCTTCTTCTTCATCTTCTACAAAATGATATTGATTACGGAAGTTTGAATTTGTGTTAGAAGTATTTGTTAATGATAATATATCAGAATCATTTTGGGATGGTTGTTGTAAGGTAGTTTCATTCTCTTTCTTTCTTTTGATAGGATTGAATAACACATACAGCAGAGAATCATCAATAACTTCATCAATCAAATCATCATAATCAGATAAAATACTACTACTTGAATCGAAATGTTGATTACTTTTCTTTTGATTGATATTAGCAGTTGCAGATGTAATACCAGCATTAATGCCAGTATGTTGATGATTCATATTCATATTTTGTCCTAATGATTTATAAGTTGTAATAGTAGAGTATTTGAAATTGGCCATCACAAATTATATATATAATTTATAAGGAGTCAACTAAGACAACAATTAAACAAACTTTGAAAAAGCTCCAATTTGCTCTCCTAATTGTTGTGCTATATTGAGCAAATATGTTGCGATGTTAAAATTGTAGTCCGAAACCCGAGAGAGTTACAAAGTATTTACCACACACAACGTTCGATGGATTTATTATACAATAATTCTTGTAGCGACTCAACTGTATTATTTTATTAGTTAACACACAAAGAACAAGGATATATTAAATATTTTATTCACGAAGGAAATAATGAAACGGAAGCCTAAACGCCATCTCTGTATACTTTAGTTTTACAATTGTGGTGGGTGACACAAACAGACGAGGAGAGATAAGAGACGAGCTAGTAAGAAACACGTGACATGTTTCCACCCTTCCACCCTCCGATGTCGCATAATTTAACAAAGGCTCCATACTTATACGTCATCGCTTACAGCAAATCGAGATCATATTTATGATTAGCAACATTATTGGTTAGCAACTAATCGTAACTCCTTCGTCACATCTGACTAGTCTCTTTATTCATTTGAGTGACAGCAAAATAACAATTAATTAATTAATTAATTAATATTTGTTTATTAACTAACGCTACGTCATTTTTTACTTTCCGATGAGGAGTACTTCGTATGTGCCGCGCGGTCAGATTTTAAAACCATAAATCTCGCGTGTCATATTACTACTTACAGTTAAATCAATTATCACCTGAACATCTAAAGCAGTCTTGAGTAGTTTAGAGTTAGCTAACAGTCATCCCTGATGCGCAGGTAATTGGTTTTGGGCAATTTTGTACTGATACTAGCACTATTAGTACTAGCTCTTTTGTTAGCTGCAAACTACTACATTGCAGGAAGTCTTTACTAGCGCTACCATCAAACTCAGAAATAACAATGAATGAGTTTATTCTCTCATTGTAGGATTTTCCCTTTGAGTTTATAGCTTAATATATACGAATAAAAAAAAGATTGGTGTAACATATTGACGCAGTTGATATTTACACTGCATTTTTTCTTTATACTTTTCTGTTCTACTATTTAATGTTAGTATATTAGTTTTGATCACATGAATAAAGTTTCTCATGAATTTCAAATCATAAAATTAATATCTTAGAAGTCAGATAGGGGTGAAAGACTATTTTATACCATTTAATTTTAATTTCACTTTCTTTTGAATCGTTTAAAATGAATATCATCACTAAGTTCAAAGATATTACTATAAAGTATTATGAATGAATGAATTTTCATAGAAACATTTAAGTCGTAAGACTTAACATACCTTATAAATGCACATATCTCAGAACATCTATTATATTCGTAAGAACATTGCCTCTTTAAGAATAACCCATACTGTATTAAACCTTCTACAAAGTAATCTTCGAAAAATTTTCTCGCTATTCTTTTTGTCTAAGCCAGAACAAAACTGCGGGTAAATTCAAACGGTGCGGGCCTTTACCGATATCTTACTAAGGGTTAATTGAAAAATTGAACGAGCTTATAATTGAGTTCTCTACCCCATAGAAATATATACGTTAATATTAAAAAGCAATAATAACAATGGCTGTCAAAGGATTAGGAGCTATAGATCAAGAATATGATGGTATGTATATAATGCCAATTATGTTTATATATTCTAAAGATATGACAGAACTTTAAGATATCACTAATGTAATGTACATTATACTAACTAATTAATTTAGGATCAAAATTAAGAATTGGTATACTTCATGCCAGATGGAATAAAGAAATCATTGAATCATTAGTGGAAGGTGCTAAGAAGAAGTTACTCGAATTCAATGTGAAACCAGAAAATATCGTTGTTGAAACTGTTCCTGGATCTTTTGAATTACCTTACGGTTCCAAATTATTCTATGAAAAAGCCGCTAAAGAAGGTAAACCATTAGATGCTATAATTCCAATTGGTGTTTTGATTAAAGGTTCAACCATGCATTTTGAATATATCTGTGATTCTGTGACTCATCAACTCATGAAATTAAATTTTGAATTAGGAGTACCTGTCATCTTTGGTGTTTTGACTTGTATAACAGAAGAACAAGCCCAAGCAAGAGCTGGTTTAATCGAAGGTAAAATGCACAATCATGGTGAGGATTGGGGTGCTGCTGCAGTCGAAATGGCTACAAAATTCAATTAATCTTTATTTATTTTATACATTTCATTTATGGTTAGGTCGTATCTATATTTTATATTCATCATTTAACATTGTATATTGTATATTGATAAATCAATTCAGTTTTCAACTATATGTTATAGTTCCTTGTAAGTATATTTAGGCGTTTTCCAAAATAAAATATTCTCTCTACGTTTTGCAGCAAATGGTAAAATGAGTGGCCAAATCAACCACACTAAGGAAGCTTTAAAAAAGAGTTCACAGATGCGAATATAATAATCAAGATATACCAATAGCATTTTACTGACCTTCTAGTTATTCTTATGTTGGCAACATTATCCTCGTATGATTTTAGGAATTCAAAAACTGCGTAGACAGTCACCAAATATTATGCTCTTTTTCCGGGGCCAAAAAAACCAAAAATGATTACCGAAGTAAAAACTAACCATATAAAAGTTAATATTAGTAAAAATTATAAAAAATAATGCCTTCAGCCAGATTCGAACTGACGATCTCCTCATTACTAGTGAGGTGCCTTACCAACTTGGCCATAAAGGCTTTGAAATTTTAAATATAGAAGTGACGACCCCGGTGAGGATCGAACTCACGATCTTAAGATTAACAGTCTTACGCCTTAGCCAGCTTGGCCACGGAGTCACTACTTATAACACCGAAAAATGCTTGCTCGATGTCAGTCTGTATAAATCACTTGAATCTCACGTGATCAATATTTTTAATTCTTAATTATTACTGTTCCAGATAGCAAAATGAATCTTTAAAGGTATTCAAGTAATTTAATAATAAGATTATAATATAATTGAATGATTATTGTGTTCTTTAGGATCAATTTCAATTTTTGGTGTATCAACATTTATTCAACTTTAATGCAAAAATTGTAAATAATTAAAAAGTTGTAAAAATACAAAATATATTATAGAAAGATATTCAAAAGATTCAAATAAACAATTAATGACTAAAACAACACATCCTTTAAATTATTCTTTTCCTTAATGGATTAGTAAATAAAGGAATAAGCCAAACATGGTCAATATTTGAAAATATTGCAAAAAAGTTCCAAATCCTGCATAAATCGTAACCCGAACCATAAAATTTTATATTGAAAAGTTGAATAATTGTTAAACAGACCATATACTAGGCATAGATGACATGATAATATTTAGGCGACTGTTACATTATTCAGGAGTTTGCCAATCATCAGGGAGCCCTTTTAAATTATATCCGAATTATAAGTTTAAATGTGGTCTAGAAATTCATACACAATTGAAAACCAAATACAAACTATTTTCATTACTGGAAACCAGTTTTAATGCTGATCCAAATTCTAAAATCAGTTATTTTGATATAGGATTGCCTGGAGCACAACCTAAATTAAATCCCGAAGCATTACTTTTAGCTTTAAAAGCTGCTTCAGCTTTAAATTGCCAGATTTCGTTGCAATCCAAATTTGATAGGAAACATTATTTTTATCGTGATCAGCCTTTAGGATATCAAGTCACTCAATATTATCATCCCTTGGCTGCTAATGGACATGTGGAGCTTAATAAATTTGACGTAAACGGAGATGTTTCAAAAGTGATTGGAATTGAACAAATTCAAATCGAACAAGATACTGGGAAATTACATTACGATAAATTCGATGGAGTAATACAGGTTGATTACAATCGAAGTAATACACCATTGATAGAAGTTATAACTAAGCCTGATTTTGAAAATTTGCTTCAAGTCGAAGTTTTCCTTAAAAATTATCAAACGTTGATGAGACATATGGGAGTATGTTCCGGAAATTTAGAAACGGGTGCTATAAGAGTAGATGTTAATCTTAGTGTGAATGGATTTCCTAGAGTTGAAATGAAAAATTTAGCCAGTCATGGAGAAATTCAAGAAGCTCTTAAATCTGAATATTCAAGGCAAGTATCTCTTCTTAAGGAAAATAAAGGTGATCAGATAGTTCAGGAAACTAGAGGTTTTGATGGTAAACAAACATATTCGCAAAGATTAAAGGAAAATTCAGTCGATTATAGGTACATGCCTGACTCTGAATTACCAGTAATAAACCTTGATAAGTCAATTGCTGAAGAGATAAGGAGAATTTTACCTAGAACTCCAACTCAAATAATGGCTGAATTATTATCAACATATCAATTGGAAAAGAAATATGCAAAATATATCATTGATCATCCAGAATTGCTTAAATATTATTATAAAGTTTGTGAATTAGTTCTTCAAGACCAAGGAATTAAAACTAATGTTGTGAATAATTGGTTTTTTCATGAATTTTTAGGCACATTTACTAAACTTGATATGAAAGTTAATATAGTAATATTACCAGCACACAAGTTATCTGAGTTAATCTTTGCAGTATCATCAGGAGATATTTCTTTGACTTCAGCAAGATTATTATTAAAGCAATTAATTTTAGAACCAAATACTTCAGATAAATCGATAAAGGAATTAATTGAGTTTTATGAATTAGGTGCTCCTCTGGATATACTGGCAACAGATCTTGATAAAGCAGTTACAGAGGTTTGTGAAGCTGTGTTACTCGAATCTGCCTCATCTACTAAGAGTGATAAGAAAGGTAAGAAAGTAGCGCATAAAATAAAATTTTTGATAGGAATGGCAATGAGGAAAACACAAGGAAGAATTAAACCTGATGTATTACAAAAAAAGTTTGAAGAACTCATCGGTAAACAATAGAGCAAAATACTTAAATTTAAATATGTAAATAGTTAATAATACAATTTTATTGTATGGGAAGTAAATAAATCAAAATTACAATAACCAAAGAAGTATATTAAAGAAGTAGTTCGCCTATTTTTGTTTGACTTGAAAGTTGTAACCAAAGCCTTCATCACTATCAGTTTGTTCATTTTGCATGAAATTAAATTCCTTTGCAGTTGTTTCAGAAAGTGTAGGACTATTGGATCTTGAACCCTTTTCTAAATCAGAACTATTAATTAAATATTTAGGTGTAGTAGCAGCAGTACCTGGACTATCTAAATTGTAATGATCATCAAGAAGATCACCATAATGCCTATCAAATTCTTGCATTGTTGAACCACTGAGTCCAGTACTAGTAGTGAATTGAGATTTATTACTATTAATTCTAGATTGTGGAGCCAATGAATCAATTTGAGTTGCCATTTCCAACTCTTGTCTTCTCTTAGAATCAAACATGTGTAAGGTTAAAATATGGAATGTGGATTTATACATTTGAACCGCATCTGATCCTAAACCGAAAATCAAAAAGGCAATGACTGACAAACCCATATTAATAAAATTATCATAAAGCAATACGAAACCAAAATCGAAGTATTCAATGTTACCCCACAATTCATTGTGAATTGCACTCCAGTTGAATGGACCTCTATAAACTTGAGCATCAAGAACAAAATAGTAGATAGCTACTGGAGCAACACCAAGAATGACAATTAAACTGAAAATCAATAATCTAGCAAACCTTCTAAGATTTAAACCCGAGTTGGTACATCTCAAGATATCAGCCACATCTTTTCTAATAGCAAAATATTTATAAATAGTTAAACCAGCAAACAAAACAGCAAAGAAACTCCAAACTACAGTCCATACTGAGAAAAGTCCAAGGGTAGCACCACTATAGACATAAGCTGTAGTACATCCTTGGAAACGAACTATTACATATCTTCTACCAGCAATAATAAAATTAGTTGCCATAATGAATATAGGAGTAATTAAACAAATTGATAAATCAATAATTCTCTTATTCCAAGATTTAGGATCTAAGAATATTGGATGTTTAGCATCTAATACCATATAAAGATTCATAGCAAGAGCGGCAACTGCAGCAATCTTTCCGGTAGAAGATCCAGCTTCTAATTTGGTAGTTATATCACAATAGACTTTCCCATTCCATTTTGTATAAAAATCTTCACCACTCCAAATCAATAAATTAACAAATCTATTATAATTAACAAATTGTAACCAAAATATTAAACAAATAGCAGGTATATTTCTATTCTTACAATGCCAAATAAATGCCGGAGTCAAAAGGACAAAGGCGATAAATGATAATGAGGCAATACCAGCAGCTTTAGGTATCATATTGTTGAAGATTGGAGAGAGATTTATTTAATGATAAATTCTTTTTCAAAATTTTCCCTCAATTTTGGATTTTTCTACTCATTATATATGCTTCAGAAATCAAATCTGAAACATCCATCAATCTTGCATCATGATAAATATGAATGATTCGACTATGAAGATGATGGGCATTTAAATTCGAATGCAAAATTTCTTGCATAAATTTGTAAAGAAATTGTTCTTAGAAGTCCCAAATAGGTAATTTTCTGCAGCAGAGCACTGCGAATATTTTTTTGCCTGCAAAAAAAATTTACATTATCTCACTAAAATATTACCACTTAGAAGGCACACCAACTTTCCCATCTTTTTACTACAATGGAGTTTCAATATGAAAATGACTGGAAGTGAATATAGTATTAAAATCTAAAAGAGAATCTGAGACAGGGACATAAAATCAAGCGGAAAAAAAAGAAAGAAATAATTGTACTAATAATATTATAAAACAAGAAATTATGTTTATGTTTATGCAATGACGGATCTCAAGACTTCATTGGCTGAGACAACTCCGTTAAATTTTTGATCAAGGGATTTCAATAATGCAATAACTTCAGCTTTAATTTCTGGAGTTTCAAATTGTTTCATGGCATCAAGATTTTCTTCTCTACCTAAAGTAGATTCATTTACTAATTTAATTCTATCAGCTTCTTTAATAAATACTTTGGCAAAGATATCAATAATCTTTTGAGTTTCATTAACAATAAGGGCATTGTTAGATGCATATAATTTGATAATCACTTTGAAAATTGGAGCATTTTCTTCAAAACCAGTTTCTAATGGTAAATGACTTAATAAAGGACCAATAACATGTTCTAATGGAACAGCTTGTTCATGTTTTAAAATTAATCTAGCAACACATCCACAAGCATTGGCATAAGATCTATTAACAATAGCCAGAGATTCATCATCATCAACAGAAGTAGCCTTTTTATCAATTTTACTTAATAATTGGAATAATAATTGTAAAATAGTTGGATAAGCAGCCGTAAGATCAACAGAACTATTTTCAATAATTAAACCAATACCATAAGCAGCATTACCTTTAACTTCAAATGATTTATCATTAGCAATTCTATCAGTGAAAACTTCTAATAATTCTTGAGAATATGGATTAGTAGATTTAACTCCAGCAGCAATTTCAGCCAATGCACCAACTGAAGTACTTCTAATAGTTTTACTCTTACTAGAAACATTTTTAATAAGTAAATCTTTAAATGAACCAAATACTTTAATAAAATCTCCTTCTAAAGCATCAGCTAAAGAAATTAAAACTTCAACGGCTCTATCATAAATTAAAGCATCAGTTTCAGAAGAATCATCTTCATCTTCAGGAACTTCTTCTTCTTCAATTTGACAAGGATGTTCCTTCTTAATTAATTGCATTAATTGAACACATAAACTTTCTAATTGAGAAGTTTGACTTGGACTATCAATAATAGCAATTGAACCAAGATCATTAAGTGAAGCAGAAATTCCATCTAAGATACAAGCAACCATAGTTGGTTCAAATTCTTCAGCTAAAAGTTCAACAGCAAAATTTTTAACTTGATTTATTAATTCTAATACTGAAGAATCAACATAAGAAGTTTGTGGAACTCCCTTTGGAGCTTTAAAATCTTTACCTTGAATAACATCAAAATAAGCTCTAGTAATTTTAAATAAAGTATTTAAAGCAGTTTCTCTCATACCATAAGAATTTTCAACTTGTTCAATAAGAGTTTTAACAGAAACTTCAATATATTTAGTAAAAGCAGCACCTGTTCCAATAGCTAATTCACCTAAAGCAACAGCAGCAATTTCCTTTTCAATAGTTATACCAGTATTAACATTAAATTTATTTTCAAGATCTTCTTCTTCACCATCTTCATCAAATGCATCAACATTAAAAGTGAATTCATCTTGTTCAAAACATTCAATAATTTTAGGGATAATTTGATCAAGGAATTCTGAAAATTGAGTTCCATAAACTTTAGCCATATTACTAATAAAGGCAAAACCAGATTCACGAATTCTTGAATGATCTGAACTTAAACAATTGTAAGAAGCTTCAACTAATGGTTTAGCATATACAGCAAATGATTCTGAACCTACAGCTCTTGCCATAGTAGAAATATTTTCAAAAGTTATAGCTCTTAATTCAATATCATCTTCTGATAAACCTTCAGTACTAGTTGATTGAGTAATTAATGGTTCTAATAATTCAATAGATTTATTAAAATAAGGTGTAAAAGCTTTACCAGAAGCAAAAGCAGTTGAACCTATAGCAGAAACAATAGTACATTGTAAAGATGATGAACTAGCTTGATGTAACATAGTAAATAATTTATTCATTAATGGTTCAATATATTGACCCATAGCATCATGATCCATAAATTCAATTAATCCATCTAAAGCACTACAACCATATTTATAAGCTTTAATTGAAGTAGCAGAATCAATATTTTCAAAGATTAATGGTAATAATTCTTCATGGAAAGTTGCAATATTATCTTGTAATTCACTAGTAAATTCAGTTAAAGTTCTTAAAGCAGCAACTCTAACAATTTGACTAGAATCTTTTAAACCAGTAACAATAATTGGTAATAATTTTGGAACTTGATTTGAAACAAAATCTGGTGCACCAGTTGATGCAACTCCAATACTTAATAAACCAGCTCTTCTTTCAAATTGATTTGAAGAAGAAATCATAGATGGTAAAGTTTCAATTAATGGAGTAACCACTTGAGAAGTTGGTAAATTACTTGATAAACCAGCAATTAATCTTAAAGCTAAAGTTGAAGGACTATTTTCTTCATTTTCATTTTCTTCTTCTTCAGTCAGTAATTCAGCTTCAACATCAATTTCTTCAGAAGCAATTTTAACTGCCATTAAAGTTAATTGGGGACCTAATTTATTTGAAGAAATTTTGGTTTTTCTTGTATCAACAAGTGAAATTATAAATTGTAAACCAAAATTTCTATATTCTTCATCAATATCAGTATTAGCAGAAATTTCACCGATAAATTGAAGTAAATTAATAAGATGATCACCAATTAATTTATTATCAAGATAAACAAATCCATTAAATACATTAAAAATTTGTTTAACATTATCAGAATCATCATTAGCAATAACTTCTTTTAAAACATTAACCATTCCTGGAATTGTATTCTTAAATTCATTAGCTAAACGAGTATCAATAGGTTCAGCATCTTCAATAAATTGACCAAGAATATCAAGAGATATTACTGAATTAACTCTAACATCAATTGAACTTTGATCAACTAATAAATTTGAAAATAATTGTAAAAATTGTCCAATATGAGCATGTAAAGCTTCATGAGAAGTTTCTAAAATTGATAATAAAGCAAGTACTGCAGATTCTTTAATTTCAACATTTGAATCTTGAACATAATTAATTAAACCTGACAAAATTTCATTAAATGAATTTTCATTTGATTCTTGTTCAGCAACTGCAGCAATTAATTTGGCATATGAACGTCTAAGTGATTTAGTTGGTTGAGAAAATGAAATTTGTAATAAATTAGATTTAATTTGATTACTGGTGGTTTCATCAACTTTATCCCATGAAGAAATAACCAACTTTCTTGTTTCAACTGCACTAACAAGTTTTAAATCATTATCTTCAGAACTTTGTAAAATATGAAATAAAGCTGCGATGATATTTGGATTGGTATAAAATTCTTTAGTTAATTTCTGGGATGCTTGTTTGATGACATTGGAGTCTGGAACCAATGTCTGCTTTAAGGTCTCACTTAAAGCTGCCACGAACTCGGCACTCATATCGATTTATATGTGTCTAAGTATGAAAGGAGATGACCTATTGTAAGATGACTTTGCTATAGTTAACCGAATCAGAAAGTCTGAAAAAAAAATCTACTCTAAAAAAAATTTTGAGATGGTAACACGTGACCATGATTGCCTAATTGGGTACCACGAAGTATACGAAATTATTTCTTTCTCCCTCTCTCTCTATATTTATATATACAAATTATATTATATTTATATACAAATTATATTACATTATATCTGCTATATTAACAGGCATTTCTTTAATCTTAATAGAGTAATATTTCTCAATATCACGTAAAGCCATTCGATCATCTTTAGTAACTAAATTTATAGCTACACCTTTTCTACCAAATCTTCCTGAACGACCTATTCTATGAATATAATTCTCTTTATCTAAAGGTAAATCATAATTTATAACTAATGATACTTGTTGAACATCAATTCCTCTAGCCCATACATCAGTAGATATTAATACTCTTGAATTACCATTTCTAAAATCATTCATAATAGAATCTCTTTCATCTTGTTTCATATCTCCATGCATAGCAACTACCGTAAAATTTTGTTTCTTCATTTGATCTGATAACCAATTTACTTTAACTTTTGTATTACAAAATATTACTGCTTGAGTAATAGTTAATGAATCATATAAATCACATAAAGTATCGAATTTCCAATCTTCCTTTTCACATTGGATATGATATTGTTTTATACCTTGTAATGATACTTCATCTCTTTTAACTAAAATTTTTACCGGATCAGTAGTAAATTTATTGGTCATTTCTAAAACTTCTTTTGATAATGTTGCACTTACTACAACTACTTGAACTCCTGATGGTAAACTTTTATATACTTCATAAATTTGTTCTTTAAATCCCTTTGTAAATAATTCATCAGCTTCATCTAATACTAATAATTTAACATTTCTAGTTGATAAATTTCTTCTTTTAATAACATCTACTACTCTACCAGGTGTACCACTAACTATTTGTTGTCCTTGTTGTAATTTTTTTATATCATCTCCTACATGTTTACCTCCTATACATGCATGAGTTTGTACATTCATATAATCTCCTAAATGTTTAACAACATTTTGAATTTGTACTGCTAATTCTCTTGTGGGGGATAGTATAAGTGCTTGACAATCTTTTAATTTTGTATCTATAACTTCTAATATTCCAATAGAAAAAGTTGCTGTTTTACCAGTACCTGATTGTGCTTGAGCTATAGTATCTTTACCACTTATAATTTGCATAATAGCTCGAGATTGAATAGCTGATGGAGCTTCAAATCCATACCCATAAATACCCTTTAAAAGTTGAGGTTTAAGTTTCATACTTTCAAACCTCGAATGAACTTTTATATTCTTTGAAGATTTATGACTGAATTCCAACTCATTATCTAATTCTCTATCAAATTCATCCATTACCTATATATGTTATTAAATGCTATTAAATATTAATTACTGTATGTTGTATGCTGTAAAATGATATAAATCAAATCGATGGCATCACAAATTTTTTTATCGCGAACTTATTACTATTTAGATACTAACTATGCTATTTAGGTGGTATCAAGTAATTAATATAAAAAGTGCGTAAATAATGACGGTTAGTACTAACAAATCCGTGATAGTATTAATCGGAGGTGGACATGCGGCAGGTAAGAGAACCGCAGCGTTACTTTTACAACAAGAAATTCAACAAACTCTTGCTAAAGTAGTGCTAGATGTTCAAATCATTAGTTTAAATGATTATAAAGAAGATTCTAATAAAACAACTATAGATACTCTGAAATATTCAATTAATAATTCAGTTGTTACTAATGCTAATTTTAAGAAGGATAAGTTTCCTCCTTTAAAACCATCAAGATTTAATTTTGAAAAGTTAAAGCAATACTTGACAGATAATTCAGAAACATTACAAGATCAACCTCAAAAAGTATTAATTGTTCATGGATTATATGCATTATATGATAAAGAATTACGAAATATGTCTCAAATTAAAGTATTTATTGATGGAGATTCTGATGCTAGATTAATTCGATGGATAAGACGAGATGTTCTTGGAGATAGTCAAGATAAAACTGATTTAGAAACTTTATTAAATACTTATGTATTAGGAGCAAGAGCAGAAATGAGTGATTTTATATTTCCAACAAAAGAATTTGCTGATGTTATTATGCCTCGAGGAGCAGAATCTAATGCTGTAAAATTAATATTTGATGGTATATTAACATTTTTAGCCGATAAACATTGTCAACCAGAAAGAATGTATTTACCTCATACATTTGGAGGTAATTATTTAAGACCTAATGATCCCTTTGAGAGGGAGAATATTGATGGACAAAAGAGTACATTCTATGAATTAAATTGATATACTTACATATATAGATACTTACATATATAATCTAAACTTTTATATTAATATACATTATACAAAAACTCCATTATCTTTAAATACAGTTTTAATTGGATCCTTTTCAATCGAATAACTATCCAAGTTATTGATTTTATCGGCTGAAACCAAGTCTCTTAATCTTTTATCGGTAGCATACCAATTTTTAATTAAATAAGTCATTTCATTTGTCTTTAATTCATTAGTAAATCCAGGATAAATTTCAAATGCACTATGTTCAATTAATGATTTAATTACATAATAAATCTTATCATAATTAACTCCTGATTTAATGAATATATCAACTATAGTTCCTTTTGGTGGTTTATTCAATACTGGATTTTCATTAATAGCTTGTCTAATATATTTACTAATTAATTTAACCAATTCATCCATAGGAAATACTAAATCATTTGATGATAATTTAGATCCAACAGATGTAAATGATTTATGAAGATAAACATAAAATGGTTCACGTTTTGTTTCACCTTTATTTAAACTAAAATATTCATGATAAGTTTTTTCAAAGAATAATTCCCATCTCTTTAAAATATCATCACCATTTTTATAATCAGCAATTTTAAGAATTACTAAATCAAGATCATAATATCCTAATGGATCAGTATAATTATTAAATATTTCAGTTATTGGTAAAATTTTAAAATTTAATGCTGCTTCAGCAATTTCAAGATTTTCTTTACTTATTCTTTTATCATCTTTTATAATAGTTAATACATCTAATTGAATATTAGCTACATCAAATAATTCTTGAATAATTGATGATAATTGAATTACTTTTTGTCTTAAATTAGGTGGACAAACACAATTACAAAATCCATTAGCTCGAGAAAGGTATTCAATTCTTTGTTGTAAATTTAATTTAAAATCAGATATAGCTGATGTATGTAAAATAGTGGCTGCTTCATAATAATGTTGTCTTTTTGCATGATATAACCATAATAAATCACTTAAAGTTAAATCATTAATGGATTTTTCTTCTAAAAATGGTAATATAAATGGAGTATTAAGTTCTAATAATCTTTCACTTACACCTTGTTCAATAAACCATTCATAAAATTTATAATGAAATGATTTATCATTTGATGAAAAACATGTTTCATAAGTTGCATCTCTAATTTCAATAAATTCATTAATTAATAATTGATCATTAGTTTCGGAAATTCGAAGAGCTTTTAAATCAACTTTAGTAAGAATACTAAAGATTAATTTATAAAGTTGTAATTTTTTTGTATTATTATTATCTTCATTTATATTGGAATTGGAATTGGTATTGATATTGGTATTAATATTAATATTAACATTAACATCAAATGATCGATTAGAAAGTTTTGATTTTATACCAACTTTCAGAGCTAATTTTAATAATAATTCGACAGCTCCCGTATAAAAATCCAAATCTAACATTATATTAATTGAATTTTGAATATTTTCAAGAGTTAAAGAATCATAAACTTCTTCAAATAAAAGTACTGCATTCTTTAAACATTTTATTTTAAGTTCATTATCTCTATTACCAATATTTTTAGCTCTAGTTAAATTTTCAATAGCTTTAAATATAAATACATCATCAGTTGAACAAAAGGATCCACATCTTGATTGTAAAGAATCAGCAATTAAATCAATTGATCCACCTTTTAAAATATTTTTATTAATTATTGAAGAAAGTAAATCTTTAATTAAATTCTTAACTTCTCTATTAGGTAATAATAAATCTTTAAAAGTTAACAGTAAAAGATTAGCTTGATTTATTAAAGTTAAAAATTTAAATATATCATCAAAATTTGCTTGATTTACTTGAATTTCTTCAATTAATACCATTAAAAATGAAAAGGCTTCTTTCATAGATATTAAAGATTTAATTACAGCTCCAAAGGCAATATGTTCAGCTCTTAAACAAACTTCACTTTCAAATTGATTTGGATCAGAACTATAACTTGGAGCATTTAAACCTTGAATTGTATTACCATTTTCAATAAAAAATTCAATTAATACAATAATTGATCCAATAAAAAATTCCAATTGTTTTTTATTAATATTTAATCCTTTAATTAATAAATTATCTTCCTTTATTGATATTGAATCAATTTGTCCTGTAATATTATTAATTTTAATATGAGGTAAAGGTATAAATACTTTAATATTCCAAACATTTCGAAGTAATCTAGATATTAATAATATAGTTCCATAAAATCTATCACTTAAAATAACTTGATCTACAGTTGGATGAGTTCCATGAGATGATGGACCAATATTAACTATTTGCAGTAATTGTTGCAGTTGATGTTGTTGATGAGGTAATAAAGTATTAGTTTGAGATGAACTATCAACTAATCTAGCACTATTACCACAAGTTGAAAATAATGCTTCAGCTTTTCTCTTAAATAAATCATTAGAATTACCATAAACACATGATAAATATAATAAAGTTGAACAAGCTTCTTCAAAACCATTTTCTTCAATAAAATTTTCAATTGTAGCTTCTTTTAAAGATTTTAAAATCAGATCAGGATTTCTATATTGATATATAACAATACCAAAATTAGTTAATATAGCAAATTTTAAAGGTTCTTTAGTATATTGACTGGCTAATATATTACAATAACCATTAGGAGTTTCTGTAGCATTCATTGATGGAGTTAATTGAACAATATCATGAATATAAGTAGAAGCAGCTCCATCTTCATTAGAAGCTCCATAATTAATAAATTCAGCATCTTCAACTAATTTATTATTTTTCTTTAAAAATCCATAATTAGCAGTAGCAATAAATAATTTATCCGATTTTTTAGTTCTTTTAACACAAAGAAATATCCCAGGACTAATAATATGAGAAGATTTTGTATTCTTTAATAATTGAGATTTTTGTTGATTTTCAATTAATTGAACTAAATATTGTTTACTTTTTGTAAATGCATCTAATTCGGCATTAACTATAGGAGCCTCACGTGATGGAGGGAATTTTATGGTTGCAAGACTAATTCTTAAATTTGTATTGGATCTAATTGACAGAAATGATGATGAAAGGTAAGATCCTAAAGTGGTTGGACCACCTAATTTTAATAAAATTCTACATCCATTACTTGTAATTGCAATTAATTGAACTGATGATGATTCCTTTGATGAAATAGTTTGAATATTAATAATTTTAAATCTTTCAAATACTTTAATATTATTCATATTTGTAAACATTGCTGAAGCAGATTTAAATATTTGACTTGGACTAAGTCGATTATGTTCAGTTAATTGATCGGATTTTGTATCATGAAGTTTATAAAGTCTAATAACTGATTTATTAGATAATGAATATAAGATATCTCTTTCTGAATCAATTTCAAGTTGTACAATAGTTTCAGGAATATTAGCTAATTTTGTATCTGAACCAATTGATGATGATGATGATGATGATGATGATGATTGAGTAGAGTTAGAATTATTAGAATTATTAGAATTATTGGAGTTATTATTAGATGGTAATGAATGATCTTCTGAATAATTAAATAAATCAAGACCAGGGATTTTACTGGGTATTACCATAGAAAGTCCAGATTTAGTTAAACAAACTTTATCACATTTATTCTTCATAAAACTTGATTTATTTGAATAATCTAATCTCCAAATATTTAATCCATCGGCTTCACCACTAAAATATATATCATTTGTTTTTGGATTAACTGTAAAATTATTAACTATTAAACCTTGAGTTGAAATTGATAAATCAGGATTAAAAATTTCTAAATTATTAAATGTAGAATTATATTTAATTATAAAGATATGAATATCCATAGTAGTAGATACTAATAATAAATAATTAACTTCTTTAACAAATACTCCTGGTTTTGGTTTAACTAATTTAACAGTTAAAATACTATGTCTTATTTGATCTATAGTTAAAAATTGGGATGATTGATTAAATGATGATTGAGGTAATTTATAATTCCAAAGTAATAATTTATTATCAATGGCAATCCATGCACGTTCTATTTCTGATATTAAACCTAATTTTGTAACAGATTCAGTTGAATTATATTCATCAAAATATTTATCTGGTAAATTAATTTGTTGAATTTTTTCAAATCTTGAAAATTCTCCTAATCCATTATCATAATCAAAATAATAATTATCTAATCCAGAATCTGTTTTACTAACAGTTTCTCCATAATATAAATCAACTGGAGTCATAGAATCAATTTTATTAAAATCATTAATATATTTTGATCCTAATTGTAATGGAGCTAAATTTGAAAAATTAGGTACATTAATTTTATAATTAACTTCAGTTGATTCAAATCCTGTTGGATGAATAAATCTCTTAGATAAATTTCCTCGGGCAGAATTCACTGATGATGGATTACGATCTTCATGGAATTGTAAAGTATCCAAACTACTATTTTTTACTGGTAATGTTGGAGTTATGAATCTTGAATTTAATGGTTTTGAATTATTATTAGTTCCAGAACTAGTTCCTGTTCCAGTCCCAGTTCCAGTACTAGAACCAGAACCAGAGCCGGAACCAGAACCAGTTACTGAAGATGTCCCATTGAACATGGCTACTGTCATGCTATGTTCCCCTAACAAAAAATATGCTTGCAATTATTCACCGATGTTTATTGGAATTCTTCACCGGTTTGATTTATTTTGTTTACAGGAAAATTTTGATGGGACTGGGCCAAAGTACACGACTAACCATTCTGGAAGGTATCGATTCCAATTGGAACTAATGGAAGAGAATTTATGTAAACAGTTAAGGAGTAAGATATTATAGTAAGTAGAGATATAAGTGATGCAGTAGATGTACACTTATACATATATATAAATATTATATTCATATTTATATTTATAATATTTACGTTATCTGTTAGAAGTAAGATGGTTTCTACAGAACGAAAGAGTTGTATAATTGCTGCGAAATTGGTGGTGAAGATTTCAAATAATTGAATGATATATATTACATCACCAATACCACTAAATTCTATGTAATACTATTGACACAGACTAGAGAATCTCATTATAGTATTCACTGAACCCAAGTCACCGATTTAAGTATGTTCAAATAAAATACCTTTGCTTCTACAACTGAGAGTGGAGTTCACAAATATACGTAGAGACCACATTAGCAAACAATTCTGCTTCTGCAAATGATCGATTGAATAACACACATAACATAATTTAGACACTATCCCAACCACCAATTCCTCTCTCTGTTGATACTGTTAATCAGTACTTCACCAACTCTGGTACCAGTACCAACTAGTCTCGTGACTAACCAGCCCCCGCGAGAAGAGCCACTCTTTTTTGGGGCCCCACCACAAAAAAGATAACGAACGGCAAGAATACCTTCATTAGCTACTTACAGTGTTTTTACTTTTTATTCATACCTCGGACCGGAATTGCTCATACTACCGGGTTTTAATTTTTCGTATCATTGACCTGAAATTTTCGTACTAGTGGTAAATCTATTCTTCATACCGATTAAAATATATTCATACCACAATTTTTATTTTCATAGCAATTAGCAAATAGACTCATATCAATTAGATCACAGTTAGTCGTTATTGAATCTTAAAGCTACATACCGCTACTGTATGAAGTCAGCACCTGTTGGATCAAATTGACCGAAATTAGTGAGCAAAAAAAATGCTCTATGTGATTAACTCCTGTTAAAGAAACAAAAGGTTAATATAATGAACTTCAAAGCAGAAGAATTGGCCAATGAATATATAGATGGACTAGGAAATAGGTTCGACTTGGAACCTGACCTGATGTCTGTAGAGTATGAGACATCACCTTTAGAGAATTGTTTTAGTTACAGTGATTTTAAAAGAATAAACGGATTTCCTGATATGGAAGTTGATCAACTCTCTGTAGATGAGCAAGATATTGAAATAGAAATTGATACAATTTCTGAGAACCTGCGTAATAATAATGAAAGAGGACCCTACAAGTATTACTCTGAGAAAGTAAGAGAGAGATTTTGGCACATGGTGATTGAAGAAGGGTGCTCAGCATATAAAGCTGCGAAAATCAACGATATTAGTTTGCAAACAGCTTATACGTGGAAAAGAAATTGGAATAAGCAAGTAGTTAAGAATTTGAATGGTATCTATGAAACTCCAAAGAAACGTGGACGTAAGCCCTTACTTTCAGATGAGCATAAAGAACACTTGAAGAAGCTAATAGAAGATGATGCGGCTGTAACGTTAGACTTCATGTTACAGAGCCTCAAGAGTTCCTTCGGCAACGTAAAGGCTAGTATCTCTGCAATATACAAATTTATTACCAAAGTATGTAAATTCAGTCTTAAGCGTATTTCGAAGTGGTCTCAGAGGAGAAGTCTGGAAGAGCTTAAGAAAGAAAGACAAGAATGGGCCGAAGAGTATAAAGACAAGCTTGACTTTAATAACAATTGTGTGTTTATTGACGAAGCGGGCTTTAACATTAGTATGCGGAGAGAATATGGATGGTCTCCTGTTGGAGAGAAGGCTGTGATCACAGTCCCTGTAACTAATGGATTGAATGTTTCTTTTCTTGGTGCAATTTCTTCTAAGGGTTGTATCGATTTGAAGGTGAGATCTCCTCCAAGATTTGCAGCCAACAAGAAAAGAAAAGTGGAATCCAATAAACCTCAAAGTACTTCCAGAGGTACCACTGCAAATCATTTCTATTCATTTATCAAATCTGTGATTAAAGAAATAGAGACAAATTCCGAGCTCCAAAAATTAAAATACTTGATTCTTGACAATGCTGCAATACATAAACGTCGTGATATTCAGTTATTAGTTGCTCTGAGTGGATTGGAGCTTGTGTTTTTACCACCATATTCGCCGGCACTAAATGCAATTGAAGAATTCTGGTCAGTTTGTAAATCTAAGGTTAAGAGATCGAATCTAAGTAAAAAGGAGCAATTGACACCTAAAGTGATGGAAGCTACAAGTAAGATAACTACTGAAAGTTATGAAGGATTCTGTAGACATGCTAGTAAACATATCGAATTGTGCTTGAAAAACCAGTTGTTCTAAGAAATATTCGTAAAAATATAAGCTAACGAGTACAATAAAGTTGTATGTCAGGGACCATTGTCATGCTTTTCCTAGGTTGATATCTTCTTTGTTATCTAAATATCATGAAGCTGCATTTCGAACGTATGATGTGCACCAATTTTCAAAATTGATTTCAGTGGTGGCTCGGGGCATGTTATTTTTATCACACGAAAACATGAAATAATATATTTGGATTGTGGTAAAGCATTTACAAATAATTGTGGTATGAATAAATTATCTTAAATGGTTTGAATAGTATTTTTATGGTACGAATAAATTCGACCTCGGAAGTACGAAAAAATAAAATGAGCGGTTTGAAATATATTTGCCCGGTTGGTCTGAAGAAAAAAGTCGGAAGTATGAAAAAAAAGTAAAAACACTGTATTGAAGGGTACTGTACTAACAATTGCAAGATGAAAGTATCTACTCTCTGTGTGGCATTACAAGTGTCCTTAGTATTATCGTTTCCTACTTTTTTCTTTCCTAATTGGAAACAATTCCAAGTTCCATTATTATCCGGAGCCCAAGATGAGGAACGATTAATTAAATTAAGTCCTACTGAATATTCTATTATTAAAGAATCTGATAAAACTAGATTAAGAAGATCTAATATTAATTTTATTGATGTAACTGGTCAAATTTCTGTTCAAGAAGCTATTGAAAAAGGTTATCTTGAAGAACCATCTTCAAAGACTTTATTACAAGATTTACTTTTAGTTGGTTCAAAACAATTGAGTACAATTAAAGAACCTCCAGTTTATAATTATCCAACTACTGTTAAATATGAAAGTGAAATAAAAAAATTATACAATGCTATTGATATTGATTTAGTATATCTGAATTTAGCTAATTTTACTTCATTCTTTACAAGATACTATAAATCAAAGAGTGGAGCTGAAAGTAGTCAATGGTTATTTACACAAATTTCTGAAGTAATTGAACCTGTTTCTGAAAAGGTTACTGTCAAGAAATTTCATCATGTTGGATGGGACCAATTTTCCATAATTGTTACTATTCCTGGTGAAATTAGCGAAAAAGTTGTGGTTGGAGCTCATCAAGATTCTATTAATCTTTTATTCCCTAGTTTATTACCTGCTCCAGGTGCCGATGATGATGGTTCAGGAACTGTTACCATTCTTGAATCATTAAGAATCTTGATAAATGCTTACGAAAAAGGTTTATTCAAACCATATAATACTTTAGAATTCCATTGGTATTCAGCAGAAGAAGGTGGATTATTAGGTTCTATTGATATATTCTCAACTTATTCAAGATCTGGAGAAGTTGTTGTTGGAATGTTACAACAAGATATGACTGGCTATACTGCTACAACTATTGCAGAAGGTATTGAACCACATTTCGGTTTAATTACTGATTACACTTCTAAGTATTTAAATGATTTTATTAAATTAATCATTAATAATTATAATTCAATTCCATATCATGAATCATCTTGTGGATATGCATGTTCGGATCATTCCTCAGCTTTAGAAAATGGATATCCTTCAGCCTTTTTAATTGAAGCAGAAATGAAATATACTAGTAAATATATTCATTCTGTTTCCGATACAATTGATAGAATTGATTGGGACCATGTTAAGGAACATATTAAATTAACTATTGCCTTTGCCTATGAATTAGCTTCTGCAAAGAAGTTACATTAAAGTTTTTCTTTTTTTTTTTATTTGACTTAAAGAATGTTCTATAAAAAGTATTCGCCGCCTCTGTTTCTAATCAATATATGATTTTTTCATTTAAACTTTATCCAATCGCTTCTCTAATCGCTTCTCTAATCCTTATCTTGAATTAAAGAATATTTGCACCTTTCCCACTTAGGTTGGGAATGCCCCACATTCGCACATGCGCAAATCGTAGTATTCCGCACATATGCGCAAATATATAGAGCCGTTCAGCTATTGACACACCTGAAATACGGTTAATGATACAGTATACGGGGGGTCAACCTTGATAATAGTCGAGGGATGGTATAAATAGAATAAATATTTTAATTGAACAATATACACAATTAAGCGATTTGATAATTCTTTGTAGTCAATTAGAGATAATGAAGGTGCCTGTTATATTTGTGGCTTTACAAGTAAGTTTAGTATTATCATTACCAAATTTCTTCTTCCCCAGTCAATGGAGTCAAACAATACTCTTGGCTGATGAAGAAAGGTTAATTAAAACAAGTCCAACATCATATTCCATCATCAATGAATCAGAGAAACAATCTTTAAGGGCTTCTAATATCAAATTCGTTGATGTAACGAATCAAATTTCTGTTCAATCTGCCATTGAAGAAGGTTTACTTACTAGGTCTAATCCTAAAACATATTTACAAGATTTGTTATGGGTAAATTCTAAAGTGAATATTGAATCTAATGATGTTGCTGTTTATAAGTATCCAACTTCTTTAAAGAATGATATTATCGTTAGAAAGTTATACGATCAAATTAATTTAGATTTAGTATATGAAAATTTATCTAAATTTACATCTTTCCGGTCAAGATACTATAAGTCTAAATATGGAGCTGAAAGTAGTAGCTGGTTATTTGACAAGTTATCTGAAGTTATAGAACCAGTTTCAAAGACTGTTACCATTAATAAATTCAAGCATGCTTATTGGGATCAATTCTCGATAATTGTAGTTTTCCCTGGTAAAGTTTCTGATAAGGTAGTAGTTGGAGCACATCAAGATTCAATTAATTTGCTTTCGCCATCTTGGTTACCAGCACCAGGTGCTGATGATGATGGATCTGGAACTGTTACTATTCTTGAATCGTTAAGGCTCTTGATCAGTGCATATGAACTGGGAGATTTCCAGCCTTATAATACTTTGGAATTCCATTGGTATTCGGCAGAAGAAGGTGGATTATTAGGTTCTATTGATATATTTTCAAATTATTCTAAATCTGGAGAAGTTGTTGTTGGAATGTTACAACAAGATATGACTGGTTACACAGCTTCAACTAAAAGTCATAATGTTGAACCCCATTTTGGTTTAATAACTTCCAATACTTCGGCTCCTCTAAATGAATTTCTTAAAATTGTTATCGATACTTACGCATCAATTCCCTATCATGAAACGATATGTGGATATGGATGTTCAGATCATACTTCTGCTTTAGAAAATGGATATCCTGCTACATTTGTAATTGAATCTGAAACTTTATATACCAATGGATTTATTCATACTATTTTTGATACTATTGAAAAGATTGATTTTGAGCACCTTAAAGAGCATATTAAATTGACCATTGCTTATGCTTATGAATTATCATTGGCTGAAAATTTATACTGATATTACAAAAGAAGTAGGTTAAGTTAGTTTATATTTATTTATTAATATATATATATATACATACAAAAGAAGAAGTTAAGGAATTGATAAGAATCGAATAATATAGCGAATTTTAAAGTAGAAAATAGTCAATAAGTTTTTTTAATTAACTAATTTAACCTGAATAAGAATAAAAGTCAAAGAATAGAGACTTATTCTTCAGATTCTTCAACAGCTTCAGACTCAGACTCAGGTCTTCTACCAAAAGAAAGAAGTTCAAAATGTGTTTGTCTGAAATTGGTGGAATGATGGGTTACATTTTCTTCATCAACCCAAGTTGATTGTCTAATATCAGCATCAACAATTAATCTAGAACCTGATTTAAGAAATTTTTCAAGGGAAGCAACTTGTGCTTCATTAAAAACAGTAATATTGTACCAGTCAGTCAATTGTTGACCATCTCTAGTACTTTTATTAACAGCAAGTGAATATTGCATGAATTTATTACCGTCTTTAGTTTCCCTTAAGTTAACATGACCAACTGATCCTAAAAATTGAGCCCTAGCAAAGGCTGATCTAGCAGGACTCGAGGAGAATGAACGAATTGTGTGTCTTAACATTGTATGATGGTTGATTATTACTGTAACAATTGATGGCAAATGAAAAACCAGTATTGTAATGTATAACTTTATTTGTCGTTCGGTTTTGTTTTTTCTCAACTCAGTTTTTTCTGGTAAGGGGCGTGTTTTAGCTCAGTTCAGACGCGTATAATTTAAGCAGTACTTTGTACAATATGTCTAACGTACGTATGTATGTAATTTTTGCACAAAGAATTTCTAACAATTTCTAACAATGAATAAAGAGAATTTATGCTACGAGAATGTTGCATACGTGTATGACTTTATTTAAAATGTCAGAGGTTGTGCTTTAGCGGAGACGCATACGGAGTTATTTGTAGTTTCAGTAATGTTCCACATTCATTGAAAAATATGGCTGGGTAAGTTTTGCTATTATGGCAATACCATTTTTGAAAAAACACCAATAATTATATTACAGATGTCACAGATGAAGAACTCACTCGTATCTTTGAGACCCTGGTAGCGTCCACTCTTGTCTTTACTTTACTTACTTTACTTTACTTTACCTTTGACTTTACCTTTGACTTTACCTTTCTTAACTCCATGTGCCCATACACGACCAAACTATCATTGTAATTATACTAACAAAAATGTTTATAATTAAAGCTATTACTCGAATTATATATACAGTACTGTTGTTACCTTGCCATAGTTAAGGTATTTCTACTTCTAATACTACCAATAATGTAAAGTATACTATCCTTTACTCTACTATTCTAAAATAATTAATTGTGTGGCTTACATAAGCACTCTTACTGGTCATTTTGGTCACTCACACACAGCAAGTATTTTAGTTAGAGATAAGATAAAAACTCCTTTATTACATACAGTCCCATACTTTGTAGGTTTTGTTTTGGTTTGTCTTCCGGGGGGAAATAAGTAATACTGTTCTCTTTCTTAATTTGCCTTCGAATTGTTAATACCAACCAAACAATTATCAATAACTAATAGTAAGTATTAATCATAATGATGTATAAATTGTCTATCGAAGTCACTGGCACTATTAGCTTCATAGTTAAGCCAATAATCATAATGGTTATTCTTGCCACCACTACTGCCACCCCCTGTACTTACTTCAATGGTTTGATTATCCAATCCTAGACGAAGTACAAAAAACACGTATCAAATAATACAGAATGTTTATAAGTGATTCATTTCCAATATCAATACTCCGATATATTTGAATAAGTATATTGTGAGTCAATCTATTTAAATCGTACCCTCATCCCCTTGAGAATCACAAAAGTGGAGCACAAACTTTTGGCTTGGTGTGTGAGTGTGACTTCAATTAGACTTAAATATATCCAATTGAATGGCACATATACTAACTTTAACCTATAGTTTATAATGAGATCCGCATTCAAAGACGAACATCCTTTTGGTAAGTATTTGTTTATTTTTTAACTAATTAATTAATTACATTGAATCAATACTAACAATTGCAATCTAGATAAAAGAAAAGCAGAAGCAGCTAGAATCACTCAAAGATTCAAAGATAGAGTACCTGTCATTTGTGAAAAGGTTGAGAATTCCGATATTCCTGAAATTGATAAACGTAAATATTTAGTTCCCCTTGATTTAAGTGTTGGTCAATTTGTTTACGTTATTAGAAAGAGAATTAAATTACCAAGTGAAAAGGCCATTTTCATCTTTGTTAATGATATCTTACCTCCTACTTCGGCTTTAATCAGTACTATTTACGAAGAGCATAAAGATGAAGATGGATTCTTATATGTTTTATATTCTGGTGAGAATACTTTTGGTGAGACTGAATTGAAACCATTGGATTTATCTTCTATAAATTTTGATGATTTAAGTGATTTAGAGTTATAATATGTTTAATTTCACAGTTAAGAAGAAGATATAAATGTACATTTAAAATGAAAAGCAGGCTCTGATCAAGTATAAAATCCTTTTACTATCTTCTTGATGAATTCTTATATCTGTGATACAATTCATATTTCCAATGCATTAACCACTTCTACTGCTAAACTATCCCTTTTCAAAATTTTATTTATTCCTTACGTTGATATAATGTTTTTATTGTCTTTAAGTTGTTTCAGAGAAGCGGCATATTTTATGCTATGCTTATACTACGCAGAAGGTTAGGTTGTTATTATTTGTTTAATTTTTATATTTTATATTGTTTATCCCAACAGTGTTTACTTTGTTTCTTACATTTTTTAGGTTTTATTCTCTATCTATATATTTATCTATTACTTATCACTTTCTTGCCGGAGTAATTGGGACTACGAGCAGAAACATAAGAGTATCAAAGAAGCTAATTAATGTAACCGACTCTAATTTATATAGATAGAATCTTCTTTGTTTAGGAAAATAAACGACCTTGTTTGATTTATAGATATTCGGTTGTTTCCGCTTAATTTGGTATTTCGCCTAGTATGGCATTCCGCGGAGTCACCGCAAATCCTGACTACGTTACTGAGACGTTTAATGCTAAGATTTTAGCAGCAAATACACTACCCCCTCCACTTCAGTCCCCTTAACATACTGTATTCCAGATCATAAAATCACGTGAATAAAGTGGAGTCAATTAGAAACATTATTTTGTCAGACTGATCCTCATATGCCAATCGCCATTCATTTGTCATTTGTCATGTCTAAAATATTATGCATAAAAAGACAAGACAAGACAAGAAATAGGAGCAACCGCACGACCTTTTTAGTCGGATATATTAAAAAATAATAGAAATACATTGTATTAAATTAATTACATTTCCCAATAAGGAAATCTACCAAAATCCAGACTCTTTTTTGTCGTGTACCATCCCAAAAGTATCTTAAATGAGTGATAAAAGAAAATTTCTTTTTTCTGAATTGGTGCTACCATAACACAAAATCGAGCAGCAAAATTTTTCACACCCAAATTCAGAACTTATTATAAAGCTTGACATTATTATATTGCATCAAAATCAAAAAAGCTTAATAATATATGTAGGTCTCATGTAAGTAATTTAACTTAGCCTCAAGGTTGAATAATGCTTATTCCCTTTTGACGCACGTTAACCGTTAAATTTTTCCGTAAATCATTTTAATAGGTTTGCCATTCGATTAAGTGAAAATTTTTATCAACTTTTTGATTAATATTTCGCCTTTGGGATCCCTAATGCATGCATTACTGCCCTTTGGTCATGTCTGTCAAATGTATATAAGCTTTTAGTTGCCCCTGGATCAATAAAATTATTGTTGTACCTCTTTTACTTCTAATTCTTTAGTCAAAACTCACCCACTTAGTCACTCCTTTAAACAAATTTACACTCGCTTTTATTTATAATGTACGCTCCTTCAACTTTATTAGTCGCTTCTACTTTAGCTGCTACTGTTTTAGCTGGTTTTTCAAATTCTACCACTACTGTCACTACTGAAGTTATTGTTACTGACTTTACTACTTACTGTCCTTACTCTACTGAATTAGTTATTACTACTTGTGATTCTGAAGAATCAGTTTGTGCTGCTACCACTGTTACTGTTACTGAAGCTACTACTTTAACTATTACTGAACCATGTTTAGTTTCTACTACTTACGTTCCAACTGGTATTGAATCTTCATCAGGTTCTGAATTATATACTACTATCTATGAAACTAGAACTTGTACTGAATGTCCACCAGCTGTTTTAACTTCTGCTGCTAGCTCCACTACTCCAGTTATTGAAGTTGTATCTTCTGCTGTCAACACTACTTCTCCAGCTGTTGCTACTTATGAAGCTGGTGCCAATAAGAATGTTGCTGGTGCTTTCGTTGGTTTAGCTGCTGTTGCTGCTGCTGCTTTATTATAAGCAATTTAGCCCTATACTACAGCTAGCTTAACCACTTTTTTTTTCAGTAAGGTTTAAATCTTTTCCTAGGATTACTATACTTTGTTTCGGTTACATACATGCATGTATGTTACAACTTATTCCTGACAATATCCCATTTAAATGACTTTTTCATTAAAGCTGTTATGAGATATAAGTCGCACCCTTTCGATTTGCATTATGCAAAGGATATTTCGTTACTTTTCGGTACTTTGTACTTTTCGTTACTATTCGTTACTTCAAATATGGATTATTATTATTATTATTATTATTAGTATTATTATGATTTTTTACACCCCCTTTCTCTTTTTGTATTATTCTACATATCTGTATACATATATAAATCAACATGAGATTTGTCCTAGACAATCCACAATCTCAATATACCCTTTCCATACTTAACAAGTCCTACCGATCTCCACTAAGAAAAAGTGCGAGTATCCCAGTAGATTTTTCACTATGGGATCCCATACTTCCCCAGCCAGTAAAATCATCAGATAGTACAACATTTCTTACTATTTCTAATAATTATTGATATTTAAATCACTATACACTTGCATATAATAGTGGTATATTAACATAAAGGATATAAACGATCGAATATCCTTAAAAAAGTCTTAGGGTATATGCCCATCCATCGTTAGCAAGTTTTTTTTCCCATAGCACATACCATACTCTTTGTCATTATTAATTATCATTGTCCTTTATAATTGTATTTATCATTGTGTTTGACATTTTCAATATCGTCCAATATGAATGAAGAACAAGAAACATCAAAGTTTCCAAAGACTTCGAGATTTTTCACCACATCAGGACTTCCTGACTTACGAATGAATCAATTCACTAGAGATAATAAACCAATCATATTTAATGGTCAAGCAACGGGAATAAATTATAATCCTTATACATTTCCTCAACTGAAAACAAAAGCCAATATTCCATTGGATTTTTATAATTTACCATCTAAAATATCTATAGTAGAATCTATTCCAAATATTGAACAAGAAAAAGATATTGAAATACCAACTTTTAATCTTAATGAAAATGATAGTATAGATCCAATAAAGTTTATTGAAACTATTGAAGAAGATTCTGGAAAGAAATATGGAGCCATTAAAGTCAAATTACTGGATACTGACAATTCTAATTTAATAAAATCTAAAATTCAAATCAATTCAGATTTATTCTGGTTTGAATCTAATAAGTTATTGAATAATCCCAATAAAAATGAATTGACTAGTAGACTACAATTTCAGAAGGAGTTAATTGATTTTCATTGTTTACATGCTCATTCAACGAAGGCTACAAGTGCTGGTGAAACACTCACCACAACTACAAATAATGCTACTTCTATCAATACTTCTACTAATACTCCTCCTCCATCAACTACTACTCAAGTAGAAACTCCACTAATTAAGGAAGAATCTAATCAAAATGTAAATACTCCATCTCCTTCAGTAAATATAGAAGTTAAAATAGAAGAAAAGGATAATGAGACAGAAATTGAAATTGAAACTCAAACAGAAACAGCAACAGCAACAGCAACACAAACAGAAACAGCAACAGAAGCTCCTCGTAAACCAGTACCGTCATTTCTTTCTAAACTTCCTATGGTTGATAAGCGTCCATTGGATTTATATAAATTATTCCGATCAGTAATAATAAGAGGTGGATTTCAAGAAGTTATAGCCAAAAAGCTATGGGCTCAAATCGGTCGTGAATTAGGTTATAGAGGTAAAATAATGACTAGTTTAAGTAGTTCTTTGAAATCTTCTTATCAAAGAATACTATATCCTTATGAATTATATCTTCGAGATAAACGAGAACATACTAAATCTGAAACTCAACCTAAGGTGGAGTCAACAACAGTAGTAGTTAATGATAATAATAAACGTCCAGCAGAGGAAGACTTATCATATTCTAATGATATCAAGAAATCCAAATCCAACTCAAGCTCAAAACCAAAATCTTGTGCTCCATTGATTATTGGATCAGCCAAAGAATTCAAACGATCAATTCGAAGTAAAACTTCTAAGGGATTTTTAATCAATGCTCCTCATTTAATAGAAGTTAAACCACTCAATACATTTGTAATTAAACCTAGTGAACAAGATATTAATCAAGGAAAGAAATCTCGTAAATTTACTGATAATATTGAAACTCCTATCTTACCACAATCTCAAATGGATCGAGCATTAAAATTTATGATTGATAATCAATCAGTATTAGAAGATAAATCAAGAATGAAATCTAGTGTTAATTCATCATTTTATACATTAAGACAATTTATGGAAAAGGATTTAAAATTTCAAGAATTTATTCTAGAACATCATGGTGAGAAATTCAATGCTTCACCTAATGGATATTATAAGAATTCAATTTCTAATGGTTATGTTCATGATGCAGAAAGAAAAGCTATTGATATTGATTCATTTGAAAAATTATATTGGAAATTCATTAATAATGAAGAGATTCATCCATTAGGTAATAATGGATTAGAATTAGAAAGTGGAGTAGATATTCCTAGTTATATTAATGGATCAGCCTTTGTTCAACTTGGAGATGATGTACCTAAATATAAGAATAGTTGTCATAATCTTAGTCTTATTAATTCTACTAATAAAGCAATAAATGCTAATATTAAGATTGGTGGACAAGGTACAACCACCGGTACAAGTACAACTACTGATACTACAACTACAAACACTTCAACTATACCTACCACTACCACTACAACTACAAATACTAGTTCTAATGCTTCGACTAGTGAAGCATCCTATTTTAATACTCCTGAATATATCTCTAGTATTGTTTCAGCCGCATTATTACCATGGAATTTACATAATTTACCAATATTACCTAATTCATTACTTGGATGTTTCTCTGATTCTGATCTTAATAATAAAGAATTAGTTAATACAAGATTAAATATAGGAATGACATTTAGTACTGATAATTGGAGATGTGAAGATCATTTTACTAATTCAATTAATTATCATTTCTTTGGAGCAGTAAAGCGATGGTATTTTATACCTGAACTGGAATTTGAAAAATTTCAATTATTAGTTAAAGAAATTAATGAACAAGAAATTTCTCGAATTAATATTAATAATATTAATTGGAATATTGAAGAATTAACTAAATATTTAGTTAATTCACCATATTTAGATTATGATAATTTAATGATATCATTAGAAAATATGATTAATCCAATACTGGATATTCGATTACCTCATATTAATGAATATTTTCAATCATTAATTGAATTAAAATCTGGTCAGTCTCAGTCTAATTCTAAATGTCTTAAATATAATCAAGAATTCTTTATAACCCCTAAATTACTTAAAGAAAGAGGAATAAAATTTACAACAACTTTACAAAGACCCGGAGAATTTATTATTAAATTACCCAAAACTTATTCAGCTTGTGTATCATTTGGATTTAGTTTAAGTGAAGAAGTTAATTTTGCAACCAAAAATTGGTTAGATTATGCATTAGAAGCTGAAACTTGGTTATCAAATCAATCAACTATATGTAATTTTCTGACATTTAAATTATTAATTAATTTAATTCAAATTTATGATTCTGGTCAAAGTATTGGATTTAATTCAGATATTTATAATAAAATTCGTCCCATTTATGATAATTTATTAGAACAAGAACTTGAATTACGATCAAAAATTCGTAAATTGAAAATTAAAGAAGTATTAATTGATGAAAAACAATTTCAAATTTTTGATAATGAAATGATATCTGATGATGATCTTCGATATACATTTCCTACTAAAGTAGTTGTAATTGATAATAAATCAAAACATACTTTAAATCTTACAATGAATTCATTTCTTGAATATTATGAAGACAATAAATTCGATCCAAAGAATTTTACATTTGAAATATATCTTTATTATTCTGATGAAAAATTGAAAAATTTCGCTAAATTATTAGGAAATTATTCAATTGATCATCAAAGTTGGATGAAAAATTATATTGAATTAATGAAAGAGAATTCTGATGTTTCATTAAAGACTTATCGAACTTTATTAAATGAAGGGGAAAGAATTCTTTCAGCTATTGAATCAACTAATTCTTTAAATCCTTTAGGAATTCAACAATCAAGTCAATCAGAAGGTTTATATATATTTAAAAAACAAATTGATAATCTTCGATATTTTATTAAATCTTCCAATGAATTTATTGAAGAATGTCAAAATTTATTATCTATAAAACATCAACAAAGAATTAGAAGTGGGAATGAATATCGTAGAACAAATGGATTAAATGATTTATTAGAATTAATTAAAAGAATTCCAAATTTAAATTTTTCTTGTACAGAAATTGATCAAATTCTTGAATTTAAAATGGAAATTGAAAATTTCGATAAAGCTTGTCGAACATTATTATCTAAAAAGAATAGACCAATTCAAGAATTTGATGATTTAATTAGTTTAGGTGAAAGTTTTGGAATTAATATCCCTTCACTTACATTTATAACTAGAATTAGAGATCGATTAAATTGGGTTAAAACTTATAGTATAATTCAAAAGGGTATAGATCCATTATCTGATAAAAAGGAAGTATTTACTATTGAAAAACTTAAACAATTCTTTGAAGAAGGTTTATCAATTTTATCAAAGGAAGATATTAATATGATTAAAGATATGGAAATTATAGTTAATAATAGTGAAGAATTTGAACAAGAATGTACCGAATTCTTAAACATTGATTATGTGGAGAATTTTAATATGGATAAATTAAAATTTATTGCTGAAAGATTTCGAACTGAAAAATTATTTATTAGTATGGAAAATTATATTGAACTTTCAAAATTACATATATATTCCAAATTAATAAGTCAATTTAATGAATTTAAAAATTCTAATATATCAATTACTTATGCTGATGGTAAACAAATGCATAATTTAATTAATGAAAGTGAATTAAAATTTAATGATAAAATATTAATATCAGAACTTTTAAAAACTGAAGAATTTATTAATGATTTATGGAAGAAACTTTCTGATATTAAAATTATAACTACTCTTAGTAAAGATGTTAATTTAGATCATCTTAATAATAGATTAACAATTAATTCAAAATTAATTGAAAAATTATATCAATTTCTTTATAAATCAGAATTTAGTCTTTCAGAAGAGGATAAATATGAAAATTCATCATCATTTGTGACTAAATTTTGTACTGATGAAGAATCAGATGATACAAGTATTAAATTTTATTGTTTATGTCGAGAATATGAATTTGGTACTATGGTTGAATGTGATAAATGTAATGAATGGTATCATATTCTGTGTGTTGGTGAACAAGTAAGTAATTCTGAAGATGATACTTATACATGTCCATTATGTAAATTAATTGATTCTAAGAATTCTACTGATTCTTTTTTAAGTAATCAAGTAACTTTAACTAAATGTTATGAAATTAAACAAGAATTTTTATCATTAAAAATTCATCCTTCAAATGAATCTAAAGTATTAGATGAAGTCATAGAAAATCTTGAACAACATAAACATTCTCTTGAAGAGAAGATATTACAAATTATTAATGATAAAGATATTTCATTGGCTAAAAGGTTAGATAAACTTATGTTTATATTAAGATGTGTCTATGGATGTGGAATTTATTTAGATGATGTATTTGCGAATATACTTGAAAAGGTTAGAGTTTATGGATGTGAATATGACAAGATTAAAACTGCTGAAAAGTTGAAAATAGAGGCAGAAAAATTGGAGGAGGAAAAGAAATTGGAGTTGAAGTTGAAGGAAGAAGAGTTAAAGATACAGACAGAGAAATCGAAGATAGAAACTGTTACTGAAGATCAACCACAAGTAGATGAGCCAGTAGTCGCACAAGAGCTCAATATAGAAGAAAAAATCATAGAGGTGGCTACCTCTACGTCTAGTAGGGAACAGGTACAAGCTGAAAGTAGAATTGATGATGAGTTTGTGAAAGAAGTAGCAGTACAAGAAGACCATCCTATAAGCAAACAACAACTGGAAGAATCTCAGATTCCTATTGAAAATGGGAATAAATCTGAATCTCAAGTTGATGTTAGCTCCACTTCCACTTCCACTTCCACTTCCATTCCCATTCCCATTCCTGAACCAGAAAATGGACACACAAACACTCAAATTTCCGAACCAGACAATGGTGTTCTCAATGGAACTCCTACTAAATTAGAAGATCCAAGCCATTCTAATAATATAGCCCAGATCATATAAACAGTACATAAAATTTGTATAGTTAATATAGCGATAGAGAGAGAAAAAAAGGACCGACCCATCGCAGCTGATAGCCGCGTAGCGTATTTTTTGTTTACATTATCAAATACCAAATGTCAACGTAAACTAAACACAGATCACAAATCACAAATCACATAGAGTACTAATGAGTAGTTCAAGTGACTCAATAGAGGAGTTACTAAGTACTGGTTGGGAATGCGTGAATCCTAAAAGTACTGGTACATCTCTCAATGACAATGAATATATCTATATAGCTCAATTAGTAAAGATCATTGAAAAACTTGAAAGTGTATTACTGATTAAACAATTATTAACAGATGATGAATTGAAATTGCTACGAAATATGATTCAAACGTCACCCCTGATGAAATTGCACCGCAATCAATTAAAGGAATTTCTTTTGAAAATGGTCCATTTTGATAGATTTGAAATATTTCTTCAAACTCGTTTTCAGATATCTCCTGGAGCTGTAAGAATCATTGTTAACAAATCAACCGATAATAATAATATTAATAATATTAATAATAGTAATAATAACATTAATATTCATGATGTAAATAGTAAGTATAAAGTTAATAATAATAACAATGTTGAAAATGAACAGAGCCGGTTCTCTTTCCAAAAACAACAATTGAATACCCCTCCACCCGAAGTAAATCATTTAAAACTTCAAGAGAAGAATACTGAAATTCAAAGATTAACTACAGAGATTAGTAGTCTACAATTAAGTTTGGAAATTAAAGATAGAAGGATACGAGAGTTAGATGATGAACTTCAGACCATAAATAAGCATGTCCATAATATAGAACAACAACTTCGTAAACGACCAGAACAAAGAAATACTAATGATTTATTGAATCGAATAAAGGATAAAGATGGTAATATAAAAAGTTTACAACAATTATGTAACCAATATCAAAAGGAAATTAAAGAATTGAAGAATCAACAGTCGGTAAATAAATTGCAAATGAATGAATTAATTAAAAATTTAAATGAAAATGATAGATTAATAAGTAATGTTCAAAATAAGTTTAAAATTGAAAATAAAATTGATTCAATTATATTAAATTTACCATTTATAAAGCAATATTATAATTTCTTTAAATATCGGAAACAACAACGTAATTGGGGGTTAGTAGTTATTAATATTATAACATTAATTTTAACTACTATAATATTATTAAATGGTTTACAATTTGTATTATATGTAACATTATGGTTCATTACTTCATTAAGTTCAAAGAATCAACAATTAGAATATGTTTATGATAATTATGGTGATCCATTATTTGGTTTACAATCCACATTCCAATGGTGGAAAGAGATAGAATGGTTAGAATATTTAATTTATACAATACAAGATTGGTATTTATAATTTATAATTTATAATTTATAATTTATGACTTATAATTTAATTCTTTTTCATTAAATAACCTGACCTATAATATACAAAAATAATTAATTAAAATAAAGAAATGAAAACATAATTATATTAAAAATAAGGATATTTATTATTATACAAGAAAATATTCTTTTTTAAATACAACCGGTTTCCAATACAAGAATGTTAGTTAGGATTAGAAAAGAATTATAAAAAACTAATTCTAATAAACAAAAGGTAATGTAAATAAAAAGAAATCAATAACGACAATTAACTTAGTTCATTTGTTTAACTAAAGCGTTAATGAATTCTTCTCTGTTACCGGTGTCACCCCCTTGGATAAAGTGTTCGAACTTTCTAGTTCTGAAACCACCGTTAGGGTTAGATAATTTGAATGGCCATAAGAAGTTGTTAACTTGCTTGAAGTTTGGACCAACAGTGTAAATTTCGTGAATCAAATCTTCAATAGATAAGATGTTGAATTTACCTAAAGCAGCTTCAATAACAGCATTGTCAGATAAAGCAATTCTTTGCTTGTTAACCTTACCGAAACCTCTCTTGTAAACTAAGTGTCTAATGGTAGCTAAAGATGGGTAACCGTAAGCAATGTATGGTTCAGCTAATTTGATTAATTCAGAAGTAGCCTTGGTTAATCTAACGAAAACACCAGCATTGATTTGAGTTAATCTTAATAATTGTAAAACCTTTCTTGGCTTAGGTGGGATCTTGTTAATACCCTTAATTCTAACAATGAAAACTAATTTTGGTTGAGCAGCAACATAGTAAGAACCAGCAGCTTTAGCATCTCTCTTAGCTTGAATAACTGATCTTTCAGCTTCAGTGTATTCCTTTTGGTAAGCAGCAGCTCTGTCAAAGATAACCTTTCTCTTTTCTTGGTTAGCCTATAAGATAATTAGTTAGTATTAAATAATCTTTACAAAATTCAAACAGTAAAGAAATTTCAATAGTAATGAATTTTATCATCCTTCATAATATATAATATTTCACTCAGACCCGAAAGATGGTTAATTGAACGACAACATTGCCGAAGCTAGTCGTATTCGATGGTTGTTTTGCATCTTCAAAATAAGCATATATTTAAAACACTTCAAAACTTTGAAAAATCTTCATGATAGTAAAAAATACATACAGCTTTTCTAGCAACCTTGGCGGCAGCACGTTCTTCGGCAGTCTTTTGATCAGCCTTGGACTTTTTAACTAAAGTTTCTGGTTTTAAAGTACTAAAAAAATAGTTAGTAAATAACTCAAAAAAATTGGTAATTAAACCATCAATATATTGCTAGCAATTTACAATAACAAGATTAATAACTTGTTCTCTCTGGTAATTTATTAAACATTAAGAACTAGATAATGTCTTATAGACCGGAAAAGCCATATAAATGAAGAATTGGAACTGAACAGCCACGCTCATTCCAACTTCACATTATCCTTCACAAGAATATTAAATAAATTTCAATGAAATTTTTCAAAATCTTGGAAACGTTCTTAATATATAATGCACAGAAGAAAACAGATATATCAGGCATCGGCGTAATTAAACGAAAGATAGATGAATATAATTCAGCTGCAAGACAATCTGACTTTCCCTTGGCAAATACAATTTAATCAGAGTCAAATAGAATCCAAGTGTTTGACAACTGACAAAACCTCATACAATGTATGAGAGATAAATACATTAAGTATTTATATAACAAAGGAAAATGCAAGTATGTTAGAAACATGCCAGCAATAACCTCTATACCTTAGCCGAAACTAAGAAAAGGATCTTGAAACTTCAAAAGGTTATCTCCATCCTTATAATATATTCAACCATCTTACATTGAACCATACATCTTCAGCCCAATCAGAAATTTAGCTGAGATGACAATTGCTAGTAAAGATGATGTTTAATACTCATTATGAATGATCATAATGATATTATATGGTACATACGTAGCCATTTTGATTAACTATAGATTATAACTAAAGAAAAAGAAAAGGAACTATCATAAGCTTAGCTGAAAAATTCACATTTATTTGAACTCGTTATAAAATTTTCGTCAAGCGAGATGTACATTTCTCCAAAGTACACTACCAAATTCTTGACTACTTATTAAAGAGTCACGCGCATTCACCAGATGTTAGGGTAAGAGCCCTAATAATCTTTTATATAACTTTAAATATTATGCTTTTGGTACATAGTATATTCGACGATAGTATATACATAAAACGATAGTATATACAACGGTCAGTCAGAATATAGTATAATAGAGGAATGATCGAGACTCATGTGTAGAATTTTCATCTCCTAATTGGGTAAAAGCCTCGGAAGACCTTAATGTGCAGCAAAATATTGGAGAAAGTAGGGTGGAGTATTATAGTTAAAGTCTATTCGACTCAAAGTCAAATAAAAGAAGCAACTTTAAAAGTGAATCGTATATTCTTTTACTACAAAGAGTAAAGCCAAATGTTTGATAAGAGTATTATTGCATTGGCATTAAGATCTGTAATACTGCAAAGAAATTTAAAAGAGATTCCTGCCTATTGTAGAAAGAGATAGTAAGATAGTAAAGTTTGCCAATGGCTGAGCTAGTATTCTCCTCATTTACATGTAGTAAAATTCATTATGAATGTCTGATAATTCTATTTCATACGTGACTAATCAGATTCAAATTGCGGCAATCTGATAATCATCATTGTTAATTTATAAATATATACAAGCTAAATCTGATCATAACCATTCTTATTGTTAATAATTTTTGTTTCGGATACTAACCACCTATATTTCGAAACTCTTTCACGTTGTTCCTGATATTTTTAGGTGGCTTAAGGCTTCTCCTTTAAAGGCGAGAAAAGAAATCAAACTCTTATCATTGCCCAATAGAGTAAGGCTTAACGCGCGCTTACCCTAAATTATCTTACCCCCTCTTATCTTAAAAAGTTTATTATTGCAAAATCGAAGAGTAAAAATCTTTAAAGCTCTAACCAATACCAACAGTTGCTCATTTGATAATCCGTTTACACCGTTTTAACTTATCTATATTTATATATATACACCACATCAGATAATAATAATTATTTTTTATTATTATCGATAATTTATAACCCTAATTATATCACTATCAGCACAAGCGGATAATTTGCACTAAATCAGATTTCATATCTATATCAAAAGTATCTACATCTTCTATCATCTTAATTTAAATCTTTGATCCAATATTCATTCTAATTAATTTATTAATTTAAAAGCCTTTATAAATACTGGGGTACTTTCCTTTTCTATTTCCATTTGAATATCTTTGACTGATTAATTAAATATAAATCATCTTATATATCATGTCGGAGTTACGTGCAGTTCTCTCCAATGAGCAAATCTTGGAGCAAGTAACCTCCAACAAGAAATTTTACAATAATATTCAAAATGTTGAAGAACCTCATATCGAAGCTATCTTCTCCAACAGTGATGAAGAATTATTGGCTCAAATCGGTTATAAACCAGAATTAAAACGTCATTTTTCAACCCTTCAATGTTTTGGTGTTGCTTTCTCAATTATGGGTTTACTTCCTTCTATTGCTTCTATTTTAGCTCAAGGTCTTGTTGCTGGTCCAGCTGGTTGTCTTTGGGGTTGGGTTATATCTTCGCTTTTAATTTTAACTATTGGTATTTCAATGTCTGAAAATGGTTCATCTATTCCAACTTCTGGTGGTTTATATTATTGGACTAATTACTACGCCCCACCAAAATTTAAGACTGTCATTTCTTATCTTATTGGTAATACCAACTCTATTGCATTGATTGGTGCTTTATGTTCCGTCGACTATGGTTTTGCTCAAGAAATATTATCTATTGTAGTCATTTCAAAGGATGGTGATTTTGAAATTACTCCAGCTAAAACTTATGGTATTTTTGTTGCTTGTGTTCTTGCTCATATTGGTATCACTTGTTTTTCATCTAAAAACTGTGCTCATTTACAAACAACTTCAATTATTGTTAATTTATTTGTTATTGTTTTATTCGTCATTGCTATGCCAATTGGAGCAAGAGGTAACTTTAAATCAGCCTCTTACGTTTTTGGTACATTCGATAACCTCTCCAATTGGCCAATGGGTTGGACCCAATTAAGTGCTGCTTGGTTACCTGCTATTTGGACAATTGGTGCTTTTGATTCTGTTATCCATATGTCAGAAGAAGTTAAAGATGCTGAAAAAGTCATTCCAATCGGTATTTTAGGTTCAATCACTGCTTGTGGTTCAATTGGTACTATTATTCTTATTATTACATTCTTCTGTGTTCAAACTGATGATATTGAAGGTCATCTTTTAGGAACTCCTTTTGGTTTCCCAATGGCTCAAATCATCTTTGATGTATTAGGCAAGAAATGGGCTATGGCTTTCATGGCTCTTATGGCTTTTGCTCAATTCCTTATGGGAGCTTCTATTCTTACGGCTATTTCAAGACAAATTTGGGCTTTCTCAAGAGATAATGGATTACCATTTTCTCGTTGGATTAAGAAAGTTAACACCACATTATATGTTCCAATCAATGCAGTTTGGTTCGGTGGTATAATGGCCATTATTATTGGATTGCTTGTCCTCATTGGACCTGTTGCTGCCAATGCTCTTTTTACTTTATACATTGCTGGTAATTATATTGCCTGGGGTACTCCAACTTTCCTTAGATTAACAACTGGTAGACATAAATTCAAACCAGGAAAATTCTACTTGGGTCCAGTATTTTCTCCCTTAATTGGTTGGGTCTCTACTACATTTATTGTATATACTGTCGTCATGGTGATGTTCCCTGCTGAAATTGGTGTTACTAAAGATACCATGAATTATACTTGTGTTATTACACCAAGTGTTTTCATTCTTTCTTTGATTTATTACTATGTCTACGCTCATAAAATCTACCATGGTCCTTGTAAGACCGTTGAAGTTGATGCACCAATTAATTATATTGATGGAGTGGTTTTGAGTGAAGAAAGTGGAGAAAAAGATTCTGATACAGAAGTTAAGATCCATGAAAAGGTTTAGACATATATACACGATTCCTTTAACTGACTGTTCAATTCTTACATATTCTATTTATTTTATTTTATTTTATTTAAATTAATTAATCTTCAGTTCTATCTATAGCTTAGATTTATCTATTTGTTCTAATCATATGTTTATTTCTTTCTGGCAAATGTATATACCGTGTCCCATACTACATCTAGTACAGTATCATCAGTCCATCCTAATTCCAGCTTTAATTCATCTACAAATCTCTCAGCAATATTATATTTATGACCATGATCTTTCATCCAACTATGATATGCACTCCAACTCTTGACATAATTCAAAAACCATTTTAAAGTGATTCTCTTATGAATGAATAGGGGAGTCTTTTCTACAGCTCCTTGAGAATAATCACTGGGTGCACCATCTCTTTCTGAAATATATTCATTTCTAATGACATCATAAAATAATTCTTGAGGAACTTCAATTTCTTTTAATAAAGTTCTTAAAAAATCATGACCTGGTTGTTGATAGTATGGACCCATATACCTTTCAAATTCATCTTTAGGATTTAAATCAAACGATGAATTGTATGTATAATTTACATAAATTTCATTAGCTCTAGGATAACCTATAAAAACCGGATCCTTATAGAACCAATATGCTAAAGTACCACCTTGCTTGAGAACTCTGGCTGATTCTTTAAAGAATTTGGGGTGATCTACCCAATGACAGCATTCAGCTCCAGTAATCAAATCAATTGAATTCTCTTTAATGATAGAAGGATAATTTTCAGCATATCCGATTTCAAATGTAATATTCGAATGATTTCCTCTTTTATCATTACATTGTTGGATCATTGCTGAAGATGGATCAATTCCATAGACAGATTTAAACAGTTCTAATAATTTATAGGATACAAACCCTGAACCACAGCCAACATCAATAGCTCGTTCAAATTTTGCATCTTTTGTATCTTCACTACCCCCAGATTCATGATATTTTATTAACTCATTATAGAATGATTGAGGGTAATTCGGTCTTGAGTCATCATAATGCTGTGTATTAAAATTATTCTCTGAATAAGTTGCCATAGTGTTGTTACTTCTAATTGATGATTTCTCAGTGAATTGACTTACAACTTCTTTAAAAATATTTATTACCCCATATTTATATTTGTTCTTATCTATGTGCTGTGCGCCGATACAGGCTCCGCAACCGGGAGACTTTTTTCCTAATTACAAAGTAGTATACTCCTAGGAATTTGTGGTTCCATTCTTATAGTACAGATTGCCATTGAATATGACTCATTAATCGGGTATATAAATGACATGTAAAAATGAACTGAGAGGTCATTGAGACACAATGTTACCAATAATGATTCGACTCCAAATTTGTACTCTAAAATGGCGATTCTAGTACAAATGGTGCAAGAATTAAAACTGAAGCACAGCTCACAGGAAAAAACTATAAAATTTAAATATACTACTCTTATTGTGTCCATGCTTGTATTTATTAAATCTGGGCTATAATATTTTGCAATTATAAGGATCGCGCGTACAAAAAAATGGAATATCAAAGACCCCAGTTTATTATAGAACAATCTTGCCAGAACCATATGAAGTTGGACCATGAGCGAAGAGGGAGGTAACAAGGACAGTCAAGTGGATTCCACGTCGTTTGCTAGTATTTTAGCTGGTGTACAGCGTATGAGAGAGCAATATGGTACTTTACCTGAAGAGAATAGCTCTAACTCTAACTCTAACTCAAGCTCATCAAACCCATCTCATATAGCCAAAGAGCCCTCAGCTTTGGAAACTCAGGTGCCACAGCAATCCAATACTCGAATCACATCTACAAATACTGATTCAATATCAGTTACAACAACAAGGCCTACTAATATAAGTACTACTGGACCAAAACTGAATCGAGACTTTCTAAGAGCAACGTTAAGTGAAACTACTGGAAATCCAATATCTCCAATATCTGCATCGAGATCTCCAACACCAGGAGGCCAAACTACAGTCAGGAATTCTCGGCTGGCTGGTAATGTTACTAAGACAGCTAAAGTGTTGGTAGGACCATCGCAAAAAGGTAATCCATTATTTACTGACTCACTTCTTAAAACAGTTGGATATGAATTCGATAAAGAAATACTATGTGATTACTTTATAAATCCAACGTTTCAAATATTATTCTTATCAATTAAGTATCATAAACTTAAACCAGAATATCTATGGCTGAGAGTTAAGAGATTAAATCGAGGATCTTCAAGTGCTAATACGCGTAATGATAGAGCATTAAGGATATTATTAGTGGTAGTAGATATAGAAAGTCCTCAAGATCAAATCCGAAATTTAACCGATTTTGCTATAAAACATGATTTGTCTATGGTATTAGCATGGTCATTTGAAGAAGCTGGAAATTATATTGCTTTCTCAAAACAATTAGATAATGCTCCAGCTCGTACTAAACAAGGTATACAAGGGATAAGAGGTACTGATTATAAATCATGTGTAGTTGAAGCATTTACTGGGATTAGATCAGTGAATAAAACAGATGTATCTAATTTGTTAGCTAATTATGGATCGGTAAAAGAAATAGTTACTAAAAGTTGTAATAGTGATAATATAACCAATATTTCTGGAATGGGGGCCACCAAGATAAGGAATCTTAAAACTATATTTCTGGAACCTTTTATTTACAATAAGCATTATGAACCATTAGATGAATAATGTATTCTATTAATATATATATATACAGATTAGTAAAGAATGCAGAAGTTAATGATTTACGAATATCTATCTATTTATACTTTTTGACCCTGACTTTGTTGTTGACTTTCTATTTCAATCATTTTCTTTCTTAATACTAAATTAACAGTATTTAATAATTCATTCTTTTGTACTAATATTTCCTTTAATTTTTTAGAATCTTCATCTAATCTTTTAACTTTATAATCATAAACCTTCTTTGCATCATTAGCCAGCTTTTCCACAAAGTAACCAGTACCTATATCAACTAAATACTCATTTTTCTTTATAGATTTACCAGGTAAATACAATGAACTTGTTAATGGAACTAATAAATTTTCAGTTTTAGATTTCTCTAAATTATCTACACTAGTTATACAATCTTTTAATTTAGATTGTGCTGTTTGTAAAGCTTGTAATGATTGAGTAAAATGATTTATTTCTTGATCAATGGATTTTCTAAATTCTACCAATTGTTGAGGTGCAAGACTTGCTAAATCTACCTTATTAGATGGTGTAGCCGACATGATTTAACTTCTATACTGTCGGTACTTGTCAGTATGTTTCTGCGATATCGACGATATATGTATATAATTTTTTTTAGTGGGAACTCTTTTTTTTTTGGTAGGGGGAGATGAATTGGAGTAAGTAATTTTGCAATTCTATTATAATACTTATACGATCAAAAACAAAATATATAAAATATATAAAATACTACCAAATGGGGAATGATGGAGGGACTATTGCTAAGCGTCAAGATATCTTATCGTTGCATTCACTGCTTCGGAATTTAGAATCAAGGCAAGAATTACTTAATGAAAATGAAAGTACACTACTAACAACTTGTGCTATATCTTCATTACCATTATATTCTACAAAGGGTCATATTGTACCTATAGTAGGAGATTATAAGGGGAAACTTTATATAAAAGAAAAGATCTTGGAATATATAATTAAAAGGAAAATAGATAAATCATTACCTAATCCAGCATTTGCTCATATTAATTCTTTAAAGGATTTAATAGATGTTACAATTCAATGGATATATCAAGATGGGGTATGGATAATTCAATGTCCTGTAACTAAAGAACTGAAGGCTTCTAAGGCAACATATGCATATTTACGTCCTTGTGGATGTGTAATGTCTAACAAAGTATTGGAAGAAATATCTAAAACTTCATCAAAGGAACTTCCATATGAAAGTCTATGTCCTGTTTGTGATAAACTATTTAACTTTAATTATGATATAGTTATAATCAACCCATTGAACAATGAAAAGAGTAGTAAATTTAATGAAACTAATTATAGATATATTAGTGAAGTTTTAGGTTTGACTCATAGTAAAGATATTAAGAAGAAGAAATCAAAATCTAAGCTGGTGAATAAACGAAAATTACAAGAAGTTGACGAATCAGAAGCTAAAAAACTGAAGAGTCATGCGTAATGATTAAAAAGTATTTAGGAAGACATTATATAGTAATAATGACGTATATTGTCAGAGGTGATGTTTAATATAATTTTAAATAATGATTTTAATCAATTATATCTTCTATGTACAAATAAATTGGAATTGGAATTGGAAAGTATTAGGATAAGAAATAGTAGAATATATTAAGTAATATTAAGAATGTATATTACTTTTGAAATTATTCCTTATTACCAGCTTCAGCACCTTCTGTACGAGCCTTATGATACTCTTCCTTATTGAATTTTAATTTATCTTTATTCCATGGAGCAAAATCGGAATTAGCATATACATTAAAAGTTATGGAACCTATTCCAACAACACAAATACCAACTAATCCTAAAACGGAGACTCTGTGGATGACATCAGTAGCACGTACACTGAATGGAAGTTTATCAGACATATTAACTTGAATTTATTATGGCTAGTTGTTAAACACTTGCGATGTCAATTGATAGTTCAAAGCCCATACCAAAAAAATCATACAACCAATATAAAAAAAGGGTGTGCGCTGCACACAATAATGTAAAATGACTACGACTTCAATTAAATACAATCAAATACAATACAAATACAAATACAAATACAAATACAAATACAAATAAAAGGTGTCTATATAATTTATTTATGAACAGCAATGCCTCATATGTACAGTAGTGTAGAATGATAAACTTCTCTAATTAAAAATAAGCTATTTATATCGTAAAATTACTATTATCATATAGCAGAATTCTATATCGCCATGCATCAATTTGAATTATAGTCAAAAAAGTTACAATCAATATTTATATATATATTACAAATCTATTACATTTAGAAGAAATACTTTAACCATTTAGGATTGAAAAGTCCACTATCCAACAAAGTAGGATTGGCATAGACAAGATCAGGTAACCAATGGTTATTATACAATCTAAAGATATTTTCTGCTTTGGCATTTCCTTGAACTTCTAAGACTTCAGTAAGAATATAATCTAATAATTCATAACTTATTAAGTTAAGAACATTAACAGAATCCATATTCTTACTTAATCTTGGACCATCGGATATAATAGATTCGGTTAAAGCATTTAAAGAATGATTAAATTTTTCTGAATCAATATGACCAATTGGTAATTTATAATTTTCTTCAGGATTTGTAGAACTTATAGGAGGAGGCTTTAAAGCTTCATAATTTCCAACTTCAATACTGACTGAAAATTGTCTTGGTTGAATACCTTTAATAATAAATTTCTTTTTAGGTGGTGCATCACCTTCTTGTTGATCTAAGTTTACAACCATAGCTTCTGAATTAGGGAATGCACGAGATACATTCTTAATAAAATCAACTGCTGGTAATAATGGTTTATATTCTGAACTAGCAGTTTTACCATCAGAAGTATCCCAAATTTCTTGGAATTGACTTTCATAAGCTTTCCATAATGAAATTTGAGTGACTTCTCCTGGAACAACAATACTATTTGAATCATTATTATTTGAAGTTGAATTTATACGAGTATGAGCAAATGGTTCATAACAACAACGTAACCAAGTAGTTGCTCTTAAAGGTTCAGGAAATCTAACTATAATAGCATATAAATCAGGAGTTAATTCTGGTAAAGTCGTTGGAACTCCTGAAAATTGAGATCTTTTAGTTAAATTTAATTGAGGAATTGGTTTAATATTAGATGGATCATTTAAAGGTAAATTAGCTAATAATAATAATGGTAATTGTTTAACTAATGTATGATAATTTGATTTAGTAGTATTTATTTCTAATAAAAGATTCAATCTATGAATTTGAGAATCTCTTACTGAATTTGGATAATCTGGATGTAAAGCTTCTGAATGTAAATAATTTTTAATAAAGTCCAAAATTGCAAAATTTAATTCATTATCACTTATTAACAATTTATTTATTAAACTTTCAAGTTGAGTAGTTGTAATTGAATCAATACAATTATTAGGAATTAAATCTATTTCTTTGGTTTCTTCTTCATGAAGATGTGCATCATGATCATCACCTACATCATCTTCTATTTGTTCAAACTTAAAATTTTTATCACGAATAATTAATAAATGACTTAATGACTTTAATACACTAATTAAAATAGTTTTATCAGTAGTTAAAGTTACTATTGAAAATAATAAATTAAATAATGGATCATGTTTAGTATTATCAATATAATAACATGATAATGGTTCAAGTAAATCAAGAACATATAAAAATGCTTCTTTAAATTGATTATCATATTGACTAAGAGAATATGAATGATAAGTACCATTATAAAACCAATTTGAAAGAAATTTAATTACTTCAATAATACTTTTCTTAAAAGTTTTAACTTCTGCTAACCATTGTTGATTATGTAAATCTTGTACCAGATTTCTTAATGTTAATAAAGAATCTAAACTAAAACCAATATGATCTTGTTTAACTTTATTAAATTTCTTCTCCACAAATAATTGATATGGTTTAATAAAATATTTAATTAATTCTTGACCTATAAATGGTGAACTTTCTAAACTTAAATTACCCAGTAAAGATATTCTTGTTAAAGTACTTAATGCCCATTTAACTTCTGAATCAATACCTGATTTTAATGACATTATAACTCTATTAATATCTTCAACTCCTCGATGTCCATACCCTATTGGTGCCATATATCCATATCCACTATACGCGGTACTAATATATCCATTTGATTCATTTCCATTTTGTGATACATTGGCCGTAGTATACCTTGAAGTAACAGTTATAGGAACAAGTCCTGATACATTTGTCATGATTTGGTTTTACTAATACTTGGAGATTTCCACTAATTGTTTATTTGAAATATCCTTCGAATATTCAAAGTTGATATTTCGCTACTTCAAAAAAATGTCGCGATTTCTCACCTTTTATTGATTTTTTGTTTTTCTGACATTTCAGTTACGGTATATGTCGCGGCTAGTGTCGCGGCTAGTGTCGCGGCTAGTGTCGCGGATAGTGTCGCGGATAGTGTCGCTAGTGAGTGTCGCTAGTGAGTGTCGTTAGTGTCGTTAGTGTCGCTGATATCACAAAATGTCGCACTTACTTCACCTCTCAGGGAGATAGAGCCATTTACGTACAAGGGCCGATATCCCGCCCGATGTGCATTCTAAACATAGACTGATATACGAAGGTACAGATAACCGTTACAGTTTTCTTTAAAACTATAAATAAGGGGCTTTTTCTTAACAATTGAGTCTTAACATTTTATATAAAGTTTTTACTTTTTCAAATTTTAGTAACAATTAGTTTATAAGTATGAAAACTAGTACTTTAATTAATATATTAGCTACTTGTTTAGCTACAACTAATGCTTTATCAATTAATGCTTGGTTTAAACAACAAATAATTGATGATAATGTTGTTGTTATTGGTGAAGAAGTTGAACCAACTAACATTTTTGATCAATTGGCACAATCACTTGGTGGAGCTAAAGAAGCTTTAACTCCAGAAGTTAGAGCTGCTTGGAAAGATATGGAAGCTAGATTAGGTTCTAAAGCTTTAAAGAAGAAAGTTGAAGAATATAATTCAAAAGCTAGTCAAATTACTAATAGATTAAAGGATGTTTCTAAGATATTTGAAAGTTCTTCTCAACAATTTGAATCCTTATCTAATGAGAAGTTTAATGGTTATTCCTTAAGAACTAAGAAAACCAATCCAGAAGTATTAGGTTTAGATACTGTTAATCAATATACTGGTTATTTAGATGTTGATAGCTTAGATAAACATTTCTTCTATTGGTTTTTTGAATCAAGAAATGATCCAAAGAATGATCCTATTATTTTATGGTTAAATGGTGGTCCAGGTTGTTCTTCTTCTACTGGATTATTTTTTGAATTGGGTCCAAGTTCAATTAATGCTACTTTACAACCTGTTTATAATCCATATTCATGGAATTCTAATGCTTCAGTTATTTTCTTAGATCAACCAGTTGGTGTTGGATATTCATACACTGGTGGTGAACAAGTTGGTGATACTGCTACTGCTGGTAAAGATGTATTTGTATTTTTAGAATTATTCTTTCAAAAATTCCCTCAATTTATTTCAAATAAATTCCATATTGCTGGTGAATCTTATGCTGGTCATTATATTCCAAAATTTGCTTCTGAAATTATTAATCGTGCTGATAGAAGTTTTGATTTAACATCTGTTTTAATTGGTAATGGTATCACTGATCCAGTTATTCAAGCTGCTTCTTATAAACCAATGGCATGTGGTGAAGGTGGTTATAAACCAGTTTTAGAAGAAGAACAATGTGAACAATTAGAAAAAGATTATCCAAAGTGTAAAGTTTTAGGAGAAATATGTTATAAATTTCAAACTGCTTTAACATGTATTGCCGCTCAATTTTATTGTGATACTAAATTATTTCAACCATACGCTCAAACTGGATTAAATCCATATGATATCAGAGTTCCATGTGCTGATGCAGGTGGTAATTGTTATACTGGAATGGATTATACGGATGATTATTTAAATCTTGATTATGTTAAAGAAGCTGTTGGAGCATCAAATATTGATATTTTTACTGGTTGTGATGATACTGTTTATAGGAATTTTATATTCAGTGGTGATGAAGCTAAACCACATCAACAATATGTTGCTGAATTAATTGAAAAGGGTGTTCCAGTCTTATTATATGCTGGAGATAAGGATTATATTTGTAATTGGTTAGGTAATCATGCATGGTCAGATGCTTTAGATTATGAAGATCATGAATCATTTGAATCCCAAGCTTTAAAACCATGGTATACTGCTGAAAATAAATTAGCTGGTGAAGTTAAGAATTATAAGAAGTTTACTTTCTTAAGAGTTTATGATGCCGGTCATATGGTACCATATGATCAACCAGCTGCTGCTTTAGATATGGTTAATAGATGGGTTGCTGGTGATTATTCCTTTGGATATTAGACCCTATTAATTATCAACAGATTTAGTGTGATACGTTTTTTTCTCTTTATACTAGTATTTATATAATGTACGTTTTAAGTCATTTGCAACCATATCTAAGCTGCGCGTGTACCCTTTAGGTAATTAGTGATGGATTACAAAATTGGTAATGTAATTGGCGCGAAATTTGTCATCTGCCTGTACATAAACACAAATGGCCGCTATATTTTTTTTTTTACTAACATTTTACTAACACCCGCTCATTAATAAATTATTACTTAGCGAAAAAAGCACAGCTGCAAAGTCATCATAGAGTCGGTTAGTAAAATCGGTATAATTTTTATAATTTAAATATTTATATAATGATCACATTTCCTAAGTTGACAAATTTGAATCTTTGAATTCTTAACTTAAGTATCTAGAATCTAGAAGAATCTGGAAGTGTTTGAAGTTAAAGTTACTGGAAATTACTCAGTCATCATAAAGTTACTCAATAGTATAAATATATGGGGATAATTCCAAATCTTAATATTATTGTATTAATTTTTTTATTCTTATCAACATTAACATTGTCAAGTTTATTTAATTCAAATACAGACAAAAATAAAGTTATTACTATGAGTGGTGGTTCAAGAAGTATTTATAAAGTTATTAATGCAATTCAACAACCTGAAGGGGTTGGTGCAACCGTTAGAAGATCTATTGGTATTATGAGTAATAGAAAATTTAATCCATTTTTATTATTTGATCATTTTGCTTCAAGTGGAGTTGATGGATTTCCTGAACATCCTCATAGAGGTCAAGAAACTATTACTTATGTTATGAATGGTGGTATTGCTCATGAAGATTTTACTGGATCTAAAGGTATTTTATATAAGGGAGATTTACAATTTATGACTGCCGGTAAAGGTATTGTTCATTCAGAAATGCCAATTCCAAGTGAAGATGGATCTCCATCTGTTGGTATGCAACTTTGGGTAGATTTACCTGAACCATTAAAAGATTCTGCTCCTCGTTATAGAGATTTAAGAGCTTGGGAAATTCCAGAAGTTCATGAACAAGATGATAAATTAGTAGTTAAAGTTATTTCTGGTAAGAGTTATGGAGTTGAATCCTTAAAGGATTTAGCTTATACACCAGTCAATTATTATCATTATATAATGAAGCCAGGATCTAATTTTAAACAAGATTTTGAACCTGATTATAATGTTTTCTTATATGTATTAAAGGGTAATTCATTAGTTTTAACTGGTACTAATGAAAAGGTTAAACAATATCAAAATGTATTATTCAATACTGATGGAGGTTTTGTTGGTGGTGAAGTTTCAGCTGATTCTAATGATGAAGTTGAATTCATTTTAGTTGGTGGTAAACAATTGAATCAAAATGTTGTTCAATATGGTCCATTCGTTGCTACATCTCAAGAAAAGATTCAACAAGCTTTCTTAGATTACAATTATGCTCGTAATGGATTTGATAATATAAAGAATTGGAGAACTTTAATATCTAATGGTGTCACTAAAGAAATGATTAATGGTCCATTACAAGGTAGTCTTGAACATAGAGAAGAATTAAAGAAAGCATATCTTGAAAATTTAAAAAATCAAAAAGTTCCTGCTAAGGATGAACTTTAGATAATAATTTATTATTATTGTTATTATTAAATTTATTATTAAATTTATTAAGTTTCTTCTTCTTATTATTATTCTATTACATACATACATATTATATTATATAGTTTTATTATTTGTACTTTAGTTTATACATGCATTTATTATAGAGAAAAAGCTTGTAGTAGTAGTAGTAGTAATAGTAGTAGTAGTAAAAATTGTATGGCGATGAGTGAGCATACGCGTTATGGATCGGTGAAATATCTCACCCCAAAAATATAATATCAAAATATCATGACTCGCAATTACATACCCTTATAAAGAGTACCATATAAGTATGACCATGGATTCTTCACAGGCAGAAGTAGAGTATCTTGCTTCAGAAATCTTTCAGAATGGACGAGTAGTAACCTATAAGACATTATCTCGAGCTCTTAATATTCATATTAATCAATCAAAACTTAGTTTATCAGAGTTCTATGAGAAGAATAAATCAAAATTATTAGCTAAGTTTATTATAACAGGAGCCAATGATGATGGTCCATTGATTAAATTGACTGATAGTGATGATCAATCGCTTAAAACCAATTTGGATTTATTTACAAATAAAGTTAATACTATTCAAATATATAGTGTGTCCAATAAGGATACTGTGATTGATAATGAACAAATAGTTGATCATCAATTAAAGTTCCCCATTGATTCCAATAAACTTGATAATTATTATCGAAATGGAATGATAAAGGGTCCTGAACTTAATCCTGTCAAGACTGTAACCATTAAACAGAATTATAATCCTTCAACTGCAGTGCCTACTAAGAAAGTTTCTGAACTTGACAAGGGTAAAGAGAAAGAGAAAGAGAAAGAGAAATCTAAGGGTACTGGATTGACTTCTTCGTATGTTTCACGTAAAGGGGCTGGAAAAACCTCATCTACACCAACTACAAAGTCCACTACCCTGTTATTATCTAATTACACCTCAAGAAAATCCGAGAATGCTAAAACGACACCTACAAAAAGATCAGCTGAACCATCAATTAGCTATCAGTATAAATCAAGAAAGACAGAAAGTAAGCAGCCAAAGGAAAGAATTATTGTTTCCAGTCATAATGAAGAAGATTTTGATGATGAAGAACAAGATGAAAATGTTCAAGAAGATACGAAAGAATCCAAATCAGAACCTACAAAAACAGGTGCTACTAATATTCAAAACTTATTTGCAGATGAAGATTGGAGTGATTTTGAAGAGGATGCACCCACTAAAGATGAGCCTATAATTGTCCCTGAAGGTGCTAGTGATGAAGATACACAATCAAAGGAAGTATCGAGTCAACAAGCCATAAATACACATACAAATGTAGAGCCTGATTCTATAGAATCTGAAAAAGATACTAATACTGAAAAAGAAGATGTTCCAGAAATGATTACTGAGTATGATGAAGATGGTTATATTATTACTAAGAAAAATACTAAACAACCATCAAAACCACCAACAAGAACTACAAGTACACTAAAGAGGAAAGCAGGTTCACCAGCAGCACCTGCATCTTCCAGTAAAAAGTCAGATAATAAGTCGAAGAATCAAAGTATACTAAAATTCTTTAAATAAGTTTCATATATATATATATATATATATCTTTCATTTAATCTTGATGTAATTATATAAATTTATTAAATATGTAATTATAAAATCATATAGTTTAATTAATGATAAGGCTGATACAGAAAAAAATACTTCAAGTAATCAAATCAAATCAAGGTCATAATATGCTTTTTTAAGGGTATTTTTATTTTTCTGTCAACAGTATCAAAACCTTATATCTATGCATAAAGAAGTACCCGTCTCGCCTAAAGCTGGATGCCGCAACTTATAAGTTTGCCTAAAACGACAAGTTTCCTTCCCAATTAGGAAGTACACAAATAAGTATCCGGTACATACATATGAGAATGTCGGACCATCGAATTTAAAAACAAAGGAACAAAGTTTTATAGATGTCGTATTTTTCGAGCGACATTCCCTTTTTTTTATGAGTTGATCCCTGTCTCGAATTTTGACATTTTCATAATTCTTTAGACATTAAACGGTACGACAAGTAAGGCTAAGAACATTCTAGCTTGTTGGTCCAGTATATGATTAGTTTTAGTTTTTAACTAATTGGTTATAATTGTCATTATCATAGTCATAGTCATAGAACTTTTATTTCTTTTTTAAAAATTCATTTTAATATCTAATTTTCATTTTCGTTGTGGTTCAAGATACCCGAGATCTCGTCACCTTCTCCTTTAGGCTGTTCTAACTAAGTTCCTTAGCTTTTAAAGGTTTAATCCTTATAAATTAATTACCCACTCATAGTTTCATTCTTTTACATAATTATCCGCAATACCTTTTATTTCGTTTCTTTATTAGTTAAATATAATAATTGACTAATAATTTCTTATTTCATCTTTAGAGCATCCCCACATTCATATGATATATACCAATGAGTGATATTACAACTAGTGAAAAGACGTTACCAAATCCTCCGTCGAATCAAACAATTCATCGAGAAAGTTCGAGTCAACTTTCTGAATCAACTTCAACATCATCAGTAGCTCGTACCTTAGATACTAATAATACTGAATTAACATCTCCAAGTAAATCAATACGAAATTTCTTTAAGAGTAGATTATCTAGTTATTCAATTGAAAGTATTAGTGAAGAACCAGAAAAAACTACTTTAAGTCCAACCAAGGATGATGAACAATTCTTAGGTACTTCTAATGCTACTATATCTTCTCCAACTGGTAACAAAATATCTAATTTATTAACAAAACCAATCTTTTCAAGATCCAAATCATCAAATACTTCTGTACCTCAAACTCAAAATTATCAAACTAATGCATCATCTTCATTTGTTCAGTTAAATCTGTCACAAGGAAGTTTACCAAAACAGAAACCTGTAACTATTGATGATTTTGCTGATACTGAATCATCAAGTGAAGGAGAAACAAATCATACTTATGATGAAGAATCAGTTAATTCCCTTTTATTGGAATATGAAAGACCAAGGACTTTTGTTTATACTGAATTGGATGATGAAGGTCAAGCAGATACTTCACCAGTCAAATCAGAAATTAAGAAAGATATCAATACTTCACAAGTTTCTGGTGATCATTCATTGACTAGTCAATATGGACTGCCTTCCATAGAAAAAGTTGATAGAGCAGTACGTGTTACTACTCCACCAGTTATTAGAGAATCTCCACTTCGATTTAATAATCGTAATGAACCATTAAGTGCTCCTGCTAGAAATAGTCAAGGTTCAGATATATTTGGTAATAGATTATCTGATTCTGATACTGATAAGTATCCAGAACCTAATTTGTCTAATATGGCAACACCATTAAATACTCCTCAAATTAAGCATATTATTCAAAATCCTAGAAATAGTGGTGGAGATGATTCAATTTATGGTTCATCACATCGTTTAGCTGAAATCATGGATACTGAACAAGAAGAAACAGCTTTAAGGAATAGTAGTGGAAGTAGACTTGGAGATAGTGCTAGAAATCTGATTAATACCAATGAGACAATGCTCAAACGCAATACTATAAGATCTTCAATGTCATCAGGAGAATTATTACATAAGTTACAAAATTTTGATGATCATGAAAGACCTCAAGCTTCTTCAACATTAAGATTTAGTCAAAATACTGATGATTTAGATGATCTTCATAATAAAAATTTTGGAAATTTAACTGCTGGTATTGATTCTACTAATTCATTACCTTTTATGTTATACAAAGTTCAAGATAAGGATTATGATGAAAGTAATCAAAGATGGTCTGTATATGAAAGTAATCGTGTTTCACAAATGAAAGAAGAATCATCTAAGCAAGGTGAACAAATTGATACCCCTATAGCTCCATTGGCTGAACCACCAGCAATTCAACCACCTTCAGTACCAGATCATGAAGATCTTAGACAAGGAAGTATCAGTAGTAGTGCATCAAATTTAGATAGATATGAAGAAGCCAATGAATATTTTAATGAATCTCAAACTTCATTACAACCTCCTAATGCAAAATTTATTGGTATAATTCCTACTAAATCTTCATCTTCCTCATCTCAAGTTTATCATACTGCCAGTGGTCATGATACTACATCATCCAATCTTTATCATACAGTCACTGAAGGTACTATATCTTCAGCAGCTTCAGTATCAACATTCCGTCAAGTTCTTCCAGTTTCTGGACCAGAACATGAACAAGTAACTCCAGTTCAACATCATCCAGTCGAGTCTCCAATTCCAACTCATATAAATTCACAAGTATTTGAAGTTGATCCTACTTCACAACATACTCACAGTGTATCACCACCCGTTCTTGGTCAACAAATTATATCGACTCAAGCGTACAATCAAAGTGAAAAGACTAGTGATCATGAATTAAATACTCCAATCACAACTAATCCATCTATAGTTCCATCTGGACCAGTATTTCCACAACCTGCTCCTGCAGCTAGAGTAATAACTCCTATGAATCAAACACATTCAGAACAAGATATGTATGAAGTAAATCCAGATTCACTTGTTTTAAGTAAACCACCACCACATTTGGTTATACCTAATCCTACTGATTATCAAGGTAAAGGAACAGTTAGGCATGAAGATGATTATTATTTAAGAGATGTTGAAAGACAAATAATGAATTTAAACACTCAAGGACAAAATTCTCCTTATGCATCCAAACTTCGAAATCATTATTCATGGAGTAGATTTATTGCAATGATGGTTATAGGATTACTTGCCCCTCCAATTTACTTTTTACTTGCCATTGGAGTATTTGATGCTGATAATAATTATCAACAATATTATTCAGGTATGCATTATTATAATAATCATGCTGTTCATAGTGAGAGTAAATCATCATCAACAATTTCTAATCCTAATAAATTCTCCAAGACTCAAAAGACAATCAGTTTAGTTGTTGGAGTTTCATGGACTATTATAATCTTAGCTATGATAGGAGTAGGATTAGGTGTCGGATTAACCCGATAAGTCATATCATGCAATTTTCTCAGCATCTTTTTTCAACCCATTTCTTTAACTACAATACTATTGTAGTTTGTATTATTTATTACTTTTATTTACTATTTACTATTAATCTATTAATTATTAAGACTAATTTAATTTTAATTTTCCAGTGAAAAATGTTATTGCAAAAATGCAAAACTGTAAATCAAATATGTTTCGTAAATGTTTTGAATCGTGGGGTTGATGTGTGCACAAAGTCACCTGATCTCAGGGGGAAGTCATTGCGGCATGGAAGAATTTCCTAATTGAGAAAGTGGTCACTCACTAATGTCAGCTATTTATAGCGCGGTCATTATAAAGGGGAATAGGAGAAAGTATTACATTCAATCTTACTATGGTAGAGTATGATAATATATGATTATTATAAATAGGAGATAAATAGGAGATCATGTAATGGAATTAATGGATCAAATTGTTCCGTAATCCTGTACCGTACCAAGATGTAAGATGCAAAGTGATACATTAATATACTGTATACCTTGTCTGTAATGTGTAGTTTGATTTACGTAAACGTAAATAATTTACACTGCCTACATTAGCTGCGCAATTGTGGTTATAGCCGATAATCGAAAAGTGGTAATTTTTGTTTTTGTCTTGTCCCGTCTTGTGTTTTTCTCTTGTCTGTCATGTCTTGTCTTGTTTTGCTCTGCTCTGCTCTGCTGTGATTTTGTCTTATCTTAACATAACAAAGCAGAACAAAGCAAGCACAATTCTACAGTTTCAAGTACACACAATACCACACTTGTTATGGTAAACAATCACCTCCCCCCCCCCTGTACTCTTATACAATTTATCAATTTATCCATTGTCAAACTTGCCTCTCAACACTGTTGTCTGCTAACCATAATTCTCTTAACACTTGTGTTGAGATTGTAAGGACAATTTAATTTTGTGGAGGAACTTTTTTGCTGCTCCCACTCTAGTAATTCGCTTACTCTATTTTCTTACGGATAATTCGCTATATTTAGTCTTCTTTTACTTTCTTTAGTGTTCATTGACAACTGAACTGATCTATCGTTGATTATTTAATTATTGTTAGATCTCTGTGTCGTGATTTGGTAGTGTGTTGGCGTAGTAGTATTATCTTCATTTATCCATCCATCTAGATTCAGAATCAGATTCATAAGCCCGCATCCGCAATCGCATCACCAGCATCATCAAATAAGTCAAACGATCATTCATTTAATTAGTTAAAATCATTTAATTTACTGGTGGAATCTTATTAATTTTGTATAATCTTTAGGATAAATTACTGAATCCATCAGTATAACCATATAATAAATTATTCCATATATTCCGATTTAACTATGGGGAACGTTTCAGCAAAGGAATCAAGAAGTAGATCTAGTACTTTTTCTTCATCAAATGGTATCCCTCCACCTTCTGGAGATATTACTGGATTTATAACACGATCTTCAATACCTAGAAGATATACAACTTCAACTATTGGAGGTGGAAATTCACTTGGAAGTTCTGGATCAGGAGGTTTATTAACTGGTCATTCAAATTCTTTACTAGATTTTAAAAAATCAAAACGTCAAGAAGAAAAGGATCGTATACAAGAAGCTCATTATCAAAATTTAATTGTTCGATATAATGAAAATGTTGATGGTGGTTATTTAGCCCCATATGGAACTTATAAATCAAATTTAGATTATAATACTGAAGTAGTTCGAAATTTCATACTTAATCGTCAATTATCTCCATTTTATACTCCATTACAAGATTTTGATGAATCATGGACTCAAAATGAATTATTAATAATATTAAATCAATTACCATTACATGCAATCGATGTAGCTTATAGTGATTTAGATGAGGATGCTGAAGATGATATTGATAATCATAAAATTCATAAATCTTCAAATTATTATAAACGTCAAGAACAAAAGCAAAAGTTAAAAAATTTGTTATTAAAGATAAAGAATTTACAAAAGGAAGAAGATTTAAGATATTTAACAGATAAACAGAATAATTCCACCAATGAAGATTCAAAAAATCCTCATTTATCTTCAAATGATCTACTTTTACAATTATATGGTAAGCCATTAGAATGTCCTATTTGTTTTCTCTATTACCCTGCAAATTTGAATATTTCTAGATGTTGCTTACAACCTATCTGTACTGAATGTTTTGTTCAAATTAAACGTTTGGATCCTCATCCTCCTCATGATGAAAGTAGTAATACTACTAATGATAATGAAGGAGAAGAAAAAGAAAAAGTCGTACTTCATACATTAATCTCTGAGGCAGCAAGTTGTCCCTATTGTGCATCTCCAGATTTCGGTGTCACATATGATCCTCCTTTTAATATTTTTACTGGGATGGGTAGTAAAACCAAGGCAGGCGATTATATTCGTTTAAAGTCTAAAGATGATAGTGATTATGAAAGTGATGATGATGATAATGATAATGAAGCTGTTATAACTTCATCAGAATCTGCTTCTTCCTCTCCAGTAAAGCAGGAAATTATTGTTCCACCACCAAAGAGGAATACAATTTCTAGTCCTTCCACTCCATCTTCAACTACATCATCGGCTGCTCGTCGGAGATCTTCACTTGCTGCTAATGCACCAGGAGTTATTACGATTGATATGATAAGGCCAGATTGGGAACAAAGGTTATCTTCAGCTCGTAGTAAATTGGAAAGGAAAGCTGCTACAGCAACTGCCATTCATGCTTCTAATTTATTATTGAATGGAGATGAAGATAATAATGGAAATAGAAGACGCAGACAGACTGAATCAAGTGTAAGCGGGAGTAGCACTAATGGAAGCAGAAGAAGAGGTAATAGTGCTAACTCACATCTCATTCATTTACAAACTGTAGAGGATAGAATGTTAGAAGAAGCATTAAGGTTATCAATAATAGATGAAGAAGAACGGAAACGAAAAGTTGAAGCTGAAGAAAAGAAGAAAAAGCCTTTGCAGCATCTGCAGCAACAAGAACCACAAGTAACTAGTTGAAAATAATATTATATTAATATTAATATTATTGTTATTATTATTATGATGATTTATATATTGTTATTGCTAGATAATACTAGATAAAAGTATAATAATGATACGAGATTTCCAACTAAACATGGAGGAGATCCAACTATATTATTAGTTATTTGTTTTTAATTGATATGTACTCTAATGACAATATTTATGCTATGAAGTAAGTTTAAAAGTAGGTAAACTCTACAATAAAAATGGAATTCAAAACTGAAGAACCGAATATATTCAAGAAGTTAGAAAATCAATTTCTAGCTATAGAATGATGAGAAATACGTCAAGAATAGGAAGAATAAAAATTAGAAAATAAATATCGACATCATCAAAAGGATTCAGCCGTAATGGTGTCGTTAAGTTTTAGTTGTAACTTTTGAAAATCATTTAAAGATTTCATTAATGGGTATGTAACAATGGCCTTATTAGTAGTGTGATCTCTTTCTTCTTCTCTTACAAGTTCCTGGCAGAGAAGTTGGTCCACTTGAAGTGCCTGAAGTTACAGTTGTAGGTGAACCTCCTGGGGCTTCAGAAGCAGCACAAGTTCCGGCAAATGCAGCAAATGCATTTTCAGCAATAGTGATAGCATTTTGAATAGTTAATAATTGCTTGAAGAGATCTACAGCAAAGTCTGTGTCCTTCAAAGCATCAATAATTTGATCAATTGGTAATGCATTATTACTAATAAGAGCTTTAAGTAAATTTGTAGCAAATGGGATATAACTTGAATCAGTAAGAATATCCTTCACTACTGAAGTAGCCAAACCTGAATTATATAAGGATTCCATTAAATTAACAACGACATTATTAAAATCAATATCTCTTTTGTTCATGTCTAATAGGTCATGATTATAAGGGATAACTTGTCTCTTGGAAACTAAGGAACCAATACCATTAGCAATTTTATCTTTTACTATCTGTGCCAAGTTTCCAATAATATCTTTAGCAGCATTGAATAATTTGACATAAAGGTCACAATCAGCAATAAGATCTTCTATGACGTTACCAACTAAGTTTGATTCATCTAAAGCATTGAAAAGGGCAGTGAAGTTTATTATCCCAGATTTAAGTAAGAATACAACCGCATCAATAACAATTGGTTGGAAAGTTGCATCTGTAGCAAAGAAATGAAGAATAAGTGGAGCTAACTGAGTTTGGTTAATGGCTGCTAAAACATCAGTAACAATCTTGTATTCTCTTTTAGAAATTTCAACATCAAGTACATCTCTTTTGATCTTTATATCATCTAACTCAGCTAATAAGGCTTCCCAGTTAATATTTTTAAGAGCATCTTCTGGAATTAATTGAGATAATTCAAGAGGTGAAGCATCTCTTTTTAAAACAACGGCATGTTCATTTTCTGAAGACGCCTTGACGGCTTGAAATCCATTAACTGAAGCAGAGTAGGCTAATATGGCTAAAGCCGATGATGTTGTTAATTTCATTTTGGTTACAAATGAGTGTTTAAAAATATGTATTCAAAAGATATATTGACAAAAAGTATTTTTTACAACAAAGATGATAAAATAATTTAAATCATTCAAACAAGCCTCTATTTATATAAGGAAAGTATATGGTCGCTTGTACTTTATTAGTATAAGCCTATATGTTTTTGCATAATAGTTAAGCCTCTATATTAGAACGTCTGTATAGTCGTATACCTACGCTTTAACTTTTGCAGTAATTTCCATATTAGGTAATTCGGTTGGAGTCGCATTTCCGAAATAGGAAGTTATGTTGCGGCTGTCAATATTACTTTTCCCAAAACTGATTGAATTGGGCCAGAAGAAGACTTGGCATTTGATTCCCCAGATTTAAAAGCCTCGATAATTTGGTTGTAGACTGTTAGCTACATGAATGAGGTAAGTGGTCTTGTTGATTTTTCGATGTTGATATATAGATATATATAATGAATATGCCATCAGATTATACAGAAAATGTTAGTGGTTTATTAAGGATGGTTAATTTTGGTATTTTAATTGAATTGAGTTCATTTCGTTGTAATATAAGGCACAGATACAATAATTCTCCCAAAGTAGTATATTTGTATAACAGTGTATTTGAAAAGTTAATCTTGGCATCGCAAAAACTGAATACTTAAAAATATCTAGGAGTCGATATTTGGGATAATACTAGCCAATATTTAATAAAACTATACTAAAATTACACCGAAGACGAACAAGAGAATTAATTAATTTCTTGGCTCTATATCAGAAAACAAGAGGATCTGATGAATATCTCATTCCAGTAACGAATGGAAATTACATCACTGTCTCTTGGCTCTTCTATACTCCCATGTGGTATATGGAGGGGTCGAAGTTTTAGAGAACTACATTTTGAACGGAATTCAAGAAAAATTTAGCAGCAAAAAAGGTTTAGAGAATGCCTTCTTGGGAAATTTTCCAATGAAGCTAGTAAAGTATCTATATTATTTCTATATTCGAATAAATCGTTAATTTTATTTCAAAACGGTTGACTCGTGAGTCTTGTCACGCGCAGACTATATCTCCTTCGCGTGTTTTTTTTCTAGAGATTTTCACAGGGACAGAAACCGTTAAATGGGCTTGGGACCTGTATATGGGATCCAATCTTTTGAAATTCCATTTCTGGCAATGGGTAAATCTTGAACTAATTCAATCTTATATATATGATGATTAATCAAAGCAGTATCATGTAGATGCAAGAGTAGCAGTGACAGGTGGGAGATAAGCACCATCTGAAATAGAATGAAATGAAATAGACTTGTTGTTGCCTGTCTCTGCCTTGTTTTTGAAGTTAATGTGCCATAAGGTACATCTATGCATAATATAATATCTATGTGGTGCGAGTATAGTCAAGTTGAAGTAACAAGACGATAATAATAAGTTGGGCTGATCTGTTTACCCCTTTCCTATTTCGGCAAAATTCTCCTCCTCTTTTAGTGCGTGCGCAGGGACGCAAAGTCAAGTACAAAGGTACAGAGGGTTTAGTGCATCTTCTTACACAATACAACAGTAATTAAAAGCAATACACACTATCTTTGTCACAGTGCTCAGTGCTCAGTTGCACTCTGCAACTGCCGACTATTGGACTACTAAATTAAATAACCTTAAATATCAATTATAAACCAATTCTAAAATATTATAGTATTGTGAATCGGATTAAGAATAACTAGTGTGAAGAAAAGAACGCCTTGGCCTATCATTGTGAAAGTATAATAATGTAGTTTTATAAATCATTTGCACTTAATTGGCATAAATTTTCATTTTTGACGCGATTATTATTAAGAAATATTATTTCTTGATGAAATTATTTGCGAGTACTTCAGGTCAAATCTTAGAGCTACTCTGACTTCTTTAAGCAATTGGTGATTACTTCACTTAGCAGGTTAGTCGAAGCACAAGAGAATGTTCAATGTATCGAACTGGATCTACCCCTTACTTATTCATAAATTCTACATACCACATACCAATGGTCCATTCCCCAAAGTTATATTTGATACATATCAAACAGTAATAAAGTTTTTTTAAGGGGGACGAGTCTTTGTGAAAAATTCTTAATCGACTTTTTTACATGGGCATACTGTCGCCTCGAGGTGCATATGTCGCTACTTGATGTATGTAATTTAATTCACCAATTATTATTTAAGATTTTGTAGTTATACAAAAAAAATATATAAAATATCTCGTAATTGTGCCGGTCAATTGAGCATATGTGTGAATATATATATAGATACAAAAGTCCTATATGATCTCTTGCAAGTGAGAAGGCAAACTAAGATAAATTAACATATTGAACAATCTTGAATATAGAATTAAATCACTTAAAAGAGCTCCCTCCTCAATTCAAACTTAACATCATTTGGAAACGACGTTCAGACCATTAAGCTTTTTCATTATAGCAATTATTTATTTTTTGTGGTGTATCGTCTAAGGTTCCTGATTTTTTTTTTCACAGCAATTGAATTAGTGGGTAGATAATAGGTCTATTGTTTTAAAAAAACTGTTGTAAACACAATATCTAAGTGACAATTAACACAGCATTGAAGTTTAAAGAAAGAAAGATATTCGACGGTTATATATTTCATTGTTTTCCACCTATTAATTTACTATTTTCAGTAGAAACCAAAACATCACAAATATAATATATCACAAATATCAATTAACTATTGGTCTTTGATCTCCACTGTTAGATTGGGAACAAGTACCATTATTATAATTCATCTGTGACTTGAATTGAGTTCTTAGGAAAAGAATTGTCCGATTCTTTGATTATAATTGACAACTTCATTCATATATATATGTTTTAAATCTCATTCAAATTGAATTTCTATAATAATCCATTCCTTTGATTTCATATTAGGAGAAGAAACCCCTCTCAATGTCACCCGCAAATCATCAATACATTAGCAACATAGATGACACAGAATTACTAGAATCGTTTGTGCTACCGCAGGGGATCAATTCGTTACCAGTTAAACGAATATACAACTCTAGAACACAAAGGCTTCGAGAGCTTGTCAAATTAACTCAAGATTTGCAATGTTCAGCTAATGAAATCCTCCTTAAAGTAAAACTAGTTGGAATAAATTATCATCAAGATTTCAATATATCAAACCAAGTTGCCTCAATTCCAATTCCTTCATCAAATCATCTTATACCTACTCATGCTCATGCTAACAATAATCCCCATTTTATTCCTAAATCCTCATCAATTGTACCGGGATTTAGAATTTTAGGCAAGATCCAAGAACCCACTTTAACAACAAAAGCATCATCATCAACATCAGGTAATAGTCAGAAATATATTCTTTTCCCCTTCTCCAACTGTATCCTACAGAATGAAAGACAGTTATGTCATCAATGTAAATTCCTCATTACTAAAGGTGGATCTATATTGAATTCACAAACTTATTCCCTTCATTCTCGTCATCAATGTCTAAAGAATTTTGTCCATGGATATACTATAGATGGAGGTTTACAGGATTATATTAAAGTCAAAGATCCAGAAAATACTTTAGTTAAAGTTCCATCTAATGTGAGTCTTCATGATGCATTATTTGTGTTTGATATCATGTTACCCTTTTACTCGTTTGTCAAATATCATTTGAATGTTCTAATCTCGGGTAAAGTCTTGGTGATACTTAATGATATTACCAAGGAATTGAATGATATTTTAATTATTCTTTCTCATTTCAATGTTGACCAAGCTAATGTTAGTATTCTTGATTCGAAAATGATAAATTCATATAACGCCAATGAAGAAACCAATCATCATAAATTTGATCAGATATTCATTTTCGACGAGCTGGTAACCAACAATAAGAAGAATGCTAATACCAATGCCATTGTTAATTTCCTTAAGCTGCATTCACCATCAAGTGGGTTGGAGTCTACAAAATCTCGATACAATATTGTGTTATTCAATAATCAGTATCATGTTAGTACCACCTACCCCCAACAAAGTTTGAATTATTTGGTTAATAATAATAACAATGATAAAACATTTCACCAATTCAAATTGTCTTATAAAGATAAGATTCATCTTGAAGAAGTTTTATTGATATTGTCAAATTTAAATACCACATTTAAAAGTAGTAGTAATCCCAATTCAATAGCATCTCCATCTTCAATAAAGCCTAGAATTTCAATAGATAGTATATCTTCAAGTATATCTTCGAATTCTCAGTCTTCTGCAAATTCGTTTGCATCATCAACCATGTCATTTCATGAATCACATGCCCATTTGATTGATAAGTCTTCATCTTCATCTTCATCTCCTTCAGCTTCATCTGCCCGATCATCTTCAGTATCAAGTTTCTCTGAATCTCACGTATTTATAGAGAAATCTATTCGATTTAAAGATACTGATACCATTATAAATGAGGATATATTTGCTCCTAATCCACCTCTGACTAAATCAAAGTCAAAGACAAAGACAAAGACTCAACATTGGATCCATTGTGATTATGATTTTGATCTCATAAAGCATGACGATGTTGTTTCTGATGATGAAGAAAATGCTGACTATGATGATGATGATACTACCATGCTTGGTATTGAAGAATTCATAGGTATACCCAAGAGAAGCTTGATTAAGAAGAGCCATAGTATTAAAGAAATGAATAAGTTGATTAGAACTACACCACCAAATAGTTTAACAAGAGTATGTTATAATGTCAAGAGTAACAAGCCAACCAAGTTGAATGCATTTGTTTTCTAATAATGTTAAAAGATATGATGTAATGTGATACGAAAGAAAGAAAGAATTATCGTCTATGTACATAGGTTGATTAAATGATTATATAAATAACTAGAGAATGATTTAAATTAATTAATAATGTAAAAATTAATTACCCAACTCTCTTAAAGTATCAGTAAGTATTGCCTTTAATTTGTATAAATTAATTATTCTTAACTTTTCATTAATTAAATGAGCATTATCTGAAGCTTGACCACAAGGAATTTGAGCTGCTGGAGCATTAAAACATTTTTCAAGAAATCTAATTGATGGAATAGATCCACCTTCTCTAATAAATATTGGTTCTTGACCCCAATTAAGTTTAATCTTTTCACATAATTTAGAATATACTAAATTAGATGGATCTCCTAACCAAGGTTCAGCTTCATGAAATATATTTACTACAAGATGATTTTCTGAATGATTATTTTTAAATGCATTAGTTAAAGTATCAATTAATGATTGTTTAACTTTTTCTAAATCTTGATTTGGAACTATTCTAATTGATATAGTTGCCTTTGCAATTTGGGGTATAACTGTATTATTATTTGGACCAGAAACTTGAATTTTATGAATAGTTAATGATGGATTTCTCCATTTAGAAATTAATGTTTTAATATCTTGATTATTAATATTTCTAGTAATTGCAGCATCTTCAATTGTTTTATAAAATTCGATTTCTTTATCAGTTAAAGGTAAAACATCATCATAAAATCCATTTAATTTAATTTCATTAGTTTGAGGATCAACTAATTGTCCAAGAATTTGAATTAAATCCATGGTTGGTTCTTTCAGAACTCCTCCATCAACTCCAGAATGTCGATCTGGTTTATCTGATTTAATACTAACTGTAGCATTAATTACTCCTCTTAATCCATAATTTAAACATGGAGTTTCATCATCTAACCAATAAGAATTAGATAACATAACCCAATCAATATCTCCAATAAATGATCTATTTGCATTAATAACATTTTGAAATCCAATTGATCCACATTCTTCTTCACCTTCAATTATAAAGATAACATCACATGATAATTCTTGTTTATTATATAAATCGGCTACAGCATAAATTGATGCTAATGTAGGACCTTTATTATCAGAAACTCCTCGAGCATAAAGATTCCCATCACGAGCGGTTAATGTGAATGGATCTGTTTTCCAATCATTAGCTTCATGATTAGTAGCATCAACAACATCATAATGGGCATACCATAAAACTCGAGTAGGTTTTGAATCATCATTATCACTATCATTATCATTATCATTACTATTGATATTGAGATTGAGATTCTTATTATTCCTCTTAAACAATGAGTATACAATGGGATTACCATTTTCAACTGGTAATAATTTAGTTTGATTGGCTCCCAAACTAATTAATAATCGACAAAGAAATTGAGAACATTGACGTGAGTCTTCTAAATAAAGGGTAGGGAATTTAGAAATTGTTCTGAATGAAATATATCTATTTAATGATTTTAATAAATGATCATTACTATAAATATCTCCTTTATTTTTAGATGGTTTTAGATTCTCTTTACCTTCACATACATCTTCTTTAGTTCTTTTAACATCTCCAACATTAGTAATATCCCATAAACAAAGAGCTTTATGACCACCAGAAAGTAAATAAGTGGTTGCACCTGATTTATCAGTGAAAATACTAGCAGCTAATACTGAACCAAGATTATTATCCAGATCATGAAGACTTGCTTGAGCAAATAATTTATTAAAAGTATCTTCTTCAGCTGCTAATACAAGAGTAGAATGTTTATCATAACTTATAGGATTATTATTACCATTTTCATCATCAAAAATTTGATCACTATTAACTGGATATGATTTTAAATTAAATTTAACTAAACCTCCTAAATTAGATGCTTTAAAAATACAATCATTATAGATACATAAACTTAATACTTCATCATAAGATGAATCATTACTTTCAAAATGAAATGATCTAATTAATTGAAATGTCATAAGATCCCAAACATTAATAGTTGAATCACTTAATCCAACATAAAGATAAGAATTTTGAATTGACATTGAAATAACTGATTCTTCATTTTCTAAAGATTTAAATTTTTGAATTGATAAAGTCCATGGAGTTACTCCTGTATTAATCCCCCAAATATTTACTAATCCATCACCTCCACAAGATATTAAAATATTATCATAAGTATCCAGATAATGGAAACTAAAATCACTATTGGATTCATCAGTTTTACATCTTAAAATATCCATACAATAAACATATCCATTATGAGCAAATTTAATTATATCTTCATTTTTAACTTCAATTAATTTTGGAGAATTGGGGATATTTTGAGAATTAGTTGAATTCTTTCTTAATAATTGTTGTTTACTTTGTAATGTATTAATTGAACCTCCAGGACCTCTTGAATCAAAAAATTTATCATATCTAAAATGAGGTAATCTACCAATATTTTTAAGAGTTGAATGAGGATGATGATGAGTATTATCATCGAACGATAAATGACACCATAAGATAGAAGCATTTTGTGCTCCAATAAATAAAGTTGATAAGGAATCACACCATGTTATAGAAAAGATATCACCTATATCAACATAAGAATAAATAATATGAGTACAATGAATTAATCCATCATCATGATTAGATTCTTGATTATCTAAATTATTTTCTTTATCAATATTACCTATATGAGATATATCCCATACTTTAATTAATGAATCTGAACCAGCACTAAATAAATATTTTTCATCATTAGATATAGTAAGAGTTAATACAGAAGCTGCTTGATCTTGATGTCCACAATTTATTTCATATTTTAAAGAATATTCAATCATATCATAAACTAAAATTTTTGAATCTTGAGTTCCACAAAATAATAATTGCTTTTGAGGTGCTGGTATAACACAAAGAATTGAATGAGTATGAGTCCATTTATGAACTAAAGTTGGAGCACCTTCAATCAGAGTTGTCGGTATAGGTTGAGCAGTAATTGGTGGAGTACTTGTTGAAGTTATTGAATCATAATCATTAAATACAGGACTTGATTCTCTTCCAGTAGTAAATTTAGAAAACATAGTATTATGAGATTGAGATTTGTTTGAAGAATTTGGATATTGAGATCTTAAATGTGATCCAAAATCTGGTGATGATACAATTGATGGAGAATTTAATCGAATTGGAGTATTTATTGAATTGGGAGATCCAACTTTTGGAAATGAATCTGTTGATGAACTACTATTGATAGGTAATGGTAATCTTGCTGGTATCAGTATATATTCACCTTCATGAATAATACCTCCGCTAAATTTTTGCGGTTGTGGATGCAGTTTAACCATTTATGTTCTGCTAAGATCAATTGATAAGATTAAACAATATTATTAAATACTTAAAATTACTTAAAATTTTAAACTTTAAACTATGCTGGACGTGACCTCAATCACCTGATACTGCTACCACTACCTCAATGATTTTACCTGATAAGAAAATTTGGGTATAGTAAATGTGTTACTATTTTTTTGATATCTCAGCTCTGACTTATGCTCTTCTGATAAGTAAGACTAGGAAGCCACATATTTTCGTTTCGAGGACGCAGAGAAACCGAAGACTTAAAAAAAATTATGATGCACATGACGTCACGTGAAATTGTCCTCGTTTTTATCGTGTGAGTCCAAAATATGACTGCAAAATGTAATTACATATATATATATATATGTACTGTATATATATTAACACTAAAAAGTAAACAAATTCATATCTCCCTATTCATATTATATTATGTTAAGTACTTGACCTTAGTCAAGTAAAGTTGGAATTTCTTAATTCTCAAAACTATGGATATTCAACAAAAATTTTATCTGATGGACAATAATTGGCGGTAACGCACTCATAAATTGGTGGAGCTGAATTAACGGGATACTCAAAATCATCCATTGTTTCCCATTCATCATACACAACTTCATCTTTTCTAAAAAGCTTTTTCTTTATTCTAATTGGTCTCACTTTCGCACCTTCAACTTTATTAATTGTTGGTGTCATAAATAATTGCCCAATTCTACCCTTGGGAACAAAGCATTTGTATGATCCAGAAGTTGAAAATTGTGAGTTAACACTTGGATTCCATCCATAATTGAATGCAAATTTAAAAAGTTCATTGACTGCCACAAAATCTGTACTCATTGATTTACCGAAATACATACCAACTGATCCACCAATAGTACCACCATTACCGTACATTTGATTGAAACATGGAGAAACAGCAACGCTTGCACCACGCTCTGTATGAACATGGTCACGAGAAAATTCAATCCAAGAATCTTTATTCTTGTACAGAGAATATATAGCAAAATCTTCATTACCAAACGTTCTTTCAGGAGTATTCAATTTTGATGTATGTAAAATTATATTATTAGAATCAGTAATTGCAAACACTGTACCTTTTTCTTTAAGATAATGAGGATTGGATTCTAATTCATCATATGTGATTTGTTTCATTTTGAATTTATCAACAGTATTCAAGGGGATCCCTTTGAAATTAGTGACACCAATTATGGCATAATCTTCAGCATTTGTTGCTGAAAATGCTAAAGCAAGACTCAAAATTTTGATAATGTTAACCATCTGTTCTCTCGGTATTGTTTATAGAAATGTCAAGTTTTCAATTATTGGAAGTTTGTTTTATGAAATTTATATATTGAGTGCATATTTTTGATATGCTAAGAGTGTAGCGTAATACATTCAATGTATTGAAACCTCTATTTTACTCAGCATAAAAATGACCTTAAGCATAATACTAAATGGATTAAGCATAACAAAGCTTCTCAAACAGTAATAAGTCAAGCCTGGATGAATCCATCTTTCGAGGACTTTACTATTGCCTGTTTTGTTCCCACAAGTAACAACAAACTTGTTAGGACAACATGTTTCACAACTTAATATATTCAATGTATTGTCCTATTAGCACAACTGTGGAATAGCTCAATAATCTGTAGTACAACCGTTCTTCATTAAGTAACGATTATGAATCCATATTAACTTTTGAAGTTATAAGCTAAATTGAAATGCCGAATTTGACTTCTTTGTAACATAAATTGATTACTTTATTGAGAATTAGGCTCCACGATTTTCATATTTTTCATATTGTGCATTAACTATACTATTGTCTTAGTCATCGATCTATCTAGGTAATCGGTTTAGTAAAATTAAACAATAAGGCGATTTAAAGTTTAACTGTAACTCCTTCCGGTGACCAACGTAATGTAAAATAAATTGGTACGGCTATTGAACTGTGATGCAATTTAAAACCAATCATAACTAACAATAGCGCTACCAGTAAAAGAGTCACGCACGTGAGTAATTGCAAAGAAGTCAATCTGAAGATCGGAGCCACAAAGCATATTTCGCAACTTTCTTTGCAATATTTTCCAAAGAAAGCCGGATACTTTATCCGTTCATCGTCGTGATGATCGCAATTATAACACAGTTTACTGATAAGGAATTTGAGGGTATCTAAAATAAAATTCATCATCCCTTGAATCACACACTCTATAATTAAAAATAATTATGGAATAGTAAGGCTGAATGCTTGGCATTTTTTATATGTTCATCACGACACTATAATTAGAAATATCAAGAGTAATTCAACCAATAAGAACCAATAAATCAGTAATGCAAAGCTTCATTGTTAATGTGGTATAGAGATTAGATTAGCGGTAACCCCCTAATCTGGTTAGGCAAAGAGTCAACCTAAGTCGCTCCGTTTTTTATAAATGCAACCATACTCCAATAAAGTACATGTAATACGTAATCGAGATCCCACACATTCGGGTTTATAAGCCGCATTCAAATCTTGTTGGGGGCAATGCATTGTTTAACAATATTTAATGTATGTGTCACGTGATGTGGCTGTTGATAATTTTTAAAATTGCAAATTTGCAATTTTTACGTCAAACATGCGACTTGGAGAGCCACCATAGTTGGAGCTATCTAAGGGTTAGATTTGGTAATGGTGCAAAAGCTTTACGATTGTATAATTTTGAATATAAATTATCAATTCTTTTAAGGAATTAACAATAATGACTAAAAATGTATGTTATTTCGCTTCCTCATGGAGATATTATTTCTCAAATCTAAGGCTTAGTTCTTAGTATACATCGGGCCTTTATTTTAAATCTAACTTCTCCAAGAAATATATAAACCACCTGAATACCAAGAATTATCAATAGTTTATTTTTTCTTGACTATTGTAATTTCCAACTATCAAAGTAGTAGTCCTTAATAAGGTTTTCTTGTCCTTGAAATACTGTCATTATAATTAGAGATGCCTATTGCAAAAATTGGGGGTCACAAAGCTTCCACTAAAAGTGAAGTATTCGATGGTTCATCACATGAATTTTCTTCAAATGAAATCTCTTCAAATGAAAAGAAAAACGCTAATGAAGTTGTAACTTTAAGATCTGTTGATTCAACTTCTTCAGAAGAATCTTTACTTTCAAAAAATCCTTTCTTAGATCCAAAGGTTGAAGAATACTACCGTGAAGTTTATCAAGCAGCTCATTATGAAAGTTACAAAGCATTTGATCCAACTTTCACCTGGACTCCAGAAGAAGAAACCAAATTAGTCAGAAAATTAAACTATAGAGTCGCTTTAACAGCCTGTCTTCTATTTGTCAGTTTACAAGTTGACAGAGGTAATTTGGCCCAAGCTGTTACAGATAATATGCTTCCCGAGCTTGGTTTAAATACCAATGATTACAATACTGGTAACACTATTTTCTTAATCGCTTTCTTATTAGCCGAAGTGCCATCACAATTAATTTCTAAAAAGCTTGGTCCTGATATTTTCATTCCAATCCAAATTTGTCTTTGGAGTATTATTGCTGCTTCTCAAGCTGCCTTGCAAGGTAAAGCTTCGTTCTATGCTACCAGAGCTTTAATTGGTTTATTAGAAGGTGGTTTTATTGCTGATTTAGTTTTATGGTTGAGTTATTTCTTCACTTCTAGAGAATTATCTACTAGATTATCTTGGTTTTGGGTTACTTTGTCTCTTGTTGGTATTTTCACCTCCTTGTTAGCATTCGGTATATTAAGATTAGGTGGTAAAGGTGGTTTAGAAGGTTGGAGATGGTTATTCTTAATTGAAGGTTTATTCACTTTAATCCTTGGTGTCTTGTCTTTCTATCTAATGGTTCCTTCTGCTGTACAAACCAAGAGTAAGTTACATCCAAAGGGTTGGTTTACTGAAAGAGAGGAGAAGATTGTTGTTAACAGAGTTTTAAGAGATGATCCAAGTAAGGGTACTATGCACAATCGTCAAGCTTTGAGTATTAAAATGATTTTCAAGAGTATAATGGATTACGATCTTTGGCCTGTCTATGCTATTGGTATTTATGCCTATATTGGTCAAAGTACTTTTGGTTCTTATTTTGGTCTTTTAAACAAACAATTAGGTTTCAGTACTTTCACCACTCAAGTTTTAAACATTCCAACCAATATTGTTCATATTGTTTTATTGTTGTTTATTACCTGGCTTTCAGAATTTGTTAAGGAAAGATCACTTGTTTGTATTCTTGCTCCACTTTATTCCACCCCATTTATTGCTATTATCAGATGGTGGCCAGGTTCGGGTAAGGAAAAATGGCCATCATATGTTTTGAACACCTTATTTTCCGGTCAACCATATATTCATGCTATTTGTGTCTCTTGGGTTTCTCGTAACTCCAACTCAGTCAGAACCAGATCCATCAGTTCTGCTGTTTATAATATGTTCGTGCAATTAGGTAACATTGCTGCTAACAATATTTATAGAAAGGATGATTTACCACTTTACCACAGAGGTAACACTCAATTATTCATCATCACTGTTACTTTAATCCCATTATTATTTTTAACTAAAGGTTACTATATCTGGAGAAACAATTCTAGAGATAAGATATGGAATGCCATGACTCCAGAAGAAAGAGAAGACTATATTAAAAATACCACTGATGAAGGTAACAAGAGATTGGATTTCAGATTTGACCATTGATCAATTCTCTTTCACTTGAATAGATGTTTTTAGTCATCCTTTGTTTGTGTTTTAAATTTATTCAATTCATTATATAGAAAGATAGATTATTTAGAATGCTTGACTTCTCTCACTTTCTTTCCAACATTTGATATGTATTTAGGAAATATATTCGGAATTATTTGTTTTATATTCAGTACCTTCATAAAAGCCTTCTAACGTGAAATTTATTTTTTAATATGATATAACCGATCGCAACTCACAGTTGCAGAGACTAAGCATAACATACATAACAAAAATTATATAAGCAATGTAAACTTTACTCTTACCTGGTTCCTTACTTAATCCAGGACTTTCCTTACAAAATAAGCATATAGTATATATTCCTTTAAATATATAAGTACATAAGCTTGTCTTATTATGTATCAATGAACTAAGCTCCTTCTTTCTTTATCTTCTATAACTAATTTCTCCTTGTTGAATAGTTATACCAAAGATTTTGCAACAAATTCGCTGCTACTATTTTTGTGTTGGTTTCTAGTCTCGTTCATTCAGATCCTTTTACCCATAACCCAGCCATTACAGCATAGAGCACACTACCCAATAGTTCAAAAGCCGAGATTATTTCCTCGCTTAAGTTTGTGTCAAATATATTTGTTGTATAAAGGAGTGGAACACAAAACTCCATACCGCAGTACTTTAATAAATCAAAAAAAGAAATTAAATCCCCACGTGGGTTTGAAATAGAAAGACATCTCGTAAATTAATTAAAGGTAAAAAATATTTTAGACTACTATACAGAGGGCCCACGTTGTCAAAGAATTTATTAACAATTAAGGAAAAAGCAGTCACTTCATACTAAAATTTTTCTTAGTTATTAGAAACTATTCAGGAAATCTATCACACGAGGTCTTTCCAAATCCACTTAGTCCCCTGGCATTAAAGTTTTATACTTTGGCATATTTTTTCTTAGGTACCAAGGCTTTATCAGACCTAAAGAGGCTATTTGTCGTACGACCGTTAACTAAATTGAGTAGGACCCTAATTATTATTGGTTGCATCAATCCTTATCATAATTTTTTAGCTTTAACTATTCGTATAATATTAAAACTATGAAATTTTCACATTCGTTAAAGTTTAATGCTGTACCTGAATGGCAAGATAATTATGTCAATTATCCTGCTTTAAAGAAGGTTATTTACAAATTGCAACAAGATCAAGTCAATCTTGCATCAAATGCTCCAAAAGATGGCGGAATTCCAGTTGAAAAAATAAACGATACAACTGTAACTCAGTTAGTTGATAATTATAAATTTAAGAAAGTTAAAGGAACAATTATTATTGAAGATGAAAATGAAGAAGATGAACCTGAAGGTACTGCAAATTCAAAATTTAGACCATCTCATTTAATTAAAAGATTTAAGAAATTAAATTATTCAGCTCCAAAACTCTCTGAAGTTGCATCTACTGATGATGATATTGAAAAATTTGCTGGTACATCATCTACTACTGGTAATAGTGAATTAAATCTTGGATCTATTGATAAGAACAAGCAATCATCTGTTGAATCATTCACTATTGAAGCTGATAATTCTACTATTATTTCTTTCAAATCTACAAGTAATAATAAGAATGGTAACTACTCCGATCCTTCATCATCATCCTTTGATCCATTAAAGGTTTTTACCAAGGATCTCTTAGTTGAGATGCACAAAATCAATGAATTTTATGAAACTAAAGAAACTGAAGTTTTTATTGCCTTTGATAATCTTATTAAGGATTTAGAAAGTAATAATGTTGATATCGATGATGTATTTAGATTTACTCAAGCTTATAATCTTGAAAATCCAGATGTTGTTAGTATGGATGATCATCATCAATATCATTTAAAATCTACTTTATCTAGAACTGTTACTAATGCTTCTGTTTTTGATCATATTAACCATTTAGGTAATGATCATGATAATCATTTCTCATCTGATTTAGAAAAACAAGCATTCATTGCTGCAGATTATGATGATGAAGATGAAGATGAAGAAGATGATGACGATGATGATCATCATAGTGATGATTCTGTTTTATTATCTCATCATGATTTTAATGTTAAGCAACAATTGAAAATTACTTTAAAGAAGAAATCTGTTGCTTTGTTCATTAATATCTCAGAATTGAAGTCTTTTATTGAATTAAATAAAGTTGGTTTTACTAAGATTTGTAAGAAGTTTGACAAGAGTTGTAACTATGCTATTAAAAATGATTTTATCAATCATTTCTTGCCAAATAATTCAAGAGTGTTCTTACCAGAAACCGTTGAAAACTTGGACTATAAGTTAAACCACATTGTAAAGGTTTATGCTTTCTTATCTGGAAAATTGAACTCAAGAACTACCCGTGAAGACTTAGAAAAGATTAAGGTTGAATTAAAATCACACTTAAGAGATCATATAGTTTGGGAAAGAAATACTGTCTGGAAAGATTTGTTATCATTAGAAAAGAAATCCTACAATTTAGAACTTGATGGTAATGCTACCCAAGCTAATAAAATGGGCGATGAAGGTCACCTAAAGAACAGTTTTATGTACGTTAGAATGTCAACTTACAAATATCCATTTAACATAAAGATTTTTGGCCGCGAAACATTTTCTGTCCCAACATCTTTGTTAACTTGGCAAGTTCTTAAATTAATTATCATTAGTGCTGTATTTGCTATTTTATTGACTGTTAAGACTTTTAATGATAAGGTTCAAGCTCGTTGTTTAGCTGTATTAGCTACTGCAGCAATGTTATGGGCTTCTGAAGCATTACCTCTTTTTGCAACTTCTATGCTTGTCCCATTATTATGTGTAACTTGTAAAGTTATTAAGGTTACTGGTACTGATACTCCAATGGATGCTGCTGATGCTGCTACTTACATTTTAGGTACTATGTGGAATTCAACTATTATGATTTTGGTTGGTGGTTTTACTTTAGCAGCTGCATTATCTAAATATAATATTGCTAAGGTTATTTCTTCTTATATTTTAGCATTTGCTGGTACTAAACCAAGAAATGTTTTAATCTCAATTATGTCGGTTGCTTTATTCTTATCCATGTGGATTTCCAATGTTGCAGCTCCAGTTTTATGTTTCTCATTAATTCAACCAGTTTTAAGAACATTACCAACTGATTCACCAGTATCTCAAGCAATGGTTTTAGGAATTGCATTAGCTTCTAATGTTGCAGGTATGGCTTCACCTATTGCTTCTCCTCAAAATGTTATTGCTTTAGAATACATGAACCCAAATCCAGGTTGGGGTAAATGGTTTGCCGTTGCTTTACCTGTTGCTATCCTTGCTATGATTGGTATTTGGGGTGAATTATGCTTAACCTTTAAAATCCATACTACTAAGCTTAAGGCATACAAACCAATTAGAGAAAAATTTACAGTTAAACAAATTTATATCAGTATTGTTTGTATTGCTACCATTTTATTATGGTGTGTTATGACAAAAATTGAGGGTACTTTTGGTCAAGCAGGTATTATTACTATTGTTCCAATTGTTTTATTATTCGGTCCTGGTTTATTAAAAGCCGATGATTTAAATAACTATCCATGGAGTATTGTCTTATTAGCCATGGGTGGTATTGCATTAGGTAACGCTGTTACTTCCTCAGGTTTATTAGCTACTATCGCTCATGCCTTACAAGAAAAGATTATGGACTTTAATGTCTTTGTTATTCTTGTCATTTTTGGTATTTTAATCTTGGTTGTTGCAACTTTTGTATCTCATACTGTTGCTGCATTAATTATTATTCCATTAGTTAAAGAAGTTGGAGAAAAATTACCTCATCCTCATCCTTTAATTTTAGTTATGGGTACTGCCTTATTAGCTTCTTCAGCTATGGGTTTACCAACTTCAGGTTTCCCTAATGTCACAGCTATCAGTATGACTGATGAAGTTGGTAAACCTTATTTAACTGTTAACACCTTCATTACAAGAGGTGTTCCAGCCTCTTTAATTGCATATGTTGTTGTCATTACTCTTGGTTATGGTATCATGCATTCATTAAACTTTTAAAAGTTTATTCATTTTTGCTTATTTATTTTTGGTTTTAGCTCATTTTTAGAATCTTGGTTTGAGATTCTTTGCATCTTTCATATGTTTGTACACTATTTAAAATTATTTTACTTGTTTTCTTATGTTTTGGACTTTCATCCCTCTGTGTATAATAGACATTATTGTAAATTTATTATTATCCTTATTGTAGTTCTACATTAAAATAAAGTTATTGTAATTCAAAATGTAATTATTAAATAAAAAAGTATACAGAAGCGTAAAAATTTGGTATAAAACAGTGAAGAAAATAGAGATTAACTTTAATGATGGGGCCCATACATTGCATCTTGCAAGTTTTGGTAAACGCCACTTAATTCAAGTTGTAAGAGGAGCTTACCTATAGGTGGAGACCAAGTTGGATCAGAAACAATGTATTCTAACCCTTCAGATAACATATTGGATTTTTGAGCTAAGCGGTAGTAGTAGTTAATATTGACGTTTTCTAAGACTCCAGATGAGTATAGATTTTTGACGAGACCAAGACTCATTTTACTGATGGAAGGACTCTGTAATATTTCTAATACTAAAGGAACAACAATGCCTGATTGATTAACTGCTATAAGAATATCTTCTAAAGAGCTACCCAAAAGCTCTGAATTCAATACTTGTGATGCTACATTATTAAGGAAATCTTGTAATGAACCTGAATATTCGTCAGTTGAATTGGAATCATCCCGCTTATGGAACCCATATGCGACGGATTTAGAATCTGTAGTTGCCGATGCATTAAGTCGCTTGTTTGGAGTAGTTTTAATTAAATCAGCAATGTAGTCAACAGTCAAATCATGTCCATTTCCTAAGCCAAGTAAGAGAAAACCTAGCCATGGTGAGTTAGAAAGACCCGGTCCTAAAACATTTCCTAATGTTTCTCTATTCTTATCATTAACAAGAAGTCCACCAGCTACTGATTCGATTATACCAGAAGCTTTCACAGCACTTAAAATAGCTGAGAAATTGACCGTAACGTTAAATCCTTCAATTACTCCACGACTACTCTTTAAAAGTTGAATAATGAAATTGGAAATCACTAGACTAGAGTTAGGATTGCTAGCCACTTCATTCAAAATGTCCAAAACTATTCCTGAATTGTTAACAATTTGTAATATATTGGTGATAGAATCAACTGTAGACTCATCTGCTCTTTTTACAAAAATATTCAGATTTTTAGCTACAAAATCACTGATGATCTGTTCTAATCTATCTTCATATTGATTTTCGTCTGACCAATCTTCAAGGATATCCACGACAGTTGGAGAATCCGCAGCTGTTATTGCTGTCGTGAAAAGAAGTATTACTGAAAATAATATATGTAATAATTTCATGCTATCTTAAGCCAATGCTATTTATGAATTGAACGAATGGTAAATTAGTGAATACTATCTTCAATATATGTAATGAATGTTGTGAATGCTGATACAAGCAGTTGCTCAACTAAATAAGAAAGAAGATAGTATTTAATAAATTTCAAAAAGTGATATATAAATTTGAATACTACAAAACCTTATTACAAACATTGCGAGAGATAAATGTCAAGAAAGTACTTTTACGTATTAAGTCTAAAGTTAAGATAATTTAAGATCAATAGGTATATCAGCAGTTACCAAAAAGGGTTAATGGCCATATACCTGCACACAGATTTCCGTATTAGGCAATACAACAAATTTGTGCAGAAGGATTTTTTCTTTGAAGTCTGGGGTAAAGTTGGGTATCGTATAGAAGAGTGATCCCAACATCTTGTTAATTCTAATTAATGGTCCAACAACATATATACATCAGTTCATTAACTTATTGAATATGGTGATTTATACTGTTAAGCTTTTGGACTTTAGTAAGTATACCAAAAACTTTTCTTGTGCCAATCCTCATGATGACTAAATGCACTTAAAAGTAAGCACCTGTATAAAATGGTCGCATTTGCTTTATTGGGAAATTAGATTTTTATCTCATCACATTGCCCAATTAGGCAACTTGGACGTTAAAAATTCTAAATGGGCAATTTTAATTAGCTTTACAGTATAGTGGTAATTGCCAAATTCTTCTTGACTGTAAATATTGGCGTCATTAAATATGTGTTTCAGTTCTTGTGTAATTCCTTTATAGATTTCAAACTGTTATGTACGGGTCAATTCTATTCGTATAGGGAATTTTGACATAATTTTATAAAATCTTTTTATATCCTTTTTCTTTTTATTACTACTCGTCAATCAATTCTTCTGGAACTTATAAAGAAAGTATTTCTTGAAAGTGCTTCATTCCAGTCCTTTGATATCTGTGTATGAGAAAATAAGCATAAACGATTGAATCCACTTAAAATAATACTAGAATGAAGCTTCTCCATTTTGTTTCATTTTTCATCATAGGATTGATCACCTATGTTACAGCCAGCAATAAAGTTCCACAAGTTGCTGCCATACAAGATACTAAATTTGAAATTACAGAATACTGGGAAGACATAATCTATTCTACTTTAGATGATGAACAAATTAAAGTATTGGAAGAATTGTTCCATCCACCTGTTGATTATTTATCAAAGAGAGATGCTGTTCAAAATACAGTTGCTGAAATATTAGTCATGGTGAATCAATCTGGAGTTATTTGGAATGTACTTGATGAGATTGCAGGTCATCCAGATAGAATTCAAACTCTTGCTAATTTTACAGCAGGTATTATTGGATCTATTAATATTTCGAATATTGATTTTTCGGCACTTTATTCTACAGCTAGCTCGTACAATGCTACGGGTCTTCTTAAAGAAGTTGAAAAGTCAGGATTAATAACATCACTCTTGGATGGAATATTGCTAGATGCTAGTTATCGTCCAGTATTAGTAGATTTGATTTACAGAATTGTCATATCTCAAAAGAATACACTTTTATATATTATTAAAGGTGTTTTCCATAAGAGAGACTTATCCGTATCTCAGCTCACACAGGACGAGTTTTCCGATTTAGTTAAGAGAGCTAGTGATGAATTTTCTGGAAGTATAACTTCCTTTATAGGTAATCTTGCTGAACAAGTCCTCGGTTCACAAATCTTTGTCAATGCTACTGGAGATGTCCTTGATGCATTAAATGACACCCAATTTTTAACTTATACAGTCAAGAGATTTATTGCAGATGAAGCTTATCAAAACATGACTGCATTGTTGATTCATGATATCATGGCAACTGGAGCAATAAATATTCAAGGAGCTTTAGCCAGTTTAAAAAATCTTAATGTTACAGCCCTTGTAGCTGTCGCTGTAAGTCAACCCAAAGTCGTTTCAGCATTTATTGGAAATTTATTATCCAGTGGTAGCAATCTTAGTCCAGAAATTACTAGTTCATTGGGTAAGTATGCTGGAGCAGTTAAACAAATTATTTTAGGTTTAGAATCTAAGGGTCTTTTTGCTCAATTAAATACTTATATCTTTTCAAGTTCATATTCACCACCTTCAGCTACTGCTACTCCTACAACTACGTCTGTTGGAAATTCTACAAATGTAAATAAAGCCGCTGAAGTTTCAACAACCTTAGCTTCATCATTTATTGGAAGCTCAACAGGTTCTGGATCACCAACAACTTCATCATCTTCAGGCTTAGCTGTTGCTACTAACAACTATAACGTTCCAGTGATAAAAGCCCTCTTCTACATACAATCACTCATTTTTGGAGGAGCATTCCTCATGATTTAACGGAATACCCTCTGCATTTAATTTTTATTCTTTCGATTCGTTAGCCAATTTATTATAGTATATTATTTATATATATAATTCTCTCGGCCATTTTATACCATTTTCTGTTTGTTTGTTAATACAAAACTTTTATTATATTTAAGGTGTAAAAATTATAGGGTCCTTATCAGCCGAAACTGATTCCCCTTTGGGAAGCATGCGGCTGTCGCCCCATCAGATACAGGAATACTGTTTTCCACCTCCACATGCTTAAATATATTTAAAACATTGAACATATCTCCATTTATACCACATTTCAAAGTGTAGTTGGTTTCAAACAGGGAGACAAAGTTGTCTGGTCCAAGTTCCTTGTTTAAATCTCTTCGAAGGACCCTAGGCTCGAATTGTAAGTACAATAGTCTACTTCAATAAGGTATAATGTCTAATTTCAAATCTATGGATCAAGGGCATCTCAAACTTTCGGAAATAGGAAAATCATTTCGTGATCGTTCCATGTCTCCAAATACTCCTTACCAAGATCTTGAAGCTCAAAATTTAACTCAATCATTTCATAGTGAAGATGAGTCCAATAACGAAGATGAAGATGCAGATGAAGATGATGAAGATGATGAACCAGTTCCAATTTTATCACATAGTTGGGCACCTACTAGTGTTCTTGGAGCATCAAAACAAGCTGTTTCAGCTCCTCAAACTCCAAAATTTTATAAAAGTTCAAGTATTGCAGGTCCACCCACTTCTCAGTTGAGTGGTCTTCCACCATTACATCGTACAATATCTAACCCTAGTCAAATAACTAAGGAAGATTTGAATAAACTACAGTCATTCACTAAAAATTATATTATTCCAGCTGCAAAATGGGCTTATTCTCCAATAAGCTCTAAGGTTAAACCTTCATCAGCAAGTTCAAATAATGTTGTTAAATACAAAATAGAATACTCTGTATTCAAACCATTGAGGCATTTACGACCCATTAAATCAGAGAAGGATTTTATTATTCATTGGAGAAAAATAGTGGAGGATGAAACTAATGAACCATTTGATTTTCCAGCAAATTTTATTACTAAAGCATCTTTTAATAATATAATTGATGAAGTAGTTAAAGTTATAGAAGAGGAACAAATCTTTCCAGAAAGAATTGCTGCTGGATCTTCAGGAAGTTATTTTGTGTATAATCGAAATAATAAAAACCCTCAAGTACTTGAAAGAGTGGGTGTTTTTAAACCCAAGGATGAAGAACCTTATGGTCCAGTATCACCTAAATGGACTAAATGGTTACATCGTACATTTTTTCCATGTTTCTTTGGTAGGTCATGTTTAATTCCTAATCTTGGTTATATTAGTGAAGCAGCAGCTACAGTTATGGATCAACAATTATTGTCATATATTGTCCCACATACTGAAGTCATTAATTTACGATCTCCCACATTTTATTATTCGTATTTTGATAAATCAGAAGTTATTAATAAGTTACCTCAAAAGATTGGTTCGTTTCAATTATTCTTAAAGGGCTATACAGAGTCTATTAATTGGCTTCGATCATATCCCATTCCAAATGATGTATCTACATTACCCCAGACTTCAGAAGTAATTATTGGTGAAGATGAGACGGTTCAAGATACTCAATTCAAATGGTCCAAGACAAGTCTTAGACAATTCCGAGAAGAGATTGAAAAATTGGTTATTTTGGATTATATAATTAGAAATACTGATAGAGGATTAGATAATTGGATGATTAAGATTGAATGGATTTTAAAAAGGAAGACAAAGAATGGGTCTAAGATTTATACTCCAATTGTAAAGATTGGAGCTATTGATAATGGCTTGGCATTCCCTTGGAAAAGACCCGATGCTTGGAGATCATTCCCCTTTGGTTGGTTATTCTTACCATTATCTATTATTGGTCAACCATTTTCTTTAAGAACAAGAAATCATTATTTACCATTATTAACTTCAAAGTTTTGGTGGGAACAAACTGTTGAAAAATTACGTGCTACTTTTGAAAAAGATAATGATTTCTCTCATAGATTATGGTTAAAACAATTGGCAGTATTGAAGGGTCAAGCATTTAATGTAGTTGAAATATTAAAGTTAAGTTATGCTGGTCCATTAGAGTTGACAAGACGAGAAAATTTGGAAGTTATTGATGAAGTAATTAGCGTTCCTAAACTGGTAACTAACAATAAGCTCCTTAGAGAGATGCAACAAAGCATATATGACATTGGAGGATATGAAAATGGATATCTGCCTTATACGCCACGGATTAATGAAGAAGAAGAAGAAGATGATGATGATGAGGAAGATGAAGAAGAAGGTGAGGGAGATAGTAATATTAGTGAAGAAAATGGACATGAAGAAATTATAAGTCCAATTAGTACCAACGTATTAGTGGCCGATACGACTCCATTATTAGCTGGATCACCTGATATTCAATATAAAGGAAGATATCTTGAAGATATTAATGGATTTGAATATAATCTTCAACATGATGCTAGTTCGAATTATCAAGAAAGGTCTAATACTACGGCAGTTATAGAGAGGATAATTAAAGCTAATAGTCAACCACCTGTATTTACATGGTGTTAAGAATAGTTATTTTCTATACACATCTAATGTATTATATATAAATATATATATATATATATATATTTATTTATTTATGAGCATATTTTTCAAGGTAAACATCATGAAGTTTATCACTATCAATTTTAAAATCGTCTTCATTGATTTTGAGGAGTCCAATACTTTCTTTAATTCTAAATTGAACTACCGATACAAGACCATAAATTAAACTTAATATTGGTGTAGATACTCCATTTTTAGCAGCAATCTTAAGAGGATTACCTAATATAATTTCTAATTCCATTAATTGATTCTTCTTTTGATCAACACACATAGATGGAGAATAAAAGAGTCCATCACCAATATGAATGAATTTTTCAATTTTTTCTTCTTCATCAATTTCTACTCCTTCAGATTTAGCAATAGAAATAAGTTCTCTCATTGCTGGTCTAAATATACTATCATTTAAACCATTAATTTGACATCTAGTAACATCAATATTAAGAATAGCAGTAACTGGATTAAATACTGAATTATAAATAAGTTTTTCCCATCTAGTTTGTGATACATTTTCATCTACTCTAATGAAATTTAAATCATTATCATTCTTATATATATGAATAAAATTTTCAATAATTTGACGTACTTTTGGAGATGATTCCTTTTTAAAATCTCCAAGAAATACATTATCAGGACCTTTATTTTCAATAATTCCATTATAATTGGTTGAACCAATATGAGTTACTGCACTAAGAATTACATTTTTAGGAAATGCTTGATGCATTGGAGTATCAATTCCAATACCATTTTGCATAAGAAGAATTGTTGATTTATCACTAACTGCTGGTTTAATAATTTCTTCACAAGTCATTTTACCATCAGGAATATTTTTAGTAGTAACTATAATATAATCAAATTCTCCATATTTAGCAGCATCTTCAACAGATTTGGCTACATTATGAGGTCTCCAATTTTCTATATGACCATAAGTACATGAATTAATAGTAAATCCTTTATCAATTATCTTTTGATAATCAGATCGAACAACAAGTGTTACATTCGATCTCTTTCTAGTCCATAATGATAACGCAGCAATGGTTCCTACACCTCCAGAACCAACCACTAAGACTTTTGGTAATTGAGCTAATGACATTTCAACCCTAATGCTGTCTCTCTAAAAGTGACGAAACAAAGTAAAACAAAAGAGTAACAGGAACTTTTTCACATCTTAAATAATTGACGTATTTTGCGGGCTGATATATTGCACAAAAAATTTGGGTGGTGTCCGAAAGAGGAGTGAAAATGCGACCGCTTTACGGAGTATGAGTCAGTTCGTACAGAGACTAGACAATCGGTTATGACGCAAAGGGTTAGTTATCTTTACTATTAAGGTACTGTATAACAATAATGAAATGAAAAGAAATATCTATGAATAATTTTATATTGTACTAATCTATAAATCGACTTTTAGTAACAGAGATGTAAATTCACCGGGACCATCATAGTCGTAATAGGGTCTGGCTTGAATAATTTTTAATTCAAAATATTTCATTGAATCTGCGTCATTAATTTTACCAACAACTGTGGATGGAGTTGTCTTTTTATGAGCTTGAGCTTGATTGAATTGTTTTATGCCTAATGAATGAGTTAATTTAAGGGTTTTAGACATAATAGTCAATACCTGATTGACTGAGCGAGATAAAACTCTTACATCATCATTAAGATTTTGTAAATTTGTGTATAGTTTGTCTAATAATAGGGCAGAGAATAAATCTCCTACACCCGTGAAATATGACTTTATAATATTAATTTTAAATATTTCAACATGATTAATTGCTGATATACTTGAACATGCACAGTAGATATATCCATCTCCATTACTATTTGAAGAATCTTCTTGATCATCAAATATTGATGCATTTAAACTAGTGATTACGACGTATTTGATATTATGAACGAGATGTAATTTGGCCATGGCAATCTTTAAATCGGCTACCGATTTAATAGGAGAATCAATAAGTAATTCTAGTTCAAATTGATTTGGAGTTATTATATCGACAATATGACGATCTAAAAATGATCTATATTGTGTTATACATGATTCATCGACATAAAGATAATTATTATCTCCCATTACTGGATCTAACAAATAAAGTAAAGGATTTTGAGATGTCAGTTTTAATTCTGTTATGGCATCCCCAATGCATGCAATTAATTTCGAATTAGGAACATATCCAGTTAATACTGCAGTATAAGGTATATGTAATCCATGAAAAAGTTGATGAAGGATCGGTTTTAATTCATTAGATTCATCTATACTGGTTCCTTTAAATGATCCATAACCTGTATGATTTGAAAAATTAACGGTATTAATATTATCAACTTCCCATCCTTGAGTTTGTAAGGGGAATATAGCGGCCTTACCTCCGACATAGCCATGAACGACATGTGATTGTATGGATAATACCGATTTCGACATGGATATTGTATTGGGTATCGGTTCGAGTATTAGTGGCTGAGTAACACTCAAAATATCTTTCAAATCAAGTAAAGGCAACCCTTAACTATAACTGCTTTAGCTATATTGTGACTCTTAAAAAAATTTGATAGATGTGCATCAGAGTTAATTTTTTCACATGATCTTGAACGTGATTGACAATCACATGACCTTTGTGCGTATATTTAGTTGCAAAACTTGTGCTACGTGTTTAGATTTAAATATGACGTAGACAGTAAGATAGCAACTATTTATCCGGGGAGAAAGGGTATAGGTTTTTTGATCGTATTATTGAGTATATGTATTTATTAATCTAAATATATAGCAAATCGGATTTTTAATCTCTAGCGAACGCATTATACAGGATAAATTTTACCAATAGCCGAATGATGGGTCAATAATGGTTATTCTAATCACTTAGTCATCTGCAAAGAATACGAAGTCGATCTGCATGCATTTGGTACCCATGAGTGGATTTGCAGATAGTAAAGCAGTAAAACGGTAAAAAATAAAGTATATTCCCTTATTCTTTGACCCACAAATTTTATGTAATGAAAATATCTATATGCATAATCCCTTATTCGCTTCACAAGTTTTAAATCGTCTAATAATTAGAAGTAAGTTTAACCGTACATGATATTTTCTTTCTTGAAAGAATTTCAATTTATGGATAAATTCTTGACTTTTATCCCTGCGAAGGAGTCAATTAATATTAACACACTGAAAGTAAGTTATAAAAAATAACACCTCCTCTTGGCAATATTATAAATTATGATGAAAAATATAATATTAATAATGCTGTACCCTTGACTACTGATAATATTTCGAATAAAACCTTACATGATGAAAATATTTCATGAATAATAATTGTAGAGCTTCCAGAAGCTCTTGAATATTCAGTGAGAAAATAGAATAAATATCAGTTCGATAGAATATCCGAATGAATTTTTTTCAAATATGCAGTGGTGCAGTGGATTAACATTTGAAGGAATAACCGAATGGACTAATTTATCCAATATTTGTAATATATGCAGTGTATACGGTTCTTCCAGTACAAATCTCTGATTAAATGTAGAGAAAATTAAAATCTGGTGCATGAAATATGAGGTGATCTGGTGAATGAAAATGAGGAAACAAAATCTACATAAAACATAAAAAGTGGTTAAATTGGGCGTGTATATACCGTTACTATGTTTGAGTAAGGGTATATTCTACATATATTGCAAGCTATGAAACTTGTATTTATACTGAGTCGGAAGTTTTCTGTGTTAGCATCCTTAATAAAGATGAAATTTATGAAACGCATATAGTAGACTCTTGGAATGTTCTCTCGCGTGTAACAATAGAAACAGTGCGCAACAAAGCCGATTATATGAGCCAAGAAATCTGACAAATAAAAGAGAAGCTGTAGATAGGGTTTGATGAGGTTGAACGTAAGAATGGTTCGGTTTGAATGTCTAAAATGAACTCAAATATCTGTGCTTCGGTTTGAATGTTTAAAATGAACTCAGATGTCTGTGCAGTACGATACGGCAAACCCTAAAGTTAATTTGAGAAAATTTTGATATTAAGCTTTACAAGACTATCATGCTAGATCTTAATAGAGAACATAAGCGATGATCGAAGATCCAACAAGTCATAGTTGGACCAATATGATCATACAAAATGATATGATAAAATGAAATGTTGAAGTGATCTACTACTTACTTGGCTTACTTCATCGGCATTTATTTAGTCACGCTCCTGATGATAAAGGGTCTAGAAAAAAAAAATCGATCTCTTCGATTTGCATTATTAACAATTGGGGAGATAATAAAATTCCGCTTACAATGGGAGATGAACAATATAAATTTTTCATCAGAAAATAGTAATCTGATGATGTTGAAAAATGCAATAAACATATTTTACTGGCTTATTATGAAGAAAATTAATATTCGATGTATAAGGTTCTTAAGATTATAAAATCTATTTTAGAAACAAGTTAGTCGATAGTTACATGACCTCCACAGTAATGGACCATTTAAGGATTAAGTTATTCAACGAATACGAAAGTTACACAATGGATCTCAATTGATTACATTAATTAGCGGAGATAATTACCGCAAACCACTGTTTCATTGACAGTTACATTTGTATGAATTGAAGGACTCATTTGACATTCAAAGGCGGCTCCATACATCTCCACTTTCTCTGACACCCACAACCACTTGCAAATTTGTAATCAATGATATTCCTTATTGGATGGAAACTGAGACGAAAATGGAAGTAACAGGGTTATAATGTACGTAATTTAAAATTGTGTTGATTTTTTAAAATAAAATATCATACAGATCGAAAGAGAGGTGCATCGCATAAAAGGATTGTATAACGAACGCACTGAAAAGTATGGAATTAACCGAGCGGCTCTACCACATTAATAACCTACCTCATGCAATTAACACACCAGTTTATTACATTTTGACACTTATGGAAATTAATTGCTATCTTCTACCCCATGTAGCTCCTTTTCGTACATTTTTGCAAAGGATAGAAGGGTTATCACCGATGAACAGGCGGGTTCTGAAATTAATTAGATTGAAATCTCATTAAAATTAATTAAAATAAATTACATCGAGAGAAAATTGTGTAGTTTGACTATTTTGTTTAAAGATTTGAGATGATGAAGAATTATTTAGTTCATGAATGAATCTATATTAAAATACGTCATAGAAAGATTACGACCAGATTATTATTATGAGCCCATAGATAATATATGTAAAGAAAGAATAACGTGAAAAATTCATCACATTCGCCCATTGTACTAAATTTAATTTATGTGATCTTATTTTTATTTTTATCTTAAACTTAGTTTTTTTTTTTTGAATTTATTTTTTTTTCCTTTAAAAAAATTTATTTCAATTTATTTTTTGTTTATTTTATGATCTTTGTTTGTGGAATTCAAGAAAAAAGGAGTCGTTAACTATGGGAATTTTGGTTTTTACACTGCCCACATTCTCAAATTTAACTTTTCCTCACTTGGGAAAAAATGCTATATAAATATTAATCGGTTGTCCACTTTTTCTTCCTTTGAATTTATCAGCACCTCAATTAATACAATACTTACTAGTCAATATAAAACGGTAAGGTATAGCTGGCAAATAATTAATTAACAAAGCCAAGATTACACAGGTGTAATTAATTTTTAAGGATTCCGAATAGATTATTGTATCTACCCTCCCTCTACTAACAAAATATGTTGACGAGTGATTCATCAAATTCAATTCCTACTGATCTCAACTTCAAAACATCTTTGCCTCCAAGAAAGAGAGCAAAGACTAAAGAAGAGAAAGAACAACGTAGAGTTGAAAGAATTCTTCGTAATAGAAGAGCTGCTCATGCTTCACGTGAGAAGAAGAGAAAGCATGTTGAATACCTTGAATCTTATGTACTTAAATTAGAAGCTAATTTACAATCTTTAACTACTAATTTTAATCTGGTCTCTGGTTTATTATCATCTGATCAATTAAGTTCAATTAAATTAATTGATTTACAAGATGTCGAAGATTTAAAACAAAAGATTCACCAAAATTTAAATAGTTCGGCTGCTTCTTTTACTGCTGGTAATGGTTCATCTTCGAAAAGAAAAATTGATGATGATGACGAAGAAGAATTAGATGATGACTTAGATGAAGAAGAATCAACTAATAATACAACTAGTTCTGCTACTCCTGTACCTACTACTGTAAAAAGTGAAGATACTACTTCTGCAAAAATAACACCATCCCCTCAATTCCAATATAAGAAAATAAAACTTGAATCTCAAGAACCAGAATTATCCCAAGGATTAATTCAACCAAATGAAAATATAAATAATACTTATTATAATTATTTAAGTCCAGTATCTATGAATTCTCCAATGAATTCTCCAATTGACTTAACCTTATCTAAACAATATCAACAACAATATCAATTACTCAACCTTGATTCTAATGTTCCTTCATTGACTTCTGCTTATGAAATGGGGCAAAATTCAGAAGTAATTTTGTCCGCATTGTCAAACTACTGTCCTTCAGTTATTATCGTGTGAAGAAAGTTCATTCAATAATAATATATTATTTCATTATGAATTCATATTTGAAAGTTCTCTGCTTGTCTGCCACTCCCTACCATGATTGTACAACTTTATTAATCATATTTCAACTACAAAATTCTTAATTCTAGAGTTAACTTTTATATTTGTTATTAGTTGACTAATTCTATATAAATTCGTTTTGGGAATTACTTTTACTTCAAGATTACATTTCAATCTTATCAGAGAGAGATGTATATTAATTTACGCTCTTTAGCCAGGTGGTTAAATTGGAAGTAAATTAATATACGTGGAAATTTCTCAATGACAAGTATGAAAGGTAATATTGATAACCCAATTTGAGTTTAACTACTATTAGATCAATATTAAGTATAATGGTTGATTCTATCAAGACCGGTACCATCTTAATGAATTAGGAATTGAGATTGATTACTAATTTGAATTCATCATTTTCATGTTATTTATGGGAGGTGCGCAATGATTTATAGCATCGAGTTAATTTTCTTTATGATTTCCATAATCATACTATTTCCACGTATAATACTTGACGGACTCTGGCATTGTTGGTCTGCAGCACCAATCATACCAGATTTCATTGAAACATTAGAACCATCCCATTATATGTCATCTACCAAATCAATTGAAGATATATTATTACCTTCAAATACCACCAGTGCTCCTACTGTTAATACTATGAATCCTAGTGGAGTAAATTCCAGTGATGATTTTGGTTTAAATATTGATGAATTCTTTTCCTTTTAGAAATCATCGTTGTTGATTGTATATTAGTTTATGGGTTTTTCTTATACATTTGGTTTTTATATTCTTATTTTTTTATTTGGGTCTGTTTTTATTTGTTGCTTGTTTTGTTTTATTCATATTTTAGTGCTATTACCCTCCAACTTTTGACAATTAAATCATTGCTTAATACCGTTTACATTGACATCATTATATTATAAAATTGTCATATATCATTTATCATTTATTCATCAAAATTATAATTAAAATTTAAAAAAAAAGTAGAAAAGCAAAAAAAAATCTCCAAAAAAAACGAAGCTGGTTTTTATAATTCATTATCAACGATCAATTGCATTTTGCTGTCTGAGGTTTATTCTTTGTATCTGTTGCTAATCCAAAAGCTGATTATTTAATATGTTCTAGTTTAAGTTTGTGTGTGATCATTCTAACAACTTGTTGACTATACTCATGGCGCTCCATTAATTTGTTGATGCGACTAGTAGTAATGAGTCCAAGTTTATAAAGATTGGTTATATACTAGTTTCCGACTAGTTACAGTTATATTATTAGTTTATGTAGAGGAGAATAGAAGCAAGAGAAGCTAAAGAAACAGGAGTGTAAAGAAGTCTTGACTGAATTTGTTTTTGGAGATTGTTGTTGATTGTCTGACTGGGATTATTGTAGTACTGTTACTTAATTAATATGTCTTTTATTAGAAATATACACTTACATTAAATGTCTGAAATTCTTTGTAGTAGAAAAATTGTAACATACTCTAACTTTTTGCGCCTTACCTTGTCATTATCTGACAGACAAAATTAACGTGTGTCTGATTTAAATGTTTTAAACAGTACTATCAGGTCGTTTTCGTTAGTTACTGCAATGCCTCCGCAAATAGTATTCTTAAAGCTCTCTCCGACACAGACCATTCCTCTTAAGATATTTATTAACAAATCATTCCCCTCATCATCATCGACTTCCTCATCATCGGCTTCTGCGTCTAAATCATTAGCAATAAATTCAAAGTCCCTAATAACACTCCATAATGCTCCCATAAATTACTTCCATATCCGATTGAGTGATAACTATCTCACGCGAGTACTTGAAGATGTTCAACCCTGTTTGAACTTAATTCTCTTTACGGCTCTGCTCGATAAAATTTACCCCAAGAAATCAGGAACTAATGATACTTTGAGCTTCTCGTCATCATCATCGTTATTTAATGATCCATTACTGGCATTGACCACAGACAATACAGGTTCTGGTAGTCATTCTCATTCCCCATCCAAGTTCAAATTCAAATTATGTGTGAGTCTTAATCTTATAATCAATCTTCGAATACGGTTTAATAAACTATCTACTGCAGATATACTACATTTACAAAATATAGGTATTCTACTGGGATCAAGTCCAAAGTTCAAATTAATGAAAAGAGATCCTCAATATAGTCTACTATTGAAATCACAGCTGTTTAAACTGTCTACACAACATAATAATAAGCAACAAGATACTGATCCTATAATACTAGTGGAGGATGAAGATCAAGATATAGTACCCAGTGATCTGGACAATTTGGATAATGTAGAAGATATAGATCAATCGGATGATATGAAGAAGTCCTTTAGCTACAAGTACACACGGTCTCGAGTGTTTGGCAATCTCTCCAATAGTGTTAAATTATATCTTATAGACTCTTGAATATACGCTTGCTCTGTATTGTATAAGGACAAACAAAAAAAAAAAAGTTCGAGTATCGCCACTAAAAATATGGGTAGTACCAATAAGACTAATCAATCTCGAATTAGAAGTAAAAAAAATAGAACCAAGTATTATTACATAAATGACAGTAATTATCCGGTTTAGATCGAAAGATGGAATGTTTCGAGTCCCTTCTGAAGGAGGAGATGACTTTTTACTTGTGTTAGAGCAATTAATACCCAAATTAAATAATTCAGGTATATCAGTTAATGATATATATGTAAGCGATAAACCAACTGAGAAGGGTCAATTGGCTAATTCGTTGTGCGGAAAATCAGTGAACGAATTAGGGTTAAAGCATGGAGATCTCTTGTTTGTCAGTTATGAGTCAGGAGATGCGACTACAGCTTCTAATAATACGGGGCAAGGTTCAGTAACGGTTAATTCAATGAATCATGTATCAATTAAACCAATCCTGATACCATCTTCAGGTCCATTAACATCCATAAATCAACTCCCAGTTGATGACTATTTGGAAAAGCAAGATGGACTTATTAAAAGACCCTTAACGAGATTTTGTCAGCATGGTGCTAAAGGTATGTGTGAATATTGTTCACCATTACCTCCATGGGATAAAGAATATCATAAGAAAGAGAATATTAAACATACATCATTTCATGCTTATCTTAAAGAGATTAATGAAGTTAAGAATAATAAATTTAATAATAGTTCATATATGGCTCCACTTGATGAACCCAATTATAAGATTGATTTAAATTGTAGTTCAGGATCTCATAAACCATATCCAAGAGGGATATGTTCTAAATGTCAACCGAATGCAATTACTCTTCAACTTCAAAAGTTTAGAATGGTAGATCATGTTGAATTTGCTCATTCATCAATTATGGATAAATTCATTAATGTATGGAGACATACAGGAGTACAAAGATTTGGATATTTATATGGTAGATATGAACCATTTGAAAAAGTTCCATTAGGTATTAAGGCAGTAGTAGAAGCTATTTATGAACCACCTCAATCAGGAGAATTAGATGGAATTACATTATTACCATGGGAAAATGAAGCTCAAGTGGATGAAATAGCTGCCAAGTTAGGATTATATAAAGTGGGAGTAACATTTACTGATTTAACTGATAGTGGATTAAAGGATGGGACAGTATTATGTAAAAGACATAAAGATTCATATTTCTTAAGTAATTTAGAAATTTTAATGGCTGGTAAATTTCAAATTAATCATCCTAATAAAACTAAATGGAGTTCATCAGGACAATTCTCTTCAAAATTTGTTACCTGTGTAATTAGTGGAGGATTAAAGGGACAAATTGAACCTCGATCATATCAAGTATCAATTGAAGCCGAATCATTAATTAAAGCCGATATAATCACAGGTTCAACTCAACCTTCACAAGTTTATGTTAATTCCAATAATGATACAAGATATGTTCCTGATATTAAGTATCTGAAATTAAATGAATATGGACTTGAAGTTAAATCAGATGCAAAACCTACATTTCCAGTAGAATTTTTATTGGTATCATTAACAGATTCATTCCCATTAAATCCTACCCCATTATTTAGTGCTGATAAATCATCATTCACTATTGAAAATAGAGAATTTATGGGAGAATTACAGAATTTACATACAGCTTATAAATATCTTAATCAAGACTTTGATCAAGAATCATTACTTAATTTCCATTTCATTATTTACTTATTTAAATCTAATATACTTGGACATGATGAATTGGAGACATTAATTAAGTATGTGGTCAATAAGGAGTACACTGACTATTTGCAATTGATTGAGAGTCCAGGATGGATGACACTTCTTACGATACTTGAACAGAGTAACTAAATAGTAAATAGTAAATGTTAAATTCTAAATATTAAATAAGGTTTATATAGATTAGTCTACATAAATGATACACTAACAATACACAGAGTAATATACAGAGTAAAAATGCGTACTTTCTTTAATGTAACCTATAATTGATTCTCATAATTAGGAAACAACAATCATATGCCACTCAGTTATTCTTTTACATCCATATTATCTCCACGTTCCTATACTTTTTACCTTTAAGCTTCCAGAAGATTCTAGATATTTGGTGTATACACCCATGCCGCAGTACTAGTGCCTAGCGTCCATCACCAAATTGTTGGCCAGAGCACGAAAATTTTTTTTTTTTCACTTTTATAAGTACAGTACTAAGTAGCAAGGTTAATTTCTTCTTTACCCAATTAATTAATAATTATCAAAAACATGTCTACCCCATTCGGTGTTGATTTAGGTAACTACAACTCTGTCATTGCCTGTGCCAGAAACAGAGGTATTGATATCATTGTTAATGAAGTATCAAATCGTGCTACTCCATCCTTAGTCGGATTTGGACCAAAGAGTAGATTTATTGGAGAAAGTGGTAAAAACCAACAAACTTCAAATATTAAAAATACTGTTGATAATTTAAAAAGAATTCTTGGATTAAATTATGATGATGCTGATTTTGAAATTGAAAAGAAATATTTTACTGTTCCATTAACTAAAGATGAAACTACTGGAGGTATTAATGCTAAAGTTAGATATTTAGGTGAACAAAAGGAATTTAGTGCCACTCAATTAACTGCTATGTATATTAATAAGATTAAAGATATTGCCTTTAAAGAAACTAAAGCTAATCTTGTTGATATTTGTCTTTCTGTTCCAGCTTGGTATACTGAAAAGCAAAGAAGAGCTGCTGCTGATGCTTGTAAAATTGCTGGTTTAAATCCAGTTAGAATTGTTAATGAAGTTACTTCTGCTGCTGTTGGTTATGGTGTATTTAAAGCTGGTGATTTACCAGAAGATGAACCAAAAAAAGTTGCATTTATTGATATTGGTAATTCATCTTATCAAGTTTCAATTGCTGCTGTTAAAAAGGGTGAATTAAAAATTTTAGGTACTGCTTATGATAAACATTTTGGTGGTAGAGATTTTGATCTTGCAATTGCTGAACATTTTGCTAGAGAATTTAAATCTAAATATAAGATTGATGTTCATGAAAATCCAAAGGCTTATTATAGAGTTTTAGTTGCTGCTGAAAGATTAAAGAAAGTTTTATCTGCTAATACTCAAGCTCCATTTAGTATTGAATCTCTTATGAATGATGTTGATGTTTCATCTTCTTTAACTAGAGAAGAATTAGAAGATTATGTTAAACCATTATTAGATAGAGTTCATGTTCCAATTGAAAAGGCTCTTAAAGATGCTGGATTAACTGTTGAAGAAATTGATTCTATTGAAGTTATTGGTGGATGTACAAGAGTTCCATCTTTAAAACAAAAATTAACTGATATTTTTGGTAAATCATTATCTTTTACTTTAAATCAAGATGAAGCAATTGCTAGAGGTAATGCTTTTATTTGTGCTACTCATTCTCCAACTGTTAGAGTTAGACCATTTAAATTTGAAGATTATAATCCTCATACTGTTTCATACTTTTGGGATCAAGAAGATGAAGATGAAGATCATTTAGAAGTTTTCCCAAGAGGTGGATCATTCCCATCAACTAAAATTATTACTTTATTTAGAAAGGGAGATTTTGAAATTGAAGCAAAATATACTAAATTAGATGAAGAATTACCTCAAGGTACTGAACCACTTGTTACCAAATGGCAAATTAAAGGAGTTATTCCATCAGAAGGTGAATCATCTATTGCAACTAAATTAAAATTAAGAAATGATCCATCAGGTTTTTATACTATTGAATCAGCTTATACTGTTGAAGAAAAAATTGTTAAAGAATTAATTGAAAATGAAGAAGGTAAAGAAGGTGAAGATGAAGATGGTGAACCTCAATATAAAGAAGTTAAGAAATTAGTTAAAAAGAATGATTTAGAAATTATTACTTTATCAAGTGCTTTACCAGAATCAATTAGACAAGATTATATTGAAAAGGAAAATTCTATGGTTATGGAAGATAAATTAGTTGCTGATACTGAAGATAGAAAGAATGCCTTAGAAGAATATATTTATGAATTAAGAGGTAAATTAGAAGAACAATATAGTGCATTTGCTTCTGAACAAGAAAAGGAAAAATTATCAGCATTATTATTAAAGACTGAAGATTGGTTATATGATGAAGGTTATGATTCAACTAAGGCTAAATATATTGCTAAATATGAAGAATTAGCTTCAATTGGTAATATTATTAGAGGTCGTTATTTAAGTGATCAAGAAGAAAAGAAACAAGCCATTAGACAAAAGCAAGAAGCTGCTCAAGCTGCTGCTATGGCTGAAAAATTAGCTGCTGCTAGACAAGCTGCTAGTAATTCTACTCCAACTCCTGCTGAAAAGCCAGAAGAAAATGATATTGAAATGGATTAAATTGATTTGATAGATACTGTTCAATATATGCGTATTTAAGAGAGATATCACATATTTAATTGTAGCGTGACAACAGTAGTTGTAGTGAGCATACACTGGGCACTAATATTACGTCACTAAGTCAACTCTCACTAAGTCAACTCTCACTAAGTCAACTCTCAGTACAATTTGTACTTCGCACTCTACTACACTACTCCCAGTAGTACTACTCTAAGCGAACAACGCTAATCTCACAGGCACTCACTAATTATAACACTACACTCGTAACACTCGCAACACTACTCTATACCCTCACACTGTACCTTTACTACGCTCTACACTGTATACAACACACTACACACTACAATGTGCTTTTCTCTCCCTCAGTATCCTCTCACTATTCTTCCCTGTTCTTCCCTCCCTACTCACTCGCAGCGGCCCTTACCGTCTGCCGCACTCGCACCGCACCGTAAAAATTTCCACAACGTTTTAGGGAACTGACTATCATCACTACTACAAACCAACACCATAAGCATACTCATCAACCCTGTGGGGATTCTGCCTATTCATCCACAAGACCTTCTCCCCTACGCATCCCGAAGAACTGTGACCACCACCGAGTTCAGTCCGATTCCAACCCATTCGTCCCCTGAGTACCCTTAAAACATTTGCTAGATCAAAATTCCACAATCTGCCCACTAGAGCAATCATTAGTCACTAAAGTATCACTAAGTATCACTAAAGTATCACTAAGTATTACTAAAGTATCACTAACATTAACATACTGGCATCCCACTAATATATCATTAATATTACCGTCCTTCTGGTACCTTATCTTTTCCCTGTATTATTTCGTTCTTGTATATTTACTCACTATTTATTCATTAGCTTATGCCTAACTCCCACCTTCACAAGTCTAACTTGTCAATAGCCATTAAACAGGCAGAGAATTCAACTTCAAATTCAAATTCAACTTCAAATTCATCTACTCCTCGACCAAATCCTCCTAGTCGGCAGAATTCATCTAGTAATTCAATTGATGGACTGAATTCTATACTCAATTTACTGACTCTGACTCTGACTCCCAATGCAATACCAGTACCTTCTCAACTCCTTCCAAGTTCATTCACTCTGCATGGTACATCTACTGTATCCACTAGTTCTTCAATATCTAAACCATTCAAACCACAACCTTTAACTATTCAAACTAAATTTGATTCTCCTACTAAAGATTTTAACAATAATATTATTCTTAATAAAAATAGTTTTGAAGAAAATGATGATGGCAAATTTGTGACTGCTATTAGAAAATCAGTAGGAGATAATCCAGATCTCGAAGTTTATCATGAAGAAGATGAAGAAGAAGATGGAGATGGAGATGATGAAGATGATGATGAAGAAGAAACAGTTAATCCTGCTGATGAAGAAGATTCAAAGGATTATGTCCCTGGAGGATATCATACATGTTATATTGGAGAAGAGTATAAGAATGGTAAATATACTCTTGTTAGAAAACTTGGTTGGGGACATTTTTCAACTGTTTGGTTAGCAAAAGATAATGATAAAAATTCTCATGTTGCTATGAAAATTGTACGAAGTGCTAAACATTATACTGAAACTGCTATTGATGAAATTAAATTACTTGATAAAGTAACTACATCTGATTTAAATCATCCTGGTCATGAACATGTTATACAATTATTAGATACATTTACTCATAAAGGTCCAAATGGAGTTCATGTAGTAATGGTATTTGAAGTATTAGGAGAAAATTTATTAGGACTTATTAGAAGATATAAACATAGAGGAATCCCCATTGTATTTGTTAAACAAATTGCTAAACAATTATTATCAGCATTAGATTTTTTACATCGAAAATGTGGAGTAATTCATACTGATTTAAAACCAGAAAATGTATTAATTGAAATTGGTGATGTTGAACAAATTGTTAGAATGGTTGAAGAAGAAGAAATTCAAAAACGTTTAGAAAAGAGATTACAAAGAAGACAATCAAAAAAATTAAGTCTGCATTCTTCATCAACTTCTACATCTCAAACTCCTACAGGTTCAATTCAAAATACTCCTCTGAATCCTAAATTAACTGATTTAGTATCTCCTAAATCTTCAATAACTAATTCTCCTTCATTGGGTAGAAATGGTCGTAGATCAAGACGTCAAACATTAATTACTGGTTCTCAACCTCTTCCATCTCCATTAAGATCATTTAATAAATCATTTACAAATGTATATGGATTAGCTAATTCAACTTCCAATACTCCAATTAAAGCTAATTTTATTGCTGGTGAATCTATTTCAGAATATCCTTATCCAACTGATGAAGAAACTGATAATGATAATCATAATCATAATCATAATCATGATAATAATCTTCATGATCATCATGATCATAGTCATGATCGTCATCTTGATCATCCTCCTACATCAATTATTCAAGATACAAGTATGAATAATGATCATACATTAAATAGTTCATTATCATCTATGTCTATTTCTAATAATACTTCGAATGTTGATCCAGTTCAAATTCCTAATGATGATTTAAGATCTCATCATCATCAAGATACAACAACTACTACTAATGATATTATAAATGAAGATGAATTAATTTCAGTAAAGATTGCTGATTTAGGTAATGCATGTTGGGTTAATCATCATTTTACTGATGAAATTCAAACTCGACAATATCGATCTCCTGAAGTTTTATTAGGTTATCATTGGGGTGCATCATCTGATTTATGGTCATTTGCCTGTTTAATATTTGAATTATTAACGGGAGATTATTTATTTGATCCTCGAGATGGTAAATCTTATACAAAAGATGATGATCATATAGCTCAAATTATTGAATTAATTGGTCCAATACCTCGAGCTGTATTAAAGGAAAGTTATTATACTCGAGATTTCTTTAATTCAAGAGGTGAACTTCATCGAATTTCAAAATTAAAACCATGGGGTCTTAAAGATGTTCTTACAGAAAAGTATAAATTTTCTGTATCTGATGCACTTGAAATATCTGATTTCTTAATTCCTATGCTTAATATTCAACCTGAATTAAGAGCTGATGCTGGAGGGATGGTTAATCATCCTTGGCTTAGTGATGCTTTAGGTTTAGAGAATGTTGTATTAGAAAGACCCGTAGGAGGTTCAGGTGAAGATATTCAAGGTTGGTCTAAAGAAGTAACGAATCAACAACCTGGTAAGTATTATTAGGTAGGTAGTTATTACTAAGTTATTACTATGTATTTCAGTATACAATCGTTATAATATATATACCTATCTATATCTTCTCACTCAATAATCGTTCAAATTGTACTTTATCATACTTAATATACTTTGACTTATTCTTAGTAAAATCACTATTACCAAATGTATCATATAATTTAAAATAGGTATTCCCAATTAATTTCTTAATTTCATTACCTAAATAATTTTTAAGTTGAGGATCAGTAATGTTATACTTTTCATAATTACGTAATGCCTCTTCAAATGCTTCATTAAAATTCTTAAACATTTCTTTAACTTGTTCCTTTTCTTTATTATTTAAATGTTTAGATACACTAGCAGTTGAAATAATAGTTGAAGTAGTCGATGGTCGAGGTGAATTAGGTCCTCCACCTCCACCTCCTCCTTGATTAGATCCTGTCATAGTATGAGCTTGACTGGCAGTAATTTGAGTCATATCTCGTATAATAATATATGATGCATGATTCCAATCATCTAAGAAATACTTTAAGAATCGATTCTTTAATTTAGATAATCTCTCAAGACCTTGACTACCTAAACTAGAATGTAAACTAGGAGCATGATTAACTATGGTTTCAACAATATCAAGATATTTAATTAAAGTAAATCCTTGAGCTGATTTCTTTCCATGAGTTAAACTTGCTGAACTTGAGGCGGATGGAGAATTTAATCCAATTTCAATATTAATCATAATGGCATCAATAGTATCGGATAAGAATGAACTTAATAAATATTCTGGACTTGAATCATTATTAAGATTAGGAATTACGGATGTATAAACATTAATGAATTTAAATGGAGGTTTGGTACTTAACCAATCTCCAAGTTTATAGTATGAGATTAATGTTAATAATGAATATTTATATTCGGTAATTCTTCTTATTTTCGAAATTAATTCAACTATAATTCCATCATTCTGAAGATTGGCGGTAGGTAATGATAAACGATGTTCAATTAATTTGAAGTACTCTTGGAAAATCTCATGATATCCCTTAATAAATGTTCCAAGCTTATAATCATATGTTTCTACACCACTAGCTCCAATGACATTAACTAATGAATCCTTTAATCGTAAAAGATTCTCAATCATTTCTAATAATAATGTATCATTATTTAATACCTTCATATTATTCTTAAAATTAAAGAATTGACTCATAGATGGTAATAATGAATTATTAATAAGATCATCTAATGCTTTATCTCCAATAGTAACCAAATGATCATTTGATACTTCAAGATGTTGCGATAATATCGATTCTTGTTTGATTTGTTCAATGAACCGATCCACAAATTTGGCTATACCATTACTTCCCTTTTCATATTGAACATTGGCCGGTCTCTCTTGAGGTTCACTAGCTACTTTAAGTGATCTTAAATTCTCAATGATAATAGAACTTCTGATCCGACAATAATCTCGATAAATATGTGATACATTATCTTCTTGTTGTTGATATAATGCTATAATTCCCTTAATATCCAGCAATTTAGAATTACTATTTAATAGTTCACTAGCTGGTTGATGAATTAAACTCTGATAGAATGTTTGTAATTTTAAATCAGATTGATCAACAGTATTTTCAAAGTTATTAATGATCCCTCGAAATCTTTTAAATTTACCTTTCAAATTCTTAAGTAAACTCTTAGCCCGATTAAGTGTATCCACATATTGATTCAATCCTATTAGTTCAATAGATTGATTTAATATACTCTCATAATTGTTGATAATGCGCGCACTCTCACTTACCTCTTGTAAAATATTCAACCCGCGCTCTACCTGCCGTTTGTTATCACTCAATTTATTCACATCTTCCAATATGGGCTTAATGTTACGTGAGGCATTAACCGACTTATTGGAGATAGTGCCGAGCGATTTCGAAATCGACGCAAACAATTCTTTGGATTTGTTCAAGTTTTGGTTGAGCACCGCCACATCTGCTTCGTCGATGTCGACATTGAACGACATTGTCTCCTGTATATTTCTTGTTGTCTTACTTAGGCAACATTAAACGTTTGAAACTGCGCTTAAAGTGAGAAGTAGGTAAGTTTTGGAGATACTTTAGTGATAATGTGCGGCACACGACAACAATACTAATAGTTAAGCTTTAGCTTTTGATCCACTATGAGTCAAACCCTCTAACAAGAATAAACCTATAAAACTACCTAAGTTTCACTTTAATTAATAGGTAGTTTGGTTGAGAATACGAAACAATGACAGCCGAAGCGTTTAAAGATAGTGAAGAATTGATAGAACAGCTCTGTATTAAACTAGAAGAGTTAAGACATGGCAAGAAATATGAAAAAACGAAAAAGTTCTCTACCACTTTACCTAATGATGAAAGTAAGACAGTAGATAGTTGGAAGTTTGTAGATTGGGCGTATGGAAGGAATGATGTCACTTTACCTATAAATGCTCGAGGATTATTTACCATTGATAATAAGGCTATAGCCGTGAGAGGATATGATAAATTTTTCAATATTGATGAATTAGAAAGAACTAAAAAGCCTACAATTATTAAGAATACTAAAGGGCCATATGAAGTCACCTTGAAAGAAAATGGTTGTATTATTCTTATAGGAGGGTTACCTAATGGAGATTTATTGGTATGTTCCAAGCATTCAGTGGGTGTCAGAAAGGATGTTGATAGAAATCATGCGATGTTTGGCCATTCTTCTGTACTAAACCAGTTAAAAGAAGTCGGTAAGACTGAAAAGGAACTTGGACAATATCTCTATGATCATAACCTTACAGCTGTAGCGGAGTTATGTGATGATGAATTTGAAGAGCATGTTTTACCTTATGGTAGAGATAAAGCTGGATTATATCTTCATGGATTGAATTACAATACAATTAAATTTAAAACTATCCCAATTGATGAAGTGACTGAATTTGCAAATGAATGGGGTTTCAAATCAGTAGAATCTTTTAAATTCGATGATGCATCGACATTCTTTAATTTCTTTGAAGAATGTTCAAAAACTGGAACTTATAACGATAGGGAAGTAGAAGGATTCGTTATTAGATGTAAAGATCTAAATGATGATGATTTCTTCTTTAAGGCCAAATTTGAACAGCCATATTTGTTATATAGACAATTCAGAGAAGTCACAAGAAAGGTATTCATAGAAGATAAACCATTCTATCAAATTCATTTATCAAAGAATAGGTTCATCACTAAACAGTACATAAACTTTGTTCAAGGGCTATTTGAAAATCAACCAGAATTAAAGGATCAATTTGCTAGAAATCTCGGAGTCATTAAGTTAAGACAATTATTCTTAGACAACTTGAATGAAAAACATGGAATTAATTTACTTAATTTAGATAAATTGAGTGAACAAATTACCGTAGCAAATCCAACAGATATTACCAAATATGTTATTGTACCTATAGCAACTATTGGATGTGGGAAAACGACGGTGTTTCAAACATTATTGGAATTATTCCCATCATGGGTTCATTTACAAAACGATAATATTGGGAAGAGTTCAAAAGTTAAAATTGTGGAAAGAACTGTATTCCATTTGAATGAGGATACTACATCTGCTGTTTTATTCGATAGAAACAATAGTGAGTATAGAGAAAGAAGACAAATATTTACAGATTTCGAAACATATACTAAAAGGATGCAAGAAGAACCATTTGTTGTTAAATTCATTGGATTAGATTTCATAGGAAATAAGGATAAATCCTATGTTAAGCAGATAACGTATGATAGAGTCATGAATCGAGGTGATAATCATCAATCAATTAAGAGTTCTTCCAACCGAGAAACTGCCATTAAAGTTCTTGATAATTTCATTCATCGATTCCAAGCAGTAGATGTGACTAAACCTCCTGATAGTCAATTTGATACCATGATTCATTTAAACTTAGAAGCAGAATCTTCATTAGAAAATGTTAACTTAATACTTTCTGAATTGCATAAACTTTATCCTTCATTGATTGAAACTATTCCTCTGCAACAATCAATAGAAGCAGCATTTAAAAAGGCAATTGAATATAAGCCAACATTCACTAAAAAGATGGATCAATTTAGACAAGTGGATTATTATGCATTTAATGTAGAAAGAGAGCCAGTACTTGAAGTTATTGAACTGATATTACAATCAAATGATCAATGGCAAAAATTAAAAGAATTACAAAGAGTACAAGGTGAATTTCATGTTACTTTAGGTCATGTATCAGCCAATAAGGATAAAGAAGCCAAGCCTCTATGGAAAGCATTAACTAAGAGATTCCCCTCTAAACATCAGTATGATGATCATAATGTATTAAACTACTATGGAGATATTAAATTACTAAAGGTAGTCATTAACAAAGATAAGCTCATATGTATATTAGTTGAATTATTAGATGTATTTATGGTTAATCGAGTTGATCCCATAGAAAAAGTAATTCCATCTAACAAATATTTACATATTACTGTGGGAACATTTAATGAAAAGATTTATGCTTATCAATCTAATATAACTTTACGAGATTTATTTAAATCGGGAGATATAGATTATGAACTAAATGATGGAGTATATAGTGCAGACAATGGAGATGTGATGGAAGTTATTAACTTCTCCACGCCACCAGTGTTTAAAAATAATTGGTTACATGCCCATTTTTAGAATTATATAATATAATATAAATGATCGTAATTGATTACTTAATGAGTCAATCATCACCACAATCATTAAAGTGTAGCAATAAGTATTCCAGAATGTTCTAAGCGAGGTGGCGTTACGGTGATAACTTAAGCTTAAAATGTCGCACTAATTAAGGGGTGGGGAAAAGGGTAATAATATGATGGCAAATTGAAATTGAAATTGAAATTGAGATTATAAATAGCCTGTAATATTTCTGAAGTGGCACTGCGAATAAGTGAGTAAGCAATTAGATTAGTATTATTAAGTAATGTATTCAGGCTTTCATCAAAGTGGGCCTACACAAGGCACCTATGTCTATGGTTGTGCTTCTAGTGGAAATGGAGGTAGTGCTAGTTTCTCATTTCAGGGGGTTCCTAGGCACTATGGCCAATTCCATCAGCAATCACATTCTCAACACCAATACTATAATCCATTTGAACAATTTGGTGCTCAGAGATATAGAGGTGCTGGTCCACAATTCAGTTGGGGCCATGCAAGAGAACATGTACATCCACACTCACATGCACATGCACATGCACATCATGAGAGATACCATGGTGAGGGTCGCAGACGTGAGCAGGAAAGACAAAGAGCTGAAAGAGAAGCCAGAGAAGCCAGAGAAGCTAGAGAAGCTAGAGAAGCTAGAGAAGCTAGAGAAGCAGCTAGAGAGTCTAGAGAAGCAGCTAGAAGAGCTAGAGAGAATCAGCAAATATTGGAACGGGAAGTAATACGTAAGATAGAACAACAAAGACGTGAGTTGGAAAGACAACGATACCAAAGACAACGGGACTTGCAAAGACAGGAGTTAGAAAGAAGGAGAGTTGATAGAGAAAAGCAAGCAGAATTTCAAAGGGAATACAGACATGGTCGAAGATCGCTGATTAGAAGCCAATCTAGGTCTGCTCAGTTTAAAGGATTCTTTGAACGAATGGAAGAGATTACCAAAGTTAACGATTTCTTGACTAATCTTCAGACTTATCCAGCTCCAGTTTCTACTAGAATTCTTCGAACAAACGATGAGTTTGTGTATGAAATCCATGATAACAGTAATCAAGATTTCTTATTTGAAGTAAATAATAGAATTTTTAACAGACCAATCTTATCTATCAAATCAAGAGATGGTCACTTTAAGCATACGTTAAACAGACGACTTTGGACAAAGAGAACAGCCGGTGATGGAGAAATTTATTACAGGATAGTTATGCATGTTCCTATAAATGCAAGTGGCGATGAGCAGGAGAATTCCAACGAGGATGAAGAGCCAAATGAAAATGAAGTAGAAAATGAAGCTGAAGAGTTATCGGAGGAAGATGAGACTGAAGATTTTGATTCTGGTGAAGAAACGCCTAGTGAAGATGAAGATGAAGATGAGAAGGACTTAGACGTGGAGGAAGAAGAAGAGTCGAAATCAGAAAAGAGCTCATCTAGAGGATATACTCCATCTCTTGAAGAAGTTCCTGATGATTCTCTTTCTGATTGATTACATACTATATAAACTATAAAAACTATACATACAATATATGAGATTTTAGAAATAACATACTATATAAACTTGTAGCGCTATGCACGTGGTAGTATCCCTCTTACATTCACATACATAAGCTGACATACAACACTTTGCTCCCATAACTTTATCTAATGGTTACTACTTTCCGTACTCGTACTGCAAGTCACATGTTCTGATATCCCCCAAAGTATGGATGCAATTAGCTCATACACATTTTGCAGCGAAAAAGATGAGGTGAAAATGAAAAATTGCGATTTGTAAGGAACCCACCTTCGGAGTTTAATCTACGAGTATTCACTATAGTCTAGTGGAGGTATACTAATTTACAAGTTGTATATAGAGGTGGAAGTATATTAGTTATAGATCATGCCTCCAACCCGTTCATCTTTAGAGTCCGACGGTTCATCCTCGGATGAGCAAGCAGGAGGATTCATAGTTAATGATAAGAACTATAAGAGACGGAGGTCTACGCGTTCCACAAGTGCCAACACATCGTATAAGGAGTCTTCAGATGATGAAGTTAATGTTGAAGACTTTGTGGATGTCAAAGTCCCCGTGAAGCGTCGGAGGACGCGTGCAAGTTCAAGTTCGATTTCAAGTTCGACTTCTTCATCGCGTGCCGCAAGCAAGAAGAGAGCAACTAAGCAAGAATCTGATAGTGAGGATGACGATGATGATGAGTTTGTGTTAAATGTTGTTGAAGAGGATCCAGATGATGAAGACGATGATGATGTTGTTGAATTTATTGATTCTCGATCTGTAGTGAGAGATGGATCTTCTGCTAATTTATCTATTCTGTTAGATGACGATGATCTTGATTTAGGTAATGGTGATGATGATGATGATGATGAGCCACTAGCTAATAAAACCATCGTGAAGAAGAAGAAAGCACCCACCAGAAAGCCAAGAAAGAAGAAGGAACCTAAAGTGAAAGTACCATATTTCACTCGAGTCACTAATAAATTATATGATTTTCATCCTGATCTTAAGGATGTATTCCCAAATTTAGAATCTTCTGAAAAGATCCCTGTAGAACGTGCCATTCAACCACCGGGAATGAATATTAAACTTTTACCTTTCCAACAGGAAGGATTAAATTGGCTTCGGAAACAAGAAGATGGGATATTTGGAGGAGGTATATTGGCCGATGAAATGGGGATGGGTAAAACCATACAAACTATTGCATTATTTATGTCTGATTTAAAGAAACGACCTAATTTGGTGGTTGGACCTACCGTAGCATTAATGCAATGGAAAAATGAAATTGAAAAGCATACTCATGAAGGTAAATTGAAAGTATTATTATTTCATGGAGCAAATAGATCCAGTGATCCTAAAGAATTAAAGAAATATGATATTATATTAACATCATATTCAGTATTAGAATCTGTTTATAGAAAGGAACATTATGGATTTAAAAGAAAAGGTGGACTTATTAAGGAGAAATCTCCCTTACATGCAATTGATTTTTATAGAGTTATTCTTGATGAAGCTCATAATATTAAAGATCGTACTTCAGGTACTGCTAAAGCTGCTAATAATCTTAAAACTAAAAAGAGATGGTGTTTAACTGGTACTCCACTTCAAAATAGAATTGGAGAAATGTATTCATTAATTCGATTTATGAAAATTGCTCCATTTTATGAATATTTTTGTACAAAATGTGATTGTAAAAGTCCTGAATGGAATTTTTCTGATTGGAGAAGTTGTGATCATTGTGGTCATACACCAATGCTTCATACTAATTTTTTTAATCATTTTATGTTAAAGAATATTCAAAAACATGGGATTTCTGGTGATGGATTAATTAGTTTTAATAATATTCGACTTTTATTACAAAATATTATGTTAAGAAGAACTAAAATTGAAAGAGCAGATGATTTAGGTTTACCACCAAGAATTGTTGAAATTAGGCGAGATAAATTTAATGAAGAAGAAAAAGATTTATATGCTTCATTATATAGTGATTCTAAAAGAAAATTTAATGATTATGTTGCTGAAGGAGTTGTTCTTAATAATTATGCTAATATTTTTACATTAATTACTAGAATGAGACAATTAGCTGATCATCCTGATTTAGTATTAAAAAAATCTGGATCTAATGCACTTTCTAATGATATTGAAGGAGTTATAATGTGTCAATTATGTGATGATGAAGCTGAAGAACCAATAGAATCTAAATGTCATCATAGATTTTGTCGAATGTGTATACAAGAATATGTTGAATCATATATGGGAGAAGAAAAAGATTTACAATGTCCTGTATGTCATATTGGATTATCAATTGATTTAGAACAACCAGCACTTGAAGTTGATGAAGAATTATTTACAAAAGCATCTATTGTTAATCGATTAAAATCAGGATCTCATGGTGGAGAATGGAGATCATCAACTAAAATTGAAGCATTAGTTGAAGAATTATATAAATTAAAATCTGATCGTCATACTATTAAATCTATTGTATTTTCACAATTTACTTCAATGTTAGATTTAATTGAATGGAGATTAAAAAGAGCAGGATTTAAAACAGTTAAACTTCAAGGATCTATGTCTCCACAACAACGAGATAATACCATTAAATATTTTATGGAGAATATTGAAGTTGAAGTATTTCTTGTATCATTAAAAGCTGGAGGTGTTGCATTAAATTTATGTGAAGCATCACAAGTATTTTTAATGGATCCATGGTGGAATCCTAGTGTAGAATGGCAATCAATGGATCGTGTTCATAGAATTGGACAAAAGCGACCCATTAGAATTACTCGGTTCTGTATAGAAGATAGTATTGAACTGAAGATTATTGAATTACAAGAAAAGAAGGCTAATATGATTCATGCCACTATCAATCAGGATGATGCTGCTGTTAGTCGATTAACTCCAGACGATTTACAATTTTTGTTTATGAATTAGGATGTTTATTTTTTTATTTGTTAGTTATTTATTTCTTATTTATTATTTCTTATTTATTATTTCTTATTTGCTGTTTGCTTTGTTGATTATTGTCAGGTACTATATATCTTTATAGGTTTATTATGGACTACGTTATATGTTCTCAATGGCTGCAACTTTTGAGTGCGCACACGTACTGGCGCATTCACGTGTAATTCTCTTATCGGTCAGACAATTTATCATTTTATCATTTTCCGCCAGTCTGACTCATGACAAAAATCTCCACGGCATATTTTCGCGACACAAAATAACCCAATGAGTCGCTGGGGAAGTTGAAAAATTTCACAAATACCAGACACTTTTCAAATTATTCATATAATTCAAATTCTTCAAATTATTCAGTCCCTCTTTCTTCATAAATTCCACCATTACGAACATGTCTGACTTTTGGATAAACTATTTGGACAATCCCACATTGTCAGTATTACCTCATGATTTTTTAAAGCCTGCTAATAATCAATCAGTCGAGGCAACTCATCGTTTTGAATTGAGTCATGCTATTGATTTTCAAGTTGGATTAACTATATTGGCTGCATTAATATATAGATTAACTGGTGATGAAGATATTGTTATAGCTACTGATAAAGACGCTTCAACTCCTGCCTTTATTATTAGATTAGCCTTATCTCCAGAAGTTAATTATACAGACCTTTTAAATCGAGTAAATGATGAATTTAATACTAATTCATCTCATATTGATTATACTACACTTTCACAAGTATCTGAAAGAATTAGAAAGGTTAAGAAATTGGAGGAGAATCCGGCTTTGTTCAGATTATCTTATCAACATGCTAATTCAAACCAACAATTATCTACTACTGTAGAAGGTTCAGTTCGTGATTTAGCTATCTTTACTGATGGGAAACAATTCTTTATTTATTATAATGCTTTATTATATACTCATGAAAGAATTGTAGTATTGGGAGAACAGTTCACTCAATTTGTTGAAGCAATTACTAAGGATTCAACTAGTAATATTAATATTACTAAAGTTAATTTAATTACTTCATCTCAAATAGGTCATTTACCAGATCCTACTTTAGATTTAGATTGGTCAGGATATAGAGGCGCAATTCAAGATATATTCACTAAGAATGCTCTTGCTCATCCCGAAAGACCATGTGTAATTGAAACTAAATCATTTTTAGATCCATCAACGAGGACTCGTACTTTTACTTATAAACAAATTAATCAAGCTTCTAATATTGTTGGGAATTATTTAAAGGAAACCGGAATTAAAAAGGGAGATATTGTTATGATTTATGCTTATAGAGGTGTAGATTTAATGATTGCGGTTATGGGAGTTTTAAAAGCAGGAGCAACATTTTCAGTAATTGATCCTGCTTATCCACCAGCAAGACAAAACATATATCTTTCCGTGGCTAAACCAGCAGGTTTAATTGGGTTAGAAAAAGCTGGTACTTTAGATCAATTGGTGGTTGATTATATTAATCAAGAATTAAATGTTATTACCACCATTCCTCAATTAAAAGTAAATGATGATGGTTCATTGGTTGGTGGAACTTTACCAGGACAATCTACTGATGTTTTAGATAATTATAAATCATTTGCTGATAAATCTACAGGAGTCATTGTTGGACCTGATTCAAATCCTACATTATCATTTACTTCTGGTTCAGAGGGGATTCCAAAGGGAGTATTAGGACGTCATTATTCTTTAGCTTATTATTTCCCCTGGATGTCTCAAAGATTTGGATTATCCAATAATGATAAGTTTACTATGCTTTCAGGTATTGCTCATGATCCAATTCAAAGAGATATGTTTACTCCATTATTTTTAGGGGCACAATTATTAGTTCCAACGGCTGATGATATTGGAACTCCAGGGAAATTAGCTGATTGGATGGCAGAATATGGAGCTACAGTAACTCATTTAACTCCGGCTATGGGACAATTATTAAGTGCCCAAGCTTCAACTCCAATTCCAACTTTACATCATGCCTTTTTTGTAGGAGATATATTAACTAAAAGAGATTGTTTAAGATTACAAACATTAGCTGAAAATGTATTTATTGTTAATATGTATGGTACTACCGAAACTCAAAGATCAGTATCATATTTTGAAATCAAGAGTCGTAAATCAGATCCAACTTATTTAAAGAATTTAAAGGATGTCATGCCAGCTGGTACAGGTATGTATAATGTTCAATTATTAGTAGTTAATAGAAATGATCGTTCCCAAACTTGTGGAGTTGGAGAAGTTGGAGAAATTTATGTAAGAGCGGCAGGATTGGCTGAAGGTTATCGAGGATTACCTGAATTAAATCAAGAAAAATTCGTTACTAATTGGTATGTAGATGCTCAACAATGGATTCAACAAGATGAACTTAAATCAAATAATGAATCTTGGAGATCAGCTGGTTGGTTAGGTCCAAGAGATAGATTATATAGAACAGGAGATTTAGGTAGATATTTACCGGATGGAAATGTTGAATGTTGTGGTAGAGCTGATGATCAAGTTAAAATTAGAGGGTTTAGAATTGAATTAGGAGAAATTGATACTCATTTATCTCAACATCCATTGGTTCGTGAAAATGTTACTTTAGTTAGAAGAGATAAGAATGAAGAGCCAACTTTAATTTCTTATATTGTTCCTAAAGAATCTCCTGAATTATCTGATTTTAAATCAGAACTGACTGATGATCAATTAGTTGATGATCCTATTGTAGAAGGGTTAGTTGCTTATCGAGAATTAATTAAAGATATTAAGAATCATTTACGAAAGAGATTGGCTTCCTATGCAGTGCCAACCATTATTGTTCCATTAGTTAAATTACCATTAAATCCTAATGGGAAAGTTGATAAACCTAAATTACCTTTCCCTGATACTGCTCAATTAGAAGCAGTAGCTTTATTAACTACTAAGAATAAAGTAGGAGGTTTAGAAGCCATTGAACAAGAAAAATTATCAACTCTTGAATCAGAAATTATTGATTTATGGTTACAAGTATTACCTAATAGACCAGCATCTATTTCAAAGGATGATTCATTCTTTGATTTAGGTGGACATTCTATTTTAGGTACGAGAATGATCTTTGAACTTCGTAAGAAATTAAATGTAGAAGTACCCCTTGGAGTTATCTTTAAGAATCCTACTGTTGAAGCATTTGCTAAAGAAATTGAAAAGATTATTAAAGGTGAAGAAGTTCAATTGGCAGGTACGGATGAAATTGGAAATGAATCAGAAATTAATGAAGTTGAAGTTATTGATTATGCTAAGGATGCTCAAGATTTAAGTAATACAGCTTTATTAAAATCTTATCCATCATTAATTAAATTAGATACTTCAAAAACTATTAATGTTTTCCTTACTGGAGCCACTGGATTCTTAGGTAGTTTTATTCTTCATGATATTTTAACTGCTAGACCTAATTTAAAATTTAAAGTATTTGCTCATGTTAGAGCTCATACTACTGATGCTGGTTTAAATAGATTACGTCAAACTGGTAAAACTTATGGAATTTGGAATGAAGATTGGATTTCAAATATTGAAGTTGTTCTTGGTGATCTTTCTAAACCTCAATTTGGTTTAAGTGGTAATGAATGGTCTTCATTAGCATCTACTATAGATGTTGTAATTCATAATGGAGCCTTTGTTCATTGGGTATATCCATATTCTCAATTAAGAGATGCTAATGTAATTGGTACAATTAATGTATTAAATTTATGTGGTGAAGGTAAATCTAAATATTTTTCATTTGTATCTTCAACTTCAGCTTTAGATACTGATTATTTTGTTCATCTTTCTGATGAAATCTTAGCTAAAGGTGGTGGAGGTTTATCTGAATCTGATGATTTATCTGGTTCTGCTAAAGGTTTAGGTAATGGTTATGGACAATCTAAATGGTCTGCTGAATATATTATTAGACAAGCTGGTAAGAGAGGTTTAAAAGGTTGTATTACTAGACCTGGTTATGTTACTGGTTATAGTAAGACTGGAGCTTCAAATACTGATGATTTCTTATTAAGAATGTTAAAAGGTAGTGCTGAATTAGGTTTATATCCTGATATTACAAATAATGTTAATATGGTACCTGTTGAACATGTAGCTCGAGTTGTTGTTGCTACTGCTTTCCATCCACCACAAGAAGATGAAGTTGCCGTAGCTCATGTGACTGGTCATCCAAGAATTAAATTTAATGAATTCTTAGGAACTTTACAAGATTATGGTTATAAAGTTGGTAAAGCTGATTATCCAACTTGGAGACAATCATTAGAGAAATTTGTTATTGAAGAGAGTCAAGAATCAGCATTATTCCCATTATTACATTTTGTATTGGATAATTTACCTCAAAATACTAAAGCTCCAGAATTAGATGATTCAAATGCTTCTAAATCCTTAAAATTAGATTCTCAATGGACTGGTAAAGATTATAGTTCAGGTAAAGGAGTAGATACAACATTAATGGGGACTTATATCAGTTATTTGATTAAAACCAAATTCTTACCATTACCAACCTTAGCAGCTAAGATTGAATTACCATCAGTTGAAGTTAGTGAAGAATCCTTAGCATTAATTGAAGGAGGTGCAGGAGCTCGTACATCTGCTGCCAAGTAAATCTTGAATACTTTTAAATACTTTTAAATACTTTTAAATACTTTTTACATAGTTTACTTTTACATTCTTTTAAATACGTTTAAATATTTCTAATCAATTTGTTAATAGTCACCTGTTGGTATATATACATACTTAAGCGCCGAGTTCATGGACATATAAAAGGACTAGTTACTGGTTAATTCGAGTAGTCGTATAGTAGTTTCGCAGCCAAGCGCTCGTGTCCCAAAGCGGACATTGCTGTGCAGGTACAGTACAGTACAGCCCAGTGCGGAAATATCCATCACCACTCAGTCATAGCACACTTATAGTGAACAGTGAACTATTAGTAGTAAAACATTAGGGAGGGAATGCAAGTATATTAGACAAGTCGGAGATATCAACAGTGGAGTCATGTTGAACAGTAAGAAAAATGATGCAAGATCGGCTTCAACGTCGGCATCGGCGACTTCACTGCCGACTTCAGGCTTGAGTCATGGATTTAGTTCAATGACTAATTTGAATAATAACTATGGTCATAATGTCGGTAATGGATCTCCGTATAGTCGAAGTGAGAGTCGCATTAATGTTGCTCCTGTATTTCGAACTAGTAGTGGCACGGGTATAGGTTCATCAGTTATTCTCGAAGCCAAACCCATAATCAATAATAATACTAATACTAATAATATCAATAATACTAATACTACTAGTAATAGTCACATCCCTGGTCTCACCATTCAAACTCCAGCAACTAATGCTAGTGATAGTTTACTTACAACTGCCATCTTATCCAACATTCAGCATCAACATCTTGAATCACCATTTGAAATGCATACTCCTAAGACCAATAGTAATGGCACCTCTAGCCCCCATGGAAGTACATCCTTAACAAATCTACCGAATATGTCTAATTCACCCACAAATAGTTATAATAATAATAAGTTTATGAGAAAGATGAATGATCGAAGAAATTCATTAGGTTCACCATTCAATAATGAAATCACTTCATCATCTAGTGGTTCATCCAATAATCGTAATTTGTACAATTTCCAATCGGCTCGAAATCCCAATGTTATAAGTAGTATGACACCTCGAAAGTACGGGAATGTTAGTTCAACCAACTTATCCAGCAATAGTACGAATAATACCAATAGTACCACTAATAATAATAATAATAATAATAGCAATAGCAATGGCAATGGCAATAGTATTAATACTGGACCTTCTACTAGTAATAACAATATCAATATTAATAATAGTACCAGCAGTATTGGATTAAGCATGTTAAACAGTAGTTCTACCGATAAAAAGCGGTTAGTAGATCAATTCTACAATGCCAATGCTAATGAATCATCCAATCCTCTGAGTCGAGTAGCTAGTAGCTTGGATATTAAGAATTTAGTCAATCTTACTGGTAATAATAATATTATTCTTGAGAAGGAAATGGATATCAATGACAATGGGATGCATGGAAGTGAAAATAATAATTTAATTAAGGAAAATAATAATATTAAGGAAGAAATTATTGATGGTGATACTTCATTTGCAGTATCACCAACACCAGTAATTCATCCATCAGGTAATGGTAGTGGGAATTATAGTAATTTAAGTAGTTTGAATGCTTCACCTAGTTTAGAAGTTAGTGGAAGAAAAGATGATTTAGATTCTAATGTATTTAAATTAGATAAAAGTCGAACTACTAATAATGGTATACCAATTAATGGGATTAACGATGAAATATTTGGAGAGATTATTAGGAATGGAGGGTTTAAGTATGATGCTAGAGTTGGTAATATGATCAATGAAGATCATATGCTTGGATATTTAAAGTTACATGAATTAATATTAAGAGATGAAGATGAAGATGAAGTTAAGGATGATAAAGAAAATAATCTTCCTAAACAAATGGGATTTCAAAGATTTAATAAACAATTAAAGTCTATGACGCAAGAATTAATTCAACAAAGTCAAGAAATTTCTGAAAATGCCGAAATTCAAAGTAATTTAAATGATTTAAAATCACTTGATGAATATCTTGATAAGCTCAATATTCAAACTAAAGAACTTATGAATCAACTTATAACCAATAAAGAAGATTTAAAGAGTAATTATCAGAGAGATATTAATGATAGTATAAATCGTTTAAATGATATTAGTCTACAATTGACAAGTTTAGAAACAAGATTAACTATTTTAAAGGATAAGATTAATCAGGATAAGTTGGTCATGTCACGTGAAATGATTGATAAATTACAAGTCTTGGAATTTGTAGATGAAAGATTTAAGGATTATATGGTTGTATCTAGTATTAGAAGATTTAAAAGGGTTAATATTACTATATCAGTTATAGTTGTACTTTTTGGGATATATATGTATTACTATAGATAGAATATACGTGTATACATTTCCGTATTAGGCAGTCTAGGCCCAAGGGCTTATTAAAATTAAATCGACCAAATCACACGATATAAGGTATGAGAAAAGAAAAAGAAAAAGAAAAAGAAAAGCAATTTAAAAAAAACGGTTTTTTTTGCACGTGCTGCGGTTAAAGTTTCCTCCCGGTGACTCCAGTAGCAGGAGCGTTTTCGGAGTTAAAGCAACGGCTCTCTCTTGTGCTGTACTACCGTTCCGTAACTAGTTGGTTGACCTGGAGCACTATGCAACAGACCACTGTAAGCAACATATACGTACCGTGATTTACGTATACATAACCTATATTGAAATGGTAGTAAACAAGAATGTCGAGGAATTGTTCGCTTAATCTCATGACCAATTCATAGTGAGGCAGAAGGTTACAGTAACCCAATATTTAGTTGTCGTTCACAGGTATGTAACATCAAAGAAAACTATAACGACATCAGATCTTTAACGGTTTCTTATTAATCTGGGCTTACCCACATGACAGGTTTATTGCGCATTCTATTGTTAGTCTCCCCTCTATAAGTAATAAACACACAAACTTTCACTATAATTATAATAAAAGTACTCTGTGAGTTACTGTATTGGGAAGTAAGCATTAAACCCATAGTTGAACAAAACCAAACCAAAGGCCCACAAGGAAAAAAAGCAATTAAAACATATCACAAAATAAAAATTAAAAAAAAAGGGATTGCGACTGCACACAGCACCAGCCATCCCTCTTGGGCACAACCAAAACCGAAACCAAAACCACTAAATTATACCCAAAACTATAACTTATTCAGTCTTGTATTACTGGCATACTTGTACGAGGGCCGATAATTCGTTTCCTCGAATATTCCGAACTGTTCTGACTGAAAAGTATTTGTGTATCTAAGCTGGAAACCTGTCAAATTTGTCATTTTTCAACTTTTTAACTAGTCAATTTTGATCTATCCGAACTAATAATTACTAGTGTCAAATAGTATTAGACCATAAAGTTTCAAGTTCTAGTGGTCTAGTTTATTCTTAATATCAGTTTTTTGTATCTTACTGTTTATTTCTGCGGAGTGGTTTCTTTATTCATTCATTCCTTTCTTTATTTATTTATTTACTTGTTTAATTAATAATCTTTTTGGTTCCTTCCTTCCTTCCTTCTTCCCTTGTGTTATTGAATTTATATTCATCGGTGTTGGTCATATATCTATATAATAATTTTCATTCATTCCTTTATTCATTATAATTGCATTCTTTATCATTTAGTCATTCATTCCTTCTTTCATTTATTACTTACTTACTTAATTAATTAATTATTTCTTTCCCTCATTCATTAGTCATTGTATCAATTCCATCATGGCAGAAGTATTAACCCTTGTATCACCAGATGAATTAATCCACAAAATTAATCATGATGATTCATTAATTTGGTATCAAGGATTTGTTTCATTAATTCTGTATTTATTTAAGAAGAGTAATAGTGAAACTGATTCTAATCATCCCATTGTAATAATCTTATCATCTACCACTGAAGATGATTTTAAGTCTTTAAAATCTTTAAGTGATTCAAATAAAGAATTATTATTGAAATATTTCTTTAGTCATTTAAATATAATTGTTATATTTGAATCTAATCTTAATGAATCTACTATAAATCATATAAATTCATTAATTTTTAAAGTTAAAACCATATTAACTAATAGAATATCTCGAGTTCAAACTTGGACTGGTACTGGAGAAAATACAATTATTGATGATAATTATCAACAAGAAGAAATTTCAGGAATAATATCTACTATGGCATTATTACTTAATAATAATATTAATAAATCCATTGTTACTATTGACTTATTAATTAATTTAAAGAATCTTATTATTAAAGAAATTGATTTTAAAAGTTTATTAACTAGAAGTGATAGTAATCATCTTATTCAATTAAATGATGCTGTAAAAAATTGGTCATTCCCGGCTCATGAATTATCTAATGATGATCTTATTTATTGTGTATTTATTATGATTAAATATGCTTTAACTCAAGTAGAAAAGAATCATGGTCAATCTTCACTTTATATTCCTAATAATAATGAATTATTAGGATTTGTATTTATGGTTAGAGATACTTATAAAAATGGGAATCCATTCCATAATTTTAGACATGCAGTTGATGTATTACAAGCATGTTTTCATTTTTTAATTCGATTAAATTGTTTACCATTATTTAATTCAAATCAAAGTGAAGAATTAATTCCTATTATTCCTAAACCAATTAAATGTTCAAGTCAAATAAATAAAGAAGAAGATGGTAATAATGATAATGATAGAGAATCATCTCCATTACATTCACCAAATCATCTTAATCATCTTCAAACTCTTGGATTATTAATTGCCGCTTTAGGACATGATGTAGGACATCCTGGAGTTACTAATGCATTTATGATTAAAAGTTTGGCACCTACATCATTATTATATAATGAAAGATCAGTTCTTGAATCATTTCATTCATCAGTATTCATTAATAAAATTCTTAGTATTAATTGGCCATCTTTATTATCAGTTTATACTGAATCAGATCGTCAAGAATTATCCTTACGAGAAATTATAATTTCATCAATTTTAGCCACTGATATGGCTGAACATTTTGAATATATTGAAAGATTAAAAAACTTGAAATATAATGATTTTATTAAACATAATAATCGAGTTAAATTAATTTGTTCATTATTAATTAAATGTGCGGATATTTCTAATGTTACAAGACCATTGAGAGTTTCTTCACAATGGGCTATGGTATTAGCTCGAGAATTTGATGAAGTTAGTATATTAGAAAGAAAGATTTCTAAAGATTCTACTCTTAATTTAGATTTATCACAAGATTTATCTTATAGTAAAGTTCCACCAGATTTACAAGATATATTAATTCAAAGTCCTCAATTACATAAGGGACAAATCTTTTTTATTAATACATTTGCTGAAAATTTATTTAATAATATAGCGGAATTATTACCCGAATTAAGATTTACTTGTGATATAATTAAAGAGAATAAAGAGTTTTGGATTAATAGAAAGTAAATTTCATTTTGCATATAGATTTATTCTGTTTAATCATTGTTTATAGAGTGTATTATGTCATACACATGTTAGCTATATCTGTCTGTATCTATGAATTACTGCTACTTAATAATAATAATATAAATTGTACTTAACACCGAATGCTCCTAGTTTGGCTGTATACACTCCAATGAACCCTCTTACTCTTACTGTAATCTTCTACTACATTGTCCTCAAACTACACTATAAAAACAATACTAGTTCAATTGCTAATTTTCTTTTATAGTCACTTAGTTCTCCTCTTTTCTACTTTTATCTTCTCCACTTAACTCCACTTCCACTTCATTATAGTCCATCTCATGGATTGTCTTCCCATCTCGGGTCTTCCATCCATACCGCAATACTTCACTCAGAGACATGCTCTTCGCTCCTGCACACAGCCCCTCCAACGAAAAATTCAGAAAACGTTGATGGAACTCACAAATTTTTTAAACCACTATACAAGTTCTAGGACTTAATAACACTTAAAAATCGTGACAATTGTTATAGAACACAGGCTGGCACCAGTGACGCTACCATCTCCAACATCCCCTTCGAGTCAAAAAATTTCATACCCTTTTTTTCCCGAAATTTAACACCCATTTTTAGTGTTCTGGCCCCATATCGAGCTAGCTCTCCACTACTAAGATCTCCCCATATTGTTAGTAAAAATCATGACAAATCACCAACTAAATAGTCCCAATCCATATACTTTTGAAAGGCCGATCATCCTATCACCTCCACCATTAGAACAAGCCAACTCTTCTTCAGTACTTCCTCAATTAAGTGGTAATACAGGATCTAAGACTAATAATCCTAATACTAATACTAATCCTAATTCTAATCCTAATTCTAATCCTAATCCTCCTAATATTGATAATAAGAATATTAGCGTCCCCTTACCTCGTCATGCTGAAAGACAACAAAGTGTTGGATATAATTTACAACATGAATTTGAAACATTAACTGCCGATTTGGATTTGGATTTAACCAACCATAATCCAACATCTACTTCCATTACTTCTAAGTATGGATTTGGTTCAGATTTACTCAGTGGAACTACTACTCCATTATCCAATCCTAATACTAATTCCAATACAAATTCTCTTTTAAGAGGTGAACCTCCACATTCTCATCATCATTCTAATATAATTTCTCCTATTCCTAGTGGGATTTCAAGTCTTTCTTCTCATCATGTACTTCCTGGATTTTTGGGTAATGGTCCAACTCCTAATGGTGCTAATACTTCAAATAACACTACTACTTCCAATTCCAATTCTTCCAATACTACCAATGCCTTTTTACCTCCATTAGCTTCATTGCCAAATAGACCACAATCAGTTAATGATTTCTCAAATTTCTTTTCAACTACTACCAATACCTCCACCAATAATTCTAATAATGGTAATAACAATAACAATAACAATATTAATAATAATAATAATAATTCCACTAACTTCTACCTGGATATATTATTATTCTCTAATTGGATTGAAAATTTAAATCCCCAAGAAATCTTAACTATGATTGAATACTTATGTAATAATTTACCGTTAGATATCTTATTAACTTTCAAATCTAAATTGGATAATCACTTGACTTCTGCTCAACAATCTCAAGCTCTGGGACCTCAAGGTAATTATCCATTTTCTCCATATAATGCTTATACTCAAGCACCATCGGATTTATATAATGATATGGAACATTTGAATCTTGGTGAGAATAGAATCGCTTCTCCTCCTCCTCATCAACATGCCCATCATGGTCAACATCATCAGTTGCATGCTAGCCAACTTCATCAACCTAAACCCAAACCAAGAGGTAGTCATTACTTATATGTTGATCAAAAGAATCAAAGACCACGGTCAGCAGATCCCTTGAGATATCAACAGCAACAACAAACCCAACAGCAGCAGCAACAGCAACAGCAACAGCAGCAACAGCAACAGATTCATCAACAACAACAGCAACAATCTCAGCAGCAACAACAATCTCAGCAACAACAACAGCTTGAAAGGGCCAGATCTCCAACTTCTCATTTATATGAGAAGACCAACTTCTTACAATTGGCAGCAGCAAATTCCAACCCACCTCTGGTCCATTCTCATCAACCTCAGGGAGGTATTTCGACTTCTCAATCCAATAGTGGGACAACTACTAATTCAAGTGGGAAGCAAGGTAGTCCATCAGATGATATGGAGCTCTCTGCAAGTACTGCCTTAAAATTAGGTGCATTGGCCACCATTAACTCAAGAGTTGCGCTTGATTCTAATAGAAAGTATGGCCATCATTTACAGCCTCAGCAGCAACAACTGCAGCAACAACTGCAACAGCAACAAGCACAACCACCACTGCAACAACTGCAACAACAGCAACAGAAGAGTACCCTGTTGGCACTTGCATATGAAGATTCAATCAATCGAAACGTTAACTCGTCGTCGGTTCCATTGAGTATTCATCGTGGAACCTCTGGCAGTAGTAATAACTCTGTAAAATCTCCAAAACATAAGAAATCCAACAACAGCAACACCAATGAAAGTTTATCGGGAATAAACCCAATTGGATCTACTAGTTCTACTCCATTATCATCATCTAATTCTTCTATGCCTCCAGAAGTATCTAATGAAGAATTGTTAAATAACATTCCCGCTTGGTTGAAATTATTACGATTACATAAGTATACGGATTGTTTAAAGGATATCCCATGGCAAGAATTAATTGAATTAGATAATGATCAATTAGAAGCTAAAGGAGTAGCTGCTCTTGGAGCTCGTCGTAAATTAGCTAAAGCATTTGATGTGGTTAAGAGTGATTTGGGTCAAACTAAATGATATATATGTATTAAACGATTAACAAGAAGTAAAGTTAAATAAAGAAAAGCAAAGAAAAAGAAAAGGTAAGATAAGAAAGAGAGCTTTCATATAGAATAATATAACAATATATAGATAGACATTAAATTAACATTAACATTAACATTACATGATAATGCAACAAGAATTTGTCTTTTTGGCTTGTTTATAGAACATTCTTGAAGACGAAGATAATGCTTCCGATTTATCTACTAAAGAATCTAATTTCTCTCCTCTTTGCAATACTCCTTCAATAGTTTTATGCAATACAATCTTTGTTTCATCCAATTCTGCTTGAACTCTCATAATAGCATCAGCTTGAGTTGGATCTTGATATTTTTTCAAATATTGTTCTAAATTATCATAATTTAAACCAGCATGAGTTGCAGAAATATTATTCCATTCCAGAGCTGGATGTAACAGTAAATATTCTTCTAAAATCTTATTAATTAATGTATAGGCTGGTCTTACTGGATATTCCTTATCGGAAATAATGACACCTGCCAATCCTTCCAGTCTAACATATGTATGACCAATATAATTACCTTCTTCAACACTTTGTCTTTGACCTGCTTGAGTTCTTTGAGCTACTGTTTCTGAAAAGAAGGTCATGAACTGACTAACTCCAGTACGTTCGAAAAATGAAAACTGGCTAAGATCTCGGGCAGATGATAACTCAAGCGTCTTATCGCCGGAGGTACGTAAGATACCAATGTAGTAGATCTTCATAGTCAGTAGTGGTAATGGATTTTGGTAGTGATGTTAGTAGCTAAAGTATTGCGATGATCAACGAACTTCTGTCCACAGATAGACGGAAAAGTTCGCGCGCACTTTGTAGTGTATACAGAGAAAGTATTAAGTAAGGTACAGTAGTGTAGACTTAGGGTAAGATAACTGTTAGAGAAGTATAAAGTATAGTATCACTTAGAAGTTATATATTGTGTTAATAGTATAGTGTCACTTGGTTCTAGTTTGGGATTGTGGTGATAGTAAGAGAAGTAATAGTATAGTAATAGTATAGTAGTAGTATAGTTGCAGTATAGTACTATACTAATTATGTGCTAGAAACACTAGTTAATTGACAAGGAAATTAAAACTATACGTAAATGTATATTGACAATTGCTAATACTTACTATATCTAATAAATGTTTATTAACTGACCTAGTTAAGTAATATATACTCCAATGTTAGTGACGACGGCAATGTCTCTCAGTATTTCTCACTGTACTGTAACTATAGTAACTACTGAATACTAAATGTCAAAATCTCTACTAAACAATGTCACAGTATATATCAATGTCTCTTCGTATAGCTTCTCATAATGTCTCTTACATTATTTCATGTCTCCTCCTACCTTTCCATGTCTCATCGTCTCACTCGCCTCATGTCTCACTGTCGTCTCTAATGTCTCATAGTCTCATAACTTAATCTTATTTCGCTAATTCTCGGTGCCATACTCTAATGCCAGTCTAACTCTAATTTCACTCTCTGCCGTGCGACATATCTTTACACTATCCATCCACACCCTAATTCATAAACACCCCCCCCTCTGCCCCAGCTCATGGGTGACAATCCTCGGGCCGACCTCCAGTCGCTGACAATATCACCGCCAACTCTGTCCACCCCTCCAACAATTACATCTGCATCTCCATCTACACCCCTGTTAAAAGTACTCCTTCTTGGAGACTCAGGTGTAGGCAAGACATGTCTACGGTCCCAATTCGTACATCATGTATTCACAAACTCATACCGTGCCACTATTGGTGGTGACTATCTCACCACTACGGTAAACATACCTGATGAATCTCAATCTCAAGCTCAATCTCAATCTCAAGCTCAATCTCAATCTCAGTCTGAATCACAATTACAATTACAATCACAATCACAATCACAATCACAATCAGAATCTGACCTCATTTTGCCCAAACAACCCAAACCATCTAAAGTCAATCTCCAAATATGGGATACAGCCGGTCAAGAACGTTTCAATTCCATATCGCAAGCCTTCTATCGTGGTACCGATGTGGTAGTACTAGTCTATGATATCACCAACTATGAATCCGTTCTCAGTCTACGTGATTGGTTCACAAGATTCCTCGAACATTGTCATGTAGATCGACCGGGAGTAGTCGTGGTAGGTAATAAAATCGATAAAACTAATGATCGATGTGTAGATTTGGAAGAAATCCGAGAAATCGTTACCGCCAATACGTCCATTAGTCTAGATAATTATGTGCTTGATTGGGATACTGATTTAAGAGAAGTATCATCTAAACGATTAGATTCAGTTAATGAGCTATTTCTCCAAGTAGCAAAAGTAGGTCTTGAAGTTATGTCCGGTACCACCAATCCCCGAAATAAATTTCATGGATTTGATAGTATCCTACTTCATGATCCAATTAATATAAAGCACACATCCGGTTGTGCTTGCTAATGATAATGCCAGTGAATAGAGTTAATGTAATAATCCATATATTTTACGTGCCAATGCTATGTACAATGTTAATGTAGAACTATATATATATATGTCTCTAATGCAGTACTGCCATCTCTATCTATTTCGATTCTTCAGTCACTGGTTGTTCAATTTCAGCTTCGAAAACTTCAACAACATCGGTTTCTGCAACAGTTGAATTGCCAGCAGAAACATCTTCATCATCTTCATATAACTCTTCCTTATAGTGTTCAGGATACTTTCTGAAACATGATCTCATAGCTTCAAATTTCTTAATACAATCTATTCCTTTAGGTTCAGTTTCTGAATATACAAAGCATGCAAATGCTTCCTTAAATTCTTCTCCACATGGTCCATGAGCCATACCACCTAAACATGGACAATCCCAATTAATTTCTCCAGTTTCTGGATTATAGGCAGCACCTTCATGACCAGATTCAGAAGATTCTTGTTCTTGTTCTTCACCTTCAACTGGAGCTGCAGCTTCTTCTGATGCTTCTACTGCTGCTTCTAAGTCTTTTTCTATTTTAGCTTCATCTACATCATTATGAATATTTCTATTCATAAAACTCATGGCTACAAAAGCCGTTAACGTTAATCCCGCAACAGCCTTAATTTTTCTATGACCCCCATGATTAAATGAAGTTCTAGCATTTTGTGAGAAGAGTCTGTGAGGCACGGTAGCAGCACATTGACGAACAGCTCCTGATCTAGCGAGGTATCTATACATTTTGTAGTTATGGTGGTTGAAGTGATAGTGAAAATTAAGATGACTAAGCTCCGACTTAACTTTTTCAGTTGCCATCAGTGAGGGCCCTGTGTGCAGGGGATGGGTCTCGGGGCCGATAATTATCATGGGCAACTATCCACTACCACTGTCAGTAGTCTGTGCACTGACATATCTTATTGTTAACTTTAGAATATGTGCCGCGTGTGACATCAGACTAACTACTACAAATTGGATTTCAATTTATATCTCCATTGTATCTCAAGTATTCAATTGTTCAATTGTATGTACAGATTATTAGTTATGTAGTGCTATATACAAATGTCTCTCACTATGTCGTCATGTCGTTACTCTCTAACATCCTTCCGTAAATTAAGTACAACTGTTGGTTCAATTTCAGGCCGTGGCTCTTCAAGTGCACTGGCCCACATAATGGAGCATATCACTACAATCACAGAAAACCCTCCTGCATATCTTAATGTTTTCAATACTATGGTTGACTCTTTAGTGTCTTCTGTAGCCACTTTTTTTAATATTTCCTTACTCGACTCAATAATAGGTTCAAATTTAGTTGTATTCTTGGGCGTAGTACTATAATTACGCATGGGCCTTATGAGCCTACTGCAAACTGTACGTGAGTATGGATTGACTATTCTAATCATTAGCTGACTTTGTTGTGGTAGTGACCCTCGTAGTGGTTGTAGTTGTGTTTGTAGTTTGTCGTTTAACATTCGATATGTTTCTAGTGTCTATGTCGCGCCTTGCCTCGCGACATGGCTGCTCCATATACTTCGCGACATTCATTCCCTCTTATACGAATTGCTGCAAATCATCTAAACTGATTGGCGTATACTCTGCCTTTTGAGCTTGTGAGATATATAATACGTCATCATGGATGTAAGACCATACTTTCTGTCCTGAATCTCTTCTTAATGTATATAAAGTATACCCCTTAGTTTCATGCATTTTACCCTTTTCCACTACCATTAATATACCGTTATCTAAGCAATATTTCATGACTACATCCTTGTAACTTGTCATGAGTTTGTACAGAGGTATTCCTTGGACATTAAGTGGTTTCGGAGAATTATTAATCTTGTTCAGTCGATCATCATTCGAGAGTCTTAGTATTTCTTCTGTTGTTGGAAACAGTGTACCGTATGCTTGTGGTAGAATAAGAGATTCATTCTTTGTTGTACTCTGACTTATAATGTCTAAACTGTAATTAATATACCATTCAGTCATGGTTGTAATGAACTGTGAGTTCTGAAAGAATTTAATCCAGCTAGAGTATATTTCGGGCACAAACTCTGTTGCGATGGACTGTATCCATCGATTGAATACTGTGAATTGTAGTAAGATCTCCATCTGATCATGCGATACCAAACTATAGAACCCTTTTGCAAATAACTTCCATATAAATTGAATGGTAATATCAGGCAGCTTGGAAAACTTGGCTGAATGTAATGATCTCACTATTGACCGAATTAGAGTCTGTTGAATATGTTCAATATCTGATTGATTGGCAAATTGTTTAAAACTTTCACACCAAAAGTTGAAGAGAGTGTCCAATGTTTCAGTGGTTGAATTAATGTCAATATTTTCATACATGGTAGTATCAACAAATTCAACATATTTAGTAATAATACTATCAAATATCAGCTTGAATACGCTAGGGTTATCAGGCGCTAATGAAATCACGTAATCGACCAAAAATGTGGGACTGTCAGTTTCAGTTTGTGGATTCCATGCTTCAATATATGAATTCAAAGTCGGTACTATTAATTCACGTGTGAGTTTCTTCTCTATTGCCAATTCGGGATTAATGAATATGGGATATGACTGCCAAGCATTGATATAGTCTAGAGCTTCCAAGTATCCATCTTTGGTTTTATTGGATTCGTAAAGTAAAGAGAGTGAATGGGCAAGTAGGGGATATAATAATGAGTCAAAGCATGATAATGACTTGGTATCATTTTCAGCTATATCTCGATATATTGTAGACCAGTCAGATAATTTTGAAATAATAGTACTTTCTGGCTCTATAGAGTCCATAAAGGAATTATCAAATAGATCTTGTACTGACTGTTTAAGTAAACTGACGAATATTGAAGGAGTTTCTGAGAATCTATACAGATTCAATTTGATCAACTTTTCTGTTATATTCGAGTCATTATCATTAACCTCTAGTGCTTCAAGCGTTTGAATGGCTGCTGATAACTCTGTCGATGTACTTTCAAGTTCAGTTTCTACAGTCTTTACCTCATACTCTTGAAACTTTTCCTGCTTGAGGAATGAGTCATATTCCACGGATATATCCTTCAAATATACATATATATCCTTCAACTTATCACTGGTTATAGTTTCAGCGCCTCTTGATACATTATTGGATAATTCTATTATAGTATGAGGTACTTTAAGACCCAATTTAGTCAATGTCTTGATAATATCATACAAGGAAACTTCCGGTTGGATAGGTATATGTTCCTCATCACTTGATTCTGACTCTTTCTTTTTAGTAAATTTTTGACTTCTCTCACTTATACTGGCCCCTATACCAACCCCTTTTGGTCTAAGTTGAGTTTCTATAGGATTCACTATCCCTTCTTGATTAGCTCCTAATCCTGTACCTTCTTTATATCCCATTTTCATTAATAACTGAGCCCCAATCCCATATTTTGTTACATGAATTGATTCACCTTCATCAGTACTATTCATCCATCTATTACCGAACATATTCCGAGGTTGTTGTTCTAATTCTTCTTCTGCTTCATCGTCTTCTCTTTCTAAGTCCGAATACTCATCATCTGCTATGGCAGCCATCATCCCCATAGAAGGGTACAGTTTTGAGTCTATTGTTCTATTGCTGTCATTCTTATCATTCTTGTCATCCTCAGATGCTCCACTAAACACTAGGCCCTTGAATGGCATTAATGCTGTGGAGTTTGAAGAGTTGTATGTATTGATTATGGGGACGGAGATATTTCACTTTTACTATATATGTGAGTCACGTGACAAATGGAATACCCTAAATAACTACATTACCATATAAATACATACTCTATCTATATATATATATATATTCAAAGTTGACGCCTTCCTGATCTCAGAAATCTATTAATGAAATCAACAAGCTTCTTTTCATCAGCTTCTACTTCTAATTGATCACGCTGTACTTCTTCCAACCCCTCAGTAATTACCTGAACTACAGTAGGTTGATTCCTTTCCCCTGGGATATTAAACTGTTTTGGTATGAAATCACCATATTTTGCTAACCATTGCTTTCTTCTTTCCTTCTCATGAGCCTGAAGTTTATAAAGGTCTTCATTCAAAAACTTGGTTAAAGAGTTTAAGAACCTTTTAGGATAGACAAATTGTTCATAATGTAATTCTTCCAAATATTTAGTCTTAATAATATTTAAAAATTGTGTGTAATGATAAGTAAGTTCATTAAGAGTCTTTGCATAAGTTTCAATAGGTGTTTGGTTAGAGTCAGGATCATTTGGTAGTGATGATGTATTCAATAATTCATCAAATTGATCAACAAGTAAGATGAATTGAGGTAAATTCTTTGTTTTAAAAGCTCGATATAGATCTAATTGTTCCTTTAATGTAATGATTAATCCTTCTATTTTAGAAGAATGAGTATCCAAATATCTTTGTGCTCTATTTCCATTACTTACTATCATATCACAAACTGTATTCAAATCCTTTAATACTTCTGGTAATTCTAATGTATCATTTCTTAATATTTCCAAATCAATTGAAGATCCATTTTTAATTAATTCTAATCCCTTATTACATTGATCATAATGATTAGTTAACATCTTTAATAATTTAACTAATTCATGTCCTAATGATGAGTTCTCCTTTAGAAGAGTACTAATTACACTATTAGATTCTAATGGAGATTTACCTAAGATAGCATTTTTAACATCAAGTTGTAATGGTTTGATTTCATCATAGACTTTATTAGCCTTATTATATCTTTTGACAAGAATATGACATGGTTCAGATATTGAGTCATGTAATTTAGTGTCTAATACTTGTCGTATCTTTGACCAATTATTCTTATATATTTCTACATTTGTTCGTAATAAAGTAATAGAATCAGTAGAAATAAAATCATCCAAGGGTCTTTCAGGTGTATTATCATCATTATCAATAACATTATCATTATTATCTAAATTTTCTAATATTAAAAATGATGGAATAGTAGTACTATGTAATTGCAAAAGTATTGCATCAAGATTACTTAATGCCGGATTAAGTAAAGTATTAATTTGCATTTGAGGTATTTCAATTAATGAACGTTTAGAATATTGAGATATATTATCAATTACTTTAATTATTAATTCATGTTGATGTTTAACGGCTTCATATAATGTACTTGATTCATCAAGTATATCAGGTAAATGAGTAGTTAATTGAAATTCTGTTGAATTGATTTGGATCTCGGCATTCGAACATAATTCTTGAGCTTTCTGAAGTGTAGAATGAGCTATTTCAGCCCATTCCATAACTGTACTCGTTGATATTGGTCCGGGCATATCTTCATGGAAGTAGCCTAATGGAGTAAATCCGTACTAGTGTAAGTGTAAGTGTAACTTGTAACTTATAACTTGTAAGTTAGCATGATAATTTGATCTAATCTGTAAATTATTAGGTGTAGTAAGAAAACTGTAAAAAAAGCCTGGTGTATGGATGTTTTGACTTTCTCGAGACCAAGCATGAAATATTTCACTACCGTTAACTAACTAACTAATAGTTAACTACTATATAACTAATAGTATCAGGGGCTTAAATATGAGTAGTGTATCTCCGTTGAAGGCGTTACATAGTGCTACTACTAATCAAGGAGCCATAACTTTTCTTAAAGGAGATGAAGTCACAGAATCCATTAAGGATGCTACTCATGTTAAATTTGGTAATGAAGATCATCCGTATGAATTAGATACTGTAACTAATTTTTATAATGATGATAAAGCTCAGAATCTTCGTGCAGTAGTGTTTTGTTGGTTACATGATAAATCATCTATTGTAGATTATAGACGAGAGTGTACTGAATTAGGTATACCTGATTTCAAGTTTTTAGTTAAGACTGAATTAACTACTTGGTTAAATGGTAATTCAGATTCATGTACATTTGTTAAGGAAGAAGAAGATGATAATGAAAATAAATCATTAAAAAAAACTAGTGGAGCAGATATTTCTACTACTTCTACTAGTGGTACTGGTAGTGGTAGTAGTAGTAGTTCAACTAAAAAGCATAAATTGGAAGATCCTCAAATCGATAGAATTTCAGTATTTGAACGAGAATCAATAGATCATAATGCTGCTTTAAGAGGATCTAAGAATATTGATTTTGGATATTTGATATCCGATGCTAAGAAATTTATAAGTCAATTAAAGAGGGCTAGAACCTCAGGAGATATTAAAAAGAAATCATCAGGTGGACCCAAGAAACAACCAATTATTATTGTTTCTCCTGCAACTACGGCTTTATTATCATTATCTAATGTTAAACAATTTCTTGAAGAAGGAGCATTTGTTGAACCAGATCCAAGTAATAAACCAACAGGACTTGTAACTATTCGTCATAAATCAGATAAATTAATATCATCTGCTCAACAAATAATAGTAGTGGATAATGTAGATATGTTTAATAAACCAGAATATTGGGATAGAGTAGTAGCTATATTTACTACAGGACAAGCATGGCAATTTTCCAAATATAAATATGCTAAACCTGAAGAACTTTTCCAACATTATGCGGGATTCTATCTTTCATATCAAGCTGATCCAACTCCTCGTCAAATAAAAGATTGGAATGTTAATGAGATTAAAGTAGATAGAGATAAAAGATTCAGAGATACTATGATTGTAAGAGATTTCTGGACTGATATTGATAAGATTCTTCTTGCTAAGGGATATGGAAAGGATTAAACTAATTAATATCAATATAAACTTGTAATATTTCATATATACACTACTTCAATAAACTATGTACAATTATCTGTAAATTATCTGTAAATTACTTGATTATCTGTAATTCTTTTCTAATTCTATAAACATGTCATATACCTCTTGTGGGGTCATGTTATTAACTTTTCTATCATCTCGATGTCTGATAGCAACAGTACCCTTTTCAATATCTTTATCACCAATCATAATAATGTATGAATAACTCTTTTGAATGGCATCTTTGATTCTGGAACCAACTGTTTCCTTTCTAGAATCAACATCAATGTAAAAGTTATATCCAGTAATAGGAGATATACTAGTTCCAGCTCCTAAAATATCACCTGAAAGTTTCTTATGTAATTCTTCTGCATGAACAATATGGGAATCATTAACAGGAATAATCACGGCTTGTCTAGGATTAATCCAGAAGGGCCATTTCCCTTGATAATGGTCAAGAAGTATAGCAAAGAATCTTTCTAATGATCCAAATACAGCTCTATGTACTAAAATGGGTTGATTGTTTCGACTACCATCGTGAGCGACATATTTCAAGTCAAATCTTTGAGGAAGTTGGAAATCCAATTGAATAGTTCCTACTTGATGTTTTTTCTTGAATGCATCAGTCAATAATACATCGATTTTAGGACCATAAAAGGCTCCATCACCTTCTCTAATACTCCATCCTGTTTCTCCAACTACACTGTTTAAGACACTTTTCAACTGTGATTCGGCATTATTCCATGTCTCAAGATCACCCAAGTATTTATCCTCCGGACGGGTAGAAAGATAGAACTCTATATCAGTATCCTTCATACCAAACACTCCATAAGTTTCTTTAATTAAGTTTATGGTGTTTTTAATTTCTTGATCAATCTGATTCAATTCACAAAAGATATGACCATCATCTTGATGAAATCTTCTAACTCTTGTAAGTCCAGAAAGTGCTCCACTAGCTTCATTTCTGTGTAGTGATGAAAAATCAGAGTATCGTACTGGTAACTCATTATAAGATCTATCGAATTTACTGAAAATTAAGCAATGACCAGGACAATTCATAGGTTTCAATCCATAATCATGTAATCCTTCTTCTTCTTCACTAATATCTACATGCTCTTCTTTACTAGAATCATTTCCTATCACTTTAAACATATCATCCTTATAATTCTGCCAATGACCTGATTGTTCCCATAGTTTAGTCTTATAGATTAATGGAGTTATGACTTCTTGAAATCCATATTTTGTTTGTTGATTCTTCATAAACTGTACTAGTTTATTGAATATTCTAGTTCCATGTGGTAAAAAGAAGATTGAACCAGGAGTTAATGAATCGGTTGTATATAATAGTTGTTTATTGGAGATGGTGTGATTGGCTTGTGTTGAGGATTCAGCCTCATGATGAGAGGAATGTTGGCGTAAAGCCGTTACTAAAGATCCCCGCGTGGAACCAGTTGACTTTATACCAGTCTTAATAGATTTGGCTAGTGATACAGTCATATTTCACTGGTAATACTGGAAACTATTAGTGGTACCATACATTATAGTAGTGGAAAAAAAAATAGTTTATGTTATCTCAGCGAACCACGCCTAAGCCGTGCCGACGGAGATGTGTTTATATTGCACTAATATACAGAGAAACTATACAATTAAGATCGTATAAGAGGGTACATAACTGAGTTATGAATTGTGACTTGGGATTTTTGAATTTGAATTTGAGTTTGAATTTGAACTGTCTACTGCCTTAAGCTTCTGTTCGAATATCGGGCGTGGAAGATGCTGAGACTATAGGCGTAGGTGATGCTTCTTCTTTAATTACAGGAACACTAGTAGTAGTGATAGTCGTACTGGCACTTGCACCAGATACTGAGGGTTTCTTTTTTTCATCTTTATGAGCAAATGATACATATTTAACTTTAAATCCACTGAAAGTTTTAAACTGTTTGGTCTTCTTTACCCATTTCTTACTTGGCTTTCCTGACTTATCTAATGCATATAACCCCAGAGTTATACTATTCATAGTCAATCCCGATGTGGATGATTCTTTTAATCCAGAATTGATCTTGAAATTACTTATAGTGGCTCCACTAGATCCATTATTTAAATTGTTTAAATTTGTAGAAGATCCATTGTTCTCTCCAGTACTAGGAGCTGGAGATCCCACTTTAGAACCTCCAGTTGATGTACTTGTACTATTAACTTTTCTCTCTTCTGCCGCTATCTTTTTCAATCGAGATTTGGATATAGGCGTTGGAAAATTGGGGAGTGTCTTCAAGAATGATGATGGAACCTTCAATTTGGCCCAGTAACGTTTTGGTGGTGCCATATTTAGGGTGTTGTTAAAGGTATTGATTTGATGATTTGGAAGGGTGATTAATGTGAATAACTACTATACTATTCAGTTATATATAGATTGGAGGTATATAGGTAAGTATTTACTAGTCCATCAGAAGACTGTCCAACCACTTCTTTAGACGTAATTATTACTATAGTCAATAGTCTGTTTATATGCCGTCCTGATTTTAGTGTGCGACATTTATTCTGAATATGTCGTGCATGTCATGTTGTAAATGTCGCTGTCATCTACATTAGCTGCAAATGCAATTTTATAACACTACGTAGAATATTTATTTATGATACTTTAGTACTTATTACTGGTATTTAGAATGAGTTGTATGAGTTAATGAAGCCATTACATTTAATAAGTAATAAATAAAGATGGTTTCTTAAAACTTGCAGGAAATAATAAGTCTTCTGATATTCTTTCTTCAGATAAATGTAGTATTTCCAAACATGGCGGTAGCTGAATATCACTGTCAATCTCACATAAACTTATATGTGAAAAGTCTAGATCTATTAGTTTTGGAGTAACCGAAGGACTCAGGAATAAAGGCCAGGTCAGCTTTAATTCTTCAAATTTGCTTCCCATTAAAGATAAATGTGTTAAATTTGGCGGTGGTTTCCATCCTTCCAAGTTTTCCAATCCATTACAGTCTATGTTTAGGGTCTTCAATTTGGTTAGTTCATCCCAATATTCATACGAAAGTAAGTCGGGCTGGTAACAAAATATGAATCTTAAAGTTTCTAAACTCGAAGGAAATTTAATTCTCACATCAAATTGGCACTCGTATAGATCCAATCTAGTTAAGTTGTGTGTGAATAATGTCATTTTTATATATAAATAAAATGGAATCCAATAGCCTTCAATATAAACACTAGACAAGTTAGGTGGGGTTGTAAACGGATAAGATACTTCTTTCCTATTAGAAGCCTTAACCAGAAAGGTATCAAGACTTGCTGGCATGCGACTTAATAGGCCAAAGGCACCAAAGGGAGCATCAACATCAAATGTTGTCAATTCTTCAGGCCATCCAATTGACTCCAAATCATCCAAAACCTTTGATATTTTTCCACTTAAATTAAGTTCGTATAATTTAGTTGGCCATCCCTCATCTCCTTGGAATTCTCTAAGACCGTCGATACGAAGAGTCTGAATTTTTCTAAAGTTCTTGGTAATAAGGATAAATTAATTTCATTAAAATTCTGAACATGAATTCGCAAGTCAACTAGGTTGGAGCCACTTAAACTGGTCAACTCGACAGAATCAAGAGGATCTACTTCAAGGACTTTCAATGACTTGAGAAAGTCTTTAAAGTCGTATTTCAAGCTATTATTCTACAATTTTTCTATTGACTTATTATTTTTATATGTGGTATTTTCGATATCATCATTATATTTTCCATATTATAATAATTTATAGGATTTTGAATTCCTTTATAATCTCTAAAACAAACTAATTGTGTCAAAAGTTTCGTCAGATCTTTGGGGGGTTTTGTTCATCTTCATATGACTTTTTCAATTATCCCAGCTCTTTATGCAAACGGAATCTTAATTTTTTTTTACATGTATCATGATCCTAATTTCACTCTCCGGCTGAAGTTATTTTTACTTTCTGTTGCAAAAAAACTAAAATATAAAATAACCAATTATTCTAAAATTAATACTAATAAAATCAATGTATCATTCCGAGGGTTATTTAGCAGTTAAGCGAGTGAACTGAAGAATCTATTTAGTTAGGCTATTGCTTGTTATTAGCTATATAATTCTACTTTATAGTTTAACTAGAACCCTCATATAAGAATAAATTGAACTCCCAGGTATAAATACTATATAATATACCTTAATTAACCTATAAACAGTTTACTATAATATTGCCAAATTTGCACTTCTTCTTTTCCTTCAAATTTGTCAAAACAATGCTGCAAACTTATTGAAGTCGCATTTTTTAATCTGAGTAACTACTGGGCGGAGTGACAGTTTGGGTCATGCATTATCCTAACCATAATTATACCAATCAAGTATCGTCTAAAGCTCTTCCAGTGTGGGTTCTAAAGGTATTTGGAGTGCTTCTGCGATATATTTATTCGTTTTCAAAATTTTGCAGCTAGCATTAGCAATTACATTACTAGTTAATTCAGGTAGAGACTGATTGGCAATGCCAATGACAATTATTCCATGTATGCAGAATTCTACAAAGCCAAATTCTAACTCTAAAATAACTCTCTCTAACTGTAACGACGATTTGAATCTAGATCGCCTGAAACTTCGAAGATCCGATCTATCATTCCTTTTGAAGACATCAGCCATCATCTATTATTAGCAATAAAGAAACCTTTGTGCAAGTTCACACGACCTTTCCGAAAAAAGTTGATCTGAACCAGAACACGAAACGGTTCAAAAACAACAAGTCAACAGATAGCAATAGTTAACTTTAGGATCTAGAATCTTATACACCTAGTATTGATATAATGGTAAGTGTACATTAGGAATTATATACTGTGGAAAATTGGGATTAAGAAGTGTTGATTGACTCAGTTACGGACGCATAATGGCCGAAGACTACGTAAATCGTCTATTGATACCGTCACTTAGTCAAGTCCGATTAACCTACAAATCCATAGAAAATGATAAGATTTACTAACAATTGCTTCGAATATAGTCTGAAAAGTTATCAGAACAGCAAATAGCTGAATTCAAAGAAGCCTTTTCTTTGTTTGATAAGGATAGTGATGGAAAAATCACCACCAAAGAATTAGGTTCAGTCATGAGATCTTTGGGTCTTAACCCATCAGAAAGTGAATTGACAGATATGATAAATGAAGTTGATGTAAATAGTGATGGATCTATAGACTTTCCTGAATTTTTAACCATGATGGCTAGAAAAATGAAAGATACCGATAGTGAAGCAGAAATTGCTGAAGCTTTTAAAGTATTTGATAGAAATGGTGATGGTAAAATCAGCGCCACTGAATTAAAACATGTTTTAACAACCATTGGTGAAAAATTGACTGATAGTGAAGTCGATCAAATGATTAGAGAAGCTGATATTAATAATGATGGAGAAATTGATATCACCGAATTTACTCAATTATTGGCCCAGAAATAAATATCCCAATCTATTCCTTTAGAGTTATGTTTGTAATGTTCTTCTACTTATTTATAGTCGTATATATATTTATATCTGAATAAATCTCATATATCCTTACCAATGACTACTTTATGATTTGTAGATAACGATAAACCTTTAACGCGATGCGGTACTTTTTTATCCCCCACCATAGACTATACCAGCAAGCAAGTCAAGTATGAACGGATCGACTAAGAAGTACAAACATCCCCATGCATCTAGATCCACTTCTACTAGTTCAGCAGTGTCTGTAAAGAGTGAATCTTCAAATTCAATAACCAATTCCGATATCATCGATGAATATCTTGCTCCTAGCGCCAAAGGTCCTGGTCCCGATTCTAGTTCCACCAGGCAAATCAATTTAAATCGAAACAAATATAATGAGAAGGGCTCAAAAAGTAAAGATGAAGAAAAGGCAGCTGCTAGAGCAAGAAGATTTGCTACTCCCAGTACTCCTATCAATGCAAATTCGTATGGGTTTGTGAGTAGAGGTGAGGACAATAGACTACAGAAGTATCATCGTGAACGACAAAAGTTCTTTAATATGATATTATTGTCGTTCATTAAGTATTGTAATTCAAATTCCACCCATTCATTAAGTAAGAGCATCGACCGATTGATTAATAGATCTGAAGTAGTTGAAGAAGAGGAAGAAGAAAATGAAGATGAAAAATCAAATCAGAAGGAAAAGGCAGTAGGGTTAGATTCTATACTTAGTTCATTAAGAAAATTACGAGAAGCCCTATTATATATAGATCATAGTTCAAGCGCTAACAACATTAAGGATAAAGAAGTTGAACAATTTACTAAGAAGGTATATCTTTTCTCAGTTCGATTGAGTAGTAATATCGGTCATTATCAAACTTATATTCCTAGTATAAATCATCTTATTCATAATAAGAACCTTCTCACAGATGATGAATTTGAAGAGATATCCATATTATTAATTCTTCATCTATTGCATTTTAATAATCTAACTTCCAAAGCCATTAAGATATACTTTGGTAGTAAATTAAATAATCGGAAATCCAATGATTCTATTAAATTATGGCAAATAATTCAAAGTTGGATTCAACAAGATTACGTACGATGGTTTAAGTTATTTCATAGTGAAAAGGATAGTTGTAAAGTAACTATTATGAAGTTTGGGTATGATAAAATAATTAAGCATACGCTTGAAGTTATAAACCAATCTTATTTCACCATACTAGAGAAAGATCTATATAATGATGTATTACAACAAGAGTATATTGCTAGTAAATGCGATATTAATGATATAATTGACAAGTACAAGTTATCATGGAAAGTTCAGGACCTGGAGAAGGCCCATAATCGGTTAGTAATAGTTAAGGAAAGACGACGTGTATAGAAAAAGTGTATAGAAAGAGAGGGTGATGTAGGATATACAGTATATAATGTATAGTATATAGAGTACAGTATATAGAGTATAGTATACAACGTATAGTGTATGCTATATAGTATATGAGCATATGACATATAGAGGATAATAGTATACTGTTATAATTAGCATAGCTTATCTAAATCTCTATGCTCGCCTTTATGGGGAAATAAACGAAAGTTCACAGGGACAAATTTGTTACGGCATCTAGAAGAATTCACCACCAATATCTAGTCTTCATACTATAAGATGGCCACCGCCAAATACAACCCCAATAAGTTACCAGATTTGATTAAGATCGATGATATAACGTCAGGCAAAATCGATCCACAACTCATATATCAAGAATTAAATCGATTAAAAGTGGAGTTAAACATTCTTCGCAATGACATGAACAACTTTCTAAGAGTACTTATTGACATCCCAACCAATGCCAACGGTGATGTAAATGAACACGAGTATTTCAAAGTTATTGCATCTCGATTAAAAACCTTAAAGGAAACTATCAACGAATATTGTCTCGAATACAATAAGTTATTGCCCATAATAAATTTGGCCCAAATTAAACTAGGACACGAAGTAGAAATACTACCTCCTCCCACTTCCAATAGACCAAGTGTAGCAGGAGGATTGGTCAATACAATTACAGCTACAAATACTCCTACTATTCCGGCTACAAATATTTCTACGCCATCTACAACTACTGGTGCTACACCTACAGCTACTGCTACAACCCCCGCCATAAATTCAAACACAAATACAAAGAGAAACTCCGTAACCAAACTGGGCCCCAATAAACCGGGCGCAAACGTTAACCAACCTATAGTTATCTAGTAAGTCATTAGTAGTCATTATGTAATACACATACACATATACATATAATATATATATACGGTCGTACTGACACTGATATCCCTCTGTTACCCTGAACTGACTCATTAACTATCGCGCACTTTTGGGTCGTCCGCTGCCTGAAAAATTCATCGGGCTGCAATATAAAGAGCCGGTTCAGCACCACTATTAGTTAGCAATTATAATCTGGTCACTATTAGACAGTATAGAACCTATAAACTATAGATAACTATAACTTATAAGCTATAGAAGAACAACTGCTTATACACTATGTCGGAATTAATTAGACAAACATTTGCTAATGCTAAGGCTCAAGGTAGAAAAGCCTTAGTTAATTTCATTACTGCTGGATATCCAACTATTGAAGATACTTTACCAATCTTAAAGAATATGCAACTGGCAGGAGTTGATATTATTGAATTAGGTATTCCATTTTCTGATCCTATTGCCGATGGTCCTACTATTCAACAAGCCAATAATGTTGCCTTAGATAATGGTATTACTGTTCCTAAATGTCTTGATTTAGTTAAACAAGCAAGAGCTGAAGGTGTTGTAGTACCTATTATTTTAATGGGTTATTATAATCCTATTTTAAAATATGATGAAGTTAAATTTGTTGAAGATGCTGCTAAAGTTGGAGCTAATGGATTTATTATTGTTGATTTACCACCTGAAGAAGCTATTAGATTTAGATCTTTATGTATTAAAAATGAATTAAGTTATGTACCTTTAGTTGCTCCTGCTACTACTAATGAAAGATTAAAAGTTTTAGGTGAAATTGCTGATTCTTTCATTTATGTAGTATCTAAAATGGGTACTACTGGTGCTTCAAAGACTGTTTCATTTGGTATTGAAGATTTATGTGCTAGAGTTTCAAGTATAGTCGGTAAAGATATTCCATTAGCTGTTGGATTTGGTGTTTCAACTAGAGATCATTTCTTAGCAGTTGGTAAAGTGGCTGATGGTGTAGTTATTGGTTCAAAGATTGTTACACTTATTGGTGAATCTCAACCGGGTCAAAGAGGTAAAGTTGCTTATGATTATGTAAGATCCATCTTAGGTGAAGATTATCAAGTTCCTGAACAAGTTGTTCTTACTAAATCAGATTCTTCTTCTACTTCTACTTCTACTTCAAGAGAAGCTAAACCAATCATTGAAGAAACCCATAAATATAATCCAAGATTTGGAGATTTTGGAGGTCAATATGTTCCAGAAGCCTTACATTCTTGTTTAGCTGAATTAGAAAAAGGTTTTGAAGATGCTGTTGCCGATCCAAAATTCTGGGATGAATTTAAATCTTTATACTCTTATATTGGTAGACCATCATCATTCCATAAAGCTGAAAGATTAACTGAATATGCTGGAGGTGCCCAAATTTGGTTAAAGAGAGAAGATTTAAATCATACTGGATCTCATAAGATTAATAATGCTTTAGCTCAAGTATTAATTGCTAAAAGATTAGGTAAAAAGAAAATTATTGCTGAAACTGGTGCAGGTCAACATGGTGTTGCAACTGCTACTGCTTGTGCAAAATTTGGTTTAGAATGTACAGTATTTATGGGAGCAGAAGATGTTAGAAGACAAGCTCTTAATGTATTTAGAATGAGAATTTTAGGAGCTAAAGTTGTTGCTGTTAAAAATGGTACTCAAACTTTAAGAGATGCCACCTCTGAAGCTTTCAGATTTTGGGTATCTAATTTAGAAACTACTCATTATGTTGTTGGTTCAGCCATTGGTCCTCATCCATATCCAACATTAGTTAGAACTTTCCAAAGTGTTATTGGGCAAGAAACTAAAGAACAATTTAAAGCTTTAAATAATGGTAAATTACCAAATGCCGTTGTTGCTTGTGTTGGTGGAGGATCTAATTCTACCGGAATGTTTTCACCATTTGAAAAGGATTTGGAAGTTAAAATGTTGGGAGTTGAAGCTGGAGGTGATGGTTTAGATACTGATAGACATTCAGCTACATTAACAGCCGGTATTCCTGGGGTCTTTCATGGAGTTAAAACTTATGTATTACAAGATAGTGATGGACAAGTTCATGACACTCATTCAGTTTCTGCTGGTTTAGATTATCCCGGTGTTGGACCAGAATTAGCCTTTTGGAAGAGTACTGGACGTGCTGATTTTATTGCTGCTACTGATGCTCAAGCTTTACAAGGTTTTAAATTATTATCTCAATTAGAAGGGATTATTCCTGCTTTAGAATCATCTCATGCCATATATGGAGGGGTTGAATTGGCTAAAACTTTACCAAAAGATCAACATATTGTTATTAATGTAAGTGGTAGAGGTGATAAGGATGTTCAAAGTGTTGCAGAAGTCTTACCTAAATTAGGTCCTGAAATTAATTGGGATTTAAGATTTGAAGCTGATCCTTCTAAATAATTTCTAAATAACTAATTAGATTATAACATATATAAATATATTTGAATGTGTAACTTTTTTTATTTACCTATGTACTATAAATTTTCTGGCATAGTCATCATAATTAATACTGTTGATGACCAGCCAAGGAAATTCTTAGCTCCCTTTTCTTTTCCACTATCATCTTCATAAGCTTCCCATATATAACCAGTAGTTTCCCATTTATCAGCAATGTTATTAATAATGTTTAATCGTAATTGATGATAAGTAGAGGTTACCTTTTCCTTTAATTCTTTACTCATATAAGACTTGGATATATCATAGTAATGCTGTAAGGCATCAAGCGCCATATAATTAATATTAATCCAGATTGGTGATCTCCAATAGTTCTCTTCTGTCTTATAGTATTCGTCAGACTTGGATAATGATCTAAGACCAAAGTCAGTCCATAACTCTTCTGGATCACTAATTAAGTCTACAATACTCTCAATTTTGGATACTTCATGTTCAGGAATCAATTTGGTTAAGAATGGGAAGAGGGTAACGTATCCCTTATGACATACATGAATATTGATATCATCATCATCAACACTTACATCACAATAAGCTTGATGCTCTTCTGACCAATGGATGGCGTCTATATTCTCAATAATAGCTTCTTCGGTCTTTTTATATTGTTCATAGTCTTCATCAAGATGTAACAATTCTGCAATCATCTTCATGGATCTGGTCATGACTCCTATCCATGATAATAAATCAATGTTTAATTCAGCAATGTCGGCTGGTAAAGCACGAGGATAATCATCAATCCCACTGGCTAAACAATGAGTTAAAGTTCTACCTCTCCATCTATATACCTCACCATTAGTACCTCTATCTTCAAATTCTCTATATAACCCTTGTTGAGTTCTCTTAAACCATTCATAATGAGTTTTCAATTTAGGATAGATATTTTGGGTATAATTATATAATAACTTTGGATTATTAAGTATTAATGACCCTAAATTCTTAGAATCCAAACTAGTGATATCATCAACATTATAAGGAGTATCAAGATCAAGATTATGAGGGTCTTTGATATTATTCAATAAATATGTGAACACAAGCATTAATGTAGGAGGATTAACTATTTCTGGACTTTGAACTTGGAATTCTTCAGGAACTCTTGATCTTGCTTCTGGTCCAAGGATCTGTTCACGAGCAATCCAACCATCTTCATCAATCAAATTAAACCATGACTGTAACACTTCAAATACCAAATCTGAATCATAATTAATTAATGGAATTAAATGGAATCCCTCATCCCATAAGAATCCTCTGGAGAAGAATGGTCTTGATGGTACTAATGAGAATAATTCATGAGGACCTTCAAGTGATCCTTTTAATTTATATTCTTCAAATGATTCATCATCGAATTTGGTTTCTCTATCAACCAAATGATCTCCATAAGCATAAGTTAATCCTCCAAGTAAACCAGATAAGAGTTCCTTAGCAAAATCGAGATGTTTTGATTGTTTATCATAGGGTGCCTTCAATTGGAACTTATCATTAAACTTATCATCAAAAATCTTAAGGTTCCTATCAATCTTTTCATTAATATTGTCAAAGGTTATCATTTCAGTAGGTCTCGTAAGTTTATTAGTATAGATAATATCGAATTCAAACTTACCTTCAAATACCTTTTGAACAAAATGTAAGTTACCTTGATAATGCTTCATATCACGAAGTAAGAAAGCTTGTTCTGGTGGAACAGCATTCCCATTAGTTTCAAGTAGATCTTCAACTGAATCCAGTAGCAATGCAAGAAATATATCTTTAGCTCTCCAAGTATTATCATCAGGAACCGCTAAACTTAAATGTTGAGTTTTCAGAGGATCTAAGAAGTGATATTTGGGGTCACCCTTTGGATGTCTATTAGATGCTGGACCATCATTAATCTCAATGTCAAACATTCCCAATTCTTCTGAGATACCTCCAAGCTTAATATTCCCCCTATACCCCTCCTGTTGAGGTCTATTCTCTAATTGTAAATATCCATTTCTAGTCTTAAGGCCTAATTCATTAATTTCATCTGATTCACCTTCTAATCCAGAGTACCATACCAATGCAAGCTTATTATATTCAAATCCTTGCATATATTCTCCTCTAATCTTAGCTCCCCATGATAAACCATCTGAACTCTTGACATAGTCAATGGTTAACTCAATATGATAATCATCATCTCTAATAACTTCTCTACCTCCTAAACGTGGATCATAAGATATCCAATTAGCTTTTCTAACTGGATCATACTTCTCATAGACGTGTCTGATATTATGAAGTCCTCCATAGTCGTCGACTCCAAACCACATTAATCCAGATAATAAAGAATGAGGAATACGAGGTCTAATTCCAAAATATAAAGAAGATCTATAGGGTCCCCAAAGTAATGAAGCATCCGACAATTCAGTATACTGTTGATTGAACCCTCCTACTGATTCAACATCTTCAATCACATCTTCAGACTCATAGATGTCAAAGTGGAATTGCTCACTGCGAACAACCACCAGATAAAGTGACAATTGGAGAATTAATGCGACTAAGCAAATCTTTGTTCGCTTGATCCAATTAGTCATAGTAATATACTCGCGTCTATTAATAAAGGATTGGTTAACCGTTAAAGATGTTTTGGTGATGAATGAGAAAAAGTGCAATATCAGATGGTGAAAAATTTCACTACAAATTATAAATTTTTTATAAACTTTTTATATAAACTTTAAATAGTCCCTTATATTGACTATATGAATGTGGCCATCTAAGAAGGGCTTAGGAGTACGACTAAGCTATGGAGTATCTGGGAATGGTAGTGGAGTTTCTGGATTACTGTCAGAAGTAGAATTTGCTAGACGAGATGGACCTCATGAAATGTATGAGATTCATCAATCACTAACAAATGTAGTAGAAGGTCAAGTCCCATTATATTCAAATCCCGAGTTACAAGAGAGTGTTAAAGTATCTGTATCAAGTATAGAAGGTTTCATTCCTAGTAATATTGTTTCATCTTTACATCATGAATCAGATGTATTTACATCATCAATAGCTCATGATCCTAACTTTCGAAATCTACTAAAGATAGTAGGATTGAAAATCAAATCTACTAATAAACAAAGTAGTTGTTTAGCTGTATTATATCCTGGAGGTGCTTCAGGGAATGTATTGAATATATCTAAATTGACTTATATGAGTATTGATGCAGTTAAAGAAAATAATAAATATACTTCGATATTAATGCCTGACTTAGCTACATCTTATCAAATAACATTCACTAGTCAAATCAAACAGATAGAAACTCCACCAACACTTTCATATTATGTTTCTTCATATTTGGTAGTAAGAACTAATTTCAAAATATATGTGCTTGATTGTTGTATGAATGATGAAGGTATTGATATTCAAGTGATTTCAGAAATAGATAATAAACAACTTTCTGGATTCGAATTTGCTGATGTCCGATTCAATCCGTTTGATGATAGTCAATTTGGATTAGTAGATATTAAGGGTAATTTTGGTATTTGGACCGTAAGTCCTCAACGTGTAAGTAAACTAAATCTTGGTCAACAGTCTATCTACGATACTAAGGAATTATCTAATTGGAAAAGAATTATATGGTCACAAGATTCTCATAAAGTACTTGTTCTTTCTAGAACTTGTATGGAAGAATTCGATATCGCTACTAAACAAATGAAACGTATAATCACTTCTAATACATGGTCAAGAATCCAAGATTGCCAACGTGTTGAAAATGAAGATTATGCATTCTTATTGACATCCAAAGAATTGATTTGGTTGAAATTAAAGGGAGGTATAGAGAGAATGATTTCATGGAAGCATTTTCTTGATGATTCTGATCCTTCATTACAATTATCAGTCAGTGTAATTAGTCATCAACATTATACATGTACGATCTTTTCAGAAGCTAATCCATTAATTTTTGTATATACTTTTGCCATAGAGAATGGTAAACCATATAGTGTTAAGGATCCCTATTGCATTAAGAGAGGTGAATATCCTGGCTCACTCAAGCAAGCATTATTCATTAAGGTCAACTTTAATTTTTATACCAATGAGCAAGATTCTGATCTTGAACAGATAAGAGAAGATGATGAGGAATACATTGATTGCGACAAGTATGTATTATTCGAATTAAGTTCATGTTTAGGACTCACCATACGTGCATTCAGTACCGAGCCTGGGTTTTCAATTAAAAATGATGAAGAAATAACTACTCAAGAACCAGAAGAGTATATTACTAGATCTAATCAATCACAGTATTTCGATGTGATACCAAACATTCATATTCGTAATATTGTAGAGGCACTTAAAGTTCATGAAGATCAATCTAGTGATAGTAGTATAGAATCTCAGAAACAATCTCTTCAAACATATGCTTACTCATTAGGTGAGGGAGTATCAAGATTTGATGAGGATTTGGCATCATATCTAAGTTTACTTGATATTTCAGATAATATACCATCATTAGTTGAAGATATTGCTGAATTAGATACCATGTTAGAGCAACTAGACTCTTTCTATAAATCCAAAGATATTCAAACCAATATCTTAGTCAATACGTCCCTTGTGAAAAGGAATCTACTCCTTAATTCTCAAGATTCTGATTTACAAGTATCGACTGCAGGCGATCTTTATCAACTACTCAACCGCATATACTGTACCAATTCTCATTTGAATACACTTAATACATCCACTAGTTTGTTAAGAGCATGTATGCAACTAAGTACTGGACTCATTAAATCCAAATCTACCAATTTAACTACTAAACTTAATAAACACTATAATGAAACTTTAGAAGCTAGTGATGATCAAGTGAAGTCACTCATTGATAATTGGGATTCTCATGATTTGGATGGAAGAACTGAATCTCAAGCTACTATTATAGATTCTCAACCAGTCATGCCTACATTGGTACTTTCTCAACGTCAGCGTGTACAATCGCAATCGCAATCGGTACACGTACCTTCACCATTATCGCAGTCTACAGTACTGAGCACGCACAATACTCATTCGCAATCCCAACGTCTTGTTCGTCCACAATCGCAATCCAGTCAGAGGCGAAAGAAACGTAAAGGAGGATTTGCATAATTGTAATATATTATTTTGTATCATTAATTGTATCATTAAACTAGATAGTATATAATCTATGTATCATTATTAGAATATAGCATTATTATATATAGCATCACATTAGAATTAGCATTAACATTCATATTAGCCCGTAGCTTAACTTTGCTTGGTTATCTATCTTGTGTCAAGCTACCTGTTTCTTTGTTTATTTCTTGAATAGTAGTGGCTAGCAACTTGGGATCCACGCCCTCATCTAAAAGCTTGATACATAACTGGAGGGTGGACTCGCTGATCTCGGTGACATTGAGCACTCGTGCTAGTTCGATCACTAATCCATTGGAGGATACAGTACTCATTGATGGTGGTAGATGTTAGTCGTAATTAGTGTTGTTTAGTAGCAGCTGTAAAATTTACGCGTAAAAAATTTGGCTGCCATGCATCAAACACAAATCACCAACCATAAATCACTAACCCATGGTGATAACCAGTATGAGATATGGTGTGCGGGTGTTAGGAGCAGTTCGAGTGCGACAGTACAGTAGTGTTCATGCACCTTTACGGATTGCATACTTTGGTAGTGATGATTTCAGTGTGTCTGCCTTAGATGGGTTAGTTAAGTATCAGCAACATCATCCATCTAAGATAGAATCTATTCATGTAGTCACTAAGAAATTATTACCAACCGGTAGAAAACTCCGTACCATTACTGAGCTTCCTATTGGAGAATATAGTGCGCAAAATAATCTTCCTATGATTAGAGTCAGTAATGGTGAAGATATTAAAGAATTAAGTCAATTACAATTCTCATTAGCTATTGCTGTATCATTTGGTGTCCTAATACCGGGGCAATTCTTAAGTAGTTGTCAATATGGAGGAATCAATATTCATCCATCATTATTGCCTCGGTATCAGGGGGCTTCACCTATTCAGTATGCACTCATGAATGATGATCATGTTACAGGAGTTACTGTACAGACATTACATCCTACACATTTCGATAGAGGAGATATTGTTATCCAGTCTGATGAAGTGGCTATCGAAGATCATGATAATTATAGTTCGTTAGCGACTAAATTAGGAGCATTTGGTGGTCAGTTATTGGTAGATGTTATAGATCAGGGATTATTTAGACCTGATCATGATAGAGTGAAATCAAAGTATGAAGTATCCAAAGCTCCTAAACTACATAAGAGTGCTAGTCAAATTAGTTGGCAGAAGCATAGTGCACGACAAGTTGTTCAACTTGGCAAAGCTCTAGGACCATTATATACGTATCAGTATGTAGATATTCATACTAAACGGAAGAAAGTACAGGAGTTTCAGAGAGTTATACTTTCAGATATTAAAGAGGTAGAGGGAGAATATGAAGAGCTTAAGCAAGTAGGGCAATTCCAATTGGAAAATGAGCGACTTATAGTTAAAACGCATACGGGGTATGTGTCAGTAGGGAGAGTTAAGTTTCAGGCGTGTAAGGAAGAAGCGCCAGAAGAGTTTATGGGTCAAGTAAAGAAACGTACAGGACATGAACTGTATGTGTTTGGAGACGGTTGATGTATAGCTTATAAATTCAAAGGTTGCATAGTGTACATAGTAATAAATTTAAAATATAATACTCAACAGGGTCTTACTGTATAGTCAATAATCATATACTTTTCTACTATATCACACTGTATTAATACGATATATGTCATTCATATACTACAACATACTTTACTTATACCATATATATTATTCTATACTTATACTACACATCTCTATAGAAATACTTGACAATGCTTATTAAACTCGCCTACCGCCACCACTATCTTCTCATACAAAAAGTTCCTATTCGCCTTATCGGGGATAGGAATAAATGGCCCCTCTCTGACTTTCAATCCAATACTGATACCTGTACTTTCCTTAGAAATCGCCTTAATCTGTTCAAACTTAATGATCCATTTGGTACTGAGAGTATTGACCGTAAAGAGGACAATCATTCGATAAGTTACAATCACACACATCTCCTCTCCACTAAGTAATAAATGAGCTAAATAGACTTCATTCATATACACTCCTTCATCTATACTCTTAAGCCAATATTGACCTTGAGCCTCTCTCACTGTATAAGGTCTCATGACTCCGTCAGGAGATATATATCGAGGTAATCTTACTTTATCCAAGGCCTCAGTATCAAATACTGTAGTTGTATTACGAATTCCTTCACTAACATTGGAGGCTAAATCAAAGAATCCAATGGCTGTCTTAGTAGGTAAGCCAATAACTCCCTTTCCTAATCCTTTAAAGAATCCTTCTACTCCTCCCTTACTGGCCCCTTCAATAGGAGCTAATGCTACACCTGTAACTCCACTAGTTATAGATTCAAAGAATGAATTGGCTCCCGCAGCTACACCATATAAGGCATGTTTAGGACGATTTCTCCGTAAGTTACGACGTCTCTGTTGAAACTTAGAGTCCATAGTAGCCACGGTTAATCCCTTAGCTATGGATCCAGTAACTTTAGAAAAGGAATCTGAGAATCCAAACACTGTCTTTTTAAGGAAACTAAGACCTCCCTTAGCAAACTCAATTCCAATCTCTTGTGGACGATCAGTCATCATGAGTCCCTGCCAGGGTTCATAGAATGCATCTAATACTCCACTCAGTAAGTTTCTAAATAATCCTACTGGATTACCAATGAAATCTGCCAGCCCTAAGATCTTATGGACTTGATAAAAGAACTCCTGTCCATAATGGGTTTGAATAGATTGTTGAAGGATCGGGAGAGGAGCTCGTAAGTTCTCGATGAACAAAGAATTCAATCGGATAGGTGCATCATTAATATTCCCAATGGCCATAGTAAGTACATTAAAGAAGAACATAATAGTGTTCTGAGATGATGCCTTATCTTCAGCATTAACTCGTTCTGTTCGAACAAACGATAAGTTAGTGACAGTAGGCTGTAAATGAAGAGCTTCAAAATAGATATCTTCACCACTAGCAAACTTCTTAGGAGCCGGAATCTCAAGAGTCTCGTCACAGAGTCTATCCACTTGTTGATTATTCCAGCTAGCACCTGGAAACTTGGCGAAATCCAATAGAGCAAAGAGGAAATCCTCATCAATCTCTATAGACATCTCCTGTAAAAGGATAGTGGCATACTTTATAAAGAGGACTCCATGAGTTTGATCCTTTACTTTACTAATAGCTGCAGAAAGTGATGGATGATTAGCCAATTCTTTACCTGATTTAGGCACTACAGTAGGGTATAATACTATGGGGAATATACCTCCATATAATTGGTTATCAATTTGAATCCATTTCAACTTAACACTGACATTCTGATACAAATCCAGTTCATTATATCTGAGTTCTAGACCTCGAAGGGTTATGTAGCATAGCTCTTGTTGACGAGTATTGATGAGCGATATCCCTAAACCTTCAAAGTTAGTAATGATTTGGGTATAGTAATGATCATCCTGAGTAGTTTCATAGTTCTGACTTACACTCACACTCGAGCTAGTCTTATCCTTATCTTGTAACTTATACAAGCTGACAGAGGCATCATAGTTGGTAATAATGAGCGATTGAGTAGGTCCATCTGCCACTACATTAAGATCAACTATAGTCTGTTCTTGATTCTCGGTTGGAGGTAATCTAAAGGGTTTTAAATTCCCGATTTCCGCCAAATTAATGACTCTCTCTCGACCATGAGATCGAAGCACCAATTCCTTGATGAGTCCATTAGGATAATCATACGCATAGGGCATTACCGATCGAGCAGGAACCTTATAATAGATAGGTTTATAAGGAGTATCATGCTTTACGGTTTCTCCCTTTTCATCCACATTAGGATCACTCTGATAGATATAGAACTCGGCATCGGTAAAGTTTCTAATGGAGAATGGCCAGCTATTATTGGCATTCTCAATCTGAATAAAGATCGTAGCATCTTCAGTAAAGATATGGACTTTCATAAGGGTTTGACCTACTCCTTCTCGGTATACTTTTACAAACACTTGTCCTATATCGTCTATACAGAAAGGAGAAGACCATGTGCGTGAGCCATGAGTTAATTTCACAAGTAAACTCTTTCTGTCTATACGTCTTAAGCAATAGAGAGGTATAACTTCTCCCAGAGCTACTTCATGGGTTCGAGTAGATCCTGATTCAACTACCAGAAGCAGTTCTTCAAGCATATTTCGAAGGACATATCGAGGAGCCAAGGTAACTACTTTACTCAAATTGTATTTACCTTCTCCTTCAGCTATAGAGATCCCTACATTCATCTCTAATTGACGATCAGCTACTTGTGCCTTAACCTCAGCCGTTTGTCCTATAGCATCAAAACTTAAGGGAGTCGACCAGGTGGAATCTCCTATTTTCAATTGCACTCGATTACGATCTCCATCAAATGAGAACATAGTAGGAATACCTCTTCCTGAGGAGTGAGTTAAGTTACCATTATCTCGAAGCATTAAATTCTGACCTGTCCTATTCATCACTACATAAGGACAGTAGACTACAGCCTTAACACTCGTACTATTAGTAGTTTGTCGAGGATAGTAGATATGAAGTTGAAGTTCTTGACCGTCAGTCCGTTTCAATGCCAAAGAAGTTTCTCTATCAAACTGAGAGTTTGGCGGAGTATTGATAATGGCAAATTCCGATTTCCCAAACCCACAGTTCCGAGGTTCAACACTGAGAAGTACTAAACTATCGAGACTTACTACATGTACATAACTCTTAACTCCCTTGGATATACTGCCACTCCAATCCTTTCGAGTTCGTTTATCATAGAGTCTATAGTCCAAGTCAAAGGGGAGTAAATTCTCGATTTCTAATGGAGCTGAGATCACAAGACTCATGTGGGGGTATATCTGAGCAAGTGGTTCTTCATGATCGTAGACAGCTTGAGCTTGGAAGTAGTAAGAAGAGTTATCACCTGATGAAGCAGCTTGACACCGTAAGGATGCTCCATGATGAAGCAAATCCTTCCAGAAGAGTGATCCATCACTCCAGTGGTAATTGGTGGTGATGTGAGGTCTTATCTGGAGAGTACTGGCATATACGCAGCTTATGGGTAATGATTTAGTGGCCTTAGATTCAATCACAAGTTCTTGTTGTTGATTAATCTTGACCACTATGGCCACATCGGCATCATTCTGAATCCTTACCGTCGACCGTAAGTAGATGGTCTTGACATTATCAGTGCCAAGGACAATCTCACATACTAATCGATTATGGATACTATCGACGGCAGGATAAAGTACCATCACTTCTTCTCCTTCTCCGGTAGCTGCTATATTACGGACTTCATCATATGGAGAATCAACCAATTTAACTCCAAGTACTCCTATACGATTATTAGAATCTAAGTTCTGTCTTACTGCTCGCCAGTCTTCAAAGGCCCATGAGATTTGACTATCTTGTTGGATACTTCTCGTGGCTTTGGTGGTGGCGGTGGTATCATGATCAGCCCATACTTCTACATCATACCCTGTCTCATTGACTATCACATACGGATTATCCTCTCCTCGAGGTTTCAACTTATGATCACTGGCCAAGAGACTGGTAATCTGAGAAAGAAGAGCTACTGATCGAGAAGTTACGGTGATTTCTGCCAATTCTCGTGATGATACTTCAATCAGTAATTGCAGAGATGGTCCCATAGTCTTGGATGCATAGATGGAAATGGGCCATGGTTCTATAAGAGGTTCCCAGGCAGATTGGGAGTAATTATAGATATTGACATACAGTTCAATGTATGCTTCAGCATTGAGATCAGTCGACCAATTAATGGCTCTGATTTCAAACGGTTTGACATTCATATCCAATACAGGAAGTTCATGGATATCTCCAATAAGGACAAACCGAATTCCTCCAATAGATGCATTGAATTCTTCACCTTTAACTATCACTTGGGGTGATTGTTTTGTCGATTTTGGTGAGTCTTCTGTAAGTGGTTCTTGACTAAGAAGACTAGGTAAATGGGCTAAACGCTGTCTTAACTGATCCAGTAACGTATACTCATCATCAGGCTTGACTTGGGGACCTTGAGATGCTGTATAGAGTTCAGTAGCTCGATTAAAGATACTGAGTGCTAGACGGATATCTCGAAGTGATACTCTTACCAAAAGGGCATCGATGGATGTCTGGATGTTGGTTAAGAATGCTGTAGGTGTCGAGTCCCGTGCATCATAGGCAAATGATACAGAAAAGTCATCAATAATTCGATAATTAGTCGTATCAGTTTCATTCATAGCCGTCATATAGAGCCCGATATTGCGGGCTGCTAACGATATCACGTTCTGGCTGGTGATTAAGAGCTGTTCGATCTTGAATACTATGGCTTCAGTATCACTATGGGCCAGATCAGCCACGAGGATTATTGAGGGATTGGTGATATTTATGGAATAGCCGACTTTAGGTGGTGTTGATGGTGGTGTTGATGGTGGTTTACTACCAAGCGTTGCACTACCAGATTCAATACGAGCACTACTGCCATTACCATTACCATTACCATTAGCATTACCAGCATCAGTTTCACTAAGTTCAACACTATCTTTCTGTAAACTATGACTAACAAATGTCTGAAGTTCAAAGAGAAAGTCAAGCACAACAATGAGCTGTGGTGTGTCTACGGTAAGCATCACCGTAATGTTCTTATTCTCTGGATTCCCATCGGAAACAGCACTCATCTGAAGCTGGGTATGGCTCTGTTGAACAGGCATAAGATCAGCAAACTTATTAGATGAATGAGGTCTAATATCTCGAATAGCAAACGAGCCGACTTGGAAGGCCGTGGAGAAGTGAGTATTATGAGTTATAGTGGCGTTAAGTTCGATCTGACTAAGTTCAAACTTAGCCAATTGCCCTGAATCAATGACTTCTAGATCGGTATGGTTATAGATAGTTATGGCAAAACTAGGGATAGTGAATTGGAGTTGTACGTATGTATGAGATGGAGGGATCTCTACCGTCTCATTATGCTGAGGTTGAGGCCAACTAAGCAGCGGATGTCGAGCTCGTTGTACTATAGTATCATGTTTAATTACGGCATTAGCATTCTCAGCATCCACTTCAATATCTTCGGTATCACTCCAACTATCGACTGTAAAGGCACTGGCGATACTATTGGAGATATTCATCAAGTACTGAACCTGATGGTCTGTCAAATGGAGTTGAATATGAGGCATTCTCCCAGTGATATCAATAGTAGGCACTTGTTCAGTATACTCTTCTTGATACTTGACCGTGAATGACATATCCAAATCATCAACAATATGAGCCGTTTGAGTTACTGGATCATAATGGAACTCAGACGAAAGACTCACATTTCTAATCCCGGCACTTATAACATTTTCATGATTTATATACTCGTTGGACATAAAGATTTCTCCAAGATTAGCTATGACTTTTTCGAATTTATAGTTAGTAGACGTCGTAGTAGTGGCATTAGTAATGGCTGGAAATACAATGGTAGGAGCATCTACAAGAATATCAAACTTATACTTTGCATCATCCATCTGAGCCTGATTAATGGCAGCATCTCTAGCTCGATCATAGATGGCTTTCATTTGTAGAAAATGAGCCAAATAAGAGATTATTCGATTGACTGAATGTTCTATAAAAGTTATGGCTATAGCACCAGTTTTGAATTGAACTAATGAATCATAGGCTTCAGTATTAGTGGTTCTATCGAAAGTTTTATAGGTTAATTCAGCTAAATTATCTCCATTCATACTGATAAGTTGGCGTAACTCTGAGTCTGATGGAGTTCCATTGGGGATATCATCATGAACAGTTAATGCCCCTAACTTAGCACATACTTCCATGGCTTCTGGTACTACAAGAACATCAATATGAGCCGTACTAAGTTCTATAGTGGCAAGTTTAAGTCCATCTTCATTAAGCACCATAACTATCCCTGCCAAATTAAGCAGGACTACAATCTTCTGAGGTCCTGTCTCTTCATCAGCAGTATCATTATGATTCAATTCATCTGCAGGACTAGCTTCAGCATTAGGATCAGTAAATGTATTAAGAATAAAGTTAAGAACACTCAAGAGTGACTTTCGAGTGACTACTACCTTAACAGCAGCAATATCTAAATTAATCTCTTGATCATATACTTCAATCTCTTTACCATTAAACTCAACAATCCTTAGATTTCTACTATATTCAAGCTTAAATAATTGATTATGAGGATCAGTAGATGACATCAATTTCTCAAATTCAGCCACTCCTGATCGGTCCATTCGATCCACAAGACTTATATCACCAAGTGTTAAGTCGAGATGCATATCATTGAGTTGCTTATAGAAATTCATATTCAAATTATGGCCTATTAAGTCAATTAATGCTTCTATTCTTAACGTATGAGCATCCACACATCGTGATAATTGGATATGGACAAGTCCTACATTGAAGTCAAACTCAAACATATGCTGTTGAGAAGTAACTACCTTCAGTTCCTTATCATCTTCAGTCTTTTCATCTTCAAGTTCTTCAATTTGTGGAAGTGGTCCACTACCGTATGCATTAAATAAACTCGATTCTTCTGATTCGGAATTACTAAAATCCGGCATAGCCGCATCGATTATCTTCATAATGGTCTTATACTGAAAGTCATTAATAGCAAGATGAATCAGTGGTACTTCTCCACCCACTTTAAATCTCGCTAAATTGATAGCATCCGGTAAGATAGAGATCCCAAGCATAAGATTTAAATTCAACTTATCCAACATTAGTGTCAGTCTGGTAGTGGCCGAATCATTATGAAGTTGTTCCATAGTACTCTTAATATCCAGACCCACCAAAAACTGGGCATCTTCAAGTTTAAGACTGAATTTATCATACATTAGAGTATTCAATTGTTGCCAATCTTCTTCAGTATACTGCTCTTTGGCCTTAAATTCTTCAATCTTGGCTTTATCTACTAAATCACTAACAACACTAATATGTCCAGCATCTAAGATAGCTACGGGGGATTGGAAATTAGCCGGTTCTAATGGTAATATGACTAATGGAGCTTGTAAATCAAGCTTAACATTCATAGTCTTATGCTCTTCCAAAGCATATTGTAATCCAATTCGAGTTTGACTAGTAAGTCCCTCCATAGTGGCTTCAGCTGCATTCATAATAGCTCCTATAGTATCAAGATGAATCTTTGGAGGAGTGAAAAACTTAATGATTTCATTAATAAATGTAGGATTATAGAAGATAGTCATGGACTTTAATTTACCAAGTAAAGTGGAATCAGCTGATTGATCAAGTGGATTATTCTCAAATGAGATTTGGAAGAATGGATCATCAGTCAAAGGTTGGGAATTGGAATTGGCCTGTTCATGGAGATGAGAATGGAGTTGTTTGACACTGACTATATGTTTATAGAGTGTAGTGCCTGTTCCATCCTCTACTCTGAACTCATCCAATTGGAAAGTAGTGAGGAATGAGTCGGGTCTCTGGAACCATTGCGTGGTACAACCTTCAAATACAATTTCAGCGAGATTGGTCGGATGGTTATGGTGTTTAATGGAGATTCCTCCTCGAGCAAGCGAGGTTACGAGTTGGAGTTTGACTCTGTCGCGAGGGATATCAATGGCTTCGGTTACTTGTTTGTCGTCGTAGTCTATGGCATCATATAAGGCTTGTCTCTGTTCGTCAGTAAGGGAGAGATCAAGCTCACCATCATCATTGGTGGTGGTGGTGGGATCACTATTGGTGGAATCAGTACTTCCACTCCACCAGGATGATACCCATCCCACATATGACTCAGTAGGTTGAACTGGTACACTGAGAGTTCCCATGAGTCTCTTTTCTTGTCTCATCTCCTGTTTAGTGAGGGATCGGTAGAATTTTATATCCTCGTACGGTAATACCTCTTCCAATTCCGTTAATTCTACTTTCTCAGTATCCTTTAGAGTATTCAATAGTTTAGCTTTATAGAGTCGAATGTATGCCTTTCTCTGATCTCTTCGCTTAGCAAACAGCGCCCATGACCATTGATAATTCTTATCATGAATCTCCTTTAAGATACATTGAGCTGCAAATTGAAACCATTGTTTAGGATCTTCTTCAACGGTTACTTTAGGTCTTAATTTCCGGAATTTATATGTCTTTATATACCAATGGAATTTGGAGGCTGACCAGAGTAAATCGTGATACTGTTGAGAATCCAATTCTAAACCAAATTCTTCAAAGAAGAGATCTGCTTTGATATGAGGATACTTTTCTGTAGTACCTGCTTTATGAATAGTGACTTTACCTGAACCAGAAACTGGCTTTAATAAGTATTGTAATTGTATCAGAGAATCATTATTATTGTTTTCTAGTGATGATTGGAATCGAGCAAGTAATTCTTCATGATCAGTAGTAAAGATAGATGAAGCATCAGTAGTCATATAACAACTAAGACTTTGAAGAGTTAATAATTTACGAGTCAATTGTTGAGTTATAGCTATGAAACTGGGCTGCCACGACTCATCAGTGGACACTGCCAGTAACTCTGTAAGGGTAAGACCCACTGCATAAGGATTTTCTGTTAATACAGTTTCATCTTCATATCGAATATGAATATTCTTTATAGTAACTTGTAAATTATCAACAATTTTAGTTATAAGTGATTCAGTAAATGTTTCATTAGTAGTGGTTTCTGCAGCTAAATCAGCATTCTGATGAGTGGCTTGTTCTATAGTATCTAAATCAGCCAATTTATCTAACTTAACTTGAATTTGTCGAGCCTTCTCTTCTTCTTCATCATACTCTTCAAGGATAATTGGTGATGCTAATACATATACATCTTCAATAATAACTCGAACGGGTTTCCCCTTAAGGTTAGACCAAGGAATCTGAAGTGTCAATTCACCCACATGACCAAATTTCACATCAATGGGTAATTTAAATTTATCAAGAGATTCTTTCTTAAGTCTTAAATTCTTTAGCTTAACATCTCCTGACCAAATCCCGATATTTAATTGTTTAGGATCGAAGTTTTCAATGTAAGCTCCGAGGAACCTGTTCAAGAGAGTAGCTACTAGCGACTCGAACATGGTTGAAGGGGAATTGAATGGTTAAGGAACAGTTGTTGTGATGGTTATAGTTATGGAAGTAGCAATATAGGAGTAGCAATAGATATTGGTGTGTGCAGGGAGTGTGTCGCGAATGGGTTGGAAGATGCGACAAGAAAATAGACATAGAAAATAGACATAGAAAAAAGACATGAGAAAGGACAACAATAGTGACTGACAGAGTGACTGACAACTTTAGTGACTGACAACTTTAGTGACAACGCATTGCTAAGAGTTTTGGCAGTAGCTGACCACTACTGAGTTTCTGCATTAAACACTAATAGAATAGTTCTATTATTCTAATGAACTAATATATTCCTTCACTACTGTGCTGTACTACTGTACTACACTACTACCGCTGTACACTATAGTTACTCTACTACTAATACTATAACACTACAAGCAAGTACTACCATTACTACACTACGATAACTAATACCCTCTAATACTAAAACTAATACTAATACTATCTCTACTACCTAACTCTACTAACTACTAACTGTTAACAATATTAACGGTTTGACTCACTCTACTAATTCTGTCTCACCACTCACAACCACACCCTCACTATTCTCACACGCACTCTTATCTTATCAGAAATTCCCCCCAACTCTCTTTATCCCTTCACTATCTACAATCATCTGATTATCATCTCTTCTTCTCTTCCACTCTCTCTAGTGGACTGACATCTTCTTCCTCATCGTCTCCTTCATCTTCTCCATCTCCTTTACGATATTCATCTTATCGTATCTTGTCATTAGTCATAGGTCACGCCCCGCCCCCACTCACTCACTGTTTACTGTCACTACTTACTGCCACTACACCACTACACTACCACCAAAATCAATCAATCATAGAAACGCTATCACTACACCGCTACCCTGCTCCATTATCACTATCACTACATTATCACTACGCTATCATTAACTAACTAGATCACCGCTATCTTCCCCTCCCATACCTAAGCTTTAAACGACTGACTCATTGTTAGACGCGTACTGCACACAGAACCACCCCATCCTGTCCTGCCCTCGCTGCCTTGTCTTATATACAGTCCCTGGTCCCCCCCCCCCCAGATAACTAATTACGTAACACCACACAAAACAAAAAAAGTAAGTAATTACTCACCTCTTCTTCTTCTTTTAGTTCTTAGTTTGTTTATTATTTGTTAGATCTCCCATCACAATGTCTTCATCAGTGGCCACTTCGACTTCTTCGTCGTCAGGCAATCTGAGACTGACCAATGGTGTTAAAACAGTTAATGGGATCTATACAATAGGTCCAGAAATAGGTAAAGGATCCTTTGCCACAGTTTATAAATGTTATAATACTAATACTCATACGGCTGTTGCTATTAAATCAGTTATAAGATCAAATTTAAAATCAAAGAAATTGGTGGAAAATTTAGAAATTGAAATATCCATATTAAAAGCCATGAAACATCCTCATATTGTTGGTTTATTAGATTATCAACAAACTAGTTCACATTTCCATTTAGTGATGGATTATTGTTCAATGGGTGATTTATCATATTTTATAAGAAAAAGAAATCAATTAATTAAAACACATCCAGTAATATCTTCTTTATTAGAAAGATATCCTTCTCCTGAAGGTTCTCATGGTTTAAATGAAACTTTAGTAATTCATTTTTTAAAGCAATTATCTTCAGCTTTACAATTCTTAAGAGATAAATCTTTAATTCATCGAGATTTAAAACCTCAAAATTTATTATTATGTCCTCCATTACATTCAAAACAACAATTTATTGATGATAATTATGTTGGATTATGGGAATTACCTATATTAAAAGTTGCAGATTTTGGTTTTGCCAGATTTTTACCTTCAACTTCGATGGCTGAAACTCTTTGTGGTTCTCCACTTTATATGGCTCCTGAAATTTTAAGGTATGAAAAATATAATGCTAAGGCCGATTTATGGTCAGTTGGTGCAGTATTATATGAAATGACCGTTGGTAAACCTCCATTTAAGGCTGGTAATCATATTGAATTATTAAAAAATATTCAAAAATCTCAAGATCGAATTAAATTCCCTAGTGCTGCTCAAGTTCCGGAATCTTTAAAATCTTTAATTAGATCTTTATTAAAATATAATCCAACCGAACGAGTTTCATTTAATGAATTCTTTCAAGATCCATTAATTATTAATGAATTACAATCAAATGATGTTCCATTAGAAACTTCAGCTAATATGGATGAAAATTTATTCATTAGTGAATATATAAGTCCAATAAAACCACATGAAAGAAATCATCAATCTCAATATATTACTTCATCACCTCCAATTCATGAATTAACTCCTTATAAAGAAAAGGAACCACAAGCACAAGCAGAAGTTACCAGAGATGAAGAAATTAAGAAAATTATTTATAAAAATAGTCCAGCCCCAGAATCAGTTACAGCTCATCAATCACTTCATAAATCAACTACTAATCAATCTAATATAAATTCTAGGGAAAAGGAAGATATTATTTTAGAAAAGGATTATGTGGTTGTAGAAAAAAGAGCTGTTGAAGTAAATGCCATTGCTGATGAATTAGCTCATGCTGGAAGTGGAGCTGTGGCTATTAATAATAAACCAAGAAAGACTCTGGCGGGTTCACTTGGAAGTAATAATGGTAATGGTGGAAGTTTTGGAAATGGAAATAATGAGATTCCTACGGCAGCCATTAGATATCGAAGATCATCACTGAATGGAAGTCAAAGACGTCCAAGTTTTGCTGATCGTAGAATCTCTATTTCAATAAGTCCTAGTACAGCATTAAGTAAAGCTATTGGATTAGCATCTCATAAATTATTCGGAGTATCTCCTACAACAACAACAAATACAACAACTACAGTTAAAAATAGTAATAGTATACCAGAAGAAAGTGGATTACTTAATGGTAATACATATTCAACTATTTATTCGAGTCCCAATTTTGCTAATCATTTATTATTACAAAAGTTAAATTTACCCACATTAACCAGTTTAACAGAAAATACTGAATCACAACCACAAGTTGTTACTAAAGATGAAATTGTATTACAAAAATTAGAAACTTTAGCTACAAAATCTCACGCTATTAAATTATTTGCTGATGTTAAATTTAGTCAATTAATTCCAAGTCCTCCATCAAATGATAGTTTAGATGATGATTTATTACATCAAAATGATATGTTACCTCCTACTATGATAAAAGTTATAAGTGAAGAAGGAGTTGTTTTATATCTTAAGACATTATCAATTTTAAATAAAGGAATGTCAATTGCAAGTGATTGGTGGTATGAACAAGCTGATCAACCATCATCAGAAGTAGAAAAGGATAATATTTCTCCTAATACTTCTGGTAGTGATCTTTTAAATAATCATAGACTTTCAAATGCTAAAGTTCAAATTCGAATTAATGATTTAGTACAATGGATTCGAGAAAAATTTAATGAAAGTTTAGAAAAAGCTGAATTTGTTAAATTAAGATTAGAAGAAGCCAATACATTAATTGCAGAAGAACAACATCAACCATCATCATCATCAGCATCTAATTCTGCATCTTTAACATTTGATATAAATAAATCATCAGCTATAGCTGAAAAGATTATATTTGATCGAGCATTAGAAATTAGTCGAAATGCTGCTGTAAATGAATTAGTTCAAGAAGATTTAAAAGGTTGTGAATTGGCTTATGGAACTGCCATTTGGATGTTAGAAGCATTAATTGATGATGATCAATCAAATGATGAAGATATGATTAATTCATCAGTAGTTGAACTGAAATTAGATCCAGAAGATCGAGCTGTGGTTGAGAAATTCATTGTTAGTATTGGCAATCGGTTATCGGTATTAAAGAAGAAGTTAGAACTTCTCCCATAATTATTTATTTTATTTCATATTATTCTTTTTATTTACATTTTATTATTATTCTTATTATTATTACATTATAGGTTATATAGGTTAGGATTTCGGTTGGGAATTATGCTTGCAGGCATTATGATAATTAATTAAATTATATTATATTATATTATATTATACTTACTAATACTTAGTTACTAATACTTACTTGTAGTTATACACTGGTTGATGAGGTTTCTTTCTATCGAGAGATGTAAGAGATTTACCATCCACCATATCAGAAGTGGAGATTAACCATCTTACGGTATTATTAATATAATCACAAGTCTTCTTCTTATCCTTTTCATCAAACAAATAGAATTCAAGGTTATCTATACAAATGGCTTGTTGAATAATTGTCCATCTTTTTAATTCAAAATCGATTTCTCGATCTTGATCTCTTTCGACAATTTTATACTTAAAGTTTGAATAAATTCTGGCTTTAATTCTGTTTTCTTCTAGATCACTAACGGCATCATTTCGGGTATACTCTTCCGGATTAACTTTAGCAATATTACAATGAAGAGTGAATAGAGGTATCTCTGACACGCCTCCGAAATATTCAGCTTGCATCTTATCTATTAGTTCAAATTGATCGGCAGACTTATTCCGATTTAATTCTCGTTCAATCTTAGCGTATTGTTTAGTGACTACTTCATAATCAACTACTGGATCCTTCTGTCCCATGGCCATTCCATGATATCCATTTTCATCACTAAATCCTTGCGTTCGTATATGAGAAAGTACTTGATAGTACTTGGCCTGAGTGGCAAAGGCTGCTGTAATAAATGTATCTTTATCACCCTCTCCTAATTCTCCAAGACTGAATAATCGATAGTAAATATCTGGACCATAGAGATTATAGTAGAGAGATAAGAGAAGGGTCTTGGCATGAGTACCTTTATTGATAAGTAATTGACCAGATTCTGATGATAAATCCGGGATAGAGCCAGCATATTCATGGAAGTTAAGCTTCTGTTTCTTCTTCTCTTTGTTAATGGTAGTACCGTCTTCTTCTACAAGAATAGGTTTAACTAAGGGGAATCTTCCCCATCTTACTCTTACCTGTTCATTAACTGGTATTTGAGCAATCTCATAGTAGAGTGGACTCATAGATCTTTGCCAATAATCAGGCCAAAGCACAAGTCCATGGTCCTTATACACTTTGGAATCAAAGATAGTATCTGGATTAACTAAGGCAACATTATCTGAATCCAACATAAGGACATGTTCAAATGAACTTACAGCTATAGCAATTGATTTTAATTGATAACTTCCAATCCCTATTTGAGAGATCACATGATGTCCCAACACTTGTGGCATAAGTATACATTTTGCATTATATTTAGGTAATACTTGATGACAAAAATGATACTCTTTATCATAATCACTCCAAGAGGCAAGTACTAATTCAATAGGTAATTTCAGTCCATTATCTCTTAAATGCATAATGGATAAGAATGATAACCACGAATAGAATCCTCCTCCAAGCATAACTATCCCCTTCAGACCCTTTACATAAGTAGATTGATCTAATTGAGTAGGTAATTGTCGTAATATATTAGCATGAGCTACTTTAATACGTTTTAAATTAGTATCGGAGATATTGGCTTTACCAAGTAAACTTTCTTTACTATAAGCATTAAACTCTTCATCACTCATTTCACTTAATTTCTGATCAGAATGTACATATTGGATAAGATCTTCACCTTCAGCAGCTTTAACTTTATTATCTCTAAAGATTGTAAAGATTTTATTCCAGAATTCATTAACAGGGGTACTGGTGGTTATACCGATGGTAGGGAGTCCGAGAATGGATTCAGGAGTGGATGTAAGGGCACCTTTAAGAAGTACTTGTTGATTATATTTATCAAGTAATCGTTGTTGTTTGGTATGAGGTTGTAAGTAGTCCCAGATGGAGAATGAGTTATCTGAATTTATGAATTTAGTGATGGACTTATCGTAGATGGTAGCGGAAGGTTTGATAGTGCTAGTAGTATTACTGATACTTCCTTTAGATTTACTATTAACATTAACATTAGGAATAGATCCTGAAAGTGTCAGTCTGGCTAATGAGTTAACCAAGTCCTCTGGTGAATTAAGCTTGAAGTAGAGTTGCGGGAATGAGATGAACACGAAAATCACTACGGCTGTGACTGCAAAGGTTCGCAACAACGGCTTGGGTATTACCATAGTGAATGATGTGAAGTAGCAGTAAGATAAAGTTAAAGATAAAGAGAAAGAAAGAAAGAAAGAAACAAACAAACAAAAGAGAAATCAAACCAGAAATCAAATCAGAAATAAATACGAAATCTCAATTTACACAGATGTTACACTCCGATATATATAATATTAATACGTAATAATGGAGATTTATGATAAAGTTTACATGAGCTTATCTGTGTGTACACTTTTCGTGTTTCATTGTTACTGTATCGGAGTAGTAAGTGCGTCAAGTATTAGGGTACTCAGGTACTGTTTGTATAGAATGTACGTGTTGTTATCTAATTCATATTTGATTGATAGTACAGCGTAAAATTTGTTTGCAGTTATTTTTTCAGTGATGCATAATTTAGTGCATTTGTGGTCAATTTTTATTCATTGTATAATTCACCTAATTTCGTACTTGCAGGTTAAGTACGAGGATGTGACGTCGTGGGTATACCAGAATTACCATTTTGTCCGCTATCAATTTCTATTTCTATGGATTTTTCTTCACTCAATTGCTTATTTCTTAAACTTTAACTATATGTAGGCCCCATTGGTCTGTTCATCGATCTTTCTGCACATACTAAATTACTGTAAACACACGTGTGCATCCACACTATCACTAACACTAATACTAACACCAACACCAAATCAAAACGCGCTCTAATGTTATTGATTAGCTTATGCAAAATCAAATATCAAATATCGCGTTTCTGGCCCTCTGTGTGTGTGTGTGTGTGTGTGTGTGTGTGTATCCCTTGTTGCTGTGTTCTTTGTTGTCTAAGCAATACAACAATTATTGTTAAGCCAGTGAATTAAAAAATATTTCCCTTCCGCACACGACCTCTCGTAGATATAAATAGAAGCTATTTATTTATTTAGTTTTTTTATTACTGTAATTAAACTCAAACTCTAATATATGTACAAGTACGGTTCTATTTATAAATACAAAACACTACACTACTTCAGGTCACGTTATTCTGCTTGTTCTTGCGCTCATACATAAGCTTAAACATGCCTTTACTAGTTATACTGTACACAAAGCAAGTCAAACTAATGGACTCTAAACTTAAGTAATATTTCGCTTATGTAAACAGCAGTATAAAAATATAAGGAACATACACATCATACTAAAAATGTTGATGCATCAATCGAGCGATGAGCTTAGAATTAATGATTACAAATATGTTCTTGGCACTTTCGAATTTTCTTGTGCTATAAACGAAACAAACTTAAAGGAGTAAGCGTGTATGCATTAAGTGAATAAGAAAGTTAAATAGTATCACATAATATGTAGCTTATGGATCTAGCAGTTGTACTGGTTAACACGTTGGTATTGTTTAACATTAAAAAACTTTCATGTGATAAAACACATCCGTGTTTAATGAGTCGATGACAATACTAGACAAGAAGATCAAAGTGTTCACGGCTGAGTCTACTAAAAAGGTAAACGGTGCATGCTTAGAAAAGGAACTCCAGTACTTTGCTACTAGCGAAGAATTATATGCAGCGTTACCTCAAATGTAGGAAAGATACATAGATTAGGAGATACTATTTAGTTCTTAGTCACATAATCTTATGTCTTCATAACAATGAACTTAAACATAGTCTAAGCCAGATTGGTCTGATACACTAACTCTAGTAACTCTCTTTACTATATCCAAAGTTATCTAATAATAGTAGTGATTATTAACCGCTAGACTCTCATAAACATTTTGCAACAACACTAAACTTTTCCAGAGTTGTCGCGAAAATCAAAAATAATTTAACCGCCGGATCAATCGTGAATTTTTCACTTAGACCGACCGAACCAACCACATAACTCTAACATATCTGCTAACTAAACTCAATTACATACAATTCATATCTATATGTTGCCGGTATGAATGAGTCCAAGTATCATCCTAATACTGACAAACTCTCGGTATCTCCAGAACCATCTTCTAATCAATCAGCATTCAGTAATCATCCTTATTCCCAGTTAAAGCATAGAACAATCAAGAATTCTAAATCTTCATCTCATATCTCCATCAACGATGAATTAGATGAACTAATATCAAAGACTTCCAATCTCTCTATAAGTAACCCATCGAAATGGTCTAATATTTCCTATTGGTTAGTAAATTACATCAATCCTTTATTTTTAACCGCCTTATCGGCTGCGGTTAGACTTTATCATATTGATTATTCTAATTCTGTGGTATGGGATGAAGCTCATTTTGGAAAATTCGGAGGTTACTATTTAAATCGAGAGTTTTATTTTGATGTTCATCCTCCATTAGGTAAATTGTTAATTGGATTATCAGAATATTTAGCTAATTTTAATGGTGATTTTGATTTTAAGAGTGGAGCTAAATTTCCTGAAGATTGTAATTTCATATTTATGAGAGCTTTCAATTGTATATTTGGAATCTTATGTACTCCAGTAGCATATTACTTAAGTTTAAATCTTGGATTTAGTAATCTAACTACTTGGTTCTTATCTTTACTGGTTATATTTGAAATGTTATCTTTAACATTATCAAAATTCATATTACTTGATTCAATGTTATTATTTTTTACTGTGACTTGTTATTTTTGTCTTATTAAATTACATAAATTAAGAATATCTAATAATTTATTATCATTAAATGGTATTAAATGGCTAACTCTAACTGGTATTTCAATTGGTTGTGTTTGTTCTGTAAAATGGGTTGGATTATTTATAACTTTATTAATTGGTTATTATATTATTTATGATCTTTTACTAAAGACTTACCAATTAATTTCCACTGATGATCAATCATTATCAAATTATTTATTACATTGGATTTCAAGAATTATAACATTAATTCTAATTCCATTTTGTATTTATGCATTATGTTTTAAAATTCATTTCCTGGTATTAACTCATTCAGGTACAGGTGATGGTTCAGTGTCAACCTTATTACAAGCATCACTTGAAGGACATTCAATTGATTTTGGTCCAAGATCAGTTGGTTATGGATCATTAATAACAATGAGATCTCAAGGTTTATCACCTAACTTAATTCATTCTCATGAACATAATTATCCACAAGGTTCAAGACAACAACAAATTACAACTTATGGATTTAAAGATGAAAATAATGATTTTTTAATTGAATTCCCCTTTGATAGAGGCTTACTTGCAAGCTTGGATTATGAAGATGACAGTAATAGGAATAACAATACTAACAATACTAACAATACTAATATAACAAGAGAAATTATTAACCATGATGAATTGTTTAGAACATTAGTTAAAGATGGAGATGTGATCAGATTAGTTCATAGAATGACCGGATGTTTAATTCGAACACATCCAATTTCAGCTCCAATTGCAACTAATCATTTTGAAGTTTCTTGTTTTGGAGATATTGAAAATTCAAATGAATATAAGGATGAATGGATTATTGAAGTTAAATTTCAAGATAAATCTCCTTCACCTCATTTTCAATCAGAAGATATAAATGAAATTCATCCTATATCAACTAACTTCAGATTGAAAAATAAACAATTGGGTTGTTATTTAGCAACAACAGGTTATTCTTATCCAGGTTGGGGATTCCAACAAGGTGAAGTTGTTTGTAAACATTCAATTATTGCTCATGATAAAAGTACTTGGTGGAATATTGAAGATCATATAAATAAAGAATTAGAATCTCCTAAAGAAACTTACATACCACCGCCACCAAAGTTTTGGAAAGAATTTTTATTACTAAATTATGGTATGATGGCATCAAATAATGCATTGATTCCTGATCCTGATAAATTTGATAAATTAAGTTCTGAATGGTGGGAATGGCCAATATTACATACTGGTTTAAGAATGTGTGGTTGGACAACTGATGAAATTAAATTCTTTTTAATTGGGAATCCGTTTGTAACTTGGTTTTCGACTGGTGCTCTTATAGTTTTTCTTATTTACTCGACAATCAGAGCCTTTAAATATCAAAGACAATGGCTTTTATTTGATATATTTGATTCATCATGGAATGAATTTCTAATTCAAGGAATTGTTCCATTTATTGGTTGGTTCTTACATTATTTCCCATTTATAGTAATGGGAAGAGTTAAATATTTACATCATTATGTTCCAGCACAATTCTTTTCAATTTTAGTAACTTCCTTCCTTTTAGAAACTTTAATCTATAAAAAGATTACATCTCCATATTTGAAAATACCTATTTATTTGATAAGTTATACACTCATAATAGGCACATTTTGGTACTTAAAGGATTTAACTTTTGGAATGAAGGGTCCATCGACTCAATATAGACATTTAAAGATTTTAAATACTTGGTTTATTTAATCTACTCACTGATATATATATGTATATATATATATAAAATCATACACTTTCTTCAACATCTTGAACCTTTTCCTTCTCATTTTGTCCAAAAGCCGACTCTATGTATGATAAAACCAAACATACAATAGCAGAAGTACCAGTCATTCCAATACTGAATAGAATGGTTGTCTTATAATTATCAATGATATCACTAACAACAAATTTAGTGTCTGGTTTAATAGACAGTGACAAATAGGCAGTAAGCAATAAATTTAGTAGACATGTAATTGCAAGTGTCGACCTATCACGAGCTATTGGGGTGACTATAATTGATCCTGAAGGGAATCCCAAATCCATGGAGAAGCATAGTATGTATATTTGAACAAGACTGAATCCAAAGAATGACATTTGAATTGAAACCATTTGCAGAATTGTGAAAGCTATTATAAAACAAAACACAGCAAAACTTATTATTAACATGGAGCTAGATCTCATACCAACTAAGGGTACAAATATAGCCAATACAGCTATAATCCCTACGAAATGAATAATTGAAACTCCCTGTTGTATGGTACAGAAGTTAAGAAAGTTCCATAATAATATTAGACTAAAAAATATCAGTCCCCATATCAAGCCTATCTTAATACGTAATAAGAACCGTAAAAAAGTTCTCAAACACTCTAAAATGCGAGTGTAACCTACTCTGTATATCACTATACTCATTATCACCAAGACAAATAAATTGGGAGACCAAGTGAATGAATCTACATTGCCTTTAATTGCAAGTAAAAAAGATATTGTCACACACGGGACCCCGAAATCAGGCATATTAAATATTTGCTTCCATGTACTAGTTTGCTTGCCTTCTTTAATGATGAAGTAGAAACCAATAGCCAAACAAATCCCGCCCATACCTAACATATACTTTAAATCCTTCCAAAGTGGAAGATATAGACTAACCACTCCAGCCAAAACACCTAAAGGTACATTGACTGCCATTAGTCCACGAATAAAATTATTTTCTGGATAACTATCTCTTAAAAGCCACATACCATTAGATAGGATCATGAAATAACCAACAACTAGAGATGACTCAATGAAAACAGATGTTAAACTGCTATCAGGAATTTGTAAATATGATGGAATTAATGTTAAACCACCAATTAAGTACCATCCTGATATGAGTACAGTCTTATGACCAAAACGATCACCAAGCTGATTACATAGTACAATTATTTGTCCGAAAGTGAAGATTAGGAGGTTTAGAATAGCAAATTTTAATAAGGAATTCTTTATTAAGGGGTTGATGTATTCTCCTATCTTATTTACGGTGTACAAATTCGTCACTATGCCCGCATGAGCAACAATTTGTGAAAGACATAACAATGCCACGTATAATGTTAATATGACACTCATGTATTTATATCTAGACAACAAGTATAACTTATCACAAATATATCCGTGATAATAATCACAATAAAATAACAATTAAGCGAGGGAATTTTATTTTTGAGTCGCATTTTTTTGATTGGAATCCAAAGCCATTTTGCAAATTACAAATATTTCTATATAACATGTAGAGGTGCGTATGTGTGTGTATATGTTAAATTGTATTATGTGAATCCCGCCATACATCTCATCGAAATATTGTACCTATTAATCACGTTTAATTGGAAAGTCTGCTAAGAATATTTGAGCTTCGGTATTCCGCTAAGCGAATGTCCCATATTATTGTGCAACATAATTTATTTTAAAATAATATGATACAACACCATAGTTAACGGGAATTTGAAATAACTACGGCATTGAATAAAATTTTGCTTCCCCCAATATATTATTATAAATGCAACGTATTTTGAATTTGAAGAATACAGTAAATAAATGTGATAACAACCTAAACAAAATGCAACCTGTTAATTCTCCTTGTGACAGGAACGCTACTTTTGTGTAAAAGTTAAACTTGAACTTTGCATCCAAGTGGAAGCACCGTGTACAATGCAATGCAAGCTACCAATATTAAGTTTGCCACCAGTAACAAAGGATTATTATAAATAGAAGGTATTCGAATTTGAAAAAGACAGTAATTAAATGAGCTGTTCCGGCATAAAAAGCTAAACAAAATGCAACCTGTTAATTATTCTTTTTACACCACAATTGCTAAGAGTCCCCTTTTCGTCCCATTTGTGGCAATGAGTTGCGATTACCTTTTAACCATATTCGACCAACCAAGTCTCGCTTTATATATTAGGAAAAGGGTTGAAACTAGAAGAGGTAGAGATCCAACATTAAACAATTTACCAACTTATTAATTGATTTTTAGTACAGGACAATATAAAATATATGGTTGAATAAATGTTAAAGTCAAATATGAATTTTAATCCCTGTTTTGACTCGCCACCAACACACAGATTATAAAATGGTTATGAAATAGCCTTTTTCTAAAATTCTCTGATTAGACCTTACAATTAACTATGACTGCTGCTTCAGATAGATTTCTCGCTAGTATACTCAGGAGTCCTATATTCTTACCATTTGCTGTCCTTAGCGTGGACTATATATTCACTGCCTCTGGGGGACCCAGTTTTGCACTAGCATTTCGAAAAGTGGTTCAAGAATCCAAAGCAGAAATCCAGGATAAGAAGGACTAGGACTTTTCACCATCAATTAGACGGAAAACTATATATAAACTGTTAATTTAGTACTCCATTTAATCTAGCCAATACATGTTACGACACACTTGTTTGTTGATATATATTTACCTAATCTTCTCCGTAGATATTGTCGCTACCGCCAGCTGTTTATTTACTTGTTCTATCTTATCCTCTTTTCCTTGCTAAATGTAGTGTGCTGACTTAACCCACTTGGTAATAGCCCCATATGCTTTTTGGACACAAACACTAAATCCAGTCAATCCCCTGATATACAACTCTTACCTTTAGAGATCCTTCTTTCTTAATCAATTATTCTAAGAATTAACTAATATTACGAGAATATAACTTTTTTATATGACTTTTTTGCCTTCAAATTCTATGCTATCTTCCTGGCTTTCCCTTAAAGAATTCTGATAAATATCATCTTTAAGAGATATCATATAAACCACAAAGTAAAGAAATCTCTCCCTCATCTACAATATCAGACCTTAATAAAAAGTGACTAGCAATAATTCTATTTAGAGAAGTAAACATAACTGTTCAAGTCCAGGAGCAAATTCACTCCAAATATACTGTATCCAGCATCAGTACGATAAAGTCTGGAAACCTTAAAATATATCATGGTAACCCCGTATAAAATCCACCAAATAATAATAATGGCTGAATTATTGGAAACTTCTCATATATACCCAATGAAAACCGAAAAGAAAATACTCTGGAACAAATAATACAATAACAAAGCTTTCCTGGGGATATGTAATTTCTATATTTAGTTACAAATAAAGAACAGAAATAACCAAAGAAGCTATCTATAAAGAATATAAAAGCAATTTCGGGAGAGAAACCTTTGGAAAACGAAATAGACCAAAGGGAAAAACTCTCATAAAAGTTGTGAACTCTCAATTTGTTAGCAGAATCATGTCTCAGTAGAAAAAATTATAGATTTGTAGTGGTAACGATATACAGCAAACGAGGCAGTGAAAATTTAACAAATGCTCTCTTAAGCTTGACTCGTCGCTAGCCTCGTGAAAAATTAGATTTTCTCGGTAACAACAACAACGTGAAAAACTCAGCGATAGCATCTCTTCTAGCTACGTGAAAGCTAATGCAGGCTATTGATGAATACAAAAACCATTCCAAGGCATGCAAACGATCGTTTTTGACAATTGATTTAAAAATTTTCTTAAAATTTGTTGGATAGATATGTGTCTACAGGCCTACATTACTCTACAAGCTAGTAAATCTATACTTGGTAGTATATATTCATTTTATATCCATATTGCTTCTGATGTCATATAATCATTTCCTAAGACAATTTAATCAAACTATTGTTACTTCTTTAATTTTTGACTATTTCTCTGTTAATATAGTTAGATAAGATCATGTTACTTAAACCAAAAATTGATTACTAATATTTCATCAAAGTACACATTCAACAACCTCTCAACTTAACGTATCATGTATAACCTAACATTAACAATAGTACCGACAACTTATTCAATACAATAACATCATCAAAATTCCTACTACTTTCATCAGAATCGTCAAACTTCACTGTAACTTATCTCGTTCACTGGCCTTTTCTTACTAGAACTTGAACGAATAAGACCAAGACACTTATCAGGGCTCATAACTTGTTGGATAGATATGTGTCTACAGGCCTACATTACTCTACAAGCTAGTAAATCTATACTTGGTAGTATATATTCATTTTATATCCATATTGCTTAACTTATAAAAAGAAGTTATATTTATTCTAAATCGCCTCACCTAGAAGGAGGTGACTTTTATATTCATGTCGATCCTGCATAGCACATGCATTCTTGGCATAACCTGCATATAGCATATGCGCTACCAATCACAACTAAATATGAAATACCAAACATATCAACAAAATTCTCCACCGCTAACTCAAATCGGTTTAGTCCTTTCTTTATAAAATAAGTCTTGATAGAATTGTTCTTTTATATCAATTAATGTCTAAGCAAAGAAAATACATTGTTGATATGTTTGGAATACGAATTCCGGCTTTGTATTGCAAGCATTTGGATAGACGGTTTGATCTCTAAAAAAGTTGACACCCTAAAATCAATTTTTTGTCGTTGTTGCAACATGTTTGTAAGCTACAATGGTTGTGAAGACAGGTAGAGTGTTGTAACTTGCTACAAATGGTTGTAACAATAAAAGGGGGGTTGTAACAATAGAAAGGGGGTACTCTAATAATGTGTTATTAGAGTTGTTGTTACAACACATGTGTGTGAACTCAGAGGTATAAATAGACCTCTAATATCCCTATAGATAATTATATAGGTTTTATATAGTAACTATGATAATATAAGTATTTTGTTTAAGAAACATTAACTATGGAATCTTTAACTCTAAATGTACAAGACATTGATGATCTCATTGTAAGATTGAGGACCGAACGACAAGTTATGAGCCCTGCTTCTGCCAGCGTGCAAGTCAAGTTGAAAGGACTTGAAAACTTCTACACCTGGAAGAGCAGTTTCGTTGACGTCTTCAATCAACTTGGGATCTCAGGTTTCTTAATTCATGGAAATGACTTTTTTCAATTTACTGAAGAAGTTGGTCCTACGGATGTTAATAGATTGAAGAGTAGTGTTGTAGGAATGCTTAATCATGTTCTATCCTTGACCATATCTGACACCATTTGGAAGGAATACAGAGGTTATTCAGGTGATACCGCTTACCTTTCAATTTGTGAGGAGTATGGTAACATTGATTTTACAGCTGCTGCTAGACTCATTAGAAAGTACGGTTTTGGTTCTCCCACTGCTGACGATTGGGAAATGCTTGGAGAAAATGTTTTCTGCCGTTTTAATGGCCAAGAAACTAGTGGACTTATATACTTTGCAACTATTCCTGATACTAAATGGGGACAAATTGAAAGGGCTTTTCACTCCCTTAAAGAAAGAAAAATCAATGCTATTTTTGATGTTGCTACTATTCGGAAATTAGCTTTACGTATTGGTACAAATCCTCCTGATAATTTAGACTTTACCATTAACCTGGATACCGCTTTAGTTGTTAATCGTAGTAAAAAGGTTATTTGCTATCATTGTAAGAAGGAAGGCCATAAGAAGAATAAGTGTCCAGAACTCAAAAATGAACAATCCAGAAATGAATCGACCAATGGTACAAACACGAGCAAGTCTACATCAAGAAGTAGTTTCTACGTTGGTGATCTGGCTTTTCAAGTTTCTGAAAAACCCAGAAATGCTGTTTTTCATTTTGATTCTGGTGCTTCAAGCCATATTGTTAAGGATATTAGATTATTTTCTGAAATTGACACTAATTTTAAGCATAATGTTGATTGTGCTAATGGATCAACCATGCAAGTTGAAGGTATTGGTAAAGTAAGTCTTCCAGATTTTGATCTTACTAACGTCTACTATATTCCCAAATCGGCGGTTAATCTCATTAGCATCCCTGCAGCAGCCCGTAGGGGTGCTACCTTCGTCTTTGACTCAACTGGAGTCTATGCAGGTTTTGCATCTATTGATCTTGCTGCGAATAAATTATCGCACCATGGTAGTTTACGGGCAAATTTGTATACTATTGAAATTGATACTATGAAAAATGAGGGGGTTGGAAATGCATTTATTGGTAATGTTGCTAGAACTCCTCAGGAAATTTTACACAAGAGACTTGGTCACCCAGGTCGTGGTATTCAGGATAATTTTAGAAAACTCGGAATTCAGTGTCACCTGAAGAATTGCCGTAGTTGTATGAAGTCAAAGATGACTTTCAAATTTCCAAAGTATTCCACTCGGAGAGCTACAACACTTGGAGGAATCCTTCATATGGATGTCTGTGGTCCATTTCCACCAGCCTATAATGGTTGCAAATACTTTCTCACTATTGTTGATGATAAATCAAGATTCATTACAACTTTTCCAATGACTTCTACTGCTGAAGTTGGTCAACTTATTATCAACTTCATTAGATCCTGTGATCGTCAGAATTCTGCAAAGGTTCAAATAGTTAGAACAGATAATGGTTCTGAATTCAATAATGTCAAACTTACTAATTTCTTTCATGAAACCGGAATTCGTCACGAATTGACAGTACCATATCACAGTTATCAGAATGGAGT